TACGTAGTTCGGTGATTTGGTCTACTAGACTCTCATTGGCTGAATCTCTTTGTTGTAAGTGAGACCTAGGTCTAGCTGTAGAAGCTTCTTCTACCTCTGATTGGTCTATATTGCTAGCGCTAGGTATTTGCACTTTAGCAGGGGTACCTTGAACTGAGGAGAATAACTCAGCTTCGTCGTCGACTCTTGATTGGTTCGATTCGTCTTGATTTTCTGTAGAAGTTGTATTTCTACTCGGAGAGCTATTATTACGGCTACCCTGAGTATCGTATCGAGAGCTCATAGTTCGTACTATTAATTAGCCGCTAAAATCGCGGAAATCGGTTAACGTTTGACTGAGATATCGTTAAGTGATGATAAAGGGTTTTTAAAGGGTAAGTCGATTGTGAAAACGACCCCTTTAGCGTATAAGCCTAATAAAAGCTCTTTTCATTATCACAACGTAGAATGGTAACTGTTACGTTGCGTACTAGCGTATCTTGTCCTATTACAGAATGATAACTGTTGTAATAAGTACTAAAATAACTCTTTTTAGCGTTTTACGCTTATAAGTTGAATATATATTCAAACTTAAGGATTTGATTGGTTCTTTTAGGGAGCTGCGCGTATTAAAGAATAGGGGCTATAAAAACGGTCTTTTCTACCGCTGCTAGGAGCACGCTAGTGGGCTCGCTTAGCTCTCTGAAGTAGCTCTTATTTGCTGTTGTAATGTAATAACGTTTCTAAGAGGGATATTAGCTCTCGTAATAGCTAATAGCGAATAAGAAGCTAGTCCGAGTTGGGAGTGTTCTTGACGACTAGCACGATGCTCAGTGGTCGGATTGTATAGCTAAGTCCCGTGACCTAGTTAGACGTTCAGGGTTGATATAAGAGTGTTAGGTAATAATAAGCACTTATCTGCTTTTGGCTAGCCTCGTAATTCTAACTAATAGTAAAGCTAGGCGATTCTAGCTTTTAAATAACGCTAGGCTAAGCGTAGTCTTGTAACTTCGTATAAGTTGTTTATCGTTGTATAACCGAGTGAGTAGCGCTGGTAAGGTAGCGACGATAAGGGTCGAAAAACAAAGGCTTGCTTAGGGTGACGAGTATAAGTTGTCGGGATATTATTACGCTGTCACTAGCAGTGTGATTTGAGCTTGATATAATGTAATAGCACGGTTTAGCGTTAGCTAGCACGTGAGCGAAATAACTACGGATTAGGTGATAACCTCTCTATTAGCGCGAATATCAAGCTGAGGAGCCCTCGATTCCGTGGAGGGCGCTCGAGCCTATATAGATAAATTCCCCGGGCTATTCCTGATTAGGCCTAATTACACTTGATGTAAAACTTGACGTAAACTCCTATAGTAGCGTAGAGCTATTTCCCTTTGCGTATAACTAAGTGGGTAACTGTTGGTAAACCCCTTTAGAGTTAACCGAGCTCTACCGAGTCTTACTGAGCTTTGCTGAGCTCTAGACTCTTCCTAATCGGGTATAGTAAAGAAGTAGTTACCACTACCTTTACATTTAGTAGTATAGTTCTAATTAATATCTCTGAAAATATAGTTAATCTAATATTCGAATTCTTTAAAGCTTATAAAGATCTTTTAAGATTCCTTTAATATTACTATAGAAACTTTTTCTTCTTTAATCTAGTTTTAGATATAGTTTAAAAGAAAGGTTTTAATTTAGTTAAAAGTAGACCCTTAGAGGAAAGATAAAGCCTAAAGGACTTTATTAGTTTTTATAAGGAACTAATAACTATTAAAATTAGTATAGAGCTTAACTTAGGTAAGGTAAACTCGAAGCTTAGATTAATCTTTATAATAAAAATTCGAGATAGCGATCTTAGGTATATTCTTTATATTAAGGATTCTAGTTATAGCTAGGTTATTACTAAATAACTATCCTTTAATAGAGGATATTTTATCTTTATAAGTTAGTACTTTTAATAAGAAAGTACTTGGAGTATAATAATCCGGTATTTACTTATTATAAATATAGAAAGTTATAATTAATCTCTGATAATTAAGAGATAGATATGTTATATAAATAAGAAGATAATTACTAAGTATTAAAATATTATTTAAATTTAAGTATAAAGCTCTTATCTAATAATAGATAACTAGTCTTATATAAAACCTTTATTCTCTTAAATCTCTTATAATATAAGATCCTTAGATCCTTAGATCCTTAAATCCTTTTATTTCTTAAAGGATCCGAGGATTTAAAGATCTATTATATAATAGAGTTATAGCCTTTTATTACTATATTACTATAACTTATAATACTATAATAATAAAAGAGCTAAGTGATATATATTCCTTTAGACTTAATTAGCTCCCTTAAGCCCTGCTCCTAGGATACTTCCTCTCGGGCCCTAGTAGGCTCCTAGAGGCGTTTATAATAATTAAGCTAGAAATTATCTAGAATCGACTTTAGTATTTCAAAACTATAACCTTAATTAATAAACTATAAAGTATTCCTTAATAAGATAGGTAGTTAGAATAATTCTATATTTATAAAATAAAAATCCGTTAAATATATATTTAATAATTAAAGAATAGATAATATTTTCTTAAATATTATAAAAAACACTTAAAAAGTTTAAAATAACTACTAATTTAAAATACTTAAGAAATACTATAAAAGATAGAGAATTAGAAGAGCTTTTAAATAAGCTTTTAGTTATTAAATCCTATCTATATAAGATATTAAAGTATTAATTCTAGTATTATCTTTAAAAAGTAATATTTCCTTACTAAAGTAGCCGCGCGAGCTACTAAAGGAATACTACTTTCCCTTAGACCCTCCGGTGATTCCTAGCTGTTCTCGCCTTTAATCGGCTCGCTTAAAGGGGTGGGTAGCGAATATCACCAAGGAGGAGCTGATTTATGAGATAACAATACTGCGGCAGCTTGTTCATTTAAAAGAGTCGCTGTTACCTAGGTCAAGTAAGCGCACCAGAAATGTCAACGAGTTGGCTAGACTCGCATAACCAGCTGGGGATATATCCCCAGACCTAGTAATATAATTCGATTCAGGAAGGTGGTCAGCTGCTGTGTACTGAATAACAACGACCATGTATCCGCTTTCCGCTTGGTGAGACGGACTTGTATAAGTATTACCCTGGGCCTCGAGGTCTGGGGGAAGAGTCCGCAGAAACCACCAATTATACATATATCTGGAGCGACAGAACGCCCTTTGACAATGTTGGACATACCATGGCAAAAATTCGTTCCAATCACACCGGCGTTCAATCCTCCCATTCTAGGCAGAGCCAGACGAGTTTGTGATTGACAACATCACAGGGCGGAACCAATTGTGATATACCATCCCTACAGGTCATTGGGTTAGGCGCACGTCGATGACTTGAATCGTACCGATGCGGACGCGTCTATCTGCCTTCTGAACAGCAAGGGCATGAAATATTCCCAAAAAGCCCTCAACCTAAATGTTCTATGCAGATCGCGAAACCAAAGGAAGTATGCGGAACGAGAAGATAACCTTCTATGATACTAACACCCTCACCGGCGTGCTTGCTTGGACAGACCAATACCCAATCCAGAACCTAAACATCAATGCTGCAACCGAACTGAAAAGCATGTTCAAGGCTTACCTCTGAGGGCGTCAATTGAACTCAATAATGCCCAACTTGCAAAACTGGCACGGCTAGGTCTAGGTAGTTAGACAATCTGATGTTCAGTAGTGTCGGCTACTTAAACAGCGGGGCACTCCATACTTCAGACACAGCTTTCCAGTCTCTCACACCAGGGCTACCAGATAACCAGTGGCGAACAAAGGTTACTGGATGGCTCAACACTCCCCTGGCCAGGTGGAAAATCTCGCGGGTATCGAAAAGCATTGCAAGATGCGAAGATTTGTTCGCTGGAGCCCCCAACCGGTATTCCAGACCTAGTTGATGCGTGCGAGAACGAGATTGTGGATAATATAGGGCAATACCGGTATCTCTCGGTACTTATATTTGCGATTGTACCTGTAGTGGAGCTGTTCATAATATTGCTTAAGTGGGCGATGGAGCTCTTTGTAAGCTGGTGCCTGGGACGATTTGGAGGTCGTAGCTCCCGTCATGAGCAATGGCTGCGTGCTTCACCACTTCACCTTCAGCGACTGGCACTGTGCAAGGAAGGCATAGCCGTGAACTGGACGAAATGCGATAGTGCAGTACCGGGTGCAGAGTATGACATGAAATAGCCTGCTGTGGCTTGATTCGGCAAGATGAGATAGTTGGAGACCGAAGACAATTATTCTCACAGTCAAGCTGCAGCGCGTCGATGATTTACCCACGATGTTTTGTCATGTTCCTGGCATCGAGGTGCTCCTTTGAATGGAAGGCTCCATTTCCCCCATGGAGACTAACCCGAGAATTTCGTCTGGAGTAGATACCTGTCACACGCTAAGAGAGACACGCCGAAGATTTCAGCCGCACTAGAAATCCTCTCCACGTTGGAGCGAGCCGCTCGATGAGCTAAGACAGCATGACGAGATGGGCTAACGAAGAGTAGTCATTTTCCAGCACGCAGTTCAAGGAACAAGTACATAACAATGAACACTGGCAACCTGCCATACTTACGTTGAAAGGGAATATCATGATATACCACTAAGATGAAGCATTTTCTCGTTATGAATTAACATCAACCCAAATCATCGGTTAGGCATATCCGTATGGAAGGACAACGCACCACCCAGAATGACACGAAGAGAGCTCCAACACGTAGTGAGAGATTCAGACTGACAGAACTTGCTTGGATGGACTTCAGAAAGTCAGCAGTAGGTATGAGACGCTTTGTTGCCTTCCATCTGGTTTGAGCAGTGCGCGAATTGAATGCAATGACACGAGAAGAAAAGCACACTGATCGAAATTGACACCGCCTGGTACTACCAGAGCGTCAAGAAACGCTCAGCGTGGATGTCATTAATCTAGTATACAATGTAGGGTACGAGTCAAGACAAAAAACAAATGGAAAGAGAGACCAAGTCCACGGATTACTATCTACAGCCTACAAGAGCATGCGCCGAGGATCCTCGATATACTCCTTGACCTTCACCAGAAACTGTACAGCTTCTCTTCCATCTAACAAGCGATGGTCGTAGGTCAAGGCTAGGTACATCATAGGGCGAATAACAATCTGACCGTTTACAACGACTGGCTTATCCTTGATAGCATGGAGCCCAAGAACGGCCGTTTGAGGAAGGTTGATGATTGGAGTACCCATCAGAGAGCCGAAAACCCCACCATTGCTGATGGTAAAAGTGCCACCCGCCATATCCTCGATTGTCAGCTTGCTGTCGCGAGCCTAAAACCGCGTTAGCACGGAAAACACGAGTTGTCCTCAGGTTTTACCTTCTTGCCCAACTCTGCGATGGACTTCTCAATCCCGACAAGGTCCATTGTCTCGGTGTTTCGGACGACTGGAGTGACCAGTCCCTTCTCAGTCGCAACAGCCACACTGATGTCGACATAATCTCTGTAAACAATAGTATCTCCACCATTTGGCCCCTCAATGGAAGCATTGACAGCAGGAATGTCTCGCATTGCCAGTACCGAAGCTCGTGAGAAGGCACTCATGAACCCAAGTTTGACTCCTGTCTTCTTCAGAACTTCGTCCTTGTACAGTTTCCGGAAATCCATCAGCGATGACATGTCCACCTCATTAAAAGTTGTCAAGGAGGCCGCGGTGTTTTGGGATTGCTTTAGGCGTTCGGCGATCCGGAGGCGCATTCGGTTCATCTTGACCTGTAGAAATCATCAGCATCTGTGTAACTGGCTGTATACTCAGACACTGTACTCACACGTCGCTCTTCACGATTTCCGAAAGTTGGCGCAGAACTTGACCTGGACTCGGTTTGTTTGGGCGAAGATTCCTTCTTTGGCTCAGGCTTCTTCTCTCGGGGCGGTTGGGGAGCGCTTTCAGGCTTCGACTCCTCCTCTTTCGGTGGCTCTGGGTTAGAAGATGTTGATTGCTCCTTTGCTGCAGGCTCTTTGGGCTCCGAGCTTGCCTTCTCCTTTTCTCCGCCCTCTGGTGCTCCTCCAAGCTCCATGCGGACCAAGTCCTGTCCGACAGTAACAGTGTCCTCTTCGTTTGCGAGAAATTCCTTGATAGTGCCGGCTTCGGGGGCATTGACTGCAACATCAATCTGCAGTGGCCATAATTAGACATAATAGAATCAAGTCTGGACTAGGTCGACGTACCTTGTCTGTCTCAATTGTAGCAATCTCCTCATCCTGCTCGACGTAATCGCCAATCTGCTTCGACCATTGCTTCAGAGTACCCTCAGAAATCGACTCGGCCATTTCTGGCACCTTGACGACTTTGTCTGCATATGAGCGAAGCTGCAGGGCAATAGCTGGAAAAGGGTGTCGAAGCTGAGGCGCGCGAGAGGCACGCAGAAACCGCGAAGCTACCAGGACTTGCCTCGAAAGCATCTTGAGATAATGTGAGGGTAAGGAATGGGATGTGGAGAAATTGAAAGAAAGGAGGTAAAATCTTGAGCAGCTCTGTCAAAGAACAAGCCAGTATTCTGGCTTGGCCAGGATGCACGGGATACTTCCGACGAGCAGCCTCATCCAAGCGACGGCGCTACTGTAGCCGACGGTCCGACATCTCGCGACCAGCAGCTCCAGTGCAGCATCAGTCTGTACCGACCAGGGCTATCACAACTCAACTCAACGACTGCACCACAGAGAGAAGATCTCTTAGCCAAACATACAGAGGTCTATGATTCAAGGAATTGGTTCTGTGTTATAGCTCAGCAAGTGGCTGTCGAGCTTTTTCCGCGCGCACCAGGAAAATGTCTACGAAACAAGTAGTCTCGTACGCCCCCTCAATTTCAACACAATTGATGCAGTTGATGCTCAAGATACTGACCATGATCCCCTTTAGGTCGCTCTATCGGCGCTCACTGAAACTTTCACTTGACTGGGCCGTTCACAGGTACCTATGGAGGGGTCAGGCCATGTATATCAGATCATTGTTTGAGGCGAACAAGAATATCAAGGATCCCAGACAACAGCGGGCAAGTCTTACGAAATCACAGAATGGAGCAATAAGGCAGTGGCTGACATTGAAGATTAGGTCTTGTTCCAAGAAACAGAAGCAGAATTGGAGAAATGGAAGCACCCAGATCCATACCATGCGCCAACAGCACCTGGAGGTTCGTATTGCATTTAAGTACAGAGCTTTGATGAGAGCCTTAGTTACTAACAACTTGTGTAACCAGGTTCTAAGTTTGAGAGAAATCTGCCGGCTCCAATCTTGACTCGTAAGTGACAAAATTTCCCATAGTGTTCACATCTATACTAATGGATAGGCAGCTCCAGCTGAGATGACCAAATAGAAACTGCAAAGTGGAATTAGGAGTTACTTGAATTTGGGCATCTGGTTTATTTGTACATAGTATCAGTGGTCTCGATGGAAGACTTAATGGATGCAAGAAGCCTTCTTCCGCCGTTCTAATCTTCCTTAGAGCTCAAGGCGTTTCTGCTGTGAGTAAGCATTCCGGCGCTATAGTTCTGATCTTCGTAATTGCTCCGCCACGGTCTAGCACATATGTACAAACGAGATCAAAATAGACACGATCTCAAGATAAATGCATGCTACTATACTGAAAATAGCTTCACGATAGAATGCTATTCTGTGCCTCGTATGTGCCGTGTCACAATTTGAGGTTACAGCACTTTTATATGAGAATGCGACCGATCCGCCTCAAGTCCCAATCAAGATTCCTCAAGCAAATACATATCCGCCACATTTCGTCAGCCGAATATTCTTTCTCGAGTTGATACGAACAAAATCACAAGGCATGAATGGAAGTTGATATAGTTGTTTATCGGTTTCTCATAAGATTGATCTCAATGCAACCCTCATCCATTGCCATGGATTTTAATGTACAACCAGAACGCGGAAAAAGCAGCCATGAACCCAGACCCATACGACACCCCATTATCATGAAAAGCAGACCCTCAAGAAACCCAACAAGCCCAGCACAAAAGTTTATAGCTCTTGGCTGGCAGTCTTTCCACCCTTGGCAGTCTTCTTTGGCAGGAGGTCTGGAAGGCGCGTTAGCAAATATATGGACCGCGCAGGCATGAAGAAACGTACTCTGGTGAATGTTTGGCAAGACACCACCTTGTGCGATCGTGACGTGTCCGAGAAGCTTGTTCAATTCCTCGTCGTTGCGGATGGCGAGTTGGAGATGGCGAGGGATGATACGAGTCTTCTTGTTATCGCGGGCAGCGTTACCGGCCAACTCAAGGATTTCAGCCGCAAGGTATTCGAGGACAGCGGCGAGGTAGACGGGGGCACCTGAAGACGCGTTAGAAAATGAAGACTTGGCACAGAGGTCGAGGGAGCTTACCAGCACCAACACGTTGAGCGTAGTTACCCTTTCGGAGAAGACGGTGGACACGACCAACTGGGAATGCCAGACCAGCCTTGGACGAACGTCTTGTGAGAGTCAGTATAAGGAACGCGTTTGAAGTCATCCAAGATTAAAGTAGATGTTGGTTCACCACATTTGATGAGAAATCAACGCGACTTGAGGTAATAAACAAGCTGGAAAAGATGAATACTCACGATTGCGCGTTCTTTGAGCCGCTGGCCTTTCCTCCGGATTTGCCTCCAGTCATTTTGAGAGATGTGGTTGATTTGTTTGCTGAGAAAAGATGAAGTTGTTAATGTGAAATGGATGACGGACGTGGATGTTGCGTGGTGTGGTGGGCGAAGAAGTTGATGAAAGAAGGAAGAAGTTGCTCTCGCGGGGAGGTACGACGATTTATAGATCTATAGCCACGGCGCGCGTGATTTGGTTGGAGGTTCATCAAATGCAGGGGATAAGCGTGCGCAAGCCTCCTGATTGGCGTGATTCTCGTCCTCTGTTTTGAATCTCAGTGTTCGTATTAGGCTTAGCCCCGCACCAAGTGGCATCACTTCCAGTGACTATATTTTGGACATCTCCCACCCATTCCCATCTTTCTTTCCTCCTCCATCCATCATCAACGCCAACATCGACTCTCACCACCACGTCCATTTTCATCTCACTCGCACCCAGTTACTTCAATACAACACCTTTTACAACCTCCAACACCATTCAAAATGCCACCCAAGGCCGCAGACAAGAAGCCCGCCGCTGCTAAGGCACCAGCTTCGAAGGCACCAGCTACCAAGAGCGAGGCAGGCAAGAAGACCAGTGCAACCGGCGAGAAGAAGAAGCGCACGAAGACGAGAAAGGAGACTTATAGCTCTTACATCTATAAAGGTATGTTTCCAGAATTCAAAGTCGCGTCGAGGTCGAAACATTTGGCGCGTCAATAACATCACAATATCGCGATCAATGGATTCCACCAACGTCACTAAGTCGCGTCATTTTCTCTATACATCTACTAACTTTCAATTCCTAGTCCTCAAGCAAGTCCACCCAGACACTGGTATCTCCAACCGTGCCATGTCAATTTTGAACTCCTTCGTCAATGGTAGGCTGCACCACATCCTGATTGCGCGCGCATTACTAACGCGATCTGTAGACATCTTCGAGCGTGTCGCCACCGAGGCATCTAAGCTTGCCGCCTACAACAAGAAGTCCACCATTTCATCCCGCGAGATCCAAACCTCGTGAGTTCATATCGGTTGTTTTTTCTCTCTCTTCATGCGATACTAATTTTCTCTAGTGTCCGCCTCATCCTTCCCGGCGAACTTGCTAAGCACGCTGTTTCGGAAGGTACCAAGGCTGTCACCAAGTACTCCTCATCAACGAAATAAGTTGTTTTTAAGTTTGGGTTTTCATAAGGTGCCGGATCTGCTTTGGCTTTGGGTCATCTGGGTTGATGAAGTCGAACTCGTTTCGGGATCTTCGGGTCTCTTTTTAATGCGTTATGGATGGTCTGCTTTTTATGGGGGCATATGTCTTCACCGGTCTGCTTTTCGGGGGTACGTGGCTGTACAATAAGTCTTCGGATAGGGAAATCGAGAAGACAAAGAATCGAAACATGAACAAACACTTGCTGTTCCCAATTATATGCTGTGATGTGTTTGGAACCTTTAGTATCTCTACAAAAAACGCGTAGTATCGCGTCGAAAGCATATTTCTGGAGTGCCCAGAACTTGTTGAATATTAAAGACTTTCTATTTTCAATATCAGGTTCGACGCCACGCTAGAATACATGAACTCCAATACCCTTCCCAGTTACAAAAATTATCCCAATCCTGCCTTGGTGGTTTTGACAACATGTGAAACAGGAAGCATTATACCCTTGTTGTTGAGAGCACCCAAGGCTGTACCGGAGCTCCAACCCATCTTTTCCAACATGGCCCGACCCTTGTTGTCAGCACCAAGCTCAGGAGCAGATCCTCCAACGATATCACCATCTCTGTAACTAACAGCTGCGCGGTTGATTCCACCTGTCCCAGCAGTATGCTTTACTCCACTGCCTCTTTTACCGCCCACGTCCATTCGTGAGAGGAAACGGCGAGAAATTCTTGCATCAACCTTGGCAAAGTCACCATCGTTGAAGGCCAGAGTCCTAGACGTTCTGTAAAGAACTGGGAAGCGGCTATCACCATTACCAGCAGACTTGGACTTTAGGTGGAAAGCATTCGCAAGCTCGTGAACGACTTTGCGGTCGGCTTTGCTCATGGGAGGTAGTGAGAGTCTGAACCGTCAGCTGAATGTCTCTACATGGGGGAAATGAAACTCACGTAGTATTGCCACCCATGAGGAACTTTTTGATCTCCTCCTTGACGGCATAAATGCCGATACCTTCCTTATACTTCTGCTTCATATTGACCTTGCCATTCTTGTTACCAATCACACCTTGAGCTCGGAACTCCTCACGCTCCTGCTTTCTCTCCTTCTTCTTCTCACGATCTTTGACCCACGCCGCCTGCATTGATGCCTCAAGCTCAGAGTCGGAGATGTCTAAAACTAGCTTGCCTTTACGACCCTTCGGCTTCTTTCTCAGACTTGGTCGATCAAAATCCATGATGTCGAATCCATCGTAAGCACTGGCTAGAAGCGTTGCAGACGGGAATTCTCCCTTTGCCCGATTAGGTCCCCGAGGAGGCTTGTTTGCTGTCACCCTGGAAATGCCGAAAGAGCGCCTGTATCCTCGGGTAACAATATTATCATCTTCTTCATCCTCGTCAAAGAGTAATATCTCGTCAGAGCCCATACCAAGTTGCTCCTGCTTGGACAGCAATCTCGCAATTCTTTCGTCGCTCATACGGTCAATCTTTCTCTGGATAAGATCTGCATCATCGTCATCTTCCTCTACTTCGACATCGATTTCGAGGTCGTCACCAGAGATACTGCTGCTTCCCTCACTATTTTGGAACTCTGCCATGAGCTTTTCCTCCGCTTCAAAGGTTTCAATGAAAGTCAGCGCAACCACACTTGTCAAGGTACTTGCAGGTACCCAACGAGCCTCATCTACCATTTGATCCTCCCAGACGACAAGATACTGGGTGCCAGAAGGGCGTTTTCTCCTAGAAAGTATGGCTTGTACTTCACCCATGACACCATCAGAAGTACCGACACCATCAAAGTCCTCAATATCCGACCGATCCCATCCTTCTTGATCTGCAGGTGTCGAGACCGTGACTTGTTCTCCAGAAGAAGCCTCGGTATTTTGCCATGCCTCGTCCTCTATGCCACCCAAATCACGCTGGTTGAATGATTTAAACATGGGGTCTTCCGCATCCATATTTGCTATATAATCGGCGATCATGGCATCGTCTTCAATTCTTTCTGCGGCTTTGTTTTTGTTGCGACGATTGCCCTTGTGACCACGACCCCTACCATTCTGAGGAAGAATCGACTCAAACTCAACATCCTCTTGTTTTGTGGACGATAGTGCCGGTGGTGACAAAGAACGAGCTTCGGTAATGACTTCTTGGAGCAGTTTAGTCTGCTCGTGAATTCTATCGTCGACAATTCTGATCTTTGCGTCTATATTCTCGACGATCTTCCTAGCAGGTTGTGAAGGCTGCGGAGGCTTGGACACGATTCTGACTTGCTGGTGCTGGTGCTGGTCACGACCACGTCCACGGAATAAAATGACCTCCTCGCTCGAATTAGACGGGGTAGGTGAGGGGGAGCGCAACTTTGGTGGAGACATTCCAGTCTGGACCTGACCGCTGCCTTCGGTGTCAACAATGAAGTCGAAGACCTCCGTATCGATTAACGTCTTCACGGATGAGTAGGCGGGCTCCTCGAATGCGGCAACATCTTGCGCCACCTTCTCCTCTTCCTCATCTGCTTTCACTTCACCACCATTCGGCTTCGGAGAACCCAACGTCATGTCTGCAAGGGCAGCTTCGGCATCGTCGGGCTCGGTGGGCACAATTCTGCCAGCACTCACGAAGCTGACCTTGCTATCTCGAAGTTTTTGGTCGGTATTCCAGAATGACAGGTGGCGTTCGGTATTACGAGCCTCTTCTTGAAGTGTGAAGTTTCCTGGGTATGGTTTAGTAAGATTCTATGATACAACTCCAGCTCAAAACCCTCTCACCATGACCTTTTCGAGGCGCAGAAGTGCCACTGAACGGTGCAAACGACGTATCGAGGGCTTTTCGACTGCCGCCTTGAGGACCTTGAGAGTTCCCCCTCTTCGAGGCTTTTTTGAATCGCGGCATAGCGGGCAAGCCTGGTTATTCTTGACAGTCTTGTAGTATGCTGACGAGAAACATGGCCTCCTCCATGTACTCGTGGGGAAGAAAAGTGATCGTCTTGGGAGAATCATCATCTTTATTTTCATGCACGATACTACCTATCCACCTAAATACCCTAAGCTCTTGGCGTGGCCTTATCGCCGATAAGGACTTTGGTAGCAAGCATCCTCACGCCGGCAGAGTTGGAGAGTGCCTAGAAGTCGGGTTGCGTTTGGTTGCCATCGGATGAGATGTTATTTCTGAGCTTTAAAGTATGTACGTTCCTTCTGGTAATATGAATTTGGGTTTCTATTACAGTCACAGGATCTTCTCCTGCTGCCGCCACACGCGAAGGCAAGTCCAGTGACACAGTCATCCTGTACTTGCCCCCAAACCTGGAACCCACTCAGCTCAGCAAGCTCACCTGCAAGCACAGATCCCAGTGACTCCAGCGAGTCCAGCTTCTGATCCTCGTAGGTTCAACAAAGGTATCCCACCGCCGCCATTCATTTTCTCCTCCACCCCGTCTCTCCGGTAAGTATCGAAGCTCACGTCGGATAGTTGGGTTAAGCTTGCGTCGGTACCTCAGTATCAGTGCTACATTTCGCGATCCCTTCTTGGCACTGTTGTTGCCCCACGTTCCCCGCCATTCTCGTCAACGTCGATGCCTTCGCCGTCCGTCCTCGAAAGCCACGGAGCGTAAATATGACGACTGTTGACTTCGGAAAATACAGGCGGATTGTGCAGTACTTCTGGGATCCTGAGCCAACAAATGATACAGCGGCACAATCCCCAATATGGTGCCTAGGCAAGCAGTACAAGGTCTCGCCCAAACTCCAACCACTTGACACGACATCCGCTTCTCTTCCCGACATAAAGTCGGCGTCTACGGAGCCTGCCCGTCCAGCAAAGCCCGCCACTCCACCGGATAGTACAGCGAGTAGCATAGACTCTGGGCTGGCATACGATGAGCATGACGGAGGTGGAGGGTGGCCTTTGTCGTTCCTAGACGATTTCGAAGCAAGGATATGGCTCACATACCGATCCAACTTTCCAACCATCCCAAGATCCCAAGATCCGAAGGCTTTGTCCACGATGTCCTTGTCAGTTCGGTTGCGGAGTCAGCTCGTCGACCAAGCCGGGTTTACATCTGATACTGGATGGGGTTGCATGATACGGTCCGGGCAGAGTCTGCTCGCAAATGCTCTTGTTATGTTACGAATGGGAAGAGGTCAGGAACTCCGCTCTATACTTTTTGTTTCTTCAGCTGATGGCTTCTATAGAATGGCGTCGGGGCTCTACGAGTCAAGAAGAACGAGAGATTATCTCATTGTTTGCGGACAACCCTAAAGCCCCGTACTCAATACACAAGTTCGTTGAGCATGGAGCTACCGCTTGTGGGAAACACCCTGGGGAATGGTTTGGACCCTCAGCAACGGCACGCTGTATTCAGTGAAGATCCTTTACTCTGGTAGTATGCAGTCATCACTAATTCTTGCCAGAGCTTTAACGAATGACCATGAGTCTTCTGAGTTACGAGTTTACCTGACTGGTGACGGTTTAGACGTATATGAAGACACGTTTATGAGGATTGCAAAGCCTGACGGTAAATGTTTTATGCCGACCTTGATTCTCGTAGGTACGAGGTTGGGTCTCGACAAAATTACACCCGTTTATTGGGAAGCCCTGAAGTCCACTTTGCAAATGCCACAGTCGATAGGAATAGCCGGGTGAGTCTCTCGCATATCATTTAGATGATTGCAGTCTATCTGATAAATCAGCAGTGGTCAACCTTCCTCGTCACATTATTTCATCGGCGTCCAAGGACAGTACTTCTTCTACCTAGATCCCCACCAGACTCGTCCCGCCCTACCATTGCCGGAGAGAGTCGAGGATTACTCACAAGAAGATATAGAGACCTGTCACACGCGCAGGTTACGCCGGATCCACATCAAAGAGATGGATCCCAGTATGTTAATCGCCTTTCTAATCCGAGACGAGAAAGACTGGAAGGAATGGCGACAAGCAGTTCGGGAGGTACAAGGAAAGGCCGTTATTCACGTGGCAGAGAAGGAGCCCCCGTTCCAAGGACTGGGAACGGAGCGAGAGGGGGCTATTGACGAGGTCGAGACTTTCGATGATGAAGATGATGATACCATATTGAATGCTTGAGGATTATTAGGGAAAGATGAGTGGCGTTAGGAATTTATGAGCTTCTCTTAGGCCTGGACTCTCTGCTGGCACGGTTTAATTCGAGCTGGCACATGTCCCAGCAGCTGCTCTCGGGAGAGTTTTAGCGATCGAATATATAATTTGTTACTACCAGCAACCGTAGATGTACGGCACTTGCACAGTCGGGGCTGGATGATGTAAGTTGTTGAGACGTGGCAGTTTTGTCGTCCTCGATGCAGTTCGTAATTATGTGTCGTTTTGATGTGGTGGCTTGCCGCTACATGGCATATGGAACCCAACATAGGAATTTATTGCTATTGCGCTGCATTCCTCTTTGCACCCCAATGGGCTGCATTAGCAACATTTTCCAGCAATCTATGAGGAGTTTCGAATTGACTTGATGAATTTTCTCGCACGGCGAAACCCGACTGTACTACCTGTGTTCATGGTGTGTGACTTGAATCAGAGCTGCGGTTTGCATTTGCGGAGATTTCAACCTACGAACGTGCAGCATCTTGCTAAGGCTATAATATGCCTTTCCATTGGGCTGTTGTTGTACACATCGAGCATAACTATTCTTACTTATTTCGAATCCACTAGGCAACAGAGGTTCGGGTCATGGAGATCTAACTCCATCTCAACAGTCCAGTCTACAGAAGTCACAAACAGTATTCGCAGTACCTTCATCGGCTCCATCTACTGAATAATGAATTGGCATAATATCCAGTCCCGGAATTTATCTTCTCTTCCTTGAAACCTAAGATAGGAGCTACCACCTAGCGTGGTCATCCTGTAAACAACATAGCTGCTAGCCTCGTTCATTGCTGCTCCGAGTAAGAGGGGGAAAGCCTCTTGGGAAGGATGACGTGTTTATCATGACTGGAAGCAGCTCTGTAGTAATCCTGCAGTGGGGAATGTTTGTATTCAGTGGTATTGATTTTCAAAATTGGAGAATACTGGTAGTGAAGAATCTTTTATGTGTCTGTTGCTGATTGAGAGTACAAGCCGGATTCTTCGTTCCCCCACTCCTAAAATATACTTTGGACATTTACAGCTAATTCCTGAACTTGAATCGACCTAGCAGGAACAGATTCATTGTATCGTTATTCATCACTTCCTTTCGGATGATCGTCATCACAAGGTATGCATCAGTACTGCACAATACCGATGTCTGTCTCTACTATCGCAGCTTGTATAAAAGAATAGAAAGGAGAAAAGTGACATCGTGAAACCCCCAAGGATGGAAGCATCTATACTGAAACCATCTGATACGTTCTCACAGCAGATCGTAGTTAGGACCAGTTGGGTCTCTTGTGCATTAAGCTTGGGATAATATCGAAAGGGTGGAGATCTTAGAGGACTCAAGGCCTGTATGCATCAGTGTAGAGAGAAGATTTTAGCAGTCAAGTATCCCGTCAAATCCACATAGAAGGCTGCCTTTGAAGCTTGCATGATGCCTTTCTCTCGAACTTCTATATTTATGGCGCACAGTTCCTGTTGCAGTGAGACTATTTTAAATCTTCTGCTTAGGACTCTGGTAGTATCGAACTTCAAATTCTCTGCACGAAGATTCATGTATCGTTTGTATCATCATGCAAATGCCCACGGATAGACTAAACATAAACGCTTCTGTGTACGCTATGTACAACACGTAGTACAATACAAAGGCTGTCTTGAGGGGTATCATTCGCAACTTCCTGACGCTTCTTCTTTTTTGTAAATAAGCTAACCAGCTCTTTTACATTATAGCACAATTTGCTTCGGAAGGATGGACGTAATAGGGTCCAAATTTCTCAATGCCGTCCGCTGTCTCGTTGGCAATTTGCTTTTGGAGGACTTCTTTAGGGAAAAACTTCCTGAGATATCTCTCTAGGTCCCTGTCGATGCTGTCTGGAAGATTCCAGCGTTAGCACGTGCGGGAGAAATGGCCTACTTCACCTCGTGGCCCCTGATAACTTGTCGCCAGGGAGCAATGATTCTGAACCACTTCCGTGGGGAAAAGAGGGATAAATACCTGTATCAGCTTTCAAAATGACATCTTCTCGGCAAAGAGGACAATTCCGCTTCTTTTGCCTCTGCAGAAGAATCGTGCAGCGAATGCAAACAAGGTGCTTACACTTCATTCGGATGGGCCGCCAGCAAATATCACAGCATATTGGACAAGCAAAGTCTTCAACCTGGGGAACGATCTGGACAAGTTCCTGAGAGATCTGACTGCAAACAGCCTTTGCCATGGACCCGGGCATGACAGAATCCGTCTGAATAAGCTTCGGGAAAGTTCTCGCTGCACCGAGATTTGTCCTCTTGTCAAACTCTAGAGCCGGTCAGCAAACGCCACAGTGATAACTCGGAGAAACTCACTCTTCAAAATCTTTGTGATGGCTCGCTGATTGATCTCTTGGAATTTGAGGTTCTGGAGGATTCCAAGATTGATCTGTATAAATTGTTGCAATGCAGTGTGACTGGCTTTCAGTTTGAACAAGCCCATAATACCTCTTTTGACCACCTCTGTTTGGAACCACTGCAACTTCTGAGCAGCCATAGCACTGGTTCGACTACCATGATCATATTCGTTGGTGGAGAAGAAGACACCTGCTTGTAGGTATAGATCGAAAAGGTCTCTCCATCTGTTAAGATCACTTTTATGAAATGACGAGGTCTTGGGCCTGGGGAGGTTAGCACTGACTTGAGAGCTCACCCTAATGGGAATTTCCTAGACGCCCTCACCTTGCAACCTCGGTGATAGATATAGATAATGCTTGGATTTCGTCCGCCAAGACCTTTTGCTCATGAGCCTGTAGACTATCAAGAGAGTTAACATCACCCTGGAGCAGACCAAAAAACTCCGCATCGAAACGAAGTTGCACGTCTATTCGCCGAAGACCTTCAGGTTCATCTACAATTGTGGTTCTACGTCTGAGTCAATACGGATCCCAAAAAATCAAGCAACTTCAGAAAGGGTAGGGAATATCCGGATTGTGCCCGGCAAATACATACTCTTCCGTCGCAAGGCTATCTATTTGACCATCCAAGTCAAATGATCCGCGATCTGTATTTCCATGGTGTCTTGACGCTTGTGCCTCGAAGTAGCGCCGCGTGGCTGGTGATAACTCCGCGTCGACAGGAGTTCCATCCTCGATATTGATGAAGAAAGTAAGCTTTGGAATGAACCTTTCTCCTCCCTCGAAGTCATATTGAAAAGCAACGCCTGTTCCGTTTCCGATGCGGTCTTCTTCATCTGGACTGGATTGGTGCAGCTGAGCGAGAGTAGCCGAACTCAGACCGAGGCTTTCGAGTTCCTCTTGGATCTATTTCAGTCAGAACATATGTCTAAGTCCCCAGAACAATCACCAAGTAGCTCAAAGCAAGCTTGCATACCTTCTTCAGGAGCTTCTTGAGTTGTCCGTAGGGAATTGCGGTTTCTACCCACGTGGCGGGATAGCCTTCCTTTTCCAAAGCGTCTCTAAACTCGCGACCGAACTTCATTCTGTCAATGCTGAGATGTTGTATCACTATTCACAAGTGAATTTGTACTCTTGTTTGTCAAATATTGAGCGCGTGACGAGTTGCTGGTCCTGGGAGCTGAGGTGGGTGGCAAAGCTGCAGGTCAGCTGGCCGAAGACACAACGTATACCAACGCGTTTTCATCAAAGGCAGGTGCCCTGCATAGACGTAAGTTCGTTGTATGGTAAGAGGATCTAGGCACGAGAATTTGCAAGAGAGAATAAAACATTCAGCGAGGCGAAGTTCGGTGAATGTGGAATTGGGGTGGCAAAGCTCATCCGCAGCCTTGAGGGCCCTGTGAGGTGGGGAGTGGTGAAAAGAATTTGAGCTAGACGAGCAGGTTCGTTGCAGTAGTTACTCACTCTGAAAATTGTATCAAGATGAAAGGGTTCTGCGTGTCGTATGCCCTAAAGCAGAGGCACTACTGTATGGTCGATGGAGCATTAGCAAGGTTTTTTCTTGTAATACCACATCTTGGCAGGACGAAGACGACGACGAAGCTCATGGACTTACTGATCGTAATGCCCTATCCTTGAGAGTAGAAGAAGGTGGAAGAGCATCGACGGCTAAGGTAATTCTGCGCGGTCATATCATAAATATGATGGAGGCGTGGATGTCCAGAGTAACTTAACAGCGGCAATACCTGTAATACTCCTTGCTGCGGTCGTCTTCCTCATGGGACGATGAGGAGAAACTTTACTCCCGGAGAAGGAGAAGCAGAAGCAGAAGCAGAAGCAGAAGCAGAAGCAGAAGCAGAAAAGAAGCAAGGAGAGGGTTCTTGGTGGATTCGTGCCCAGAGAAGTGCGGCCCAGAAGCCCGGTCGGTAAGGTAAGGTAAGGTAGGTAGGTAGGCTGATGGGGAAGGTAAGTTAAAGGTAAGGTACACCGTACAGGACAAGGAACCTTCCAGGTTAGGTACCTTAGGTAGGTATAGGTAGGTAAGGTAGTACCTAGGAAGGAAAACCAGCGGGGCGGGGTGAAAAAGGAAGCGAAAACTCGGGGTAGTTTTACCTGTACAGTACGAGAGTACGTAAGGTACCTTACCTACCTGGTACCTTAGGTACCTTAGGTAATTTAGCTGGGGTAGGTAATTTATCTAAAATAGGTGAGGTACCTAAGGTGGTAGGTAGGTATCGTAAGGTACCTTTCGTACCTCAGGGGGTACCTAATGGAAAGGACTAACTGTACCTACTACTGTACAGGTGTGGAGGGGAGGTCTCGAAGGCCCACCGCCACGGGAATACTCCAGGCATTTTCATTGGTCGGCCGCGACAAATCAGTGGAATGGAATTGGAAGTCAAGTCACGGCCACCTGCAGCATACAGTACCTATAGGTACCTACCTACGAGTAAGGTAGGTATAATAACTTATCCTTGGAGGCATGCATACTGTATGGCATGTTCCCCACCGCCAAGCTGCAAGCCTTACCTTACCAAAGGTAGATTTACAAGTACCTTACTGTAGGTAATATTGTCACTCTCCCAGAATCATACCTACGAAGGTACCTAGGTAGTAGGTACCCACCTGCACCCTAGCTAAGGTAGCTTGCTGAAGGCCTGTACATCCAGCTTCCTCTTCTTCCTCCCCCCGCGGTCGATAAGGCTGACTCGGCTGATAAGCGGCCCCTCCCCAGCCCACCGAGCCACCCCAGCGAGCCCAGCAGGGACCGGCCGCTTATGCCTTCGCCTTCGCCTTCGCCTCCCGTCTCGCTTTGTCCCCCAATTGAGGTATTGACGTCGATTGACTTGACTTTCGAGGCGAACCAGACGGGACGAAAGCCAGTCAGTCCATCCATCCAGGCCAGGCCCAGCTCAGTCCACTCTACATCTTTTGTTAACAAACATCGAATCCGACACGCTCTCTTGTCAACACTCCCACGTTCGCCTCTCCTCAGAATGTCGACAATCAGTGGCAGGCGAATTCGCGGTGGAGGAGAACCCCTCATTTTGACGAGCCTCCCGGACGAAGTCCTCCAACATATTCTATACTTTTGCCCCCCAAACGACGTCTTGCATGTCCAGAGTCTTTCGAAGCGCTTCAACAGACTCGGTAATGAACCATTGCTTTGGAGGTATCACTGCAGGACAGGTTTCAAGTACTGGGATGCGAAGCATCGGATTCAAAAGAAGTTCTCGCAGAGGGTTGGAGATGTGGACTGGAAGCATTTATACATACACCGGAGGAAGGTTGACATTGCGACAAGTGGCCTTTTGAATAACATTCTAGAACGCCAAACAAACCGCATATCCAAGTTCATAGCTATATCCGAGTTTGGCTATGATGCGAAAGACACCTTGCTACGACATTGCCGTACCGATGACTCCGCTGAAGATGTCCTCGCCAGACGGTATGTTGCATGACAACGCTAGAATACAGTACCTGACTTATGTATAGATACTACGCTAACTCTGTCCTTGACCATGTCCACAGAGCCAATGCATTGGCAGAATGGGAGAGGGTCGTTAACGGGGAAAAGGTACCGCTAGAACGAGCACTGGGATCATTCGACTTGTTTGTACTACATGATCAACATGGCGATCTTCTTGAGGTACGATGGTTTCGTCAGGCGCCCTTTAATATCTTACTAAATCTTTCTTCGAGATCTGCGACATATTGGACAATCTTGCAACACAATTCCGCGCTGAATATCCCAGCTTCCTTCAATTCTCTCAGCGAAGGACGGCCACTGCTGCGGTTGCATTCCTCCGACGTCGTAATCTCACCGGCCTCTCCTCCGACATAGCATACAGAGATCTACAGAATAACTACATCGGGATAGCTCTGCAAGACGAGGACCACCCATCCTTGCCCCTGATATCTGTCGCCATATTTTGTTCATTGGCCCAAAGATTGGGTCTCGATGCCAGATGTTGTGGAATACCAAGCCACGCACACGCGATGGTCATACCTCCACAAGGTGAGACACTTGATGGTAGAGATTTGGCATCAGAAGCCACACCTGCAGATCCAATGTTTCTCGACCCATATCGATCGGACGAAGAGGTCCCCCTTGCTAGCCTGCGCGTAATGCTATCCGAGTGGGGAATCCCGCAGCAGCAGGTCTCTGGGGTACTGACAGATTCTACGACTGCTGATGTCGTACTTCGTACCTCGAGAAATATTCTAGCAACTGTGCAGGAATTTAGAGCACATGCTACGAGTACGGAGAATACAGGACATCCAACAATTAGACTTCACGCCAATCCTTTTGCTGATCTGGACAACGCCTTCTACTCGGCACTCTGGGCACATTTTATGTTTGGTAACCCTACACGACGACCAGGAAGCACTGCTCAGAGTCAATTTATACCTTTAATCTTAGAGAGATTTGAAAGGCTATATCCCATGGATGCTTCTCTGATAGAAAAGCACGTAATGCCACTTTACGGCAACCAATTTGGTGGCGAGCCTGGAGAGCTCCATGAAGCAGTACGTGTCGTTCGAGCGGCAGACCAGACCCCCAAGCAGCTCCGTCGACGCAGCACGCCAGCCTCAAAAGACGGCGTGAAATACAATATCGGCCAGGTTTTCCGCCACCGACGCTACGCATATACCGCGGTCATCACGGGGTGGGACATCGAATGTGGCATGGATTCCAATTGGATAGCCCATAACAACGTTGATTCTTTATCCCGAGGAAGAAATCAGAGTTTCTACCACGCTTTGTAAGTGTTCCTCTCCTTAGTGTTCCTTGTGAACGTAGCTGACGGACAGGACATTTAGCGTCGAAGATACCAGTATCCGCTATGTGGCGGAAGAGAACATTGAGATCATCAAGCCGGAATTGCCGATTTCGCTGATGAGCCTTGCAGGGAGGTATTTCAAACGTTGGGATAAGGAGAAACGCGTGTTCATTTCGAATGTAAGGGACGAATATCCTGATGATTAAACATCCATACCCGTCGTCATGACTAGATATAACTTAGGTACTGGATACAATGTGATACCTGTGTCTTACAACAATAAACAATCTCAGTGATGGGTGTCGGGTCTTGAAAAACGTCTCTTGGTGATTGATCAGTGCGTTGCTTTCATAGTGAAAATGCTTGAAAATCTATCATTGAATGTGTGGAGTTACATCCCAGTCCCATTACTGCTGACATTTGAAAATGAAGGATGACATTGTTAGAAAAGGAAGATACATCCATCCTTGCTCGGTGTTCTGCAGGCGCCCGACAGCTATGTAAATGCAATTATGTAACGCAAACCATCACCCATATATCCATCTCCAAATGTTGTTGCTTTTTTCTTTCTCGTTCTCGACAAGATGTCATCAACATGCTATAAGACACCAACAAGTAATTTTCATGGATTTACTGACCACAGTTGCGGCTATCCTGCACCCGAAAGTTCGGGAAATATGTTTCAATTGAAAGTGATGTAGCCGAGACAATTCAATTATTGTCCTTGGTCTCCTGCTCACGGATATCATCAACGATACCCCTGAGAACACCAGCATCAGCAAGTGTCTGCATAGCTCTGCAAAGCAAAGGAGTATGATCAATCTTCTTTGTCTCAGCTTGCTCGTCCTCCTGACTAACAATGGCGAGCTCCTGCACGTAGATGTTGCGAAGACGGCCCTGCTCGTTGACCAGCTCACGGTACAAAGCCATGATCTTCTCGGGGTCATTGCCAGCTATGGAAATCTTGGCAAGTTCAGATGCCGAAGGAAGAGACTTATCGACGAGCTCTTGGGTGATCTTACAAAAGTTGTGAAGATCACTGGCTGTGGCTGCCGTACGAGCTTGAAGGAGGAGGTCCCAGTCTGAGATTATTGAGGAGAGAATCTTCTCCAGTGATTGGATCAAGTGTAGGTTGCTGGCCAGCTCCTCCATGGCTACCCGAGTTGGGCTCTTGCAGAGGGACATGAGGGAGTACTCAACGCCATCGTCTTGGTACTGCAGAGCGCGATCCATGATATTAGCGCTTGCGACTTCGATCCAGTTCTCTCCATTTTCACCTTATTCGCGTTAGTCAGATATGTGCTTAGGTGCTGGAAGGTTTACCAAGCTTGACGGGCTCCCGTTGCAAGCCATCAAGTCTCCAAACTTCGCCTCGAATAGGAACGTATGCGATGAAGTGATAGCCTTCCTCTTCATCCTTGTATATCTGCTTCCTATTTTTGTTGGCATGCGACTTCTTGTTGGCTGGCGCCTTCTTAGGGCCCTTTTTGCCCTTTATCCATTTCTCGTACTCATTCTTTAGAAGAAGATCAGCGTTGAGGATATCGATCTTGCTGAGAGCAACGTCAGTAAATGCTCTCTACTATTACTACTGCCTGTTAAAGAAACGAACTCACCGGGCGAATGAGTTGTGGATGCTACGGATGAAACCATTCTCACCCAGCCTCTTTCCTCGATAGGGCGGTTTCAACTTTTCAGTGGCTTCCTTAAATGTTTGCAAATCCTCGCCAAAGTCAAGACCCGGGACGTTCATAACAATATTGAGGAGGGCAACAGTTGCACAAGCATTAGTGGTGGTCTACTCTTTGATCAACTGCGGTAGTGTAGTATTAAAATAAGGAGTCTCGTTACCTGATTTGCAAACCATACGTGCTTGGGACACTTCTGGGAATCCTCATGATTTTCTGCATCATGTTCATGGTATTTAAACAAGAAGATCATTCCATAGATCGGCTTACTGAGATGAATCAGCTGGATTGACCTCGATGCCTGGAAGGTAGGTGCCTCACGGGACGTATGCCATACACTCCTCATCTAGACCGAATACCTCCTGAACCTTGACATCTTGAACGCCATACTTGCGCAAGATGTAATTGAAGAGAGCCTGAGGGAGATACATTCAGCATCATGTATCCCGGCGGTGGAGGCTGAAGCGAGCGTATCGACTTGGAAACTTACAGGATCAGATTCGAGTTCAGCCCAACCTTTCCACTTGCAGCGTTCAATTTCAGTCAACGGCTGCATGGTTTCACCAACAGGATCAGCTGAGGCGGTAGGTGGCTCCTTCCTCTTTCGGAGGCTTCTAGCAAACATGTTGGAATTGGTGAATTCGGGATCTGCCTTAACTGTGATATTCCAGGAGTCAACTTGAGTAGTAGAAGCTGTGGGTTTGACTGAAGCAGTATTGTCTTGAATCTCGGGAATCCTAGATTTTGCTGGGCGTGTGTCGGGTCGAGCACTCTTGCTGCCATCAGGGGTATCGCATTGAACGGTTGAAGCTTGTATGCTCTCTCCAAGTGGAGAGTCAAGAGACTGTTGCCCGGCAAGACTGCCAACAATCAAATCCGCGATGGTTTCCATATGGAGCTCACTCCGTAGGTAAAGGAGAAACAAGGATTGTTCAGTTATGCCGAATTTCGAACCAGATTGAACTTCGCCAAATTGCTGCTGCAAAGAATTGTGATCACTCAAAGATGCAGTGTTTAATTGACTGCAGAGAAGAAACAGAACAGGTGTAGATAGAGCGACGGAATACAAAGATGTTGGTCGCTGAAGAGTTGAAAGAAGTGGCATGGAGTGGAAAGACACATGATATCCATTCATCTCACGTTCAGGAGTGAATTTGAAGATCAGATCGGGCCAACTTATCCAGCCGCAAAGATGAGGTTGAATGGATGAACCCAAGCTACCTGGTACCTGGCCTCGGAGGTAATCGTGGAAATGTACCTACCTACTTTACGTAGGTACTTATACTGGTAGAGCGTAGGTACTGTACCTAGCTCCTAGGTAATAATACAGTCGGGAGTCCGGCTGCAGGACAAAAGTTAATCCGTGCCAAGACCTGCATAGCCTTTGCCTTTCCAGCCTTCTCTGTGACAAAGGCAAGCTTCGCGTCAATCTCTGGAGGACGCGAGAACTAATAAAATAAAACCATCAACAAAACAAAAGCCAATACCTACCAATCGACATAGCCAAAAACTGCACGCGATATTGCGCCGTCTTTGCCAGTATCGCCTCGCATCGCATCTCTTGTTCTAATCTACGTTTTCCACATATCCTATCTCAGCAACCTGCGCACCATCTGCATGTAACGAATGTACACATTGTGAAGGTCTTTACATTGTTGCTGGACGCAGTCGCGAAGCCTATTTTTTCATCCTCAACTCCTGCGTGTCCAGAGGGGCCTGGAAGAGTATGCCATGAACGGAACACCTCGCCTGCGGTCTGCGTACCCATCTACTCCAAAAAGTGCCCACCGAACTCCTGACACGCCAGATTCCACTCAAGATGCTCCCAGAGTACGATCGCCCTTACCGAATCTCCCAACGGCCACGCCGACAGCTGCAGCTCCTACATCGAGCAGTATGCCGGTAATTCCAGTCAATCTCATCGATGCCCCGACTCAGCGGATGTGTACATTGGCCATCTACGGAATCCTTCTCGCCTGGCGCATCTACGATTGGTTGACGCTCATGCAGGAAGAGACATCTTCCCTTGGCTATTTTGTCAAGTGGTTCGTTTTGGATGGCATTTTCTTATATGGCATACCTCTTATGCGCATACCATGGCTAGAATGGTCGGAAACAACGTCGTCGCTGGCCTGGGCACTGCATACTGGTATGGATGCCATGCTGATGTTCCGTGTCCCCGTGAGTTATTATTTTTGTGGTTCTTAAGACGCTGCTAATATCGGAGCAGCTCCCGATTGAAGGATGGCTCATGGCCATGGCCAAAACCTTCTTCGACAGTGAGATCTCCGTTTCGGAGCACAGTGTTCGGGCTAGCAACATCTTACACAACTCGTCTCTGATTATGGGCAAGCAGATTATCAATGTTTTGCCGGAAGGGTCTGTTAACTTCAATATCCTACTGCCTTTGATCCCGAACTGATGTCGGATTAGGACTGTTACTATGAACCCAGAGCAACTCTCCTTCTGCATTGACAGCACCAACCCCGTGGCCAACATACCACTGTATTTCAACCAGACCAAACCGAAGTCTGTCGAGTTGATGAGGATCGACTTCGACACAAACCTGAACGAAACTATTGTGCTGTCGCATAAAGAAATAAATAATGCCCGAAAGACCAACATCGACTCGCTCTTAAGCATGAACTACCTCGCCAAGAAACCCGGCCTTTACAGGCTGCAGAAGGTCATGGACAAGACTAAACTGGAAGTACAGCGCAGAATGTCCGATACACTTGTTGTGACCTGCCCCAAGGCTGTCGTCAAATCGATGGGCGGAGATCGATGCCTCGGCGATCTCTCTGACTTGACCATGGAAATTGAAGGCACTCCACCACTTAAGATCGTCTATAGTCGCACTGTGAATAGCGACCAGAGTGTGCACCACTTCCAAAGCATACAGCCAGAGAACTTTGCGTCTCCTCTCCTTGGATATGCAGGCGAAGGGACATTGGTCAGAGCTGGCTCTCGGGATGTTTCATGGGCACGTTCTCATCGTATCACAGTACCGTTGAATGAGTCAATGATGCCAAGCGGTCTATGGCTTTACTCAGTTGATGAGATCCACGACGCTACGGGAAATGTGGCGAACTTTTCCTCAGAGTTGGATGACATCGACCATGTCTATCCCAAAGGTGCACATCTTGAGCAATCGTTTACGGTTCACGAAAGACCCTTCGCCAAGCTGACGACCTGCGATTCTCGAAATCCGTTGAGGGTGGCCAATGGATTGACCGCGCAGCTGCCAGTCGGATACTCAACTCCGGGGCGGACTCCTGATGACACCTCGCACACCGTCACATGGAAATTTTCACCCCTGGATTCATTGACCAAGAGTGGAGACCATGGCGATGAAGTTGTGTTAGAAGAATTCTTCGCTAAAGCAGCCCACAACACACCAACTATCCGCCAACCTGGACTCTACACCTTGACAGGAGTAAGGAGCAAGTTTTGCCAGGGGGAGATTAGAGAGCCGGCGTCATGTCTACTAGTGAATCCACCCGAGCCTAGATTGTCTCTTAGTGCCGAGAATATCAACGACAAATGTGCCGGAAACTCGATCGGCTTGCTGGTGGATCTCGATCTCATTGGCTCACCACCTTTCGTTGTGAAGTACGACATTGTAACGAAGAGTGGAAAACAAACTGAGACGATCACGATCGATGCTTTGCGATACCAACTGGAGCTTAGGCCAAGAGAGGCTGGCCATTTCAAGTACTTATTCACGTCCATCGACGACTCGGTATACAAGGGCCACAATTTGGGCGGTACTGACATGGTACTTCAGCAGGATGTGAAACCCCCTGCTTCGGCTCATCTCCGACGCCCATCGGGCCCAATTGACGCATGTATCGAGGAACCTGTCGAGATGAATGTGGAATTATCTGGGGAGAAGCCTTTCACCTTAGAGTATGAAATTGTCCATGAGGGAAAGAGGAAAAAGATTAGAGAGACAAACATCGAAACAGACATCTTCAACATCAAGACCGATCCCATATCACAAGGTGGAGACTATCTCCTAGCGCTTACAAGTGTTCAAGATAAGACTGGCTGTAAGATTTTCTTGAATAGCGAGGTCAAGTTTACGGTGAGACGGCAGAGGCCGAGGATCTCATTTGGACATCTGGAGGGCAAACACAAGACTGTCGAGATTGAAGGCAGGCAGATCGCATTACCTCTGCGTCTTACTGGTCGACCACCTTGGTCAATTAAATATCGCAATCTTGATGACCCGTCCGGAAAGGTTTTCGAACACACCGCAAGACTTACCAATGATGTGGTTAAAGTGAGCCAACAGGGCACGTACGAGATTTTGGAGGTATCCGATGATCAGTGCCCTGGAACTGTGGAACCTGCAGCATCTCAGTTCCAGGTTGCATGGTTCCCACGACCACAAATCAAGATGGCAGATTCTGCTGTCCTCATCCCAGATGGCAACAGATATGTGAAGCGTGAGGTCTGTGAGGGTGACATTGACGCAGTAGAGGTCAACCTCATCGGTAAGTGCACATCCGGAGGTTTGGAGGACCCTGTGCTAAACCTTTCACAGGATCAGCCCCATACAACGTCAAGTACCAGGTCCGACACAAGCCAATGCAAGGTTCGGGTTCCATTATCAACAAGGAATTCGAGGCTGCCCTTGGACTTGCGACTATTTCCATGGACACAAGCAAAGCAGGAAGCTACGAGTACAGATTCTCAGAACTGTCTGACGCTCTATATGATCACGAGACGAAGAAATATACGCCTGTGATCCTTGAGCAGAAGGTCAATCGCAAGCCTTCAGCTCACTTCCTTAAGCCAGGCCAGTCGTACAAATATTGCAAAGAGGAACTGGATGGCAATGAGGTCATTCCAATTGAGCTGGAAGGTGTCCCCCCATTCAGCTTAGAAGTTGATGTCAAGCACCAAGGGAGCTCTCGACCAGAGACCGTCAAGATACCAAATGTAGAGTCGAGGCAGTATGATTTCAAAATTCCTCATAACGTACTGTCCCTCGGTATCCACCAAGTCAGTGTACGGAAAGTTCGCGATGCACATGGCTGCCAGCAGAAAACCGAATATGGAGCACCGCATGTGCAGGTTCAGGTCTATGACGTCCCAGTCATTCATTCCTTGGACCAACGCACAGACTACTGTGTCGGAGATCGAATCTCATACACTTTGTCCGGGACTGCACCTTTCGACATTTGGCACACTTTTGAGGGCAAATCGAGAACCGCCAAATCTCAGAGTACAACATTCCGGCGTATCGCCGAGGCACCTGGTAATTTCACTATCACTGCTGTGAAAGATAGAGCGAGCGACTGTAAGGCTACCACCAAGATCGAGAAGATAATTCACCCAATGCCAAGTGTCAAAATCAGCAAAGGAAGACAGATTGAGGTGGACATCCATGAGGGTGGAGAGGCAGAGATTCTGTTCGAATTCTGGGGTACTCCACCTTTTGAATTCACGTACACAAGAAGTACCAATGCTCGTAAAGGGCAGCGGTCCCAGATTCTAGAGACCAGGCACGAGGTTTCTGAGGAGCATAGCATGTCCATCCGAGCCTCACAAGAGGGCACATACGAGGTGGTAGCTATCAAGGACAAGTTCTGCTCGTTCTCCACCCAACGAGCCGAGGTGGGAAGCAAGCAGAAACTTCTACAATTCTAAAGCTGCTCTTGTTAGATCAGTGCAATTATATATCATAGCGCGGCGTTGGGCAGTGTCCTTTTGACAGGTTTATCCTTTTAATCTTGTCCGTCCTAAACCAAGGTACCAAAAAAATTAAAATGCCAAATTTCAACATTATCGACTGTCTATATCTCGTTCTGAGCTTGCTGTGCGCGCTCGAGTTCCTTCAGATATGCAACCTCGAACCTATACTTCTTGCCTTTATTCCAACTCAGACCCCAGTTAATTTCTCCAACGTCCACAATTTGTGGCCGAAGTGGCCTCACTCCATCCAAAATATCACGTTTCTGTTCCCATGTATATGTCTGAGGCGGCTCTTGCCAACTGATCTTCATTGTATGAACATCAGCCCCAGATAACCACTTCCTCGCTTTCTTAATGCCCTTCTTCACCTCCAGTATCCGAGCAGTAGCCTCTACATTCCCAGGTTTGTTGTTTCTCTTCTCAGAGCCCAAATGGATGGATAGATGGACATGTTTGATAGCAGATGTGATCGCCGAAGAGAAGACTAGCTCTCCTCGCTGGGTCTTGTGAGCCCATAGATTGTAGTCTACTGTTATATGGACGGTTTGCGTGGATGTACCATAGAGGAGAGGAATAGTCTCTGCGCGGATCTGGCGATTGAGAGTGAGAAGGCAGGTTGGGATCGGTTGGGTAAGAAGGATGTGTGTCTGGAGCTGTCGTGGATGGGGGCCTCGAATAGGAGGACTGCAGGGAGGAGGGAGGAGGTAAGAGTAAATCAATTGCCTGATCTCGAGAGGTAGTCGCAATAGAGGCGAGAGTGGAGGTACATGGAGAGAAGGATCACCAGGTGGTGAAGAAGGATAAACTAGCGGTGCATCGCTGATTGGGTATGGATTAATGGCGTACTCCTGGAGCTTAAGGAAATAAGCGCGGAGGTCTTGCTTTCGAAGACCCCATACGGCGTCTTCTGGTAGATGAAGGATCGACTGTACATCCAACAGTTCTTTTGACCGAGGAATGGCGCTGTCTGTTGGTGATGCACATATACGTTTATCTGGAGAGACCGAGGCCGAGACCGAGGCAGTGTGAGTTGGGGGCCTTCTCGTTCTACTGCTTGTGGCGGAGGAAGCCATGGAAAGCAAGACGGGGGAGGACGGTCAAAGTTGCCAAGGCAAAGGACACGCTCGAATGATGTAGTGTAATACAGCGGAGGGATCGGTCGTCTTGTGTTGCAAGAACTGTCGTAGACGCTACAATGTCCTAGGTACCTGGGTAGATAAACTACCTACCTACATGCTGCTCTGGCATGCACGCGGGAAGCGGGGTGCTGCGGTTCAGATTTCACAGCCATGAGCGACGAGTGCGGGAGATCTGCCCTGGCGCCTCTTGGTGCGATGATCAGATTAGATTACGTGCCACAGAACAGTATCCGAGTCATCATTTTTTCGGCAATACAGTGCTCGTACTAAATTCAAAGAAAACAGCGGCCCATCGACCATACAATATCCTATCACGAGTTGCTAGACGAAGAGTGGTGAGGACGTTTTATTGGCTGTAGTCTGAATTGACAATGTCGATTGATCCGTGCGAGGTGACTGATGCTCAGCTGGCGCCTCCACGGTCACTACCGTGAAGGCTCATCATGTAGCTTAATCTTGACCAAAGTTACCTTCGACTATGAGGAGAACGTAGAGCAGTCGCAAAAGCGAAGGATAAATGTGAACGCATCACTGTCTCTCGATCATTGATCTTTGGTGTACAGCTACGCAAATACTTGCTTCAAAATCAAGACCAGAAATTGATGTCCTGAGACTTTCGAACTCCTAATCCCGAGCTAAATAGACTTGGGCAATTAATATATGTACAGTCGCAAGCACAACACTCAACGTGTCGTCTCCATACTATCCAAGAAATTGAGACCTATGCGGCTTGCATTCGGACCTTCACGCCATTCCCACTACAATCTGTGAGAGACAGGTTGTGTCTGATAATTGGATCTGTCTCCAAGTACTCCAGCTTTTCAAATCGTTGAAGCAAGCGCACTGTCACGTAGGAGCTTTCCGTCAAGGCAAATTGCTGTCCAATGCATATTCGGGGACCACCATTGAACTGTTATTCATTTAGCCACATGATGCAGAAGCGAGTAGGCACAATTTGAATGCCCTGAGAACAGGCATCGGGGACTCGATGAGACAACAACACCAAAGACTGAAAGCTTATGGATAGATAGAAGGAAATGATGGCTTACAGGAAGAAAATCCCATCCCGGCCTTCTGTTTTCCCATCGCTCTGGTTTGAACTCCTCCACATCCTCACCCCACAGGTCCTTCCTGTGATGCATGGTGTGCACAGAGTAATCAACGGCGGATCCCTTTGGAACGAAGATCTTGGATTTTCCATCCTTGCCGCCTCCTCTCGGGATAGTCGTATCTTTGTTTGCGAATCTGCTATTGATTGGCACGACGGGATAAAGTCGTAGTGCTTCGTTATTGCAATACTGCAGATACTGGCATCCCTTCATTCTGGAAAAGGTTATGTCCTTGGGGTTGCCGTATGTTCCAAATTCCTGTATTATTATGTTCCGCAGTTTTGCATATCTCGCTGGATCACGGGCGAGACTGAGGAATAGCCATCCAAGAAGAGACGCTGTCGTATCTCTACCGGCAAGAAGGATGTTCAAGAGTTGCGAGCGTAATTCAATGGGATCCTGAGTTTGTGTCGCCAAAGCCTCTAAAAACACGTATTTCCCTCTGAATTCCAATTCTGATTCCGATTTCTTTCCGTGGAGGTCCTTTGAAAGGGCCAAGCGAACGAACTGGTCAATGAACTTGTGGCAGATGGTACAGTCATCCTTGAAACCCTTAGGATTACAGAGAAAGAACTTATCACCAAAGCGTCCTCGAGTTGCCAGCGCCATCTGAGCTTTGTCAAATGCTGCTGCAAAGTCCGCTGAGGAGGCGTCCGAGGAATTTTCATCTTGATAGCCGGGGAGTAGTCGCACCTGCGAGTCCACAGACTCACCAAAGAGGAATTCTGTGGCGGAGTCCAAGGTTAGGCGGAAGAAGAGCACCTGTAGATCAACGCAGTCGGTCCACTTATTGGCATTTAGATTGACATTGAGGGCCCTCATCATATTTTGAACATGTCTTTCGGTCATGTCCAAGTCTGAAATTTGTTCTCGTGCAAACTGAGGACGCATCATGGCTCGAGAATGTTCCCCTGGAGAGAACGTGAGTTTGCAAGCAGTGTAGTTAGAACACACAAAGTACGAGTAGGTTGTTGTCTCAGACACCAAGAGAGGGGATTAATTGGACTTACAACCTGAACCATCCTGTGTAAAAATTCCATTGCCTAGCAACGGCCAGAAATTCCCTCTTCTTGTCGGTCCAAGATCGAAATCATTGAACTGCGTTGCAAGTACGGCCTGGATGTTCTTCTCATCGGCAGTAAATATGTTGTTGTTTCCCAGGACAGAATATCGGTAAGTGATTGCCCCGACATCCGCAGTACGCTGAATAGTATCGATAGGAAATAGTTTCTCCTTATCAGCCGCAAGGGCACGCTTGATCTGGTCGATACCTAGAGGGTATTTATTTTTCTGCAGCGGTGGCTCTTCACACTTGAGTTCTCGGGCTTTGCGTGCATGACGGCGTGACTGGACAAAGCTAGAATAGACGATGTAGATAATGTAGGACACAGTTGCCAAGATGATAGTTGTCGCAAATGGGAGCTGCATTTTGTAGAGTAGGATCGGAGGAAGCTCTGTCAACGCCAGAGGGTTAGTAGTATAAAGGAGGCAAGAGAGAGTTAGCAAAGAGTAGAAGCTGAGATGGGATGACGTGAGGTTAAAATAGACACTTCTAAGCAGCACTTGACAGGAGTTGTGACGGTGACGGTCTCCCAGCCCTTGTCACTACGGATCTCGACCGGCCAAGCCGGCCGGTGTAGGTACTCGTAGATCTTGGGACACTTCCGGATACATACGGTATTTTGGTGAAAGCTGAGCATCGAGAGCATCCATCTACAGCGACGGGTTTGAATCGAGCCGATCCCCGCATTTTTACGTCTTCGGAAAAGAAGTGCGACAGGTGTAATAATACGAGCACGGCGCACGAAAAGGCGAGTTCGATTCCTTCACGCCATGTAACTAACTCATACCCACATGCTACAGAGACTGACATTCCATCAGGGTCAGTGACCGGAATCTCTCGAGACTGCGGGCGGTCATGGTTGCTAGAGTCAAGTTTTCTTTGCGAGGAGGCTGTTGAATGTAAATCAATTTGAAGAAAGGGGTACAGTAAGCGGAAACAGCTCTCTAGCCTCGGTCAGCCTACACCTTCCAGCTTGTGAAGTGGCACAACAAACATGCTTTTGTAGGGTCATTACCAGGCGGATTCCTCCGCCGAGATAGATCGGTCCCATCTTCAGTATTGTTCGTCAGTACAAGGACTCGTCTGTCATGATGAGTACGAATTAGTCACCTGAGCTGTCGTCTATGTGGTTGAGACGAGCTCTGTTGATTGTTGAGGCTTCGTTCCGACTAGCCATTCGAGTATTCTTAGTCTTGGCCAACACAGACGCAGGTCACAGCTAGCCAACAATTGGTGTCTGCTTAAGGGAAGCAGCAAGACGATGGCGTCTGATTTCCGTGAAGCATCTCCATCTATTTCCAACCCGAGCCTCGAGAGGCACTTTTGATTTCTCAGAAGGTGGTTCGGCTTTATACACGTCCACAACAAAGTCCAATCCTATGATAGACATACCATACCAAATGATCAAGTCCATCTATGCATTACTTTGTTTTTCTCGTTTCAAAAGAGATAGCAGGTCTGTCGAACAGAATTCCTTTCGTTTGCCAAGCTCCTAGATGATGCATTGATCGCATTGGAGACCCGCCAGTACTGTAAGACACTACTGTCGCTCAAAGAGTTATGCTGTTGATCAAAACCTATAAAACTGCCTCATCCGGACCATCACGCTTTCAAGTACTGGGCACATGTGACCGCGTGCTGGAATCAGGTGGATGTGAACTGCGTTGAGTTACGGCAATTTCCATCTCACAAATAATCCTGAAGTTCTGAATCTCACAACACTTTCACAGTCAGCTCCAGTGCCTTGAAATCTCGCCACAAATGGTACAAATAGATATGAGTTATTTCATATTTCCATAATCTACCGTGGAGATTTCTTAGAAAGAGGTACCGATGAAAATTGAGAAGCGTTTTTATCGCTCGCTCAGCCTGAAGCCCTCTCGGCCATGTCAATAGTCGATGGGTATTACCAGCATCCGCTCAAAGACTGGCCACGAATTGAAGGTGTTCGCGGGGTAAAAATATCCGTCACTAGTAGATTCTAGCTCGACTCGGACGCAATACGGAGAATCATAGCGGGTGCATGCGGCGAAGGTCTCCCAAGGATACCATCCGGCGCCTGCAAATGCATTTGAATTTTTACACCATCAGCCTCCAGCCCAGGAGCATTACTAAGGACCTCGGGAGGTTCGTGAGGAAGCCTGACAGAGATAAATCAAAAGAGTCGGCTTTTTGGATTGAACGGAACCCAGTACAAAATGCTATAAAACTGTGCTGCGTAGATGCTATACCAGTTACTTGTTTGGACTTCCGTTGTTGCTCGTTACAGAGTCTGGTGGGTACGTAAAGGAGTAGGAGCATATAACATTAGAATCGGACGCAGCTGGATCGATGATCTCATGATAAGCAGGTATTCACTGTTGCGGACTGACGCCACGACTGTTCAAGCTCCATTTGTTTTGCTTCCAAGGGTCTTTACTTGCACACTTGTTCAGTAACCTGTACTCATGTCATGGACTGTAAGTTTTGAATATAAGCATTGGCGCTATCCTTGGCTCCCATATCTCCCGAGGTCCCGAGACGCAACCTGAAGGCGTTGGCGTTGTCCTCGCTGGAGTCAACACACCGCTGCTCACGAGACTTTCCCAGATTCTTCGAAGAGCCGACAGATTCAGCTCCTATTACAGGACTAAGACTTAGACAAAGTGACGAAATATACAGAGAGTGCTTGAGAGATGGAAAGAGAGGCGTCGAATTTTGGCACTGCAAGCATCTCGCACAGAACGACACTCGAGTAAATCTAGTTGACAAGCACTAGGTATTGTAATCACTGCCTACCTGCCGAATCACCAATTACCTATGTACCTACTGTAGGTAGTCCCGGTCCTGATAGAGGGAAGAGATAAGCCTAGAGTCAGCCCAACTCGAGATCTCTCTGGTTGGCACTGCGTGCAGAATAGACGCAGATGCAGATGCAGATGCAGCGATTGCAGCGAACAAAGGCTACCTATCAAATACATAACAAATTGGCCCAACCCATCAGATCGATTGTTTGTCTTCTTCGCCTTCGCGTCATACAGTATGTATCATACTCACAAACTCTGCCCTCCAGATCCTGGTACTGTACTGTACTGTGATGTGCTTAGGCCTAGCTAGCTGTGCTGTGGCAGCTGTGCGGTGGTCGCGCCAAGTTTCTACGAGTAACTTAAATTCACCTCGCACACCACCGCCTATGGTGTTAGTTAAGAGAGGACCGCCGGGCACTTCGGAGGACCGGGGACGGCGACGGCGTTGCCTTGCCTTGCCTTGCCTTGCCCTGCGAGCCTGCCTTGCCTGCCTTGCCTGCCTTGCCTGCCTTGCCTGCCTTGCCTGCCTTGCCTGCCTTGCCTGCCTTGCCTGCCTTGCCTGCCTTGCCTGCCTTGCCTTGTCTGCCTTGCCTGCATCCCTGCCCCTCCCATCCCCCTCCATAATAATTCCCATCTTCTTTTCTTATCGAAATCAAGGCAGCCAGCCAGTCCACCATCGCCTAAAATAAGGTGCCCTGCCCTACCCTGCCCTGCCCTGCCCTGCCCGCCCAGCCAGGGCCGCCACTACAGTACAGGTACAGTAAATTACTGTACTGTACAGGACTCAGACGTACACTGCAGCTGGCAGGGTGCCGGGCGGGCTGGCTCGCTGCTTCGCTCGACTCGTCGAGTGCGTGCCTGCTTACTTGCTTTCTAACCAAGTTTCTTCGCACTTCGAGGTACAGAGCAGAAGCAGAGTACGGCCTGGAGCGCTTTTGCATATCACACTCGTTTGGTAAGAGCCTCATTCACCCGATACTAACGACATCTGCTAAGGGATGGGGAGATCGAGATCCAATAGACCGCAGCTGATCCAGATTCAAAGCAGACAGACTATGGCACCCTCGTTTTTGAAAGATCTCCGGCGGCGCTCGAAGGCCAGCTTCAAGACGGACAGGTCAACGGATGAATCCGGCGCATCGAGCAACGAAACCAATGGCTCAACTCCCTCTTCCTCAACTTTGAACTCTACAGGTGGACCTGAAGGAACAACTCCCCCCCTCACCAATTCCACCTCGGCGTCGAATTTGCAGGGCTTGGGCAACATGCAACCGCTCGCCTCGCGCCCAACGATATCAACATCTTCTTCCAAGAGATACAGTACGGCTGGAAGTGTTTCGGGGATGTCTGGTTTAGGATCGCCTGCACAGAACTCCTCTCTGCCATTGTCACCGTACGCTCCAAAAATAACCAATGTGACCGATGGCTCTTGGGTAAAAGATACTTGTGGAGGAAAGGGAGAAACTGTAGCTAATGATAAATAGGTATATCAAAAAGTACTTACGGTTCATGGCATCATTGCAGATCCGTCATTCCAAGCTTTGGAAGGATGTGTTACAGTCCGGAGAGATGATGGCGGTTTCCCTGCAACAGATTGGCCAGTCTGCGAATCACACTTCAAAGCCCTTGTCTACTTACTTCCTGGTAAGCAAAAAGAGAACATGATATTCGCCGCATAAGAAGCAAGAAAACTACAATATACATGTTGGAGTTCCATGAATACTTTTTTTTAATCCAAAAAATGGCATGCTAACCCAGCATTGCAGGACCGAACAGGTTGATCTTCAACTTCACTTCACCAAAACTCGCTAACAACAATCTGGGAAATCCAATACACTCATCGCAACTCATTTTACACATGATACCCCCGCTTGCGGCTCCACCACTACAGCTTGTTATACTCATGGCCAAAGACTCGCCTGGAAGATTTGATGCTGTCCCAGCGAGAATTGAGAGAGAGGACAATAATCTTGAGACGGCGATTAAGAAATTTCGAATGTCAGCATATCTCTGGCAAGCTTTCACGGTGAGTACTATGTAGGAGGTGGAATGGCGTCGAATGAAATCTAGCTCACTTCTCAATCTAGGCCGAGCAGATGCACCGAAACAAGCTTGGCAGACGTGTTTTCCGTTTTGAGGAAGAATGGACAAATGGAACGGCAAGTTATAGAGACAAGGCTGTTGGAACTATGCGTTCGGAAGCTAAGATCCATGTTGTTCGATGCTCGAAAACAGTGGCGGAGCTTCGTGACCTTGATCTTGCGCAGCAAAACCCGAACGCCAAGCGTAGCGGGGAGCTGTTCAGCATCGCTTTAGAAGCTGTCAAGGATTACTTGAAGCCGTCACCTGGGCAAAAGCATTATGTAAGTGTGCTGCTCTTGGATTCCCACTGGGATAAAGTGCACAATATGATCACAGGGCATGCAGCTCTTGGAGGGGGTTCGGGGGATATTCAACTTGCGATTTTTGGATCCCAGGCACTCCAGAGCTATCCCAGCCATATCGAGGAAGTCGTCCCTGCTTTCTCAGACTGCACCCCGACTGATACCGATTTTGTTGCCAATGACTGCAACGAGGTACGTTCTTTCCCTTTCTTCTCGCCATTGTCTCATGCTAACTATGTCATGACAGTCTGGAAGCAGCTGGGAAGCGGCCAATATCAGTATCGGCGCCCATATGCACGAAACGGGACATCTCTTTGGCTGCCCTCATCAAACATCTGGCGTTATGATGCGTGACTATGTCACTTTGAACAGGTCCTTCATGACTCGGGAGTGTTATTCGACGCGAACAAAGTCCAAAGGCGGATTGGTCTTGGCAGATAAGGAATGCACCTGGCATCGCTTGGACCTGCTACGCTTTCGCGCTCACCCAGCATTCGCAATTCCTTCAGACCCCGCCCGGCTCAGCGATGATTCTGTGCAAGCCTGGCCTGTAGATAATGGAATCGTCATGGTTACTGCTCTATCGGGACTTGCTTACATCGAGATGTACTTGGATGGAGAGGAATTATGCCGACATTGGCAGGAGTTCAACGAGGGAACAAATTCTGTGATCCAGAGACAGAAGGAGTTAACAGAGCAAGATTTGAGGGCTCGCTTACCCGAAGATCGAAGAAAAGCCAAGTTGAAATTGAGCATCAAGTCCATTGCAGGTGGTAGCCACGAGATCGAGGATTTCAGCTTATTGGCATCAAAGGCTTCGAGAGTGAAGCTTCCGAACGGACAGTTAGCTTTCAAAAGCACTAAACTAGGGCTATCGCAAATGAATGGTTCCACTCCTGACCAAGTCATATTGCACAGTGCCGTACAGCAGTCAACCTTACTCACACAAATCCGATTTTACCATGGCTTTGCGTTGGACGGCGTCGAATTTTGCTATGAGGATTCTACTTCTCAGCTTTTTGGTAAGCGAGGGGGGTCATGCAGCGATTTCAATCTGGGTAGGTGGCTTATCCCCAAAGGTTGATCTTGCTAATTATTCTAGATACGCGCAAAGGCGAGTGTATAACCGGGTTCTATGTAAGATCTGGGTTCTGGATTGACGGTCTGGCTATTATTACGAGCTTGGGTAGGAAATCACAAATCTACGGAAACGCAAATGGTGGATCTGGGTAAGTGAAGGTGCTGCCACACTGTTTGGAATCCGCCGTTAATCTACTCACAGACACACTCTGATGCCACCTCGAGGCTACCACTTCATCGGAATGTATGGGTCTTTTGCGGACTGGGTTGATGGCTTTGGAATTCTGATTTCCCGCTGATCAGATTTGGTGTAACGATTGGCTCTCGCAGCACGACTCTCAGCTTTAGGTTCATTTTCAGGATCAGATCCGACGATTTTAGGGATCTGGACAGCTAGCATGCATGAAACGGCTGATAGATTGGGGCTCACGACAATTGAATGACTATTGTATAATTTGAGGTTTGGCCGCACAAACGAGGGTAGTGCTCCAGACGTAGGGATGTTATGATATGCCGCGGAGGATAAACTCAACGATTTGTACATATGCGCACGGCGCAAGGCGCGAAAGGTACATAGAGATGGTCCAGTTCTCTTTTCCGGAGCAGTAGATACCAGTCAGTCGTGTTAATGTAGATTTATGATTGCTACTTTTACAACGCTTGTGGTCCAGAACATATTATCCACTCCGAGTGACAGAATGTTGAGCTTCATTGCCAGATTCAGTACGACTCTGAACAGGCAACACCTGTCCAAAATTGCTTGTTCAACGAGTCCCAGCCATCCAGCAGATAATCTGTTGACACAGTGGCGACAATCAAACAAAGCGAGGCTACAACACACATAATCATACATTCTTCAAACCGGATCAGGAGGGACTCTATTGACGTCCAGTGCCCTTGTGAGCCCCTGCGCTGAAATATATGCAATTATGCTACATGGTGGTCGTATCAAACCACACAAGTAAACACACACATATATGCCGGTTTTTTGACTTAAGGTTCTCCTGTGTACGGGAAGCCAAATGAATCACTTGTGCGGAACGTCCTATATCATATTTTGACCTATTTATTTCCCTACCTTCAAGTCTTATGATAACAATTCTAAGTAGCAAAAGTAATATATAAAACACAATTGATTTTTTACTGTATTTGAAATTAAGATTAAAGGCAGCTTTATAGCAGAGGAGGGGGGTTAAAAATATAAATTTTGTAAGGGCCAGAACTAGCTGAGTGTGCTTTACTTTTATAACGGTCCGGTATTTACTCGCTGTAAATACAGAAGGCTGCAGTTAATCTTTAATAATCGAGAGGTAGGTGTATTATATAGATAGGAAGATAGTTACTAAGTATTAGAATACTATTTGAAGTTAAGCACGAAGCTCCTATCTAATAGTAGATATACTAGTCTTATATAGAACCTTCGTCCTCTAAGGATCCCTATAGATCCTACGATCTAAGGCTCTAGGAACCTTGGATCCTATAGTTCTAAAAGCTTTATACTATCACGTGATATATAGTCCTGTGATTCTGTTCTTAGTTCTTAGCTTCTCTATATAGTAAGGCTGCTAAGCCTTAGAGCTAAGATATATATAATACTCCTTCTAAGTGCGTTCGTAATACTATCTCCTTTCTTACTTAGCGTAGTCCCTACGCTTAAGTATACTAAAGGAAATATTAATAATAACCTATAGCTATCTTCTTCTTTTATTATATCCTCTAAAACTACTAAATATAAATAAAGGATAGCACTTACTGAAACGATTAACTCCTATAGTTCACTTAGTATACTATATTCTAATTATATCCGCTACTATCGTAATTACGTAGTCCTAAATAAGAAGTCTTAGAGGTATAGAGAGTATATTTATTATAGCGTGAAATATAATACTCTTTAGGTTTCTATTAATAACCTCTAAAGTCTTTAGATAAAGGAAGATCGCTTAAAGTTTAAGAGAGATATAGCTTTTAAAGCGGCTATAGCTAGCCTAGCTCGTATCCGCGAGCTTAAGTAGCGCTAAGCTAAGCTTCGTAAGTAAGGGAGGGAAATACTTTATTATAGTCTAAGAACTCTAGATAAGTTAGATAAAGCTAAGGTAAAAGAAAGAGTAGAAAAAGCGAAGGCGCAGGGAGTAGTAGAAAGGGAAAAGTAAGCCTCTACTACTTGATTACTTATACCGCTATTCACTAGTAATTCCTCTGAGTTCCTCTTAGTTAATAAACTACTACCTGACTTTAGGAACTCCTTCTAAGAAGACCTAGGTTTCGTTGATAGAAATTTTATAGTAACCTAGGGTAGTAAAGGTTAGACTTAGGTTCTTAGGTATTTTCTAACTATAAGTACCCCTTCTACTTAATTAAATATTATAGTTTACTATAATAGTTCTAATAGTTAAAGATAGCTTCTACTTCGTATTTAGCGTTTAGATTAATCAGTTGTATTTTAGTAATAGGAGTAAGTAGTACTTCTAGCGGTACTAGTTCAAGGAGAGATATATGAAATACTAAGTAGATATTTATTATTTTTAGTAGAGCTAGTTAATAATTAACTAGTCCCTTAACTTTAGTAATCCTAAATATGTAATAGTCCGGTATTTACTCGCTATAAATACAGAAGGCTGCAGTTGATCTTTAGTAATTAAGAGGTAGGTGTATCACGTAGATAGAAGATAGTTACTAAGTATTAGAATACTATTTGAAGTTAAGTACGAAGCTCTTATTTAATAGTAGACGTGCTAGTCTTATATAGAACTTTCGTTCGCCTTAGATTCCTTAGGATACTAGATCCTTAGATCCTTAGATCCGTTTTCCTATAAGGGGATCCAGGGATCTAGGGATCTATTACGTGACCTATCGTCTACCGTGATCTAAGTAACTATTACTACGAAGCGTAAGTGTATAGTAGTACTACTCGCTGTCTTATATTATTCCCTGGCTAGTACTACCCTATCGATAGTACCGCTCCCTTATTAGTACTAATACCCCTATAGTACTACTAATAGTTCTATTATTATATAGGTGCTAACTGAACTATAGCGCTAAAGGGTTTATAATACTATCCCCCTCTTAGCCTAGTGTAGTCCTTATGCTTAAGTATAACCTTAAGAAACGTCGATAGTTACTAATAACTATCTTCCTTATCTATTATATCTAGTGTTATAAAGAAATTAAGTGTCGCTTAGATAAAGAAAAAACAGAGTATCTAGCTCACGCTCTGTATTAAGCGTACTATATAACTTATAAAGCCTTATTCCTTCTACTATAGCCTTTCTTATACTTGCTTCTTAGATTTATTTATTTTAAAATAATACTTTAAGTATATTCACTTAAAGCGTTACGATTATAATACCTTAGGGTATATTAAGAGGTTTACTCTTAAACGACTTATATATTAGTTTAAGATAGGAAAAACTATGACTTTTACTTATCCTCTAACGCCTTCTTCTAAGCTTATTAAGGATAATCCTACTTCTTAGTTCCTTACTTTTAAACTTAACGCCTACTTAGTGTCCTTCTTTAAGGGCCCGGTCCCTGACCTTAGGTCCCTTTCTTTCTAGGTAAACCTAGATTTCTTTAATAGAATTCCTATAAAAGCCTAAGGTAGTAGAAGTTAGATTTAGGTTCTTAAGTGTTTTCTAATTATAAGTACCCTTTCTATTTAATTAAATATTTTAGTTTACTATAGAAATACTAATAGTTGAGAATAGCTTTTACTTTATATTCGGTATTTAGATTAATTAGTTATATTTTAGTGATAGGAGTAAGCGGTGCTCCTAGCGGTACTAGTTTAAGGAGAGATATATAGAATACTAGGTAGATATTTATTATTTTTAGTAGAGCTAGTTAATAATTAACTAGTCCCTTAACTTTAGTAATCTTAAATAGTCTTAGCTTTTTATAATCTAATTTATAACTTAGTTGTTTAGTTACGATATTCTTTCTAAGTAAGTAGACTTTATCCCTCTCCTTAAGCGTTAGTCTTATACTACGCTTTCTATTATAGTAGATCATAGATCTCTATGTGATAAAAAGAATATCAGCTAACAATTCTTTATAGAGCTATTTAAGCTTACTTATATATAGTATAGCTTCTTACGCGGTTCCCTGACTAGCTATTAGTAGGTTATATACTATAGGATTATACTTATAATTCGCGTAGAATAGTGATACTCTAATAGTCTCTTAATCCGCGCTATTATATATAAACTAAGTAAATGAGAGTAGTTGCACCTAGTTATCCTACTTATAGTTTATATAATACTAAAGATAAGTCTCTATTATCTAGTTGATTTGTTCTATCTGTATATTAGTCTAAGGATAGAATATAATTAATATTTTCTGCTTTATTCCTAAGAGTGTAATAAGAGTTTTCTAGAACTTTAAGGTGAAGAGCTTATCTCTATTTAAGATAATCTTATCTAGTATTCTATAGCTTACGAAGATTATTCTAAGGAATACCTGCGCTATTATAGGCGCGTCTTATATTCTAAGTACTAGTACTATATACGCGTACTTTATAAACTTATCTATTATTATATAGATTAAGTTATATATAATTCCTATAACTAGGTCTTTTGAGAGTAGTAGCTCGACTACGAAATCTAAAGCGATTAATTTCTATAGGTGAAGTAGTATTATTAGTGACTTTATAAGCCTATACGAAGTATAGTATAATACCTTATTCCAGATACATATATCGCACGACGCTACTATATCTTTAACTACCTTCTTTATTCCTAGGAAGTAGTATTCTCTAGATAGCTTAGATAGCGTCTTAGTTACCCCTTAGTATCTATAAGTAGGTAGCTTATACTAGTGCGTAATGAATTTAATCCTATCCCTAGTAGGTATATAAATTCGTCCTTAGTATAGGAGCGTACTACCTGTAGTAAAAGAGAATCCTTCGCCTAGCTACTTCTTCTGTTTAATTATAATCGGGTCGTTAGTATAGCCCTTCCAGATTTTCTTAGCGACCTAGCCTATTAAAGCTAGCTATTAGTAATTAACTATTAGTAAATCGCTATCCTTTCGTAGTATAATATAGGATTTGTAAGTTTTATTTGTAAGATATTCCGGTTTCCTACTTAAGGCGTTAACCCTAGTGTTTTCCGTTCCCTTGATATAAGAAATTCGAAGTTTTATAGTAGAGAGTATTTTATACTATTAAACTTAGCGTTAGTTTAATTCTTTAGTAGTTATAAAGTAAATAAGATTCTTATAGTCTATTAGGATCTGTACTTTATAAGCGGCGCCCTTAAAGTAGACCTTCTACTCGCGTACTATATTTATAATTACTAGTAACTCTTTATTATATATATCGTAATTAAGTTCTACTAGTAATAGTTTCCGTGAATAGTAAGTAACTAGTTACTATCTTCTGTCCTCGCCCAGCTAGCTAAGCACGGCTCTAATAGCGTAATCTGAAGAATCTATCTCTATATATATTTCTTTATCAGAGGTAAAGGAAGTAAGTACTAGTTCTGTGATAAAAGCTACTTTAAGTGCTTTAAACGCTTTTTATACGCTATTAGACTAATAGAATTCCTTGTCCTTATAGGTTAACTCTGTAAGTAGCTTAGCGATTTTCAAGTAGTCTTTAATAAATCGCCTATAGAAGTTAGTAAACTTAAGGAATAATTATACTTTCTTAATATTTATAAGCCCTATTTACTCGATAATTACTTTAATTTTTTTAGAATCTATAGCTAATCTTACGGTAATAACTATATAGCTTAGAAAGATAACCTTGTTCACGTGGAAATTACACTTCTCTAGTTTAAGTAATAGGTAAGCGTCCTCTAGCCTCTAGAGAATAGCTATAATATCCTTTATATATTACTCCTCTGATTTAGAGTAGACTAGTATATTATTTAAATAGTATATATACGTTACGTCTAAGTAAAGCTATAAAATATTATTAATTAGACGCTGAAATATAGCTAGTACGTTAGTTAAGCTAAAGGGTATAACTATATACTTATAGTAACTGAAATAAGTATAAAATACTATTTTTTCTTCTTTACTCTTAGCTATCCTAATAAGGTTATACGCTTCTTATAGGTTAAGCTAAGTGAAAATCTTAGCTCTAACGAGTCTGTCCTGTAGCTCCTTAGCTAATAGTAGTATATAACGATCCTTCTTTATAGTATTATTTAATTAATAGTAGTTGATATATATTTATTACCTTCTATCTTTCTTCTCTACGAATAAAATATTACTCCCTTATAGAGATTTGAACTCTCGGATAAATCTCTTCGCTAGGTTTTTATTAATATATTACTTGATTATTATTAAGTCTATCGCTGAATATTCCCTAAGTAGTTAGAATATCGGTTTAGTACTTAGTTCTAACTTAATCTGATAATCGTAGTCTTAGTGTTTTAGTAAGGCCTTAATACCTTATTCCTCCTTAAATAGTACTATAAACTTCTTATATACTAATAGTATATCTTTTATTAGTAGACTCTTATCTTAGTATCCGAGCTCTTCCTTAGAGGTAGTACTAACCTCTTAAATACTTACTACTTCTGTTCCTAGTAGATAATAGTAGTCTTAGTAATAACTAAACTTAAGTTTCCTTATCTATTAATTAATAACAGGATTATACTTTTCTATCTATAGTAACCTTAGGATAATATTATGCCTTCTAATCCTTATAACGTTGAACTAGATTATTTCAGAGTGCCTAGCGATACTTATATAGATTAGAGTAGTCTAGACCTCGATTAGTTTATTAGAGGTAGCTTTACTATCTGCTAGTACTAGATAGTATCCCTTATCTTTTACTTTAGTTAACAGGTAGTACTCAAGTATAATAGTAGGAGATATAAAGTTCCCTTATACCCTAGAGTCTACTATTACTTAAAGCTTAACTCCCCTGATTTTAACTTCTAATATAAGATACTTATCCCTAATAGTAGTAAGTTGCTATATATAGAAGTACTCTTAGTGTACGCTATAGTTAAGGATATTCTCCTATACCTTTCGATTACTATAGCTTAGGCTGACTTTATATATAAGCCCTATCCTAAGTTTAGTATATATTACTAGGTTATATATCTTGTAATAGTATTAACTATTATTATTAACATAGACTTATATCTTATTATATTAGTTTTCTACTATAACTTCCTATTCCTCGCTTACCTCTAGTAGCGTACTAGTATTAAGAATAGCGGTATTCTAGAGTAGTAAGTACTATATAAAGGTCGTTAGTCCTTCCTAGCTGCCGGCTATCCTTTATCTGATATACTTATAGTCCTAGTAAACTACTTCGTACTTTACCCCCTACGGTAGACCCCTTAAGCTAATAAGGCCTAGTTCTTAATAAGTAACCCCGGTAGCTATATTAGTCTAGTAGTAAGTGTTATAGCCGACCTAATATAAGCTTTCTTCCTTTTAGGTAACTTCCTAAATTTCACCTATTTTTAGTCTTAAGAGTTTAGGTTAAGGTAGCCCTAGTTCCGGAGTCTACTCTAGCTCTTAGGCTTCTTCCTCGCTATTACTCGGTATTAGCTTTATATTATTATCCGGCCTAGAGCTATTGTTGTCTTAATATATATAGTCCTTAGGAGGCGTACTAATAATATCCTCCTTAAGTGAACCTATGATACTTACGGAATCCTACTTACTATCGCCGGAGTCATTTAACTAAGTATAGATATGATTTTCCTTAAGCTTATCTGTAGTTATATATTAATATATCGCGGCGAGTTATTATATTAGTTCGTTATAAGAGCCTCGTCCTATTACATTAGCGTGCTTCTTACTTATCCAGGACTTCTTTTAATAATAAGAGCTAGCTATATAACTAGGGAAGCTATATTTAAAGTATAGCTTCTTCTTATATCACTTATCTATAACTTTCTTAGATAGCTCGCTATTATATAGCTTTCCTTAATAACTTAGCTTCCGGAATATTATATCAAGTTCTATTTCCTAAGGGTAGAATAGTTTCTTATTATTACTCCCTTTTCTTTAGTATATATATATTCTAAAGCGGTATTAGCTTTTTTTCTTAAGTGCCCTCTTGTAATTTCAGTTATTAATCTTAATAGCTATTTTAATAAGTTCTTATAAGTTAGTAAGCGCGTCTAATCTTACTATCTTATCTTTTACTCTATCTTTTAACCCTTTATAGTACTATACTTAAAGGGTGTTATTATTCTAGCTAGTCTGATTCGCGAATTACTAGAAGGCGGTAGTATACGTAGTTACTAACTTAACTTACTTTAAGTTCTAGATATTCTGTTTAGTAGTATAGTTCTAATTAATATTACTAAAGACGCGGTTAATCTTATACTTAAAACCTTCGAAGGTTATAAAGATCTTCTAAGATTCCTTAGTTATTACTATAGAGACTCTCTTATCCTTAGTTTAGTTCTAAATATAATCTAAGAGGAAGGTCTTAATCTAGTTAAAAGTAGATCCCCGGAGAAAGAATAAAGCTTAAAGGACTTTATTAGTCTCTATAGCGAACTAGTGACTATTAAAGCTTATATAGAGCTTAACCTACGTGAGGTATACTCTAAGCTTAGATCGGTCTCTATTATAGAGATCCGGGGCAGCGATCTTAGGTATATTCTTTAAGTCGAAGACCTTAGTAAGAGCTAAGTAGTTGTTTAATAATCCTTTAATAGAGGATATATTATCTTCGTGAGTTAGTACCTCTAACAAGAAGGTACTTAAAGTGTAATAGTCTAGTATTTACTTACTATAAATATAAAAGGCTACAGTTGATCTCTGATAATTAAGAGGTAAGTATATTATATAGATAGGAAGATAGTTACTAAGTATTAGAATACTATTTGAAGTTAAGTATAAAGCTCCTATCTAATAGTAGATATACTAGTCTTATATAGAACCTTTATCTTCTGAGGATCCCTATAGATCCTACGATCTAAGGCTCTAGGAACCTTGGATCCTATAGTTCTAAAAACTCTATACTATTACGTGACATATAGTCCTGTGATTCTGTTCTTAGTTCTTAGCTTCTCTGTGCAGTAAGGCTACCGAGCCTTAGGGCTAAGACACACGTGATACTCCTTCTAAGTGCGTTCGTAACAACTTTAAGCTCTTAAGCCGCCTGAAAATTCGTTACTTTACTTACTTACCTACGTCACCTTATTATTAATTATGTATCTAATTAATTGTAGTAATTATAGTAGGAAATAGTAAATACATAGCACCTGATTAAAGTGAAGATTAAGACAGAATAAATAAAAAAATTGTTCGGAAACATTAAAGTAGACGTTCCGCACAAGTGATTCATTTGGCTTCCCGTACCTGTGCGGCCACACCCAGCGCCGCCACGCCCAGGCTGAGGCTGAGGCGCAGGTCATGCATGACGTCTGTGTTCGGAAGGACCACCTGCAGCAAAAATCAAGGTGTTGGCGCACCACTAGCTATTTACTTCATCTTCCGCGTCAACCTCACGGCACACCCCTCCTCTCAAACACCACAACAGCGTGCAACACTGGACTACTTGCCCAAGAACTATTCATTACATATTCAACGAACCCGCTAATATGTCGAAAAGAACAAGCAGTAGCGTCTCGAATGGCGTCGTGAAGGATTCAACTGCTGGTGAGCCCAATCCTCAATCCGTGCCTTGAAACTCCCTAACTAATCATTCCTATAGCTGTTGACAAGCAGAAGAAACTCTTGTCAGAAGAGACGGGTCATTTTTCCTTGATCAGAGCAATGCATCTGGCTGATTTGATTACGGAGCTGAATGGTACAGATTCTTCGACCGCTATCACGAGTCCAAAATGCTGATGAGCGACCAGGCTTCTGTGGAGTCATGTCCATCTTTTCTTCTTTGCGATATTGCCTCGGTTCTCCTGCTTCACATGGCAACCTTTGGCTAGCAATGTTCCTCATGCCGCTCGGTTTGTTCTTCGACTTCATGGACGGCAAGGTTGCGAGGTGGAGAAAGAAGAGCAGTCTGATGGGGCAAGAGCTTGATTCTCTGGCAGATCTGGTATGAGGACATCCCTGACAACATGACCAGTGTCTAATAACTCCCCAGATCTCCTTCGGTGTTGCCCCCGCCGTCTCAGCATTTGCCGTTGGACTTCGAACCCCCGCCGACCACTTCCTCCTCACCTTCTTCGTCCTCTGTGGCTTAACCAGACTTGCCCGCTTCAACATCACAGTTGGAAACGTTCCCAAGGATGCCACAGGAAAGAGCCAATATTTCGAAGGAACACCCATTCCCACATCACTCTCCATAACCTTTTTAATGTCTTATTGGATCAGTAAGGGTTGGATCCTGGAGAACTTGCCCCTTGGTACCTGGGCTACTGGTACCATATTTGAATTTCACCCGGTCGTTGGTTTGTTCTTGTTGAGTGGTATCTGTATGACTAGCAAGACTATTCACATCCCTAAGCCATAGTTAGAGATTGTAGATTGGACTTGGGTGGGTCTGTTGAGTTTGGTCGGACAAAAGGGCATGGCTGTTCAGATTGAATGGGCATGAAAGGCGATGAGACATGTTATGTTCTGCTGTGATACCTCTCAGACAATGCTTTTAAGAAGCATGAATAAAAGCACTTGTATAAACTTCTCAACACAGTCTTGTCTGGAACTCAGGCTATTCATGACTTGGTTATATTGGCCAATTGCAAATGCTCTGGTCGGATGGGGTTTCCTCACGGCTATGCATTGCTTGCGTTGTTTTCATTTGTACAGGTGATTTTATCTTTTTGGCCATCAGACTTGCTAGTTTGCTCACGCCTTCAATCCTCCTAGCATCTTGTCAAGCAAGGTGAACACTTTGCTCAGTGCCACAAGTGCCACAATGCCTATAAGACGGAGCCCGTCAATAAGGAGATGCAGAGTCATTTCTGAAGCGTATGATCCAAGCAATTTTCTCCTAACCTCGTGACAACGGAAAGCGAAGCTACCTACTCACTCAATCATTCTGGGAGGTATGTTAAATAATAGATTCTCTTCAGAATAGACAGAAACGTCCAAAGAACGAGACTGATTGATTTTGTTACTCCCTAAACAACCTTTGCATGTACACCCTCTCATGAACCGGTAACGCCGAGTTATCCACAGACACAAGCAAGAAAGACCAAGCATGTTAACCACGTCCACGAGAAAAGCCCCGACTGGCACCACCCCGACCTCTGGGTGTGAAACCTCCCGAACTTCCTCTGGAAAAACCTCCTGAGCCTCCACGACCACCTCGTCCACCAGCGCTGAAACCACCACGGCCTCTTGGAGCGCCCCTTGCTCCTCCACGGCCGCCTCGCATTGGTCCACCTCGGCCTCCTCTAGCTCCTCCTGCTCGCTTAGGCTTTGCTGTTCCTGGTGGTGGTTTGGGTTTAGGGAGGAATTTTTCTAATGGGAGAAGCTTGTCGCCGCCGATGAAGAATTTGTCGCCGGACTTGAACGATGATGCTTGTATTCCTTCTGACACTTTGACGCTAAAGTAGACATGGTTGATTGGTCCTAGAATTTCTTCCACTCTCCCGATTTGAGTCGTTGTGGCTGTTAGCTATGCGCAGAGAAGGTTGAGTGAAGAGGAGATTTTGAAAATCTCCCGAGGATCCCATGTGCTCACCTTGTTCTGCAAATAGATTGGCGCATTGAAATATGGGATTTTCGTGTTCGTAGACTCGCAAACCATCTCACTGCGTGAATTCTCGAGTCAGTATATGGCAGTATAGGTAGTTGGATTTTTGTTCATTAAGGAGAAATGGGATTGAAAGACTCTTACCCCTCACATGCGTGTTGGAAGGCGCCAATTTCTGATCTCATGTCAGCGGTTGCACCCGATCTATGTATCAAATAGTCCTTACCTTGAACCGTGTCTGGGGGCCCATTGTCTCTTTGCCCAAATCCACCGCGGCCTGTCGAAATCAGTCTCTGCTTTAGGAACGGGGATCTAGAATTGCGCACCTCCACGACCACCAAATCCACCGCCTCCTCTACCTCCACCGCCTCCAAAATTTGCGCCTGTTCCGCGACCGCGTGGTGCTCCTCTGAATGACATTGTTGCTTGTTGGTGATTGCTGTAAATTTTCCAGAACTTTTTGGGAAGTGGAATTTTCGAAGCTCCAGTTGCCGTCGCTAAGGCCTGATATGGGTTAGCGCTTTTCTGATCGCGACCTTCGACTCACACGAGGACTCACCGATATTCAAAAGTCGCAACTTCAACTTGGGAGTTTTAACAACAACTCCGGATCCCAAAATGGATAAAGCGCAAGAAGCCGTCCAGGCTGTCGCCGACGGCGTCAAAAAGGTAGCCATTGGTGAAAAGAAGCAAAAAGTCAAGAAGGACAAAGGAGGGGATGGCGGGGCAGATGCTGGTAAGACATGATGTCCCCAAAATCTGTATATCTTCAGGAAGAATAACGTGTGAGTTATAGGACTACTCGAGATGAAGCCACGTAGGTACTTGACGGGGAGCTCTAGTCTAATATCGCAAGAATTTTTTATGACTTTGTCAAGAATCAATATTGAGCTTTACTGACACCAGCAACAAGAACCTCAATTCCTCGAAGACCGACTGAGGCTCTTTAGCGAATTGAAAGCCAAGTTCGACGCGAAAATTGCTGCCAAACCCCGGGAACAAATCACGATTACTCTCGCAGATGGAAGCCAGAAGACTGGTACGTCTTGGGAGACCACACCTGCCGATATTGCCAAGGGCATCTCGAACAGCTTGCTCAAACGCACAGTTGTAGCCAAACTTAATGGAGATGATGAGCAGCTATGGGATCTGGAGAGACCGCTGGAGGAGAGCTGTAAGCTGGAGTTACTTTCTTTCGAGGACGAGCTGGGCAAGAAAGTCTTCTGGCATTCAAGCGCACACATACTGGGTGAAGCCTCTGAGAGACGCTTCGGCTGCAGCCTGTGCATCGGCCCGCCAATTGAGAGTGGTTTTTATTACGAAATGTCCCTTCCCGATGGAGCACCTGTCCAGCAGTCTGATTGGAAGCCGTTGGAGACCTTGGTGAGCCAGATCGTCAAGGAGAAGCAGCCATTCGAGCGGTTGGTTCTTTCGAAGGAAGACCTGCTGGAGATGTTCTCGTACAACAAGTACAAGCAACATATTATCAAGGACAAGATCGCAGATGGAGAGTTCACCACAGTCTATCGAAATGGTCCTCTCATCGATCTGTGCCGAGGTCCCCACGTACCAAATACTGGGAGGATCGAGACGTTCGCGATCATGAAGAACTCGGCGTCATACTTCTTAGGAAACAAAGACAATGATTCTCTTCAACGTATCTATGGGATTTCTTTTCCAGACAAGAAGCAAATGGCGGATCACAAGAAATTCTTGGAGGAAGCTGCAAAGCGAGATCACCGAAAGATTGGCAAGGACCAAGAACTCTTCTTCTTTCACGAACTGTCTCCTGGATCAGCAATGTGGCTACCTCACGGAACCCGAATTTACAATACCCTGCAGTCATTCCTCAGGGAGGAGTACTGGACTCGTGGCTACAACGAAGTCATCTCTCCTAACATGTACAACTCGGAGGTGTGGAAGACTTCAGGCCACTGGGACTACTACAAGGACGACATGTTCACGTTCGATTCTGAGAAAGACACATTCGCCTTGAAACCTATGAACTGTCCTGGCCATTGTCTGATGTTTGATCATCGCGAAAGAAGCCACCGAGAGTTGCCATGGAGAGTTGCTGATTTTGGTGTTCTTCATCGTAATGAGGCTTCTGGTGCACTGTCGGGATTGACAAGGGTTCGGAGATTCCAGCAAGACGATGCGCATATTTTCTGCCGCGAGGATCAAATCGAGGAGGAAATTCTGCAGTTGTTCGACTTCTTGAACAGGGTGTATGGTCTCTTTGGCTTCACTTTCAAGATGAAGCTCTCGACCAGACCAGAAAAATTCATGGGTAAGCGAGAGATATGGGACATGGCCGAAGCCAAGCTCCGATCCGCATTGGAAGAATTTACTAAGGGAGCGTGGGAGCTCAACGAAGGCGATGGTGCTTTCTATGGACCCAAGATCGACATCACCATCTCCGATTGCTTGAAACGTGACTGGCAATGTGCCACTATTCAACTCGATTTCCAGCTTCCTCTGAATTTCGGTCTAGAGTACATGACATCCGAGATGGTCACGAAGCCTAAGGACGAAGGAGAAGCAGTTAAGCCAAAGCTGGAGGAGACAAAGAAGCCTGCAGTCATTGGACCAGATGGGAAGAAAGAGCGAGTTTACAAGCCACTCACTCCAGGATGCGCTCGACCTGTCATGATTCATAGAGCCATCGCCGGCAGTATCGAGCGCTTCACTGCTATATTGACCGAGCACTTTGGTGGCAAGTGGCCATTCTGGTTGAGCCCCCGACAAATTCTGGTGATTCCCGTTGGTGTTGGTTACTTCGACTATGCAAAGGAAGTCCAGGGTATCTTTAAAGCCGAGAATATGTTCATCGACGTGGACCTCAGCGGCAACACATTGCAGAAGAAGATTCGTACTGGTCAACTTGCCCAGTACAACTTCATTTTCGGTAAGTGCTCATAGTCGTCAGATGGGCTTCACAGCTAACGGGCGTGTAGTTGTTGGTGATCAGGAGATGACTGGAAGAGAAGTCAATGTTCGGAATCGTGATGATACGTCTACTCAAGACCGAGGCAAGCCAGTCCCCTTGAAGGAGGCTATCGCAAAACTCAAGGCGCTACGGGACGAGCGGAGATCGGACAACCCCTTCCCTGGGGATGCCAAGGCAGCTGCTCAGAAGGATGTCAAGGCATGAGACGTTACAAAGGGCATTTAGTTTTGGCCGAAATAGTGCGATGAAGCTTCTGCTTTCCTAATAACTCAGATGTCTTATCCAGATAGGAAATCTTGACGCATAAAAGGGCAACGGGGCTTTAATGTGATGATAGGGACGATTATGAGATGAACCGAACTTCAGAAGAGCCACTCCCGACTGTCAAAGCGTCTGGTGATAAATCTTGAATCTCTTTGAAGTTTCGTGCGCTTTGTAAAATTAGGGCTCTATGAAGAGATTGAATCCGGGAGATCGGCAAGGGTGGGCTGACGTAGGAAGATGCATGATGAGGCCCAATTCGCGCCTGATCTGCTGGACTGTGGGGTAAAAGGGTTCATGCTAGAGCGCATTCGACGTGTTCGCTTGGGTGCTCAGCTGTATTGGGCAGAGATGGGAGAGGGGGAGAGGTAGGAGTGGCATAATGGTGAGTGGCTCAAGTGGTTTGTTGCCAATGGCGAATTGCGAAGTGCAGCGCCAGCGCCAGCGTCAGCATCAGCCTCCTAGGAGGGAGGCGACTGACGAAGATACGGGGTGTTGGGATTTTGTACTGGCTATGGTCCATGGTGAGAACAGCAGATCATCTCTGATCTGTGAACCTTGGCTGGTGATTTGAACCGAGATGCTGTGCGGTGCTGTGCTGTGCTGAGAGGATGTTCGGTTCGGAGCGAAGCAGCGAGTTTACTGGCAGACTGGTACTGTTCGGAGATACGAGTTAGTAACTTTACAATACTACGTAACTATAGCTGCTACCACCTTAACTCAGGTACGGTAATGTAAGTTAAGTGAGAAGTGCCGAATAATATGACCTGAATCCGAATCTGAATCCTGGGGAATCTTGGCCATTTCTTTGAGCAAGGTGGGGGCACTGTGGTGTGGTGTGGCTTGGTGACTACGTCAGAACCAGAACCGTAACTTAGGTGGGGAGGAGGGAGGAGGGAGGAGTCTCCTATTATTCTCGTCCTCTCATAGTATAGCATAGCACAGCATAGCACAGCATAGCACAGCATAGCACAGCATAGCACAGCATAGCACAGCATAGCACAGCACAGCACAGCACAGCTCAGCACAGCTCAGCACAGCGCGACCCTTCTTGTATTTCTCTCCTCTCCTCTCCACTCCTCATCACTGCCGCCTATACTTCCAATACAGAACAAATAGACTCTCAACAAATCCGAGTCCAATTCCAACCCCATCATTGGCGCTTTAAATAAATCGAGGTCACCTTGATCCCACGTGACCGAACAAGTCCCGACGGGACCAAGTAAACATCCACCGCCAATCACAACTTGACCGCCGCTCGTTCGGGTTCCATTCAGGTTCAGGTTCAGGGTCTTCCCCAAATCCATCCATATCGACTCCCAAAACACACATCACTGGCCTGACTTGGCCTGACCGGACCGGCAAGACAGTATGTGGAAGCCCGCCCTCATCCAAACACTCCCTCCTTCAACATCGTCCACCTCTTCGCCGCTGAAATCATGGAGACGGCTTTGGTCTAACGTTGAAACGATTTAGGTCGAAACTACGTCACAGACTAGACGCTGCAGTATCTGCCACCACCCCCTTCCCTCCGCCCTCCTCTTCTTCTCTCCTCTCCTCTCCTCTCCTCTCCTCTCCTCTCCTTCCCTTCCCTCGATATGTCGACCCTTAATCCCAACACAGCAGTTCCTCCTCCCTCCCAAGCCTTTGTCGAGAGAGGATACGGCGGTGCGAGCAGCAGCTCCCGAACAAACCTAGGCACAGGCACAGTTGCTGCCACAGATTTCGGGTCCGCACCCGGATATCTTGCGGAAGCTTCCCCTTTAGCACAATCCGCAAGCCAAGGAAGGTTTAATGAGGAGTGGGACGCAAGCCAGCGAGGTAGCTCAATAATTGACGGTCCAATGCAGCGGTCCAACTCTGTCATGTCGCAAGGCGACACCCTGATTCCCTCTCGTGGGGGAACCTTGAAGAAGAAGGCATCCTTGCGAAGGACGGGTTCCATGAAGAGGAGCTCTAGTCGCAGAAGCTCGAGAGCTGGCAGTGTTCGCAGTCTTGCCCTTCAATCCGCTGGAGATGCCGATGAAACACACAGCGCCTTCTACTCTCCAGTTCCCACCACTGGCAACCCAACCGAGATACTCGCAAACAGATTCCAAGGTACGTAGCATTCAATATTATATAGTATGTTACGAGCCTGACTTTTCTCCCGATAGCCTGGCGCAAAGTTCTCAAAGATCTGATTACCTATTTTCGAGAAATACAAACTAGCTATGAGCACAGATCAAAGAATCTCCTAAAGGTTTCCAATGTGATTAACAATACATCAGCACCGACCATGTTCTTGGAGTCTGGGGGAATAGATGATGCCGTCCAAGTACTCCGCAGTTATCACAGAATCGCAATTGCGGAGGCCAACAAATCCAAAGAGATCGAAAACGACGTGATCATGGCACTAACCGGCTTACGGAGCGACCTAAACCAGAAGATTAAGGAGATCAAGGGCCTCTCAAGCGACTTCAAGAATTCTGTGGACAAGGAAATGGAAACGACGCGTCGAGCTGTCAATGAACTACATGAAGGCTTGGGACAGTCTGATATGGACCCTGCTCAGATGACTGGCAGGAAGGACCCGTATTTGTTGAAGCTTGCAGTGGACCGACAAATCGAGAGCCAAATTGATGAAGAAAACTACTTACACCAGGTAAGCTAAAATCCACTGCTATTACAGACGGAGTCTCCTCGGCTGGACTTCCTGGCATTGATGGGCTACATACGGTCTTATATGCGATCACTGACAAACAAGCAGGCATACTTGAATCTCGAAGCATCTGGAAGAGAACTAGAAGCCATTGTCGTAGGCGAAATTCAGAAATCTTACAACGCCTATGCTGGAATCCTGAAGCGCGAAGCAGATGCAGCATACAATACTGCAGATGAACTACGCACTGGCCCGATCGCCATGCCTAAGGACCATGAGTGGAACACTTTCGTCCAGAAGGACGAGCATTTTGTTGATCCGAGCGTTCCTGTTCGACAACCTCAGAATATCCATTATCCTGGTCGTGATAATGAGCTCGCTCAGGAAGTCCGCGCTGGTCTACTGGAGCGAAAATCTAAATACTTGAAGAGCTACACCGCTGGCTGGTGAGTCACTCCATGTTCCCTCCCACTGACTGTAACTGCATCTGACATGCATATCTAGGTATGTTCTTTCCCCGACTCATCTCCACGAGTTCAAATCCGCAGATAAGGCTCAGGCGCCTATCATGTCTCTTTACCTCCCAGAACAGAAACTTGGATCGCATTCCAACGAAGGCTCTTCTTCAAACAAGTTCATCTTAAAGGGGCGGCAAACTGGTTCCATGCACCGTGGTCACTCATGGGTTTTCAGAGCGGAAAGTTACGACACTATGAATGCATGGGTACGTTTATTATCCCGATTTTCTGTTCTTCGCTTTTCGCCTAGTCCTTTGGTTACTCCATGTGACTACCACATAAATTGATTTTTAGATCAGCTTGCATTTGCAGCTGCTAATTGTAACAGTATGAGGACATCAGAGCGCTCACCGAGAAGACTCCTCAAGAACGCAATGCCTTTGTACGCCAACATGCCCGAAGCATAAGTGGTACATCGCAGAGAGCTGGCTCCATCAGCAGCGATGGTATAATGGACGAAGAAGACGAAGAGCCCTTCTCTGCCTCGAATGCGGACGTTGTTAGCACAGGACCGAAGCAAGCCGAATTGCCCAAACGTCCCCAGCCAGGTGGGAGATTCCCATCCGATGTCAATTTGTCTCGAGGCTTACAGGCTCCTCTTTCCCCCTCTAGCGGAAGTTCCGGAGTCGAAGACCGTGATGTAGTTGCAGCTGCTGGAAAGCTACCGGGCAGTGCTATGCATCAATATGGCGATACTGCTTCCTCACCGACACACGGAGCTTATGTTGACCAGCAAGCGAAGGAAGACGGTGTGAATCCATATACAAGTCAAAGAATGAGCCAGGATTTAGGACGGGGCCGATCCGACAATCGATTTACCGTGGGGGAGATGGCTGCTGCTGGTCTAGGCGGTACCGTTGCTAGGGCTGTCGGATCCGAACTTTCTTACAATCGCTATGAAGATGGTAAATTTAACGATTTCCGCCGACAGCAGGAAGAACAAGCTGCTCGCGAAGCTGCCACAATTGCTGCCCCGGATACATTCGAGCAACAATCCGAGCAACAAGCTGCGCAGGAAGCTGCTATTTATGCTGCACCAGACAGCTATCTGCAAAAGTCCGCACCCGACGCCAGCTTCATGTCTGGTGCTCGCAGCCAAGGCGATGTCACCAGTAAAGGAGCGATTGGCTCAGAGACTAATCCAATTGAGAAAGTTCTTGAACCATTGACAGAAAATGGAAGGCCGTCCTTGGCTGCTGGCCAGAATCATCAAAGTGTGCAGAGTGTTTCCCAGCTACACGTTCCTGGAGAATTTCCCAAGGAGCACAACAAGACGAGCCCAGTCTAAGAGGGGTTCATTTGTGAGTATGTGTATATAGCTATATATAATATGCTACTAGCTAGCGCGAGGTGCAGGACTAGGCTGCTGAGATTAATAGATAGCTATGTAGAAGATAATCAAGTGAAAACAAAAATATAGAGCGTCGTGGTTGAAAGCATAATGTTCTCAATTTTAGCTGTCTGGCTAAAATCTGCCACTCAAATTGCAACACCAATAAAGCTGGTTGGTAAAACACACATGGAAACAAAGACTGACTATAGAAAACCTAGCTAGCTGAATAGGGCATCTCGTGGCTTCAGTCTAAGTAAGGTAAACCTCAATGCTCTGGAGTAGATCGAAAAATACCTACTTTACAGAAGTTAATCGAGAGAGATCGGAATATACAGACCTTTTGTTAAACAGATGTACAGTAGCAATGAATCCGGTTGCCGAGAAATCTATGCTTTGGCTTAATGATAAACAGCCATAATTCTCCATAAACCATGGGACAATTGGGGACCGATCGCGTGAAGGATGCCAACCCAGTTGATGGCATTTGACATGCAATATCTTGACTCAAGCACACACCCGTTCTGATGCTGCGTCTGCCCAGGATCTCTCAGCGTTGATCAGTACTTTGGAGAGAATCAACAGTGCCGCAGGGGGAGCTTTCTATCTTGAAACGGAGAAAGATAGATCTGGGTGGAGTGTGGAGGCTCATACCCGCCACACACCGAAACCTGGATCAATTTTGAGCAAAACTTAAAGTGCAGAAGTAGGAAACTCTGGTCTACATGCAGATCTTTTAGCGTAGCCCTGCTCGGATAGTGTCACCCGGGGTTTCTACTGTGCTTGGTTTTGTCCAGCCTACGTGTAGCCATCCAAATAGGCGTTCGAAGGTTTCACAAGCCCACACCTACTGGTCACTCATCTACGTTACAACCGACGCATTCTGGACCAGCAGTGCTGGGCTGACTGACCCCTTACCCATTAACCCTTCGTCCTCCCCGGCAACACCTATCGGGTGCGTTGCCATTGCTAATATAATGTCACCATCACCTTCCCTTCTGCATAATGGTTACCAGTGGGGACGTAAATTAGCCTTATTATTCGCTGGAAATTTGGAATTTACACTGACTCATTCCTTGTACATACTGGTGAGGACGGTATCGTGCCACACCGACGCTGTTTTCTGGCGCTGATAGGGAAGGGGGGCTTGGTTGGCACCTGTTTGGCTTAACTAGTCTTTGTGATGATGTTACCTTCCTGCAGTTCATGAAGATGTAGAAGATGTTGTTGAATATCTGAGTCGTACGTTGGCCGAATAGGAGTCTAGCCCTGGATACTTTGTACCTTGGCCGAGCTAAATGATGGATCATAGCGGTAAGTACGCTATTGTGCTACCACACCGATGCTGACTATCTTCAAGTATATTAAGTGGCTTTGGTAGATCCATGGAAGGTACATGAAGCTCCCCTGGGCCTGGGCTAAACGCCATCCCCAAAGACCACATGCTAGTATTTTGTATGGCAGTAAGCTGCAAAACGGGAATGTGACGAAGCGCTGCCAAAGTTGAGGGTATCTGCTGGCAGGAGAATCAGCTATTGAGTTGGTTCATTTTGCCACAAAGCTCAGCTATCACATCAGCAGGTAACGAACCTCTAGGTGTCTACCAGTGCCGTCCATCAAAAATGCCATCAGGGCTTTCTTACGACCGTCTTGTGCTTTGGTACTATACAGGCCAAGTGATGGCGGCAGTTTCTCTTTTTGAGCGCGCTTCGATGATGATGCTCGAGCATATATGGATGTATGCTGTCTTACATTGCAGAATAGATACGACAGTCTGGATCTCACGCCACTTTGAAAGTGCGACGCGTGCAGACTTTATATCAAGAATATCCTGGGGTCATGAGGAAATCAGGTTCCACATATCAATATGGCCCAAGCTTCTATGGAAATGATCTTTGCATGCATGGCATTTTGAAATGTAACAAACAAGATCATTCTTACAATTGCTGTTATTCGAAGCCCTGCTTATCTCCATCGCTCACACCGGTCACTTCGTCATCACTTAGCTCAAGATACGGAACGCGTTGGGATCATTCGTTTGTTGGGTCACATCTTGGCGACCTCGCGATGTGCAGTACCTTTACCCTAGCCTGCAGATGATATCTGCCTTTACAAAGCAGTGTGCGAAGCCAGATGCGGCACTCACGACTCCGTACGGGATCTTCTCATCTCAGACTTGCATCAGAACGCACAGCAAAAGCGGGTATAAGCCACGCGTTCCTTTCTTCAGCTTCGGCTCCTTACTGTAGTAAACAAACAATGAAACTTGGACCAGGCCCAGAGGGCTTTTTCGCCAAGCCGGTACTGTCCTGCTACAGCGCAGAGCCTCCTTGATTTTGGCCGAAAATAATTCAACAGTCTGACACAATGAGGGTCATTCTGGGAAAGTCTCTTGCAATGCGTTAAACGTAGGTACGGGCCGTTGTTCCCGTGCTTGCAGTGGTCCATGTTGTTAGGATCATGCCTGTCTGATATGCGCCAATCTGCCCAAGTTGGCGTTTTGCAGGTGCATACAAGATGATGAGGGGGCAGCCGCGATTACACTGACTTGCAGCCAAAGATTTGGTACGCCTTTATTACCTACTGCAAATGCAAGCTTCACGCTGAGGTGGCACTTGCCTGCTTTACACCGGGTGCTCCCATGCATACTGTCCAGGTCGTGAGCATGCAGCCACAAGGAGCGTGCATATGGCCAAGCCAAGCTGGGATAGTATTCGGTGCTGTGGGAGACAACCTAGCAAATTTTCTCGTTGCAATCGTAAGAATAAAAGGGAACTGTAGAAAGGGGTTCGTAGAGTCTCCCATACTCATGGGAAGAGCCGAATTAGAGTTTGAAACCATGCGAATGGGACTTGCTGTCTCTGCAGTACACCAAACATTCTTAGTGAAATCTATCTGCCAACGGGTGGTGTTTATGTTGTGCCATGCATGCATGTGACGCAAAATATTTCTGCAAGTACGCAATCCTTGCGAGGCCTGCTTGTCTCGACGGTCTCAAGCTGCAGCTTGGCGAATTGACTGGTTCCTGAACCCCAGAGGCAGCTGTGACAGATAAAGACAAAGAATGGGGAGGACCATCCAGGAAAGCTGTTCTGAAATTCGGAAAGGAAGACATGGGTCCCACCCGATTTTCAAGCAAAGCTTCATCCACATCAAGGAAGAGCTCAGAACTCCCTGCTCCTCTGGAACTGAGCATTAGCCATGAAAGGCGGAGCAATCCTCTTCAGTGTCAACTGATATGCTGTGACCAGCCAGCTTGGCATCCAGAGCAATTCGGAATTCTCGGCGAGCGTGTATCCATCCCCATAATGACTTGAACTTCTTATGACCACATTTCACAACGTTTAATGGTCCCGGCGACATTCTAAACTGCTTTGAGTGCGGACCTGCGTCATAAGGCAAGTATATACCATGAGCTCGTTGGTAGCTTGTTGTATCCAATGGATGGGTAAAGATTTAATGTGTTACCGTGTTGTCAAAAGAGGCATATGCTTGGCGGCAAAAGGACGGCGAGCCTCGTAGTAAGAGCCCTATGTGAAGATGACAAAAAAGATCAGCTACCAAATCGCCTGGACGAGACCGTGTACTTCGTAGGACGACAGTCAGTCGCATACGTAGCAAAGTTTCCTGAGAAGCGGAGACACTGAAGAAGCGTTGAATAAATGCGCTTGATGTTTGGCTGGTGGAGTTGGAGAGAGACTTCTGCCAACGACCAGGCAGGTATAGGCAGTGTGGTACACAGCCCTAGAGATGCCCTGCAGGTGGTGATTAAATGAGGGCATAGTCTGCTTTGAGCGTCCTTGAGGGGGTTGGAAGTACAGTCCAATCAAACAGCACTGCCAGATAATTTACAATAATTTCCATTTGAACCAAAAACAGCCAATGCCACTCCGCGGACTCTCGGAGCAGCTGGAGCTGCCATGCCAGTTTGAAGAGGCAGGTGGGGACAGCCATGCTGGATAAAAGCCACTACAGTAAGTATACTGTGCATGCTGCGATGCGGTGCGGTGCGGTGCGGTCCTGCAGCCTGTACTTGGCTGGGGGGAGGAGACAAAACCCTGGGCGACCTCCGTTCCTCTTACAATACTGTAGTATCCACTTGATGCTGTGCAGGCTCACATTCGCCCTGGGCGTCAAGACTCAAGACTCGCGCGCCCAGTATCAAGATATGTTTGTTCACCAGTTGAGCCGAGAAATGACAAGGAAGCCGGACATATCTTCTTCCTGTTTCCGGGAATGCCACGCGGACAAGAGAACAGAAAAGGGAGCATAAGGAACACACACTACTACTACTACTACTACAGTGCAGTGCTACAGGCAGGGGCAGCCCAGAAGAGGAAGTCAAGTCAAGTCAAGTCAAGTCAAGTCAAGTCAAGTCAAGTCAAGTCAAGTCAAGTCAAGTCAAGTCAAGTCAAGTCAAGTCAAGTCAAGTCAAGTCAAGTCAAGTCAAGTCAAGTCAAGTCGAGTGGATCGAGTCGAATCGAATCGAACATTGTGTGAGGGGGTGCGGCGGAACAGGTCAGTCAGTCATTGTATGGAGTGTGGTGGTGGTGGTGGTGGTGGTGGTTGAGTTGGAGGAAGAGAAGAGAAGCGGATCATCCCTTGGCCCCAAGCTAAACTTAATTGGGCTGCTCTGCTCTGCTCTGCTCTGCTCTGCTCTGCTCTGCTCCGCGCTGCTCCGCGCTGCTCCGCTCTGCTCCGCTCTGCAGCCTCTGCATTGCTTCCTCGGATCCACACAAGCTGACCGGGCGAACTGTCTTCCACGGTTCCACCCCTTCCAGGTCACTTCATTCCATTGCCGTCGAACCTCAACCTGCTTCTGCCTCCGCCTCCTCTCTGATCCCAACTGCAGCAGCTTGCATTGCATCCACACCTCTCTTCATTCAGGCTCTCAGCTGCATCCGTCTGCATCCTCCACTCCCTGTGTGTGACCAGCGCCGCAATCGCGACCGCATCCGCACCACCCACTTCGTCAGTACAGTGCTGTACCTACGTGTGCGACACCGCGCATTGGAAGTAAGAGCCAATCCAATCCAATCCAATCCAATCCAAGTTACCTGCACGTATTGTCCTCGAGTTCTCCGAGGTGCCTCGAGCCTCTGTCTCTGCGAAGCAGGGAGGCTGGCAGAGAGAGGACAGCTGTCTGGCATAGGCGCCGGGAGGGTGCTGGCGCCCCTCTCCCTCCTCGTACTGCCCTGCCTGCGCGTCGAGGCTGGCTGCCTCCAGCTCCTACCCACCTGCCATTCATCCCCTCCTCTCTGCTTCTCCCCCCTCCCCTCCCTCCGCTCCCCTTCCCTGTCGTGCGTCTGTTAGAGCCGAATCAGTGCTGATACCCATTTTCTCGGGCTGCAGATACAACCCAACTTCACCACACCACACCACACCACACCACACCACACCACAGCACGCCCGTGAAAGTCCCAAGCAGCCGAAAGCCCTCCTTCCTACACGCTCCCGCAGTACAGTACGTACGTGGTGAACCTCCCGTCTCGATTGGACATGATCCCCCCCAGCCTATTGCTCACCTCATATCTGCAAATCATCAAGTCTATGTATGCCACTAACAGCTATCCTTGCGTTTTCAGCACTTTCTTGGCCCCCCGAGAGTAGCTCCTGAAGCCTCACTCATACACCGTCCGACAGTACCTATCTGTACCTGCACCGCTCGTCGCCTTTACCGACCACCACCTTACCCACAAGAACGTCCATCTTAGCCATGTCAGGCGCAGGTTAGTTTGTCCCCCAACGAAGCGCAACACCTTGTCCCTTTTCGTTCCATTCACTGTGGCCGGCGACGGAGACCGTCCTTCGCTACCAGTCACCCTCTATTCTCCTTCTTTGCTCGTTCCCTACGACCCCTTCTCCTTCTTCAACTTCAACTCAAACTCAGTCCTTCATACTAACTTTTTTGGAACCCAAGCAGACGACTCGTACCGCCCCGGAGTAAGTCCTAACTACTACCTGCCTACTGCAGATCATCCCCCAACCCCTCTTCCCGTCGAGCAGGTCATGTTTGGTTTCGTAAGGCTGGAGCCTCACCTTCCCGATGGCGTCCGCACTGACAGGTGGCTTTTATTCAATGATCGCACATGAGGTCAAACTTGGCCTAGTTGCCGCAACCACCTCTACACCTTGTGGGCTATCAACGACCTTCACTTTCATATCGCATAACATAAACCCCTTCAAGAACACCTACAGCGCCTTCCATCTCACCCCCTCCTTACCTTCGTTATCCATTCTGCTTGATGATTGGAACAGAGACTTACGTGTCGCAGCGCGAAAGATCCCCTAGACGTCGGTCCCGTTCACCACGGTCTTCCAGACGTCGCTCCTACAGCCCTCGGTCTCGCAGCCGCAGCCGTGAGGATCGCCATCGAAGTGATAGAAGATCTCGAAGCCCAATTAGCGGCGGAATGTCAGCCGGCGGAGGAGCACCACATAGGACCTTTGAGGAAAGAGCCCAAGCCAGAGAGCAGATGTTGGCCAGCCTCAAGGAATCATCCCAACAAGACCGTCGGTCAGTGATCAAAGGGGTTTACGAATGATTTTTCGCTCACTGTTGGAATTAGTGTCTACGTTGGAAACCTTAGTTATGACGTCAAATGGCATCACCTCAAAGATTTCATGAGATCTGGTTAGTCTTTGGAGATGGGTTAGATGGACAGAACGCTGACCGGTATATCTTTTACAGCTGGGGAGGTTTTATTTGCAGATGTGTTGTTACTTCCGAATGGAATGTCGAAGGTGGGCGCCTATACGTAGCTGGCTTTTTGAGTTTTTCTTTTCTGGCTTTTGAAGGAATGTTGGATTGACGGATTGGGACGATGTTCCGCGGGTTATGTAGGGATGCGGGTAAGTTCAAATATTGTGTCTTAAGGTCCGGCCGTTTACTAATGTCAGCATAGCATTGTAGAATATGCCACGAGGGAGCAAGCTCAACAGGCCGTCAACACTCTCAGCAACCAAAACCTCATGGGAAGACTCGTCTACGTTCGAGAGGTACGTTCTGGTCGCACAAGCATATCGGTATGTAGGCTGACAATGGGGGCAAGGACCGTGAGGCCGAACCCCGATTTACTGGCCCGCCTGCAGGAGGTCGCGGCGGTTACGAAGGCGCCCCAGGCCGTGGCGGATTTGGCGGCGGCTTTGGCGGCGGCATGGGTGGGGGTGCTGGTGGTGGTCGCCAAATCTATGTTTCGAACGTTTGTTGCCTCCCTGCCTTTGCTGTAAGCTCATACTGGGCGTATATTGACCATGTTTCTAGCTGCCTTACACGGTAGGATGGCAAGATTTGAAGGACCTGTTCCGTCAAGCTGGTAAGTACAATTTCTGTTGCTAACATGAAAATAGCGAGGTGAATTAACATGTGAAATAGCTCGCAATGGTGCAGTTATCCGTGCCGATGTTCATGTTGGTCCAGATGGTCGTCCGAAGGGCTCTGGAATAGTCGCTTTCGAGAGCCCAGATGATGCACGCAATGCAATCCAGCAGTTCAATGGCTATGATTGGCAAGGTCGTCCACTGGAAGTCCGAGAAGATCGCTTTGCCGGTGCCGGTCCAGGATTTGGTGGCCGTGGCGGATTCGGAGGCGGGCGTGGAGGGTTTGGAGGTGGATTCGCCGGTCGTGGTGGTCCAGGCTTTGGAGGTCGGGGTGGCTTTGGAGGTGGATTTGGCGGGGGTCGTGGCGGCTTTGGAGGTGGATATGGAGGTGGAGCTCCTGGTGGCGGCTACGACGCTGGCGCACCTTCAGCGGCTCCCAACCCATTCACCGACTACGCAACTGCTGGCACTGAAAGAAGCGAGATCATCTATGTTCGAAACGTAAGGCTTCTTCGTGCGGAGTAAATGGGTCCATACTGACATTGCTGTTAGCTTCCATGGTCTACAAGCAACGAAGATCTTGTAGAACTGTTCACCACGATTGGAAAGGTTGAGCAGGCCGAGATTCAATACGAACCAAACGGCCGGTCTCGAGGAACGGGTGTTGTCCGGTTCGATAGTGCTGATGGCGCAGACACTGCCATTGAAAAATTCTCTGGTTACCAATACGGCGGCCGCCCTCTCGGATTGAGCTTCGTCAAATATCAGACTCCTGGCGGCGGCGGCGACGCAATGGAAACCGAAGCTACCAGTCTGACCCAGGACCAGATCATGTAGAGCTGTCCTGTGACAAATGCCTCGATAACATTTTCGACTTGGCGAACAGGATGCCAATCTAATCCCGGATTCTCTTTTTTTTCCCCCCCTATCCATGTAATCAATGCAAACACAAATCGCTACGGAATCATATCAGCCTCATTATTGAAGGCCGCGTTCTTCTCTCTTTTGCTTCGCGGCGTGCGTTCTTTATCACGGGGATCTCTGTAGCACATCTGGTCAGGGAGTGGCTGGCATGTGCTTGTTTGATTTAAAAAAAAAGTTTTACACCCAAACCATATGCGCTGAGTTTGCAAGTAGTGCACTCAATGCGATGATTTGAAACCTGTCCCTGGGCCACTGGATCCGGCTGCGAAGTGAAAAACTTGATTGAGCTTTACTAGTGATATCAGAAGACACTTCAACCTATATTACTCTCCAATGTCTGAGTATGTTACTGAATTGTTGACTACTCTCAGAACGCCTTCTGGATCTCGCGGTTCTAAGCTAAATAATTGTAGTATTCCAAGGCAGCGGCCAAACCCGCACGTCGTTGGGTGGTGATTCATTTCAATATCCAGGTATTATTCACAACGCACCCATTCACTTCTCATTTCCGAACCTACTCACAAGCTATTTAAGTGCTAAGCAAACAACGTTCCATCTCCGTTTTCTGGACTTCAACCTACAAATATTTCTTGCCCCTCTCCAGGTGCCCTGACAAGTCATTCGACTTGTGACCAAATCATAACTGGAAACGATACATCAACAGGGCACTCAACAGGGCACTCAACACACCCACAGTCGCGGAGACCATGTGCCAGGTGGCCCCCTTTACTTTCCCTTGTTGTCGAAAAGTATATGTCGAAGTTACGAAGGTCCCTAGTTGCCCCAACTCTTGGCCGAACCGAAAGTGTCCACCAGAACTCTGCATTCAAGTACGCGGCTATGAACCTGAAGACCGAGACAGCGGAGTTTGTTGGAGATGTAAAGCAAAAGCTGCCGGTGTCGTCGCTGCCGACCGGGAGAGTTTAAGACCAAGAATCGACAAAGCGACTCTTGTTCTTGGATTGGATGAGCTTGGTGTCCCGGGAAGGAGAAGGCGTGAGGAGCAGAATGGTAATTGTTGGTTCTGTGGAGCTACTGGGGGATGCAAAGCCTGTGGTACCACAGAAATCGAGCTCACTGAGGATGAGGTCAAAGTCGAAGCGACTGGAAAGAGAAAGCGAGACATCGGAAGCGCAAAAGGCAAGGAAGTCGTGAAGAAGTTCAAGCTGGAGAAAGACTTAGGTCAAAAGACCCCTACACGGGCTTTTGAGTATTCAGCCCTAACTTCTCCATCTCATCCACGATACCCATATCCTCATGTGTTCACCCAAGAGTATCAATATTTCGATCAGCAACCTCAAAGCGACATTCGCAGTTGTGGCCCGAACGACCTCCCCCGCCTGCCTCAAACAGATGTGTCAAAGTATTGTGAAGCTGGCTCGACACAGTATCCTCTCCTAGCAAACTGGCAGCCCATTTATACACACCAAAATGCTTCAACGGAAATGACCAGCGCGTACCAGGGCCACCAAGCAAGCCAATTTTCTGATGATGGAAGGTATGTAAACTCCACTGCTCAGTATTGTTCAAGCGAACACATATCGCATTCGGAACCCGACATCTATCCATCTCTCCTCGGTGACAAAAGCCCTATTAGTGGCAACGCTGGGCTATGGTTTGATCGTACAGAGCAAGAAGATGAACATCATATGGAAGTTATGTCTCGCTTTCATTCGGCAGAACAACTATCTCGAAATGTGGTGGACATACACCCTCTGATCAACCAGACTAGCACACCAAGACTCCCCAGCATGTACACCAATTCGCAACAAAGTAGCCAATACATTCATGATGGAGAGCGACAAGACTATAAGTCCCAAGAGTCTAATCTCAACGGCTATCCTCCGGACCCACATGCAAACGTTTATTTGGAGCATGACATCTCCTATGATGAACGCGGTGTTCAGGAAACTTCCAATGGCTATACTTGCCATCACGAGAATAGTCAAACTATCAACGAGGAGCCACAATATGAATTTAAGCATGAGAGGTCTTTGTCTTCGCAAAATTCATGCTCGTCTTTGGACCCAAACATCCAGCCTGGCCTTGATGATCTACCACTCCAGGTAGGTACTCCCGCTACACACTTGAAATCAGTCTTAACGAGGCACAGTGTGATCTAGCCAAAATCGACGACACCACTCTGGCGAGGCTGTCGAAGAAGTATGGTGGTGACATAAAAAGTAATGGCGTGAACTCTAATGTGGATGTCAAGCTCGCTCAAGAAGCTGTTACCAAACATGGTGGCTCAGGTAGCAGCAAGCTGAGGCGACCCTGAACGTTACTTATGGTCCATCTTGGAAGAAATGAGGAATCTAGATGTTTAAAAGACCGGTTGTTTTGCAGCTGTGGCTAATTGGACAGAGTGCCAGGGTATGGGTTACTGTCTCCATATTCCTGAGAGGATTGGTATTTGTACAGACAGAACTTCGTGTCCCCATCTCCATTTGGATGTGTTACTAGATTTAGTCCCATGATAGTATCGCGTTGGAGTAAATCAATAGCATAGCATGTGTTTTATTGAACCATACGCAAATGCCCCGAGAATGCAAGTTTTCATGCTGTGGACAAGCGCTCGGGTATCATGGGTACTAAGCTCAAGCTGCTCCCATGCAAGAAAAGTCGCCAAATAAAGCTCCTGGACATATATCATCTATCATTTTTTCAGTTCCGCAGCCGCAGGAGCACCTGACGCAGCACCCCCTTGCTTCTTCTTTTTCTTGAGCTTCTCTTTCGCCTTACTCCTATCCCTCTTTTTCAGGCCTGACATCCCCAGCTTGCACACCTCCGCATACTTGGCAAAAAACCCTTCTAGCGCAATGACCTCCACAATTGTCGACAGCTTGACCTTTTTATCCCTGTTCGCCTTTGACTTGCCGTTCGTCGCCCTTATTATGATCGGTAATGGTTGGGGTGGGTTCTGGTCAGGGAAGGGCGCCTCGCTCGTAGCTTCTGGTGAGCTGACATCCGTGTCTTCGCCGTATGTCACTGCAACTGTCAGAATACATAATAGCGATTTTCTGGGCTTGCAGAGGTCATACTGCGCTTTTGGGTAAGATAGATGCTGCCATGGTCCTTTTGTCGCCGTTCATCGAAGAGCTCTGAAAGGCGCAGGAAGAACTATTTGCTGTCAGTGATGAGTACAGGAGGCACAAATAGAACAATGGAGGACAAATACATCATCATTGCTCAGATGCCCCTTTGACATCTTTGCGTTTCGATGTGGAGTGTTGTCAATCGAGGGGGGCTCGTGGTGGGATGTTTTAGGGTGAGGTGGTGAGGTCGTGGTGGGGTGAACCTTGTGGGGTCGAGCCGATTTTGGTGCCCGCTTGCTTGCTGCCGATCTTGTGTAAATTTCTCGAAACCCAAGGAAATTTTGAAGAGACACCACAACATGAGATGGCGCCACAACAGAGGGCTTTGAAGCTTCCCAAAGTACTGGTTGATCAGATTGGTGGAGAAAGTATGTAATCGGGTTGACCTCCTCTTGTTGCTTTGCAGATATTAATACCTTCATAGAGGCACTTTCTGGTGGAAGCAAATCCCGTCCTCAGGCTGGTTCGAGAAAAGAACTTCGCAAAGCTAGACGAATTGAGAAGAAGGCTTCGAGAGGTGGACCGCCTCCTGTAAAGAGAGCGAATGTATATCACGAAGAAGGCCATGATTCAAATGGTAAAGCGCCAGCAGTGTCAAAATCACCACCAGCGAAGCAATTGCGTGACAAGCCTACGAAAGAATCCGAGCCCAGGTCAATCCTGAAGCGCACGAAGAAGGCAGATCCTACAAGAAAAGGCTCTAGAATGCGCATATCAGTATCCTCGCCTCCCAGGATATCTAAAGCTGTGCAAGACAAGCTGGCTAGGGAAGACGAGGAAATTGCTGCTCTAGAGAAGAAATTGGGTTTGAAGGGCAGGAAGGGATTGCCGCAGTCCTTCAAGGATGATGGACTTGATATGTTACTTGAAGGGTTAGGCGGCTCGGAGGAAGGGGATGAGGGTGTCCAGCAGAAGAGGAAGAGGAAAGCAGAGGGGGACGACTGGCTGCAGCGGAAACGGACCAAGGCACGAGATGCCGCCAAAGGAACAGTGACACTTCTCGATGACGACGAAGATGATATGGATTTGGCAGATAGAGATTCTGAAGGTTCCGAAGAGGCAGATGAATCCAACGGAGACGACGGAGCTTCTCATACGTCTTTAGATGAGCCAAAGATTCCTGATGATAACTCGGAAGACGACGAGGTCGATCTTAAAGAGAACATTTTGAACCTCGACGACGACTTCGATGAGTTTGAATCCAACAGCGAGTCAGAGGCAGAGGTAACCATTGAACACCCCGAGAGACTCAAGAAGGTACGGGAGAACCCTTATGTGGCCCCAACTAGTGGTACCAATGCTGCTACAGAAAAATACATACCGCCGTCTTTACGGAAACCAGCATCTTCTGACTCTGAAGAACTGATTCGACTACGACGTCGAACCCAGGGTTTGGTGAACAGGCTTACAGAAGCGAACCTGATACCGATTCTAGCAGACATCGAGAAGATCTACCGGGAAAATCCTAGACAACATGTCACTTCGACTTTAGTTGAAGTTTTGTTGATATCCGTTTGCGAGCCTACGAGCCTACCGGACACTCTTATCATTCTTCCTGCTGGATTTATTGCATCTATTTACAAGATCATTGGCACCGATTTTGGAGCTCAAATTGTCCAACGAATCGTAGAATTGTTCGATGAACACTATGCTCGTGCCACGGCTCTAGGCAATACTGGTCCTTCTGCGGCGACAGTAGATAGTAGTAAGGAAACTTCAAACCTGATTATGCTCCTCTCCGAGATGTACAACTTTCAAGTTGTGGGAAGCAACTTAATGTTCGATTACATAAAAATGTTCCTTGAGAAGCTATCCGAGCTCAACGCAGAATTACTACTGAAGATTATACGAGCATCTGGACCTCAGCTAAGACAAGATGATCCTTCGTCAATCAAGGCTATCGTTGCGATGCTTCGGCCAGCTATTGAAGGCGCTGGGGGTGAAGGCAACATCTCCGTCCGAACAAAGTTCATGATCGAGACCATTAACGACCTCAAAAACAATAGGATGAAGACTGGCGGTGCCGCATCGGCTATTACGTCCGAACATACCATTAGGATGAAGAAAATACTAGGCTCCCTGAACACCCGAACCATTAAGGGGAGCGAGCCTTTGCGAATCGGCCTCAAAGACATCCAAGAATCTGACAAGAGAGGGAAGTGGTGGCTTGTGGGTGCCAGTTGGTCAGGCAGTGTAGCAGAGGATTTCACTGAGCCGCCACCGTCTGAAACTGGTAATAAGAGAGCTCCAGCAGAGGATACGGGAACCTCAGATCTTGTCCAACTTGCACGGGAGCAACGGATGAACACGGATATTCGTCGAGCCATATTCCTCACAATCATGTCTGCGACTGACTATCAGGATGCACATCTACGACTTATGAAGTTGAAACTGAAGAAGGTGCAAGAGTTCGAGATACCGAAGGTTTTGATCCATTGTGCTGGTGGGGAGAAGACCTACAATCCTTATTACACATTGATCGCCAAGAAGATATGTGGCGATCGAAGACTAAAGACCTCATTTCAATACTGCCTATGGGACCTCTTCAAGAAGATGGGCGAGTCCGAAGAAGACAATGTTGACCCCGATGACGAAGGAGATGCGTTGGAAACGAGACAGATTGTGAATCTCGCAAAGATGTTCGGTGCCCTCCTCGTCGACGGCGGTCTAAGTCTCAGTTCTCTCAAGAATCTCAATTTCAGCTACCTCCAAAGCAAGACGAAGATCTTCATGGAAGTGTTCTTCATTACTGTTCTACTTCAGTGTCAACGGCAAGCTGAGAACAAGAGAGATGAGCAAGCCTTAAAATCTATCTTTGTTCAGGCAAAGGAAACACCGCAGCTTGTCAGAGGCTTGCAGTACTTCTTGAAGAAGGTTGTGAGTAAGACGGATATCGCGGGTAGCAAGGAGGAGAAGGTGACGGTGAAGTGGGCTTGTAAAGTAGCTGGTGATATCCTCCAGGCTGTGACTGCTGATACTTCTTGAATGCGAATATACTTGTATTCCAGACAATCTTACAGTATTGTAGCACGAGGTCTAAATAAGTCCAGGCAGCTGCTTGTCTGATGGCATCAAGTGCCTCCTCGCAAGCGGGAGGTATGCCACTCGTACTAATGCCTGCTAGGGCTCTGATTTCGCCAGTTTTAGACTGTCTTACTACCTACCTAGGTACATATTATAAGAGTAGAGTAATTAAATAAATAGTCATAAAGCCAGAATGTCCCAGAAATGAACCATGCTTTCTAATGCTCGTGGCGTCCCTTGGAAAGAAAGGCGAGTGCGGCTAAATACGGGTGACGGACGTGGGCATGGACCATCGGGCACCTCGTCTCTTCACCGGGTCTGGCGTCCCATCAAAACATCTTTGTAGCGTCGTCCCGATAATTTTGAATCAACACAATCCCTTCACACACCATGCTCCGAAGCTTAGTATCGCCACGGGCGGCTGCCAGGTCAGCTTTCAAGCAATCTTCATCGTATGTATCGTGCCAATTGCCTGTAAAAAGTTTGATGGGAAGCTAATACCTGTGTCCGCAGCCTTCCCACAGTTGTCGCCCCTACATCAATTGCACGATGGTCGAAACGAGGATATGCCACAGAGGCTGGTGAGCTATTCCTGTGCATGAAGAATAAGACTACAGAGCTGACTGGTGGCAGAGGAAAAGGATTTGGTCATCATTGGTGGAGGTGTTGCCGGATACGTCGCAGCTATAAAAGCTGGCCAGGAAGGCATGAAGGTAGGCCTTACAATGGGACTAGAGCTTCCGAACGCCAATCTAACAATGCAAATAGGTCACATGTATCGAGAAGCGTGGCACATTGGGTGGAACCTGTCTGAATGTTGGTTGTATCCCTTCGAAAGCTCTCCTCAACAACTCGCATCTCTACCACCAGATTCTCCACGATACGAAAGCCCGTGGTATCGAAGTTGGCGATGTCAAACTCAACCTGGCACAAATGATGAAGTCAAAAGACACTGCCGTCTCGGGCTTGACAAAAGGCGTGGAGTTTCTGTTCAAGAAGAACAATGTCGAATACATTAAGGGCACGGCAGCTTTCGCGGGCGAGCACGAAATCAAGGTCAACCTGACCGAGGGTGGAGAAACAACCGTTGTGGGCAAGAACATCCTCATCGCCACCGGCAGTGAAGCTACGCCATTCCCGGGGCTTGACATCGACGAGAAGAGAATCATCACAAGCACTGGTGCTATTGCCCTGGAGAAAGTCCCGGAAAGCATGATTGTCATTGGTGGAGGTATCATTGGTCTTGAGATGGGATCTGTTTGGTCGAGATTGGGTACCAAGGTCACCGTTGTTGAATTTCTGGGGCAAATCGGTGGCCCAGGAATGGACGCTGAGGTCGCGAAGTCTGCGCAAAAGATCTTGAAGAAGCAAGGCATCGACTTCAAGCTGAACACCAAGGTCATGGGTGGTGATCCAAGTGGCGAGAAGATCAAGCTCGAGGTAGAGGCTGCCAAGGGAGGCAAGAATGAGACTGTGAGTTCTGAAGCTATTGGCGGATAATGATAGTTTACTGACCGTACGCAGCTCGAGGCGGACGTTGTTCTGGTAGCCATCGGACGTAGACCATACACTGCTGGTCTTGGATTGGAAAACATTGGTCTTGAGACTGATGATAAGGGAAGACTTGTTATTGACCAGGAATACCGAACCAAAATCCCGCATATCCGCGTTGTTGGTGACTGCACTTTCGGTCCTATGCTTGCCCACAAGGCGGAAGAAGAGGCCGTTGCCGTTGTTGAGTACATCAAGAAGGGACACGGACACGTCAACTATGGTGCTATCCCATCCGTCATGTACACACATCCCGAGGTTGCATGGGTGGGCCAGAACGAGCAAGAAGTCAAGGCTTCAGGAGTCAAGTACAAGGTCGGCACATTCCCATTCTCTGCCAACTCGAGAGCGAAGACCAACCTCGACACTGAGGGCTTCGTCAAGATGATCGCCGATGCCGAGACTGATAGAATCCTTGGCATTCACATCATTGGACCCAATGCTGGAGAGATGATCGCTGAGGGGACCCTTGCAATCGAATACGGTGCTTCGAGTGAGGATATCGGACGTACGAGTCACGCACATCCAACTCTGGCAGAGGCATTCAAGGAGGCTGCTATGGCGACGTACGGCAAGGCAATTCATTATTGAGCATACCCCCTTGTACGATAGTTAGTTGAAACGCAGATATTTGACCAGCCGCATTCCATTTGTGTTGTATTAACAAGATGTGTGAACACTCCCAAGCCCCTCGATGATAACATCGGTTAGACGTCGCAACTGGAACCATAACACAATTTGGCATCGCATCCAACTTTCCTTTGTTTCTATTGTTTCAACCTACAATCCTCTATGGAATAATTCCCATAAGAAAGAATTAATATACTGTTCCCTTTCTGTCTCCTCTTAGCCGCTGAAGAGTGCCAGCAACCTCATACAGTAGAACCGATAATCAATCCACAAATTCTCGTAGAAACCCTCAAGAGTATTAATCAATGCAGCACACCAAACGTGAAATAGCTATGGTGGCTGGAAGTCAGCGCCTGTTTCCAGGTAGTCAGGGAACATGATTTTACTTTTGTCATGAATCGACACGCCGAGACGGAAGTATACTTAATATCTCAGGAGTTTGGAGTAACACCATGGGAGCAATAAGAGCTACCTCCAGTACAAGTCATAAGGGCTGCCACGACCTCCCCAGCGACTGCTGCAAAAAGGGCTGGAGCCGAGTCTATTGACAGCTCCACGACCGAAACCGCGCCTATTCATAGCGGCCATGGGCTGGCTGAGCATATGTTGTCTTATTTGGCTTATTATCAGTGCCCGGATACAGCTGGATCTTGAAAACTTACGCTGCAAAGCCTTGCCCTAGCATACCCATGCTGCTAGTGTAGGTAAGTACTTCTTGCAAATCATTTGGGGGATGCATGTTACCTACAGTGCAGTCGCTCCGCCAAGTCCAGCAGCACCAAATGGAGACATGCTCTGGCTATTTCAAGTGTCAGTAGGGCGTGCTGGGGGAGAAGCTCACGAATGCCTGTAAACTTACAACGCGAGAGGATTCATCTGAAATGCCCCGCTTATTCGACTTAGCGACAAAAACAAACAGTTTGGCGGTGTACTCACATTCCAAGAGCCGGATTCACAGGGAGACCACCGGTCCTGATTGAGGAAATTAGCACAACTCATTGTCATTTGGATGGAGGAAATAAATCTAGAGTTTGTTTACATTCCAAAGCCCTTGTTTAATGGAGAAGCAGCGGCACTTTCGAAGTCAGCGATGTGTGACATATACTAGTACCGGTCTCGAGGACTCACAGCTGAAAGCCACCGCTCAAAAGCCCTGTACCACCACCGAGGAATACCTGGTACGGACATTGAGGGCAAGTACAGTTGGCAGCCGAAACCAGAATCTGTTGAGGTGATCCATAACCTATGCTAGCCAGGTAATTCTGAGTCGCACAGTCACAAATATGCTCCCCGGTATACGGATCAAGCTGGCAGTAGGTGCACTGGGTCGGGTGAAGACCTGCACTTCGCAGGAAAAGACCGTTGTTCATATTCATGATGGGCGTTTGGCTTTGCTTTGGTAAGGAGCGTCGAGCTTTGGCAGTGTCTCGGTTGTAAAGAGCGTAGAGAGAGTTTGGGAGGAAGGACTGTGGGCTAATGAGGAAGGTTCTCTTTACTTGTAGATTGGGCTTGTCACTCCTTATATAGGCATTAATATCTGTCCGCGGGTAACACAAACATCTTCATTGAACAGATCAATGAGGTGGTCGGGAGCACCAACTCCAACTTGACTAGTCAAAATAAGGAGTGTGGCCACATTGGGAACGCTGCCGAATCGTGGGCACTTCATAAATAGCTTCCCTCTGGTAGGACGCCCACCATCCGCCCTGTGTGTGGCAGCTGCATAACTCGGATGGTTTCGAAAATCACCTCCTGCCTTTAGAGGCGGAGGTTTTTTGTACACATCTACCCTTGATGTTGTGGACCCGAAATGATCGCTCAGAGAATTCAGTGGTCGAGAAAGGTCACAAGGGCATCAAGGATGGGCGAACTCGCACGGTGACAGGGTTCGCTCCCTTAGAAGAAATCTCTCGGCCAGCGCCGATTCAAAGAGCCATAGGGCAGACTGGGAGGAAGATCGCACAAGGGGGAAAAACAGACGATTCCCCTCTTGAACAGCGCTATTCTGTGTTTCCACAGGGTATAGTCTACCCAGTGAGGATAAACAAGGCTCATGTCTGATCTCATGGCCAAAAAAAACGAACTTCACTTCTTCATAACCACGCCACTACATTGCGTGCAAATCTATCCGCGCAACGACCGCGTATAGCTGAGAGCTGACAGATTGTACCCGGGATGCCTGCCACCTGCCGACCGTTGCCTCGGCTTTGGTTATATGAGCCAGTCGCTGAGTTGCCGCTGAAAGTTATTTAAACATCTGTACTACCTCTACAGCTCAGAGAGACACAAGTGATGGCTTTGGAAGGAAACACGGAGTGAACGAAGCAAACCGCACGTGATGTTGGATGGCCCAAAGCAGAAGCGCGCAACTCACAGTGCTCGTCTGCAACCCTCTACTTTTCAGAGAAATCCAAGCACTGACTAGGACTTGAGGCTGAATTGCATTTAAGCAGCGATAGCAAACCGGCATTCCACCTGAGGGAAACCAGCAAACCATAGAAAAGACCAAGTTTCGCAAGTAGTTAGGCAAAACAGTTGCAGCCCGCTCGAAACTTTGAAGACAATCCACCGAACAACCTGCCCGGTCCAGCCGGTATAAAATCGCTAACAGAGACGGTGCTCGACGGAGGAAATGGGTGAGTAACTCGCAACAAGTTGTTGTTGGTGTTGGTGTTGGTGTTTGGGAGTGGCGACACCCCCATAAGCGAGCCACTCAAAATTCGATGGTCCAGACGGCCGGCAGCCACCCCACCCGACCAGGATCCGTCACAGGGACGGAGACGGAGACAGAGACAGACCATCCCACATTTTGACGGTCGTAGGTATGTATTTGTTCTAGGAATTCTCTCCAAACATCTGCTTCTGAACAGCGAGGAGCGTAATTATTTCTGGACAACTGCAATGTTCCACAGGCCTTGAAGAATCTTTGACCTTGAATGAATCGAGTATCTCAAAAACATCCGCCACTGTCACCAATACCACCTTCTCCATCTACATCTCCATCTAACATCTCCCTCTCCATCTCCATATCCACCTCCACCTCCACCTCCACCTCCACGGCCGCGGCCAGATTCAAGTAACACCCTCAGTTGAGCAAGTCGCCATGGCTGCTGCCAACGCAGCCCTCCACCAGAACGAGGCTTTTTTATCTCGAAGACACATCGAAGGACTGATCGCAGGCGGGAAATCTATAATCATTGTCAATGGAAATATTCTAAAGGTCGATCCATGGCTCAAATACCATCCTGGGGGCGACAAGGCTATACGGCATATGGTGGGCAGAGATGCTACAGACGAAGTCACGGCGTACGTAGACTACATACACATTCTCAATTTAGCTGATTGTTTTCAGGCTGCATTCCCTGGAGGCCCAGAAGCAAATGCAAAGGTACCGCATTGGACGAATTGATGGCCGCTGGACCAACTTTGTGCCTCCGATACAAGGTGGCAGGTTCCGTCCAGAATGCGAGGAGGTCGCAAATGGTGAGAGCGAGGAGGATCTCTCTGGACATCAGGCTCCGAGCTCTGACATATCGAGAGCACCATCCCCAATATTTGATACAGTGGAGCCGACGCCTCGCCGACGCATCTATTCGAAGAATGACCCGCTGATTTCTTCTGTATCTTCTGTCTCCTCGCTCACAGATCCTGATGATGGCATGTCTTACCTGGATGTCCAAACCAGGGAACAAATTGATCTAGATATTGCAAAGTATCCATCATTGGATTTCAACACCCAGGACGAGGTTATCCGAAAATATCGTCTTCTAGACCAGCGACTCAGAGAAGAGCGTTTATACGACTGCAATTACACTGCCTACGCCATCGAAGGCTGTCGATACACATTTCTGCTCTGCATGATGCTTCTTTTTCTTCGTCTGGGGTGGTATGCTACCAGTGGCTTGTTTTTGGGCTGTCTCTGGCATCAGTTGGTTTTTACTGTGCATGATGCAGGGCACATGGGTATTACACACAACTTTCACGTCGACACAACGATCGGAATCATCATCGCTGATTTCATAGGGGGACTGTCCGTGGGCTGGTGGAAGAGAAACCACAATGTCCATCACATCGTCACAAATTCCCCGGAACACGACCCTGATATTGAGCATCTACCTTTCTTTGCAATCTCACATCGGTTCTTAGAATCACTCACGTCGTCCTTCTACGAGCGTCTTATGACCTACGATGCTTTTGCCAAATTTATACTTCCATACCAAGCATATCTATACTATCCCATCCTCACGTTTGGACGTTTCAACTTATATTTTCTGTCCTGGGAATATCTTATACGTGGTCTTGGTCCTAAGAAAGGTCCTGCATGGTGGCACAGGTGGCTGGAGCTTACCGGACAGGTCTTCTTCTGGTATTGGTTTGGGTACATTATCATGTACAGGACTATTCCGACAGCCTCGGCACGTTTATCTTTCCTCATGGTTAGCCACATGATAACCATGCCTTTGCATGTTCAGATCACCCTTTCTCACTTTGCTATGAGCACTGCAGAACTCGGCCCGCACGAATCATTTCCACAGAAGATGCTGCGCACTACTATGGACGTTGACTGTCCTCAGTGGTTAGATTTCTTCCATGGAGGGCTTCAATTTCAAGCTGTTCATCATTTGTTCCCAAGAATGCCAAGGCATAATCTTAGACGAGCCCAGAAACTTGTACAGGAGTTTTGCGTCGATGTTAATATCCCATATGCTTTGTATGGGTTCGTAGACGGGAGTAAACAAGTCATTGGGAGACTCGGCGAGGTCGGAAGACAGGCGGCAATCCTTGCGAAATGCCAACGAGTAACTGCTGAGAAAGGAGATATTCTACATGGGCACTGAGCCCTTAGGGTGGTACTTGTCTAAGGGTATCGCTCAGCAGCGTATCTTTAGCAGTCCCATAAGAAGTTTGTTCCCGCTTTCTGAATCTCTTCAAGGAGAAATCATCCATTTTCACTGAGCGCTCTGATATCGACGTCGCTGATAAGAGCAGTCGCAAAGATGGTCAAGTCGTTGGTGTAACCTCCCCTAATCATACGACAGTTAATGACGTTGTAGACTTCCAAGTGGTCGTTTCGAGGTACGGGCGAGAGTGTTTATTACGGGTGAGAGTATTATCCTCTTCGCTTGAATTATTTCTTCTTGCAAGCTCTTGCATTCTCAATTGCATTCGTTTCCCCGCCGTGGCTGGACTTCGCCACTCAAAAGCAAGCAATACACCGATTTATCAATCGTAACAAATGACATGTCCATGTGGGAAATAGTGCTTCATGCCGGCTTAGCATTTGCTATCTGACTCAACATCATCCTCCGATGATGGAGTACTTACTAAACACTCTAGAGACGATACTTGACAAAGGAATCTAAGTTAGCCTCGTGACTCGATATATTATTACCTTCCCTGCCTCCTAGCATGCCTGGGGAACTGCAGGCCTGGCTTGCGCTTACTGGGACCCTCCTGGCGTACTTGACACTTTCCTTGTTGTGGGTCGTCCCGTATCCCGCTTTTGGCGGGCCATGTTCAAGATCCTTTCTTAATCCCAGTCTTCAATTGTTTTGGAAAGTCAAAATCCATCTTCGATCATTCCTTACAAAAGATTTAAGTCTTGGTCCTTATTGTAACAAGTATTTTAAGATGGCAAAAGATCACCCTGGCATGATGAATATGAATATAGCCCCCCGATTCCCGGCTGTTCCCGATCGACTGCTCAGGAGTAGAGTTTTAGCACTTCTCATACTTCTCGATTTGCGGGTAGGAACGTTGTTTGACTTGGCCGCTGGGAGCTGGATCAGCAATGGACTGGAGATAGATATGCGAAGCCTTCTCTCCGTTCCGCCTTTCGTCGGAAAGGTGCCAAGCTAAATTCTTTGGCTGGAAAAAGCAAAGAAAAGGGTTTTGTAGGGCCACAGACTTTGTTATAAAGTCTTCTGGTATTCCGTGCAGAACACTTCTGTTGTTGATGAACAGGAACCTCATCCAATCTCTCAGTCGACCCGACCTCATCATATTCGAGTACAAAAGCTCGGCTATCTGAACATCATTATCACCGCTGTCCTGTCCCGAATATCTGCTCCCATCGACACACCTTGCTACCTCTCATTATGACCAAAGCCAACCATACCGAGGAGTCAGCGGAACGTATTGCTAGATGTCGGGGAGCAGATGTGCATTTTCCAGTCCTTGAGTAGGCTTAGCCCCGTTCAAAACTGACTTCTATACAGTCTCGTGAAGCACAGTCAGCTTCTAGAGCAGCAAAATACCACAAGTCCCGATCAGGAGGCGGTAGTAGTGGTGGTGGAAGTGGTGGTGGAAGTGGAAGTGGAGGAGGCGGAGGTGGAGGAGGAAACAGTGATGGGACATGCCAAAACAAAAACCGGTCTGGGGGGCAATGCTCAACATATGAGCCTTGCATGGTCCAGTACGTACTGTCCCGATACTAACAGAAGTCATCTCACAAGTTCCCATATTCTATCGCTTGATTCCGATTCCTCGATCCCGAAGATTCCCAAGCAGTGTTTACTGACTGCTTTTGATTGTAGCAACCAGAACTGGAGGGTCTGACTTTGGCGCGAGGAATCACCGTTGCAGATCTTCTTACGGCATGCCTTTGGAGTAGGGGTTTTGTTCTCTTCTGTCTTCTCTTAGCTCATTGGGCAGATACCACGTACAGACTGTAATTTCTTTATTTGCGCAACAGGGCCACATGGTCAAGTTGCTTTTGCTTATTCGCATGCATGCAATGAATCACCGTTCCTGTAGATGTGTCGTCTCATGAGGTTGAACAGGGAATTTGGGATTGGTTGATAGGTCGTGAGCAGCAATCGAACAATGTGATATGTTGCTGCTAATGGTAGCTGATTCTGTTGTCTTTAAAGTCATGGTTCCCCGTTTACATGCAGGATCTTGTGTGTAACCCGGCGTTCCGATCCTTTGACCCCCTTCTACGATGAGATTGATCGATCGCCCGGCAGCCCAATTCACAAGCCTTGGTTTCTTTAACCCTATTGGACCACCGCGGGCTTGCGACACACCATTGACTGAAATGTGCTTCAACGGGCTGGGCTGTCTGTGAAGTACTCGCAGTGTGCCGTGAGATTCCCAAGACCCGCAAGCTCATCGATCATTTCCAACCAGCCGGGATCTTTGTCGGGCTTGACTCAGAACGTCTTATCGTTTTGCAAGAACCCAGCAGCATGGCACCTATCCTTCCGAGAGCGAGCCTTCGTCCGGATGCTGGAAGGCTTGAAGAAAAACAAAACATAAACGAAGGAGCCGAGTCGATGCCCAGATGCGCACGCGGCTTTATTGGGCCACGAGCGAGCGAGCGCCACAGCACTGGACTCGGATTGGCCTAGCCCCTCTCCTCTGCCCCTTTACCTACTTCGTTATACGGGAAGCCAAATGAATCACTTATGCGGAACGTCCTATATTGTATTTTGACCTATTTATTTCCCTACCTTCAAGTCTTATAATAATAATTCTAAGTAGTAAAAGTAATATCTAAAATATAATTGATTTTTTACTATATTTAAAATTAAGATTAAAGCTAGCTTTATAATAGAGGAGGGAGGTAAAAATATAAATTCTATAAGGGCTAGAACTAACTAAGCTACTTTACTTTAAGCTCTTAAGCTACCTGAAAATTTATTACTTTACTTACTTACTTATATTACCTTATTATTAATTATATATTTAATTAATTATAGTTATTATAGTAGGAAATCTAGCACCTAATTAAAGTGAAGATTAAGATAGAATAAATAAAAATATTATTCAAAAATATTAAAGTAGACGTTCCGCACAAGTGATTCATTTGGCTTCCCGTATCGTTATTATAAGGTAATTCACCTGGGACTTTGGTGAGCGGAGCCCACCTCAGATAAATTACTGTACAGTACCTTCCAAGCTTCCAAAGGTGGTAAGGTAGCTTTCATTGTTCCCAATTCGCCCTCGCCCACCACCACCTCACCACCGGGCCACCCGTCAGTACCTAGTAGTGCCCTCAGTGCCCTCACATCCGCACCCGCACACCCACGTGCACGTGAGTCGCTTGTCGCCCGTGCGGCTGCTTTGTTCCAGGATCCAGGATCCAGGATCCAGATTCCAGATTCCAGAAGCAGTGGATGTCAACGGCGGACATCGACAAACATCGACAACGCTACCCGCAACACAGCTGGCCAGGACTGAACTCCCGAACTCCTGACCTCTCCAGAACCGAACCAAACGAGAAAAGCCGAGTGAGAACAGGTATCCGTCATTTTCTTGCATGGCCGTTGAATTGGACCTGGGACTCACCCTCTCCCAAAGCTGCATCAATCCAACTCTGCCCTGCTTGACTATTATAAGGTATAGGTACGGAGTCAAGTCATAGTCACAGACAGGCCCAGTCACAGTCACCTCCGCCTCGCGTCGCCACGTTACCTTACCTCCCTATAGGTCTTTAGGTACCTACCTACGGTACCTGCTGTGGTATCTTCATTAGGTACCTTCCATTACCTTAGGCAGTACAATACCTAGGTAGCTCCATATTCAACTGCCTCACGTGCCGCGAGCCTGACGACGGCCCTCCAGCGACCTGTTGTTTGCTCTTTCCCCACTCTACTCCTCGACTGTAGGTGGACTCAAATTCGTTATCGATACGAAATGCAATTTTAGGCTGTCTAACCTCCTCCAGTCCAACCTTGCAAGAAGAGGAACATGTCACTGGCATCTAGCTGATACCAAAGATGGAGCCGAGCATCCAGCGCGCTCTGAACGACAAGCTCTACGACAAGCGGAAGGTTGGAGCTCTTGAGTGCGTACTCATAAATCCTCGAAAGAGAGATTGAAAGCTGACAATTTTGATTCAGTCTCGAACGGGTCATTCGTGATCTTGCTGCTGGAAAAGAGTTTGACAGAATCAAGAAGATTATCCAACAGCTGTGCAATGATTTTGCTTATGCCGTCCATCAGCCTCACGCTCGGAATGGCGGTCTCATAGGCTTGGCAGCCGCAGCTATTGCATTAGGGCCCGTATGTTTTGAGCATGAAGTGATGCAAACTATGCCACTGACACTTTCATAGGACCTGGCTCGGTATTTGGATGAGATTGTACCTCCTGTCCTAGCCTGTTTCACAGACCAAGATGCCCGCGTTCGCTACTATGCTTGTGAAAGCATGTACAACATCGCGAAGGTAGCCAAGGGCGAAGTGTTGCCGTACTTCAATGACATTTTTGATGCACTGTGTAAAGTAAGCCATTCCTTCAGTCTTTCCTTACACAGAGGTAACTAATTGGTGGATAGCTCGGCGCGGACTCTGAACTGTCCGTTAAGAATGGGGCCGAACTTCTGGACCGGTTGATCAAAGACATTGTATCTGAATCAGCGGCAACCTATGTCTCAATACTCCAAACATCTGAAGACTCGACTGTTGAAACAGACAAAGAGACTCCAGACGAGTCTATTGACCTCCCTACAGCCTTCTCACTTGCTCGATTCATTCCTCTTTTGAAAGAGAGAATATATGTTATCAATCCATTTACGAGGACATTCCTTGTTGGTTGGATCACCTTACTAGATTCGATCCCTGATTTGGAACTGGTCTCATATCTGCCCGACTTCCTGGGCGGTCTCTTCAAATTCCTCAGTGACCCAAACAGAGATGTTCATGTGGCTACGCAAGGCGCTTTGGAGCGATTTTTGAGCGAGATCAAACGCATTTCCAGAATCAAGAAGGGTATTGCGGAAAGTCGGAAATCTCGAAGCGACATCAAAAGAAAGCGGTCGGGTTCGATGGATAGTGAGAATTCAATAGCTCCTGATGCAGGTGCAGAAGACGGTTCTGGAAGTGGAGATGAGAAGGACGTTAGTAGTGACGATGATTGGGTTCCTGGACAAGACGTTCAAGTGAACCACAAAGAGATCCTAGAAATACTAACTGCTAATCTCGATTCTCCATTAGGTGAGTTGTTTGGAAATGTAAATTTAGATTTGCTAACACATCATAGAGGAAGATAGTCTCTTGGAATCTCTACGATGGATTGTCGATTTCTTGGACATATGCCCAGAAGAAGTGTTGCCATTTGCCCCGAAGATTTTGGCGCATTTGCTGCCTGCCATGGCTAGTGGTGTCGAGACCATTCGGCTCGCTGCTGCAAGGGTCAATACATCGTTGATGGATTATGTTGTTTCGCTTTCTGATGAAGGTGCTGCGTCAGAGTCTACCACTGGGCCATCTAGGATACCCACTTCGATAGTGAGAGACAGTGCCGGTAACGAGAGAAGAGATTCGTCTACGAATACTCGCGGTTCGATATCTAACTCCCGTGAACTAGACAGACGAGAATCGGAAGTCCAGACACCCCCTCCAGCATACAACAAGACCCCCTCGCCTGCTTCACCATCACAGCCTCAAGTCGATCTTGATTACGCAGCGGCTGTTAATTCACTGACTCTTCTCTTCTTGAACGACCATGAAGCTACAAGAGTTGCTGCGCTGACATGGCTCCTCATGCTACATCGTAAAGCGCCCCGAAAGGTACTTGCTTTTAACGACGGCACTTTCCCCGCGCTTCTCAAAACACTTTCAGACCCTGCAGAGGCTGTTGTAACTCGAGACCTTCAGCTGCTTTCCCAGATATCTAGAAATAGCGGGGACGACTATTTCAGCTCGTTCATGGAGAATCTCCTGCAACTGTTCTCTACGGACAGGAAGCTCCTCGAAACTCGTGGAAATTTGATAATCCGTCAACTCTGTGTCAGCCTCAGCGCTGAAAGAATTTACCGTACCCTCGCAGACTGTATCGAAAAGGAAGAGGATCTCGAATTCGCCAGTATCATGGTGCAGAATCTTAACAATAATCTCATCACAGCTCCCGAGCTGGCCGAGCTTCGTAAACGACTTCGGAATCTAGAAACCAAGGCAAGCCTATCCTTCACGGATGTGCACCACCCTGCTAATTTTTCTTAGGATGGACAAACGTTCTTCGTCGCCTTGTTTAGATCTTGGTGCTACAATGCCGTCGCAACATTTTCCTTGTGCCTTCTTGCCCAGGCATATGAGCAGGCTTACAACCTGCTCCAGATCTTGTACGCTACGTTCCTTCCAGTCGTTTATTTCGTGCTGACCCATTTTAGTGCGGAACTCGAGATGACTGTCAACATGCTCATTCAGATAGACAAGCTTGTTCAGCTTCTAGAGTCTCCCGTTTTCACTTGTAGGTCCTGAGCTGTTTCCATGGGCTGCCTGCTAATTACTGCTTTAGATCTCCGCCTACAATTATTAGAACCAGAGAAACATCCTCACCTCTACAAGTGCCTTTATGGCCTTCTCATGCTCCTTCCCCAATCATCAGCATTCGCAGCACTAAAGAATCGACTGAATAGTGTGAGTGCTATTGGCTACTTGCACATTGCCCCCCGAGCGTACGTACCTCAATCTCGTAATAACAGTGTGGTGGACACTATTTCTACTTTCCAATATCATCAACGTCAGAAAAGCAGTGAGACTCATACGTCCGCATTTAGCGCACCAACAAATGCTAGTTCGTCAAGCTTTGATAGGTCAAGTCGTTTGAAGGGTAGAGATGAGGGTGGTATTCGATGGAACGAGCTGTTGGAGAAGTTCAAGAGTGTTCAAGACCGTGCAAGAAGAGCAAAGAGACCAGGCGGAGACTTCGACGATGGACTTGGCATGATGGCTGATCCTCGAGCTGGAGAAGGGTTGGATGCACGGGCATTTAAAGATCTGGCTCGACTACAAGGGCCGCCTCTGCCAGTGAAGGATACGGCAGTTGCTCCAGCTGGCGCTCAGCCAGCAACAAACAAATCAAAATCGAGTTTAGGGAAATTTGGACGATTGGGAGGAGCAGTGGCAGGCACTCGACCTAAGAGATGAGGCAGGCCACCTCTTAAGGCTGTTACTTCAGCTCCTACGACAAATATTTTCAATGTAGATAGCTTCTTCACTATCTGGTCTTTTTGGGACTTTCTCTTTCCACTAGTCCCTCAAACATGCTGTCTCTTTGCAGCGTAAGATCACGTAATTCGACCCTGAGACTTTCTAGTTCCAGCCGGGCCAAGTCCGTGTCCTGCGGTAGACCGTGGTAGCTCTTTACCTGTGACTCCAATCCCTTTACAATCTCCATCATGCGCTTGAACTTGTCTTCTTCCAATTTCACATCCTGTATGGTAATCTTCGAATTCCCAGAAGGTGCAGAAGTCGATGCCCCGCGGTCTCTCAACTCTGGTAACTTAGCCGACAATGCTTTGGCTCTCCTCTGATAATCGATCGTCTGCTTCGTGACCTCTGAAGAAGATTGGTAGTCATCGCTCTGCAAATCCTTGATGAGTGCATTGATACTCTCCAGCTCGCTGATCAGATGTGATTCCAGAACCGAGACCCGCTCACTTGCTTGGTCGAGGTCGTCGGAAGCAACTTGCAGATCAAGAATACTACGTCCAAGCTTCTCAATTGACGGAATGGGCTGATTGAGAGCCACACTGAGTGAAGACAGGGCATCAAGACTCGTTATCCCTTCCCGGGTCACATACTCCTCCAGGGAAGCAAGGAGCTCTGTATGTGGGTCTGCCTCCTCCTTTGCTTGCAGGTCTTGTAAAGCTTTGGCCTCGACTCGAGCAAGCAGATCGCGCTCTTCGTCTGCAGTGTCGTTGAGAGCTGCGAGGCTGAGGAGTGCTTTGAGAGTTTCGCTGTTGCGCTCGAATGGCGGAGGTGTTTTGCCGTTGAATTTGGTCGAGAGCCAGTTGTCGATGTAGTTCCAGTCTTTGGCTGCGGCTTGTTGTTGTCGGGCCACAGAGGGCGAAAAGATTGCTGACGGAGAGAGCTGAGCCATGTTGCTGGTCTGACGTGTTCACAAAGAGAGAGAGAGAGAAAGCGCGAGCGTTGTGAAGCGTTGTTTACCTAGTTATCAGGTAGGTACTAAGGTAGGTACATAGGTATGGGGAAGGCACCCCGGGTCAGCCTCGTCCGCCCTCGTCACGCGTGGCTCTGGCTCTGGCTCTGGCTCTGGCTGGCTCTGGCTCTGCTCAGCTCCCCGCCACGCTAAGCTTAAAAGAGACAACTAAGCTGGACGGGACACTTGTCCCGCAAGGCTGCGGCTGCGGGACAGCACAGTAGCTCGTGCTTGTGGGCTTCAGGACACTTTGCGCCGCCTGCTGTACTGCATTATAAAGTACGAGTACTCGTACTAGACCAGAGCATCTGGACGAGACTGAGACCGTACATTCTTTACCTCATCTTACTCCCTTCCACCCATTGACTGGCGACTCCGTCCTTCCTGTCCCCTCCACTCACTCCCCCCCCCTTTTTCTCTTCTATTCTCGTCTCTTCTCTTCTGTCCTCTTACCTCACTCCCTCCCAATACCACACACCACATCACTATCACCATCACCATCACTACTCCGCAGTCGCATTGTGCAACATTTCAAGATGATTGTGAAGCTTTCCGCTTTCGCATTCGCCACACTCTTATCCTCGAACTCGCTCGTGCAAGCTATCTCGTCGTCTGAGATTCCCCACGACACACCTATCTCCTCCCTCCTCGCATCTGCGAACGCACACCTTGCCAAGGGCGAGACCAACGATGCTCTCACATACTACGACGTCGCAATCTCTCGCGATCCCCAGAACTACCTGACATATTTCAAGCGCGGTGCCACATACCTCTCCCTCGGTCGAACCGTTCAGGCCACTTCCGACTTCGACAAGGTTCTGTCCATCAAGCCTGGTTTCGAAGGCGCACTCATCCAGCGTGCCAAGATTAGAGCAAAGAATGGCGACTGGGACGCTGCGAAGGAGGACTACCTGTTACAAGGTAAGTCGACAGATGAGCTGGTCGAGCTGGAGGAGGCCAAGGGTGCAGCCGCACTGGCAATTGCTGCCGAGAAGGCCGGAAACTGGGAGGAATGTGTCAACCAATCTGGAGTGGCTATCATGGTCGCAAGCAAGATGTTGTCACTACGAAAAACCAGAGCACACTGCCGATTCCAGCGCGGAGAAGTTATGGAGGGCATGAGTGATCTCAAGCATGTCCTGCAGATGCAACCGGGACAGACTGAGCCACATATGCAAATATCGGCCATCACATACTACGCCCTAGCGGACTTGGAGCGCGGAATGGACCAATTGCGAAAGTGCTTGCACTCGGACCCTGATTCAAAGAAGTGCAAGAAGCTGTACCGGAGAGAGAAGACCTTGGATAAGCAACTGGCACAGATCAATAAGCACTTTGAGAAGAAGCAATATGCGAGCTCTCTGAAGTTGCTACTTCCGAATGGCGAAGACTTGGGATTGGTGCAAGAGATCAAGGATGATGTCAAGGAGCTACGAGAGGCTGGTACAATTCCCGAACATGCACCAAATGATCTGTTCGTCAGCTTAATTGAGATGGTCTGCGAGTCCTACCACGAGGTACGAATCTCTAGAGCGCCTTACATGAATTTGAAACTGACAAATCTTAGTTGAAAAACTCAAAGAAGTCGCTCACGTGGTGTGACGAAGCTCTCAGCCATAACGAGAACTCGCTGTACGGTCTCCTAAATAAGGCACGTCGACACATGGAAGCCGAAAACTTCGAGGCCGCCATCCAAGCGCTGCAAAAAGCCAAAGAACACCACCCAGGAGCCCAGCAAATCAATCAGCTACTAAACAATGCACAAGTTGAGCTGAAGCGCAGCAAGACTAAGGACTACTACAAGGTTCTTGGCGTCAGCCGTGACTCTGATGAATTACAGATCAAGTCCGCCTACAGAAAGATGGTCAAACTCCACCACCCAGACAAGGCTCACAAGCTCGGCATCACAAAGGAAGACGCTGAGAAGAAGATGTCTGCCATCAACGAGGCATACGAAGTCCTAAGCGACCCGGAACTGAAGCACAGATACGACCAGGGAGACGACCCAAATGACCACGAGCAGCAACGACAACATCCATTCCACGGCAGCCCGTTTGGAGGCCATCCTTTTGGTGGACATAGCGGTGGTGGCCAGCAATTCGAGTTCAAGTTCGGTGGTGGTGGTGGTGGGTTTCCTGGTGGATTTCCATTTGGTTAAGCTGGAAGAGCAAGGCACTTGGAAATTGGCGTTGAGTGGAGTTCAACCAGTTGACGGCGAGCAACTTAGATATCACTTATCTTCCATTATCTGTACAGCATGGACGTTGGGCATACATCGAAACTGGAAAAAGACCCATGTTTATGATGTTACGATTGTCATATTTGCGTAATGTGTGCCATTGATGTCTGTTTGTCTGCCGTGGGTATGACACAACTCAGCATGCTCATACGTGGCGTCTAAGGCAGTGCAGTGATGCTCTAATATACAGTGAAGCTTCTAAGCAGGCTGCTTTTTGAAATCGAGAGCATAGTGACTTTGACTTCTTCATGTCCTAGTCATCTACATGTCCATCTATGCAATGCATAGGTTTTGACTCTATGGTCAAACAAACCCCATCCATGAACGCCACCGTCCAACCCACCCATGCCATGCAAGATCATGAAACGTAAATGCCGCCTCCATAAATCGCTCAAGCAGGTTGCTCGTAAGCTCTTCTAATCACCCTCGAGAACTGCTCCATCTTGACATTCTCCCTAACAACAGTTCCTTTCGCCTCGTTCTCCTTGTTCAATGGAACCTTGATGACCGTGCCCTCCATCTCCCATCCACAAACACCGCTAACGAATTTCTCGAATGCCTCGCCCTGCATTCCCAGCCATGATTCCAGGACCGGTCTCTCGACTTCCCGAACAGATTGAGATATGTTAAGGGCGATTCGAACACGGATCAGCTCTTCGAAACCGGCGACGTCAGCAATCAAGTCGGCGTACAGGTCATCGCTATCGAGGGTACTCCAGAAAAGGGAATAGGAGGCTTGTCCGAGGAGGTTGTTCAGGACATTGAGCTTCTGTACTGCTTCGGAGAGGGGTGCGTCGCCTGCTGCTGGGAGAGCAGAGGATGCTGATATTGGGGTGAGGATATGTGGTGGGAGAAGATGGAGAGCGAGTGAGAAGTCGGGCGAAGGGAAGACGGTGAGGGATTTGACGAGGATGTTGGTGATAGTTTCATCTTTAGTGAGGTGGGGATTGAATTGGTATCTACAGCGAGTGAAGATTTGTCAGTCTTTTGCTTCCGTGTCTTCTTGCTATGCTTATTTGAGAACAAAGTGAGGTGGGGGTCAAGATTCAGATAGAGCTAATAATAAACTTCAAGGACTGGAGGGATTCATTCTCCATGCCCATTCAGGTAATAGGAAACGTTGGTAAAAACGATCATCACGTTGACGATTTGCGCCTGGATATACCAAACGCAAGAAACAGAACTAATAAGAAGGAAGGCACACTCACAGCTTCAACAATGCCAAGTTCGCAAAACAGTCCACGAACTTGCCCTCACACTGTTGTACGACATATTCTTGAAAGATGGCTGTCGTCTCGGGGTTGTATCTATCGAGGCCATTTAAGATCGCATCAATGTGCTCTGGCCGGTCTGGCGCGTAGTCGAATGGGATTCCCATCTTTGCGACTTCGACTTCGTCTTTGTTTGTTGGAAGGCGAGATGCGAACGAGCGGGAGTTAAGAAGTTCGAGGAGAGCTTCGGCTGATTTCTTCTGTGGCTCCCCCTTAGTGGGGTTCGCTTAGTCCACCTGGTAAGGTCACGTGGATATCCTTGTTGCTTCTGCCCGGGTGAATTTACGGCCATCTGAACGCACTTTGTGGACCTTCAAGAATTCTCAATGTCGATTTGAAGGATGGTGCAATCAGTTTGAAGATTTCTTCGATCCATTCTTTTCTGTTCACACTGTAGTAGCAGAAGGAGGCACCCGTGGATACAGATTTCTAGCACCATATTACATGTCTTTTTTGCTCTTGGTCGGAGCCAACCTCTTCTTCAATAGAACGTCATCCGAATAATCAGCGGGGGTATTTACAATCTATGCACCTCCACCCGGGACACAATATCCCCTCCGAGTCTCGCAATCTCTGCCAAGATGGCAGATTTGTCAAGGACAACTTTCTCCGCATCATCGTCCTCCGGAGCCACAACTTTCGTAGCATGAGCCGAGTTCACTTTGAACGCTCGTGGCGCGATACTCTGAGGATTCCACAGTCCGCCAATCACTGAGCCAGAGGCACCTCCATGGAAAAGTACGATGCTACTGGTATACAGTCTTTGGAGTTCTTCGAGATATAGCTGAACAGTATGGTACCCGATCAATCCCAGGTCAGTCTTCTCTTGTAGTTCGAGATTCTTGAACTTGGATTTCCCTCCTTTCCGTCGATCGGTAAAGAATGCAGGGGAAATATGAATTGCAAAATCATAGTCGCTTGTTGACGTGGCAAAAAGGGATCTTGGATCAAGGTCAATGCCTTTGTCCTTGACCAATTTGCAAGCAGAACGTGCTAATGCTGTCATACGAGAGGCAACCAGCTTTGAAGGCCCCTTGTCTGTGAAACCAGTGCCAGTTGGGTCGTGGTTGGATGCTGCAAACAGTACTGTACGGTTCATGCCTGGATCAATCTTCCTCCACGCCTCAAGCCTTGTGTTAATAGAATCGACTTCGCTGGTTGTCATCGTTCCGGTGAAGTCCACTATGAGGGGCGTAACACGCCAATCCCACCTCGATATGAATAGCAGTGTCCGCAGAAACCCTGTCATTACTGATGAGGGTGCTTGCCACGGATAAGGCTGTAGGAAAGTTCGGGCGACCAATATCTCAACAAGCTCTTCACTGACGTGTCCTAATAGCATGTGTTTGTCGAACCACATTTTCGTTAGTCGGATAGCTGGGGATAGAAGCGGGAAGCGGGTGCAGTGTGTTGCAATCGATTGCGTATGCAATGGGAGCTGGATGAACGACTTTTTGTAGACTGACAGTGCAGAGACAGCAGCCTCACGTGTATGGTGGTCGCTTGACTTGTCTTTGACTTGCCGTTCGAGGAGAGTCTGTTCTCGGTCATTATGAATCCGCAGACGAAACACCACTCCGGAATCATAGATGACGTCCAGAAAGGCGCAATTCTGCATTGGTAGATCCTCGTTTTCCAATCCAACCCGAGTAGTGATATATCTTTCAGCTTGTAGCAAACTTCCTATCTTAAGGAGAAATGCAATCTTGATTCGTTGGATCGCAACAACATCGTCTGGCCATCTTCCAGACCCTTCAAACTGCATCAAAACATCGGCGGGAACCTTCATCGGCTGGCTAGAACTGAACAGCGGCGGATCAATTGAGGCATACCTAAGCTGCGGACTGAGAGCCGAGAGCTGCTTGAGCTGGAGCGGCAGATCTGCGATATCTCTGATCTTCTTTTCAAAGACTCGGTATGCTTCACTGAGACTGTCGAAATGTTTCACACTTGTGCTAGATGAGGGAAGAATCTTGTCAAATCCTTCCCCAATGAATACAAGACTCGTGCTTGCCTCTTGGCCAAGGTGACGATTGATCAGGTAGGCGACAATATCCCTGAAAATTGCATGAGCTGAACCAGCAGGCCAAATCAGACTCTCGAGGATGCTTCCGTCCTTAAAACGTCGCAGTTCTGCTTTTTCACCCCAAAACTTCTGGAACTTAGCAGCCTTCTTCTTCTCTTCCGCTGCCGGGCCGTGGTCAACCAACCGATCAATATTTGCTGGATCAAATACCACCGAGACTTGCAAAGATTGATCCTGTTGGGGAGAACCAGGCGACGTGATTGACCAAGGTGGCAATTCTTGCTCCTGGATGCCAATAAGCGTTACACGGTCCATCAAGCCTTCGTAAAGGACGTCGTATACTTTGCCACTGAATTGTCTGTAGCTCGACACATGGTCGCACGGCCCACCGCTCGAAGTTTGGGGAGAGTATGCTAACTCAATTGTGGAGTCGTACCTTTGCAGGTTTTGAGAGGTTTTGATAATGAAAGTTGACTCGAATTGATCGAAAGTCGGATCGTTGAGCATAGCCAGAGCTATTTTGGCTTCATGTCGCAAAATTTGATAAGACCATGGTGTCATTTTGTAAAGTACATTTAGGCCTCTTGTGCCATCGAATAGGCTCGGGGTGACCGACTTTGGGAAGATCAGGTCTTTGGCGTCAAAAATGACCGGATTTGCTGTAAGATCGCTGGAGGCGATGAATTGGAGGACGGCTTTGAACATCTGGTAACTGCTATAACCGGGAGATAGAACGCTGTGACCTTTTGGCCCACCACCTTTTAACAACAGAGCTGTAACAGCTGCCCATTCGAAATGGCCAAATCCACCCCTCGAAACAGTTCCGCCGAAGCCGCGCTGTCGAAGCCAGATCCTACCGAGAATGCAGGAATCCTTGAACCCAGAGGCAATTTTGGCAGAAGAGTGTAGATACTTTAGGTACGACTCAAAGCTACAATCGGAAATGAACGACGCATTGTAGAATGGCGTCGGTACCTGGGTGGAACTGTCGTTCTCCGGGGTGCCCCTTGACCGAATAGCATTCCTGTTAGGTTGAAGTTTGGATATGTTAAAGAATGCTGAAGGAGCTGCAGGAATGATGCGGACTTGGTACTTTGCACTTGTTATTGAATTGACTCCTGCTTTGATTAGTTCTTGCTCATGTATTAACATAATTTGGTCCTACCAGAAATAGGTTTGATAACCAGGATTGGATGGAGAGTATTCCCATTCAGGTACTCAAAACAGAGCGAAAGTTCTTTATTTGTAGAATCGTGGAGACCAGCGGCTAGGCATGCGAGATAATATGCCCTCTTGTAGAAATATCGATAATTGAGGTAGTCCTTTTCCTGGAATAATGAGGCAGGCATCACAGCCACCATATCTACGCACAAATCACCTTCTGACTTGACCATTGTTCTTGAAGCATAGCTGCCAACGATATTCACAATAGATGGCTTTTCGTAGGATAATTTGTATGCAGCGTTCTTGTCGGGTTTGGGATCGGGGAATGGAATTGTGATCTTGTGCGTTTGGAATAAAGTCTTAGAAGCTTCTGGGACCTGTATACGGTGGTTAGAGACTGTGATTTATATCAAAAATGTAGGAGATCACTCACAGAGACAGCATCACGATCCTCAATACTCTCAATCAAGCCCTTCAATCTGCGCAAGAGATCATCCACACCCTTCAGCCGCTTCTCATAGTTTGGCTGGACCTCAGCCAATAACTCGTCCACTTGCAATTTGAACAAGCTTGTTTTGAACAGACCCCCAGTGTATATGGCAGCTTCGTCATCGTCCGCTGTTCGTTTTGGTCGTAATTGCGGCTGCGCCTGGGTTTGTGGTATGTTCAACTTCGAGTGCTGGTTCAGTGGCTGCTCATTTTCTTTTGTTGCGCTCTCAGAGGGCGAAACGGACCGTCCATTGTCCAGCTTGCGTCGTTTTGTAGAAAGCGGTATCATTGGGATTATGGACAGAATGCTGGTGGAGGCGCTCAAGTTAAAAGTACAAGTACAAGTATGTACATAAAATTGTTGATATAGGCACTTTTTTTCCACCCTTGGACGCTAAGATAGAGGAGCCGCTTGCTTATCGTAAGTGGGATCCGTGTGGCGTGGGTGGTAAGCAGCTATGACTGTGCTGGGTGTGTCTATCACCGGTAACGGATTGACCAACAGAGGCGCCCTTTTTCTCTAGACAAAACAAACTTCATACATTCGAAAAAGCACTGCATCGCGCGGTCAATTAGGCGCGGTCTTTCCGTTCGTATTTCTCTACGATATGTCGGTCATTGAACTAGGGGAGTCGCTTCCAGCGCTGACGCCTCATGTAAGTCCATCCATTTCATCCCGCACGCATCATTTTCGACTGTACATGTGAGTCAATATCTAACTCTGAATACAGGCGACAAGTGTTTCCCTCCCCAAATGGAGCGACAACATTGGCTATGAAGAGGGCCAAGAAAGAGTTTTGAGCAAGTTGGTGACAGGCTACCCTCGGTAATGAACTCCAACTCCTCAAAAGACCTTCCCCAGTGTCACTGACTTGTGTCTCGTGACTCAGGTTTTTCATCCATAAGCTCATTGCCGCCTTTGCTGAGGATATTGTCACGAAGTTCGGCATTCCTGGTGAACAAGCAATGCTGTTCCCATCCACTAGGACTGCTAGGAGATGTGTGGACTTCATGCACTCAAGAGATTCATCAATATCTGCCGAACGGATCCGTGTAGTTGATCTTGTGCTGGACGTGAGTCGGACAGATTCAGAGATGCTTAAGAAGCTCTCACCAGCCATATCCGCTGTCATATATCCCAAAGATTTCTTTCCCCTTGCCAAACAGTACTGGCAGCATTCAGGCGATGGCGTTCAGAGCAGACGCGCTGAGTTCTGCCACGGACTTTTCCAGGAAGGAATTTTGGTGGAGAAGTCTGTTCTTCAACCCCTCGCCAATGGCTTCCACAAAGGGCCAAAACGATACCAGAAAGGATCCATTGATAAAACACCGCCCAAAGCACAACAAAACGGAACAGATGTTACCAATGGACCTAGTGATTCTGCGCCGAACGGATCTTCTGAGAACCGCGAGAGCTCGCAGTTCTTGGAAGAACGTTTCGGTCGTAATCTTGATGTGTCATTTGTTGACAACGCCAAGTCTGCGATCCGACGTCGTATTGCAGGTTCTCTCATAGGAGAGGTCGACCTGTCCGCAACACCAGGTCCATGTATGGGCTATAATAGCCGTGGGATGGCTGACATCTCAGAGAGCGATGTCTATCTTTATCCATGTGGAATGAACTCTATCTTCCATGCTCATCGTATGATGCTGGAAGCCAGAGGACAGATGAAGAGCATTGCCTTCGGCTTTCCTTACGTTGATACGTTGAAGATCTTGGAAAAGTTTGGCCCAGGCTGCGTTTTCTACGGAAATGGGGAGTCAGAAGACCTTGATGACCTCGAATCTCGACTAAAGTCGGGAGAGCGATTTCTTGCACTATTTTGCGAGTTTCCAGGAAATCCAATGTTGAAGTGTCCAGATCTTCAACGAATTCGGAAGTTGGCCGACGAATACGATTTCGGGGTGGTCGTGGATGAAACCATCGGAAATTTTATCAACGTTCATGTTCTACCTTACGCAGATGTGGTGGTTAGCAGTTTGACCAAGATATTCTCAGGGGAATGCAATGTTATGGGAGGCAGCACCATATTGAACCCTCGAGGTCGATACTACGAAGCAATGAAAAAGGTTGCTGAAGTCGAGTACGAGGACAATTGTTGGGCAGAAGATGCAATCTTTATGGAGCGTAACAGCCGCCACTTCGTATCCAGGATCGAGAAAATCAATGGAAATGCTGAATTGATTTGCGAGATCCTACGAGCACACAACTTGGTCCAGGATGTATACTACCCCAAATGCAACCCGTCGAGGCAGTTTTACGATGCATGTCGTACTCAGAACGGTGGATATGGTGGGCTACTTTCTTTGACATTCAAGAAGACGGAGCAAGCGATAGCCTTCTACGACCGCCTCGAGACTGCGAAAGGACCAAGTTTGGGAACCAATTTCACCCTGGTATCTCCTTATGTCATTCTTGCGCATTTCCTGGAGCTTGACTGGGCGGCCAAATTTGGAGTTCCGGGCGACTTGATCCGTATTAGTGTTGGTTTGGAGGATGCAGAGGATCTGACGTCGAGGTTCACAGTGGCCTTGAAAGCCGCGGAAGAATCTACCACATGAGAAGTCGTTGGAAGAAATAGACCAGATTCAAACAAAAAGTTTCAGACATAGCGCATGGACAAACGAACTGCCCGCGCCGCCCACTTGAGCCTTGGATGTGAGAAGGTATTTAAAACGAATGAAAACTCTGTCTCTTAGTTATCGCAGTGTGACGAGGATTGAAGGGATTTCAGTATTGTGGTCTGATACTGCAGGATGGGCTATGCTTGATTTCAAAGTCCTTACGATGAAGGACTCTTTGAACAGAGACACCCCGTAGCTGGTCCTGTTCATAAATTTTAGTCAGTTGCAAAGTCTATACCTGCAATGGAGTCTAAGACCCGTACCCTAGCAGCACTTCAACATTTCAATTGGCGCTGTTCGCTTCCATCCTGGCGGGAAGGTTGCCGAGAAAACAAACCTCCAAAGACTTTGATCGTTATGGAGCACGTGCTTTACCTTCAATCAATGTGGTAGGTATCCGTGAACCCAAAAAGCACAAGTTGCGTTACGTCGAGGTTTGACGGGTGAATGATCGAGTAGTTGTGGATCTCTGGAAACCATGGCGAAAGACTTGAGAGTTTGTTCACCTTGGATTCTCATCCCCAAAACAGTCGAGCGCGTCAAACCTTAATCAGGTGCAGTAGCGTGCTTTGTCGCGTCCGCCCAAGACTTGGACGTGTAGAACAGGCACCCACGGACAACTGTACAACACCTCGGAATCATTTATCTTATTCGCTGAGCCTCAACACGGGCTGGCCTCGAGAATAATCGGATCCAATTTCAATACCCAAGCGCCAATATGGCTCCGCAAAAGAGGGCTAGAACAGAAAATGATGAGGAGATCACATCAGTGGAAAGCGCCAGCTCCGCACTTCGACAAGATGGCGTGAGTTTGACCCTGAGAATACAATTATTGCTTGCTGAAATTTGCCCAGAGCAACAAGAAAGCACGTCTATCAAACACCTCGAAACCCCGGGATGCACCAAGCCGGAGTCCTTCTCCATCCTCGAGTGATGACGATTCCGACGACGAACTGCTCGCCGCCGACGATGCGCCAGCCCTTCCTGCCAGCACACAGTACGAAACCCAGCGGGATAATGGCTTCATACATCTCAATAACACCAAGGCGGATGACGCGAAGGAACGGAAGAGATTTATGGCTAAGAAAATGGGCACGAAGACAGGCGACAATCGTGCTGCCGACAACGCGATTATTCAGAAGATCACTTGCAGGAACTTCATGTGCCACGACAATCTCGTTGTTCCACTAGGACCTCTGATCAATTTCGTTGTCGGTATGAATGGCAGTGGAAAGAGTGCCGTCCTTACAGCCATCACGTTGTGCTTGGGGGGCAAGACCGCAGCAACCAATCGTGGAGCGAGTTTGAAGGCACTTATCAAGAGCGGCAGAGAGCAAGCTTCTTTGATCATCGAGCTGAAGAATGAAGGCATTGATGCATACCAACCGGATCTTTATGGGAAGAAGATCATTATTGAGCGTCATTTCTCAAGGTCTGGGAGCAGTAGCTTCAAGCTCAAGACCGAGCTGAATAAGCTCATCTCAACTAAGAAAGGAGATGTTGAGGATATCGTGGAATACTACCAACTCCAAGTCGACAATCCTATGAATGTGCTGACACAGGATGCTGCCAAGTCATTTATCACCGCTTCGACCCCGGCCATGAAATACAAATTCTTCGTGGAGGGTGTTCAGCTCGAGGCTCTCGACAGGGACTACAAGATAATCTCTGATACTTGTGATCAAATCGAGACTAGGCTACACGATTCGAAAGGAGACTTGAATGCCCTAAAAAAAAGAACCGATGCTGCTATTCAAAGAGCGGAAACTGTGCGCAAGTATGATGGTGTCAAAATCGAGCTGAAAAGACTTAGGAAGAAGCTCGCTTGGGTGCAAGTGGCTGAACAAGAGAAGATTTTGGCCGACCTTGACCAGAAAGTTGCCGATTCTCAGCAACAGATTGTCGATGCTCAGCGGAATGCCGAAGTCAGGGGAGCCGCCCTTGATGGGATTGATGAAGCCATACAACGTACCAAAGAGGTCGAGACACGTCTCGAAGAAGAGAGAGGGCCAGTGACGGAAGAAGAGGATGCTGCTCGCCACGCCCACGAGGAAGCTTCCAAAGAGGTCGCCAAATTCCACATCCAGCAAAAGAGCGTCGTTGCGGCTCTCAAGGACGCAAAGGACATGGTCAAGGGCATCAAGGCGGAAATCACGGCTGAGCAGGCCCGTCTGCATGCAGCTCATGGTGGAGCACAAGACAAGAAAATCGAGGAGCTTGCCGTTGCTCAGCAGGCCGCCGAAGATGCCAGAACGAATCTCTCACAAAATGAAGAGGACAAACCTAGACTGGAAGAACATCTTAAAGAAGCACAAGCTGAAATGTCGAAGCTAGAGTCACCTCTACGAGCTAAGACAGAGGAGTTGAAAAGCGCGAAAGCCCGACTAAGTTCTTTGGGCTCAAATCGTGGCGACCGCATGGCGGGATTTGATAAGAATATGCCCACCTTGTTGAGAGCAATTCAAGCAGACCGGGCTTTCCGCGAAAAGCCAATCGGTCCTCTGGGCCTACACATACAGCTTCTACAGCCGAAATGGAGCAATGTGATCGAATCGACGTTAGGCAATGCTCTGAATGGGTTCATTGTCACTTCTAAGGCAGACTCCTTGAGACTCAAAGACCATTTGGTAAGCTAAGTTCAAGGCGTGGTGGATCTAGCTCATTTCTCATGTTTATAAACCATAAACTTCTTCCTTGTGGCGTGAATACAGCTAACAACGGCTCCAGAAACGACAGAAAATGATGTTTTGTCCGGTCTCTATCGGCAATTTTCAACCCCTCGACACTACCAATCATGAGCCGGATCCTCAGGTATGTGCTTCCTTCCAAAAGACAACCCGTCTCTGCCGCAACATACATGCCGAGACGTTGGCAATTAAGTGGTTAAATGCCCCAGTACATAATCGCACTAACTATTCATCTCTAGTATGATACGATTCTCAGAGTTCTCAACATCAACAATGAGGCGGTCAAGCGACAACTAATCATTGGACATGCTATTGAACAAACGTTACTAGTGGCCAGTCGAACTGAGGCTATCAGGATCATGTATGAAGGCCCAAGACCACGGAATGTCAAAAACTGTTTTGCTATGCACGACAGCAGACCGGACTGGGGTCATAGGGTAGCTTTAGTTGGAGGTGGCGGTAGAGACATCAGTCCTGTTTATCCCCCGAGAGGAAGAGCACGCATGCAAACAGACACCGACAGCCAGATCAACCTCCAAAAGGAAACAGTACAATCCCTGGATGCAGAACTGAAGGCCCGTACTCAGGTGTATGAGCGGCAAAAAGGCGAGGTTAGCAAATGTAAGGACGCCATTCAGCAGAATAAGAGAGACAACCAGCAGCTCAAAGTCGCCAGCCAGAGAGCAGCACACAGAGTGGATAGCCTACAGAGCGAGATTGATAATTTGCAAGGGGACGATGGCAAGCTTGATGGACTTAAGCAGGACCTGGAACCGGCGGAAGAAGGTCTCAGATTGCAAGAGAAAAACTATGGCGACTCCGTGCTGGAGAAAAATAGCCTCAATGCAGCCGCAACCGAGAAGAAACGAGCGCTTGATGCCATCAAGGAGCGTCTCGTGGAATTTGATACCAAGATGCAGAAGATTCAGAACAAAATTAGGAATCAGGAGCAAGCTCGTAAGCTCGAGCTGACACAGAAAAACCGTGCTCTGGAAGAAGTCGAGATGTACCAAGAGAAGAAAGAGGAGGCGGAGCGAAGGGTTGCCACGCAGAATGAAACAGTGGCTGAGTTTACCAAAGATGCCATGAAGATTTGTGCGAGAGTTACACTCGAACCTGGTGACACCGAAACAGGCCTGGGGCGAATCTATGAGACGAAGAAGAAGCAGCTTGAGGATGCTAGAAGAAGACAAGGTGGGACTGATGAAGAGATTCAGCAAGAAGCAATTGATGCCAAGGCCATATTCTCCGCTGCTGTCTCCAACAGGAAGGAGCTTGAAGAGCTTTTGCAGCTTCTGAAGCAATCATTCATGCTTCGTCTTCAGCAGTACCGAGCATTCCAAAAGTGGATATCTGCTCGGTCTCGTATCAACTTCAGCTACTTGCTCAGTGAGAGAGCCTTCCGCGGAACTCTTGTTATCGATCATGCCAACAAGTTGCTTGATGTTGTAGTCCAGCCAGACGACACTAACAAGAGCTCCAAAGGACGGCAAACCAAAACACTCTCCGGCGGAGAGAAATCGTTCTCTTCTATTTGCCTTCTCCTATCCTTGTGGGAAGCGATGGGTGCACCTCTTAGATGCCTGGATGAATTTGATGTCTTCATGGATGATGTGAACAGAGACGTCAGCACAAGGATGATTGTAAGTACCTCTAAATTCCGTGAGCAATCCCCAGATGCTGATCTTGAATAGATATCGGCTGCCCGTAAATCAGTTGGCCGGCAATTCATCCTCATCACCCCAAAGGCCTTGGGAGCTGGAATGGATGCAGACGCTGACGTAAACATGATCAAGTGAGTTCGATTGGGTTTCTTGTTTACGGCCATGAAAGCAGGCAAATAGCTAATCCTATATAGGTTGACCGATCCTCGAGAAAAGCAGAAAAAGATAGATGAGATGCTTAGATGACTAGAGCTGGTTGCTTCTGTAAATAGAGTGTACTACAATAGTCCGAACCAATGGAGGGAGGGGGATCTACCTGGTTTGTCGCTGGGCGTTCAGGCATGGGGCAGGTCCTTTGAAAGGTGGAACCGGCGGCCACCTCTTCCGAAATTTATAGTGTACAAGGTTAGATGTATAATCATACATATTCTACAGTCCAGTCCTCTAATACCCTCTCATATTCTTACACCTTTACTCCTTAGCACATTCAAGCCAGCCTGTGCTGTAAACCCCATCCACTGCCCTACACTACCTGTAGCTTTTCCTATGATTTCTGCATCTGCAAACCGCCTGTCCAAAAACGTCCTCGTCTTCATAAAATCCGGACTCTTGTCCGTCGTCATAAACAGGTCCGTAGCAGCATATATCGTAGACAGTGAAGCCCTCTTCGTATACCAGCTCGAATTAACTGATTTGTCGCCTGCAATGAACCAGATCTCGTCTGCTAGGGAGGAGAGCTCGGAAATGGCGGTTGGGAGATTGGAAGGCTGCGCCATGAGTGCCAACGCCTGGTTTATGTCAAAGTTGATTCTGTTCGTGGTGGTTTCTGTTCAACCGCATCGATCGCACAGATACCGAGCCTGAGCGGTTGAAACATACCTCCTGCCACCTGTGTATAACCTTCCTATTTGCCATCAACCGCTCCCACGTTAATGCCTTGACCTTCCTCCCAACTCCCATCGGCCTCTCCTCTCCCTCCAGTTCGAATACATGCGTCCTGTCCGCCAGTCCCAATCTTTGCGTCACTAGATGGTAATGCACCAGACTGAACGCACCCTTGGGGAATAAGTTCGTCGAAGCATCGATGTAGCCAGCGTCTTTGGCGCCGAGCGCGAGTGTTGTGTGCGTGAAGCCATGGGTCGGGACATGCGGGAGTGAGGCTGAGAGAATGGATGTCTCAATTGGGGTAAAGGGTCCCGGGGGAGGTGGGTGGTCGTAGGAATGGTAGGTTCGCGGGGTGGAGTAGGAGAGTGAGGAGGAAATGTGCCGGCGCGGCCGTAGACGGACGAGGTTTCTGCTCGTTTTACTGGCCATTATTGTTGCGTTGCCAGCTGGTGTGGAGAGAGAATTGACTGTGAGGTCGTCGGTCGTCAAGGAGAGGGGTCTGGATGGTGGTGCATGGTGCATGGTGCAGGCAAGCATCTCGTTTGGGAGGTTTCAATACTTGGCAAGTCCAAGCATTTTCAGCCCGCCCTCGCTTCAGCACAGGTTGGTCAGTAATAGTCACCTACTCATTTCGTGGCGTTCTTTTTCTCCGGGGGTCTATTCCTGAGATTTTCTGAGAATGGATTGTTGAGAATTTTCGACTGCTCTGTAAAGTCTCTATATCTATGCAAGAGCACTGCTGTCAAGAGATACCTAGACCACACCTGGTCTGCTAAGGTTCCATTAATTATATGAGCTTGTTTACCTACACGAAGTCCCACCAGTCCCAGTCCCCGATTCTTGGCACCATGATGCATGGGACCTGGACCTCGAGTGTTGTCCCGGATGATCCACCGCCTGGCAACCCAAGCTCGATGCCAGGTTGGAATTCACAGTGGAGTTTGGAGCATCAGCAGTTGTAAGCCCCGAATTGATAATTGATACATGTCTTTGGCGAAAGGCTCGCAGATCACAGAAGCGAAGCCTACATACAGTACTGTACTGTACTGTACTTACTCTGACTCGGTCCGATTTAGTTACTATGTAAACACAAGCACAGGCGAGCGGAGATGGTACCTCCCAGCAGTCCCAACGCCTCCTCCGCAAAGTGTCCAGATCAAAGCAGAAGCAGAACCGCAAGCGCAAACGCCGTCTTCAGCTCCTGCCCAGAGGATCCAAAGAAAGGCTGTCGGCACCCACTCTAGATCTGTTCGTTCCAGTCGGGGCTCTCCTACAGCGGCTGCGCAGAATGTCCAGGCGAACACTTCCAGTGTTCGAGCGCCATTGCCGCAAGCCACCGATGGCTATCTTCCACCTCCAACGGTACCAGGACCGTATCAGTATCAGCATCAGCATCAGCATCAGGCTCCTCAGATAGCAAAGCCGCTGACTCCTGCGCACACGCCAACTCCGATTCCGATCCAGTATCACCAACAGCTTGACTTCAGTGGACATTTTGCGTCGCTTTCTTTGGAGCACAACCAAGCCGGTTTGGCGAATGCCCCAGGAGGATCGCCTGCTCTGTATCAACCACTCCAACAACTCCAGCCGTCTCAGACTACCCAGCCTCCATGGAGCACCAACGATACTCCGACGTCTCCCATGGTCAACCAGCCAAACGCCCACAACTTCTCGTCTCAGCCAGCGAACACCACCCATTTCCCTCCTCCACCAGCTGCTACACAGTACCAATCGATTACAACAACTCAGTCTCCAGAACAGCCAGCATTTCCTGACAATCGTCTGGCACCTCGAACCTCCCAGCCCAATGTTGCCAGCTCTCCGTTGCTTCCTCCTCAGCCAGTACTAAACCACCTTCCACCTCCGCCTCCGCCTCCGCCTAGAAACCCGGTGCCGTTCCAACAGGCAGCAGGTCAACACTATGCACCTTCTGAACATATCCCAGCCAATGTACTAGATTCAAGCTACCCTGCACAGCAGTCCACGACTTCTCCATCACCTGTAAGCTATGGAGAGAAACACAGCAGTCTTACGCCTCCTCTACCTTCTTCTGGAACACAGCAATGTGATTCGGCTGCAACACCTGGTGTTTATCAGCCTGTTCAGCAACAAGGCATAAGTGCTCAGTCAGTGGAGTCTTTCCAACAATATGCTCCTCCACCACCGCCTAGAAGCCTTCAGCAGGATAGACCTTACCAGCAGATGACTTCGCCTGTTCCTGGACAATATTCTTCTCCAAGTCATGATCCTCCTGCCTTTACTCAGTACTCGTTTCCGCCATCCCCTCCACCCAATGTCCAACAACTCAACCATGAACCCGAGGACTTGGCACAAGCATCACGAGCTGTTCATCAGCAGTATCCCTCCCCAACTCAGAACCAACCTGTTTCGTCCCAGCCAACTTCCGCCTCTACTCAAGGCACTGCCTTGCCCCCGCCATCTCGAAATCCTCCACCGCAACAGGCAAAGGAGAATCATGCAGATTCAGTACCAGGTCAATACACCGATTCCACAGGCCAGCTCGTTTATCAACAGCAAAATAACAGCACAAGCCCAACTCCGCCTGCCATCCGCAACTACCTAGGCACCCCGGTTTCAGCACGTATCCTCTACCAGCCACCTGCGCAAACTCTGCCTTCGCCCAGCCCACCTTCTTTACAACGGTATTCTTCCGCACCAGAGCCAGTTAATGTCCAACAAGCAAACCACGTTCCTCAACCTGGCTACGCCCTACCTCCAGAACCCGTCAAGAATCCATATGCACAGCAGGTTGCTCATGCAAACTCCTTCTTCGGGCCACCTCCTCGGCGTGTAAGGACGCAGAGTGATGCTGTTCCTCAACGTATGCCTGTGCTGCAATCTCGTTCCTATACCCGGGCTCAGCTTCAGGTTTCCACTAATCAGCAATTTCAAGGCAGATATCAAGCTCCTGGGCCAAACTCTGCCCGACCGCCGCAGCAACAGCAAGATCCAGGACAATCCCATAACCAGTACCAATCCCCGAACCAGACTCAATATTTGCAAACAGCACAGCTCCAACAACCTCAGAATCAATCTCAAATGCACCAAGTGAACTCACAAGCTCAGTACCAACCTCACTATCAAAGCCAAAACCAACCTCCTGTGGCACCCCAATCACCATTGCCTTCTCCCTCCAACCCTCTGCTGCCACCCCGTAAATCATCTAGTGGCATGATGGGCAGCATGGGAAGCATGGGCAAGAAAATCACCGGCTTCAGCAAAGCCGCCGCGGACAAAAGTAAGCGTTTGAGCGTCTCACAACCTGGTCTCATGAAATGGGGCACTAGAGCTGCAGTCGGAATCGTCGCTGTTGGAGCACTTGCTCTAGGCGTTGATGCTGTTAGTGACGGAAGTTTGTTTGATGCTGCGGGGGGTGGAGGTGGAGGTGGAGATTTTGGTGGGGGAGATGCGGCAGCTTTTGATAGTAGCACAGGTAGTGGTCTTGGAGGAGGGGATACGGGAGGATTTGAGAATGGTGGGTATGAGGGCGCAGAGAGTACTATAGATTCCCAGACTATGGTAGATGCTAATGCTGCTCAGCTGGCTATGGAACAGCATGGGCAGGAGAACTCCATGATGTTGTTGGATCCTGTGGGAACAGAGTATGAGGTTGTCACTACAGGTGCCGATCCCAGTGCTCTGATCTGAACAAAATACTATGGGAGAAGCAAGATATTTCAAGGAAAGCGCTGGATAATGTTTGATAACGATTGGCATCTATTTGATATGCTCGTTTGCCAATGCCACTTTTAGAGATTTAGTACAGAACCTGGATACTGCTCCAGCAAATGGTACTGCGCGACTTGAATTTATTTTGATCCAGAAGGCGACGATAACTTGATGATAGTAAAATTGCCTATAGATGGAGCTGTCATGACTTGATACCAGTCAAGCACGCGGCCAAGATTCGATCCCAAACTTAATGTTTTGTCAATATAATTTCAGCAAGATTTTCCTTGCTTTCGTGTTCTCACTTTTGCTCGACATTCTTTGTCTCTTTAATCTTCTCATCTGTGGAGGAGCAGGGTGGCTTTTATTTGACCTCGGGCAGATTGTCCAAATATTGAGACTGCCGTCCTGGGTTCAAATTAGCTCGCTTTTTGACTTTGCAAATTCATGTGATAGTGGGTCAACGTTGATTCAGCAAAGGTCGTAGTCACGTTGAAATATTTCGCTGTCTTTCGTACGTTTTTGAACGTACCATACTTAAGTAGGTCACTGGTTGGTATTCGTACTTCTTTATTCGTTGTTCGACGATTTGCGATCTACACCTTCTTCGGAATAGTCTGAAGGATAGTAGAGATATTCATAGAGCTCTCCTGTGAGGTATCTGTTCGAGGGTCAGGGATGCTACGTGAAGCTTACTTAGACTTCTTGGGACAACTTCTTCACAGACAGACTTCTCGAAATCCTAACCAACATCCGCAAGGAGTATAGCAGAAAAAAATAACATCCCTTCTGCGGAACGACCTATCGTTGTTTTACGCAGGACATCATGTCAGAGGTACACTTTACATTTTGCCGAAACGACATGCAAATAGGAGGTATAGAACCTTCCGGCAATCTTCGTGACGGATCAGAGAGACGCCACACCAAACCATAAGTAAATTTGCTTGATAAACCTTCCATCAGATGTTGCACGTCTCCCCAGCTTCCCAAGTTGAAATGAGACCAAGCACTGTTTCTGGCCACTTCATCGCAGCCAATCTGAGACTGAGCAATCGCGTAACAGCAATGTCATTCAAGACGTGTTCGCCATCCCGCTATCTTGGAAATAATTGATAAAACAAGTATTTACCTTGGTAGACCTAAGTTATATTGGTCTCAGGCGGTATCAGAACTTCCGAAGCCTGCAATTGCTGGATCATGGCACCAGGGCGAAGGCACGAGCGAGGACATCCTAGGGGATTGCCAGTGATGTGTCTTTAGAAAGCTATAGAGATTGAAATTATATGGAGTTGTTGAAGGAGCCGATAGAAAGAACACCGGCATGCTCCGCATTGTTCATGAATTCAATGTTCCTAGACTGCACTGCATTGTTTTGGAACAGCAACGACGCTAACGCACAAGCGAGGCTTGGCTTCTCAGCAAGCTCTTCGATTCATCATTGTGTATCTCGATTGATCAGATGCAGCAAAGTGGTCCAAACGCTCACTTGTCTTAAGCGTAAAGAATCATATCACAAGTCTTCGTACAGCTTTGTGAAAGAACTGCATAGCTCTGGAGTTACTTTGCCGTAAAGGTCTTGCTCATATCACCAATTAAAATTGTTGAGGGTCAGTTGTCGCTACTTGGTCGTATTGACGAAACCGAGAGTAGTCAAGAACAGGCTCTTTATCCAAAGGTTTTTTTTAAAATCATAGCCGATGAGGATCCATGCATAGTATCGATTGTTTCTGACGTAATTCAGCCTCTCGCCCGTGCAGTCCCTCATCTCCTTCACGTTTACAATCAAGGGGGAAGAAGGTGAGAATGTCGTTGCCAGTGCCATTCAAATCCTATATTGTTCATGAAAGCCCTATTGACCCCAATCATGCACCCCCCCACAAAAAAAGCTGCGATTTTCTACTTTGAAAAGCATTGTTGGCCGAGAGAGGGCAGAGCTTGTGGTCAATAAACCATTCGTCTGCTCAGAATCCGAGGTCTTCAGCTCAGACAGCCTATAGATCGCTGCTTATCTCCTTACCTCAGTCTCTTCTTTTCTCTCTTCCTCCTTCATCTCCTTTCATATAAGGTCTCTTTTGGGGTCTCCTAAGTAAATTCCACCCCCACCCACACCCCTCTTTTCTCTCCCCGCTCTGACTCTTCTTCCCATCTCTTTCCCATCTTCCGAGTATTCCGAAAATAGGCTACATAAAGGTCAGAGCTACCGAGAGCTTAATCTGTCTGCATTTTTACAGCAAAAATACTGCAGCTGTGGTCTGTATTTTGTCTTTAATTCTACTATTACTGAAAATGCAGAAAAAGTGTAGACAGAATACTGTCGTTGTCTGCACGAAAACTACGTGGGGTATGGGCTGGCTTGGCTATGCAAGAAAGTTTGCCGACTCTGTGCAACAACTCAGGGGAGACCATTGTATGACAGCATGGGGTTTCCGAAAAATTGTGATGGCGACCATGAAATGGGAAATGATGAAAGACAGGAGTGGGCAAGCTGAGAGTTTCCAGACGCGGCAAATGCTGCACGTTGCGTGCCGATCCATCCAGTTACTGCCTGCTCGAGTCAGCCCTTCAAACCCACGGAAGTGAATGCAGATATAAGCAACGGGCCCCACGCGGGGTTGACCTCTCAATTGAATTGATAGTACAGCAAATCGACAATGCCGATATCTCTGTGAACCCTTCCCGTTTTATTTACTATACCTCGCTTGGGAGTTGGCGTAGCGACTTTACAGTACCCCTGAAACGGACAGGGATGTGGAACCGCCTCGCAAGGCTGAGCAAATGTGGCGGCCAAGGCTACTGGTAGCCTTCTGTTTCATCTCAACGCACGTACTGGATAAAATTCTCTCTCTGCAATATGACACAAGACGTGACACAAGAAGTACAAATGTCAGCGCGCTCCTTGTCTCTACAGTCTCAATTCTCACCACAGCCATGAAAGATGCTCTCCAATACTGCACGAGAGCCAGAGGCTGCGTTCTCGACGCCGTTTTATACCGACAACAGCGACAGCCATATTCCGTTCCTGGCGATTGAGGGAAAGGACCCGGTACAGATGCTGGAATCCATCCACCCACAAGTTGGCAAGAATGCTGGGAGAGCTGCGTCAGTGGTAATCTATTTGAGAGTCTATCTAAACGATACTGATTTCTGGACGTGCCAGATGCTGGTCCTTCTGCTCTATGACAGCGGTATATACCACAAAGCGACTAATGGTGAAACACGGATACCGCAAGTCTTCCTTCCCTCTTCGAAGAGGTCTGCTAACATCTGCCAGATTACCGTACGCTCAAATGATCAAATGCCCCTCCTTCCAAATGGCTTACATGGAACAGCTCTTACAATTGCTTTCCGGTCTTTCGCCGCGATTCTCATTGTGTACGCCATTCTTCTTCGAACGAAATCAGAGTCGATCTTAATACGAGGTTCAAAGAGAAGGCTACAGGGCTTGAAACAACCAGATGGTGGCGATTTTCTGTTGAATAGCTACTGGGCTCCCATGATACCAGCGGCGTTGGTGGCTGCGGCTTCATTCCCTTTGTTGCTGGAAGGAGTCCTGCACATGCCCAGTTTGGCAGTTCTGCTTATGCTATTTGTAGGTGATGACGCTCCTCAATGCCCCAAAAAACGCTTATTGGTGTAGCCCGTCATCTATACTACAGAATCTCTCATTCTTTTCGTCTGTTGCTCTAAATCTCGATCACAGAAGCTCGTTTCATGGGAAGCTGTCGTCTCCACAGCAGCATCGAGTATCGTTCTATACAAAGAGTATCGACTGATGGTTCCTGGCCTCTTATTCGGCGTGGGAGGGATACTACTCCTAGGAGTCTCACGCGGACTATTCATATTAGGATCAGAAAGAGCTGGCTCTGATATTGCAGTACATGCAAAGTTAAAAGCATACCATGGTTTTGTTATCATGACTCTCACCTTTGGTCTTTTATTCAGTGGTATCACGGGGTACTACATTGAAAGCATCAGATCGACAAGATCTCTACGAATCGAGACTGTTGCATTGATGACTATCAATATCGTCTCGATCGTTGCGACTGCATTCTCCGGGACTTTTCTTATGGGATATTTCCCCATATCTTTTGAGGAGGGAACACTACAAGTCTCCCAGATACCCGTCTGTGGTGCAAATTTCCTAGCGCCTTTTGCAGCAAGTCTGCTACTTCTTCTGGCAACTATCAGTTCATTTCCAGTCTCTTTCATCTCTTTGTTTCAAATCGCAGCTTATTTCGTCGCATCTATCTGTTTGCTAGGAGCTGACCAAGCCCACCACTCTATTTTGATATGTATTGAGGGCGTTCAACAATGGGTAAACAATGTTCTTGGGAAGGGGAGGACGCACACAAGGAGATGCAGCCGAATCTTGACTGGATGCACATTATTCGTCCTTCTCGTATGCCTCAGCTCAACCATTTACTCATTTGCATACTCCGCAATCACGTCTCTTCCGCCAAGTGTACCGACAACCTTCGACACCGCATTCGTTCCTTCAAGTCGCTTCGAAATCGTCGTATCCATGTACAAGGAAGACCCCGCTTCAGTCCAAGCCATGCTCAAAGCGATCAAAAGCACGACTTTTCTCACCACGCTCCAACCCCGCGTCATCATCTATACCAAAGATCCAATGCAAGATCTCTACAAGCTGAAGGAAGCCACTGACGCAGACCTTGTTGAGCGTTTAGACAACCTCGGACGAGAGGGCGGGACGTATCTCTGGCACATCGTCAATAAATGGGATGAGCTCGCCGAACAAACCATGTTTATCCAAGCTCACGCGCACAATATGCGAGAACTCATTCCAAGAATCAACTCATATCTAACCAAAGAAACCGGAATGCTGAGTCTTGGCTTTACGGGTGTAACTTGCCCATGCAGCAATTGCACGGACAGATGGGGATGGGAAGACAAATGGGGCGTCATCCCAGCTCTTTATGAAAAGATCTACTCTCGTGCTTGCGAAGCTAAAGAACATGTTCTCCTCTCCTACAAAGGCCAATTTGTTGCCAGCGCGCGCCGTATTCGTGGGATAGACAGGAACATCTTCGGCGGACTTCTCACTGCGATCACAAGCAAAAAGGGCTGGAGTTATGACGCTTCGTCTCAGGACATCGCGGGCGCGTCTACCGACGAAGATAGCCCTAGCAATCCGTACTTTGGCTTCGCCATGGAAAGAGTTTGGGGTCTGGTAATGCAGTGCGGCACGAATGCTGGGGTGGCAGCTATGTGTCCGAGCTTGCTGAGTGGCATGGGAATGGGTGGCAACGTTGAAGATTGCCAGTGTTTGGACATGCTTGTCAATTAATTCCTCTGAGAGTGGGCTGACTACGTGAGATGTATTCTAAATGTCCCATCATACCAGAATTGCGACTGCTTGGACGTTCGTTCGTACCTTTGGGCAAAGTCTGGAAATACAGCGTCTCTTGTGGTCCCGGACTCATTCCCCACGAAGAATCCCATACTCTATATCAATCTGCTTCCGTGGCTACCTAACAACCCAGCTCTGCATGCTGCCTGCCTCACCTTCTTCTCAAGTAAGCAGAAAGAAATAAGTGTCTCAAAACTGCCAGCTGTCCACAGGCCACAGTCTATCTCGGTGGAATTGCTATGAATGATCATTAAGAAGCTTGTAAATATGAATACTTAGTGAAGAAAGAAAACATCGAGAGTTTGCTTGGATCTGGTGCCTTTCTGATTATTTACAGCCTGGGCATTGGACTTTCGAGATGGTGGTAGATGGTAATGTAGCAGGCTCTCAAGCTGCTATTTAGATTTTGTTATACCGTAAAACAGTCTTGATACGCAATCGTCTCAAACATGTATTACACGAGTCCTGAGCACGGGAATGTGAAGTGATCTGACCAGCTTGTTTCGGCTTACCACTAGAGAGCAACATGTTTTCCTTTCCATGGTCTCGTAGCATACCTCGAAATGGAGGCTGATGCTGTTGAAATACAGAGAAATATCAAGCACGAGACAGCCGTGTCTACCTTTTCTGTGACCAGATACAGGGGGTATTCTAATACATATCATCTGTTGTGAGAGCAAGGAGCGCTTCACGTGACAATGTTCTGCCTTCACCAACCTTGAAGGTAAAATTGGCCAGCTAGGAGGATGATTTCAGTGAAAGACCAAAGGCTGTCTAAGTTACATTACAAATTGCTAATTTGAATAAAACTACTTAGTAGCCCACCCGCGATTCAGAATATCTGACAGCAAAACATCCGTCACCTCCTTTCCTATGTACCTCGCTTAGAAGCTTGACACTAACATAATCCATTTCTGGTACCTAGAATCTGGCGCAGAACTAGCCCTGACCTATGACTTCTGAAAAGCAAGTATAAGCCCTCATTCACATCAAATAATGCTTCTAGTCCATTAGTGATCTGTTTTGGACTATATCTTGTGTTGTGATTGGCTGTCCTTCTCCTGGGGCCGCGGACTAACAACTATTCAAAATTGGTTCTAGCTGGCTGCTATTGTCGACTATCCTGTTGCAGTCGAGATGAAAATTCTCTCCCACAAGACAATTTCCTTCCGGTTTCTATTTTACTTCAATTCTCAGAAAGCACAACAAATGCAAACCACAACCCTCCAATAGCATTCTATTTCGGCTCAAAATCATATCCAGAAGTCTGAAGCATCAGCAAATATCAAATACCAAGTATCAAGTTTAAGCCAACTTCAGACATGTGGAAACTTAAACGCCCGAGATCCAATAGTGACGATGCAATGGACATCGACAGGGATGGCTCAGTACCTATCGTCTTGAAGAAGGTTCGCTTTGGTCCTTCTAGTACAGTTCCATGTAACCGACCGTCCTCAGTAAGTTGTATGAATTGGTTTTCATAGACAGAGTACAAATTAACAACCCTAGAAACTTCTGACCTTTACAGTAAAGGAGAATTATGACAGCTTTGACGGCAGCATGTCTTCCTCCATCTCTCCGCCAAAGCTACGCCGCCAAATACAACAGCTTAGGCACCGAAAAGTCAAGGGTAGCTCGCCGCTCAAAGAGTTCATGAGCTCGCCATCTCCTGAGCCTGAATCATCATTACATGATGTAGACATGGATAAAACCTTGGACTTACACATCGAAGAGACATCCTCCTCGGATAAGGAGAGTCTCTCTCGGAGATCAATGCTAGTATCACCACCAATACCACCAATACCGCCTTCCTTGTCATTTGATTCGGCAACCATTCCCAGAAACAAATTCTCCTTCCTAGTCTCCGGTTACGAACGCATTGCAAGTACAGCAAAATCCCAAGCCCTTCATCTCCTACACCCAGAAATGGCTTGGATGCAGAGCCTCGTGCCTGTTGAGAACCAGATCTTTAATCAGATCAATCGTGGGAGAGCCCAACCTCTTGAACTTGAAGTTAGAGAGTTTGGTAGTTTTACGGAGGAGGAGAGGGGAGTTGCTAAGAGGAGGTTTGGTGTGCATGGTAGGTTTACGATGGTGTATACAAAGTCTAGAGAGGATAGGGTGGTTGCGATCAGAGTGGCCGATCAGCCAATCAGTCAGCCATCAGCTGAGCAACTTGCTGAGCTGACTAGCTTACGTATAAATCACAGCTTAATAGCTTTAACTAAAGAGCTTAAAAGCTGCTTAAAAGCTGATTCTAAAAATAGACGTATACTAAAAATCCCTCCTAAAATCAACTGTATTAAATGCCGCTATAAGCTCTACTATCTCCCTTCTTTGCTAGTTTTTTAAGCACTCTTAATACTATAGTAATTAACCTAATAACCTTAAACTATGTAGTGTAGTTTATATAAAATAAGATAAGAAAACACGCTTATACTCAGAGCTTATAGTAAGTATACACAAAAAATTAAAGGCTATCTTAGTAAGCTATAGCTACTAGACCTGCTTTAAACACTAATACTTTAAAAGAGGCTAATCTATTAAAGGCTCTTTAAGATATAAGGCTAATTAGTCTTTCCGGCTTAAAAGTCGTAAAGTTCTTACTATAAAGGTTATACTAGTAAAAGGAGGTGCTAGCCTCTCTAATTAACTAGTTTTATATAGCTTTAGAAGCTCTAGCTCTAGAGTTCTTTCCTCTACTTGTATAATAGCTTCTCCTTTATATTCTATCTCCTAAAGCTTCTGTAAAGACGCCTTTCCTTTCCTTATATATTATACGTTATCTCTAGTCTATTATTAGTTGAAATACTGCTATTTCTAGCGAGGGTAAAGAACTAAAGCTACTATCTATATAAGAGAGATATCGGTTTTACTATAAAACTCCTTTGTCTTATTTCAAGTAAGTATAATCGACTCTTATATATCTTAGTAGCTGTTAAATCGACCTGCTTTCGCGCTAGCTTCTAGAACCTTAAAGTAAGAGAGTAGAGCTTTAAAAAGAGGTAATAACTCCTAGAGAGCTCTGTGAGATAATAACGTAAAGTTAAATTGATTAGGGTTGCCTTTAAGGTCTTTAGTAAGACAGAAAAAAGGTTCTAAATACTCTGCTATTAGCTAAAGAGTCTCCTATTTGTTGTTATTAAGATAATCTTCTTAAAACACCTCTTAATTAAGAGTATCTTTAAAAACCCTTAATTTAATAGCGTAAGTATTAAGAGCCTCGTAAAGAGCTAGAGCGTGTATAATTATTAAATATAAGGAATTCTAGCGTATACTACTGTCCAAAACAACTTTCCATCTCTTTCCAGCGGCCTCACCTTAATTAAACTCATCTTATAAGCTATTAAAGGCTACACCACGCTTTCTAGAGGCTATAATATATACTACTAAGTTATAAAGCTTTCTAAGCTCTCCGCGAGACCTTTAAAGTTATCTCCTTTCTTTAAGACTAGCTCTCTTAAATTCAGCCTTAAAAGATAACATATCTTAACTAAATAAGTATTATTTAGTAATAAGATTAAATATATAGCCTATATAATAAAACCAGCGTTATTTTAAGTTAAAATTAAGTGATTTTAAAAGCTCTAAGAGTGTAGTATTATTATTTAACGCGTTGTTAAGGATAAACTAACTAAGGTTATATTCGTTGATTCTAAATTGTTAAAAGAGAGAGAGAATAGCAAAAGCTTAGTCTATACTCAATTAGTAAAGAGAAGAGGCTAGAAAAGAACTAGCTTACTAACACTAGTTTTTCTATAGCCTAAAAGCTCTGGCAGGCTAGCTAGTACTATAATTATTTCTCTTTTTTTGTTTATATAATATAAAATAACTATAACTACGTTAATCTTATCCTAAAGTGATCTCTAGCTATTAAAAGATATAGAGACTTTCAATTAAGCTTCTACAACGTCTTATATAATCTATAGCTTAAAGTACTTAAATCTTTAAGTTACCTAGATCTCTAAAGTTAAATAAAAAGTAGGTAACGTATTAAGAGCTTAAATATTCGCAATTTTAATAATTCAACGAAAGTGTTTAAAGGAAGCTTTACGGTATTTGATATCGTCTATTACTACCTACTTAATAAAGGCATTCCTAAATTCTAGCTCTTAAAAAAGTATAATATACTCGTAACTATCTCCCATAGGACTAGAGGCTTATATAGGTTAAATTACAGTTAAAGGAAGCTTTCTGATATCTCTATCTTAGTCTAATTAATACTCTAGAGCTATATAACATATTATATTCTTAAAAGAGTTACTATTAAAGACTATAGTCTTGTTTTTAGCAAATTAAGGATCGTAGTAACTTAACTTTATTAGTATTTAAAGTACAGATAAAAGAAGTAGCTTATATAGTTTACACGCCTAAAAAGAGTATTTCTTACTTTTCCTAGGTTATACTAGAGTGTAGCTAACTTTCCAGAGCCATGATCGATTTAAAATACTTATTATAAGTATAAAAATAAAGCCTTAAGGTAAAAGTGACACGTTTACTAGCCTATTATTAAACAACAGTTCTCTAAAGGAATATAAAGAGTAGTCTGCTTTTAAATTATCTCTTAATAGCTTAAAAGGGTTATAGTTATTATTATATACTACCTTAGGTTATCGACAGCAGTCTTTAATTATAAATAAAAGCTAAGTTATATTTACTAAAGGTTCTTTACTTACACTTATTATATAAGTAAAAGGATCGATTAAAGCACTTGTAATACTTGCAGATAGAGATTTAGAAGCCTCTAAGGCTATATTCTTAATATTAAAAGGCGTAATCGATTAAGATATGTTTACAGCGTTAATTCAGATAAAATTAAAGAGTTACTATATAATATAGATAACCTTAAGATAAGCTTTGATTATTTTACTGTGCTAGACTACCTAATCTAGCTAATTAGAAATAGTTTTCCTGCTCTAAGACTTCTATTTTTAGTAAGTATAGTATTAAATCGCTATACTAAGTGCTTAGAACCTCACTTTAAAATCGTTAAAACTATAAAGACTAGCTTATAAGCTAGCTTATAAGCTAGCTATATTCTAGCTGACTGGCTTACAAATATATTCAAGCTAACTAGCTGACGTTTTTTTCCCAGCTGACTGATTAGCTTAAAAGCCGGCTGACTGATCGGCCACTCTGGTTGCGATGAGCAACTTGATTAGGGAGGAGTTGTATTTTGGAGCCCCGGATTTGAGGGTACAGATATTTAGGCAGGATGGAGATGATGTAGAGACGAGTAATGTCTTGGAGAGTAAGTTTCTTTGATCTGCAGGCATGAAATTGTCTATAGAAGTTTGACTAACAGCGTCTTCAGCTATCAAAGAAGAATCGCAACCACCATTCTCTGACGCGACAGCCGAAGACCCGGTAACACCACTGTCTTTCTTCGATGTTGCACTTCCAATACGCTTTAGACAGTTTGAAGTCAAGATTGGAGGATTGGAGGACCCCCTCTCTCATGATATGAGAAGAATGGATATTGGTGATGAATAGGAAGATGTTGAATTGGTGTAAGAAGTTTCGCTTTCCTAGATATGAGAGGTAGATAGGTCGAGCAGTTCGGCTATATTCACACTGACCGCTCCTTCCGTGTTGTTCACCAACTTTAGGTATGTTGTACTACAACTGTATTGCACCCAGTCGTTCCTTCCTCAATTGCCATGCAGCAAAAGAGTAGGACTCTCATCGGTGCCTAGCTCACGATTTCCTGACTGGGCCAACTCTTGTTTCTCCATACCCAGCAGCAACAACAACCCCCAGCCAAAAGAAGATGGAAGAAATGGAGTACGAATTCGCAGAAGGAACAAGCGCTCGGCAGCCAGCCCAAGGTGCATCACCCTTCAATATACAATTGTGCAGTCTCTTTCTCCACTCAGATGTCAGCAAGGAAGTACCTCCAGGGTGCGAACTCCGGCACCGAATAACCGCCCAAGACGAAGACGTATACTCAGGGAAAGAAGAGGGCGAGATCAGCGCCAACGATGGAGACTCTAGAGCGGGTGATTGGGAACCAAATATGGAATATGGCGATACGGTTTTGCTGGACAACAATAACTACAGGTATTCATGGGAGGTTTCAAATGAGACAAGCACCTCTGTTCAGTTCAAACGCCAAGGGGACTTCTCAAATAATGGACTTCGGGCTGAGAGTTGAGGTAGAACTTGTTCAACAGCAACCTCGCCAGCTTACACTGCCTAAACTGATGTACGCCAAATTAGGTGGTGAGAAGCGTGTCAAGACCCTCAAGGAGAATGGAAAATTTGCCGGGGCGATCAAGACTCCAGGATCCTGGAACCTGAGCGATGTTTCAAATTGTAAGGGATTCTCGGAAGTGATTGACCGGAGTACTACTATCTCCATGATCAGAATTGCTGAAGAACTGTCGGACCCTGACCACAATTGGTGACACAATTTTTCCCCAAAGTACCTGCAAACGGAATTGGTGAAATACGGGTTCAAGTTCCAGAATCTCCAAACCAAAGGACGCCCTTCGTACAAAACGCATGAGCCGGGCCGAATTCAAGGCGAACCTTGATGCGGCTTGGGCTCGATTGGGCAAACCGAACTTCGTCATCTTCCAATTGCCCCAAAAAGATGCCAATATTTACTCGGATCGAAAATGGTGGGCAGACTGTGATCAAGGAGTTGCCAATATCTGTACTACTTTCCAGAAGCTGGATCGAATCAAGGAGAATAGAGTTGACACCAACTTCTTGGGAAACATGGCGTAAATCTATTATCAACCATAGTGACCATCCAAATCGTTGACACTAATTAGGTTGAAAATTAATGTTAAGCTCAGAGGAACGAATCACAGGTTGCAATGCGGTTCTGGACTGTTCATAAATACCATGGTTGTTGGTGCAGATGTCACACATCCTGGAAGAGCTTCTGCAGACACGTGCCCATCCTTGGCTGGAGTTGTGGCCACCAGCGATGTCGATTGCGTACATTACCTAGCATCCGCACGACTTCAGATAAACAGAACCGAGGCATGATCATCAATATACAACGAATAGTAGTGGGGAAAATTTGGGCTAATGCAAAGAAAAGTATCTTGAAGACCTTGAAAAGATGATGTGTGAGCGACTTACTGCATACCGGGTTGCAAATAAGAGATATTTCGACCACATCCTGTTCTATCGAGACGGAGTAAGCGAGAGCCAATTTGGAATGTGCCAGGTTGAAAAGATCCCTCAGGTTATCACAGCGATCAAGAGAATGCCAATCTGCACAGACACCAAGGCGTCTTGTAAGGCTGAGCTCACTTTCTTGGTTGTCGGGAAACGTCATCACACAAGATTCTATCCAGGTAATAATAAGGATGGCAGAGGTTTTGATCCAGGTCTCGTTATTGACACAACGATTGTCAGCCCCAAGCAGTTCAACTTTTACCTACAAAGCCATGATAGTCTACTCGGCACTGCAAAATCTGGGCACTACGTCATTGTCAAAAATAAGTCTTGATACTCTGGGGATAAGCTTCAAGAAATCGTAAGCTGTTAATGTCTAACCCTCCCCGGTCTGCGCTAACGAATTCAGACCAATAATCTCTGCTCGCTGGGCCCTCGTGCGACAAATACACTCTCTGTTTGTACGCCAGCTCGCTATGCATATTTTTTATGTAACGGCTTGCGATGCTACATGAAGCCAGTCCTTGAAGATAACATCGATGTCCCTGAGGGTGACGTTCTCAAAGGCTACAGTATGCGCAGAACACCGAGGTGTGGGGAGACCGCAGTAATACAGAGAACAGAAATCCTTGGCACGATAATGTCAAAGACATCATGTTCTACATCTGAAAGCTGGCTAGGATTTGGTACTCAGTGGATTTTCTGCCTATTCGAGTGGAGCTCTGTTTACTCTCATTCCTTCAATTTTCTCTATACATGTCTCTGCGTGGTGTTTCCGTTACAGGTGACCACCATCTTGTTGTTTATTTTCTAGTTGAAAACATTTGAAAGGCTGTTGAAGATGATGTTTTCTGAAGAGAGCCGTGGGATACGCTGTATTTTGTACTTCCGTTTTTGTGTATTTGAGGTTTCCCTGGGTTGCATGTCGGAAGTTTTTGATTTCTTGGACGTTCTAACGACCTGATGATTGTGCTTTGGTATCAAGATTGTGTTGAATGATATTTGTAAATTTACGTGCCAAGCAGATTGCTCATCGAACTGCGCTGAATAAGTTTGACTCCCCCACTGTCTCGCTTGATTAATCAAAACAAACCCCTTGTTTAAGCGACGTGGGTAGGCCGCACCTGATTGGCTCGGAGTAAAGTGAAATTGAGCTTCGCAAAATTTGAGAGGCAGCCTGGCAGCCCAGGATCCGGTGCATTTAGCAAGTTAAATAAAGCAAATACTCATCTCGTTCTTAGCCTGTAGCTTAGTCCTCGAGGGATAATTGTGGACCGATGATGCCACCGACTATCCCTTCGTAAGTGATGAAGACCTCGTTTTCCTAGTTGATTGCATCTGTATAATGGCAAGGGAAATGTATCTCACCATAACTCTGACAATCGATTTCTTAGCGCAGCGTACAGTGCTCGCAGCGACCATCGTGAGTACATAGAAAGTTAGTGGGAGAGATAGGTAGTCAAGGCAGTATCCCATGAAGCGGGTCCAAGTGTTTGAGTGTTCATTTGAGCGAATCGTGACTTGGCCCAAAAGCTGGATAAGAGAGCTCTTACCCGCCTGCAAGCCATACATCGCAGTACTTGCATCAAAACTTGAAATCAGACGACCATCTGAGAAGCAGAGGACGAGAGAGGTGCGTATTCTGCGCATCGCGTGTGGAATTTGGAAACCTTTCTTGATCCTATTCTAGCATACATTTCACTCGATGGTGATAATCTACACCTTGAGCGGCGAACGTGCTTCTTCCACCAGGCGAGCCGAGCTGAGCGTAATTGGCGCACTTTCCCTCCGAGGAACTAGAAAATATGGTTTATGGCTTCCCGTTCATGTAAGTGGATTCCACGTTCGGTGTCTTTGAGGCTGCGAATCTCAATATCGCTGGCAGATCCGGGAGAGCAGTAACAGCCAAAAGAGCAAGATCAAAAGAGACACACGTCATTCTCTTTTTATATATAGAACACTAATTAAACCTATACCACGGCTAACAGAGCCTGGCCCGGTACAGTAAAGAGTAGCGATCAAGACCGATCCCACAAGCAAAGGAAAAGTATACCCACTTCTTCTGTGATCCACTTCCACAGGTTCAAAAGTTCAAAAATATTGCAACTGCCGTGAATCGAACACGAACCTCCACCTTGCTTGACATGAATCTGGAAGGGTGGAATCCTGAGGAGGAATTAGATGACGCTTGGGATGAGAGACTCGCGGAAGTACGAACCTAACCATTGGCTGGGAAATATGTTAGTTGGATCATTGTGACAGAATCGACGAATACTTACACCACAGAAGCTAGCTTGATTTGGACGACATGCCGCTATTTGGTTATGTGTACGAGCTAAGGATGTTGAAAATTTTGCTTCCTTTCTACCCCGCCAAGTGCCCCTCCTTCACCCCACTCCTCACATGAAGCAACAGCATCTTACCTAGGTATTTATGCCCAGGAATCCGGTTTCACCATGGCTGCACACGAACCTATTCCTATACCCAGGCTGAACTGACGGAATGACAGTCTCTTCCTTTCCACAGCTTAGTAAATTAAGACTAAGCCGAACAAAAATGTGAGCATTCAAGCCAGTCACATGACTTGGCTTTGACCCGACATTAGCCTGAATACATCTTGGAAGCTCCTTCTATTTTTCTAGTTCGTTAAGAAGCTTTACTTGGATGTTGACTTGCGAGGATAATCAGCTTGAACGGAAGAGCCGGGCTTCACTGCGCACCTTTCGAATCCGGAAGCAGACATGGCATCCAGTCCCAAACGAACACTCCAATGGGGAATTCTCGGTTTGTAGATGCATGCCTCTTTAGGTCAAAACTAAAGCTAATATTTGTCAGGAACTGGATGGGTCTCAACAAACTTCGTGAAAGACCTCGTTCTCTCACGTCGTTCGGCCCCGGTTGCGCACCTCATCACCGCACTCGGCACATCGTCAGAAGCGAAGGGCAGCGAGTTCGTCAACACGATCTTCACTTCCAACCAATCCAGACCCACCATTTACACAGATTACAAATCTGTGTACGCTGACCCTAATGTTGATATTGTGTACATCGGCACCCCTCATGTCTTCCACAAAGAGTCGTGCTTGGCTGCTATTGCGGCTGGAAAACATGTGCTGTGTGAGAAACCAATGGCGATTAACGAGAGAGAGGTGAACGAGATGATAGATGCAGCGAACGAGAAGGGCGTGTTCCTGATGGAAGGTATGTCCGCTGCCACCCATCCATTGCGACCTGCTTTACTAGAGAGTGGCACTGATGTTTGTCAGCCGTTTGGACTCGCTTCTTCCCTTTGGTCCTTGAACTACATCGCCTTCTCCACAAACAAAAAGTGATTGGGGATATTTCGCGGATGTTCTGTGATTTCGCCCTTGATATCAATATTGCCTCCTTACCACCAACCCACCGCTTGAAGAACCTCGAGCTTGGTGGAGGAGCACTTCTTGATCTTGGTGTCTACCCTCTCATGTTCAGCAGCGTCGTACTTGATGAGCATGTAGGGTCCAAAGCTTCTGATGCTGAGATCACTAGCAGTCTGCTTGTGGTGGATGGAGTTGACTATGATGATGTCTTGGTGTTGAAATATCCTGAGAATGGAAGAATGGGGGTCTTGACTGCTTCTATGAGGGGCAAGAGCGGAGAGAACTTCCTCCGGATCGAGGGTAGCGGGGGCACAATTGTTGTGTCGGGACCGGCGGCTTCTGTACCCAAGAAAATAACGATCTTTGCCAAAGGAGAAAAGGAAAAGGTTATGGAATTTGAACATGAGGGAATGGGATTCTACTTCGAGGCAGACGCAGTTGCGGAGGATATTCTGTCTGGGATGAAGGAGAATATAATTATGCCTCTGGCAGAGAGTTTGAGAATGATTCGGATCATGGATGAGGTTCGGAAGGTTGGTGGGGTTGTCTATACGCAAGACAGCATGTAGACATAGTGTAGAATAATCCAACAGTATGAAAGACCTATTTTAAAGAGGCTCATCGCAGGGCACCCAGCTTCTCAGAAGCTGCTTCTGTTGCGTATTCAAGGATTGTTGTAGGCTTCTGCAGAGAAGTAAACAAATAATTCAGTGGGGAAATGAATGATAGCATTGCAGGTTTTCGAGGTTTTCGAACATGACTTTCTTTGGTTGGTCAGTGCCCCATTTTTCTCGAATAGAACAATGCCATACGGTATGAGAGCGTTGTTAAGACTTCTACACAATGTTTCTCATCGGTATTGTATATGTGTCCTCCCCCATATCTCAAAAGATATCAAGAGGGAATAACTCCGCAATTCTCGCATACCCCTTCCCATTCGGATGCAAATAATCACCACCTTGTAATGCATCGGCCAACTGACTCGGATACGTCTCGTTCCTCAACCACTCATCAAAATCTAACACCTCATCAAAGGTTCTGCTCTTCCGAATCCACTCATTAACCCTCTGTCTCGTCTTCTCCCTCTCTGGGTCACTGTACCCTTGTACCGTGACGTTATAGCCTGGAGCGCTGAACGGAGTAATCGTTGCGGCGAAGACAGGAATGTCGAATGTCTTGATGCGAATAGCGATCTGAATGAACGCTGCGATGAGTCGATCCCCGATAGCTTTTTGTGCTGCGGCGTCTGTGGCACCTGTTCCGATATCATTTACGCCTTCGAATATCATGGCGTATTCGATTCCGGAGTGGGAGAGAACATCCCGATCGATTCGGGAGAGGGCATTCGGACCAAGACCGTCGTATAAGATTCGGTTCCCACCTGCGGCTTGGTTGAGCACCGCAATGTCTGAAGTCGAGTGGCGAGTCTGCATTTTTCGGAGGACCAAGTCAGGCCAACTACAATCCGTCAGAATGAATTTCTCATCTAGACTGAGATACGAACCGATTATTCTGATTGTTGTCACTTCCGCGGCCATCTGTGATGCTGTCACCAACAATCACAAATGCACGCGTGCTCTTCGGCACATATACTTCAACAGCACTCACAAAATACCTATCTACACATCAGCATGTCCTAATTCTTTCCAGCTCAAAGTTCTCACCAATGAGCTACATTAGCCGAGCTGGAATCCGTGATATCCGTCGCCGAAACCTGATTCCCAGTACTCATCCAGCTGACTATGCGACTTCCTGGATGAGACGTAATCGCATTCGCAGAGCTCCTTTGTCCATCCGCCAGATATATCGTTACGGTTAACATGGTCTGCGGCTCGACCTTGAAATCAATCGGATCTGAGACGACCAAGGCTCCATTGGGAATCGTGTAATTGGTTCTGCCCGAAAAGGTGACAGCTTTCAAGGTATTTGGTTGAATGGCTGCAACACCTGCAGAGCCATTGAAAGGGAGAGCGACGGTCACGGCTGTAATGGGGAGGTCGCTTACGCCGAAAGCGTTCGAGATACGGATTCGAATGGAGGGACCGCCAATGGACATGTGTAGTGTTTGGCGAATTGTTGAGTTCACGAAAACTGCTCCCGTTTGGTTCTATGGTGGTTCAGCAGGCATCGGTGACATTTAATATAGGTCTAGATAACTTACGAATGGCGCGGGAGGCAAATTTGCAGGCTCGGTGAGCTGCGGCATGCTAACCCAAGTGTCGACCCAATGATTGCTATCATGTCTCCTATGAATCGAGGCCTTCGACCGCTCAACATGAACAGTAAGAACAGCAAAATAAAAGAGTTGCTTAAACAACATCATGTGCAAAGTTAACCAATGACACAGAAATCAGCAAGCAAGACGTTTGAAATGATCCGGATTCTGGAGCCACGCAGCTTTATATACATTCCCAATCCTACCCCGCTGGACTATAAATCCCGTGCCAGTACTATGAAAGAGGACTGGGTGCAATTAGGAACTACCAGTTCCGGAACATCTCAGCCTGTTATCCTCGACGCAGGTACGAAACTCTATTCCCAATCTATCCAAACTCCGGGTGGTATCCTTTTGTCCGTCATAATGATCTACATCGGTCTTTGACGGAAGCAGCAATCTGCTCTTGATGCAAGTAGTGTTCCGAAGGCATGAATACTCATGCTCGCATGGTCGACCGGACATTCGGTTGCCAGCTGGCAGATCTGTCCGGAATGAGTGAAAAAATATCTTGGAAGTGGAGTGGAAGAATAATTTATCCATGAGCGTTTGAGGTGGGGTAAATAAGCTTTTCGGCGAGGGGTACCGAGCTTGTCGAGGATGGCGCTTGTTCCTGCATATAGGCTGAATTAGCAGATATTGATTGGCGACCAGTCATTGAACCTCAATCACGATACAGTGACGTGATGCCCTATTTCATCCTTCGACAAAGGTTCATTTTACTGTGATATTATCGCTGAGAAAGCATACCTAATGATAGTTAAATATCAAACTAATAGCCAGAAGAACAGGAAGTCAACAATTAAGCGAGAATGGGAATACAGGGTAAAGAAGATAACTGACCATAACCCAGCTCTGCACGTAACATGTTGACAGTCCCCATTCAGATCAACAACAACCGCAGCCCTAAATAAGAGATTTCCCGACCTCACCCAGTTTGCGTGAACCTTTTAGAGAATTTGCGGATCTGCAACTCAGCAACCAGGCGTAAGGAACCAAAGCGCGAATGAAGAAATATTAGCTCCAGGTGCTGAACAGACTAGAACTTAGTTAATCAGCCAGCCTATCAGTTGCCTTATCATACAGTATTTCGTTTTCCATGAAGGTTCAGAGGTTGACACAGAACGAAGATGATGAAACCAAAAGAGAGATTAGCTGGATTGGAATGGTGGGTGTCATGAGAGGAGAATGGAACGGAACAGAAGTGGCACGAGATGCTAGGAGCAAATAGAAGGGAAGCAGCAAATTTGGCAAGTTGACTATACTTGTACTTGTACTTCCACTGCACGCCGTCCGGCTGCCCTTCATGGCTTCTTTCCTCTCCCCCTTCAATCACACCCCTCACCGTCATCCCAAACATCATCCCTCAACTATGAAAATATTCGTGGCTTCTCAATTTTCCCGCAAATACTGACCTTAACACTCTCGGAATACAGCAAATAATCACTAGCTTATGAACCTAAAGATCAACCCACATGGAACTCACGCCTCCTTTCTCCTCCTCAGGGCCACCCTTTCCGGATGTCTATGCCAATGCCCAAGTATGATGGTAGTGTACTGACACATGAGGCTTGTTGCGAGCTGAATTAAAGCACTACCACCATCCTTATATTTTGAACCCAGCCCCCTGACAATAAAAACCCTTTTGGAAGATCAACTTATCTCTCATATATGTGTAGTCAAAAGAGCTCAGCTGGAGAAAACAAGTGTGCCTGGAAACGAGATAAGATATCGAAGTAGAGTACCATCCACCACGGTGAGTCTCGAAACAGCTCTATACTCGAATCCCAAGGTGTAGGTTACACAATTGCACTTCGGTTTCAACCTCGCCTTGGCTTTCCTTTATCGTTGCGTGAGGTCGGCTTCAGGAGTAGTATATGAGATAGGGACTTTAGTGTTGCAGTTTCACAGCTTGAAAGCGATGCTTTGATTGTTGTAGGGCCATCACCTTACTTCCAGCTACCGATCAATATGCAGGAACAGTTTTGAGGTTACGCAAGATTAGAATGTTACACATGTACCACTTGACTGCACACAATCCTTGGAGCGTAACTGGGGACTTGCGATGAACCCTGGCTTTGTACGTAATACGCGATCGGAATTATAAACCGAAAGATCTGAGGGAAATTAGGCATTGTTTGCAGATAACAATGTCGTCGTTTAGAAGCCACGAGTGAATGCAGCGATGACTAAGAAGCAATTTTACTGCTCATTTGAGATAAGCAACTTGAATTTTATGCATCTGTATCTTGTAGTGTTGGTGAATATGAACTATCTGCCAGCAAAGAAAGCAAAGGAGTGACTCCAGCCGCAAATATCAGCCATGGGAATGAAATGAATACAAGCAAGGTATTAGTGGGAACAGGTACTCCGCAAAGTTAAACCCTGAGACGATAATCCATAGAATCCTCTCTCCCGTTGAGTCTTCGATGCGCATCCCACGATGAACATCTCCGATGTCCTTTCAACTAATAGTCATCCACATCTCCGTATCCGCCATTTCCACCATTGCCGTAACCTGGAGGGGGAGGTGGTGGAGGATAGATAGGTGGAGAAGGTGGGTAGGTTTGGACTGGGGGAGGGATGAATGAGAAGGAATTGCTCGTAGGCTTAGTGACAGGACCAGTCGAGCCAACTCCACCTGGAATGGTCGGAAGACTGATGCTGGAAGGGCCTGGAATGGTCGGTACAGTTGTAATAGGACCGGTTGGGATACCCGGGATAGTGATCTTGCTTGTGCTCAACGTCGTCAAGGTCGTGATGGTGGTCAATGACACTCCTGGGATAGTAGGAAGAGTGGGTAGAGTGGGAGTTGTGAACACACCACCAGCAGTTTCCGAAGTCGAGACAGCTGGGGGAAGAGTTGGGATGGCTGGGACACAGACACTGTTCGTCAATGTTTCAAGCGAGGAGATGGTGTTTGTAAAGCTGACGACAGTAGTGGAAATGTGAGTAAGGATGGTGGTAGACAAGATGGTCTTCGCACTGCATTTTGTCAGAGTATGATTCGTTAAGGCAGCTGAGAGAATGAGAGGAATATGGTAAACTCACCAAATGGGTTCTACAGTAGGGAGACCTGGTCCTCCTGGTCCTCCTGGACCACCGGGACCACCAGGAACACCAGGAAGAGTAGTGAAGATACCACCTGCCTTACTCGTAGTAAGCTTCGGTGGTCCAGGAATAATAGGCGTGTATCCCGGAACCGGCAATGGATTCGGACTTGCACCTGGAAGAGGTGGCAAATTGTTGAATGGAAATCCTGGAGGGAAAGCACCCGGGTTGCCTGGAAGAGGGTCATAGATGGGATCCGGGCCAGCATAGGGTGGAGGTGGGATAGGTGGTGGTGGGGGGCCGTAGCCTCCGTTGGTGGCAGTTGCGCTGACGGCGAGTAGAGCGAGAGTGAGGAGTTGAGTGATGGTTGCTGGTGCCATTTTGAAGGTAGGCTGCCTGGTGTTACAGTTGATGATTTGTGACTGTTTTGGGCCGAGTGTAAAAGGCTTGGACAAGAGAATGAAGTGAGCTGAAGGTGCTCAAGATCGGGCGTTGAGGTTTGAAGAACATGGAATCCGAACGTGGGATAACGTGGTGCTTGTATCCAGTTTACAAGACTGGGTGTGTGACAAGAAGGGAGTCTTCTCTTGATGGCGGGCAAGAACGATTTTTGGAACAGTGGAAGGAGAGAGCCGTATTTATAGGACTGATGCGATTGAAGTAACAGACGTGGAAAGAGCGAATACATTACACAAAAGGCAACCCCTCAACCCGAAAATGAAAGAAGTCACACTCTTGTCTAGACGTCAAAGCTGAAAGTATCTCGTGCGAACAGCTGTAGGACACCTGCAACAAGTCTAGAAGAGAAAAGAAAACAATCCGTGTCTTCTCTCACCAGAGGTTATCATACTAAATCAAACATCAGCACACCATCTAGGAAAGTCCCATAGATCGTCCAGTCTAGCACCGCATCGATGTTCGATGTTGCGATACATGCGTGACACTGTGTGCCTTTGTGTTTCTAGGAAAACGCGGAGGACCCAGGGGCGAGGCAGCGGAGAGATATTCGGTTGATTGCAGGGCGAGTGACGATGTGAGAAATGATGATAGACAGGAGTAATCAGAAATTTGACATATGGTCGCCGAGGTCAGGCTTTGGATTGTGAATTCTCCGATGTGGAGACTGGCCTTGGAGGAAACATACATGCTAATACCATCAAGAACTGCGGAATGAAGTCAAGTCAGGAATAGCAGCTGAAAAGTTTCACATGCAAGTTGACCCTCCTCGGACTCTCCTCATGGTTTCACTTGCAAAACCACGTTAATGACCCCAACCACTAGGAGGGGTCGAGCTAGGTTGCTTTACGGGAAATGAGAAGCCGATGTAAATCGCCGTTCACATGGTAACACAAGTTTATTTGTGATGCACGGATATTAGATAAGTTAACTTCTTTTGTATTCCGCTCTTGTCTTCCCGAGTCTCGCACTAAAGTACATTTTGATTATTGCCACCAAAAGCAAGCAAACCAATGCTGCGCTGGTTGGGCATCAAATGGAAAGAGTAAAAGCAGGCTTCATGCAACGTGAGAATGACCATTCGTGAAATACCAACCATCAAACTCCGCAAAAAAAGAATCCCGCACACAACGCAAAGCTCATTATTGCATTTAGTCAACCTCCTCCATGGCGCTCTCGGCTGGCGCATCACCGGTGACCTCCTCATCAGCGGCCTCCTCAACTGCCTCTGGCTCCTCATCGACATTCAGGCCAAGAGAGACAAGCTTGTGAATACGCTCGGCAAATCCGGCTGGCTCCTCGATGGTGAAACCGGAAACGAGAAGAGAAGTCTCGAATAGAAGTTGAGTGATCGACTTGACAGTTCGGTCGTTCTCACCATCAGCCTCAACCTTCTTCTTCAGCTCCTTGATGATAGGCGAGCGGGGCGAAATCTCGAATGTCTTCTTGGAGGACATGTAAGATGACATGGAGGTGTCACGGAGAGCCTGGGCCTTCATGATACGCTCCATATTTGCGGACCAACCGAATTGACCGGTACGGATGGCGCAAGGAGCACCGACCAACTTGTGGCTGACAACAACCTTCTCGACCTTGTCACCCAAGACGTTCTTGAGAGCCTTGGCAAGACCCTCGAACTCCTTCTCCTCGGACTCACGGACCTTCTTCTCATCTTCAGTCTCCTCAAGCTCGAAGTCCTTGGTAATATCAACAAGCTTCTTGCCATCGAACTCCTTGAGTTGAGTCATGGCGTACTCATCAATGGGGTCGACCAAGAAGAGAACCTCAAACTTCTTCTCCTTGAGGGAGTCGAGGAATGGAGACTTCTGGACAGCCTTGAGAGACTCGCCAGTGATGTAGTACATGTTCTTCTGGTGCTCAGGCATGCGGGTAACATAGTCGGCAAGAGAAGTTTGGTCATCGCCAGAGGTGGTGGAGTTGAATCTGAGGAGCTTGGCGAGAGCAGGTCTGTTTTGGGAATCCTCGTGAATACCGAGCTTGATGTTCTTGCTGAAAGCAGTGTAGAACTTGTCGAATTGCTCCTTGTCCTCGGAGATCTCTTGGAAGAGCTCAAGAACCTTCTTGACGATGTTCTTCTTGATGACCTTCATGATCTTGTTTTGTTGGAGAGTCTCACGAGACAAGTTGAGTGGGAGATCCTCAGAGTCGACAACACCCTTGACGAAGCTCAACCACTCAGGAATGAGATCGGTGGCATCATCAGTGATGAAGACACGGCGGACGTAAAGCTTGATGTTGTTCTTGGTCTTCTTGGTCTCGAAGAGATCGAAAGGAGCACGCTTAGGGACGAAGAGAATAGCGCGGAACTCGAGTTGACCCTCAACAGAGAAATGCTTGACAGCAAGGTGATCCTCCCAGTCGTTGGAGAGAGACTTGTAGAAGGAACCGTACTCCTCTGGGGTGATGTCGGAAGGATTACGAGTCCAGATTGGCTTTTGCTTGTTGAGCTCCTCCTCCTCAATCTTGGTCTCCTTAATCTTCTTGGTCTTCTTCTCCTTCTTTTCTTCCTCCTCATCATCGACCTCCTCGATCTTGGCCTTCTTCTCATCGCCCTCATCCTCCTTGGTCTCCTCCTCCTCATCAGGAACCTCAGTCTCAGTCTCCTTTGTGACGTGGAGGTAGATTGGGTATGAGATGAATTCGGAGTGCTTCTTGATGACCTCCTTGATCTTTGACTCGTTTAGGTAGTCGGTTTGCTCATCCTTCAAGTGAAGAATGATCTTGGTACCACGGCCGAGTTGCTCGCCCTCGGTGTCTGGGGTAAGGGTGAAAGTTCCACCAGCAGAGGACTCCCAGATGTATTGCTCATCATCGTTGTTCTTGGAAACGACGGTAACGCGGTCTGCGACGAGGTATGCGGAGTAGAAACCGACACCAAATTGACCAATCATGGAAATATCAGCACCTGCGGTGAGAGCCTCCATAAATTGCTTGGTGCCGGATCGTGCGATCGTGCCGAGGTTGTTGACGAGGTCCTGTTGGATGTTAGCAGAGTTTACGAGAGTGGCAGATGGGTACTTACAGCCTTGGTCATACCAATACCAGTATCGCGGATAGTGAGGGTCTTGTTCTCCTTGTCTGGGATAATGTCGATGCGGAGATCCTTTCCAGACTCGAGCTTACTCGAGTCGGAGAGGGCCTCATATCTAATCTTGTCGAGAGCATCGGAACAGTTGGAAACAAGTTCTCTCAGGAAGATTTCCTTGTTGGAGTAGACTGTGTTGATGATGAGGGAGAGAAGCTGAGAGATCTCAGCCTGGAACTCGAAGGTCTCGCCAGCCATGATAGCGGTATTTCGGTTTCTGGAAGAGATAGAGTGTTAGCTGATGGAAGATGAATGTGTTGAGATGTTCGGAGAACAATTGCGACCAGCAAAGGTGGACGTGCAAGCTGTTTCAAGGCTCGTTGCTATGAGGCTGAGCTCCAAAACAAACAGGCTGGCAGCTGAGAGAATGGGAGAGAACTGCTGTTGGTGTTGCTTACCTTGAGGGTATTCGTGAAGTAGGAAGTGAGTGTGAAGGACGAGAAGAGCAGTTGGGTATCTTTGGTTTGGAGTGGTATGTAGAAGAAGAAGACGAGCAGATTTGGGCTGAGAAAAGCGAATTTATCCTCGTTGCTGTGGGAGCATTTCTGATTCTTCTACGAGCTTCTGTCGACCTGCGCTAAAATTCGGCCAGGGGCCGCATAGAGCCGATTTTGTACTAGTGCCACACCGCCTTCACCTCTCCCGCGCCCGCCTTGTCTAAGAGAAGAGGCTGGAACTCTCCTGCGACTTCTGAAGTGCAGGGCAGGGAAGGGAATCAATTTCGATTGTCGGAATTTACAGTAGCAAACTTGACGACTTTGGCAAAGCGGGGAGACCATTTGCATACTATAGGTACATTTAACTCGCATCAAACCTTCCTGTGATTCTGCTTTGTGGTCGGTACCTACCTACTTGAGCTGCTTTCACTGTCCTTCTGGCTCGTTACCTTAGAAGTTAGGACTCTTGGACTTGAGCCTCAGGTTTCAGCTAAGCTTACATCACGTGTCATTTTCCGACTTTTCTCATTGGACAACAGGGCAAGGGCAAGCAAGGCTGCACTGTTACCTGGAAACAGCGTTTGTTGGTTATCGTTTTGTTTGCACTGTACCTAGTACCGTTTGAAACAATTCCCATTATTCCTCTATTCACAAGCATTCGGTGACTCATTGGAGTTGTCGAGAGCCCATTTGTCGACACTGCCAGGTCGGGCTGTTGACTTCCATCTATCATCTTTCCAGAACCCACTCTGAAAGCGGCGAGGCGGATTGATTTACATACAAACATGGAGCAGAATTCAGATAATGATCCCAGGTGTAAGATGTGGACTCAATTTCGCAAATATGGCTTAAGTTCTACAGAACAAATTGTCTTACTGCAGATGAGACTTCGGACTGTATTCCGCTGCTCTTTGTCGTTGGAGAAACGCCTGTGGCCAGGGCCCTGAGGCCCTCGATATCTGTGGACGGTTTAAGCTCTCGGAGACTCTCAAGCAATGTTTGGAAACTGGTTTCCTGTAGACAAACCCGAGCTTTTAAATTGCTGGTTTGCCTGGGTGTCAAATGCTTTTCGAAGCGTCGGTCACGTGTGGAAAATTATGCAAGTGTGTGAGCATGCATAAATCGAATAAGTCCACAGCTTGCACTAGAGTAGTAGTATTCAAGCTTACTACTGTGATTTGTGTCCTGTTCAGCTTATCCCTCAAGTTCAAGACCGGCTCGGCCTCTGCAAATGATATAATAGTCACGTGATATACCGTAAGTGTTAGTGTCTGGAATCTCTCGAGACTTCTCTTCCTCAGCTCCACAAATCCAATGGGTTCATGTGAAGTGTTTTCTTGTTGGATGTACCGGCACAACCGCAATCCCAGTTTCCATCTTTGTGAAACGGACCGTTTTGCCACCGAATGAAGTAGCAATCTCCTTACGAGACCTCGTTTGGAATAACTGCCTCAGTTGTTGGTATATTTAGACTACTCAAAGGTTATTGAAGAAGGTCACGACCTAATTCCTACAGTATCAGGTCAATCTCGAAGATCTAATACAGTCTTTCGTCTCCCGGTCAGGATTTCCATGATCTACAGACCTGGATTACGCATGACTACCCGATGGTCTGTCTTTCCTTACCCAGACTCGTAGCTCGGAGTCTTTGATGGACACCCAAGTGAGTTTCCCCTCTCCAAATCTACTCTGTCATTGTTGCTCTTCCCCGTCGAGTTCTGGCCTCGCTGCTGGACAGTGACTGGCAAGCTGTACTCTGTTCTGCAAGTTTGCCAGAACTGCTTTTCTCATTATTACTGTGGAACACCACCTGCCTCCAGTACTTGTCAGCATCCATTTCATCTGCATAACGCACAGATTGATTTTACTGAGAATGAGCTTCAAGAATCAGGCTGTATGATGGTTCTGAATCATTAAGTGCTTTATCAACGTTATCATTGAGACGTACAGAGGGAAACAGGCACAAGGTGCGGTGGGTGTCGCAGAATGTCTGACCAATGGACTCCGCATCATGATGATGAAAGACAGGAGTTGCCACAGGGAGATTTGGTGAATATACAAGTCAATGAAGATCTTTGGGTCAGCTGTCAAAAGCAGGACACGAAACCTTATCGTATCGAGGAGGTTAAGATTGTGCAGGAGAATGGATGTTAGAAATGGAGTGGTAGGAAATGGTGCGCATATCGTGGCAGATTTTGACAGGATCAAAGCTTGTTATCACAGCTCAAGATTCCACCACTTTAACAGAGTGGAGGAGCTCTTGTATCGTTCCTACCAAAGATTTGACATCAAAGAAGTAGAAATAGCCGGAAGGAGCCAAAAGCGCCAAGAAGTCGCTTATTCGGGATAAGGTTTGTTTACCTTCACCAGTCGTAAAAGTTGACAACGTGAATCGCGCATCGTCATTTTCACGTTACGAGAATTGACTACCTGCTGCAATCTCATCAGTATTCTGAAGAATCACATAGACGTCCTCTTTTCGGCTTAATAAGTGGCCCGGAGAGCGGATTTTGATGCAACGAAGATCAGAAAAGCCAAATCAGGACTCAGACTCTACATACTTATCCGACACAGCGCGATGGGGTCCCAAATATCGCGTTTAGTTCGCCATTCTCATGTGGCATCTACATTTGACCATGATAGTCTCCTCGACGCAACTCGTCTTTCTTCCCAGCCACTCGCCAGCCCCACGATGCCACTACTGCCAGTCTTTGAGTTCCGTTCGCCACCCTTGACTTTGTATTCATTCACCAATTTCCCCAAACTGCCAACAGAGTAAGTTCTCTGCCTGTGTGGATCAAGTTTCTAGCTTTCATGAAGCATATTCGTGGGATCCTGGAGGCTTCAAGGACACTATCCATAAGCTAACACGTCAGCAGGATTCGCTTGATGGTGTGGGAACTGGTTCTTCCTGGGGAACGTGTGATCCGCATTGAAGACTTCACCAACACTAGTCGCCGTCACAAGCCGTGTACAACCTGCCGCTGTATTGGATCCAGGGCCTGTGTACCTACTCTACTGCACGTCAATCATGAAACCCGCCAACTCGCACTCAAATTTTACACTGTCACATTCAAGAACAGACTCCTTAAGCCAACATATTTCAATCCAATACTCGACATATTACTCTTCCCAAGCGTCGAAACATTCTTCAAGTTTGCTGAGCCGGTCGTACTGACATATACATTGAATCTCTTGGAAGTCTGTCCCTTTACTGAGCTTTTTCCTGCACGTAATGTTCACGCCAAATTCGGGACAGCGTCGGGACGATACAATGACGATGAAAGTATCGAGAGTAAACTGAGATACTCGGCAATTGGACGAAGTAACCCTTTACCATGTCGCGCTACGATAGGGGCAACGCCATGGGAGGAGATCTCTAGTATTGGATTGATGAATTTACTAGGAGGCTTTGGAAATTTGACCAAACTCTTCATCGAAGGAGTGTATCTCGAAGATTCTGGTTTCCACCCGGCACCTCCACCATCTGCAGATCGAATCTTGAAGACACTACTTGACAAGAGATGGAAGACATGCAGCGACCAGAATGTACAATTGCCGGAGATTATTGTTGTTGGACCGACAAGCATGGTATGTCTCATTTCTCTCTTCCTTGTGATTGAAAGGTGCTTAAGAATTTCATGAACAGAAGCAAATGCGATTCCGAGCCCGGGAAGCTCGACTTTAGTCTTGGGCAAAGCTTGCAGAGTACCGACCATGATTATGCTTCAGGGGAAGTGGTACCGGGAACAGAAATTCGTGTCTGCTGCAGATAATGGAACCAAGTACCGCACTTATCCAGGTGGAATGTCATAATTGATAGGCCGGCCGTACATTGAAATTGCAAGATTTCTAAGGACCGCTTGTCGGAATAGGAATACAAATATAATACATTCACAACATGTCTGTAGATAATCTACGACAAACCACTCGAGAACTAACTGCATCATTGTGCCCATTCAATTCTAACATAAATCCAATACTCAGCCGACATCGTCCTCGTCAGCCCAAATTTTTTCTTCAGATTCTTGGTCTCTGTGCCTCCAGAGATCCTGACCGCGTTGCGAAAGGTCAAAACATCATGATACGCTGTGTGGAAGATGCAGGAGACTACGTTCTGTGGCGGTGCTTCAAATCTGTGAAAACCATCATGACACAGATTCAAATTGGAAGGGCTTTTGGGCGAGGTGAATTAACCGAGTTTTGCTATTGACTTCCATTTTCCTTGATATAGAGGTGAATCCGACGCCAAATATGAAGATAATATCGTAACAGAACCCTCCTCTCCTCGGACTGTCTTTCTAGTGTATCAACTTCTCCGAGAATTTGCTCCCCGCGCGCTGAGTACGAGCAATTTCCCCGAAGTTATTGTGAAATTCGGGTCTCAAGTAGTGAATTGTTGTACAGGATCTGGACTGAGGTAAGGAAATCAGTTCGACTTTAAGACCAGAGAGCTGAAGATCTAGACAGTCAGATACGCGAGGCTGAACCTACGACCATCTTGCTAATGAAGCAACATCTCTTTCCCTTAACGCGGGAAAAATAATGGCTCTTCCGTACATGCCCTCGAGCTCCCCATCAGAAGAGAAGGATAATTCCATCCATGGGTATGTTTCTACTTTTTATTCGACTCAGAACGCTTCCAAACAAATACACAGATCTACTTGCCCCAGAGTCATTGTGTCCTATGTGGTACTCCACCATGACAAGCCCCAAGGAGCACCACATGGTAGCAGCACAAGCTGATTGTGGTTTTCATAGAGCCTTGAGCGAACCACAGTATGAGAGTTCCTCGGACAATACCTCCCTGAAAGCCGTTGCTGCTTCATTCAGCGTCCCGATGTTCTCGTCCCACAGCATATGGCCTCAATTCACCCTGTTCGAGAAGCTTCCGATGGAGCTTCAGCACATGATATGGTGGTTTGCCCTGCCTGGTCCACGAGCAGTCCATTTCAAGATCTCCGGCACCAGAGGTCACGGCTTCGCAATCGCTTCTGAGCTCGCCATCGCGAAAGTGAAGGTCACTACAAGCATCCCAGGAGTGCTTCATGCAGTCCGAGATTCTCGTGCAATTGCCCTGAAGCACTACCAACTCGCCTTCGAAGACCATCCCAGAGTCCAAACTATGTTTTTCAATTACGATCACGACTATCTCCACATCAGCCCCCTACTTCTGGAGGCTCTATTCGCTGGCGCTGCCATGGAAGCGGTGCGAGAGCAGACTTTGACTAAGATCCGGAATTTGATCATTGGCCCTTATTGTCAACTTCATCACCATGAGCTAGATGTGCTTCAAGTCAAGTTCTTTCGCTCTCTCAAGCACGTCATCCTGCCACACAGATACCCATTGGGAGATCTTCGCAGATTTCGAAAGGAGAATGCAGGTATTCAATATTTCAAGCATGCCCGTTGTACCAAGAATGTCAACTTGCGTGGCATGGATGTTGAGTACAAGACCATGGTACAGATCAGAGAACTGTCGCGAGCCATGAGGTAAGTGCTCTCCCCTGCAGAGTATCGATTCGGAATCACTAACGATTTCTAGAAGAGGCAATTAGTTTCTGTGATGGATGGCAAGGTTAAAAGCCCGCAAGCGTTGAATTGTGTTCTTGCAAAAACTTCAGCTCTTGGCAGTAAACACGACCTGGCAATGGATAGTTGTTGGGCTAAAGATGATGCGGGTGGAATCATCTTGCGGGGAGAAATACTCCATATTCTACCCGAAAGAGACAGGAGAAATCGAGGATTTGAGTTTTCACTGAACGAATCTACCTCTTCTTTGTGCCTGGCTATTGAATTTAGCCATATCAAAAGAGGGGTCATGGAAGCTCCAGGTAGGTACTGTACGGTACAAGTGTGTTGTGGGACAAGTACACAATCCTGCGTCAAGATCTCAAATATGATCCCTAAAATGCAGAAGAACCCGCTCTCATACCTTCGACTGACCTAAACCCTATCATACATGGTTTCTTGTTAGATCCATCAGTTGTCCAGATGGATGGCTCGTTCGTTCTTGTGACCCCCACTTTTCATCTAGTCCATGGTCTCCCATGCTTCTAAGGACCTGATATCTTAGAAACACAAGTAATGAAATGCATTTGAACCTCAAACATGTATTGACAGCTGCTACAGAGAATGCTTGCAACAGACAAGAGCAGCTGAGCCTTGCAAAACCAGGTACCACAACCCGGCCAAGAGACGATATTCCAGGCCGCACTGGCAACTGTATGCTAGCTGCTGGAAACCTTTATACGCCTACCATTCGCTTCACCATGGAAATGGCATCACTTGCATTGTCTGCACAAACATTTTGCAGCCTCTCTACGACATCACAAAGACCTTCATCATCGCAACCAGCGACATTTGAGTAGAGCAGCTGTGTTGCTCACTGATGGAGCGGAGGTGAGACGCGTAAAGAACGAAGAAACGACTCAGGAAATTTATGGAACCAGAGAATTCTGTGAAATGAATATATGCAGGGAGTTGATCCAAATTATGTCTATCTTCGCTCAGAGTGTTTGGACGGGTATCAAATCAAAAGCCCAAAAGCAATAGCAACAGCCCCATGACGGGGAAAATTGAAGCAACCTGACCGCGGAGCTGACCTCCCATAAAATCTGCACCATTTATAGCAGTTTGCGAAACTACAGCCACCGAAGGAACTAGAACCTGTGTAGGCACTGTGAGGGTCGATGAGTTCGTCATTGAGGAATATCTTGTAGGTATCGCCAAAACCGTCGGCACGGAGATATTCATCGATGTCATGATACTTGACAAACTCATGAACGTGGTCGAACTCAAGGAGCTCGAAGCCACCGGAGTCCTCGTATCCTCAAGAAACCCCGCACCTGTGGGAGATGGAACACTTGCAGCTCCGCTGTCTCGAGGGGGCCCTATTCCGTCCACAGGTGGTGTCAACCACCCTCTTGCATTCGCCTGTTGAATTCCTAGATACCATGCATCTGCCATATTCGCATATCCAACATCATTCGGATGTAATACATCCTTCAAGTCGGCGGCAGTGACAAATTTTGGCATGTCCACAGATAAGATTTTCTTGCCCAGCTGTTCTCTGCTGGTGGCAAGACTGGCCACACTAGGATTGAACTGTTCAACCCGAGCTTCAACAGCAGCAGTTCCGGCAGGCGTGAGCTGGGCCAGAAGAATCACGGCATCAGGACAAGCGAGGAAACACATGTCAACAAGATTTGCTAGCCTTTCTGGAGCCCCTAGGGTGAGATTCATATTCATATCGTTGGTGCCAGCCATGAGGAGAATGAGGTTTGGACGCAGTGCAAGACTGCCGACTGAAAAGGCAGAGATTTGCGTAATGGTGGCACCCGGATGACCTTCATTGTGGTTGTCGGTCATATTACCGGACCGAACAGATCCTATGTACTGGGCAGTGCCATTGGTAGTGATTTTATCAAGCAAATGTTTACGATAGCCATTTCCGTCAGTGCTCTGGTAACCATAGGTAATAGAATTTCCTAATGGCAGGATTCTCAGAGGCACTGTTTTGCCCTCTTCGCCATTGGAAAGAGTATCGTTCGAATCAGCCGCAAGAACAGACGTTGCTAAGGATAAGTCAGTAAGAATAGACTCGAAAAAAAGGATGACTTTGCTCACCAATAACCAAGAGCAAGATGTTCGTTATGGTTGCTGATCTCAGCGATTGGAAGTAAAACATAGTTTCAGCGAATGTGTTCGATCGAATGCGCTGCTCTTGCAGCTTTCCAAACTCTAGGTCTATTATGAATCCATGTCGTACAAAATAGAATGAGCGAATCTATCAGTGGCAGAGTAAGATGAAAAATCAAGAGGATGCTGTAACTCCAGGGAAGGTAATCGTATCCCACCTAAAGGCTACAGGAGCTGGACTAACAACGATATAGATAAAGAGAGTAATATCTTCTGCCAACGCAACAAGTCTACATCAGACGAGAAGGTACCTCGAGACTTCAAGCAGGGGAGGCCGTCTTCATATGCGAAGCGGGAAACGGCCGGAAGATCAAGACCTCGCTTCGACTTGGCTCTATGACGAGCATGCCCAGTGAGTTGTCGCATGGCCACGAAAGCTTAGTTTCTCTTTAGAGCAGAGTACTCCATCTTAAGACTGACCGAGTGTTATTATTCGTCGACATTGTGAATCATGAAACTGAACGCGAAGGCATCAAGCTCAATCCTAGGAACCTGCGACTTGGTGCACGGCCACCGCATCATCCCAAAGCTTCACCATTCCAGTGTGTCTGAAGAGGGGCACTGCCACTCGAGTCTCCTTTCATGCAGAAACACAGATGACTATAACGAGCTGAAGAGCTTGGTGATTCTTACAAAAGATGGACTTGTCCTGTCTGCACATAGGAGCAAGGCTTAATAAGGTGAGCTGAATGCAAGATTTCCATCCTAAAAAAAGAAGTCATCCAGGCGCGATACTGGACTCTTGTATCGAGACAATGAACTCCTTGCTCCCATTGAGCTTTTTCAAATGCTTGATCACCGAGCCTTTATGCGAAAGTATCTGGGCATTCATCCCATAAGTATGCGGCTCTGAAACCAGAAAGTGTGCTCAGCAAATCCACACATGCGATATCTTTTCTCAAGTATGAAAGAAGCAATGAAAAGAAGGGGTCAAATGTTTCCGACGACGCGGTGTTTTGACCAGGGGGTCTGGGCTAGACCATGATTGGAACGCTAGTGTCGCACTTTCGTGAAGCTCAGGTCCTCGAGCACTCAGTCAGCGTACATCCACCGAACATCCAACTTCTCTTCCCCAGATGAAAGAGCCATGACAGCACCCTCGTTTTGTCACCAACTCGATTCTACGCATGGCGTTCCATAATCATGTAAAGCTCACGCGGAGGGCCATTTCTGATGCCACCCCGATAATATTTTCGGCCTCTTCGAGTCTTCTCCCTCCTTCCTCCTAGGCCCCGCACCTTTGCGCCAGCAACAAATCTCGAGCTCCCAACTCGGCGGCCCGTCACTGCATACACTGCGGAGCATTCGGAGGATCTACAAGACGTGGGAGATGCTATCATACCTATTGCATTCTTACCTGAGAAGTCCGGAGGCTGCTCAAAGACAGGACAATGCAATAGCATTGTGTGCGCGCTGCAGGAAGGAGGAGCTCAAGGCTATCTGCATATATAGCTGTGGTCGCGGGGGAGAGGATGCTGAGGATACAACGCTTGACTGGTGAGTGAGATATTGTTATTGATCCATACGATGGTACGAAATCTCTGGCTACATGATTGTAGACCGCTCGCAGGAGCTAGTACGTGGCAAACTTCCTAACAAGCGTGAACTAATTTGGCAATCTGTGACAATGGCAAAGTGCAATATCCTACATCTACAGTGCTGTTTTTCATTCATGACTTCATGTTTTGAACTTGCCATCTCCACGTGCTCCATTCTTTTGGCTTTTGTAAGTTACTGGGGAATTTCTATCCAATAGCTTGGGAGTAACTCGCGATGAGCCATGCGCGTCGAGAAAAGTCGACAAGAATTATTACTTGTGACATTCGAGCCTTAGCAGCCCAAAATCACGCAGTGCCTTCCTAAACTATGGAAGCGCATCAAATAAGAGAATAAAAGATTTCGGCACAGCACGTCCTGACTCTTGTACTGTTGTTGCTTCTCAATTTCTCCTACTGCAACTCGGAATGCGGCCGCTAATTACACGGTTCTGAATGGGGGAGGGGTTTGTTCGGTGCAGCTCCCATGCTGCAATTATAAACTTAGCATATTTGCTTACATCTTCTTTTTCCGACTCCCTCTACAACCTGCGAAGTAGTAACAGCCCGTGTCTTTGAGCAGGCGAAGAGTATCTGTCTGGAGCATGAGTCTGGCTCCCCACAACGTTCTAGGAGAAAGGCACTTGCGGCGAAGTCATCGTCGATAATCCTTGGCTGCTGGCTGGTACGATCTTTGATACGAGACGTGGAGCACATTGGTGCCGCTGCAGAATATCAAGGATCTTGTGGTGGATGCTGTTGGTATTGCTGTGGAGCTTCCGCTATCTGCTGTTGGACCTGCTATTGTTGAGCTGCCTGATCAGGGTTTCGCTTGGCCTTCGACCTTTTCACGAAGACGATTCAAATCATAGAAGTTATTTGTATACGAATAATATCCAATCAAAGCATCTTCGGAAGCCTATCGTCCAACAATCGGAGTTGCTGTGATAAAAGGCTCTTAAATCGCGTTCGCCAGGACGCAAATAGCACATGTCGAAAGGAAAGGCCGAAGAGTAACTGAGTTGTATCATATTGCAATTCCGATCCAAAGAGCTTGTCTATTGCGAGTTTTGACGGAATATGAAACGCAATATGCCGGGGGTATGCTTACCTTCTCTAATGACCTGGGGTAGTACAGCATGGGCATATGGTGCTTTTGGTGCCAAGGCAAAATCAGTAAGTTGACGAAAGCGGAAGAGCTGGAGCTGCCAACAGCACAGGGCCGAATTTGTGGCTGCGAAAGTACGCACTCCACACGATATATGAAAGGAGTTCTGCCTTGTTACACTTGGTGATCAAACTATAGGATGGACGCAGAAACGGTTTGAAATGCTGTCTGGCAGAGTTGAGTTCCATCGGATCGTTGTCTGAATAGTTCCGTGTTAACTTCAAGATATATAACGCCAGGCGACTCCCAGTCGCGAGGCTGTGGTTGAACGCGATAGACCGGCGGTCGGAATGAGCTTTTTCTTAAGACAATTGGCGCATCCTCTTGGGACACTGAAGCAATCATCGATGAGGCTGAGACCAGCCCCATTGCTTGGAAGGCAGACTGCACAAAGTCATCATGCCACCTTTTACAGTCGTCAAGAGTTTCAACAAGAGACATAATAGAACTCTCGTCAATTTTGTCTCTCCCAAGGTCATTCAAACCTACCACTCAAGCAAAAGCACACATGAGGGCAGATCAAAATACGGAGCTGTTGAGCACGTGACTAACCCGTTTCCTCATCCCGTCTCGTTCACACTCACCATCTCCTTGCCACAAAGTATTCTTCAAACTTTCTGTTGCACATCGTACGCAGCGTGCCATCGAACATATATGTCTTAATCAGTAGCTATATCCGTGCTGCGAGACCAAACGGAGAATTTTCTCATCAAAATTTGTCTTGGACAAAGTACCCTCCCTTAGATACCTAGGTAGAGAAATAAGCAAGTTGAGAGGTGAAACAGAGCCTTGTCAGGAGAGCATTCCAAGAACCGAATGGAAGCTACAGCTTTTTTTTAATAAAAAGCAGACCTGTGACTAGACGATATGGTACCTTGGGAAACCAATAATGGTTTAGCCTACTCGAAAGAGAGTCATCCAATCTTTGAGATCAAGAAGTTGCGAAAATATCGAGCAAAGAGATGCAATATAGAGCAATTTATTTGTTTACAGTTAGCAGTCTCTAAGCAAGGAGAATGGCACGAAACATGTACTCGACATGCAGCAATAATTAAAGAGAGAATGCTGAAGCGCGACTTGAGGCTCGGATCGATCTAAAAGTGCTGACAACCCAAGAGCCCAAGACAGACTGAGCCGCCCCCAGGAATAAAGCAATTCGAAACAGTTACTTGATGCAGAATTAGAGCTACTTTCGACTTGTCATCCTGTGTGAGATTCAAGAAACATTCGCGGAAATGGTCAGTTGTTTACACTTCGCAGGACTTAAATAATTGGACTGTCTCTACTTTCTTAAACCCGGCTAACGTTGATGGAAAGTGGTTTGGTCGGCAACTAGTCAGATCCGAGGCTGAGAGTTCATCTCCAAGGCAAGGGAGACGAAGGCTCGATCGACAAGGGCAAGGTTTAACAACCTCGCCGTAAAAAGTGACCCAGGATTCCATGCCTGCACCAAATTGCACCCCTTCTTTCAATGGCCAAATAATGAGGCACAGGTCTTGACTGCATTGGTCCACAGAATTCTGACAGCGTCAACCTGAAAGTATACAGTGGAAAGGAGCTGTGCAGTGTGCATAACTACTGTCCTCAGAATTTGCAGAAACCGTCCCCAGATTTCGCAGATCCGAACGGAAGAGCGGCCTTGGCCAGAATCCTCAGCTCCGACACGGCATCAGCCTTATCTGCCGTGGGCTGAGCACGGTATTTTTCAACGTTTCAGACACGCAGACTGGCACAAACAAGTGGCTGTTATGCGTGCACTTGTGTTAATAAAGGACGCAGCCCGCTTCTTGGAGAGGACACCACAAATTTAAAGTTATCAGTTGTGATTTGAAGGCTTGAAGTACAGGGGAGAAGATGACGCCAAGGGGTACAAATGCCTGTATTATGGGCTGAAGTTTGGCCGTTATGATTGGCGATGCTGTGGAGTTTAGGTCGTTTGTGAGCATTGCTGATTGGCGATTGGTGACCTCGGGGATCCAGTCTCATCAAGACCCCTGGTGCCCAGGGGTTCATTTGTAAATTACTGTAAATTTACGAGTACGTGCGGGTGGGGGATACGAGGTCACATCACATCGTGAGAGCTGAATAATGAGGAATGCAGGTCGGTTCTTGCGGCCGACGCATAGTTTGCTTATATAGGTAGGTAGGTTCGTGCCTGCCAGCTGAGATTCTGAATAAAGGCTGGCCAAGCGCCACCCTTCTTTCCCTAAAGCCCATGTGAGCGCAACAAATCTCAAAATATCAATTCGGGGAGGATTTAACACAAACAGATATTCCGCCGATGCATTTGTAAGCCACGTTTTGTGGGGGATTATTCCAATCGCGCAGTATGTTTAAGGAGGTGGTCTCGTTGGCGATCATCCTGGGATTCATCTGGAATATCCTGTACATCGACCATCCGGACACTCGATCATACACCATCGCATTCGTGGGCAGCCTTATTGTGCTGTCGCCGTTCGTCTTGGGTTGGATTTACTGGGGCGAATTGAGGAAGGGAGCCACAGCTTACGAGATCTTAACGTGGAGATACTGGAGGCAAACGAGGAACCGCGCCGTCCGGCTGGGACTCATGAGCGACATGCGGAATCCCAGTCAACACGGGAGTGTGAGTGATGTTGAGGATTGCTCCGAGTCGCGAGCAAGTGCTGATGTCGAGATGGGTCTCGGTCTTGGATCCTCGGCTGAGAATGGGGAGCCTTGAGGATGAAGCTTTCTTGGAAACCCTATCGATGCCTGACCGGTAAACCTAAGGACCGAAATGTTCGAAAATATACTTCTGTACATCAATCGCTTACGCGTACCTGGCTGGCATCAACCTGAGAAGTAGCTAGACCACATCTGCCAAGTCAAGACCGCTAAGGTCACTACTCTGGTTACAAAGGACGCCACTCCAAATTCGCCTTGCACATCCTTCTCCCAAGCACTCCAAAACATTCCAATGACGGTGCCAACGGCCAAGAATATGGAGAACAAGACCGTCGCGGCTAGCGAACCATCCAACTTCTCTACGAAGTGGACACCCTACCACGTGTTACCCTCGATCACATCAGCATGGAACGAGAGGGCTTTGTCTTTGACTTGGGATTGGGAATCTGGCGAGGTAGAGCCATGTGCTCTGTGGTTGCGCAGAGCATGATGTGAAGACGTGCATCACATACTAGGCTCAAATAGGAGGACACGTCTTCAATGGCGAGAGAGGAAGGAAGCCACACTCGTTGACCGTCGGTGGATATTTGTGAGGTATGAATTGATTGACGAGTCCGTCGGTACAATGTTCAAACTACCTCGACCCAGTAAAACCGCTGGAATGAAAGAAGACCATACCCACTTCCACAGACTCAATCTTCTTCGCCTTCAACAATAGATTTTTTCCCCATGCCTATTGTGCGTTGTATGCTCTCCTCAATGCTTGAAAGATTGTATTATCGGTGCATTCATTCCTCTGCTCATCTATTCAAACGTGTAAAGGTTCCAGAACAGTCGTACACGCACGGCTCTCCATGTGGGAGCATCTGAACTTCAAGGTAGGTAAACACGGCAGTGCATTGGGACTGACCTAGCCCGACGTTGAGAATGTTGGAAGATTGGGTGTTCTTAGACGAGCTACCCATCTGCGAACTTGAACGAAGGCTTTGTTTACTTTGAGCTTGGCCAGTGACGATAGGGCCATGGTTGGAACTCCCCCATTTCATTTGGAGGTTCTTGAAATTCCCCATCGGGGGTTAATAGCAAAGGGCTTTGGAAAGAGTCTCCTGCATGGGACTCTGGAGGGATGGACCATTTCGGCTTATGGCAAATGCAGAATAACGTGGATAAGAGGAACAACTTATCTTCTCTATGGTTCTTCGTTCAGCACCTTTAACGACGTTGGATTATTGCAGAGCCGAGGTGTGCAAGCAGTTGGAAGTTCCACCAGTGTTTCGTAGGTCACGTGACGCCCAATATATGATCAGCTAACCAGAGATTTGCGACTTCATGCCGTCGTCGTTGTCTGGTCTTCGCTGCTGTACTCCAACTCCGGCTTGCACATGACCCGAGTTTATCCTCCAGGTGACAATGGAATCCGCTGCCTGGCAGCCTGGACATTTTGTGCCTGGTAAGTGAACTGAGGCTCGTGCAGCGGTGCCAGCCAGCCAGCCGTGTGCTGCCTGGGAGTGTGCGTCACATTCGAACAGTTGGCAATCACTATCGATACCACACGGGAAGCTTTTGTGTGAGTGCTTTGGAAGTACGAACGTCTGCCGCTCCAAATACACAGAGTGTTTCCTTCCAATCTAGGAGGATGTGTCGTCAACATGTCCCCTCCCGAAGCTCCACCGAAGGATACACCCATCCCGACATATCTTATCGATTTGTCACTGCCGCCTGCAGAACGATATGTAGAACTCGCGACAAAATTTGCTCCAGAAATGAGAGCTTTAACTTCATTATTGGACGAAGTTCTACAACTGGTAATCCCATGGCTATGGTTACGGAAAGTCATCGAGTGGCTCGCTTCGATTTTCCTACGTCGTGTCCACTCTGTAGAGGAGACCGAGGAGCTAAGAGGCATTTCCGCGGCGTGCGGGGTAGACTTGTACTTCCTTATTTCATTGAATGTGCTTCTGGATTCTTTGTTGGGTTGTACAAGTGACGGTGCAATGACTTCGTTGGGTCGAAAAGGGGAACGTGGAAAGAGGATGATGCATTTCAGAACGCTTGACTGGGGAATGGACCCGCTGCGAAATGTGCTAGTCAGCTTAGAATTCGTGAGGTCCAAGAGTGACGATCCAGAAAAGATTATCGGGAGATCAATCACATATGCTGGCTTCGTCGGAATGTTGACTGGTGTCAGGTAGTCCAACCCGTCGTCGAGTCGACTTACGAGATGTATGCTAATATTCCTCTAGGAAGGACCTGTCTGTTTCATTGAACTTTCGGCCTACCCATGCTTGCTCAACAGTGGCCCTACGAAAGCACCAGCTTCTTGTCCTGCTTGGATTCCGACCTTCCGTCTGCTCATTTATCCGCAATATGATTATACCTAGCGAGGTCGAGCAACAAGCAAATCCTGTCTCTCTTGAATCCCAAGTGGCGAAAACCGCAAAACGCAGATGTCCGCCGTGTTATCTTATTCTCAGCGATGGGACAAGCACTGCAGTGATAGAGCGTGATCTTTACACTGCCGAAGTCCGAATTGACAAGGAATTCATAGTAATCACCAACAATGATACCAAGCCCTCCGATCCAGATAACCCTTCTGAAAGCAAGTCCAAAAAGGAGAAGAGCTCGCTTGTACTGGATATGGAGTCATGGATCGAAGAGAGTGAGGAACGGAGAGTCTGTGTGTGGAAGAAATGGAATAGTGTGAAGAGACGTCAGGAAAAGAGGCTACTCAAAGGAGGTGCGTTCCAAAAGGACGTAGCATTACATGGCTGGGCGAGCGTGAGAGAGGAGACATTGAGAAACTGGCTACGGGCATACCCGGTGATGAACGAGTGCACTCACTTCATGTGCATCATGGATGCACAAGAAGGCACGGTCAGATCTCTAGAGAGGGGGTTTGTGATCGAAGACAGCACAGGAGATAGCTCCGGAGAGGACTTACCTTGAGGTAATAATACACAATAGGTTGTGTAAGTACAGCTGGAGCGAGAATTTCTTCTTTGGACCAGAGATTTGTCACGGGTATTATATATGGTGCTAAAACGCTCTACACTTCGTCGACCAATAGCAAGAGGGGTGTTTTGATTCTCGCAATTTTGTCTTGCATTGACTTGATTTCCTGTACGGAATTTTGTTGCAAATCGCAACTGTTTCACGTCACCTCTCTCGCCATGTTTATATCAAACCCTCGTCTCAGCATGAACCATTTAGCCCCCACACCACATCTGTTCGATACTCCGCCTTCGTGCCAAGCCGCCATCATGCACTTGCCAATACAACCGGAGTACAGTAGTCTCACTCCCTGACAGGCAAATCTCCTAAGAATATTTTCCGTTCCGAAAGGTATCGGGAATTCTCACATGATAGCCACGTGACCATACAATGCCCTGTTTCTTGCTTTTGTTGCACATCGTACATTTTCCTCGCGCATCGCACTCTCGGGAACGGGATCCAGTTCCAAGCAATTTCGGGACCGAGAAAGCAAAATGTCGTCGGAGGGGGCTTTCCTTCGGCGTTACACGACTATGCAGGGCATGTCAAAGATCCAGGGAATCTTAGCCGATGTCGTGTTGTGTTTGTATTACCAATCGAAGTGTCCCTGTGAGTGACCGAGCAGGCAAAGACTCTGATCTCGATTACAGGAGTAAGATCAAGAACATCGATATGTTTATGCGCGACTTCCAAGTGTTATCGAGCCCAAGAAATTGTCCTCTTCCTATTCGCAGGCTCGCACATTTGGAGCTGGTCAGAACAGCTGCCGCATTCATCTGAACCTGCTTCACTGCTGTACCATCGCTTCATCATTACCTCATCACATTCCAATCTGCCGTCCACCTCAATAATCATTCCACATGATACCCCTCACACGATCACACAGCATCGCAAACACATATTGTTCTTCTCCCTCGAGGCCAGGGTGCATTCTCCCCTCCTATCCGCTCGCTTCTTTCGCACTCCCGCCCAATCAAAACAAGTCAGTATGCGAGCCAGCAAATAACAGCACGCCTCGCAGTCTCAACACCACCACACGCCCACCTCGCCATATTAATCATCATCACTATCGAAATGCGGCCGCCTCGTCTCTAACACAGAGATTCCTTTTTAAACAATTGTTGGCGTTCGGTGGCTCGCCTGAACGGGCAACGTGTGCGAGCAAAACAAGCTGGGTGGAGTTAGTCACCAAGGTCTTTCGCGTTATTGAACCTATCTTAATGGACGGCTCGGAAAGCGAGATTTGTAGATGTGCAACAAAAGTTTGGATTCTCTTTCGACTGCGTTTTGGAGTAGGAGGCCTCGGATGGGAATGGAAAAGATGATGAGGTGGGTCAGGTGATGAGATACCATGATAAACGACCTGAAATGACATGCCTATCCAAGGAGGACTTTTGCATGTCCTCTAGAGGCGCATTTGAAGATCTCCCGCTCTTTTCTATGGTTAAATCTGGGGCTGAACGATGAGGACGTCCGATGGGCTTCCTGATTGGAAGTGTTGCTTATATCACGTGGGTACCACTTGCAGGTGTGTGGGAGCCTTGACTTCCTCCCTGTTCGCGGTTCAAAGCGAGGTTCCACATCTTTTGACATTTGACTGTTCTCCTGTGTTTTTTATTTACCCCGCATGAGATGTATTCTAAAGTTTGTGACGCCTAAAGTGGTCGACCGAAGCAAACGCGCTGGACTTATCTTACTGAGAAACTGTTACCAGCTCTCGATTATTTGCGCGCGGCTAGAAAGCTGATACTCCATGAGTACTCTTTGTACTATATAAATTTACTTTGATTGCTTGGTTCACACTACAACTAATTTTAGCATGCTTCTGCTAGATCTACTAAGGTCAACATAATTCGTCCAATTTCATATTTAAGCGTGCTCTTACTGCCATTGTTGCAGGGAAATCCATTTTATACTTCAATGACTTAACTTTTCCTTCTCCCCAGTGATTCTCGGACCTTCAAGACGGAGAGGGACTTGCAATACATTCTCAAGGTTTGCTTACACGTAATCTTACCCAACTGGGTTATTCTTTGTAACACGAAGTCCACCGCCTCGACGTAGCACGGCGGACTGAACTCTTTGACTTCAGAACAGCAGAATGAAACCACTAGAAACCAACAACAACTTTCCATTCAATCAGACTAGATCCCGTCGATCAGATACAACAAGTATCTAGAAGTTCATTACTTGCAGGTTGGTGCTGCAATCATATGATTCTTCAGACGGTTTGCATTCTCGACGTCGACTTGGTCGAAATCATAAGCAGCATAGAGATGGTTCGCATCAGTCCGCAAAAGGGTCACATGGTTGTCAAGTGAATGTCGGGTTGAATGAAGTGGGCTTCGAGATGATTCAGCTTGAGCAGAAACAGTATTGTACGGTGTATGTCCTGTGTCCTGTGCGCGGTGCTCTACGTCTTGAGGGGTTTGTGTCTTATGGGATTAAGCATTGGTTGGAAAACTGGACGTCGGTTTTGGATTCTTGGAATCTAAACTCAGGCCTCGTAGTACCGTAGCTCTTAAGTTCGCTTATTGTTGTTGTTGTCAACGATATCGCGGGGAGGGCAATTTCGCCAGGGTCAACAGTCTTTGAAGCGTTTCAAACTCGTCTAGAACCATTTATTGCGGAGCTTTTCACCACTTCCAAGTAACGTAAACACCTTTGATGAGGTTGTCCTCCGTATTTTTCCTTCCCCTGTACTCGTTGCTCCTTCATTCAGCTCCCGCATAAAGAGACTCTCACCTCATGCCTTTATACCTTCATTAGCCAACCCAACGCTTCAATCACTCAGTACTTGATTCGGGTTTTCGTCCGTACACGACAGTTCTAAAGTCCGACTTTAGCCAATCACCCAATATGCTTGTAACGTTGAACTTACACGAGGTAATAGGCGTGATTGCGCCGGTTCAAGAGAGCTTTCCGCATGGTGGCCAAATATACCTGTATCTCCACGAATTCCCACTACAAATCATCAGTACGAAAAGCTGACAACATGTCTAGATCCAGGATGTACTTACACCTAGCACATTCTTCAAAATATATAACGCCATACCCTCCAACCCTGTCGTGAGATACAGAAGATCCCATTTCCCAATCTCCTTCCATTTTGGATCCTCCATCCATGATCCCACAGGGATCTTGTACGTCTTCTCTACCACATCCACGAACCCCGCCGCTTCAATAAGTTTCTTGGAGTTCTGCGCAACCTTGAAAGTGCGACCCATCATCTCGCCCGCGCCGATAAACACTTGCGACCATTCGTACATGACATCGCCCTCTTTCACGGTGCCGTCATCAGAAGTGAATTGGATGTCCATGTCGAGATGCTCAATGTAACCTCCTGGCTTTGTAGCGCTGTTTCTCTTTTGAGCTTGGGAGATTTAATGCTGAGTGTATAAGGACTTACTTGAATGCGCGTTGATAGAGGAGTGGCCAGTTGTCGATGCTTCCCATGAGACATCGAAGGTGGATGTAGTCGAAATCGTTGTCGGGAAATGTCCACTCGAGTTGGGCATCATCGATTTCGAACTTGAGATTCGGTGGTACCCACTGATGTACATGTTAGCTAAGATTCGCATTCGATTCCAGAATATCTCAGAAGAATGTTGCGACGCACTGTTGGTTGAATTGGAGAGATGTCCGTGCCGATGACGGTAGCAGAGGGATGCTCATCAGCAAAATCAATTGCCCAGATACCAGTCCCAGTACCTATGTCCAAGACTTTCTGGACGTTCTTCTCGATAGGTGCTAGGTACAGCTTATTATCGAGAATGAGGGTACACATGTGATGCCTTTCGATTGTTCAGTAAGAAATTTGTACCACACGTTGGATTGCTCCCAACTTACCCAATGTCAAGCTGCTCATTCTGAGTCTCATCGTTTGGACCCCTAGGAATTAGTGAGCGATGCAATCTGGTAATGCTTGTTTTTGAAGAGAGAAAGAGGAAAATTCGTACCAATACTCGGTGTTCCCGTAATTATGAAAGGTGCGGCCATGCACTTCACGATAATTGCGAATGCTGGACGAGACGGATCCCGTTGAGCTTTCTCTATTGACCTCAGGATCAGCCATTTCCTCTCAAGCTCTTTCCTGATCGCTGATCACATACCCATCTCCAAAAGCTGAGTCCTCATCATCTGGAGAATCGTTGTCGTTGTCTTGCAGTGGCGGTACTACTGGTGCGTCCGTTGCTGGCAGTACAGCTTCTGATACCGCAACGGCTGTAGGTTCTGGAGCGGCAACATCCTGTCAAATATCATGTTAGCTGAATTTGTCACGGCTAATAATAATGGCGTTGGCTAGAGGTGGGAAGATTGGTATTGGTACGGTAAGTCAGGATCCAGGATCCAGGTTCAGGGACTCACTGTCTGGCCGGGGCTAGGGCTACGGTTAGCTGCCACTGGCGCCGCGGGGACCGGAGCTGTCATTATGCAGCGCGCGGCAGTATCCGAACTTCAGACAAACAGCCAACTGACTGACTGTAGGTACAGGTCCGAGGATGCAGAGAATCGAATTTGGTGTGTGCTTCCCACTGCACTTTTCCTGGAACTGACAGGCAGTGACATAGAATAGATCAAGATCAAGCTGGATGGGGGAGATTGTTGGATCTGGGGGCGGAACAATCAAGTAAAGAAGGAGAAAAAGCAAAGCCATCGCCCGCCATCACTAATAGGCCCCATATTCATTGAAAATATGGTGTGTCTTGATGATTATTGCACTCTCGATGATTGGACTGGCGGGATGAAAGCCTTTTTCAGGGTCCTTTCCGGCATGGCGATAGCCGCAGATTGGTTGGGTGAGAAGTGTGCATCGGCCTGTCTGCATGAGATGAGATACTCCACGTCATGTCTACAAACAGCTTCGACACGCGAGGACCGGGGCCAAGGTTACGGGGCTATCCGGAATGGATCTTTTTATCAATCTTGTCTCTCGATTGGACTCTTGGATTCCACCCCCACTCGCTCTGGCCTTTTGAAGTGGAGGAAATCTGTTCCAAACTCTTTGGGAACATTCTCTGTTGATTGTTCGTGTCGTATCGTACTCTCACTTCCCGAAAGCGAGCGACTGTAAACAAAAAATGGGTGTAATCGAGGGTATTCCGGTAGCGGGATACAGTATCTGGTTCATCGTCATCTGTCTGCTCCTTTTCCTCACCGCTGCGTCGCTCGTGAACAATGTGATTTACAATCTCTACCAGCACCCACTTCACGGAATTCCGGGACCAAAAATAGCAGGTGCAACATATCTCTACCAGACTTACTACAGCCTCAGAGGTACGAGTACTTATTACAAAAGAATTCGGCAAATGCACGCGCAGTATGGTACGTCTCAAACCCCGAAGTTCTCCCTCTGGTCATTGCTGACACCAACATGCAGGCCCTGTCATTCGGATCACCCCAGATGAAGTTCACCTGAGTGACACAGACAATTACGAGATCATCAATTGCGTTGGTACAAAGTATGCCAAATCCACACAGTTCTACGACGGTTTTACAATTGGATACTCTACCTTCAGCTGTGGACCAATCGACATCCATCGCATCCGCCGAGGAATGCTGGAGCCATTTTTCTCCCGCCGGAATGTCATGAACCTGGAATATATTGTTCAAGAGCGAGCTCAGAAGCTCTCAGACATTATCAAAAGCAAATTTGCAAAGAACGAAGCTGTTGATCTGCATCACACTTTCCGCTCAATATCCGTGGATGTTATCACCGAATATGCCTTCGGATCATGTTACAATCTTATGGACAAGAAAGATCTTGGCGCAGAGTTCTTTGCAATGGTCAGTGGAATTGGTCCATGTATGGTAAGTCATCCATTCTTCGCGGTCACTACCAGCTCCTTTTTTGTTCTTGCTCGGCGCTCGTAAGACGTGGAAGTGCTTCTTCTTATTATGAGTAAATCAATCGATCCTGACAACCAGATTAGTGGGTATTCCAACAATGGCCACTCCTGGCAAAAATTGTCATCGCCCTCCCACCCGGTCTCGTAAAACACATCAACGGGCCCTTGAAACAAATGATGAATCTGCGTGAGGTACATTCTTTCCCTTCTTACACCTCATCCGCTCCATCCTCCCCCACAGTCCACCATTCTCACAATCTGAACCTAGCACTGCCGAGTCCAAGTCCGCGCCGTAAAGGCCAACATGGATTCCGGCAAGAAACTTGACAAGCCTTCCATCTTCCCAGCTCTCTTAGCACCGCCTGAGGGTATCCCAGCTCCAAGTGTAGAGGAGATCAAAGATGAGGCGCTTAGTGTCCTCGCTGCCGCAGCTGATACCACGGGAAATGCTATGACTGTCGCTGCGTATAATGTGGTCAATAACCCGGAGATCTATAAACGGTTACGGGCCGAATTGATTGCTGCTTTCCCAAATGCGGATGACGAGTTAGATTATGCCACTTTAGAGAAGTTGCCTTACTTGGTACGTCTGGCACCCCTCATGTCTTTGGGCTACATGCTTACATTTCTGCTCCCAGACTGGAGTTGTCAAAGAAGGTCTGCGGTATGTCAACTTCCTTTCCATTGTACTCAATCCCTCGGAATCTTGACCAAGTACCTAACGATATCTTAGCCTTTCCTTTGGGGTTCCTGGCCGTCTAGCCCGCATAGTCCCAGCTGGAGGCGCAAAATTCAACGGGCACTTCATTGCAGGCGGTGTAAGATCATCCTACCTACCAGTACACGCTCAGACTAATCAAGCTTACTCAGTCATTTGTCTCCATGTCATCCTGGATGCAACATCAAGACGAGACTTACTTCCCCAACGCTCTCAAATTCGACCCCACCCGTTGGATCGACCCCACTGAAGCGCGACGTATCGACAAGGCATTTGTGTCTTTTGGCAAAGGAAGTCGTGGCTGTGTTGGAATCAAGTACGGATCTCCCTCTCCCTCCCCCGCTTCCTCCACCATCCAACACTTTCTCACACTAAAACGCTCGAGACTAATCCGTATTCTTTTTTCAAATCAGTCTCGCATACTGTGAAGTATACGTCAGTCTCGGAACACTCTTCAGACGATATGATAATCTGCTTTCGAACCAACTGACGGCCGAGGACTGGGAGTACGATGATTATTTCAGTGGGTATTCGCGGCCTGGATCGACGAAATTCCATGTCACTGCTGCTCCTGCTGGTGGTGCAGGCAAGAACTGAGGAGTAATCTCGAGATATCTGTTTCGGATAGATGTGGTCATAGGTCCATTTGAAGGTGAGGTGCAAATCACGAGTTACGACGTTTGTCCATAGGTTGTGGCTTGGACTGTTCGTTTAATCGGGGAGACTAGGATGTTCAATATTTAAGCAGAGCTAAGCAGAGTATATAGGAAACCATCATGAAGCTAATCTTGAACTCATATCAAGGATTTCAGGAAGTTTGATGTGCCATTTTACCAGCGCTACACCCCACGGCTCCCTGGTTGGTGAAAGGGGTGTTTTGATGTCGAAAGACCATTGGTAACGGTAGTGCGAGGGGAGTAGTATTTGAACACGCTTCAGTGCAGTCTGTCTGATAATCTAGAATTAACGCCCTCGATTTCATAATCCTTCCACTTTAGGTTGCATCTGATAATCTCAGTCTCGAGATGTCTCTCGCCTCGCCCTTATTCCTTCGCTCGCTCGCTCGCTCGCTCGCTAAATTTAGCCTAAAACACTAGTGATGAGGAAAGTAAACACTGGGATAGAAAAACTATGATACTATCAATACCACGCATTGTAGTTCATCCAGTATCTACAACTAGTATCAGAGGCAATTACTGCTGAAGGATGATTCTCCATTCAATGATGCCTATTGTGGATAAACCATTTTTGCTTAAGCCGAGGGGCATGTCAATGTTCCCGTGACGCTGGTCATATCCTCAACAGCGGCTGCTGGGGTACAAAGCGCATCAAGGGGATCGCTACACTCTTAGAATGCTTAAGCTGTAACGTACCATGGAGTTGTCTTTGGCAATTGTGAACCCACCTTGCATAATCTTGATGCTATTCACACAGTGTGCATGTTGACTTTTATCACGTAGACCGCCTGGCAAGTGAGAGAAGACAAGCAAGCATACTTAGCCAAAAGCATGGCTTAGCACTTCCAAGTTCAAATAAAAGACACAGAAGCATGAGATGAGCACATACTACCAGCATCGAGGGCAAGTACAGCAGTCATAAATTCTCGGCGCGAGTTCTGGGCTTCAAATAGGTATCAGACTCGCCGTACCTTCTACCAGTATTCCACGACAAAACCAATGTCTAGAGGTCTGTGTACTATAAACATGAAGCCTGCCACGAGAAAATTCAAACAACAAGTGTGGAGTCGAAGTCGTGTTCAACGCTCTCTCATTTAGATAAGTCTTCAAGGACAGATTTGGCTCCGCATGTCGCAGACCCGCGGCGGGGATGTACTAGAGAGTGGGTGTATCTTGAGCTTACTGACCAAGGTTGAGGGTGGTGACGATTGTTACATGTAAAATCTGATACCCAGCCAGCCAGCTTATTAGCTAGCCTAGCTGTCTTGTCTTGACTGTGAGAAGATCGGAACACGCGAATGAAAAAAATGCATGGAAAGATTTAATGGGATTACATTGTGTAGTATATTTTGGTATTCTCTCTTTAGTTTTTGCATGTGACTGTCTGGTATTATAACCAGAGACACCAGACTGAATGTTTGTGAGTCTGTCTGGGTGTCGTGAAGTATATACAAGAATTTTGAAGATGCATATTGAGCTTCTGTGTGAGCGGTCTCAATGTACTCATAGATCATCTGCCTCACCCTCATCTTCCAGTGAACCATCATCGTGATCCATCGCTTTTCATCCCAGCTTTCCATCTCATCCTCATCACTCCATCAGAATCGAATATCCCCTCTCTCGTCCCAACAGAATAAACAATAGAAGATAAATTAACAAATATCAAGTAGAAGCAAAACAATTACTAGTCGGCTTTCTGTCTCCAGGTTCCGTCCCAGTCCAGTCCAGTCCGAACGAATCATTCCCACTCCCTTGGTGTTGAGAGCGAAGAAGATGTATGTGTATGATAATATGCCGAACGCCAAATCCCGGAATATCGACAAGAAGAAAAGTCCCCTGTTGGAGGACATGGGTATGTTGAACGCCCCAAATATCCAACCAAGTAATCAAACAAAAGTATATCCCTTTTCCGTAACCAATCCAAACCCAAAAATCGCTCATGCAAGTAAGTTTATATGCAAGTCTGTCGACCCGTATTTCGCTCCAAAGATATACAACACCGTACTCGAGAGGAGTGTCGACCCACTACAGCAGCCACGTTATGAACACAGCAAGCAGTGCAACCAGACCCATCGAACCTGTCGGATGCGTACGTAGATCCGACATCGCAGCTGAATCAACCGCCTGCGCCAAACTGGCATTGACGAACCCCGGGCCACAATTGACGTTGATCTGGCTCGCAGCACTAACATACGTGCTCGCCAGCGCCTGGCTCCGATCCGCACTCGCCGCCTCGAACACGGCCATCGTATTCTTCAAACACGCATCACACGTTGGCTGACTCCCTCCAACAAGCGAGGTGTTCAGCGGCAGGAAGTATATGTACGAGTCTGTCGGGTTCGAGGCATTGGTGATGGCGTCTGCGAAGCAGTATGCTGATGTTTCCGGGTTCCGCAGACATGATGCTGTGTACAGTGGTTTGTAGGCTTTTAGGCCAACGAGGGCTTGTTGGACGAGGGGGTTCTCGAGAGAGAGATCTTCGGCGCAGGCGGAGGTGGTGGTGATGTTGGTTGCGAAGGAGGAGAGAACGGAGGTGCAGATAGTTGAGTCGGCGGAGCAGGAGTAGTCGAGGGTTTGGGTGATGCGAACGAGGGATTTGGAGGCTTGGAAGAAGGAATTGGAGTTCTAAAGTCGTGGATGTTAGAATTTGAACTTCAATTGATGATATTGAGAAGACTGGGATGGGAGGAAATGGGGACGAGCACGTACCTGGAGGAGAAGGGAGAACGGAAGGCATTGCTTGAATGTGTTGTTGGATAGCATGTCAGTCATGAATGATGCGCAATTAGCTGTTATATTGTTGTTGAAGCCCATATCAAAAGGGGTAGGTAATGGCTGGACGCTTGTCGTCGCAGCGGCAATAATGCCGCTGGAGGTAGAAGTGGGCGCCAGCGTGGAGGAGGAGGAGGATGATGATTTCCTTGTTGATGTTGACACAATTGGGGATGAGGATGAAGATTGGGGATTTGGCTGGTCTGCGCGTCGTCTGAGATCGGCGGCGTCTAGATCTTGACCGTGGCCGTTGGGTTCTGGAGGCTGACTGCGATCAACGAGGATTGTTCCCGAACGAGCAAGTCGAGCAAATGTCGATCCCAGCGGCTCCGAAGCTGCGGCTCGTCCCTCGAGCTCAGCTTGTCCTTCAATCAACTGCTCGTCGATATATAACGTTGGCGATGCCGACGACAGTGAGACGCAACATGTGAAGAATATTAATAAGAGGAGGAGCTGTTGGGAGCTTGTATGTGTTTTGGCTGCCTGATGACGGCAGTGTTTGGCTGCGCGGGTCGGCATGGTTGGATGGTGCGACGGCTGTGGCATTGACTTCCTCGACTGACGGCTGCCAGCAACATTAGGTTTATTGGGAGCCCCCATGGTGAACGACAACTTCGACGTCGAAGGGCAAAGGTGAAATATTCCGAGGTCGTCAAGTAGTGTTGCTTATAGTTGTGGATCCAGCATTACTCGATTGTGGTGAGTCGACAAAAAGATGTCGTCTCCAGTATCCAACGACGGTGAGTTGAGAACCAACAGAACCAGGCCTGGGACGCAGAGGATGGTCCCGTATTATCCTTCGTCCTTGGTATGGCTGTGTTTTCCCCTAGAGCGTGTTGTTCGGACGAGTGTTGCAGATATATTCCAGTTGTCGTTGTGCCGTGTGCCTGTCCTAGTGGTACAATATCCCGCTGCCAGTCTGATAGGATCCCGAAGTTGCAGATAGGTACTCGAGGTATCGAGGATCGAGTCTTTCCTACACACAACAATGCCGATCCAAACACAGGTAAATGAGTGACTGTAGTTGGTATTATCGCAGGAGGGATTGTCGTCGTCGTCCTCTGAAGATATCTCTGCTCTGCTCTGCTCTGCTGTGCTCTGGGTAAAGGACTGGGAGGGCCTGGAAGGATCGATTATGTTTGTTGGCCAGCGAAATAGGCAAAAGGTACTGCACATCAGCAGTCTCCTCTCTTCATACTGTATCAGATCCGATCTCCTCGTGCTGGGGGCACGGCAGGCTTTTGTTGGCTGCCCTGTTTCTGGCGAGGTTTCTGGCCATGCGGGCTTACAGGGCATGGATACTTCTCCCCTGGCAATACTGTACTTATTGCTCAACCCTTGCATCCCCCGGGCAAAGCGGTGCAGTGCAGAAGTTAGAACACAGAGAAGCACAGGGGAGGCCGCCGCACGTTCGAGCCAGTCAAAAAGCCAAAACCTGTCAAAGTCAGGATGCCGGACGCGTGCCAGTGACGCCACGGCCTGCAGCCAATATCGAAGTATTGAACGCCGCTGGAAACTAAGGAGGGCGACGGCGACGATAACAGCCAGAGCCAGAGGGGAAGCGAATCAAGCCATTCGAGGACGGGCGACTCAACTCGGCAAGCCATAATAATGAATACCCATACAGTAAGTAGCAGAGAAACCCTACCCCGCCTTGGGAGCATACAGTTCACCGATAGATTGCATACAGTACTGTACTGTATTATTGCGACTGACTGCTGCATCTGACATGCAGCCTTTAAATTTCCTTCCCTTCCCTTCTCTTCCCCTCACTTTACAAAGTCTATGGCGACGATGCTTTTCGCAAAGGAGAGGAACTTGTGATCTGTGCCCGTCCTGCCGTTGCACAGGCCCATGAGGACTCAGGAGCAGCCGGATCAGGATCAGGTCACATCAGGTTGGATCCCTCCCCCTCCCCACTGTCGATTGTCCGCTCCGCCTCTTTCAGGTTCCCACCTCCTACCCCTTCTCCACTTACTACTGTATCTGCTTGTTGGCCCTGCACGGAGTCACCCAGTTCTGTTCTGGTCAGACCTGACTACTAATTTACAGTCTGGTGCATTCAGTAATCGCAGACCAGCCAGACCAGCCAGACCAGCTCAGGGCAAGCGCAGGAACAAACTCTCGGATGAGGTACAAAGCGAGAAAACAAATAGTCAGTCAACCAATGAAATAGCTCCCTCACTGGTTATCTCCCAAATCTACCACTCACAGCACTTAAGCACTTCTTGCTCTTCATAATCATCAACCCAAAAGCTCAGTATTTAGTCCACCTTCCAGACCACACTCTTCTAGATCTCCAATAAGATTTGATCCCATATCCTCCTGGCAACCTGAGTCCAACCAATGCCACGCAACACATCGTACCCACTTTGTTGTTACTCAACCATTCGCACCCCCTTCCCCTTCCCCTTCCCCTTCCCCTTCCCCTTCCACGCTTCGTCCCAAAGCATTTCTCGTCAACGAGATTGCGCTTGAGCGGCAACCATGCCAATTACGCGTTGGCCCGGGATATTTTGGGACGAGACACCAGCGCTAGGACGGATCGGAATACTACAGTGACTTACACTTGCATTAGGACAAGACAATTCTACGCGAAGGGTTTAGTTTGGAGTGGTGGACTGGTCGAGGCTTTCTGGGATTTGAAGATTGGAAGATTGGAAGATTGGAAGATTGGACAGGAGACTTACGGTTGGTTGGCGACGAAAAATCTTGTTTTGATGAGTGCTGACTTTTGAGCTGCTGAAAGTTCAGTTTGGAATATTATTATTGTTTTCATATGGTTCAAAGAACAGGAAAGTCTATGAGACGAGATGAGGGAGTTGAATTGCCTCACAGCTTAGGTTATTAGGCTATGCGTTCCGGTGGACATTCCTCAACAAACATTAATCCTCACATCAACAAGACGACAGACTCGAATCTAGTTCCGCAAGCCAAGCATCACAAAGCAAAGCAGCGCGCATATTTTCGTCAACTTATTAAGCCGAAGGCAAAAATTCTCTTCACACGGCCACGGAAAGCCGCATGTATATGATACAAACATGCATGCATGTCTTTTGCTCACGCATGAAAATAATTACACCACTCATGCGCTTACCAGCCTCCCTCTCGGATGAATTTGTGCAGATGAAGAGCAATCATAGGACGACGACTTGTTCATCTGCACAAAGGGTTCATAAATCAGGACAACGGTCGGAGCCAAGGAAACGTTCGTCCGATGTCATCTTTTTGAGTTTCAATTCGCTTGACGTGAGGTTGTGTAATTTACCCCTTTCCCCTCTAGCGAGTCAGAGCAGCCTCTCACTTCTTCATGTCGCTTCACCAAGCAATTCACGGACAATCAAATAACGTTCCAGAAAATTCCCTCAACATCTTATCCAACATCGAATACACCTTGACTCGTTCATGAACACCGTACCGATGCCAGGAAATTTATTGTCCTTTCCGGAAATCCCCAATTTCTTTCTTCCAAGACTAGAGGAATACGTAACCCGCGCAGCGTCAATCTCATCACAACCACTACTGCCATAGTTGCAGCATCTTCGGAATGCGGCTATGCATCCTTCGGCCCTACGAATGCATTACCCCGAAGCCATCAATATTCTTGACTGACCGACACCATCGCCAGTAATCCAGCTACCGATATGATATGGTGGTACACGTCAACACAACTCACCACTTGCTGCCACCAGACTCTCTTGCTCTTGTCAATATTACACCAGCTGGAACTCTCCCGCTTTCATAATTCATTGGACCTCCGCAGGCAACTTTCCAGAACTTCATTTTACCGTTGTCAGATTATGCCAATCATCCACTAGGACGATAAATCCTCGGCGGAGCTTCTTCTCTTCCCTCTTCTTCTCGACTTCTGGCTAAATCAAGCCTATCATAACTCCACCACCTATTAAGTTTCGCTCTCCCCAATCATTACATCACTAAACTTTCTTTACGAGTACTTTCCCTTCTTCAGTCCTCACCTACTATCAAAAGAAGAACTGGCGCCAGCGGACAGGAGCGCCACCAATATTGTCCTGCACTCCAGCGGCGCGAGCAAGACGCCGCGACAAGACACGAGCCGCTGTCGCATCCCGTTTTCTGACCTTACTCACGCTTACAGAATTGGCACTCTGCCATACGATGTATTTTCCGAGCCGGCCGAGTAGCGAGTGCTTTTCTATACTTTTGTTTCTTTTGGGCGGCAGGCGGCTGCGTGCAGGTCCGATGCCCAATCGATCTTCATTTTCGAGGAGAGGGTATGTGGATAGAGGAGGGGAACAGTATGTTCATCTGGTCTTTCTGTCGTCGTATTACGTGCACCGTGACGAGTACACAGCTGTATCTCGGTGCTCATTTGTAGGTTCGCCAGTCAAAATTCTGTCGGCTCTTGCAATCTCATGTCTTCGCATTGGCGCGTAACTTTTGGGCTGGGCTGGGCTGCCATACTGCACCATGTCATATGTGCCACAGCTGACATGAGGATGTTACTTCCAGAGAATTGGATGACATGCGGATGGGGTCGAAGATATGAGATATGAGATCTTTGGTGGGCTGTCTCTGAATGCGAGGACTCATCTCAGCTCTAATCTCGTTTCTTTTCTTTTCAACGCTACGTGTCGGCCGATGAGGCATGGAATTTTCGATATTCTGCTGCTGTAACCTTATGCTGTAAGCTCGCTTGCGACGTCCTAGCAGGCGGCTTACTTTATTGCATTGGCGCCGCATGCATGCGTGGATATTTTGATGAGGTTGGCAGAGGAGGCTCTCTCAACATGTTGAGATATGACACGACATGGTGTTGCGTGATATTCTTGGTACTTAGCTGTCCAAAATTTCAGAAGACTGACGAGAAGGACCGGGAGAGGGAAGGTTTCTGTTGCGCCCCAATCCCTTGTAGCTGCATCCAACAGTCCGCTGTATCTTGACAGTCCTTGAACTTGTCAAGTTACACACTTTCTACACCCCAACCACCTTTACTGATTTCCGGTGTTCTCGATCAATTACAGCAGGTGGATAAGCCGCTGTAGCGCGATCGATGTGGCTCTCCGAACAATTACCTCCAAATAGAGAAAATGTTCTAGCGGGTAAAATACAATGATCACGTGGGTATGGGACAACCATTCTCAGCGACCTACCCTGTGGCTCGATATTGTCGAGAGGCAGTGATTGTCGTTGAGATAATAACCAGGTAAATAAAGCCAACATGGAAACATGCATGGAAACGAAAGTCACAGTGTGGCTCAGAGGTGATGACACATTTGGAGGAGAAACCTCGAGAAACCGATAGGCTCTTTTTGCTATCTCGCTTAGCCCCAGTTACAGTCAATACGCAAACTTTCGTCACCCAATCAGTTTTTCGGCTTTGCCCTGAATAGTCACATATCCTCAAGAGCAATTATCGTGGTCTGATGAGCTATCAGCCCATCTTTCTAACACCTGTTCACATTCTTAGCACGGTCGATGCGAGAGCAGGTAGTGTTGAGCTAGGTATGTCGTCGAAATGATCCCGAACATGTACCAGAAAGTCCCACAGGAAAGGGCAAAGAGGCAAGATCCAGCAGATACCGGATCCGCAATGGACATTGATTCCTCCGAACCAGCAGTGATCGCCAACAGAGACCAGCCCGCGGATCTGTTTTCACCGGACTCATCAATCCTGTTGTAGATGTCCAGATCCGATGCAGGCAAAATTGGAGGTGGGTCAAAGTCTGAACGCGACGGCTGTTGATAGGTAAGAAAGATGGAAAGCACTCCGTTGAGCCTTGAGCTTGGATTTAAAAATATAATATATACAATAAAAATAAGACAAAAATGTAGTATTAAAAATAGCCGGAGGAGAAATTTGAATTCTTCTCGACCGGTACTTACCATCATTGAGACAAATTTATCTGTGTCTCATCTTACAAGTAAACGGCCCTGTCATTCCAGAATTATGAACGGGAATTTTATTCATCTCAACAAGTGACACCACTCACTACACGCCACTTTAACTCCTCAAAGCATCAAGTCTCAATCCTTCTGGATCTTTCGTCTCCTCATCACCCCACTGAATCTCATACCCCATATCTTTCAAATACTTCTTCCAAGCATCATCCTCATTTTCTAACCTCGTACTGATATCCGGGATGACAAACCAACAAGAGATCGCACCCGCAGCAGCGAACCCGCTACCGATCAAGAACACAGCTTGATTACCTCTATACACACTATCTCCAAAGCTGGCCAGGATAGGCGCAAATACAGCGGTACCGATAGCAGCACCAGCTTTCCCAAGTGCTGCGATGAGACCAAGACATTGACCTCGGATAGAGGTCGGGAAAGACTCGCTGGATGTGAGGACGATGGTCGCACCTGGTCCGACTTCTCCGAGAGTCAAGAAGACACCATACATGACTATGAATAAAGGTAGCATGTCTTGGATATTTCCGAGTGCACCGCCAAGGATGAAACCGAGGATTGCTTGAAGCCCAAATCCGAGAGCCATGGTTCGTCGACGACCGATTTTGTCAGAGAGGTAGCCTCCGATAAATGCACCAGGAATGTAGAAACAGTTGATCACTGTTCCCCAGCCCATGTCTTTTGTTAGTGAGGAGCCGATATTCAAGCGGTTGAGGATAGTTGAGGCGAATAACCCGAAAGGATATGAGATATAATCTGTGCGGGTCAGTAAACAGCTCGTGAGGAATAATCAGCCAGAACCTACTGTACAAGAACCAACTGATCGAACAGCCAAGGAGTGGCCTCCAATATCTCTTCAAAATCGGCCAGTACGGAACACGTTGTTTCTTTGCAGCACTCTTGCGGTACGCAGTGCTGACTGCCATCTTGTATCGAAACCAGAAAATGGAGAGAGGGGGAATGGCACCCAAGGCTAGCGCGAGTCGCCACACAATGTTGTAATGCTTCTCATGAGAATGAAAGCACAAAATCAGAAGCAGTGGTACGAGACCACCGAAGACGAACCCCAGAGTTGCAGAAAGATCCGCAATCAAGGCGAAGATGAAGCCTCTATGTTTGCGAGTTCCAGTATCTTCGTCAGTTGCTTCGGTTGCTCCAGCTCCAGAAACTGGATATTCTCTGGGAGTCAAATGATCAGCAAGTTCCCAGGACGATTTAAGAGACGACTCCAAGACATACCCTCCAGCTCCTACACCTGCAATACCTCGACTGATAACCAGCATCCAGAACATGCCTAGTTGGTCCTTCCCACTACTGGCTGCACTCAACGCAATTCCCATCACAAGGATGAACGTTGTCAACACAGCACCGCTCTTTCGACCCAAGCGATCAGATATGTATCCAAACCCCAGCATCCCAACAATCATCCCGATGAGGAAAGCATTAGAAAGGCGTGAGTACATGACGGTCGACAAACCTGGGTATAGTACGCCGAAAATCAGCGACAAGTTGCCGATGATTGAGGCATTAAAACCATCTGATCCGATTGCAAGACCGGAAAATACGACCATCGACGTGACAGAGAGCTTGCTATAGGCTGTCTGCCCTTCCACGAAACATTGAGCTTCATGATCGTTTACGTTTGAGTAGGAAACAGCGTCGGTGGTTGCATCTTCTTTGGTGTGAGAGAGCCCTTCGCTCTCGGGCTGCGAGTCGTTGATCTCTCCCATCTTGAGAATGAGCAGTAGCAAAATTCAATGCAAAACTATGAATAAGAACAAAAAGAAAGAGCGAAGACTGAAAGTAGATCCCATCCAGAGCAATAGGGACCATATTTCAGAATAGTCCACTCTTACAAGAACCCACTCTTAGAGGAACGGCTTTGCCGAATGACCACCGGCATCTTACCCGCAATAGCAGGACCTTCGATATAGATTACTCTTCTTATCATAGCTTGTTGATTTTCTCACTGCTCTGTTGGTGAGCGTCTTCAAAGATGGGGGACACGGGGGAAGAAGTTGGCACGCAGTGGACCCTGCAGCATCAACCGCGCAATTGGCTGTTGGCCGTGACGGGCTTGTTTCGGCACCTGGCTGGTGCTGCAGGCATCCCGCCCATCACCTCATTCCAGGTGACTGGATTTGTAGTTCTTTTTGCGGCAAAACATTTGGACAAGTTCAGCAGGCTCTGAAATTGAATCTTGAGGTTCCAAGCAATGGACGAAAAACGACTTCTTCTTCAACCCAACGTTCGGGTTGAGTATAGATATCAGATACCTAGCATCAGGCTCAGAGCAAGACAATGTCTTCTGACAGCGTTCGTCTTCGTTGTCACCTGCTTGATACTGGTAAATCCTATCTAAATACACAAGAGTGCGTCTAGACTAATAAGTTCTCAGATCAGGGGTTCTGATGACGATATTCCAGATGAGCGCTCATCAGGTCATACAATTGAAGAGTTCCAAAAATGCTCGGTCGACAAGTTCTTGTCAACGGGTCTCCCATTTCTGGACTCTGCATCACCACTACCCATCTCAGAATATGTTGAGCGAAGAGACAATCTTGCAAGTGCGCTCGTAGCGGATGGCGTTGATGCATTCCTTGTCGAACCTGGATACACTTTGCAGTATTATGCCAATATCAGCCAAAAGGACTGGGAAGTCTGGGAGCCCGAAGAGCGACCGTTCTTAATGATCGTTCAGCCACTCATAAATGAGAGCTCTGGAGAGATCAAAGCCGTAACGCGATTTCTTGCCCCAAGTTTTGAAGTAGAGAGAGCGAGATTGTTGGGCATGCCGTTTGTAGACCAGCTTGACTTCGTTCCTTGGGAAGAACACTGGAATCCTTACGAGACCCTTTCGAAGTCATGGAAGACGCCCGGATCATTCGAGAAGGACTCCAAGCCCAAAATAATGGTCGATGAAGAGATGAGAGACTTCATTCAGAGGGGACTGGGCGAGAATGGATTTGAAGTTGTTGGTCTTGGCGGTGAGGTTGAAAGGGTGAAGCAGACGAAGACAGAGCGAGAGGTTGAGATTGTGAGAGCTGTTAATACGGGCACTGTTGAGGCTTTGAGAGCGATGCGAACATGCATGTATCCTGGCTTGACTGAGAATGAGGTTATGCAAGTGCTGGACAACACTCTCCGTGCTGCAGGAATGGAGCCATTCTTCGACATTGTACTTTTCGGTAAGCATATGGAAGATCTTCTTGGTCTTCCGCAATGTGTTGCATATCAATAAGAGCCTAAAGCTGATAAAGAGCCCAGATGAGAACGCCTCAAACCCACATGGGGGAACGAATGGTAGCAAAGTCTTGGAGGCAGAGACATTCGTCCTCATCGACGTTGGGTACGCCACAAATACCGGATAACAAAGCTCAAACTAACCATTAACAGAGCTCACCTATACGGCTACTCTTCTGATATCTGCCGTACCTTCTTCCCACCATTCTTCCCAAAACCTAGCACCACGGCGGACCTCGAATCACTTTCCCCGACGATGCGCGAGAAGCTCTCAGTCTGGGATATCGTTCTCGAAGCACAAACTCAGTCCATGCATGCCCTACATCAAGGCAACAGTGCAGCATCAGTCGACATCGCCGCTCGCAAAGTCATCACAGACGCAGGATACGGTGAGGCGTTCACGCATCGTGTTGGTCACGGGATTGGGATCAAGGCTCATGAGAGTCCCTATTTGAATAAAGGGAATGTAAACGTTACGCTTAGGGCTGGGATGACGTTCACAAGCGAGCCGGGGATTTATTTGGTGGACAAGTTTGGGGTGAGGCATGAGGATATCTTGTTGGTGAAAGAGAATGGTGAGCCGGAAATCCTTACAGGAACAAGGGCTGTTGGGCCGTGGGATCCTTGATTTCTGGAACAATTTGAAGAGTAGAAAGATCAGAAGTTAAAGCGATTTGATGCAGATTGTCGTCCAGAGACGATTCACGCCAGCTCAGCCATGTATACTGTGTTGTTTTACACTCACGCAAGGTATCGTTTTGCACCATTCGTCTTTGTTTCGTCTTTAAGATGATTCTACCTGCTGCCGTTTACATGTGGGAGATCTGTTTGAGGGTTTAAAATTATGCATTCGCCTACGTGGTGTTTAAAAAAAGATTGCAAGCTATTCTTTGTTAGTCGAAAACAATGGTTCCTCAAGCAACAAAGCAGCCAGACCTTCATATTTCGGGCGATCATTTCAGCGAGAATCAGTGACTTCAGGAGTCATTATCCATCTCGAGCTTGAGAGCGAGCTCAACAGCCTCCTTCACACCAGCAACGATGTGATCAGCTAGGCTCATGCGCAGGCTTCGTACCCTTATTACCTATACAAGCAAGTCTCCATAAGGATGGTCTTCCACTCACTGTTATATCTGCTTGTGAATTTCTTAGCACCCGCGATATCACTGTGTACATCATCACCTATCATGCAAGTTGTTTTAATAGGATGTGTATCCTGAGGATTGAGGCCATTGTGCCACTCGTGTAGAGCACGCTCGCCCCAGATAAAGACGGTCTCGCTAGGCTTACCGTATCTTATGATGGCGGGGTTTAAGGTCTGCATTGTCAGTTGATATGTCCCAGACAGCCTTCAGTACATTCCGAAATTTCACTTGAGATGTGTAGGCTGGAACCGCAGCCGTAGACCAGCTCTCATGCATGTTGCTGAAATATATTTTCGGCTGGTCATCTTGGAGGTACCCTTTATTTGGCAAGCTAGTATTCCCGTTCTTCGAGAAGATGACAGGATACACACCCTTCTCGGTAAGAAGGATGCTGTTCACGATTTGTGCATCGAGGTCGCATGTTTTCGAGGAGGGACTAACAAAGACGAGGATAGCGGCGATCTCAACCGTGCCATCAGGCAGGAGATGCTCGATCTCTTTACCAAACTTCTTTACCCTTGTTCTCCCATCCTGTCCGAGATGAGCAAAGACATCCCCAGCAAAGGTCTTTACCATATCAGCTGTGGTAATGACCTTCATGAAGCCATAAGACTCCGCCAACGGGCGAACCATATCGCTTTTTTATCACCAATCGCAAGGTTGTTCTTGTCTGCGAATCTCGGTATGAGCCTGCGGAATGGCGTGTGTGACTGTACGAACTGGCGATCGCTCAGTTTGCCTGTGGCGCCGAGATCATGGGAGAGTTCCGCGGTACTCTGCGATTCTGTGGCTCCACCCCGGTTGGTGAGGAATACGAACGGGATCTTGCGTTGAAGTAACCTATTATTGATGACCTCGCTGGCTCCTGGAAGAGCTTTCCAGTGTTCCATACGGAGGTACAGCGGTTAAGTGTTGTCCCCGGTCGTTTTAGTGTCACAACTTCTCCCTTACAAAACAACCACAACAATAGGAAAAAGCTACAAAAAACTATTCCGCTATATTTCCCTTGTCTTCAAGAGTATTCTGAACTTTTTTTTATGAATTTAGTTTCAGAATTGCTTCAATTCTAGGATATCAAAATCCGCGTCCAGGGGATCCCCCTATCGACAGGGGACAACACTTAACCGCTGTACCTCCGTAAGTACGCCATCAATGCCGAATACGAACGCCATTGTCGATTTGGGCCCCTCCGGTTGAAGTTGCTTTGATTCAGGCTGCTTCGATTCAGGCTTCTCCAATTTAAGCTTCTTCGGTTTACATGAAAACTTACCGATAGTTCGCCTTAACAATGCTTTCACAGCGTCCATATTGACGACGTGTTCTAGGTGCAAGTCCTCGGGGCGTATCCGGTGGATCTGCTAAAAGAAATCATCAAGTACTTCTCTATTAGTATACAGCGAAAAATGCAGTGTTCGATGGCACTGCTTCACTCTTCTGTTCTCTGTTCTATTCGCCCTTTGTAGTCCATACCATCTCTAACTTCTAGCTCCGAAGTAGGTCAATGTGGGGTGTCCGGGTAGCTGGCTCACGGTGCGTTGTGACCTACTCTGGAGTCTGAAACCGGTCCTGATATCGGAGAACAATCTTCACATTCCGGATCAATGGGACAACAACCCTAGATGGGATTCCCGTGGTCATGGGCTTTCTAGAGCCAGTGATATTGTTTTCTCTTTGCTTATCTGGTTCTGAGGACAAACAATTATGGCTTCCCGCTTGTTGGTGCCAGAGCTATAGCCAGGAGGGAAAACATGTACAATTTGCTGAAGTAAAAAAGGCTGGGTCATCACCATGGTGGCTACACCAATACCTCACGTATCGTATATTTAGCAAAGATTCGTAGTGCCTAACCTATTCCTCGAAGAACCACTGCACGACAAACAACTCTTTACTTCAATTGATTTTCAGGCAATCTGGTAGATTGACTTCCAGATAATGGACAGATGGTACACATTCAAACATCTTGATTTGGAAACATGGTTTATGTTACTGACGGTGCACCAGTTGTTCCTGACACGAGAGTTCATACCAGCAGCGTACTGCCACATATTTGTTTGTGATGGAACTCAGATGAGTCTTTTTTTCCATCACAGTAGAAGTTAGTGTGTATCGAGACTAGCTTCTACATGTCTAAAATCTTTTTCCCACTTAACTTCTACCTCCGCCCTCGGCGACCATATCCAGTGCCTTGGCTGCCGAGATTCGATCTGAAGGTCTGAATCTCGCTAACCCTCGAATGACTGGGAGCAGACGTTGCAGCGCTGGATCTTGAACATTTTCGTGGAACTTTGAGTCCAACCTTGGCTGTGTGGGTGTGTCATTAACTATATTTAAAGATGTTAGAGGTACCGGTTTATATCCATCAAGGATTTGACAGTGGTAAGATGGTAAGCATACTGGCTTTCTCCCACATTAGTCCAGTTGTGTTCTGTATGAGCTCCCACTGGGGCTGCCACTCCGCAGGCAGCTCTTCCACGAAATTGATCATCTGTAGAACGAGCTTATCAACACCGCCCCAGTGCTGAAAGGGCCGTGACCCAAATAAGGATGAATAAATCTGTTGATATGAATGTCAATACACATCTTCGTGGACGTGTGGAAATTATCATACCGTAAGTCCTGCACGCCAGAGATCAAGCCTGTGATCAAAGTGGTCTGCAAAAATTGTCTCAGGAGCCCTCAGATCTGCTGGCTGAGCGAGACCATCAGGCGTCGATCCTTGAACGAATGCTTCTCCAAAGTCAATAAGCCGAATGTCTTCTTCATCTTCGTCTATCCAGTTTACCCAATCGGCCTTCTTTACGAGTTGTTTCGGCACACCAGCTTGCAGCGGCTGGCCGTCAATGCGAGCCAAGGCCTCAAAATCTGGTGTTCCAAGGACTTCGAACAGATCCTCTTGAGGCAGGCGTGCAAGCCTTGGGCACGTGAACACTAGATTTGAGCCGCTTATATCTGCTTAGAATCAGACTCACTTCTTGCAAATAGAAAGACTTGCCAAACCTCCATGGGTATATCCGACCTCATGTATGAATGATATGGCTTCCAGCATCTGGGTGGTAATTTTTAAGATAGTTTCCGAATCAAGCTGGTCACCGCTCTCGCGATAGTCATTGGAAATAGTGTCGACGGACGGGCCAAGCAATTCGAAAACAAGACATTGGTGGCACCCGTTAGGGCCACGATGGATGAAGTCATCGAACTTTTTGACGACATGATGTAGAGACCCCTTCCCTTGCAATGTCTTCAAGGCCCCCACTTCACGATTGTTCGTGCTATCAGCGCTCTTAACTTTAACCGACACCCACATCTCCATTCTAGGGTCTCATCCGTAAGCAGGAGCGTGTGTTATGTCCAATGGAGTAACATACACGGTATCCCATGCAAGCCAGACTGTTGAGCATCCTCCCCAACCGAGTTTGTGATGTATTTTGTACCGACCCTCCTTGAAAGTGTCACCAAGGCAGATAGGATGGAATCCGCCGGGTTTGTATCGTGACATATTCTCTTGACTGTAGAGGAGGTTGGATGGGCAGTAAATGGATAAATCGTTCATAGCTATGGTGCGGGTTTGGGTAAGAAGGGGAACAGGGAAGGTTGCAAAGTAGATGTAAGGTATGTTAATGAATTGGTTCCACACGTTGCTAATGTTGGCAAAGAGTGTTGGAAAAGGGTGAACCCAGACGGGTCTAAGGCCTTGCCCTAATTCCACAAATCTCCAAACTCCAGATATGAGGTATTTAGTGCTTTGGTTTTGAGATCGATGTAACACTACGACGTGAATCTGGAGTTGTGGTATAGGTTGTCAATTATTTTGTTGTTGGGGAAGAAAAGAGACGACGCTGAAGCAGAAGCTTGTAATGGCACAGCGGATACAGGTACGCCCTGGTGCAGCTAAAGCCAGCAAGTACCTAGGTACCTAGGTAGGTAAAGTATCTGGCTTTAAACGTGACTTTAGCGAAAGACGCTCTGTACCTACACCGCCTGGCTGAGTAAATACGCAATAGCACAAACGAGCTTCGCGCCGCTGTGTCTATAATACCGGTAAGCAGACATGTCGAACTTAACTTGAGATTTATCTCCACTGCTTGGCAGCATAAAGCTCCGACACCACTGACGTGAAAGCCCTAGTGAAGCAAACAGAAGGCAAGTCAACTACGCACATTACAAATATCAACATACTTAAATACACCCGCCCTAACCCACCCTAACCCACCCGATTTCTATATCACTTCTCACTATAGTCACCCTTGGCCCACATCCTCAGTACATTCTTCTTCAACTTTCCCGTACTTGTCTTCGGCAATTCCTGCACGACTTCGACTTCCCTCGGAACCATGAATTTACTGATCGCACTCTCATGCTTGGCCCACTCAATTAGATCCTCGCCTTTCATCTGCTTACCGTCTTGTACTGTGATGAAGGCTTTGGGACGCTCGCCCCAGTGCGAATCGGCGACTGAGACAACGCCTGCTTCGAGCACGTCGGGATGCTGGACGAGCATGGACTCGAGAGCAACTGAGGAGATGTTCTCGCCGCCTGTTGTTACATTTAGCATGTTGGCCTTCAATTTTGGGGATGGGGAGATTTGAAAAGCAAGAGAGGAAATCCTACCAGAAATAATAATATCCTTCGCCCTGTCCAAAATCTGTGCACTCCCGTCCTCATGCCACACCGCTAAATCCCCCGAGTGCAACCCTCCACCCGCAAACAATTTCCTCGTCGCTTCAGGGTCCTTCAGATACTCCTTGGCGCAGATATTCCCAAAGAAAATGATTTCGCCGATCTCTTTCCCGTCTTTCGCGACATCGATAAGCACACCTTCTGGTTGTTCAGTCTTGACAATGCGTATGGGAAGGCCGGTGATGAAGCCATGGCCCTGGCGTGCCATTCGCGCGTACTTCTCTTTGATGGGGAGGGTTTCCCAGATGGGCATGTGATACCCTTTCGTGATCGGGCCGTAGGTCTCCGTGAGACCATAGACGTGGACGGGCATTAGATTCAGGTTTGTCATTTGCTCGAAAAGGTGCGCTGTCGGTGGAGACGCAGCGACTGTGACTCGGACTGGATTTTCGAGCTTGACTGCGTCTTTCGAGGCACAGAGGAGTGTGTTGACTGTTGGGGCGGCGTTGAAATGCGTGATATTCTCTTCTTTGAGGAGTTTCCAGATGAGGGGATAGTCGATTTTACGCAAGCAGAAGTGCGTACCTCGGACAGCGGTTACAGACCAGGGGAACGTCCAACCCATGGCGTGAAACATGGGCAATGTCCAGAGATAGCCACAGCGGCCAGAGTGATAGTTCAGACCACTCTCGATCACGTTTCCCATGGCTGCCAAATAAGCGCCTCGATGTGTGTACACGACACCTTTTGGCTTCGCTGTGGTCCCACTTGTGAATGGGATTGCGATAGTGCCATTCTCATCATCTGCTTGGGCCTTTAGACCAGCCCAACCATGCTTCCCAAGTTCGGCATCATACTTCAAACCTTCGAGTACGGCTTCATCGAAAGGACCAGAGAGTTGTCCTTCTGTAGCGTCGGTGTCCGTATCAATTATGAATGGTACTTTTGGATGCTGAGAGCGAAAGTCTGAGAGGAGAGGGAGATACTCTTCATCGACTATGATGCTGTCTACTTCGCCGAAGGAGAAGATGTAGGAAATATCTTCCGTTTTGAGTCGATAATTCACCGCTACATTGACGCCTGTATTGTGTTAGGATGATTAGACTTCCAGGTCGACTTTCTCTTCGAGACAACTCTTTTGAAAGATGCAAAGCAGTACACTGTTCAAGAAACGGAGATATATGACAATTGGTGGAACAAAGAAGTAAAACTCACCCCCCGCAGCCGCAATCCCAAAGATACTCTCCAAAAACGCTGGCGTATTCGGCGCCAAAATCCCCACCCTCTTAAATCCATGCTTGATTAGAAAGTACGCCAACCCCCTCGCCCGATCAGCAAACTCCGCATAACTCCTTCTCAGCGTCTTGCCATTAGCTGTTACATGGAATATAGCTTCTGCATCCGGCTCGATTTCGGCGGCTCGGGGTAGGAAAAATGTTGGGGAGAGAGTGTGGATGTGTGGTTCTTTTGGCGGGATGGGCGTATTGGAGGACGGGACTGTGGGGGATGAAGAGGAAGGGAGGAAGTGAGAGGTGAGGGACTGGAGGCGGGTTCTGGGGTTGGACATGATAGGATGGCTGGAAATTGGTGGTGACGTTGAGATTGGAAGTTGAGGTGTGATATTTGAGTAGGAACCGCAGTGCTTGAGAGAGGATGAGATGAGGTGGTGTTATATCTTTTTGATGGTAGGTGAGTAATGTGGATTAATGGATTCCGGTTGTGCTGGATGGGGGGACAACCAAGTCTCAGCCTGAGTCTGAGTTTGGTGTATCTGAGCCGATTTTCCAGCTTCGCTCAAGTGGCCAATATCCAGAACATCTGCATCAACAGATGACACCCTGAAACAACAACGCGAATGGTCCTTTGCAACCCTCTCCTACTCCATCAACTCAATACAAGCTGTACAACTGTCTGTACAACTGTTAGGAACGGTCCGCAGATACCTCCAAATGACAATTAATATAACTGACCAGGAAGAGGAGAAAAGGTGTAATTATAAGGCTTGACACTCCCAAGGAACTTCAAGTATCGTTTAATATTCAAAAGACGTTCTGTAGCTGCATTCTTGTACCTGTAGAGTTGCCTTTGTCGTCGCTACTAGCTCATGTGGGGTACGGATCGCTTCCGCTACGTATTGGGAGATGTGGATTTAGCGGGGGAGCTGGGAGGGCTAAGGCTACCTAACCCGAGGTGATGTTCGGGAGAAGGGATCAGGATCAGGATCAGGAGGAGGACGCGGGCGCGGGCATTTGGCGCCGTATCGGCTTTGCGGCTTGCCGATCATGTACCGTATGGTGCCTTTTTGTTCGACTTTGAAGGGTCGTGATTGGTTGCTCTGGATGAGATAACAGAGGGCTAGGGTTTATGCAAGGCTGAGAGAACCACGATATACAGAAGTAGACAGACATGTGCGAGGAGATACATTGAGCTAGGTATGGAGTGCAATCAGTTTCCTAGTGCTCGAGTCTGGCACTTTTGTGTGAATTGGAAGAATTCATGGAGGAGGGCTGAAAGGTACATTTCGATGAAGACAGCACTGGCTGACTGTGCGTGGATTTGGTCAACTGAGGGGCGGATCCAGAGGTGGGTAGGTGGGTAGGTGAGTATGCGAAACATGTGTCTGGCTTGAGCCTTGCCAACTTCTAAACAGCCCCGTCTTGCAGTGTGGGCTGGAAGCTATCCGTGTGCTTGGGTTCGCTATAAGTATATCGCAAGGACGCATGGCAGGTCAGATCGAATGATTCCCAAGGAGCAAGGAGCCGGAACATGATCTATAAACAACCCGTCGATTGAGGACTCCACGACAGCCTGCAATTAGTTCATCAGTACCCATCAATCCCCAAGTCACAACCAACACTATGGGGAGCCCAGATTATTCTTATTTTTTGGATTTCATTTCCCTAGGGGCGGCAGCATGCAATGCGGAAGCTTATACACATCAGAAGCAGGGCCCGATATCACTTCCATTCAATAAGCAACCTCCCATAGTTTCCCCGCTCGCTCACGGTTCTCATATGGTGTGTTGAAGTAACCCAGCCCTGGGATCCCTCCCCCATCCGCAGCAGAAAAGCACAGTTGGGGTTCGAGAACAAGGCATTGAAAGTTTTGTGCGTGGTTTTTGTCTTTTTGGCTGCGTGCGCGGTGACAAAAAAACAAAGAAGAAAACAAGTGAACAAGCCTGCCAGACCGACCAAAATCCCAACCATCCAGACGTAATCGCGAAATAATTAACTCCGGGGGGTAGTCTAGTAGCCGAGCTCAGCCAACTGCTTCTTGGTCTTGTCGTCAACCTTGGCGCTCTTTTGGGCGTCGGAGAGTTGTCTTCGTGCGGCCTTCTTGCGTTGGTAGTATGCGGCTCCCTTAACCTTCCGTCTCTCCTCGAGTCTACAATTTTGTCAGCCCCAAATTCCCCAGGTCCTAGACTCCCCAGCTTGACTGACCTAGCAACAACATCCTGGTACTTCCATCCAACCTCGTGGCTCAGTCTGCCAACGGTGCAGTACTTGCGTCCAGGCTTCAATCTCAGGACTCTCAGGGCTTGTGGGACCACGACACGCTTGACTTTGTCGTATGGTGGTGGGACACCCTCGAAGACCTTAAGTCTCTCCATAGCGGCGGCACCACGGGCGGTCTTGTGGGGAATCATGCCACGGACGGTCTTGTAGAAGATTCTCGAGGGAGCACGGAAATGGAAAGGACCTGCTATGTATTAGAATTGCGAAATGCGCTAGACTTGCCCGGTTCGGAGCCGCGGTGCTGAATTGTAACGTACCTCCACGGGTTGGGTTGTATCTGGTCATCTTTCTGAGGTAGGCGTGGTACTTTACTGTTCGCGGAGCCAAGTCAGTCAAAGTTCCCCAATCCACAACGTGTGCGTCATATAGCCCCTCTCTATCCTTCTCCTCCAGATCCAACTCGCGCCTGGGAATAGATGTAGAACGTACGCTTCGCACGGAAGAACTCTCCGGAGATGTTCAAGGCCTCGCAACGCACAACAACGATCTTTTGGCCGTTGAGCAATTGCTTAGCCACGGTACTGGCCAGCCGACCGAGGAGGTGACCCTTGCCATCAATCGTGATCTGTCAGACATATTGCAATTAGCCTTCCAATTCTTTCCCATTCCGCGTCCTCCCAGAGCCCAGTAGCCAGTACAACAGATTTCATTCCACGGGGTTGGGAGTTTGACGACGCGCGAAGTCCCTTTGCGGCAGGCGGGAGAGACTTACGACTTGCTCGAAGGTCGACATTTTTGCCTTACTTCACGAATATGAGCAGACAAATGTCGAAGGGGTTGTCGGTATCCTCAACCTTCGTGATGGTGAGGAATGGTGTCGATTTTGTCGTTGGGGTTCGTTCGTAGAATCGGCTTTCCAAAATCGCAAGACAATCCAGTGTGAGCTTGCAGCGGCGCGCTAGCCTTAGCCGAGCTCGTGACTGGGCCCACACAGGTTAGGGCCCACAACCCTACGAAAAGGTGAAAATTGATGAAATGCAGATTTGATCTTGGATTGAGTTCACAACTACGAGTTAATTGAATTGCATGATGGCAAATGCGTTTTGGTTGTTCCTTGGGAGTGGTTGCTAGCTCCTTTCTTGGAGATTCTGGGAAGCCCCTCCAAAATTGCGGTTGTTGACATCACAAGCTGGAGAGAGGAAGATCACCATTGGTTGACTGTACCACCTTACGATGTACAGAGTGTGTATTCTTCGCTATCTTCTTACGCTGTTCACTGTTTTGCTATTGCTGTTGTGTTATTATGCTATTATATTTCTTGCAGTTGAACTCATCATATCTCTTTCGGGCTATTTTTCGTATGACACCCTGCCTTTCTGTCCACTTTCTTCCATGTCTCCCTCTTCCAAATTTCATTCTCATCGCTCAACTGCTTGCTTTCTTCAAGGACTGTTTCTGTTCCCGTCTACTGTAAGCGATAGCTTGTATTTCATTCATAATCGTTCCCTTCCCAGCTCTTACATAAGATATCTCCAGTCCTCGGGTTCTACAAACCATGTGGCCCCGAAGTTGTCCTTCACATTGAAGAAGGGTCTCATTTGCCTTTGTTCTCGGAGCTTTTCACTCTCTTGGTCACGATCCTCATCAAGAGCTCATGATCCCAGCGATCTCCTTTATTTATGACGAAATGCTCTTCTTTGATTGCAAAGATAGCCTCTGCATGGTCGATTTCATCTGCTCTAGGGGAAAATGACACCTTGACCTGCTGGCTGTTCAGAGTATAGCTTCACCACCTGCTCACCACTACCAGAGCCCTTTGCGCATCATCCTTCCAATACGCTGGATGTTTCATCCCTTTGCACCACGCAACACACACCAGCTGAGCATGCAACAGTCGCCCAGAACTTGACGCAAGCTTTATTTTGTGGCCTACATGAGATGAACAGCAACTATTAATTAAATAGCGTCCTGCTCAATCTGAAGTCCAAGGATACGAACGATAACAGTAGACACTCAGAACAGCAACAATTGCCTTGTATGCCAGCAAAATAATAAATTTCATGCCCCGACTATACGGCTGTATCGTGGAAGGGGGATATCGCCATGAGACGTTGCCGAAACTCATAATACACGACCCCTAAAGGAAAAGCAAAAGTCAAAAGTGAAAATCAAAGGAAAATGTATATACCCATATCCTTACCTAAATATAAATCAAAATCAATACATCACTATTAAACCAGCTAGATATACATTTAAAACCATAACATAGTTGAAACAAAGTGGCATTTCCATAAGCGGAAGGGCCAGAGCTTTAACTGGGCCTTTATCCGCTCGGTTGCTGCCAGGGTTTGCACTTGACCACGTGATTTCACTGAGGATGCCGTTGATGCCTGTGTAGGTAGGAAGGTATCTGGTACCTGTAGCAACCGCCTGAAGTGAAGTGCAGCCCCAGCAGCAGGCCAACGGAGAGGTAGTACTACCTAATGCCATATGTTAGCTTTGGCATACAGTATTCCTAAATTAGAGTACGTCTAAACCAAGCTCAGCTAATCCAGATGTTATACTCGACTTGTGAAGTCTCAGAATGTCAGAAACTATCCGATCCTGCTTTTATAAGTATGAGGAGATTCGTAATGCCTGCTCTTGATATCAATAGCGATATTTGAGTAGTGCTGTTGATCCATCCCGGATCCTTGGTAGAGGCTAGAACTGCTTATCAGCCGTCTATTCTTATGTGACGGTCTTAGACCCGGACTACTAAATCGAGAGCCGTGGTATTAGGAAGAACTCGATACTATGTGCATTATAAACCATGTCTGCTGGCCTCTGCTTTTGGCAGAAATGTCCCAAAATACTCCTCTCACGTGCCAAATCATTCACCATTCCCAGCCCATACTGTAAGCGAGACCAATCATAGCCTTGCATCAGATGTGATGCGGTGCTGCCGTGCATTGCTTCCACCACTTCAATCCTCCAGGTCAAACATCGCCATAATCTGATCACAAAGCAATAAACGCCGCCCTCAACACTCGCTCAACGCGACGCATCGGCCACCGCCATCGCCGCCAGTATCGGTATTGTCGCGAACGATGATTATAGCCCTCAACGACAACTAGACACAACCGACGCCAACGTTCAAATCTCCGTCACTCACAAGGCTGAAGGCTTACGAGCGGTCCCCCTCCACAATACATCGACTCGCAGACGGGCCCAGAGCACTGAATCACGCATCCGAGACTCGCAATCATCACAAAGCATCGAGGGCACGAGGTCCGACAGTCTTCACGACTACCTCGTCGCTCTTTCCAGGATTAATTCAGCCCGACGACACAATGAGGTCCCAAGTACCCACGATGGCGCCCCTCGAGACCGAATCCTCTTATCGCGGCACTCCGGACCCAGAAGGCGATTCACAATCATCATCGAGTAACTCGCCTGCTCGCGCAGATTATGAAGAGTCTGACTTCTATGTCGGCAATAACGACTCGCAGTCTTCTATCGGAGTGCCCACATTCTCAGATATGGCCGTGTCTGAGGAGAGCTGTGTAGCAGCTTCAAACCGCCTGCCTGCGGAGGTTCTTATCGGCATATTCTCGAAACTCAGTAGTCCACACGACTTGTTGACCTGTATGCTTGTGTCGAAGAGGTGGGCGCGAAATAGTGTTGATCTACTTTGGCACCGACCTGCTTGTGTGACTTGGACCAAGCACAGCTCTATCTGCAACACCCTCATCAAACGAGAACCTTACTTCGCATACCGGGACTTCATCAAGCGACTGAACCTAGCCCAGCTTTCGGACCATTGTAGTGATGGAAGCGTACTTGCCCTGCAATCCTGCAATCGGATTGAACGGTTGACTTTGACAAATTGCAACGGGCTGACGGACTCTGGAGTGACGGGACTTCTCGAGGACAGCGATCATCTACTGGCTTTGGATATATCTGGGGTTACGGAAGTTACCGAGCTATCAATGTTTGCTTTGGCTGATAATTGCCAAAAGCTGCAAGGCCTAAACATTTCTGGCTGCACGAAGATATCCAATCTGTCTATGACTGCGGTAGCGAACTCCTGCAGATACATTAAGAGAGTAAGATCTCTTGTCAAGGGCGAGTAAGTACTATGCTAATGATTTCCAGCTCAAACTCAACGACTGCGAACAGCTCGAAGATTCCTCCATTATAGCATTCGCAGAAAACTGTCCCAACATACTCGAAATTGACCTTCATTCATGCAAACTCGTCGGAAATGACCCCGTTACTTCTCTCGTCACAAATGGCCAGACATTGCGAGAACTCCGGCTTGCGAACTGCGAGCTTATCTCAGATATGGCATTTCTCAACTTAGAAAACGACAAGACTTACGAGCACCTCCGCATCCTTGACTTGACAAGCTGCGCTCGTCTTACAGATAGAGCTGTTGAAAAGATTATCGAAGTTGCGCCACGGCTGAGGAACCTAGTCTTTGCTAAATGCAGAAACCTAACGGATGTGTCAGTCAATGCCATTAGCAAGCTTGGAAAGAACCTTCACTATCTTCATCTCGGTCATTGTCATCACATTACAGACTCTGCTGTCACTAAGCTCGTGCAGCTCTGCAACCGAATCAGATACATTGATCTCGGATGTTGTACCCACCTGACTGATGCTTCAGTTACAAAGCTCGCCACTCTCCCAAAACTGAGGAGAATAGGTCTTGTCAAGTGTTCGAACATCACTGATCAGAGTGTTTACGCCTTGGCGCAGAGTCGCCTTCGATACCCTCGCCATTACCGAAATGCTGATGGCGAGCTCTTTGAGCATATGGCCGGAAGCAGCCTTGAGAGAGTCCATCTCTCTTATTGCACTAATCTGACTCTAAATGTTGGCCCCCTTCACCTCATCTCCTGACCGAACTAACAGTTATAACAGAGCATTGTTGTTCTTCTAAATAACTGCCAGAAGCTGACTCATTTGAGTTTGACTGGCGTCCAAGCCTTCCTTCGAGCTGATCTAGAGCAGTTTTGTCGAGACGCCCCTGCCGGTATGTCGTCCTTTTGATATTTACCAATACCGTACTGATATCTGTCCAAAGAATTTACAGAACACCAAAGAAATGTATTCTGTGTCTTCTCGGGAGTTGGTGTGAACGGCCTTCGACACCACCTGAATAACCTTCAACCTGGCCAAGGTGGATATGATCCAAATAGCGCCGATGATGACGACGATGATCAGACTATGACAGGCATGATAGGTGCCACGGCGATGATGGGCGCTACTGTTCTGAATGCCGACGACGAGGACGCCGACGGTGATGAAGAACTAGAGGATGCGGATGGAGATAACAACCAGACATGAAACAGACAAATCGATACAAGCCAAACACCCCAATTTTGACTCGAAATCGTTGATGGTAAAGTGGGCGAGGGATGCTAAGGATAGCTGGCTCCCAAATTAGAACGGTACAGAACGGAAACAGGAACATAGCACATAGCTGCCCTCCAGGCTACTAAGCCTGCAACTGTGGAGTATCTCATATGACCATCTGATCTCCGTGGCGGAGAAGGGACGACAGTCTACTACCTACATGTATTGCTTTGCTTGAGTTTCTATGTGGATGGCTGGATGAAAGGGAAGGGAGGATGTATAGACGGACATCGGTATCTGGCGTTGGGGATTCGGACTATTAGGGCCACTGTTTCAGGCTGCATAGTATTATTCAATGAATTGCACGCTTGTTGTTGACCTTGACAGTTTTTGAGATTCTCTCCGAGCTTGTTTGTGCTTAAGTAGTTGGCGCGATGGTCCTTCCTTCATAGAGACCGGGATTTACTCTTCATCAAGGCAGCGCCGCCAGGTGCAAAATTCTCGCCACCAGATCCACCATCTCTTTGAGATCCAAAAGGGTGGCAAGCGTCCACTGTAGTTGCGACTCCTTTGAGTCAATGGTTCTTCCTATTGGTGCTTTGTAGAACAAAGCACCATTGTCCAAATCGAGCACAAAGAGGCCCTCAAGATCTGAATAGTGATGATCATGTTCATTGTGCATTATAATCAACACAATGGAGACAAAAAGCTGTGGACACAACGATTATGCTTTTTATTTGGTGGTCTTTCATCTGTTGTGCTATCGAGGTGTACGAGAGGAACAATGCCTTTCTTGTCCTTATATCTCCGTCCCATCTTCGCTGCTCTCGTATCTTCAAAGTCTCAATATCGATCTCAGAATTTCATCTGCTCTTGTCATTACATCACTAAACATATCTCTCTCGTCACAGAGGACAAGAAGTTCACACCACCAACCACATTTTTAAACCACTACAACGCAACAACAATGTGCATTGCAGGCCATACAATCTTCGCCCGGTGCGAACACCGCCTTGCTATTAACCAGCCCAGCGACCACGCAACACCCGGAAGATGTAACCACAAAATCGATACAAAAGTTTCTGAGCCTGGTCGCTGTAAACCTTGTCGTACAAAACGGCGTGCAACGACTAGAGAGCAGGCATACAGATGCTGTGGCCCAACTTCAGAGCCTGACTTCATTCTTGGTTTAGCGAATAAGGCTATGGTAGAGAGGGCTATAGCTTTTCCTGTTACTAGTAGTCAAGGCGAATGGCCTGCAGCTGGCTCTGCGTCTGCTGGTGGTGAGCAGCAGGCGAGTCCATTTCAGGGTGGGATTATTGGTGTGTGTATTGAGCGGAGTGGAGGTGGTAGCAGGGAGGAGAGACATTACCAGAGTTATCGTCATGGTTCTAGTGGGGACTGCTTCGTTTGCTGGATGGGGCTTGGGAAGTTGCTATCTTATTTGTCGAGACTTTCACCGACGTTAACCTCCCCATGCAAAAATGCATTTAATCTCCCATAAAATCCACCAGGACTTCTATCTTTACAATAATATGGATAGACATGAACGTGATCAACCCCTCTATGACATTCAACCCTGTTCCCCTGTTGCATAACCGCATCAAAGAACCTCTGAATCCCCGGCATGAAGATCTCCGCGTCACCATAACATAGTAACATATTCGGTAAGCTTTCCAGTGTATACGGAGGAGGTAGATTTCCTTGACCTGGAGATAGCAGTGTGAAGCGCAAGTCAGGTCGGTTGGTTGTGTATTGTGTTGCTGCGATAGAACACATCGTGGGATTCAGTATATCCAAATTCAGCGCATCCTCATCACTGTGGAAATCATCAACGAGATCCATGAATGGTGAGACTAAAATACAGCTTCCAGGCTGTAGAAGTTTATCCCGGTAAGCGCGCAGGTACAGAATAGTGGTTGCTACTATGCCGCCACCTCCGGAGTCTCCCATCATACATATATTCTCTGGCTTGAAACCTTGGTCGACGAGATAGAAAAATGCGGATACTGCATCCTGCAATGCAGCTGGAAAAGCAGTCTCTGGTGTAATGGCTTTACGGAAGTTGACTCCGAAGATGGGTATGTGCGTGACCTTCATCACGGTCCATGGTAGAGGCGACTCGAGAGGATGGCCTTGCACCATGCCGCCGCCAACAAAGTACATCATAATTTTCCTCTCTTCGATAGGTTTAGAGTCCGGTGTTGAGCTTGGGTTTGGATTCACCATCTCCCCATCCAGCCACATCCAGAAACATGGACACTTCTTCGGGTGGACACGCTCATGCACCGCATCACCGTACCAAACTCCTTTCTTCGCAGGGACAACCACCAATTCAGCTCTATAAGTACCTTTCAACTTCCGGATCGCTTGACGTGCGGAATCACTGAGTACATCTGGCACGGGACGGGTTCCAGGGTTCATAGACCAAATGATGTGTGCGCCGATGCAGCGGAGAGTGCGAAATCCGAAGGACCATGATGGACGGCCGTAGTATCGCGTGTTGAACATGGTATCGAGGAGGATGAGAGGGATTTGGAGGGGAACTGCGATGAGAGAGTACAGGGAGCGGATGAGGCGGATGAGGCGCTCGTTGAGTGGTGAGGATTCCTCCCAGGCGCGGACAGAGGCGGGAGTGAGGTAGGGTCCTTTGGCCATCGTGAGTGTGGGTTGGAGCTGAGGGACTATATACTGAAGTGGGAGTGTTGTCGATCCCTTATCTGAAGTACTCGAAAAGACCGTCAGTGCTGTAAGATGTCTTCTTAAGCAATTGTATTATTGATATTGGTGTAGTTAGGCGAGCTCCAGCTAAGCCAGTACGCCGGCCGCTTCGAATTTCAGGAGACCGCAGTGGATATGGAAGAAGCTGTCAGTGTGATATAGAACAAATACCTAGGTAGATCGTCCGATCAGTCTGTAAATGACGGCTTTCGAGTGCTTTATGAGCAAGTGGACAGCTTGCGTCGCTATTCGAAATAACAGCTGATTGTCGTTGCAGCTAGTTTCAGGTTCAGATGAGGTCTAGACTGAAGCTTCCCCGCTCCTGGCTTAAAGAAGTGCGATTCGGCAATCAACCACGGCGTCGTACTCACAAATCAGAAAATAGTAGACATTGTGAAGTAAGAATCAACAAGTCTGTGTCGCTTACCACTGGAAGCAGGTTTTGCCCTATTATTTCTGCACTGGCCTTAGCAACCTGCTCTATCCAGTATTTATAGAATCAGACTCGACCTGCAAAGGGTATCTCTGAAATCCCCATTTGAAGACCGAGACCACAGAGTTTTTCGAACACATTTCCAAGAACAAAAGTTGCGTTTGATGGTAGTATCTTGGGACTGCGGTGCGGCTGAAATGCGTGGTCTTGGATGCCTCCATATATAAAGCTAAACCCAAAGCGGCTGTCTCTTTACGAGCTCGCCAACCAGATCCCGTTCGATTTGGTGAGACACTACGGAGGGTACATCTAATAGATCCGTCCACGGCGGTTGAATGCTCAACCCAGATCAGTATTTAAGAAGCTCGAAGCACGCTCGTTGAATGTGAAATACCATCAAAAATCTCTTCGGGACCTTCATCAGTAATAAGCACATTATTTTCGTCCAGTCCACATCTCACAATGTCACCCCTTCCCAGCAAGCAAAAAAAGACCGTTCTCATCACAGGCTGCTCGGATGGAGGTCTCGGTGCTGCACTGGCGATGGCGTACCAAAAATCTGGCTATCGAGTATTCGCTACAGCACGAAACCCTTCGAAAATGGCATCTCTTACAGCAGCGAATATCGAGACTCTGACATTAGACGTGGTGTCCGATGAATCCATAAAGAGCTGCGTTTCTGAAATCATGAGATTGACCGGAGGAGCACTGGACGTCTTAATCAACAACGCTGGTGCCCAATACAACATGCCCATCACAGATCTCTCGATCCCTGAAGCGAAGAAAGTATTCGATCTCAACCTCTGGTCATGTCTCTCCACCATCCAGGCATTCATACCACTGCTTATGGAAGCCAAAGATGGAGCATTGATCGTCAATCACACTTCCGTTGGATCCATCGCAGGTCTTCCATTCCAAGCCGCCTACAATGCTTCAAAAGCCGCGTTGGCAATGTTTTCTGACATTCTTCGACTGGAGTTACAGGCGTTCAACATCAAGGTTGTTGATCTGAAAACTGGAGGCGTAAAATCCAACATCCTCGCCAACTTGACGCACCCAGACTTGCCAAAAGAGTCAATTTATGATTGTGCGAGAGACGAGGCAGAGAAGATGCTGTCTGGTGAAAATCTAAAGTCTTTGAAAAGGACTTACGTTGATGCGGATACATGGGCAGAAGGAGTAGTGAAGGACCTCACCAAGCCGATGCCGCCACATCAGATCTGGCGAGGAGGCCAGGCGTGGCTTGCACGCTTGGGAAAGCTACTTCCAGTCGGTCTTTTCGATGAGCAATTGAAAAAGGTCACCGGACTAGATAATTTGAATTGTAAAATTGAGAAAGTTCGGTCGAGTAACCCTACATATGGAACTTAGACTGTCAGAAGCCAAAGATACTCAAAACATAAAGGACTTCCAACTACTCCCTTGAAGATTCGAGGCTCAGAAATGTTCAAGTTTCCTATCCATTACCAGACAGATGACAGTTACCTGATCTAACTACCAAGTCAGAGACACCATACACCATACAACTCGGGAAAACAAAAAACCTTCTGCAACATGAGCCTTGGCTGGGGTTTGAGCTGGCTTCAGCAATGCCAAGACTTTGTCGCCGTAACAGCATGTAACAAAGTAGCAGAAACGACTATGGAAATCCATGAGTAAAACAACTGCATCCCTAGCGAATGATGCATCACAAAATTCTCGCCTTTGTCCTGCGGAAGTTTGATCAGCAATATCGTCAAGAACTGAATACAGTCCAAAAAGCTCGGAATGTGCCCACAAAGGCCAACATATAAGTAGCTCGGTGCTCCTATGTGCCTATCGAGAGGATTGATCCAGAAAAATGTGAAAGTTGTGATATGTAAAATCTCTGGATTTGCTATGTTTTGATAGGGATGATTGAAGTGATTGTTCATCGTCTACCCAGCTGGCTATCGATGACATGTCGTCGAGCTACCCCGCGCTAGTGCATTGACCTTGTTCTGGCAGGCAAGCACCTTCCCAAGCTCCCAGCCACCTCGATGACATGACATGAGCTTCACGACGAGCTCCAACAGCTGTCCCGCCCTTCAGTCTCCAAGCCAGCAACGATGAGATGGTATAATCCATTCGCTTTCGTTCCTATGGCCGTGACACTGGTTACTGCTATAGTGTACCTCGGCATCTTTATCCCTCTGCTCATTGTGCACGAAACAGTTCCTTCAGCGCCAGAGAATCCCACAGTCTACCGTGGATTGAATCTCACCGAAGCTTGGCTGGACCTGGCAGAGTTGAGCAATGGCTACCATCCTTTCAACAGTCGAAGGAACGACGAAGTCAGGAATTGGCTGTTGAAGAGAGTGGAGGAGATTCTGGACAGCAATGGGGTGAAATACCAGACGGGGGAGAACTTGAATGCGGTGCCTTACGTTTTGGAATCGAGCGGCAATGAGGCGCAGGATATCGACATGCACTCGGTCACAGAAGATCATGACGAGTCTGCAGATCGTGGAGGGCTTGGAATCCGGTCAGAGCAACCTGCTGCTGTCATCTTTAACGACCTCGTCTCGAACTACACAAGTAACGCTCTCACGAGCATTGGAGTTAGTGGAAGAAAGCTGGGGATCAGCACATACTTCGAGGGAAACAATATCATTGTCTATATCCGTGGAACAGAAGATGAGGAAGAGGAATGGTGGAAACCCCTGCCCCCATACACCCATAGACTTCATGGAAAAGGAGGGGTCATGGTCAATGCCCACTTCGACAGTGTATCAACAGGATATGGAGCTACAGATGACGGAATGGGGGTCGTCACGGCACTGCAATTGGTCAAGTATTTCACCACTCCGGGCAACACTCCGAAAAGAGGCGTCATTGTCTTGCTGAACAATGGCGAGGAGGACGGACTTTATGGCGCTAAAGCTTTCCTCTCACATCCAATGGCCACTTTCGTCCATGCATTCCTGAACCTCGAAGGTGCCGGTGCTGGAGGTCGAGCTATGCTGTTCCGCAGTACCGATTCGGAAGTCACTCGGGCGTATGCGAAAGCTCCCCATCCACTGGGTACCGTTGTCAGCGCGGATGGTTTCGCTCTGGGCTTCATTAGAAGTGAAACCGATTACGTTGTTTTCCGAGCTGAGGGATACCGTGGACTTGACGTCACATTTTGGGAACCCAGGGCCAGATATCATACAGACCAGGATGATGCTAAGCATGCCTCCAGAGACTCGCTTTGGCATATGCTGTCTGCCTCCGTTGCGTCAATGGAGTATCTAACATCGCATACGAAACAGTTCGTCGGTCCTCGAGGCGACCATGCTACTGGCAAAGTCAAGAATGGACGTGGCAGTGATGGTGTGTGGTTTGACTTATTTGGCAAGACCATGGCGGTGTTCAGGTTGAGAACACTATTCGCTTGGTCTCTTACGATACTCATTGCTTCGCCACTCATTTTAATACTCGTGTCATATCTTTTGGCTCGTCAGGATAAGTACTATCTGTTCGCTGGGGCTATTAAACCAGAAGGCCATGAAAGTGAGGCTGTATCCTTGAAAGGCTGGCGAGGGGCGTTCCGATTCCCGATCGTGCTCATCATTTCTGGAGCAATAACCTTTGGGGCTGCTTTTCTGCTCAGAAAAATCAATCCTCTGATTGTATACTCTTCACAGTACGCCGTATGGTCGATGTCGCTGAGCTTATTCTTCTGCGTTTTTTGGTTCCTTATGGCTGGTTGCAACTTTGTTCGACCTTCAGCACTCCACCGTGTATATGCGCTACTGTGGTTGTTTGCCCTTGGATGGATCGTTCTCGTCGGCGCTACCGTCTTTGAAGATCGTTACAAAGTCAGCGGCGGGTATATGTTTGTATTCTATCAAGGTTCTATTTTTCTGGCAGCTTTCATAGGTTTGTGCGAACTCTTTGCGCTTCCGAAAAAGAGCCTGGTAGTCGAAGCTGCCCACGATGAGCACGAGACCAGGGATGGGTTTGACGCGATCCCTCATTCCGATGGTATAATATCAACGGGCGATGCACAAGGAGATGACCCTGGAGGAGACGGAGATGACGAGCCTAGTGAGACGACCCCTCTGGTTGGAGGCAATGGTCACCGGAGTACACTTGGGGCGAGTTTTGCAAGAGGCTATCGACGCGTCATTCCCGCCGCTGTTGATGGTGCCGATGGTGCCGATGGTGCAGACGACGAAACGATTGCTTTCGGGGATGAGCAGAGATGGTCTGGGAAATTGCCCACATGGACATGGCTGCTTCAGTTTCTTTTGCTGGGTAGGTGTTGGGGGAACCCGTTATCTCTCATGAAAACGAGGAATATCATCTCATCCCCTTCCCAAAGCATTCCAGGTGTAGCAATGGCTAACTCCCCTGTTTTCTGTAGGGCCGTTCATCATCGTCGTCACCGGCCAAGTGGGTCTCCTCATTGTTGCAGCTCTAGTCCAAACTGGTTCGGATGGCAGTCCTCTTCTTCTGCCCTATTTGCTCATTTCCCTGTTCTCTATCCTCCTGGTCTTACCTGTCACACCATTCATGCACCGCATAACACATCACGTGCCGACATTCTTCTTCCTCATATTTATCGGCACTCTCATCTACAACCTCGTCGCTTTCCCATTCTCCTCGAACAACCGCTTCAAGGTATACTTTCAGCAAACAGTGGATCTCGACAGTGGTATAAACCAGGTCACACTTGCCGGTGTTGAAGAATACGTCCGAGAAATCATCACAGATATACCTTCAGCCGCCGGCCAAAATATATCCTGCAAGCCCAACGACAACATTCGCCAAGGCCTATCTTACTGCTCATGGAGCGGAATACCACCCAAGGTTGTCGATAACGTCAAGGAAGGTGTCCCCCCAGAGAAGGGCTACAAAGACTGGTTGAGCTCCAAAGTAAGTCGCGCCAAAGGTCTAAATAAAGCTACTTTCAACATTTCTGCCGTCGACACTAAAGCCTGCATCATCCGCTTTGATGACCCATTCACGGCATTTGAGGTTCACGGCGCTGCCAAGAGTGACGGTAAATGGGACAACGTACCGGAAAGCGGAAGCGACCAGATCAAACTCTGGCACAGAGATTGGGACCGTGAATGGATCGTTGATATTGAGTGGCCAGTCAGCGAAGGCAAAAGAGAAGGAGACGAAGGCAGAAGTGGGAGAGTCGTCTGCTGGTGGAGCGATCACAATGAGCTCGGTACAATTCCAGCATTGGATGAGGTGCAAAGATTCATGCCGCAATGGGCAGCAGTAACAAAATTGATGGATGGGCTTGTGGAAGGAAGCAAAGCTTTTATTGTTTGATGCATTTGCCTTCGAGGATGGGATATTGCATGGTTGAACGAGTTAATGCTAATGATGCCGGGGGATGCTGCGTAGATAGATTGATTGTATGAACAAATGCATGCCTGTCAAGGCTTCATTACTACCCAATGCTGCTTCTTTCTCCAAAGAGCCTTGCAATAATGCAAAGAATCAATGACGCCTGGATCTATACTATCGCTGCTGCTGAAGGAAGACCAATAAAAAGGTCACTGAGGTAGCTCCGGCGTTCTACACGCTGATTCTGAATACGGTTCTTGGACTAATCACAATCGATGGTCTGGCTCGCAATTTAATGGAGTATATAGGATTTGTGGTGAAACAATGGAAGCATTTCAAAGAGAAGGGCGATAAAACCTTGCGTATGTCTGAACAAGATTACTAAGTAATTATATGTAAGTTTGTATGTTGTTGTCGTTAAAGACTTGATATACATTGTAAAATATCACGTTATGTATGGATTCTGCTATGATATATTCTGTCAGATTGCAGTCTTTCTGAACACCTATGGAACTCCGAATTTGCCTCGCTACAAAATCTCAGTCTTGGTCCTCGCTTATCCTAAAATCAACAAACTATCGAGAAAACTGAAAAGAAAAACCAAATACGTCAAGGCAACGCCAGCTTCTCTTCAAGCACACATATCAGTATCAAAAACTTGTGTAACTGAATTAGAAACCGACAATCGAATGTGTGTGTGAGGTTCTAATCTGCGAACGTAATTTAATACTTTTTCCGATGGTTCGCCGTTGATTATTGTCCGTATTCGAACCGCTTTGCCCTGAACCACGTATTATCGACGTGGCCGTCCAAGGTTTTGTCGATATAGACTTTCGATTATTTAGTTAGACACAAGTGCTGGAATTGTTTCGCTAACGTGATTGTGAGGGCTAGACAGGATGCGACAATTCTAGCCGATCATGATTCTATACCTACTGCACCAAGCATCTTTGGGCATCACCGCTCCTAGGTATTATCAACTTAACATCGCGTGAGGTGGACAATATGTTTTTATTAGACATAGTATCTAAGACAGCTTCAATATCAATCGTTTGCCTTTCGCGTGTATTGCAATAGCTCTAAGTCCGAGTGACGGAGCCTCGGAGGTAGCCCTCGTCTGAGAGGATTCCATGGCGCAGGTTCATTCCAGAATTCATGAAACTTCATTTCACAAGATTAAAAGTGCTTTAAATCCCTATTGGTCTCTATAGTCTTTCATTACCTTGGCAGGTTAGACCCGTGTCATCAACGGGGTTTCAGTTACGGCCAACTCAAGGACATGTGCGATCTGTACTTCCCAAAGGCTTTATCTTGATACCAATACCACATGAATGCTTACTTGACAAAGATTCCTCTCTGGGAATTTGACAAATTTCTCAAAGTATGGGCAAACGTGGGTGTAAGCACACATGCTTTCCAGAATGTCTCGGATCCAGCGGACATGGTATTATGAGTGTCCAAATGCATTGATTTGCTGGAGAAATTGTAGCTGGAATGAACCAGATAGAAAAAAGTGGGATTTTGGATAATAGAGGTCAAGGGTTGGAAATAAATTCGGCCTGGGTGCTGCTCCTTCTAGAGGGTTTGTTAGATCTTCCAAAGCTTAGATATAGTAGTCACGGAGATGTCTGATGTAATATCGTTCCACTTTGAAGGTGTATATAAAACGATGAGAAATCTAAAAAAAAAAACTTTCTTGGCAGACCCTGCTTGATTAATCGGCGGGGAGGGTGTTATTGACAGACATATCACAGAGTAAACAAATAGGTTTCACCACTTGAACAGGCTACATTTGCATTCTAAAGACTCATTCATTGTTCCAACGACTGGTGATAGACACATTCTTGTCTTGATTTGGTAGTTTGTGACTGTCGCAAGCCTAAAAGTGAATTATTGTTTTAAAACGACGCACTCATCGTCCTCGTCGTCGCTTAGCAGCAATACAAAAGCACCGCCCTCGCGCTCTTCAGCCTCCACTCTACTCCCTATCAACACCACAATCCCTTCGACCAGATTCTATCTTCCCAAGAACCAACCACCACCTAGCTCAGACCTTCGAATGCCACAGGTTGAATCAGCAATACATCGCGCGACAAGATGCCTCCGCCAACTACCCAAGATCGGCCCACCAACCGGGCTATTCCGCTGGTTCCCTATGTGCCCTCCCCAAAGCGCGACGCTGACGACCGAAACCACAAGGAGGAAGACAAGGAAGAATGTTACTTGAACAAGATTGGTAAGTTACCTTTGGAATTCAGTCTTGTTAGGAGTCATCCCTTTTTCAAAGCATACTAGTATTCAGACATGCTATTCTTGTTTCTGTTCTATACTTAATGCCTTATCTTCGCGGTGCCTCTCTTGAACGCTTGTTCATTTTCTAATGAAATTCACACTCGAAATATCACACGACGCCCCAACAAGACAACAGAAAAAAGAGCGGCGCTAATAATATATAGCATACTCCTGCCATCATCAAGCTTCTCATCCAGTCCTCCCTCGAATCCATCACGCATCCCCGTGTACCTGTCTCAGAATCCAGAAAGTCCTGCGCCCAACCCAAGCCTCCGTCCCAAAGATTTTCAACGTCACCCACCCCTGCTCTGACTGCACCCTTTTAGGAGAGCCCCGGGAGATATTGACTGCTTCTCAGGCAAACACAAAGCAAGGAATGGAGGCGGCTTCAACTTCTGTAGACAGCTCGACAGAGGATGCTACCCTCCAAGGTACCGCAGAATCTCCGTTTGAAAAGCAAGCTGCGTACCTTCGCACTCAGAAGTCCCAGAACAATGATACGACAAAACAAAACAAACATTTCGAAGCTGAAAATATCCAGTCGAAAGGTGTAAACGTTGAAGGTCAGGGAAAGGAGCAACGCAAGGGACAATCTACGATCTTGCACCTTGTTAGATCTGCAGAAAGATGCAAGGAGATTGAAGCCTTTGCAGCCAATAAGCTTGTCGAAGATCGTAAGGCTGGCCGTACCAAGCTGGTGTTCAAGGATTCCCTATTGACTGACAAGTTGGACAACGCTTTAGAAGACAGCCAGCGCATCTTCCGTCAACACAACGACTTTATGAAGGCAACCGATTTTAGTAATGGTTCTGGTCAGGCTAAATCTTCCACTGATGTAGCTGAAAACGAGAAAGGAGCAAGTGCCGACAACTTGACCACCAAGCCTACGACCCAGTCCTCGAATATCTCACATGCTGACGAATCCATCCCTCCTAACTTTTGGTACCATTCACCTTCCAAGACGCATATCCCCAAAGCTTCAACAGATCTCCAGGAGTGGAAGGCCATTAGAAATAGAGCCGTCGTGACTGTCAACACGCACCATGAACCATCTTACATGGTCGACTACTACACCTGTAAGCTGTTGCAGCAGTCGCTCGCACGCAGAGCTTCGCAGGTTGGTGCTACCAAGGCAGCGGATGGAAAGGTCAAATATGATGCACTGAATTTTCATCGAAATAGGAAGACTGTCACTTCAACTTATCATCAAGGCTCAGCCAAAGAGACAAATAATGGTGACCCAGAAATCATGGAACAGTCCACCATATTCTCAAGACCTGTCGTCTTAGGGGCCAATAAGAAGACCATGTATGCTGCCTCTTCGAACCAACACGCTTCAGAGTTCAAAACAGTCGCCCTTGTTGGAACTAGGGTTTGGGATACCGACTTTGAGCTTCACAACAAGTCGAGTCCTGAAGCCAGTATTGATAAGCTTGTTGTCAAGTCTCAACCAGTTGACCGGGAATCCAATTATTACCTTAGAACAATCGATGATACCAAGGCTAGAAAGAAATACGTCTCTACTGGGTTGCCCTCAAGACTCGCAGGTTCCCCTTCAGTTCGGAGCAAGCCTACTCTTAGTAGTAATCCCTCGCCTTCGACCAGTGATTACATCCCAAGTGCGTACTACGACTCAGCCAACTTCGCTCCACATACTCCTAGAGCCAGAGAAGCCAAGAAGGACCTTGAGACTGCAGAAACTCGTGTTCAGAAGGAGAATTTGGTCAACGAGAACGCTTCTCCAATCAATAGCACAGGCTCTACCCAAGGCCCTTCAAATAAGACCACCGCCTTCACAGGAGAGAACTTCAAGTTACCCTATTACAGCGGTTTCATGCCCCAAGATCTCGGCAAGCCTCTTATGACGAACGCTATGAAGAAGCAAGACGCCATCGCCGCTTCCCTTCCGCGTCCAGTCCATTGGACCTCCCACGAACCACCCAGAGTCATAGAGAAGGACTTGAGCTTTGATTTGCTTGGAGAGCGTACCAATGGGTTTGCTCCTTACATTCGCGGTACTGCGGATACTGCTGCGTCATCTACACCAAAGACCCCTGCACCAAAGACAAAAGCCAAGGAAGATTGGCCCGCATCCTTTCGCGCCTACATCGCTCGGTCATTCGAGAAGTCAAATCAAGTCGATGGTGTCCCGCGCTCTGAAATCGAAGCCCATGTCAAGGAGATCGTGCGTGCTGCCTTCGCTCAGAAGAAGGTCTTCAGCACCGATTGGGATGCCATGGCTCTTCCGCAACAGTTAATAATTGACGCCAAGGCTACTGCTGAGATTTTGAATGATATGGAAAAGACTTTTGAATCGGTTATTATCAAGGGCAAGGATATTGATCATACAGATGCGTCTTTGGCTCTCGAAAAGAGAGATGGTAAGGGTTCCGACAAGGAAGTCGTCACTTCACGTAGCGGTTCCATGCACCTTCCACGTTCTATCCGTGTCACGGCCGGTTCCACCACCAACAGTAATGTCCGTCGTGTCAAGAAGGAGTCAAGACGTATGATTGCCCGTGAAGTCGAGGATGAGTGGGTTGATCTTGCGCCTAATGTAGCTGCGGCTGAACTTATGGCTGCTAATCGTGCTAAGACTGCCATCAAGAAGTCAGAGGCTGAGAAGGACGAGGGTGAGGGTGAGGATTGGCAGGATCTTGGTGAGGAGGAGTATGATTTCTGCGCCTAGATACTTTATGTGTCTACTTTTCGGTTCTCCATCCTGTTACAGAGTCCTTTCTCTCTCAATCGATGGACGAATGAACATCTGTTTTTCTTGGGAGGTTTAAGGAGTTATTTGGAGAATTCTTTACAGAGCACAGGAATGGTACTTTACTTTGAGAGGGCAGGGAGTTCATGCATGGATGGCGCTAAGTATGGTGGTCATATACTGGTCTTGCGCTCCTGGGACCTTCAATTCGATTTTGATTTCTCGTGGCATACATTTTATGCCATGGTTTGGCATGGCATAGCTAGGTTCACAGGTGAGATTTCTGTCTCAGAACTGCGAGATAATCCTTTTCAGCGATTCTTATTTACCTCGTTATTTGATTGCCTGTCAACAGTCCCAGAAGTACATAGAACGAGATAAATGCTTCTGCAGAATTTTGTCTGTTCTTTGAGTGTGGATGATTGTGAATGCTATGATCACAGAAGATGTAAGAGGACTGCTATGACTTCATGCTTGATTTGGAATGAGTGATTCTTCTCGATGTCGCAGAATGGATGTGGTACAATTAGAAGTTTGATCGTGATTTTATTCACTTAGGTGCATGACAGAGTGAAAGTAAACATGCCAAGAAGAATAAGCGAGGAACCAGCAGATGCATCAGATACTAAGCCTTGGTAACTACCATATTTTGTACAGTAACCTCACGAGCCTATTTACAACCTCTCCGAGTGGGTTAAGCTCTGTTTATCGGATACCGTTAGTAGGAGCGTGGTTCTGATGCTGGATGCATATTCCTAGGCCCCCATCGGTATCACCTCACTCAAATCCCTTTTAAGATGTGTAACGTAAAAAACAAGCAGACACGCAGAGGTCAGCTTCCGCATCAGCTTCAGCTTTGCCATAATGGCTTCGCACCTTCATCGTATGCCAAAATGGTATTTCACAAGGACGAACACAACAAAAAAAGACAATTGCTTGTATCGATCAAGTCTTCCATCTCAGTCTCAATTCTCCTTCTCCCGCTCACTATGCACGCATGCACGCAAGATGCAATGCCCAACTATCTAATCGTACAATATACAATGCACATCGCCTCTCCTTTGTCTCTTCTCCCTCTCCGCTTCTCTCTTTTCTATCCCTCCTTCCTTAGAGCAAGGGTGGAAACGACCCACCAACCTAATGAATCGAACACGTAACAAGAAATGCAGATGAAGTAGAGGAAGAAAAAAGAGGAGAAATGTAAGACATCAAACAGTAACAGAAAGCAAGAAAATGAAAACGCCTTCCGATCCACCCACCCAACCATCCAGCCATGCTATGCAACACGCCCCAAAACTTTTCATCTTCCACACTTCACCACCACCCCTCTCTGTCGTTTTCCCTCCAAACTACTTCATCTTCCCCAAGAAGCCCTGCAAATCAAACTCCTCCTCATACTGCTTATCATCCCACAGTTCACCCAGATCATCCAACCACCCTTTCTTCCCCTTCTCCCTGACCTCCCCAGTAGCATCCACCATATCCTCCTCTCTCTCACCCTCCGCTCCGCCATTGAGGCTAGGTTTATCGATCCCGTCTGCTGTCTCGCCGAGGTTGAAGAGATCGAGGATCTGGTCTGTTTCCATGGTCCCGAGGCCGGCGTTTTGTTGGTTGACGACTGTGGAGGCGACATCGATTTTGAAGCGTTGGAGGCTGAAGTATGTTAGTCATGATTAGCTAGAAGGGAATGGAGGGGGAACTTACGACATGATCTTCTCCTCCAACGTCCCGCGAGTGATCAAGCGGTACACGTTAACAACTTTCTTCTGACCAATACGATGTGCGCGATCCATAGCCTGCAAATCCTTCTGTGGGTTCCAGTCATGTTCCACGAAGATGACGGTATCGGCACCAGTCAGATTGAGACCTAGACCACCGACTGAGGTGGTTAGGAGGAGACAATCGTAGGATGGATCGGAATTGAATTTGTTGACTATATCTTGACGCTTCGAGGCATCGACTGAACCGTCCATGCGGAGGAACTGGACGGATGGAAGCATCTTCTTGAGGACGTCGTTCTGGACCATATCAAGCATTTCTTTCATCTGGCAGAAGATGAGAGCACGATGCGGCGAGACGTAGGACGTTTCGGTGGTGACTTCATCGGAAGATGGCTCGTTGCCGATTCCACAGTCTATGAGAAGATCGCGGAGGGCTGTGAGCTTTGGGGCGTGGACGGGATCACGGAGACTGCTGCCTGATTTGGCGAGGAATTTTTGTGTTTCTTCGTATTGCTTGTGACCTTCCTTCATGACGAGAGCAGGGGAGTTGCAGAGCTTGCGCATGTATTGTAGAGCTTGGAAGATGTGCTGCTTGGCTTCCTTGTCACCAGCCGAGGCCTTCTCAGCAAGAGTTTTGCCTTCCTTCTTGGTGAAGTCTTCGAAAAGCTTCTTCTGGAGCTCACTGAGATCACAGTAATAGTTCTGAAGGATCTTGGGAGGCAGATCGTCCAACACTTCTTCCTTGAGACGACGCAAGAGGAATGGAAGAACTTGCTTATGAAGGGCTTCGATAGCGAGAGCACCGGCTTCTTGTTCCTTGGAAGAGGATTTGCTGTATCGACTGGCTGCAATAGGCTTGGCAAAGCGATCCATGAACACCTTTTCTGTTCCAAGAAAACCGGGCATGAGGAAGTCGAACAGGGACCAGAGCTCCAAGACATTATTCTGAATAGGCGTGCCAGAGAGGATAAGTCTGTGATTGCTCAGAAGACGCTTTACTGCAATTGTGACCTTCGCTCTAGGATTCTTGATCAAATGACCTTCGTCAAGAACAAGGTAATTCCAATTCATGGCGGTAAGGATCTCAGCATCGTTACGGCAAATATCGTAGGATGTGATAACGATATCTGTCTTGCCAAGCTGATCTTGAAGTCGGGCTCGGTCTGCAGGAGGTCCAACATATGCTGTGCAGGTAAGGAACGGCGCATACGTGTTGATCTCCATCTGCCAGTGACCAGACAACGTCGGCGGGCAGACAATGAGCGACGGTAACCTTCGTACATCAGGGGATCCTGTCTTGGCGAATTCCTCGGCTCGATTGTGATGATCACTTGCCACGATACAAAGCGTTTGTAACGTTTTTCCAAGGCCCATATCATCGCAAAGAATGCCATGAAGATGGTACTTGTTCAGGAAGTTCAGCCAGTTGATACCTTCCTGTTGGTAGGAGCGAAGTTCTGCCTTAATAGCAACTGGGATGGTGAATGGCTCGACTTTGTGGGGATCTAATAGCTGAGCGATGAACGTCCGTTCTCTATCACGGCCCTTCAACAGTTCTTGAGATAAACCAGGAGGATCTGGAATACCTGCCTCAAGCGGTACAAGCTTGACGAGGGTAGCAAACGTCGTGGTCGCGATCAGACGAACATCGTTATCAGAATCACTCATACGACCGAGAACAGGTACGATGAGGAAGATGACATATGGTAGGATATTGTCACCCATGACATGAATGAGATGGTATACCGATTCAATGGCACCTTGGCGGAAGTTCAAGTCAATCGGGTTGCTGATGGATGGTAAGACCTTTTCGACAAGCATCGTCATACCCTCAACTGTTATGACACTGCACACAGTTGCAAGACATTTCGCAGCCATATATCTGAAGACCGACAATTCTGAGTGCAACGCTCTGATGACCAAAGGCAAGAGTCGGATGACGAATGGATGTAAGTCCTTGTGTAAGGTAGGAGTCAACGCCCGAAGAACGGACATTCCGTCCACAGCAGCCTGTCCGGTCTCTTTCTCTGGGTCCTTGGTGTCTTCTGGAAGATCTCCCGCGAATGCATGTGTGAGAGGATCCTCCATGATACTCTTGAGTGTTGGCACTTTCTCAAGAAGATTGGCACCAAAAATACTTGACAACTGCTCCAAAGCTTCCTTTGCACCTCTTCTAATGATTCGCGCATTTTTTGCTTCGAGAGCAAACTTTGCAGCATCAGGGTGATCTCGTCGATCTTCTTCCTTCCGGAGAGACAGGATAGCACTTGTGAAGCCTGCGTTTGGTGTAAATTCGGGAGTTTCTGATGTGTCAATACAACTGAATTTTGCCAGGTTCGAAACGACTTTTTGTGCTGGAGCAGCCCTTCCTCCATCAGCAAACAGCTCCACCAGTCTTGCAATCGATGCTGCAGATCTTTGCTGCAGCTCAGCATTCTCTTCCTTCTTTACGCTGTCCATCATCCCCTTGATAATGTGAGTAGGCTTCTTCGGTGAGAACTTCATTGCCACCAAAGCACTCGCGGCTGCAGCTTTAATTCGAATATCACGCTGCTCTTTTATAGCTTTGGCATTTTCAATGACTTCGGCGACATTATCTCTGGCCTCGGTCAGAGACTGTGTCGAGATCAACCGTTGGCTGGGTGGCATAGCTTTCTTCAACCTATCAAAGTCATCATTGACAACCTTGTCGGCAGTCTGTATTGAGAATGCATCAGGCCCTGCTTCTGGTTCGCCCTGAACGACAACTGCAAGAACCGGTAATTTGCCTTGTGGGACTTTGCCAACATCACGGAAGGTATTGAGTAATTGAGTGCACTGTGCCCGGACAAGCTGCGTGAAGCTCACGAGATCGCGGTAATGTGATGGTCGCTCATTTTCTACGATTCTTTGCAGAGAGTTGACGAATCTCGCTGCTTGATCCTTCGAGGTGCAGTTCTTTGCGTACTCGTCAATGACCAATGCGGCTGTAAGTTGTGTGGAGGAGAAAGCGGATGATAAACCAGGGATGATGCTGGCATCGTAGGCTTCGAGATGGCTGCTTGGCACAAGCGACATGATCAAACCCATAGCTCGGGCTGCTGAAACGCGAGATCTGATCAAAATATCCATACCCACAAGATCGACGTCACCTTGCATCATATGGCCGTCCACGTCATGCGATGAAGATGTTGGGACAGGCTCCAGATTCTTGGTCGATTTTCGTCTTTGCTTCTTCGGCGGAGGTTCTGACGCAGATGGCGGCGAGGCGGGACGTGTCGGAGTGGGCACAAGCCCACTAGGCATTGAGTATGTGCTTCCGGAGGGCTTTTGGAAAAGGGTAGCATTCATCGGTAATGGATGTCGAGAAACGCCAATAGGGTGAAGAGTCAGTTGCATGAGCGGATCAACATGTGCTGAAAATTGTTCCGCAAGATCTGCTGGGTCCTTGGCAAGATATTGTACCAACGCTGTCCAGACTTGTAATGAGAGGTTGAGAGTGTCTGGATTTCGCTCGACCAAAATATTTTGATAGATAAGTCGAAGGATCTTACCATTCAGCCAATCGCGAGTGCCGGCTCCCTCAATGTTGACAAATGTCATGAGCGCTCTCAGCACAGCTGATCGAACGGATGTGATTGTGTGTCGGAGGAATGGGTAGAGTCGTGGGACTAGAAGAGCGAAAGACTGTTCTGAATCTCGAGCCGCATTCTGCTTCATTGCCTCGAGCACTTCGGGAAAACTGCAGAGTTTGGCGAGAAGATCCATAATTTGACCGGTACTAGCACTGAGGTCATCGCCAAGATTTGACAAACACTCCCAGACGATATTGATGAGACCATCCAATGCCTCGGGGCGTAGGTTGACGAATTCTTTGGCGATCGGGATGAGCGTCGCTGCACTGACCGAGCGCACGTCGTCGTCCCAGTCTCCAAGACCCTTCATAACCGCCTTGATGACTCCGTCGATCAAATCACTGTCCTTTAGTAAAAGATCGTTGCGAACAGCCACCAAGTAACGCAGTCCAATCATGCCACCATGACAAATAGCCCATCCAGGCTTCGTCAATTGGAGATCATCTTGAATCACCATCCGGAGAAGAATCCGGTGGACCGCATAGACGATAGTTGGGGGAAGATGGATGAGCAGTGCACCTAGCGTCTGTCCAACGGTCTCGCGAATAGGTGCGACTACTGTGTCAGAAACATAATCACCAAATCGATCCAACATAAAGACACAGCATAATCGGCAAGCAAGATCGTCCAGCCATCTCCGATTAAGCGTATCATTCTCTGGGCGACTTCTTCCTCTAACGCGGCCAGCCCCACCGCCATGGACTCGAACAATCTCTCTCAAACCCATAGCTGCACCATGTCGAGTCTCCCATTGAGGGTCGAAAAGATCAACCATGAGAAATTCGCACAAGCGTTCGTATGGCCACTCACCACCGTCCGCCTCTTCTTCCGTCTGAAGTTCAGATTTGATCGGGAGGACTGGGCCTTTAAATTCGGAGATAACTTTGCTGTCTTCGTCGACTTCTGAACTTCTGTCTAAATTGAAGTAGTCAGAGACACCATTGCCGTTTGCGGCAGAATCATCTACGATGTCTGACATGGTGGTATCAGCGCCAAGTTCCACGGATGCCATGGTGCTCGAGCGTCGAATTGACAAGTCAACCAGTCTACTCTTGCTTCCGGCATGTTGGGCTTCCCGTTTCCTCTTGCGCTTCAATTGATTTAGCTGACGTGCGCTCAAGCCTGACTCTTCCGAGGGAGTGTCAGGTTGCTTAGCACCGTTGCCATATCCATTTGAGGTGTTGATTGATGGGGTAGGTGCTCCGTTTTGTTTAGGTGGAGGGAAGTCGATTTCCATATCTTCCTCAAGGTACTCGCCCAACAAACCTAATCGACCGGCCAGAGTCTTCTTCTGGTGCTCGAGTCGCTGCGCCGGATCGAGTGTCGCGAGCGCGTAGTCAAGGTCTTTGCCGGCACCTCGAAGTAGCTCTTTTCCATATTTGAGGATAGGCACGGGGTCGAGAGTATCGAGACTCAATTGACCCTCGGCAAATGGTAGGTCATCTACCGGCTCCTCTTTTTTGATAGGATGGTCTTCTTCCTTCTTTTCGCTCTTCGCCGATCCATCACCCGTATTTGGATCATATTTTTCTGCATTGTCGACAATTCCGCCTAGTGCCCTGGCAGCTGCTATCCGAGTGTCCCATGTCTTGTGGCGGAGATACGGAACTACTCGGGTGAGGAGGTTGAAGAGCTCTTCGGGATGTGCCTTCTGGACATCAGCCAATTGCTGGGCAGCTGTGTTTCTGATCAGTTGTGTGCTTCCTGTCTCAAGCAACCTAAGGACGAGTCAGCATGTTCGTACGCAGGAACGGGAACTGGAACCGGTGTCTCAAATGACAGCAATGTTTCAAAAGAGTATACGCACGTGACGAGTCGGTCCAGTCTGGCGCACGTGATGTTAGCGTCAGATTCAAATGTCCTTGTTCTTGGTGGGTAGCGTTTGACAGGTTTCTTACCTCGAAGCCATCTTTCTTTCTTACCACGTCCAACGCGTCACCTCTAAGTCTAGGAAGAATTTCGGTTGATGGTAGGACACGCCATAAAGAATTTGAGACCGCAGTCGCGATGATTTGGTTTTGCTGCAAGTTGAGTAGACTGTGGGGGGGCGAATCAACAGATAAAGGAAAGATGTTGGTGTCGATCTGGGCCTTTTGTCCTTCCTCTGAATGCTTGTTGTCAAATGACGAGAGCAAGGGCAATGCAAATGGAAGGGGATATGTTTCTTTGAGCTGAGTTGTGGTTTGTGGCCTCTGATTGGTCGTACACGGTTGTGCTGGCTTGCCTACCTACCTACTCCTTCGCCTTCTAAAAAAGACTATTGGTTAGTCGAAGGTGAGTGCCAAAGGAGTGCAGCTGCAGGCAGAATAGTATGGTTGTAACGTGACCGAAAATTGCAAGTGCAAGTGACCTAACAATTAATTAAATTCGGCCACAAAATCGACTTGGGTTCTCGGCCGGTTCGGTATTTTCGTGTATTCCTGGTGTATTTGTGGAGTGCTGTCAATGCTGTTTGTTCCCGTCCTGGAGTTGAGCCGTGGATATGCCGGAGAGATGTGGGTGCAGGCTCAGGCTCAGGCTCTCGTGCAGTGCATGGGGGTCTCTGGTCCTGTCCTGTCCTGTCCTGTCCTGTCCTGTCCTGTGCTGTCCTGTCGCACCTCTCCTAGGTAGGTACGCGTGCAGCGGTCGCGGTCGTCACTTTCTTGGGGCGGATCGTGCCTTCTATTATAGCTTTGCGCCCCGACAATTTTCGCTTGTGCCTTTAGTGCGTCTGATCCCTGCTGCCTCTGCCTCGACTAGGGGGAGATCATTGACAACGACAGCCACTGCTAAATCCCGCCAGCTCGTCATCGCGGATTCAGGGGGAACAGACGGAGAAGGGGACGGGGACGGGGACGGGGACGGGGACGGGGACGGAGCAAGGAAAGATATTATTTTCCATACCTGCACAATCAATATCCTCTCCGCATTCTACTGTACCTATCTGACCTACAGACAGGTCTTGGCTCGAAGTCGGGGCGGATTACGAAAGCGTGCATGGCTTGCAACAAACACAAGGGCAGGGCAGCGCAGGGCAAGGACTGGGCTGGACCGCATTTTTCGGGAGATCCTTGGCCAATGAAAACGCCCGTAGCCCTGCAAATACAGAGAAAGGAACATCACAAAGCGAGCAGAGGGACTACAAAGGCCTTGAAATGGATACGCGTACTCATGTTTTCAGAATCAAGAAAAATATGATCGCAATCCAGGGCTTTGCTGAAGTTCGATAGCACAGCCAGTTGCTGTTGCAATTACTACGGATCTTCCTCCGTATGTATGGGAAGCTGCAAATCAAAAGCGTGAGAGGATCTGCTAGTCCTTGCTCTATTGGACAGCTGGCAGTTTGCTAAGTTATCCTCTGAACCCTGAGACGGCATCGAAAGTCAATGACTCGGCTGCCAGGGAATCTGATATGTCGTTATCCACGTGACAACCAATGATCTTACCTACCTAGGTACGGTACCTCCCATCGTTGCCTTCAGCTTGAGTTCTAGGTAACTTCGAGTCGTATTACAAAATTGTTTGCCTAGTAGCGTGTATTCCCGGGTGCCTGGTTAATGTCAGCGCCGAGAAATCATTATTATTCGAGTCCAGGTTCAGGTCATAAGAGAAATTCCAGACCCTCCCCTCTGACAATGAATGTTCGAGACAACGAGCGATGCAAGGCGAGGCTGCTGTGGCTGATGGCACTTGGTTCGCTGGACGGCCATCATTGGACGATTTACAGTAGCTAGATGTCCTCACCCGGATTAGGTCGTAGGTACACTAACAGCGCATTTGATGCCAAATGCCAGAGAGAGGCAGAGAGGTATCACCAGATGCACGGTTTTTGACAAAATAGCAACACGTTGACTTAGTCTTGTAAATCCATGTCTTCACGTAGAAAGTGTACCTCCTGTTCACTGCAGAAGGACAAGTCAGCAGCCAGATCCCACCCAGCTTCAACGGTGTCTTGGCAAGGACGGCCATTTGGGGCTTAGCAGACGGCATCCAACCCTTGCATACCTCCGTCGTAATGCCAACAACTTGAGGCATCCTGACCCTGAACCTCGACAGCCATCACAATCCAAAACGCTGCTTCACACCAGTTTCTCTGCAGACGTAAACTCTCTTCCACATTCTAGCTTCTTCTTCTTCTTCTGCAGCCTTCTTCTCGAATTGTTACGCCCTCCAATGCGGTGACCAGGTACCACGAGTTCTAGCCTTCGTCTCCTCGCCCTCGCCCTCGCCCTCGCCTTGGCAACATGGCTTCATACAACACCACGATGCCTGCGACGGCTCCTCGATCAGTTTTTGGCGCACCAGTTCCCATGGCCGACCCTTCTGCTCCGGCCGGTACCTTTGCGCCGGGCACGAAAATCCAAGTGGGAAGCCAGAAGGTTATCATCCAGAAGTACTTCTCCGAGGGAGGATTCGCCCATGTCTACCTGGTCAAGATGCCCAAGCCAATTGATGGGACTGACATTGCCGTATTAAAACGAGTGGCCGTACCGGATAAGGAACACCTGGCGAATATGCGGACGGAGGTGGAAACCATGAAGAAGTTGAAGGGGCATCGACCAATCGTCACATACTACGACTCCCATGCCTCACAACTGAAGGGCGGAGGGTACGAGGTGTTTCTGCTGATGGAGTTCTGTAATGGTGGAGGGCTGATAGACTTTATGAATACACGGTTGCAGAATCGTCTGACAGAACCTGAGATCTTGAAGATCTTCTCTGACGTTACGGAGGGAGTTGCTTGCATGCATTACTTGAAGCCCCCGCTTCTCCATCGGGACTTGAAAGTTGAGAACGTCCTCATAACTTCGACTGGGAATTCTAAGAGATTCAAGCTCTGCGATTTTGGTTCCACGGCCCCGCCACGACCTGCGGCCACCACAGCTGCAGAGTGCAGGTTGATCGAGGATGATGTACAGAAACACACTACGTTGCAATACAGGAGCCCTGAGATGGTCGACGTATACCGTAAACAACCGATCGACGAGAAGTCGGATATATGGGCGTTGGGAGTTCTGTTATACAAGCTGTGCTATTACACCACACCCTTTGAAGCACAAGGACAACTTGCGATTCTGAACGCCAGCTTTAAATTCCCGAGCTACCCTCCATTTTCCGACAATTTGAAGAAGCTCATAGGTAGGTTTTATGAACAAATGTATGGGTATAATACTAAAATTTGCAGCCTCTATGTTGAAGGAGAATCCTAAATCACGTCCAAACATCTACCAAGTGCTTCGAGAAGCATGTCTAATGCAGGGGCTGGCAGTGCCCATCAAAGATGTGCGTCAAAATGCAAGCGTTCAAGATAGAATACTTATTTCATATAGATTTATGCTGGACGAACAAAGTCAGAAACCAGACGAAATCAGCAGCTTCCTAAGCCAGAAGAGATCAGCTCACCACCACCTGTTGGCGCTGTATATTCTCCACCCCCACCGGTTCAACAAGTCATTCCAGATATTGTTCCAATGAGAAGAGGAAGACCCACGGCCAACTCACAACCACATGTAGCCAAGCCAAGTCCATCCCCTCTGCGCGGGGTGAACAGCGATCCATGGGCGGCATTGGATGCTAAATCCAGCTCTCCGGCACTCGACGATATATCTAGTCGATTTCCAAGTTTGGATCAGTTTTCTTTGCTTCACGATGGTGGAAAGTTCGATTTTGATAAGAGTTCTCCAACGAAGCCAACCGCAACACGAGACTTAAATCAGAGAGTTGCGGAAAAGCTGGCAGACGATGCATTTGCGGTACCGTCACAGCCGAAACCAGTACCCGCATCAACAGTGAAACCATTAAATAACGTGGTGTCTCGAGCACAGAAAATCATTTCTAGCAACCCGGAGTTGCAGGCTGCAGCTGCACCGACTGTTGTGTATCAGCCTACACCCACAAGGCCACCAACTAGCTCTTATGTGTCACAGGGTACTATGACGACCCCTACTCCACCTCCTACTGGACAGCCACCTACCAAGTATGCACCTTCGCCCACATATCGATTTCCCCAGACCTCTGATCATCATCGATCATCAAGCCTTCCCAGGAACCAAGAAGCTGTAAGTACCAGGTCACATCTCTTGCGACCAGAAGAAAACCAGACTCTGCGTCCTAATATCCCACGAAATTCGTCCTTTACGCAACCTGGCCACGCGAGACATTCATCCTCGTCTCGCCCATCGCTTGAGGCTGGCAGGCCTAGTCTTGAAGCATTGGAGCCCGTAGCAAGGACCAAGTCAAGTAATTCTCGGCCACGCCCATCAAGTACTTATTTGGAATCAAACATGGACTTCCTGCGCGAGAAGGAAAAGGAGTCGAGTGGTAGACCATCTCTTTCTGAGAAGCGTCCTTCGTACAAAGCCCTCGAAACTGCTGTTGCAGACTCGCCTTCGGATGAAGAGACAACCATACAGTCAAATGTTGACTTCCTTCGTACAATGGAAGACCAGGATACTTCCAAGAAGGATAGGCGGCGGAGTAGCGGTGGTGGGAACAAATCCAAGCGCTCCAGTTTGCCGTCTATGTCACTATCTGGCACCAAGAATTTATTAGCGGGCAAATTCGGGGATGCGTTCAAGCGATTTGAGCACAACGCCAGCTCACCGCCTGCACCGAGAACCCCAAGTCCTCTGAACGACATGGAGCGCAGGGATTTGACACCTATTGCCGGCTCAGAAGCTACCGATGGTCGCAGTGATGATGGCAATGTTCTCGAAGATATGGAACACATGGCACCTGAGCAACGTCGTGAGATCGAGAGGAGACGTCTATCTATGGAAGAAAAGCGCGTAGCCAACGCTGCCGCTGAGTATCGCAAGCGTGTAGCCGATCGGGGACCCACAGCACCACGGAGTATAGGAGGCGTCTCACGTGCAGCCAGTATCCAACACAAGGTCCAAAGTCTCCTTGACGAGAATCAGGGCCCGTCGCCCGTCAAGAAAACAGCCGAGGGATACGGCCGATTCACAGACAGCGGACCACCACCCCAATCCAACCAATTCGAGCAATCCGCAAACCCTTACGCGAAACCTACCCCCTCCGTGATCCGCAAACCCATGACACAGTCCGTAGGAGGTGTGATCCATCCCCGAACTGTACCTATCACCCAACCTGATCTTAACTACGCAAAGCCACGCACCGCTCTCCCCCCGCAATCACAATCTCAACCCCAGCCCATCACATCTCCCGCGACCATCTCGCGCACAGGACCACGACCAAACGCGCCACCGAAACCAATGCATCTCAATAGCATCTCCACTGGTCCGTCACACTCCATGCAGAACTCTCCTCCCAAACCCTCAGCTCTATCGCCTCGACCCTTGCAGGCTAGACCGGATATGACTTTACAGGAGAAAGAGGACTATGTCGCGGATTTCAGCAAGAGGTTCCCAAGTCTGAGTGGAATTGAGATGGTGGAAAGAAGTATTGATGTTGGGCCTGGGCCTGCGGCTGGGGGTTCGAGCGCTGGTGTCACTGGTGCTGGTGGTACTTCTGGAGCCCAGCTCAAGGATGACAGGGTAAGAGAGACTGGTGGGCTACGGAGTAGGGAGCTGTGACAGAGAGGGAAGAAAGTCTTGTATATGTACCAGGCTTGACAATTCCCAGATCGCTTGAAGTCGAGTCGAGTCGAACCGGCCGAAGATAGATATATTGGCTAGTGTAGCGGATGATGGCAAAATCGGCGCAATTTAGACGATAGAGAAACATATCAATCGATACATGATCCAAAGCACATAATATCACACTGGATGAATATTGCTGGATGCACGTGCACTTTCGTAGTCCTTTTTGAGCTCCGGCACTGCTCAGCTAGATAGAATATTTCAATTCTTGATGAACAGATCATTGACTGTTAATCGGGCTACCTAATAACAGAAAGTCACTTTCTCCTCATCGTGCCTTATTCGCCCCGCAAGAGGCTAACAGGCAAGCTCAGGAAACACAATTGTCCAGGTAGAATTCAACTTGAGCCAAAGTCGCTAATTCAAGATTTCCTAATTAGCAATGGCACGACGCCAATATTCAGCTTTCTTCTCCCAGCGGTGAAGGGCAGAAGCGGCGGCGATTGATTCTTTGGTTGGTGAGAAGGGACTATTGGAAGTCCCATCAGGGTCGCAGCTGCCGCTTCGATGACTTCCTGCCCTTTGCGCTGTGATTCAGGCACTAAATTAAGCATACCATCTTCCGAGCTTGAATCTCTATAGATTCAACAACACCAAGCATCTATACGGCACCACTATCTTCAGCACTTTCGGAATCACATCCGATTAGTTTCAAATATCACTGACTAGCGAAAATGCCGGCAAGTGGCGTTCAGTCATGCACCTGAAAGGTGCGGACGACTTCCTTCTATTGGGTTCGGGAGTCATTAAAACCCAATGTCGTCTGGAGAGGAAAAGTAATTTCCAGGAAATCATGGCAGAGGAAAGCCAAAACGACACCCGACGTTCCACAGACGAGCCCATAGCACGTGTCCCTCCACAGTCACTGTGTTCATCCTGACTGGCTCAGCGTCATGATCAAGCTGCCTGAGGGTATTGGAGATTAATTCAGAAATGTTAGTATTGGGCAGCTTTTCTGCCTCCTCTGCAACTTCCTGTAGCCGTCTTGAAAGATATTGAGGGGCTCAAGTGCTAACACTACCATATACAGGAACTCGCGATGTACGAACAACCATTCGTGAGGGAATGCCCCAGAATCCGCGCGCCCACATCGAAAGCATGAGCATGAGTTCACTTTGTCCGTATGTTATGATATACGAGTAGATAGACACAACGTTGTCGAAAACAAAAGCAGATAACCACAGAACGGGCCCCCTCCTGCCTCGACTGGTTGCGCGAAAGGTTCTGAAAGCTCTAGACGTGTTCCATGATAACGGATGGATACACGCCGATGTGAATGTATGGTAAGCTGGACGACACCTACTTTGTTCCCTGGCTTCTCTTCGAACTTTCTCATTCGCTTCTACCAAACTGAACCAGCAACGTGAACGAGGTCATGAATAGTAGCCAGCGCATGAGGAACAGCGTGACCAGCGCAGAGGGGACATTTTAATCTCTGCTATGTCCATGCAGACACAGGTACCGCGATGTACTGTAGTCATTGCTCTGCTGGGTCTGATATACTGCAGCGCGATCAATAAGCGAGCCAGTTTGATGTCCTCTCATGCGTTCGTCGGGAGGGTGATTCATCCCAGACTACCTACTAAAGATGTGAGTATTACAATGAAAAAACCAGTATTAACACATGGAATCATCAGCGATTCATTCATTCCACCCTTTTACAATATCATATGTTCTTCTCGTTCGTTTTCGGAGCTCGTAGCGTGTGTACTTATGTGGATTCGCTTAGAATCCTTATTGTTGATTTCCAGTCGATCAATCACGAGTCTCAAGATCCTGCCAGTATTTGCCCTTCTAGTCGGACCTATGAATATGGTCACATCATTTTCAACATGCTTCGAAGAAAATTCAAGTGCAAGTGAGCGTTCCTACTTTGCCGGCTCGCTTCAAAGCATCGATTCACTAGTGCTACTTCAGACCAGACCATCAACCATCCAACTTACTCATGCAATACTAATAATCTTCTAGTAGTTATGTTTCATCTTCTGAGAGAATTTTTGGGAATGAGATATCGACATGCCTGCTGGCAAAATCAAGATCAGCTCTTCTCCCTCCCGACAATCTCCCAACCTGGGATCTCCCACTCTGGACCATGCTCTACTTGATGCCAACTCTTCTTATCCTTACTCTTTCCTTTCACGTCTTGTTTGGTCCCCTCGATAGTTAAAGTGCCCTCGTTTTCGTTCTCACTCGTAGTTTCGTCGTCTATGACTTGAACTGGAGTGTCGGTTGGCGGAGACGCGCTAGATCCGGGTATCAATGCGCCGAGAACTCTTTTGAATATCGAAAATGAAGGAGGAGGAAATTCGGGGGAGCCGTTTTCCGAGGAGGGGATTATAAGCGGCTCGGGCTCCAGCCGGCTGGCCTTAAGTTTGCTTTTGCTTTCATCTCCCTTAGATTGTATACTTCCATTCCCGTCCGCATCCTCGTCCTGAACCTTAACTTTCAAATCCGCGGCTCCCTCACTCCCTTTCTCGATCTTCAACTGCCCCTCAAAAGGAACCTCAATTTCAAACTCCCTGATTCCCTTCCCACCCCTCCCCACTCCAAGTGTGAACGGTCTGCATTTCGGACACAGTTGCGGTATTTGCTGTATCCGGGGCGTCTTCTCCATGTTGAAACAGCGGAGGATGTTTGAGTTCTGAGTGCTGTTCTTGGTTCTGGATAAAATAGGAGAGGAGAATGGACATGGTGGGCTGTGGATTATGCGGGGTGTTTTTGAGGCGGAGGGAGATGAGGGAGAGGGTGAGGAAGGTGATGTGGAGGTGTTAAAGCTGGGTGGGCAGGAGGAAGGCCAGGTTTTGTGGGTGCAGACGTAGGCGTTGAGGGTGTAGTGGCATTTCTGGACTGCTAGGGATGAGTTGGAAGCTTTAGGTGTGGGAGGAATGGGAGAAGTTGTGGACTTGGGTAGTGGAGGTGGCATTTTAGGTTGGCGGTTGGCTTCATCTTGGACTAGGATCAACGCTTGATTTGTGTAGTTGTTTTTCGTATGTTGAAGAAGAAAAAGATACAGAGAAGGTCAACTTGCCGAAGATATTTTGAGGTGCTCAATGTGATAGGGGAAAGAAATATGTAAAGTATACCATGGTGGATTAGGTGATTCAACTGACGAGTCCTCCTGTTGGAGTCATCCAACGACGAGCGGTCATTCTGTATAGGAACAAAACAGTACACTCAGGCTCACAAACTGCTCATCCGAACACGCAGGACATTTGTGAATCACCTAAGTAACGTTTGCTTGTTCTGAGTCTGTAGGCGATTTGATCTGTTAATAATTATTAGATGTTTGCAAAACATTGCTCCTCTTGCCACTTTTTTACGTTTTGCGGGATTCTACCTAACTTGCTGAATTCAAGACTCGGATTGCTCTGCTGTTGCTGACTCGGTTCAGATCGAAAGGGTGCGAGGATTGAACGTCTCATCTTCCTGGAACACGTCAGAATGTAGAACAGCTCATTGATTCTGTTGTTCGAATCCTCCACAAACATCGCTACCAATAACGTTGTTTGATTTCTTTGTATAAAAACAGTGACTTTCTCCCTCAAAGACCTGATTCCTCTGAAACCCAACAGATCTCCAACATATACTCAAAAGCAACCCCTGATCTAGAGCGTACAAGAATTAAAGGCTAGTTCCACGTTCGCAGGAAAGTAGAGGAGTAGATAATACAACAAAAGAAAGGTAAGCAAAATGGACACCTGGTTCCGCCGCTTCAACATGAGTCTCCAGACTGCGCTCGTTCCTCATCGACCACCACTTAGCCAAGCAAACCTAGAAGCTCACCAACAGATGAATCCTCAATACCAAATGGATATCCAGAGATGGAGAGAACAAGTCGCGATGGGACAGGATCCGATGAGGCATCAGGAGGTGCAGAGGCGGCCGTTTTATGGTCAGGGGAGGGAGTTGCCTGGAAGGTGGAGGCCATATTGGTGACTTGCAAACTAGGGCAGCAAGGAAGGGCGGAAAGCCGATGCGGACTGGAAGTTGTAGCTGAGAAATGGAGACATGTGCAGAACGCTACGTAGTCTTGCCTTTGCGTGTTTTGGGGTAGAATGCTAGACTCGGTGACAAATATCGTCTTGTGACTGTTTCCATATCGGAGATTGCTGGGAGGGAACAGTTTTTTGGTGAACAGACTCGATACGAACAATGCCGTATTCGGGATGGCCGGTCGATTCTCGTCCAAATTTATTTGAGAATCGTCTTGATGACTGTGAGCTACGTATTTCTCAACCCCTAGCTGGTGACATGCATATTTCCAAGTGAGTAGATGATTTGAAGACAGTGCAGGTAGAGTAGAGGATTTCAGGCCTCTTGTTACATCTTAGACCCGTCGCGAAGCCATGTAAAGAATGCAAGTCAAATCACTGTGGCTCCATTGAGGTAAACATGCGATCTTTGGAATCAAGCATCGCTTTCTGTTGGATTTTTGAGCGGAACAAAAAGAGAATCCTTGCTCGACACAGACGCGTAATCGCCAGTCCCATATTATTCCATCTCATATTAACAGCTGAGGTGGGAAACGTCTCTTCATTGGCCACTTGACAATATCAGAAAACTCATGATATGGTTTGAGCCAAACTTTCCAAATCGCTTAAAAACTGGCAATGACTTGGAAGTCATCAGACACTTGAATCTGATGAACATAAGACTACCAAAAGGACAGCGAAGACTGAAAATACTTGAGCATAGGATAAGAGCAAGAAACGGCGGATAAATTTGAAATAAATGAAAATGCCAAGATGTGCCCAAAGGAGAAAGTCCTCACGCCCCTGTTATCCGGATCCGTCTTTAGCGGCTTGGAAGTATGAACTGCGCTCTGCACTCCAAACTACACCCCCTCTCCGTCTCAGCCAAACTCACCCCGATGTATTCTCTGTACTCACCTTACCAGCGTCGTCGAGGGAGGGTAGAGGCCAGTATATCGCTGCTCAGCGTCGTTGTTGACCCGGCAGATGTTGAAATAAAGCCCCATCGCGAACATGCCGAAGGATAAGGAGCACCATCCCTTCGCGACGAATGGACGGCCAATGCCTCGTCCCCTGCGGCGCATTCAGCGCATCACTGCGACGCCGACTTTCAAGCTCGTCGCCCTGATAATATTCTTGCTTCTTGGTATAAGATGGTTGTTAGATCACAATCATGACAGACACGACTGGCCTGGTCCGGTGCGGCCCACCATGAGCGTAGAGAGCCTCTGGATCCAGTGGGACGACAAGCAGTATATCCAGATCGTGGCAGACGAGGAGAAGCTGTGTAGTGCGGTCCTGACATGGCATGACATTGAGGAGATAGGAAGTAGGGCGAGGAGGTGAGTTGCTCAAGGCTGACGGACAATATCAAGTGCAAGCTGGTGCAAGTACTGACGCGAGCAAAGAACTCTAGTCTACCCCTCCACCTGGAGTCCTGACGAAGTCGAAACTGACCCCGCGCTCAACAACACCTTGACACGAAAAGCACACCTCTTGCGCGAAGCTCGCGATAAATACTTTGCGCGTCTACATCCCATTGACGCTCTGAAAGAGAATGTTGCTGACCGGGGAAGATGGGCAGACCAATATATCAAACTGATAGCATTCAATCTTACGGAGTTCTCGCGGGTCCTAGTCCTCGACTCTGCCTCTCAAGCAAGAGGAAACCTCGATTCAGTATTCCTGCTCCCGAAAGCGAAGTTAGCAATGCCATGGGTATATTGGGGCGAGCCGACAGGCTGGGCATTCTCCAACCAGATGATGCTCATTACTCCTTCCGCGAACGAATTCGCAAGAATACAGGCCGAGATCGAGAAGGCAGATCCCGATCAATACGACCTCACGATCGTCGAGAAACTGTATAAAAGCAAAACCTTGAAGATCCCACAACGACCATACCACTTAATGACTGGCGAGTTCCGGAGACAAGACCACTCGAAGTATCGAGGCTCGAGCAAGAAATGGGATCCAGAAGCGGAGCTACATAATTCCAAGATGATACATTTTTCAGACTGGCCGATTCCTCGACCGTGGGATAGCGCTCCCCAGTCAATGTTGAATAAACACATGCCGAAATGTTTGAAGAGCGAGTGGTTTGGAGCGACGAATTGTAAAGATAGGATGATTTGGATGCAGCTGTATGCTGATTATGCTGCGAAGAGGAAGGGCTTCTGTGGAAGTCATTTCGAGGTTAAAGTACGCGACCAGGAAGCTGATGCTATGTTGAGACATGGGAGGTTCTTCCATGATGAAACTACGTGAAAGAGGCGTCGGATATTGGATAAGCGAATGATTGTATTATTTTGGATACATGACTAGGTTGAGAAGTATATACCCCTTCAGTTGGTTGAACAATGAGTAATATTAACGATTATGTGCAAAGGACAATGTTTGCCTGTGTACAGAATGATAATGCCTATCGTTTGCACATGTGCTGCTGCTCCTTCCAGAAATTCCAAGAGAATTGAAGCCCAATCGTCCGCGTCTTTGCCGAACCAAACAATAAGAACAGGCATCTTCCCATCATCATCACGATGCCCACCCATTCATTTCAAATTTGCCCATTCAGAATCCCCAGTACCCCTTAACCAACCACCCGGCATACGCACCCAGTCCCCCCAGCACTCCAAGACTCCCCACATACCCCAGTGGTCTCCCCACACCTCCATCCCCAAAGTTGCCCTTCATCATCAAACCTGCTTCAGCATGCGCGATCCGCAGCGCCAGCAGCGTCGCCATCGTATAATGCAGCGCCTTCCTGTTCCCGCCGTTGAGCTCCGCGATGATGAGGAGGATGAAGGCCAAGGGGACGTTTTCGAGGAAGTTCGAGTGCGAGTGGGAGGCGAGGGTCAGGGGAGAGTATTTGGATGTGGTTGTGGATGGGTCGGTTGGTGTCTGGGGAGTGTCAGATTTATTATGTATGTAGTTTTGGAGAATGGAAAGAAAGTGAGAGTCTAACCGAAGTATCTTTGTCGCCGAAATAGACATGCGTCTTGAGGCGTTGGTTGAAGACTCGACTGGAGAGGAAGATGTTGTAGAGTGCAAAGGGCCCTGCCCATGTCCCGGCGATAGCTGAATGATTGATGTCAGTATATCATTAAGTGTTTATGTAGATCTGGAGAGCTTGAAACCAGCGATAGAGTTTTACTGTACGGAAATAATAAAACATAGGATGTAAAAAAGTAATAAGTATTGCAATGATTCAAGTAAAGCATATCAAACTTACGCAGCAGCCTTGGAACGGGAATTCCAACTGTAGTCATTGTGAGTTTGAGACGGACTACCTTCTAGGCTTCTAGGGCTTGCTTGAGGAATCCAGCTATTCGCGACTAAGATTGTGATTCTACGACAATGAATTTCAAAAGTGGTGAAATAGCATGGACGCAAGAAATGAAGATTCTTAGATCAAGAGAGCAGAAGAGCGAATAGGCTATATAGAGCTTCCCCCTCGGTAACCAGAGTTGTCGTAACATCTACCCCGCCTTCGACATAACAACGCAAATGGCTGACAAACATTGCTGGGCGGCTCCCCGAAATAGCTTCAAGCTCCTTTCTCCCGAGGTGTTGCATCGGGGATAACTTCTCGAAATCAAAGAACGTCATAGTAGGCAAGTAATCCATGTCGAAATGTCATGATAAGCATCTCATTAGGCGGAATAAAGTTTAGACTGCCGCCAAAAAGGTACGCGGACACACCCGGGTACAGCACTAGCTGCGATCGAAGACAACGACATCTCGATCTCTTGAAAGGATGCATCTAGATTCTGAAATTGCAAGATGAAGAAACTATGCTCCAAAAGAATTTGCTCAAGATGGGTTTCGGGCAATGCAACGGATGCAACGACGGAAATTCTTCACGAAACACTCCCCCATAGCCCAGTAACACCCTTCCAGTACCGCTCAGGGTCCACCAGCAAATGCCCGCAATGCGTACTACCAACCCACCTATCTCCTTCAGCGTAATACCCCTTCTGCCTGGCCTCCTCAATATGTTCCTCGACAAATTCCCACGCAACCTTGTCATCCGCATCACTGTAGATGTACATCCTCTTCGCCTCTGTTCCAAAATATGCCTTGTGGTTCAGATCCGCCCGCGTCTGCGCTATCAGATCCAACTTCCCACTTATCCAATACGCGAAAATGTATAAGAAGAACATGATACGTATTCCGATGTTCGTGAGTGCGTTTAGGATCGGATTTTTGGGTAATGCTACTGCAAAGGCGCGAATTGTGGACGCGTATTTGACACGTCCAGGTGTGCTGTCCAAGATCATACCTGTGACTGGCAATTGGCGCCCCGTTTTTGCATGGTATGCTTTTGCTACTAGACAAGTCGTCCATGCTCCGCCGACGGAGAAGAAGTGTACGAGGAGTTTCGAGCCGGATGGTAGTGCAGAGAGGATGTCAATGGCGGGTTGAATGCGCTTGAGGTTCGATGAGAGAGGGAGGAATGCAGCGTCGAGGGAGGTTGTCGTTATGGCTACGATGCGCGCTGATGGGTATATTTTCTCGTAACCGGCGGTATATTTGGCTAGAGTCCTGGGTGAAGCATCCATCCAGCCTGCGAGAAAGATGAGGTCTGGATCAGGAGATGTGGAGGACCCGGATTTCGACGTGGTAGGTTCGTGGTAGAAGACTGATGTATTAAGACGTACGAAATGCTCCAATGCAACGGAGGCCTTCGCGGTGGCTTTGGACGACATCTTGTTGCGTTCTTCGTGCACTTCTAGCGAGACAAAGGAAGAACGAGAGCTTGTACCTACGTTTATATATTTCCTGGAATCTCGTCTGGCTCGTCATCCAGCGATGGGAGCCTGCTGGCGACGAAGTTTCCGTGCCTCATCGGAACGGGAACGGGATTATGTCGTTGATATATTATGTCTGCCAAGCGCCGAGGTATGGAGAGTTTTGAGCATATGTCACGCCAATATCTTCTGTTGAGGCTTTTGGGGCCTTTGGAAGTGCAAGTTACAGTAGTGTAGCGCACGTTACCTTGTTAAGTCTCGTTGCGAACGGGAACGGGCCCTTTTCTACCGAACCGAGGTAGTCACCTGGATTCGAGGAAAATAATCCGTGCTCCTGAAGAGATTTGATGTTGGAAAGTCGATAGCGGCCAAAATCTCTACGCAGAGTCTATGTTGGACCCAGTTTCCAAGCAGGTCAGGCTCTTCCTACGTACCTAGAGGCCACAATATCCCTAGTCACGTGTCTGGAAATATCCACAGTCTTGGAGGCACCTAGCATCACACAATCCGTAGCACTGGGACAGCAGCTTCAAACAACAAACGACACCCGCGAAATGATAACACGTCTGTGATAAGGGCCCGAATAGATCCCCAAAACAACACTTGCACGCACCATAGAATCAACGTGGACCAGCGGGTATATAGCAGCTTCTGGATATCAATCGTCGCCAGGAATCAAATTGACACGAAATGACATTGGATGTACCATAGAATGGAATGCTTCGACGCCTTCTGCAACAATAGTCCGAGTATGGTATGACTGGCCATGGGAGATGGTCTTTGCAGCTGTTGGTCAGATTCAAGCCAACGGCGTGAATTAAGCGAGCCCCTGAAGCACAGCAAGCGAACATCAACAAACCGCACATCAGCCAACAAGAAAATCCTCGGGCAGCACAGAGACATTGTGTCGCACGCGGATTGTATCTTACAGGTAATGAGATACAGTTGCTAGTTTCCTTCGACGCCAAAAGTGGCAGTGCCGAACGCCGGATTGGGTTCTGCTGAGGAGATTACAACAAAGAACAAAGACGTTTGCCATGAAGCGAACAAGACCAACCGCAAACAATTCAACAACTCAAGGCATTTACACACACAGAAACCAGTAACAAAGACACGAAGCTTTCATAAGTAATTATAGCCCTCAATGTCTCTCTCTTTCAGGGTTGTCCAATTTGGCATTACCCATCTCGACACAACCCAAAGCCAACTCACTATCTCGGTCCACCGCGAGCGGGAGCATACCCTGAAATAGCATGGCTACGCCGATACCACTTACTGGTCTGGATTTTTTTGACGCAGAAGACGAAATTCAGAGGATAGAAGTGCAAGCTTTGACCAATGAAGATAATCAAACCACAGTAGATTTTCTACTCCGGGAGACACGCCATGCCTATCAGATCATCAGCCAACGACAGAATGAGGTAGACTCATTGCAGGCTGAGATTGCTCAACTCAAGAAAATTTCCGTATCTCCTTCGGCTCCGAGACCCGCTGTTTTGACAGATTGCCGTACGACTGACAGCAAGAGACTGTCTGATGTAGTCAAGAAATTTGGGATTTGGAAACAGCAGATTACAAGCAGCATCTTCGAAGATTACGATGAAAATCAGATCGACATCAATGCTATTCTAGAGGACATTGAGGAACTAGAGGCTGCGCACGTGAATTACCAGTCTAGCGTTGATTCCATCATCACAGTCCTACAGAATGCTCAGACCAACTCAAACGAAATCATTGCAAAACTCAGTGTCCAAGCCAAAGCCAGCAACGAGCGTGCTACAACAGCTAAAACAGCGGCAAATTATGCAGCTGTTGCTGCTGTACAGAACGTGGGAGCTATAAGCACTGAAAATGCCAAGCTTCGAGCAAAAGTCGCTGCAATAGATGGTGGCAGCAGGACTACCGAAACAGCCCAAGTCAATGGTGGCAATACCAGCGATAATCATGGTATGGGTGATCAGAATCTGAAGGAGCTTCTCGAATTTGCCAATAAATATGCCGATACCGCTCCCATACTTGAGTCAAACCTGGGGCAACTCATCAACATATTAGGACAATGGCAACCAGGAAAATCGAGTGACGGCCAATGCTGCAATTGTGGTAGCAAGTGCGAGATCGATTTCAGGGAGTATATCAGACTGTTTGATGAGAGCATCGAGAATGCAAGCTGCCTCCAGGACAGAATCGCCACTCTTGAATCTCTCCTTGTGAGAGGAAGCAACATCTCGCCCCAACGACTCGATAGCGTCATTGGGCCCACTCCAACAATCCACAGGCTACAGCAACAACTGGATGAAGCACACGACCAAAATTTACATCTTAAGACTATTCTCGACCACTGCCTTCCAAATCGTGATTCGGACTCTGCAGGAGAGAGTGCGGTCTTGACTAGTCTTCGGGCAAGGATCACCGAGCTTGAATCACAAAACCACATACTAGAAGAGTGTTTCGATAAACCAATAAATCAAATTTCTGATGCAAAAACAAAAACAATGTTCAGCGACGAGACGCGTGAACACGTCATGATTGGTAGTGAGGAATTGGGGGATCTTCATGACGAAGTTGATTCCTTGAGACGGCAGGTAACCTCCTTGACAGGGAGCAGCGGAGACGACACTATTCAAAAGCTCGGCGACGAACTTTCTGGTTGCCAGAGAGAAAAAGCAAAAGCGACTACGGAATCATCACTATTGCAACGTTCTCTTCAAAATCTCCAGGGAAACTTCGATGCTGTCCAAGCAGAAGTTGCTCGTCTTCAAGAAATCATCAAAGGGCTTCGACAAGCTCCAACTTCCCAAGTTTGCAATAATGAGATCGCAAGACTGACTGTTGCATTGGCTGAATGTCAATATCAGAGAACCAAGGATGCTTTAGAAATTGCGCAGGCGGACAAACTGCTGGAAGAGTGCATTCAACGGCAAAGCATGTCACTGCCAGATCCCGAGGACACCCCACTACAATCAGCCCATGCCAATGCTGAACTCATCGCACCCACGAGGAAGCAAACAGAAACATTTGCGAACATCATCAATGTCAAGAAGGAGAATGAAGCCATTCAAGAACGACTAGATGAATTCGAGTCGAAAGGATCAGCACCAAGTTTTATCAATGTTGACATTGCAGTGATTTCTGCAAGAGCCAATAGAGTCCAGGAACTGGAGGACAAGGAAGAAGAATCCGAGAAGGCAATTGCATCTTTGCAAGCTCGAATCGCAGCAGGCGATCGAAAGGCAGGCCATCAAGCTGAGGTTGACTACCTCAAAACGCGTGTGCAAGAGCTGACTGATCTCCTGGTTGAAACGGAGAACGATCTCGAAAAGTTGCAAGAGGAACATGCGGAACAAACGGCAGCTTTCGAAGTTATTGCACCGAAGATAACAGACCTCGAGGCACAGCGAGATCGGGCAGAGGCTGATCTGGAGAGAGAAGTCCGAGCAGGTGGGGACTATGTGGCAGAATTGGAGGCCAGAATCAACGATCTTCAGCAGCAGCTTGAGCAAGGTAACGCGAATCACAAGAAATCAGCCGTGGAGAAAGACTCCGCTCGCCTAAAGAAGCAAATCAAAGACCTAACTTCCGAAAGAGACGACCTGCAAGAACAACTTGATAGTGTCGGTCAAGACCCAGAACAAATTACGACCGTCAAGTGGCTGCGAAGCAAACGAGCGGATCTGAGAGAAGAGCTCGAAAGCACTAAACGAGACTTGAAAGAGCGGGAGAACCGCGTCGCCAAAACCGAAGTAGCCTTCAAGAGACTCGAGATTGCTCTTTGCAAAGCAGAGGAGACAGCAGAACGCATCCGGAGTGAAAGGACGAAGGCTCTGAAGGAAAGAGACCATGCAAGGAAGCGACTAGAGAAATGTGAAACCGGTGGAGGCTCCCATACAGACTTAGAGGCACTGCAAGCCGAAGTTGCAAAATATAAGAGTCTGGCATCAGTATCAAATCGCGCACACGAAGCCTCTGAGATTGAAAGAGAGAAGACACGCAGAGATAGGGACAAAGCCGTCACTGGAAGAGATGCTGCTCGCAGAGAAAGAGACGGAGGCAGCGGTCAATCCCCTGCAGGTACTCAAACACTGACCAGTAGAATCTCGGAATTGGAGAAAGAGCTAGAACAGTCTACTGAGTTACAGCAAGAAGCTGAGGATCAATTTGCCGAGGAGAAGAGTATTCTGCGCAACAAGATTCGAGATCTGGAGATATCTGTGACCAACACTCAGAAGCTACTAGACGCAAGCAGACAAACACTTACAGATGCCGGGGAAGATAGCATCAGACATCTTGAGCAACTCAAATCACAACTTCAAGATGAGCGTGACAGCACTCAACGGCTAAAAAACGAGTTAATGGCGGCTCAGGCTAACAGCGACCAGCCCGAAACTGATGGAAATGCAGCACTCGTGAGACACTTGAATTTCACAGAAGCAAGACTGCAGGCCCGAGAACAGCTGATAGCTGACATGAATACCCGACTTAGCTCTGCTGCTGCATCGAAGAATGTAGAAGCAGCCGAACTCAGGAGACAATTAGCAGTTGCTCAAGCTCAGGTTCTCCGTCTAAACATAAACCCGACACCGGATCAAGAAGAATTGACACTCTTGAGGCAAGAGAATGATGAGCTGAATGACAAGTTACAAGACCTGAAGGATGCCAGGAGACGTCTTCGGAACGAGCAGGCTGAAACCGAGCGCTTGAGACACTCCGTCCGCGACCTGTGTCTCAAGGTCGAAGAAGGACGATGCTGTGAGAAGGCCAGAGAGGCGAGTGGATGGAAAATGGCAGGAAATGCTGCAGATGAGTATATCGAAGCGGAGAAAGAGTCTCGCCTGGCCACTACCGCAGCGCTCGAGGACGATCTGAAGGAAAGCTACCGTATCATCGCGAACTTGTCGATCACACTGGAAAGAAATACCCGTGACAATGAACGCCAAACCTCAGAGAATCTTATGAACTTGACAGTTGCTCGAGCACAGATCACAAGTCTAACGACCAAGCTCAAGGATTTGTCCCCTGAAACAGATGCCCATCTGTGGCAGAAGCTGAGCGATTGCAATACGGATTTGGAAGCTAAGGAGAAGCTGCTTAAAGAACAACGAGATGAGTTTGCTGACCTGCAATTGAAGGTGGAATCTGCTCAGACTGAAGTCTTCAAGTTGCATGACGAAGTTGCCTACTTGGAGAAGACCAACGCAGGTTTGGCAAAGCAACTCGGCGAATCCTTACATGGCAAGAAAAACCACAATCCTCAGTATCCATCCACCATCAAAGTTGAGTTTGAAAAGGATGAGGAGATTCAAGAACTCAAGGGAAAACTTGCCAGAAAGGAGGCACAACTAAAGAGTAAGAAGAAAGTCAATCGCGACCCCCGAGCAAAGTTCACCGACGACTGGGATGACGATGAACTTGAAGAAACAATGGTAGAAAACGAAAGATTACGAGATCGCCGCGAAAAAGAACGAAAGGCACTCGTCACCAAGAACAGGACATTGCGCGAACAGCTCAAGGTGGCGGAGTCGAAAGTTGCCGAACTGACCATGTTCATTGACGAAGACCTCCAGAATGAATCTAGCTTAGGCGCTGATACCGCGTTGAGAAGCTTGATCGCCACTCTTAAAGAACACAATAAAAGACTTCAGACAGAGTTGGATGACTGGAAGAATAATGACGTCTTGAAGGATCGTCAACGTCAGATTACGAATCTCGAACTCGAAATAGATGATCTACACCACAAACTTGCCTCCACGGATGGTGATAAGGGCGCGGAAAGTGGCCAAAAACAATCCTCGCAAATGTCAACAGACGAGAGAAACGGCTATATAATAGATATCGAGACGTGGCAGCAACGAGTCCGCGAACTTGAAGAAGAGATCGAGGATCTTAAACAGGAGATCGTGAAGCTGGAGGAAGAGAATTTCAAGCTGGCAGAAGATCTCAAATTCAAGAAAGACTTCCTCGATAGAGTCATGAATACAATGGACAATATAAAAGAAGAGGTTCAAGCCATAGAAGAGGAAGAGGTGGAAACAGACCCACCTTACGAAGACAAAGCATCAGAAACCAGCACTGAGATCATGATCGAGCGTGCAAGCGCTAGTAGAGATACCATACTTCCAGCAGAGGACCGGCGTCAGTCGCGGGAGCTCACGAGCGGACTGACTGGCAGCAGTGTGCAAAGAGGGTCAAGCCGACATAGTAAGTTGCCTGCAAAGGCTAATCCAGAGTATGTACCAGACTAATACGATAACAGCAGCTGATGAAAAGCCCGCTACGACGAGAGGCAAGCGACCTTTGCCGCGCGCTGTAGCTAAACAGCCAGAACCAGAGTCAACCGCCGGGCGGAGTAAAGGGACTTTGAAGAGTGTCCCAGAGGAATCTGCAGAGTCCGGAAAGCGGATTACTAGATCGTCGAAACGCAAGACGGCCATCACTGACACTAGTTCAAAACAGACAAAGGCTTCCGTGAAGAAACGAAAGCTCAAATAGGCCAACAGTGGAGCTTAGGCTTATGCAGAGCTCGTGGAATTTATGAAGTACGGAGGTATAGTATCTTGTTCAGGCTTCTGGGAAGTGGCCATATTTGGGCGACAAATGAGGCATCTTGTTTTCTAAGAGTTAGGAATTGGGAGTTAGGACTTATCATGCTTGCCAGTATGTAACCCCATAACCTGTGGGAGTTGTCATGCTTGCCTATATGTGACCCCATAACCTGTGAAATGATTCAAAGACATGTGTTTGGTAGTAGGGTTCACATTCACATATCTGGGAATAACAAGTTCGCTCATGGGTTGATTTGCTTCTTAATGTCGAATCGCGACTGAGATGTTTGAAGGGTGTGTTCGCCAGTCATTCTCAAACACATGGGAGAGTAGACTGTCCAGTCATGCCAGTGCAGGGCATGGAGCATAGGTTCTCCACGGGCAGCCTCTATTATGATTAATAGGAACAGACATGTGAGGTTATTCAACAGGCAGTGTGTTTTCAACACGGCTGCTCAGCCCTCCTAATGTCGCACTATTTAACCAGAGCTTCGCTCTGTTCATGAATCCAAATGACGTCCATTTCCCAGGAACCAAAAATCGTCCAAAGTCTACGCACATCAGCCAAATTGAGTCCTCAGACCTAAATTCATCATGTGGGTTTGCTCTGAGGCAAGTTTTCCCAGCCCAGTGGACGGTAAACGGAAATGAAAACCAGCTAATGATAATCAGTGCCAAAGCGAAAGCTACCTGAACCGCTGCAATGAGTGCGGACACAGAGTTTGCGTTGCTTGTCAGGATGGTATCATATATGGAGCTTATCAGTCAGCTGTTAGAGTAAGAGAGGGGCTTGGCCCGGTTGCGAGATGTTGACAAGAGAGGGTACTAGGGGACTCGAAAAGATTCAACAGGGGATGTTTGGATGGTTTGGGAGTTTTAAGAACACGCGCGTGACGTTGCAGCAAAGTATGGTCTGAAAAATACCAGTCGAAATCATGGAGCTGCCATTTGCCAGAACAAAGCAGTACACAACAGGATTCGCAGGAGCACCGTACTTGATCCGCGTGACCAGTGCCATCGAACCTCTCAAACTCACATTGAATTCCTTCTTTGGAAAGAATACAACGAAACTCCAATTAATAACCCATTCGGGCACCGGCTCAGTATACATTAGTAGATAACACCTGAAAGCTTCCTCTTATCACAGTCATACTTAAGATGGCATTTGTTCTAGGTCGAGAACTTATCCTGACTGGACTCAGATTGTTTGTGCTCACAATAGAGCGGGAGTGTATCAAGGGCAAGAGCGGGTGTCTTTCCCTGAAAATAGTGTCCTGTAGTTGAAGTAAGGGCTTGTTGGGTTGTGCCTGCCAGAAGTATGAGCTGTCTTAAATCGTATAAATCAATCAGTGGACTTATAACTGTTAAAGCGGAAGGTTTCGTCTCGGGTACGTGGCACAGGTGGCCAATGGTGATGGGTACGTTGCTGGTCCTAGTCAAATTTGAAGTTTGGGCACGATTAAAAAATGGATGGCGAGTAGAAAGCAAAACACGCATCAAGACAAAGAGCAAAAGAGCAAAAGAGCCAGTCGTAAGAGATTCGTATGGAATCGTCTCACATTGTTTCTTAGGCCAGGATGAGACGGAGCTACATCCAAAAACCCTAAGAAAATACAGAAAAAGCTGTTGTATTACTACAGTTAATGTGCCGGCCGGGAACAACTAAACTATGAAAGTAAGTAACAGTGCACGAGAGAGCAAAGCAAAACGACCAAGCCTGATGACTTCTTACACCAAGTGTAGAAAAATCCGAAATCTTATGTTAGCATCCTAGCAGGTACCCAGAATCCCAGGCCTAATTTCCGGGCGGTGGAGGAGGAGCGTCGCTAGGAGGAGGTGGCGGGGGTGCACCGCCTGGGGGAGGTGGTGGAATGCTAGAGGTTGGAGGGGGTGGTGGAGGGCTTCCAGCATACTGTTGAAGAAGAGCACTCAAGCCGGCACCACTCAATCCAGGAGGTGCAGCTAATCCAGGTGGCGCACCCATCGATTGTTGGGGAGGATAGCCACCGCTGTAACCAGGAGCAGCATAACCCCCGTAGCCAGCTGCGGGGGGAGGATATGCAGGAGCTGCTTGTGCCCAAGGTGCGGAATTGCCACCAGCTGCAGGAGGAGCATTATAGCCCTGCTGACCACCGCTGTAGTATGAATCACCACTACGGTTGTCATTTCCACGAGGACGATCTCTTGCCCATGGCGCAGCGCCTCCCGATGGTGCAGAATCACGGGAGTCGAATCCTCGATCATCCCCTCGTTTTTGCCATGGAGCAGCGGCACCGGTGGGACCGCGCTGCCAAGGCTTGACATCGTCTTGTGGAGGCTGATCGAAGTTTCCACCTGGACCAGCTTCGATCCGTCGAGGACCATCTGGAGCTGGAGCACCTGAAAGTTCATTCATAAGTGACTGAAGAATGTTAGTCGTGGCTTGAAAATTCGGAACCGGATTGCTTACCTCGTACTCCCGATCAACGGCGTCTCCTGCGCCAATACGACCAACACCAGCAGCCGGAGGACCACCAGGACCATCGTTACGCCAATTAGCACCACGTTGTCTAAATCCGGTCAGCATTATGCTATTTCTAGTGTATTGATGGTAGGCATACCGGTCAGGACAATCTCTAGCCATGTGGCCTGCGTTACCACAGACACGACAAATGATGTTGGCGGTGAAGTTGCGTTGTTCAGGGCAGTCGTATTTCCGATGACCAATCTGACCACAGTTCTGGCATGCTTGGTTCTCATCGTCACGAAGAGTACCGTTGAGTGCTGCAAGCTCACGAAGTTGGTTGCGCTTAAGCTCGTTTTGGCCTTCAGGAATGGAAGCAGCCTACAAGTGTCAGTAAAGGTGTCTTCAAATGAGGGGAAGGGACTTACAGTCTCAATGATGTTGTGAATCAGCTTCTTTGCCTTGTTGACCTTCTCCTCGGTGTCTGCCATGATCAAGCAATGAAGGTCTTCCTCCTGGTTGCTGGTGTGAGCGGCGTCGGATCGACCCTTTCCTTCTTTAACGGATCCTTTTCCACGGATGGCAATTTTGGCCTGGGATTCTGTTTCCATTTTCTTCAATGTGTTGCCACGAGGTCCGATAAGTAAGCCAACTTTAGTAAAGCGCAAGCTAAGTGTTAGTGTATGGTCAAAAGCTAAGAGCAACATGTAGTGAGTGACGGGTTAGTGACGACAATGCGTTGCATTCTCGAATGCCCCGCACGATCACACAGTAATGAAAGGGAAAGGAGCAGTAAGTGGGGATAGAACAGAAGTTAGAAAGGTTAGAGGGTTAGCAATCATACTGAAGTTAATTTCTGGGTAGTCATTGACCGGGACGTAGACTTTCTCCTGTGTCTTAGTAGGACGACGGTAATCCTGTGGCGGATGGTAGTTAGGAATGACTTTCATAGCCTTTTCAATCAGCTTGTGGCGCTCATCTTCGAGACGCTTCCTGTATCGGTATTCTCGAGTATTGACACGACGACCGAAGTTATCGTATTGGGGGGGAGGAGAAGGAGATCTGTGACGGTAGTCATTAGCTTTGGTCATTTGGTGCAGGGGTGGCGGAGAGTACATACCTATCACCATCGGCTGGGACGACATCATCAATCCTTAGCTTCTGGCTGATCTCTTCAATGCGCAAGTGCAGAGTATATGCCTCCAATTGTTCGCTGGTCATGTTGGCCATGATAGCAGTCGGAAGCCCCATGAGGCCAGCAGCCTTGTTCTCAGTGCTGTCCCCCCAACGATTTCTCTTCTTGCGACGTCGAGTGCCGTCTGCATTAGGCTCCTCTAGAGATTATGGTCAGTATGATCATGCGAAAATGGAATACAGAGCTACTTACCTCTTACTGGGCTGCGGCCACGCTTGAATCCTCCATCAGAATTGCCATTCGAAGGCGCGGACGGATGGTAGCCATTGTCGTCGCGAGGCGGCGATGCGCTATCTCCAGCGTTGAATCTGCGCTTATTTCCCAAGGGAATGTTGTTCGAGCCAGTGCTTCCTTGCTGTCTCCAAGCCATCTTGTGCGGTGTTCGTGGTGTTGGAAGTAGTTTGGGGGAAGGAGAAGATGGAGAGGAGAGGGAAAGCTGCCTCGTCGACAATTATCTTGATTCGGCTTAAAGCTAGCTAGGGTCTTCTTGGCGCGAGTCTAGGTAGCTGTACGCCCTTTCATGTATATCACGTGATTCACAGTATTTGCCGACACCCTTGGATCTGCGCCTCGAGTTTCGTGTCCCATCAAAACAAAAGGCCTCTATGCACAGTGCTTCTCGGATCACCAAGAACTTGGCGAATCCCTACAGAAGTCTGCACTTCCAGGGAAGCTTTTCTTTCCACTCTCAATCCATTGTTGCACGAGCCAAAATCTTTGGACCATGAGCGTTCCAAGACCGAAGTCTGCAAACGCGATTGCCGTACCAGCCACAGCCATCCTCCTTCTAAACCACTTAGCTCTGCCAGCTGCTACAAGCGATCTTTGTCCCATCTTCTCGCCGGAAGGGCAGATTACTAGCAAGATCCAGTACCATATTCCTGGTAGGTCTTTCCAAAGCGTTTTTGGAATCAAGGCGAGAAACGAGTGAAATTCTTCGTGCATTGACGAGGTAAACGAGTCGGATAGTGGCGTCATGTTCTTGATAGAGCTGGTGAACACTTTTGCTGTTAGGTGTATCATGTGGCTAAGAGCGTTTGAGATCAGAGATGGTGGCGTAAGTGGTGGTAGTATCGAAGAACTTAAGCGCGTGTAAAGCCCTGGCAATGTGAGCTATACCATCCGTTCAAACTGTGGCGGAGCTATTATACTTACATTCAGCTGTTGCTCGGATTTTGACAAGCTGTTCCGCACTACTTTCAGCATTGAGAAGCGAGAGTGTCAGGAATCTAACATCATCCAGAATCTTGGTGGACAAATCGTCTAGGCCCAACTTTGACCCGAGATCTGCAAAGCGCTTGGGATGATCTACCAAGGGAGAGCACAGCGTTGGACTGTAAGATGGAGACACATTGACAATTCGGCAAGTCCCCTCTTTAAGTGTCTGGAGAAAGACATTCTGCTCCAAATAGCAAGCTAATTGATAATCCGTTCTGATTGTCATGTCCCAATCAGCATATTTTCTCTGCACTAGGGAGAATTCAAACAACATACACAGTAAGAGCGTGCTGCAGAACTGGGTCTGTAAGAGCGTCGAGTCCTCCTTTCATTTTGACCATTTGCTTCAATCCTCTCATGTGGGCCGACAAGTTATTGATGTCTCCCCATAGAAACTTCATCTGTTTAGTATTCAATGCATGGACTTCCCAGGAGCTGACTGACCTCTGTCGTCACTAATGGAAATATAGCCCTGATGGCAGCATTGCCCACGAGTAAGAAGTCGTTGTCGAGGAACTCGTTAAACAGCCCCAGGACCTTGGATTTGATCGCTATCGTCTCCGATTTCCGCTTCATATCTTTAACACTATCTGCCGACTGTTCTGCAGAAGCCATCAGAATGGCAATGTGGGGCATGATATGAGATTGCAACATCCATGGCAGGATCTCCTGCAGAAATATCTGCGGTGTGTGGCTACCATCAATGGATGTCATACTCGAAATCACTTTTTGATGGACTAGATAGAGATTAGATCATCGATGATGCTTATGATCGATGACACTTACAACGGTGAAACAGCTCAGCATTACGAAGAGTTGGATCGATCGAGGCATCGGTCAAACTGCTGTTGACTGCCGCAATCATCCCGCCTATCGCCTGCGATGAGGGGGACGGTGTGCTTCGTGCACTGCTGTAGCCAGAAATGGCTTGATCCACTCTTGGATAGTATACGATGAGATCAGAGGCATTTAAATTGGATGCGAGAGACTCTGGATGGTCCGCAGGTGTCGCCTCGGAGGCCGTCGCATGTTCTCTTTGGGTATTTCCGCCTATCTCTGGTAGACCTAGTGAAGAAGGATTAGATACCGATGACCTAAAGCTTTGTTGCAGAGCAATAGTGCTTGAAGGTTGATGTTCAATTTCCTCTCTACGGTGAGCGTTCTCATCCACATAGCAATGCACTGGAGGATATCGTCGCAAGCAATTTTCACACGGGCCATTCGTTCTCGCCTTGCACTGTGAGACAGCGTTATGTCATGCTTTGTAGGACGGGAGTGGATTTACACACTTTCTGCTTCCGTCGACGACATTCGGTACACGATATTTGAGGCCGTCTCCGCTTTCTTGGGACCTTGACGATCGGTGTGGTTGCTCCTTCTGGCATCATGCGATACAGTCAACATTCGTCTCCAAGCAGCAATGAAGTCACTGATATGAGAATTTGGCCCCTTTTGGATTTGTTACTGACCAGGCATCAATATCTATGGCGGGAATGAACAAAGATAGGAGGCTGAGGAGCTGAAGACCGGGATGAGGGGTGGGACCAATGGTGTAGCAATCTTTCAGCCAAAGTCTTGTTTGAGGACTCTGGGCGTGATAGGCGAGAATCAATTTGATGGCGTATAAAATACAGTTAACATCCCTCCTAGGTACAGGTGACGATTATATTGAGCAGTACTCAGGCTACCCGCATGGGTATCAACACGCTCTATGAGTTAGATAAAGAAGTGGAGGGTTGTAGTGTGACATTGGTACGCTATATTAAGATCGTTGATGGTACGTTCAATTACGGAATTCCTCAACCTTCTACTCCAGATACCAGCCTGGAACATGATGTGCAAGCAGAAGTAATGACGGAGGTCTATCTGAAACGTCCGAAAATGTAGTGCAGTCCCTCTCATGGTCAACGGCGCAGCTCATCTGTGAAGCTTACTTCCTCGCTAAGTAAGCGAGCCGATCAATATTGACATATATTTTCTTCCGCCCTTGTGATATCTAGATTTCTAAGCTACCAATTTCTGGTTAGGACTGTTTGATGGGTGGATTCGGGAGTTTGTTTGGACTTTTTGGAGGTTTGATCTTCCAAATGGGCGGTGAAACGAAGAAGAGCACAACGAAGCACGGGTCACCAAGAACAAACAACGACTATCGCAAGCATACTTTACGATCAGAAGGACAGGAAGATAGAATAATCTGAGCCACGGCTTGCCACAATCTGTATCAATCGGCGCCTCAATAAGTTACTTTCAATTGACTCCAGACAACCCCTCTAGGCGACCAAGAACCCGAACCACGCTTTCTGATCACGTCTCGTTGAAGTTGATTTTCCACTGAGATCCTTCTGTAGATGTTCAAACTTATCGCGGAGTATGCTCATTGAGGAATTTTTCATCCAACCACTCTTTTAAATCCAGATATTCAGATCCTCTCTCCATTCTCCATTCTCGACACTAAAGACTTCCAGCTACGACTTCTCAAATTTAGAGAATAAAACCACCGTCACTGTATATACTCTAGCATTGGCTTCCACTGCATCACTTCTGCTCAGCTTCGCGCTCACACATTCGTAATTTGAAACGCAAATCTTGGCCTCTCTACTATTTCCCCTCTCATTGACTGTCTCCGCTCCTCACCAGCAGCTCAAATGTGCGTGTACTTTTGGAGTTTTCGTAATTCTTTCGACTTAGAAAACATCAGTGGCATACCACATCATATCTCATAAACAAGAGCAAAAGCATCTCTCACAGTCGCTTGGAATTATGCTGGAACCAATTAGTGCTTAGTGTGATGTAGGCACCAAGGGCCAGACCCCGAAAGTAAGCTTTTCGGCGATAAGTAATCATCTAATTTTCCTGCTGCTAAATACCTAGGTAGCTTTGACAGGCTTGGCTTTCATTTGTCCAGTATCCTCGATAAGGATATTGTAAGGTATGGCTTTGTAATTATGTCATAGCTTTTGATACAAAAATGCTGGCTTACCAAGCATCGGCAATTTCGTGCATCAATCTGCCCGCTCTTATTCGTGCTATTCCACAACCCCGAGGCAGCGAAATGACACCATCTCTGGTGGGACAGGTGGGGTAGATACATCACTTCCTGTAAGCTGCAACAACACAGTCGTTACCAAGCATATAAAGAGAGCATCCGGTTCGGTTCTGTCAAGACATTTTCCCTATGTCCAGTCGCATCTCACAAGTGTCAAATCAGATCACCATGGCTTCCCGTCCTAACATTCACCTGTACACTACCCAAACTCCTAATGGTATTAAGATTTCAATCACCCTAGAGGAGCTCGGTCTTCCTTATGAGTTCACAAAAATTGATATCTCAAAGAATACTCAGGTCAGTATGCTATCCAAGCCTGCTTCTCATATTGTCGATATGTATTGCACAAATTTCTCGATATCCATGTCTTGCAATAGTTACCAGTACCAGTAATCTCTATTTATCCCCAAACCTTTTTTTAAGGAACTACAAGTAGAGTATTAACACCCAAAATAGAAAGAGCCCTGGTTCCTAGAGATCAATCCCAATGGCCGCATCCCCGCAATCACCGACACGTTCAGCGACGGCAAGACAATCAACCTCTTCGAATCCGGCAGCATCCAGCAATACCTCGTTGACGAGTACGACAAAGACCACAAGATCTCGTACCCCAAAGGATCAAGAGAGTACTATGAAGTCAACAGCTGGCTCTTCTTCCTGAACGCCGGTGTAGGTCCAATGCAAGGACAAGCCAACCACTTTAACCGCTACGCACCAGAGTTCATCGAGTACGGGGCAACGCGGTACATTAACGAAACCAGGCGCTTGTACGGCGTTCTAGATACACATCTCGCCAAGTCCAAGTCCGGATTTCTTGTCGGTGATAGATTGACTATTGCTGATATTGCCCATTGGGGATGGATCCGCTCTGCTTTCTGGTCTGGTGTTGAGATTGATGAGTTTCCAGCACTGAAGAAATGGGAGGCGAAGTTGCTTGCCAGACCCGGCTTTGAGAAAGGAAGGCAGGTTCCAGGCCCAGATACGACAAATGACTTGAAAAACAATCCAGAGTTGATGAAGAAAAAGGCTGAGGAGTCTAGGGCGTGGATCCAGCAGGGAATGAAGGCTGACGCTGCGAAGAAGTAAGTTGGGAGGTTTGACGATGGAGAATGTTTTAGAAGCGTGTAAAAAAACCGCCGTAGGTAATAGGCGTTGATATTCTACATGTTCTCAATCAATCAAAAGGGCATGAATTATTTCTATGGGAGACAAATGTGGTAAACTGTATTGTAATCTTACAAGCACTCATGGTACTGTTGGTATCATAAACCCAGGACGCCGCCTGGTATGCTGCTATGCTCCAACCAAGTATCCCCAAAACTCCCGCTCAACGCCAGATATATGGTCAATGGCTCCCTAGCCTGGCAAACTCAAATTTAATCTCTACTCTCTTCTTCATTGTGATTCACAGGAGGTGCGCCAAGAAGCCAACCGACTCCACTAGCAAGGCCACCAACCGCAACGTTCTTCAACTGATCTCTCTTCCGCATAGGGGCCTTGAGACCTGCAGAATCTGGGGTAGATACTCTTGACAGCTCGGCACTTCCTCTTGAATCTGGTCTCGGCTTCTCTTGTCTTGAGCTATTACTACCCCTAACCATCGAGAGAGCCGAGAATCCACTTTGAGCTCGAGCCATAGACGCACGAGACAAGTCGAACAGGGACATTGGTGCTTCTTCCACAGCGCGAGATGTGCCAGCAGTCGTGTTGTTTTTCATTGGCGTTGCTGCAAATCCACCAGGCATCAAGTTGTCGTCTCCTTGCTCGTCCCAAGCGGCTTCTATCTTGGCCTCTTCCTTCACAAACTGCTCTAACTTCTCCTCACAACGGCGGTACACATTGAGAATCTCCTGTAAGGTCGCCTTTGGAGCCAGTCGTAATGCCTGCGATAGACAATCCATACGCTGCTCGAGGTGACGGATTTCAACGTTTCCGCTTGTATTACCTAGGTGGGTAGGCTTGACAGTGTTGTTTGTCCGTTCATACTTCCCAGCTTGAAGTGACGCTCGCCAAGACCAATCATCAAGCACTTTTGGTGGTGCCTCTGCGAAAAGACCCGACTTTTTTCGCTCTAAGTCGGGACACCGTGCATGTGCTGGACCACCAATATCCTTGAGTCGAGTTACCACGTAAGAATATGCTGTCTCAAAGTCATCTTCAGCAAGAGCGGCGTCGATACACATACTGACAATACGCTTTTCAGCAATTGCCTTCTGTTCCTCTTGTGGTATTGTAGGTTGCCTGCTTTCTGCTCTCTTTTTTGTCAAGCCAGCCAACACCATGCTCCTTCCCATGTCAAGAAAGTCTCGGATTTGGGTATAGCTTTTGGGATTCTGGTCGAGAATCTTGCCAATGATGGAAATTGGATCGCTGTGTACACGGAGATTTACTGGCCTAAATGGTTCTCCTTGCTTGAAGACCAGTCTGTATTGTCCAACCTCGTGGGTGACCCGGACCAAGTGTTCCATCTCTTCATACTCAGTCGAGCCTTTCAGTGTGCCTGGGAATGTTTGCAGTCTGATAGTGGACGTCAGTATTACTCTAGCATGAGTGGCTTGCGAGATACTCACATTTCGTCGCATTTCTTCAGTCCACCACGTGTTTTATTTGCGTTGGTCGCGTTGTCGTATGCGTTCTTAGCGGCAGAGACTATAGCATCATGAAGCACTTCCTTGGGTAATGGTGGGTCCATTGCAACCTCATAAATGGATCGTGCAAGAGTATAGCCTTTGATTTTATGTCAGGATATTCAAGTTGGGGTTTCTCGGAAGGACTCACGAGTATTAGTCAAGAGCGACTTGAGCACTTCGACCTCAATGAACTCTTTGCTAAGTTGCCCAAAGATGCCGCTTCCCTTGATGCTGTCGGTACTTTCCGTGAGCTCCTCTGCACCCCACCCTCGCAACCACAAAATCTCATTCCTGGTTTTAATCCAGTATTTATCGTCTCCTTTTGGCCCATTGGCCAATTGATGCATCAACTTGGTGAAAGCAAGCTTTTGTTCGTGTTCATCCTGGATGAGAGCCAATTCGCCCGCCCGTCTGATGTTCATCGGACAATTTGCTCTAGTACACAGAAATGCGCTGACCAACAATGCATGAAGCAATTTGATCGACTCTTCTTTCGGGGAGGTCAAGGGATTGTGGTCATCCAAGAGGTCATTCCTCAGGTATGCAGCACTTTTGGCTGGCAGTAAACCGCTTCCTTCAAGGTCCGGCACCGGGGTAAGCAGTGCACATGCTGCTTGCAATGTCGGTATCCTGTCTTGATCCAAAAGCTCGATAATTCGCATGAGAATACGTTGGACGCCATCCAGAGCTTCCTTTGATTCTTCAGAAATAATATACGCCGTGGCAAGCACTGTTCGAGCGAATCTTGCCTCCAGATGCTCTTGATCGCCTTCGTCCAGCCACATTGTTCCATCTTCGTAACCTCCTAAATCAACATCGCCTGGTCCATCCCACTGCTCAACGCCTTCGACAGCCACCCTCCACGTAGTACTGGCTTGACCGACCATCCATTTAAATACCTCTTCCCAGCCCATGTATTTGTGATCCGCTGCTGTTGGTTCCTCCAAAGGCTCAACCGCCCGTAAACTCAGCGATGAATTCTTCCGTAGCTTCCTTCGCTTTGTCCTTGAATCTCCATACATCCATGGGCCGACCAAGCCCTTTAGATCTCGTCCAACTGTGTGATCGACCCCAGCGTGGCTGACCCGGTCTCTGCCAGTTTTTGACAACAATAACGCCACCCCTGCATGGTCGTCCAGACTTTCGAACTTTGGTATGGTCAAAACTGTGCCTTCTTCGGGGTGATATTCGTAGTTAAGCCGCATTAATGGGAGGATCGTAGATATCATCCAAGTTCGCAAGTAATCTGAACGAGGGAGGTAAGGGACAAGGAGCTCAGGTAGTTGTGTAATCAGGCCAGTACTCTGGTCTATCCGTAATGATCGATGGATCAGAAAGAGGACGAGAGGGTCTGTCGATGCATCTTCTGGTGCATTTGGCCAAAGCAAAGGTAGAAGGCGTAATTTCCTAACTTTCTTCTTCGCATCTTCTTCACTGATCTCATCCAAGGAAGAGGAATTGAGTGGTGCATCTGATTCTTCCGCCCAGTTTCCAGCTTCAAGTCTCCCAAGAAAGGGACCATATTCGGACGCATCAAGAGTTTCTGGCAAATAGCTGAGAAGTATCCTCAGAACCAATTCTGTATGTAAGGTCTTGCGATGAAGGGAAATAAGATTTTGAAGAGCTGAAATTTGGCCCTTGCTAGCCAGCTGGACTGCCAGAAGTACAGCTTTTGCTGGAGTAATTTCTGACTCCGCCATATCTTAAATATGCTCAGGAGCGCAAAGGAACAAAGACCATGGATTTCTTGAGGAGCTCAAGCTGGCCAAGGTTCCCGCATGTTAACGCCTCGGATGTCAGGCTTGATATCAGGCATCTATGCTCTAGAGTCCGCGACTACCATGTCCCGCAACGGACCTCAAATCACTGTAAATCAACGCCAATCACGTCGAATTGAACATACAAGATGTCTTCCGGCTTCGGTCTCAACGGAGGTATGTGATGATAGCTCTTATGAAGCTCCGGGCTCTTTCCGGAGCTTCAGGAGAGGCTCAATTCCTCTTCGGGGCCGTTCATTCAACCACCAACTGTCCATCATTCTGGAGCTCCCCTCAACACCAGAGAACGTCTCCTGGCATTCAATTGCTAATTATTTTCGTAGGCACCAGTCGCTGCTTTCCCTTCTGGCAAGAGGTTCTAGCTTGCTACGTTGTCAATACCACATCCGACGACGACTCTGGAAAGAAGAAATGTGCGCCGGTATTGGAGGATTACTATGAGTGCTTACACCACAAGAAGGAGGTGCGTGAAACCCACAATTGTGAACATCAGATCGAAAGAAGGATGGCATTGACCAAATACCCAGGCTACGAGAGTACGAGCATTACAACAGGCATACCGGAAAGCTGCTGCTGCCAACCCTCGAGACGATGCGCCAAAGGCTGGAGCGATTAGAAATCTAGGATTGATAGACAAGGACGAAGACACCAAAGCTGTCCTGGGCAAATGATTTTGGCGATGGGAAATGGTTTGGGGCTGGCTTGTACATAAGGGCAAATGTGACATCATGGGAAGAAGGCGGAGTGCTCTATGAGTTGTGACTGGTGCTATTACTTTGCGAGTAGGTCAGTCGGGGTTTCTCGCAACCGGTTGAGGGGGTCGTAGCTCTCTGGAGCTTCCTCGAGGGATTAAAGGCTATCCTACTGCACAAGGAGGTAATAGGAATCTCCCCAAACCACCGGCAACACAACAGCTGTAGATGCGATTTGCCAATGGATATCGAGCTGGGTCTTTAGGCCAACTGCCAGGTTCTAGCTGGGCGCTTGTTGTTTCTTTATTTGAACTCATCAAGGCATCCTAACTGCTAGCCAAATGTTCTTCGGAATCTTGTTCAGATTTATGTTTATGACTGGGCTAAAGTCAATCCTCTAGGTCCATATAACATTGTATCACATTGCGAAAGTACGAACCAGGTTGTCGTGCTGGCCCTGATGAGACAGCAGCGTAGCAATCTACACATCCGGTTAGTAATTTTGTGCAAAAAGGATTCTCAAGGCAGCATCTGGTACTTTGCTCTTAATTCTATACTTCTTGAACTTTGGTATTCTAAGGTTGCAACGCCGGGAGTCCACCATTTCAAAGAGACAAATTTGCATACCTCCAACATATGCCTCCAAGAAAGATGTACCATGCGTTAATGTTCAAACCAATTGTATGTTCAGTCTTGTCTCTTGCTGTTCTGGGTACGTAGATGTTAAGCGAAAGACTTTGTCTATTTACAACGCGTATTGACACTCGAAGCTCTTGAAACTAGACCTCGAGATCAACACACAATCTCGCAACACCACACAAACACCCACCGATCTAGGTAGCTCCAAATGCCTACCCACAGAGGTATCAAGGTCTCAGTGGTCTCTCAACTAGAATTGAAGCTCCACCCAGAGTTCCCGCATCCAGAAAGCTCCCAATTCACGTATCGCAGCCCCGATGTGCGCAAAGGTACCGCGGCCTATGCAGACTGGACGCCGCCTTCTGCATCCTCGGACAGCAAGGCCGATCGTCTACTTGGGAGACAGTCAGTAGTCTCCGTCTATATCCCGTCCATGCCAGGTACGTTGTGTCCACGCCGCGCGACCTTGCCCTCAACGCTGACTTGTTTACAGCGACCCGTTTCTGGATGCGATATAATGTGGCTGAAGCTGCGATGCACTCAGAATGGTTCTACTTCAAGCTCTTCATGAATGGCAGACATATCACATCCTGGGGAACGGATGCGAAGACGAAGCCAAGCGGCCAGGTCATGAGAGGGCTGTTCGAGCCTAGTGACAGGTGGAATTACAGGTATGAGGGAACCTTATTTCGCAACATGGGAACTGAGGCCCGTCCTTTCATATTTGGATACGAGGAAAAAGAACCATCTGCCGCTAAGGATGGAGGATTGATCGAGGTCATGGTATTCCGTGCCAGAGGACGAAAGAGAAAATTGCCCGCGCTGGCGGACTTCAAGAATCAAGAAGGTTATGGAATCATGTAAGCCTACCACCGGATATATTTCTTTGGCTGCGCACCTTCCAACGTTACGATGCGGTTGTGCCGTTTGAGCAGGCCCAGCCTGGGAGCGCCAACGATATTTCGAAGAAAATCTGGAGGATTGGACTAATTTTTATTCCAGCATGCCCAGCGGCGGACTTCTCGAAAAGCCCCAAGAAGCAAAGTTTTATGATTGGCACCTCAAAGACCCCAAAGACAGTCCCTTCGTAACGTTTAAGTTCCACTACCGCAGCTGGGACAATTTGATTAACCTCCAGCTCATTCCAGACAACCACCCAAGGACTCTCTTGCCAGCATCTCCAAGCGTTCTCTCTCTGAATGGTGCCTCGCAGGACCTACATACCAAACTAGAAGAAGACACGGATGAGGAAGAGAAGCAAATAATCGAACAGCTGAAGCGCTCGATGTCATCTATTATCTCCAACGATCCATGGTTGACATCCGTCTTTGACGACAGCCCTGAGCGGCCTCCAAGCAAACAAGGCAGCAGATCAAGCTTCAACGTACCACCTGAAATTACTCCTTTATTTTCTAGTCGACGTCTTCCAGAAGTCCCCACATCCAGGTTTTCTGCTGCTGTTATTGACAAGCCGGCATCGCCTCAGAACAACTGGAACGGCTATCTAGATCGACCATTGCCAGAAATACCAACAAGAGATAGCTCTTTGAAACGTCAAAGACATGATCCTGACAGCCGTTCAAGAAGCTCTTCTGGAATATCTCATTCTCCGTCAATAGCTGCTTCCCTTCTTCCATACGTTGAGCGGGACACTGCATCTCCAGAGGTATGTCAGCTTAACATCTATTCGGAGCACAATTCAACATAAAGCTAGAGGTATCAAGCTAACAATCTCCACAGCCAGTCCTAGGAGTAGCTAAATTCGCCAAGGTCGAAGTCACAACTTCACCCATGATGCCCTCTCCTTCTCCGTCTGCCTTACCCTCCTCGCCAAGTCTTGACGACACCAACCTCCCAGAACCCAACCCAGCCAAATCCAAACGCCAGGGCATCGCATCTCCTCCTCTCAACAGTCTTTTCTCGATGGCCAATATAACAGTCCGCAAAACTCGTCGCTCAGCCAAACGCCTCTCAGACTACTACTCGCACTCGCCTTCCTACTCGCCTTGTCCGCCATCATGTCGTACACCGATTCAAGATATCGAGGACCAAACCCAAAACTTCACTGACGAAAATGAAAACGACATCTATAACGACCGTACAACACTCGACACCAGCCAAAACACACTCTCCATGACAATCTCAGAATCAGAATGGATGTGTCGTACCCCGTCACCCGTTAAGTCCATCCCTCGCTTCGGCAGCGTACAGAAACTTTGGAGTCCTGGTCTTGAAAAACGTGCTTCAAGAGATACGAGTATGGGCTCCAGTATGAGTGTTCTGAAGGAGAAACAGAACGCCTATGGCAATGAGCAAGAAAACCAGCATGAGCACCACCAGCACGGTAATTCTAAGAATGGAAGAAGTGCGAGCGGCAAGAAAACAAACAAGTACAAGCGCGCACCAACACCCGCCCATTGGTATAGCAGAGCCAAGAATTCCGCTGTTGACGGACATATTTCCGAGCATGCCTTTGGCAGTGATAATGCTAGAGTTGATAGGCCGTTGTCAGGAAACTGGATTTGAACGGTCAGATCTCGTCCCCGGTATACATCTTCCTGTCTGTTTTTGATCATGAGAGTCTATCTATGAGACTTTTCATTCATGTGCACAGCAAGCGTCTAAATGTTACCTGTTCCGAGAAAAAATGTCTTTTGTCTTGTCATCGCGGCGTTTCTGATTTCTCATCTGCAATGGACAAGCATACCATACTGAGTCATGGCAAGGAGGACAAGGGAAGAGTTTTATTTTGAGATACCCATGCACACATCCAGTCGTGTTGATTTGCTTTGCTTAATTTCCATTCATGTTCCTGATCCCATCTGTGCTATCAACGGGATGTGTTGTAGAGTAGAAAAGCTCACTGATGAATTAGAGCGAATAAATAGTGTATCACAAGACCTCGCCAGAATATGAGTTACAGATAGCAGGGATTGTGGGAGAGTTGACAGCAATATTTCAAGACGTATGAGATGAACGTACTGTCCAAGCCTGCAAAACAATTTGCAAGTCGGTGAAGTGTAAGCCTGATACATGATGGGCACTCGGAAGAAGTGACTGCAAATATGATGATCATGAGTACGCCTTTGAAGACTAAATTTGAAATGCTATCTATTTAACAGTCCAAAGCCTCGATACATCAACGACCTACCTTTCTCTAAGCAGAGCTCTGTTTCTTTCGTACAGGCGAGGAGATAGCAGTCCGTACCAGCCATCGCATCGAATCATCCAGCACTATGGCCCTGTCTCACCACACAGACCTTGCAAGATGTGCAGACGCCACATCCGCCTCGATCAATAAATTGGCAGCCTGCATTCCCGCTGCGCATCATACCTGCGATCCGCATTCCATACATCTGCATACAGGCGCATACAGGCACATGCCCAAGTGGCACGAGGTAGGCTAGATATTAATTGCTTTCAGCACAAAATATGTATAGCACAAATGCGGGTGATTTGCTTCATCCCTTGTCAAGTGTCGGCTTCCGAGAACATGTGGAGCGGCACAGTCCCTTACCATAGACACAAAACCAGATTTCAATTCATGCCTGTAAAGAAGGGGATCCTATCAGCCACCATATCAGGCATACTTGGGGCTTTACCTTGCATTACGCTAAACTGCACGCCAGAGAGCACAAAGCACGGACACGCTTTGGCTCTGGCTGCGATTCTTCAGTGGTTCTGCTGGGTGATGTGCTTGGCCGAAACGTGATTGAAGAAGTATTTTACGATGAGTTGCCTATTTATGGTTATGGCGGAAGAGAAGGCGGGAAGTGAATGAGTGAGGCTGGCATTGGCAATTATGAATCGAAAGAGACAGGCTTTGTATCTCTTGTATTGAGTGAGCGAGCGAGCACGTTGGAAAATTTGGCTGCTGATTAGTGTTTGTTCGGAAGCGATATAAGATGTTGATTGATCACGGAATTTGCGGTTGAGATTTTGTCTGTGCTTTTCGAATTTTGCTCTGGCGACTAAAGACGACGAAGTCGAACAGCTTCGAAAGGCATAGCGAAAGCCGAAATGTGATAAGAGCTCAGCGCAAGCTGCAATATTGGTACAAGGGGACATGATGTGCTGACTGAAGCCCAGGGCTGACCGAGACGTAAAAGAACCAGATGTCTTTTCCAGGAATGACACCGAAATCCCCTAGCTGAGACAGATCCTGTGCCCGACTGACTGACCGAATTTTCGTGCCGAATAGAACCGATTACAAAGTAAAAAAAAAAACCCTAGCAATCCGTTGAAAGGCATCCATAGACTCGAAATTCGCTCGTATCCGCCGAGATTGTAGGAGACACCCGCTTTTTGCATTTTCCGCCACTCGAAGCTTTGGACCATGATGTGAAGACAAATGAGAAAGAATGCACAAGTGGCGGTGCCCCTGCATCAATAAAAGTCGCAGATCCAAAGCTCTTGTCGTGCTCGCCGAGATCGTACGAATTTAACGAGCAGGACGCTCCCCTGCGTTGGTCAGCAATCAATATTCGCGACGGGAGAATTTCTCGTCACTTGAGAAGCCTGGTTCGCGTCCCTCGGAGCGAGGTGCTGGGTCACCATAAGCAGCCGGTTGAGGAGCTTCTCTAGCTGAGCCACGGTCGTCTCTCTGATAGTCACGAGCTTCTCTAGGATATCCTCCACCTCCTCCACGGCGATCGTCTCGGGTGTATCGATCATCGCGGGAGTAACGGTCAACTCCACGAGGCGCATAGTCGTCACGGTCTCTACCATATCCACGATCGTAATCGCGTCCGCCATAACCACGATCTCTTCCATATCCGCGATCACGCTCTCCTCGCCGGCGATCGTCGTAGCGCTCGCCATATCTTCCTGGGGGCGGTCCTCGGCCATCGTCTTCTGTTGTTTTAGTTAATTGTGTAAAGTAGAGGGAGCAGAAGATACTTGCCTCGCTTTGGTGGACCAAAGTACTTGCCAGGGGTTGGGGTACGAGGGCGGGAGCGACGGGCCTTCTCAATACTCAAAGTGCGGCCTTCAATAACCTCACCCTGAAGACCCTCCTTGGCGGCATCAGCCTGATCGGCAGTGACCATCTTGACGAAGCCGAAGCCACGCGACTCCTTAGTATGAGGATCCAACATGATCTGGCACTTCTCGACATCACCATACTTCTCGAAGAGACGAGTTACCTCAGTCTCAGAGAGGCGAGGATGGATACCAGTGACGAAGAGGTTGGAACCAGGGTTGATGGCGCCATCATCTTGGGGAGGACCTCGCTCGTTTTTGGCGGGAGGACCGCTGGCACATGTCAGTCGATGAAGTGTATAGAGGCAGGTTTGGTACTAACCGGCTGTCGGCATGGCCGTTACCGTTGGGGGATGCAGAGCGACGAGGAGCTCCGCGAGGGGACTCCCTACGGTTTGGGCGCGGGCTTGCTGAACGATCTCTCTCGTATCTAGGAGCCTCATCTACGCGTCGAACTTCAAGTCAGCAAGAATCCTTTCGATTTCGCAGATCTGCGACGAGGAGTAGAAGGCGACGAGATGGGATCATACCTTCGTAACGGGCACCGTTTTCGTTTTCGTAATCCATGGAAGCCATGATGAGCAGGCCTCGATTCTTGGAGTGGATTGGATTTGTATGCAGAGATGATCTCGATAAAGATCGAAGATGAAATGTGGTGATGAAAGGTTTGGAGTTTCGGGTTGAAGAGATCAAGCTGGAACAAAATATGTTGATTCGAAAGGGAAGTCGCGCTAGTGAGAAGGAGCTAAGCCTTGAATAGACTAGCGTAATCTCCCTCAAGGGCGCCCGAGCAGCGATGTGGTCACTTAACTGCCAAATCCAATGAATACAAGCAGCCAAAGTTTGTCTATCAGCTACTTCGCGCTCTCCAGCAGGATGTTTTGATCTTTCTCAACCGATTCAAGAAAACACGTTTAGCTCTTTGGATCACGTGATACCGTGGTTATATGAATGTACGTCTGCGTCTCCAGAAGTGGAGAGCTAATTGGAGGCCAGGGGTTTTTTGGGGCAAAAATGGATGCTTCGAATATGCTAAGCTCATGCACATACACGAAAGGTGCCTCCAATGAATGATACAGCCTTCTTTACAGTTCCCCATCGAGTCTCCCATCTCCCGTGGGAATATCAAATTCCCGTGCTGGCACATCATCCAAGAAGCTTAAGCCAGCAGAAGCTTTCCCACCACACGCTCTCTCCAACGCTAAAAAGGCAAAGTGACCGCCGACAACAGGTCTTGCTTTGAAAGAGTGAATAGCGAATCCGCCAGTCCCTTCGGTCTCGTACAGATCTGTCAACGGTGAATCTGCCCCAGTCAGTAAGTACCACAAACGCATCCAAGGAAACTTACCCGTCGAGGTCTCATTCACCCACAAGGCGATGGATTGAACAACTTCTTCCCGAACTTGCTTGCTGGCTACAGCAACCGCGAAGAACTCCCAGTCACTTTTCGCTGCAAGACGTCTGCTGTCCAGTGGCAGCCCATATCTCTGACGAACGTTATGATACCAGTCGCTCTGGATTTTGTATATCTTCTCCGTTACAAATGCCGTCCTTGACATTGTTGGTGTAATCAACGGCTTCTGCCCATCGGCTATCGCCACTTTCGAGCTCGATGGTAAGTGGAAGCATAAAAGCGAATCCGCAAACAAGTTGTAAAGCGTCGTCCAGCTGCCGTACCAAGTGTACGCCAATTTCGCGTGAGTACCGTCTCTTGAGATGGCAAATTCATCTTCCCATCTCTTGATATAAACCTCGGATATGTTGCGATAAAACTTGGCATCCTTGGTCTCTCCGACCAGTTCTGCGATTTCAGACATAGCTCTGATCCCGATGATGCCTTTCAACGCAAGATTTGTCTGATTTGCCAGCCAGCCGGCAAAATCATCTGTTGATAATTGGTTTGCTGGAATCAAAGCTTCCCGGACAAGGTAGCCAGTCCATTGCTTCCACAGTTTGTAGGACTTTTGAATCCACTGTCGGGCTTGCTTCTCCCCTTTAGCTGAAATTGGCCCTCCAAACGTGTCATCCATGCCCTCAGCGTCGATATGAAGTGGGAATGATCCACGGGTAGATTCCATAGGGTTGTCATCTCCGACCGCAGACCAAATACTGGCAGGTTCGGTGTCATACTTTAGTGAGTTTACCAGAGCAAGACCCATGATGAGCATATTTCCACACTCTTCGACAGGCATATACTCGTCTCTCCCTTCCGGGTGGCCTGTTGCATTAGGAAAATGTGCTCCCAGATCATGCATACTGTAGTCATTCCTTTCATTTCGTTAGCGAACTATTTCACAGGCAAAGAAGAACTGAGAATAACTTACGGGTATTGTCCGCTCATCTGATGCTCGATCAACGGTTCCATAAGATACGCAAGCCATTTCGGATTGGTATACAAGAAGAACGGGAAAGCAGGATAAATAACGTCTACTGTGTTCATATTCCCATCTGAAGAGATCTCCTTGAAGAAGATGATAGGATCATCAGGCGTCCCAGCAAAGCTGCAAGCACCTAAGACTTGCCTAGCGCTCACCGCAAGAATGTCCTTGTAGTCCTCGGAACCCGATTTCAGCGCGTCGATTTCAAGCTGTCCAGAGTAATTACTGGCAAGTGCGAATGCCTTGCTAAAATCATCGTAGTGATACTGTAAGACTTCATCTGCCCCCAAATAGTAGCTCGCCCATAATGGACGCATCAACGTGGTTCCGCGAGCGGATGCAAATTGGATGACCGGATCCTGGACGTGGGCCAGCGTGAAGAGGACACTGTCATGGGCTTTGCCACCTGCAGCAGAGGTACCATTAAGCTTGAATGACTTAGCAAACGCAAAGACAGGCTCGTCATCCATAATCGAGCGGAACCTGTCATCTACGATATTCTGCAATGTACCAGTCCGAGAAAATCTCTGTCGTAGTAGAGCAGATGTTCCAGCTTCGTGCCTCACATCCGCAGGTCCAGTAAAGTGTAATGTCCCCCATTCTCCTCGGTCCGCATCTTCAGTCAAAAGCTGCTCGATTCTTCTCTTGATCTTCCAGGTCTTGAGAGCTTCTTTTCCTGCTCCAGAAGATGCTTGACTCTGGCTCAATTCCCACTCAATTTCATTTCCTCGATTCGCACTGACCCACAGTCCATTCAGGTCAATATAGATGTCAATCTCGAAGTTACCGCTAACGTGCACAGTCAAGTAAGAAGCTGGGATTGATTGTCTTAGTGTAGAAGTTGGCGTAATCGGGGAGAGAAAGGACAGGACGATCTCAGCAGGATCATGGGATGAATTCGGGGCAGGAATATGGTAGGTAAGGTTTGTGGTCGAGGCATCGAACGTCGCTCCCAAGTACTTTGGGTACGAGACAGTGAAGCTAGAATGTAACAATCAGTACAGCTCTATGTCGAGAATCCACTCTGTAATTTTCGCTCCAGGAAGCTCTTCAATCATAAAAGGAACAAGAAAAAAGACCGCCAACCTTTCCCCAGATTTTGGTAACGAGTCCTGTGGTCTCCCCAACAGCGGATAAACTGTATCAGACTTCCCAACCGCAGCCAGAACAGACAATCCGACCTCTTGACCCGTCCAGAATATGGGCCAATGTTCCCACGGATCTTCCCTTGCATGGCCTAGCCATGTACTCAAATATGGATTCCGTACAATCAACGGGAGGACTGGTGGCGTTAATGTTGAGGCTTCTATACCCACAGCAGCTGCCGCAGCCAAAAGATAAGTCGTCCAGCGCATTATGAAAGCCTCTCGTGTTGGTAGTTACTGTATGAATAGCTTGAAGCTCTCGAAGCTGTGTCGTTACCGGGTGCGGCGGATTCGCCCTCAAGAAGGACTGCTTAGACGTTCTGTGCTTGTTTGAATTACTTCAGAACATTGGAGCTAAACGTTCAAATCTACTACTGAACACAGAAGAGCTCCACCGGGAAATGACCAAAGCAATTCAGAAATAAAGACACCAGACTTGAAGAATGGAAAGCAACTCATGGAGCTTCCCCTCCACACATCCAATGCGGTCATGAGAACCGCAATACTGAAACGTGGGGAAGGTCGGCTCAAGGATTTAATGCATGCCATGCCCTGGATTATGCCGAACTTGTGCACTCTCGAGGCACTGCAGCACAATTTCGGTGTAGTTTCTCCACGAGTTCCAGGCGAGGCACACCTGCCCAAGAGCACTAAACGCGGGGTATCGTTGGTGCCACCAGACCTTGTATTTACGAGCGAGACATCTGAAAGATCGGCTTCTGTTTTGAGACTTAGACTACCTATATACCCATCTCATCTGATGAAAGTTCATCTCGATACAGTACGGGAAAACTACGGAACTTCTACAGATCGAAAATATAAATTCCTTTCTTAGCGTCGCAAAATATCCCTCTTCCCTTATCACTTACTCACACTCGAGACCCCACCATCAAGATCTCCCAAGATGTCCATGACCTCCAAAGTAATCGCCATCACCGGCGGCGCCAGCGGCATTGGTCTCGCCACAGCCTCTCTCCTCCTCACTCGTGGAGCTACAGTCTGCATTGGCGACATCATCCCATCAACTCTCGAGACCGCTAAGACGACTCTCTCAGCCGTCCTCTCAGACTCTTCGTCAGGAGGACAAGCAAAAGGTTCCTTCCATCTCAGCAAGTTGGACGTCTCTAAAGTTGAGGAAGTCGATGCTTGGATTGCAGGGATTGTGAAGGAGCATGGCAGGTTGGATGGTGCAGCGAATTGTGCGGGCGTGATTGGGAAGAAGCATGGGATTACGAAGTTGGTGGAGTTGGAAGATGAGGAGGTATGTCTGAACTGTTCACCCAGACAGTTTTGAGCTTTGCCTGTTCTGTGTTCTTGAAGATCTGAGAGTCTGTGTGAGAGCATGGTTTGGGAAGCGAGTTTGAAATCTTGAAATCTGCAAAGTGCCCAAGCTGATTGTTGTGCAGTGGGAGAGGATCATTGGCATTAACCTTACGGGACTCATGTATTCCCTGAGGGCTGAATTGAGAGCTATAGAGAATGGAGGCAGCATCGTCAATGTATCGAGCATTCAAGGTGTGATGGGTAAGGACTCCTCTCTTCATATTTGAAAATATGTAGGATGCTCAAAGTAAAAAAATACTGACATACACCAGGCTTCCCCGGCAGCGCTGCCTACGTGGCAAGCAAACACGGCGTAATAGGACTCACACGCGCCACGGCGAAAGAAGTCGGTGATCGTGAAATCAGAGTCAATGCTATAACTCCTGGCTCTATCATGACCCCTCTGTTGCAGAAAGCACAGGAGATGAATCCAGAGGAGGGTGTGGGTATGCCTAATGCAATCAAGAGAGTTGGAACTGCGGAAGAGATGGCTGGGATTATCTGCTTTTTACTGGGGCCGGACAGCACGTATGTCACAGGTGCAGCATATGCTGGAGATGGAGGGTGGAATTGTTGATCGGAGGTGGAAGTGGGATGCATGTTTACTCGAAAGTTGGAAATTGAATACGAACAATGGAAAATGCTCATTGATCTTCTCCCAACGCCGAGATACATGGACCTCAAACTCGGGAAGTCCAGCCTCAGATCCTTTTAAGACCTATGAATCGCCTTCTCACTCTTAACAACCGAACTCCCTGCTGCCGAACTAGCCGTATAAGCTGTGGGTTTGTTCCTCGTGACCGTTCCCTTCGCCCTCTTATACAGCGCATAACACTGTTCTATCGTCTGATCCCTACTCCATCCAGTCTGCACAATTCCCGTCTCAACCAGCTCCCTCAAGAACATTTCCACTTCATCGAATTCCGTCCAGTCGTTCTTGTATCGTTCTGGCAAGCCTGAGTTGTGCATCAGTGCTAGTAAGCCGGCGAGTACGGTGTTGGCAGCGGCGAGGAGTGTGATGCGGACGTTTGTACCGGCATCGGTAGAGCCGAGAGCTGTAAGGGCTGCACCGAGGAGGAGTTGCAGGATCAGGGCTGCAGTGAAGAGAAGTGATGTGATATCTGGAAGAGTGTTAATAAATCCTCGGCTAGGATGTAAGTATCGATAAGTACCAGCAAAGGAATAGATGGCAGGAAGTACTTACAGTACTCATACTGAGCAAGTGTCCTAGAGCGGATGACGTCTTTGTAGAGACCATTGGGGAGACCTCTAGGAGGATATATGTATGAGGAAGGTTGGCAGATTTTGTGGTTCTCGTCGTTGGACAAAGCTCCGATGGATCGGCATATGATTGAGTGATCTGTATCAGACAATCGAGAGACACTGGGAGGCCGTTCTCCTATCGTTGAGAAGCGCTTAGAGACGCTATCTCTAGAGGAACTGGCGTAAACGGCTTCTTCAACGTCGAGCTTATCTGACATGATGGCTGATGGTTGTATAGGTTAAGTAAACAGTGGAAGCGAAAAGTAGTTTTGAGGAAGTACTTGAGTAGACAAAACTTTGTTTGTGAGACGAAAGTCTTCAAATATAATTCAATATAGGCTTACAGTCTTGAGTGAGAGATAATTGGGACTTGGGGACCAAGAGCTATCTATATAACCATGGAAGGACGATCAAGTGAGCAGCCTATGGGCAGTAACAATGGCGACGGTAAGCCCGAACTGGGCAAATCTCTTGTCAGACCACAAAGTGGGCCAATGTCGACACAGTTTGTGAGACAAGACAAGTTCTCCCAAATTTGAGGTGGTTTGGTCGAAAACTTGGGTAGCCTTGGTCAACACAAAAGCGGACTCCGCACTTGCAACCGCAGTTGTGTAACCTCGTCAACAGTTCAGCAGCCTAATGGCAGCCCTGGGACTAAAAAAACAGCTTCGGTGTGAACAAACGAAAAGGGCTGTGATGTTTACAATGACTCTTGAAGTCTGCGATGGGGGCTCAGAGGGCTGCAATGCGAGGTTGTACTGTACTGATGCCTGCTTATCTGGGTGGTAAGCCGGTGGCAGTTTGTGGGAAGCTGACCACCACCACTCCCCACGGGCTGCAAACATCAGACACTCATTTGAAATACTATAGGGCTGAGCTCGCGATGCCCGTTCACGAGTTCCAGAATCAGCGTCTTGCTTATTCTCGGCACTCGCACCTACGAAGTAAGGCTGACTGGAGGCGCAGTAGGCCTCCCAGTACAAGTCAATCTAGACCAATAGAATACTCAGATCTTCAGAAGAAACCATGGCTAAGTAGCAAGAAGAATAGAAGATATCAGCAGATAATTCTCTGGAAAAATCTGACCGTCCTCGGTCAATGATATTCTTTTCATCAATGCTCAGAGCCACAGGTAAGAAAGCAAGAGTTGTGCATCCTCCAATCTGTTTACCCTCAAGATGCAAATATTGACCAGACAGAGAAGTATGCGCAGTGAAGCAACGAATGAATTAAAAGTTGTGTGCATGTTAGCGTTGCATCGACTTTTGCGGAGCTGAAGTTATAATTCTGTTCTTTTGGTGTTGAGAGACTCTTATGGACAAGAAATGAATGGGCTGAGGGGAAATAGTGTATTTGGTGGTTTGTCAGCAGGCTAGCTCACACCCGTAGGCCTAAAACCTGCCTACGGGTGACCTAAACTAGTGATTCTGTCCTTCAACCTCATCCTCGTTGTGGGCTGCCTCTCGAATATCATCAAAAAGCTCTTTTCAATTTCGCACTCCGTTCAACGATCTGAAATGCAACTTGAAGCCATTCCACAGTCTGTTCTGTCATCCCAGGCACTCACAGAACGTCGACGCTGTGGCTGAGCTGAGATGCGCCCTGAATGTCAGACAGCCCACGACCATATTCACGGATCCATTACGGAGTTTACTCTTGAGGCAACCAGTATCAATTTACTTGTACATGTGCTAGACGGCCTACTCCGAGAATAGTTTATATGATCGAAAAAATCTGGTCGGAGAATTGTCTCGAGCATTCGGAATAATTTACACTTGTCTCAGCAAGATCCCATCAGTCTCCAATTGTTTATGTTTTCATTCGCTCTTCGTCTGTTCGATTCATCACTTTGTTCACGATCATTGACTTCTTTTATCATCCATTCTATAGTCTCGGTTACAAAATTTGACGCATGATCATTTTCTAGGCTTTTATATCTTACAGAGAGTCGCGGATTTTCGCACGCTTGTATCTCCAGCTCAGGTCTCATAATTTGTATATAGCAGAGAGCGATGTTGACATTAGTCTTCCACATCCAGTGTCTGAGAAAGATCGCGAAGGTCCTAGAATTCAGGTGAGTTGGCAGACCGATTCTGGGCGTGCTTTTGACTTCGCGGATAATAGGTTGTACATGTTTAGATCTAAGGATAAAACCCTGTAAATTTTGCGATAACAGCGTTCCTGCAGTTCCGTTGTTAAGTTCTCCAGATATCCCCGTTCCCCTGTCCTACTTTTGGCGAACCCCTCATTTCGTCCGGGTTCGAGCAGGAATTGAATATCCGGTAAGGCGATAAGTAGGAGGCCGCATCGTTGCGGTAATGAGTGAATTCATTGACAGCCATGCTGGCCAGAGTTTGAACTATTTCGATGAGGAAGGTGGTAACCACTGATGTTCGAATCACCGTGACGCTCGTACAGTACCTGCATATTGAGTCGTTCGAGGCGAGCTGTGTCGTCAACTTGCTTGCTCCTGTCACTTTTCGTTGCGTTCCATTTCTCTCAAGTCTCAAACATTCTCGATGACATTCTTCGTCAAGCCAAGATGCATCTATTTTCAGTCTTTGTTGCAGTTGGATGGGCAATGCAGCTGGCTTCATTCAGCGCACACCCACCGAGTCACTCCCATGCACTTGCTGCGGTTTTCTCAAAGCTGACTGGGTACTATCACTCATCTCCTAATGTAACCGAAGGACTCTTTGACCAAAGCACCTCACCATGGTGGGAGAGTGGATGCATTTTCGAGGCAAGTCAGCTCTGACCGTGCCGAACCTTAAAGACTAACATCTATCTCGACGTACATGGATTACGCAAAATATACTGGATCTTGGACATATAAGCAGCTCATTGGAGAGGCTCTTGTCCTGAACTCTTACGACGAGGCTCACGATTTCTTTGGTACCGATCATGAGTACGTCTCTATTGTAGTTGGGCGATGGAATGATGATGTTGAATGGTAATGCTCAATCGTTCTATTCGTTTGTCTAGTTTGGCTAACGCCAATACGTGACAGGTACGCCCAGGCAGGTACGATAGCTTCTTTCCAAGAAAAGCTATGAGACTAAAAGTAAGAGATCAGTCGTGGCCGGAGCTGAGCTCTACGGACCAGACTCTTACATGCCAGGCCTTTGGGGAAATGGCACATGGATAACGCTTGCCCAGCGAACAATCGATGAAGTTTATGACTACTGGACACCAGAGTGCGGCGGAGGTATTTACTGGGTATGTGATGATGTCTCGGAATTGAATGTGCCTCAGAAGCTCACAGCACCCTTATCAGTCGACCGATCCAGCTCAGTCTGCTACGTACAAGTCCGGTATCACACAGCTTGAGTTCATTTCCCTCGCCATGAGAACTTACCTTCAGACCAAAAATGCAACGCTCCTACACATCACAGAGAAGCTGCTCACTTGGATTGTAGACTCAGGTATGATGGATCTGGCGACCGGAACCGTGTACGACGGAGTTGACACTGCTGGCTGCACGGTCTTCAAGGCGCAATGGTCATATTCGTACGGTGTAGGTCGAAGTTTCTACACGTACGCCATGAACCATGCTTACTGTGAAATCAGCATCTTGTAGGAGGTCTTTCTTACCTTTACCAAGCAACTGGCAACTCATCTTACCTGTCATATGCAGCAAAGATCGCCCAGACAGGAATAGCGAAATTCGCGCCCACTGGGGTTGCGAAAGAGCTCTGTGAAGCGAGAGGTACTTGCAACCAAGATCAACAAGGCTTCAAAGTACTTTAAACCCGATCCATCATACTGTAACATGCATCAGCTTGATCCCACTAACACTTCATAGGCTATATTTCTCCGTCAGTTGGCGTACTTACACTCAACCACGCCGGACAAGGCAATGAAATCCAGTATCTCCACCGTACTTCAGAGGTCTGCAAAAGCAGCGCTAGCTACATGCGATACCGACTGGAATTGTGCAGGAAACTGGACGAACGGCTCAACACAGGGTTATCCTCCATTCAGATCTACGCATCTCGTTGCAGCTGCATTAGTTGCTTTAGAGGGGATCACAAAGTAATGAGAGGGAAACACTCCTCTCTGCAAGTCAGGAAAATTCACAGCATTACATGACATCAGGCAGCCATCGAATCGGCAAGTTTCTCTGTACGGGTATTCTAGATCACATTCGATATATACCTTCTACTTCCCAGCTCAACTATATACAGAGAACCACAAGAGTATTTACAAACCTCAAAGCACACGGCCTACTTGTATGCCCTCACTCCATCCCTTACAAGCACTGAGAGTACCATTGAGATTGAACCTTACAAGTAGAGCCACTTACGCAAGTCGTCGCACCAGTCCATCCAGAACCACCACACTGGGCGTACTTCTGAGCAACAGGGCCAGATCCCGTACCTGGAGCTGTTGTACCAGTCGGCGTGGTTGCCGCAGTGGTTGTAGGTGTGTTTCCACCTCCAGTTCCAGCCGAAGCAAGCTTCCCATTGACGAAAGTCAAAGCTGCTTGTCCGTACTCAGTGCCATAGCCCTGATGAGTGGCTTGGCTGCTGCCGTTACAGCAGTATGGATCCGCTGCGTCACAGTAAGATTGTATCTTGGCTGCTGAGGGACACTGGAAGCCAGCTGGGCGGGGTGCAAACTGAATGAGAGTTAGCATTTCTCGATGACAGGGTGTGGTAGAAGAGGTGGGAGCTTACGCCTGAGGCTTTGCAGGTACCGACGTTGTATGGTAGGCCTGGGATATATCTTGGGTCTCCCATGAAGATGGCTGCTTTTATCATGTTTACCGCGAAAGGTTGAATGGGGACAGAAGTATCTGTCAAGCCGACATTGGTGTCACCACCTCCACAGAAGCCGTTATCGAAGATTTGACCACCCTGAGGATTTTCAGCTGAATGCTCGCTTGAAGTGGATGGGCATGTATACCTGAGAGTATCCCACAATGACCAAGAGAGTATTTGGACACCTGGTGTTGAACGAGTTGACGGCACTTGCGACGGCTTTCACACCAGCCAAGACGGAGTTCCCGTAACTGGCTCCTCCACACGAGGCTTGTCCGCCGCAGGCTGGGTAGACGATGGCTTCGGAGGTAGCTCCTGGGTGGGCATTGAGGATCAAGTTCACGACCACTGGAAGGAAATCAGCATCCAACAAACGCTCGACCTAAAGGGAACCTACCACCAGCAGTTCCATATCCAGCGGGTGCAGTTGTCTCTCGGGCACCAAAAACGTGAATATTGGGACAGCTCGTTTGACGTTCCTCGACCTCAATAGGAGAAGCGAGAGCTTTACCTAGGAGGAGAAGTGTTGCGGCAGCAGTCAGATACATTTTGAAGATCGAGTGGATTTTTGATTACAATAGAGCAGAAGTAAACAGAAGCGGTGCCAGAACGAAGGACAAGACCAGAGGTGAGAAGCATATATCAAGAGTCAGGTACGATCAACCTCATGGAGTAGGTTACCAGGGCCGAGCGGAGCTACATTAGTAGACGTCCCATATTTCGCACGATTCAGTTCCGCATGAACCAAAAAGGTTCAAGCTTTCGATCAGGGACGAACAGTGGAGACAAACATCTCCATCTTTCCGAGAGAATTTAGCCGCAGGAAGATATTCCCACTGGTCCTTATTCCTTCTCAGTTAAGACATAACACACACTATGAGATCTCTTGACCTCCAAGATTTTCTCAATCTTCAGCTACAAAGTGACCTTCTAGTCACTCATTCGAAACGGAACTAAAAATATGACAGGGCTAGTGCTAAAACTAATAGTTTCCCCGCCATACAGGCATAAGAATATTAGGCAAAAGAGCGTTCCCGGTCGGAGGAGGTATATCAGATGATCCGAATCTGGGGACAGCTCAGCAGCAAGGCCGAACATCACAAGTAGACTCTCAAAAAGTGTCGTAGATCCCCGCATCTCATGATCTGAACTTGCATGCGAGCTCTTTATCCAGGACCCGTCTCAGACCACGGCTCCGTTCCACGTGGTATTAAGGTTGTAAGCACCTCTTGTTACACGGAAGAATCGGGTTCGGCATAGGCAGGCTGAATCCTGATTAGGGCTGGAGAGTGCCTATTTGAGCGCCACAGATGCGTGAGGTTGAGTGTGTTCCGGGGCTCTGAGAAATGAAAGGAGGACTTGTACCTTGGTAACCGTGAACTCTTCTTGTGGAGTGGGTGCCAGACTGGCGGGCCTCGGCTCAAACTTCTCAATTACACTTCCTATGCATTTTATCTGCGAGCATTCTAGACTTTCAAGATTCGGGTAAATGCTAATTGTGCTGAAACAAGAGCTTGTACCCAAGTACTAAGTACAATTATATCTAATGCATGATCCGTATCTCGCACCGCTATCAGCCTTTCGTTGTGGCTGTGTGAAAGATACGAAGTGAAAGGGGTGACTTTGGCTTTCGAATAAAGCCTCGCTTAGGTAGCCTTGCGAAACACCCCTTACCAGGTGCCGGGTAAATTGTTTAACGAAGACGGGTCAAGCGAGATCTTCGTCCTACGTGTGGTTGATATACTTCTCCAAAGCATAACATCGGCTAAAATTTGCGCTCTTCTTCAACTCAGGACTGGAATTAGTGATGACGAGTCGCTCATCACTTGATAATGTCCCTTCATCCGGAGCAAGGGGCGGCAAAAGATGGGGTAGTGCAGCAGATCGTTCTCCCGGCCATGATGATGTGCAAAACACGAAGTCTCCACTTAAAGGGCTTTTTTTAGCGCATCGATATTAGATCGGAAGGGGTGGATTTGAGCCAGGTGCGGATTGCACACGATCCATGCTCATCTAAGGTTTGCTTCATGGTGAAATATATAATTAGAAGGGTTGCTCGACGTCTTGGGGAGGGTAGCATCACAATTGCCCATCAATCTCGCCCATCATGTTGTCGTTCATCACCTTCCTTGCTACTTCTTTCGCCTTCACTTCTTCAGTTCTTGCTTACCCCGCCAATGTCACTGATCTGAGTGACCTCGTGGCCCGTGGTGGAACTCCAAGGTCAGCACCATTTGTTGTCATTGCCTATCTTCTGTGATATGACTCTTCAATATCTTTGCGCTTCGAGTGTGGAAAAGTCAGTACTGACCCTCCATAAAGTTCTACCGGCACCAACAATGGATTCTACTATTCGTGGTGGACAGACAATGGTGCTCAAGCTACTTATACCAACGGCCCTGCAGGTCAATACAGTATTACTTGGGGTACCGGAGGTAACCTCGTTGGAGGCAAAGGATGGAATCCAGGAACCTCCAGGTGAGCCATTCTCTATCAACCAACGAGTGAAGTCATGAGCCAACCTTGTTGTAGAGCCATCTCATACACCGGTACCTACAGTCCAAACGGCAACAGCTATCTCTCCGTTTACGGCTGGACTCGCTCCCCTCTGATCGAGTACTACATCGTCGAGAACTTCGGAACCTACAACCCATCTACAGGTGCAACAAAAAAGGGATCTGTCACCAGTGATGGCTCCACATATGACATCTACCAGACCACACGCACCAACCAGCCATCCATCGACGGCACCGCAACCTTTCAGCAATACTGGTCCGTTCGGACTTCTCATCGCTCAAGCGGTACAGTCAACACCAAGGCTCACTTTGATGCCTGGGCTGCACTTGGCATGAAGCTTGGAACACATAATTATCAGATTGTTGCCACAGAGGGTTACTTCAGCAGTGGCTCGTCTACCATTACTGTCTCTGAAGGTACTGCTTCAGGTGGTGGTGGAAGTACTCCAGTTGTCACGACAAGTAAGGCCGCGAGTCCTACATCTGGAACTGGAACTGGATCCGGTGGAAACGTAAGTTTACTCGCTCCTCTCTATGTGCGCACGTGTGCTGAATTGCCTATAGTGTGTTGCCATGTACTCTCAATGTGGAGGTTCTGGCTGGGCTGGTGCTACTTGTTGCTCATCCGGGACTTGCAAAGTCCAGAGTCAATGGTACTCTCAGTGTTTGTAACTGTCTTGCGCATTGTGCTGGTCAAAGTTCGCGCTACCTCTGCTTCTTCGATTCGTTTGGCATTGCTGGACTCTGTACATATCTTTATCCAGGCTATCTTTCTTGTAAATATTGTTGAAAATTACGAACACTATCTAGTTACATATCAAAGTAACTGAATACATAGCCTGAGCATGCTCTCCGTTTTGTGCTTTGGTGGTAGGGAATAAAAGAAGAGAAAGACCAGGAGGACGGCATCATGAGGCGCCGGCTTGCCTTCCCACCCCTCTGTAAATGACCCTTCTAGAGCCTACGATACAGGATAAACGACCCCATGAACATTCGCTTGTCGTGAAAACAAAATATGCACAACTTGCCTGGCCAATCAGCTCATGTCACAGCCGAAGCGGATGGATTCAGGCTATGCAGAGACAAGAAGTGCGAATGCGGGACAACATGACGGCCCAAGGGGAACAAGATATCTTAGCGTGGATCTTTTGCAGGTCTGTTGCCTCAGAACAATCAGACTAATCAAGATAGCATGGTAACAGACAGATTTGAACATTCGTGCCCATCAACTCACCTATTCGCTGCCCCACTGTCCAGCCAGCACAGAGGACAGCAAATAGAACCCCAACCGGCCCGCGATATCATTCCATTCAAGGTTCTCTCACCGACATTCGGGGGAAAATGTGACCAGAGAATAAAATCATCAAGATCAGAACAAGACCACTCGCCGGTAATAATCCAGTTCTTGAGTTCAATCGTGGCGTCCGTGCAAAAGCAAGAAATCCACCTCGCATACGGTTGTCTGGCCGCCCACGGATCATGAGTGGCTGATCAACACTGCACACTAAAAGCTGCAGCATCAAGAGTCAACTCGTCACCCCGCGAACCAGGTGAGCACAACCAAATCCTTGCTGCGACCCATCCTTGAAGCTGTTCTGATCTGACCGCAAGGTTGCTTGCTGCAAGATTCCATCAAAGGCTTCATCATTTTGCGATACGATTCCTTTCGGTGCGAAGTATTTATTCGAAGGGCAGAGGTCAACTGCGCATCGCCTAGCAACCGGCATTTGGCGATAACACTGTTTACTTGGCCGATAAGCTTGACGGGACGGAGGATTTCGACAACTTGCGTGCTTCACGACAGCTGAAGAATCAACACTGCATTCCAGAGACACACAAGACAATTGAGGATCTATCCGCATTCCTCGAATCTATCGATAAGGGCGATTGAACGGACGAACAAATCTATACGAAACTTTTGGACAAGAGGATAACAGAGTTGATTCCGAGCTGCCGTTCGGCGGCCCTGAGCCGTCGTGATGGCTACCGATGGGCTTTCTCCACCTGGGAGCAGCTCCTATTCCTCGAATACGATGTATGTTGGAGATGGCACATGGGACTCTTCAAGAAATGATTTTTTGTTACCGAACTTGGTGGGGTTAAATTTCGAGACGATGCGATATAATGGTACATTTCCTCCTCCTCTGTTTGCGGGGAAAATATACTGATACACTTGCTAGGAATGGGCAATCGGTTTAAAACGATGCCGGGATACCACAGCTTGATCAGAGCACATGGGATCATAGCTGTGATAGCTTTCCTTGTCCTCCTTCCTGCCGCCATCCTCATGGCCCAATTCTACTCTCGAAACCCATTTTGGGCGCTACGCATGCATATATACCTTCAGATACTAGTTGTTGGACTTTCAACAGTCGTTTTTATCATCGGATTCAATGCCGTCGGTCTCAATCGCAGTCTTACGAACCCACATCACGGAATAGGTGTCGCCATTTACACTTTGATCTTGATACAAGCAATTGGTGGATGGTGGATACATAAGAGAGAGAAGAAACGGATTCCAGTCAAGCTGCCTGTAAAGTTGGTTCTGCACCAATGGCTCGGAAGAACCATTGCGTTACTGGGCTTCGCTCAGGTTCCCCTCGGATTGACCCTCTACGGAAGTCCTAAGTGGATGTTCATCTTGTATGCTGTCTGGATGTCCTTCTTGCTGGTCTTATTCTTCGTTTTGTGCTATAGAGCAATTCCACCACTTGACGGATATGGGACGGGAGGCAGGCGTAGCCGTAGTCAAAGCAGAACGGTTATTTCAGACAAGAAGCCCAGCAGGTTCGGAGGACTTTTGGGTCCATTGGCCCTGGGGGCTGGAGCCGCAACATTACTGGGCAGACGCAATAGGAGCCGCAGTAGGAGTCGAAGCCATAGTCGAAGCAGGAGAACCGAAGTCATTCCAAGCAGAAGAGGAAGTGGGAGTTATATCGAGGAGGAAAAGTACACGGAGAGGTCCAAGAAGAGTGGCGGGATGATGGATAAGCTATTGAAAGCAGGAGCAGTCTTCGGAGCGGCTGGCTTAGCCAAAAGCTTCTTCGATCGAAGGCGAGACAAGAGAGCTGACGACGATTATTCTTCTGTTGCTCATGATACACCATCTCGACGACATGCTGCTCGGCGACACAGCGATAGCGATCTATCCGAGAGCATTGTTGTGCACAGAATGGAAGAAGGAAGACCAGGACACTCGGGCGTATTGCCTGGACCAGGAGACCCGGTTCTGGCAGCAGCAGCTATCAGTGCTGCAGCACCTAGACCTACCACACCAAGGCCGGTCCGTAGGCAAAGTTCCTTCGATTCTGGTTCATATTCTTACGAGTCTACGCTCTCTCCGTCGAGACGCCCACAATCTACCCACGGGGCTCGCAATGGAGTTCTAGCTGGCCTTGGATTGGGGTGGTTCGCAAAGAAGATGAAAGACAGGCGAGATAGGAAGGAGCTGGACCGTCTTGATCGACTTGAAGCACAACGTATTGAAGATGAACGCCTCGCCAGACATGGCGCCACGCCATCTCGACTCACAGGCGACGGATTCCCAAACTCAGGCCGCCGATATCAACGACGACCTTCTATTGCACACTCTTCCGAACTCTCGTCCATCATTGACGACCCTCACGCTATCCGCCCTGGAGCCATACCACCGCCTCTTGTTCCACCACCTTTCCAACCCGGTCCAATAGCCACAGATATGGAAGCGAGAAGGTCGCGATACGATGTCACACAACCTGTGTCAATGCCACCCTTGCCTCATGATCCACAAGGCATTTTGCATCAAGAAGAGTCAGGAAGCGAAGCCTACATGTCAGCAGGCGGTCACCCGCATCGCAGACATTCCTCACGGAGGAGAAGAGAAGGAGAGATAGCTGCAGCCGCCGCAGTAGCAGAAGCCGCAAGCCTAGCAGCAAAAGAAGAAGCCCGTAGGAGGCGATCGAGAAGTAGAGGTGGGCACACGAGTGGAGATATAGTCAGTCCACCTGTGAGCGTGAAAGTGAAAGTCCACGGAGACAAAGACCGGAATGTCACGTTACGGCGTCTCACAGAGCAGGAAGCTGCCGCAGAAAGAGAAGCGAGAAGGTCAGATCGACGACGGAGGCGTGCAGACTCGTTATCTAGTTTGAGTGGCACAGACACTGGACCCTCGCGGCGGAGATATAGAAGAGAAGGAAGTGTGAGAAGGGATAATACACCACCTCCAGCAATGGCGCCGTTAAATCCTCCTGCTCCACCGTTTGCAGGTGGTAGGAAACCGAAGGACTCGGCATACTATAGCGGCAGACCAAGCGAGCCAGGAGGAAGTCCCGCTGGGCTACCAGCTGGGAGTATAGGAAGTCCAGAGAGCCATGGTACATGGAGTGCCATGAGTCCCAGTGTGGAGGGTGGTGATGGAGCAGAGGCTGCTGCTGAGAGGCGGAGGAGGAGGAGGTTAGAGCGGAATCAAAGGAATCAGACGGGGACGGTGGATTTCACCTAAGGATATGAGCGATATGATTTGGGAAGTGATTGGATCTCTCATGAGAGCGGAGCTTGGGTTGCATTTGTAAAAATTACTTGGATGTCTTTTAACTTGGACATAATTTGGGTAGGCAGTAGGCTAGGTGTCAAGATGATGATTGATAATGCCTATAATGAAAGAATGGAACTTACTTGTACCTATCAATTTAGTCTCTGTATGACAGATGAGAAGCATTTGTGATATTCATTCTCAAGTCTTGGTCAAAATACATATAAGGACAGAAATAGTAATTGTATGTCTATAAAAAAAAAAGGACTTGAACTTGCATCTGGCACCAAAATATCAATCTTTCTCACACTTGCAAATGCAATACGATACTTCAAACGTTTCCAAAGCTGAAATTCGTAGCCTTTCGACGAGGCTGCCCCACACTTCAGCCTCGCGAGCTCATCGCGTCCATCGCGTAAACAAACTTCTTTCTAATTCAACACCAACTCATCCCACCACAGTCTCCTCAACCTACAGCCCGAATCTCCATACCGCATTCACAAAATCACCACCCTCGAAGAAAATGCCCTCCCAAACACCACCCTCCCCCTCCCCTCCCCCCACCGCTCCCGTCGCCCTCACACCCGGTCCCCGCGCAGCAGCCTTCACAAAACTCTACTCCGACGCCCTCGCAAACACATTGAAAGCAATCTCCTACCCCAGTTTCGCAACATGTTTCCCATCCATCGCAGAGCACGCGCCGTCGGCGTTGAAGATCTTACATGGGAATATGGTAGGGAGACTAGAGGGCTTTGCGAAGGCGGAGTTCGAGACGATTTTGAAGGAGCGGAATGTGGTGGAGAATCTGAATAGACTCGAGGATTTGATTGCCGAGGCGAGGAGGAGGAGGGCGAGGGGGTTGGATGGGGGGAAGGGTGAAGTTGTGCCGTGAGTTGTTTCTCTTCCGCTTTACTTCTCTTGTGTTCTATTTCGCTGTCCTTGGGCAGGATATCTCGAGGATGGGAAAGGCACTGGCAAAGGCAAAGGGAGTGGTATTTGTATTGCGGAATTAAGAACTCATTACAATTTTACTAACACCCTCCTTTCCTACAGACCACATACTCTCTCTGCGCCCTCCCTCCTCCGCTCACACACCACGCCTCTGCATCAATCGCAGCAGTCACACCTCAATGCCAAACTGCAAACCACAGAATCGCAAAACGCAACACTGATAGAGGAGATTAGGAGACAGAGGGCGGAGATTGAGGAGTTGCTTAGTATGGGTGAGATGCTGGTTAAGGATTTGGAGGGTGCTGGGAGGAGATTGGGTGAGAGGGGTGAGGAGTTGGCGAGTAAGGGGAGGGAGGCGGAGGGGGTGTTGGCGGAGGAGCATTGAGGTTGGTTTGGAGTGAGGACCGGGATACGGAGTAGAGACTGGGGGCTTTTCCTTTACATACTTGGTTTGGGTTATTGGAATTCTGCATAGGGTGAGGGATTGTTTGGTCTGGTTTGGTTGGGGGCTGGAAAACGGCGTTTGAGGTTGGAGATCTCAGTCATATGGTAGGCTGGACTCTGATGGGAAGCATATACCAGGACAGGCAAGGAATGCTTTCTAGGACATCAGCATAGTACGAATTCAAGGATAATGCAAGAAATTCGCTCAAGCTGTCCTTAGTGAAATGTGGTTTTGCTACTATTGCAAAGCCAGACAGCAGATAGAAGTAAATCATTCCTCTCAAAATGAACAAGGCAATCACGAAAGAGCCCCCAAACCGAGCCACTATCCCGCAGAACCCAACCACCTCAATTCACCCAAAGCGGAAAACAACTCGACATGCACGTCCGCATGTGGTACGTACCACAAGAAACCAACAATGTAAGGATGCTTGGATCCGTACCACGTTAAACCAACAATACCAGGATGCCGAATGCGGGAGACGAACGATTGTGGCTTTTGGAGGGATCCGTGGACTCGGGAATCTGGGTACGTATTGGTGTCACTGTGTTACACAAGTAGGTTCTCTGAAGATAGGATGTAACACTGCTATCATGTGCTGTTACCAACAAATGCTCGTTCGTGCAGCCAATGGTGTGGGGTTGTGGCTTTCGAGATACAACGTTGGGTTTGTACGGGAGGGAATATCAGGAGACTGGATCTGATGTGTTGAAATGAAGAGGATTTAAAGTCGAGCAGTGTTAATACATCGAGATGTCGAAGACGTTGTCAGAAGTCTTTTATTGTACGAAAAATATATACGAAAGAGGTACCGGTGAGCAATGCAGATAATCTAAATGCAATTCTCATTCTCCTCCGTATGCAGGTAGGATACAAGTACAATCAATACACTCGTTTTCCTTCGTTGATGCCTGCCCTTTCCATTTCCAACCGCTCCAAATCAGAATCCAATGCCCATCTGAAAACTCCAACACCAAATGCACCTCCGCTCTTTCTAAAACACAAAGGAAACAAACACAAACACATATCTCTCATCTTAAACTCTGACTAAGGTTCCGGACTGTCCAAGCCTGAACTCGCCCGCTGTATCCTTCCCCTCCAACTCACCATAATCAGGTGGTTGACACCGCTCCAGTTTCCCAGTAGCCCAGTCGACTACCCATTGCTTGCCCATCATGATCACTAGATTGCTCTTCCTAGGACTGCGGTGAGTCAAGATAGCCATACAGCGTTTAGCGTAGAGCATATCATAGAAATGGGTCCACTGATGCTGAGGCCGCCATTTACCATCTGGGGTAATGGATGGATTTGGGGCGTTAGATGTGAGGTTCAAGTGCGTGGTTGATTGGATTGCGTGGCGTGCGCGGGAAAGTAGATTTGGTCGTGATTCAGATGCTGCAACTGAGACAGAAGCTGGATCCGGCTCTGGCTCTGGGAGAGAGAGACTGGCTGTCGATTGAGCCGGAGATGGTGAATCCACGGATGGAGGCGTTGAGCTGGATTCAGTATCTTCAGCGACCGTCTCAATGTCCCCTTGGGTAGTAGACACGGCTGCATCTCCAGCATCGTCTGTTTGATCAGTACCAGCCAACTGCGGGAATTGGGTTGAGATGATCTCCTCCTGCTCCCGGACTAAATTGGCGTTCAGCTGGACGTTGGTAAAGCCTGCTCTGGCACGTCTCCGGGTTCGCCGAGGGATACTGAGATCTCTAGGAATTTCCCGGTCGTCGAGAGGCGGCGCAAGGTCGATAGCTGCAAAGAGTGACTGTAGCCAAAGAACGAAAGTCTCAATCTTGTTACAGGAGAGGAGAAACTGGTCTGCCTCAGCACGAACACGAATAACAAAGCGTTTTCTGAGAGTGATCAGCAAAGTCCATGAGGAGCGCTAAAGCATAAATCGCATTTGAAAGACATTCCGCGGTGATCCGGAAGTGATAGGAAATATGCTACGATAATGACTTACTTCAAATAATCAGCAGCGATGCCCACATCGGCATGCTGAAGGTTATAACTTCTCAAAAACACCCCTTTCTTCGATGCCATGGAATCATCGGGCTTTCCGCCATCATCCTTCCCACCAAACAGCGCTGAACCCTTGAACTTGTGGAATTTCAAAGCCGTTCCTTGGAGCGTCACAACAACTCGGTACCAGTTCCTGTCAACAGCCCGATGCACAGCGCCTTCCAACTCCATCTTCTTCAAGAATACATTCTGTATACTGATCGCACTCGAGTACGGTGGCAGGATCTCGCGGCCTTCGTCTTCTCGCGGCTGGATATTGAACTTGCGGCGAAGAGATGGAGAGTCAAGCAGGTTGTCGTACGCCGGGGGATCGTCGGACGGTCCTACTTCCTCCTCTTGCTCGTAATACTCGTCCATGGAATGTCGATTTGAACTCGGGACAATAGGAGCGGCATTTGCATTATTTCCAATCCTCGCATTCCCATCTATGGCAGTCCCATGACTGCCAGTTCTCACTTCCAAAACCATTGCCAACGTGGCCGATAACTATAACTGGGCGTCGGATGAATAGCAAAGTCGGTCAGACATGATTCTCGAGCGGTTCGAGGTAGCTGATGTGCGACGTCGGTTGCTTTTTCGACGACGCTGCCCCTAGAGAAAAAAGAAAGTTGTATGTCCTGATAACAATACCGGATTTGTAGGAAGAGTGAAGAGAGAGGTAGAAATTAGGAATAGGGAATGAGAAGCATCAATAGAGACAACTTGATGGATACGTACACCCGCTGGTGCTCGGATTGCGGAAAAGCCTCCCTTGGCCCCGGGGTAGAGGTGAAGTTTCCCTACGAAGGAAAGGGCCGACCAAGCCGTGAGAGGTCGACTGCTGAAGGGGCCCTGGTCGGGCTCGTTCGAATTGCAGACGACGTGCATGATAAGTGGCCTCGGCCTTCCAGCCGCGTGTGTTATCGCAGTCCAGGGCATCTCTTGCTTACCTTGCAACAGGAGGTAAATTACCGTGGGTGGTACGTAGAGTGCTGTGGAGTACTAGGAAAAGGACCGGGACGTGGGAGTGGGAGGTGGGGGATGCGAGACGGGGGAGACGAGAGGATGGGGAAAGAGGGGGAGGGGGCATGAGATGGATCAGGGCTGTGTCCTGCCTGCCCTTGCGTGCCCGTGGGGAAATGTTAATACAGTACAGCGATTGGTGAGGCGGAGATCGGATGGCGGATGTGGAGGAAAGGAAGGCGAAAACGAGACGAGATCAGCCTGTTTGTATGGAGTACTACTGTACTTTCGTACCTTCCGTACTGTAGTGAGATGCATTTAGCCGGTGTTGAGCCAGATAACGGATACTGGAGACACCGGATGCTCCTTCAGGTTCCATTGGCTCGGATAACCCAGCGCACGTGATAATGCCCGCAGATTTGCTGGTGGTTAGACGAGCCCGTTTAGGAAATCAACCCCGAGTTACACTCGGCATGAAGCTCAAAGTGTACATCCGTATGCTTCTCGTTTACCTCGTAAGCAGGGAGACTTCTACATCTGGAGGAGGTTTCAGCCCCATTCGACCTCACATTGTTTAAGTCGTGAGACGAGATGGGTCGGTATTGCGAAGTATACGAAGGTCAACTTGTCCCAATGTATTGACCCGAGATAGGACCCATTACTGCTGGATGCCTGACAAAAGCTTACACAGTCAGTCAGTCGATGGCTTTTGCTGCTATATTTCTGTTCGAGCACTCTCAGATTCCCGTCCTCGCTTGCCTGGCCTGGTTCAAGTAGAGTGGAAGCTCGGTGGTGGCCCCAAGTAGCTATCCTTCAACCCTCCAAGATCAACAACCAATTTCTCGAGCAAGAGATTCCAGTGCTGCAGTCTTATCTGGATCGTGTGCTTTCCCGGCCCAAAGGTCTCGCCTAAGCTGTGCTTCTTAACCCACACACAGTCCTGCACGGCATTGACCCAGCCTTCCGGAAGTTCTCCACCGCTCTTCGCATCGTCCACAAGTTTGTGAGTCTGCGAATGTCCATCAACGACCATGTCGTACTTCATCGGATCGCTCGGGTCGATGTCGAGTGTCATGTTGAAGTAAAGAAGTAATTCAGCATTGGCAGATTCAGTGAAGACCCAGGTGTCGTACATGAGATACGACTCTGCCTTATCTGAAGCTGGGTCCAGCGCCACTGATCCATTTGCACTTAACCCTACCTCAACTAGCGCTCGGTAGGGAGGCTCGATAACACAAGACGAGGCAGGTATTGAGATGTAGCCATCGCCTTCAACAAATCCAGAAAAGTCCTGTGAACACCTTCGTCCCAGTACCGGCACGTGAACTTGTTCGAAGTCTCCCTCGGCTGAGCGAATGTCAACCAATACCTCCTCATCAAATTCTGCTGGGACTTGCTCCCAATCGATATTTATTAGAATACGCGCGTCCTCTTTCCCTGGGACCAGAGTACCCTCCACTGTGGACAAGTTAACCCAGCCGAATGGCGCACCCGCAGTCCAATGAATGGGCATGTTTCCCCTCGAGAACACATCAAACCACCTACTCTCCAGCCCGTACCGGGTCATCGCACCGAGTGTGAGCCCAGGCACCAGATCTCGCCTACTCGGATGCGTCCTATCAGATTCTTCATTGCACCGACCAGGACGCACGCCCTCGTGTCCTTCTACGACAACGCCCATCTGTCCAGCAATGGGATTGGAGTTCTGCCTGCTTTGAACATAGCAAAGACCACTTATCATATCGCGCGATGGAGCGTGCCATGTGTCTCCGAATCCGTAATGTGGCTGCATCATGATGTGGTTCCACTTACCGTTCAATAAAGCGTGATATTCCTCGGTAAGACTGTAATCGGCGTCGAACAGCTCTAGCACTTCTTTCGCCAATGTGTTCGCATAATTTCGCCGCTGTCGAGCATAGAGTTGATTTCTTCCCAGGGCTATTTGCAGCGCTATGAAGATGTATGAAGCTTTGATAGGAAACAGCACGAGCTGGAAGATGCTGGCTCGTTGGTCTTTCGGGCACTGGTTGTGTATTGCTTCTGCCGTGCCCAAGAGCATCTTCCAGCGGTTGACAACATGCTCAGCTTCATTGTAGTGGAGAAGAGAGAAAGTATATGGCTCGATGTGCTCGTGTTTCCTCATTGATACAAGGCGATCGTATTCAAGTGACGCGGCGCCGATCACTTCGCTCAAGCCGGTGCCAAAGTCTCGCTCTGCCATGGTGTTGAAGAAATGTGAAAAGTTGTCTGGTTTGATGGAGCTGATGTCCCAAGCTAAGGACATTGCAAATGTTAGTGGTATTTCCACTGCCTTGATGTCGCCAACGTTGAATATCCAGATCTGTTTTGCATTGCGCCTATGAGCTTCTTGCAGTTGGTGCCATGTTTTTCCCTGTCGGCAGTCAATATCTCTAAAGCAATCACTAGAAGACAGACTTACAAGTGAGTTGCTGTTAGTCCATTTGTAACTTCGCGGATGTCCAACATATTCAAAGTGGTAGTAGACCTAGCGAATGTCAGTACCGTCATATAAGGGCTATGGAGACAACATACACCTGCACCACCTTTCCTCTCAGCCTCCTTGCCCTGAGGAAGCCGTCGGATAGTTCCAAAGTTGTCATCAGCAAACAAAAGTGTGACATCGTCTGGGACTTCGAGCCTTCCAGTATCATACTGATCTTGCACCTCTTTGTATAATGCGAGGAGTTCTACAGATGAGATTAGCTGTCAAGTGCTCCATCCGCATAATGCTGTGCTTACGAGTAATACCATCCTCCTTCCCATGAACTCCCTTGATAATCTCCCTCTGCGTCCTAATCACATCCTTCACAACCGCCGCCGGATCATCCGTCACCATCTTCTTATCATATTCACCCCTCATGCCCAGCGTTACATACGATTCGCATCCTTTACTCCTCTTAATCCCCTCTTCGAAGAACGCACTGATCTTCTTCTTGTTAGTAAGCCAGTTCCAGCTGCCGTCTGGATTTTCGGCAAACCACTCGTTGGACATGCGTTGCATGGGCTCGTGATGAGATGTTGAGATGCAGATTCCGTAGTCTTCGGCGGTTTGCTGGTTGGCAGGGTCGTCGGTGAAGAATGAGGCTCCAGGATTGGGGTAGCCGGGCCACATTGCTGGCCAGAGGAAGTTGGCCTAGATGTCGTTAGCTTTTTGGAAGATCAGAAGATTGTGATCAGGCGTTTGGTACTTACCTTCAGCCGCAACAGCAGCTCAAACACTTTCTTGTAGAATTCAACACCATACTTCCCGAAGTTCTCTCGCACCCATCCAGTAAGAGCAGGTGCCTCGTCATTAATGAAAATACCTCTAAACCGAACACTCGGCTCTCCTTGAGTGGTAGTAACAGGTAGTGCATAGATGTCAGGGTGGAGTTTAGGTGGAACATCAGCCCACCAATACCATCTGCCTTAATGTCAGTCTATCCGAGTCCCAATAACTCAAACAAAACCTCCATCAACCAGGTGAAAAAGTAAAAGGAGAAACATACGGCGAAACACCAATCTGTTCACTCAGCGCGTACGTCCCAAAGATGGCCCCTCTCTTATCACTCCCAGCAATGACCAACGCCCTCCTACACCCCTCAAACGGCTCCTCAACAACAGCCGTAATATAACTCTCCCACTTCCCTCTAATCCCATCCACATTAATCTTCCCACTGTTTTCAAGACTCTGAATCAGAGGACTCTTCGTCACACTACCCACGATGATAGCCGTTTGAGATTTTGCATCGCGCCTATCGTTTTGACCAGTCCAGGATATGAGAGGTGAAGCAGCCTCTTTTGTGACGCGTGAGAAGTCTTCAGAGAGGTTGTGTGCAGCGATGTGGATTCCGGGATAGTCTGCTTGGTCGACTACGATGGGTACTCCAACAAGACTGAGAAGTCCTTCTCCAGCGGAAAAAGTTACGAATTTCTCATCGAACATGTTGCACAAAGGTAATTTCCGATTTCAAAGTCACGGTTTTCTGAACGACGAGGCGGTTAAAAGCCTCGCGACATTTCTTGCCCACCAAGAAACAAAATCTCAAAACAATTATTTGATCGCTACAAGGATACTCTTGCAAATGGCTGTTGTACTCGCTGTTTCGGGCAGAAACCAGCGAGCTTTTCATCAGGGGGCTATCCTGAATGAGGGAACCTTCCCCGCCAGGACCCCTCAGCCCCAGACCTTTAGTGCATGCCATCCCCACTGTTCGGTCCCCAAGACTTTGCTGTGCCTGACTCTCGAAAGTGGGATGGTTTGATGCAGCCATTCGGAGCAATTGTTTTGAAGAAGGATTGTCCACAATTGCTTGAGGAGAGTGTTTTGTTTGGCTGGTGAGTTGGAAGTTCATGAATCGCCAGTTTTCTGGGCGGGCTTGAGGGCTGTCAGGCCTGTAATCCTTTCCAGTGGTCTTAGCCAGCGAACTTCACTCGTGCTTGTTCAATCTTCGTGTCTGCTTTGCCTACCAATTTCCGAGATGCCTACAGATTTGAAAGTCTTAGTTTTAATTCCAAATAATGTCTGACTTACAAGATTAAAAATAAAATGATCGTGAGGAAGAAAACCCGTCTTGTACGAACTTTAGGCTTACCAAGTTCGGGCTCCTTACCGAGCCAAAGTAAACAAACTTCATCTTTCGTATCAAATGAAAAAGAAATATCCGTTTTGAGAAAAAATCAAATATGCTTTTAAAGAGAATCATAAAATCAAATCGTCTGTCATTTTCTCTGAATCTCTGAAAGGGCATGAACTGCGAGAAGGGCTTAGAACTGTGCGAGAAGCTTGCCCTTAAGTCACGGATACAAGCGATACCAACTTGTTTTCGAGATTGCTGAACCGAAACTCAGGTCCTGATTAGAGCTTCGATTCTGCAGAACACGTCGTCTCTCATTTCTAGAATTTGATCTAAGGGTATAAACTTTGGGCAGTGAGTCTCTAGAACCCAACTTTCCAGCACTGCAGCTTCCTAGGGCGGTGGCTCCGTCCTTCTTATCTCGTCCTCATCTTCGTGCACTTCTAGGCGAAATTAACATGATCTTCGCTGAAGAGCAAATACAAACGTCTAACACACATCTAAAGAAATACAATCTCAGACTAATCTCACTTGCATTCAACCTTAGACCGTTATCAGTTTAGTGAGGCTGCCTCTCAACCACATACGACAACCAGCCTCAATACCTTATCTCTTCGAACTCTTGTATCAGTGGAGCCTCACCTCATTTGACCACTGCTTGGTGCCTGCCTAGATTACGCGCAGGACGGTTCCGTATCTCAACGATTCATTTTCGCCAACTTCGTCCTTCTAATACTCATTTACAGCCAATACCACTCCTCCTCCCGATCTGCCTTCTCTCCTTCCTAACCTTCTACCCCATAATCTGTTCCCTCAACTTGCCACCGAAGAAGAGTGGTGAAGATATCGACAGCTGCTCTTGGATACCTCGATCTACCATCAAAGAAGGTCGGAGAAGATATTGCAAAAGATACGACTACCCCGCCGTGATAAACACCGTCAACCACTTCAGGTAAGTTTCTGCTCCATGCCCAGAGGCTCTCGATCAAGGAACAGGTAACAAACATAGCATAGCCATCTGTCGCAATGTCAGGACCAAGTCTCAACGACTTCCATAGCCAGCTCGCTGGTCTCAATGCGACCTCTATCTTACGTGCCAGGATGGCGGAAATGAGGAAGTTGAGGGAACAATCTGGACTCGTGTCGTCGACAGTCGCGTTTTCGTCACCTCAGAGTGGTGCTTTGCCAACTGTGGTCCCAAGTTCAGTAAATGTACGTGCAAGTGTGGTAATCTGGTGCCCTCATTAACCCAAGTCTAGGAAATGCAAGATGGTTCCGCAGCTATAAGAAACGAGCTGGCATCTTTGAGGAAAGAAGTACAGATGATACTGCAGGCTGTTTCGAAACTCACTGATGAAGTTGGGAAGCTATCCAAAAGCGAAAGTGAAAGGTCACAGCAGCACCACGAGCAACATCCGGAGAAAGAAGAAAATGGATGCCCTTCGAGCCCAGAACCAGAAGAAGGCCTGCCCAGCGACGGAGCTGGAAAAATTCAAAATGGCCATGACCAGCAACTCAAACAAAGCGAAACAGCATCTTCTTCAATCCCAGAATTAGAAAGACCTCGTCTCAAACAAGTTGAAGCTTTACAGCACAGAATCGAACGCCACAACACAGAAGCAGAAACCGTCGCTTCTAAACCACAAAGCCCGGGAGAGCTGCCCAATGATGATATGGAGGGCTTAGGATGTGATCGTGAGCCGCATATCAACCAAGCAAGAAAAGAGTGCTCTGCAGCCCCAGTCACCGCAAAACTATCCAACACCACGGTCGACGCTACACAGACTGACCTCCGTCTACAGCAACTTACCAAAGAGTCTGTTATAACCTCATCACCGGGAGCGCGGGACAATGCCCATGCCACAACCTCCCAGATCGATCATATCCCGAAGCAAGCAACATCAGAATCATCTGCAAGCTCAGAGCTGAGAAAGCGTGCTGTCACTGGAGCCGGAGAATCGCATGCCAACACTGAGCAGCGCACGAAGAAGGCAAGAATCGAAGGTTCTGCTAGACTCGATACAAATCGTGATGGCAATGTCATCAAAGGCTTCAAGGAGTGCAGTTTCACCAAGGATACATTGCCAGCTCCGACTACACAGGGACGTACACACACTCAGACACCGTCGCAGGCTTCGACTACTCGAGTGAGTGGAGTAGAATTAGCACGTCGAATGAGGAGCAATATCAGACCAGCACAGAATCAGAAACAAGTCACGCAGAAGCAGGCTTCGGCTTCAGCACAATCGGCACTCAAACCAGGCATTCGCAAGAGAGCCCGAGATAAATCTGAGCGATGGTTGGTCTCCGAACAACAGGTCCTCATCAAACTAATGAACGGAGAGAAGAAAAACTCAAAGGGGCCGGCACTGCCTTGCGGTAAGATTGCCAGGGCTTTCAATGAGAAGATGAAGGGCGTTGTTCAGCGACGAGGTGAGAAGAGCATAACCGGATCGGTCCTGAGAAAGCATAGAGTAGCCCCTATTCGGACAGCAGGTAGCATTGCAAACATGATGAGACGCTGCCAGAAAGAAGGAAAGCGTATGTTGAAGATGGATGGAGATTCTGCTGAGCAGCCGTTGGAGATTGAAGATGCTGATACCGACGAGGACGACGATGATGAAGATGATGAAACGGAGAATAATGAAGACGAGGATGAAGGAGAGGACGGAGAAGATGAAGACGAATAAAAATTCAAGAATCAGCGAATGCAGGAATGTTTCGATATTTAATAGTTGCAAGGAAACATGACGTGGATGGCAGAGAATCAGGTTACACACAGATCGGCGTTAATATTTGATCCCAAGTCATTGAATCTGCATTATTTGCTCACTAGGAAATAAATGCGAAAGGATACTTGCCCAGTTGATGTGTCTCAATTGATAAGATTCCCATCTTAGTACTGTTTGCTTCTTCTTTTGCAAGTGGCACAATGAATAGAGGAAGCGGTTGAAGCCTCGAGATTTTGAGTTGGAGAAGTATCAGAACCAAAATTAGGTGGGGTTTGACCTCGGCTAGGGCAAAAGTTATTAGGCATCCACACCAGCTAAAATCTGCAAAAATGAATAGCAATCATATGCTCAACCAGACATAGAGCAAAAAAAATTCACCGAAGGAATTCGTAGAACGATGCATTTAGGTCGTACCCGGGCTCGAACCGGGGATTCGGGAAAGTTCTTTACAGAACATGATTCTGATATGTAGTCAAAATCCCACGTGCTAACCGCTACACTATACAACCTCGCAGTTGTGTGAAACAACTGTAATTGCTCTTGGACGATGCGGCAAAAGTGCTTATTTAAATACTTATGTACTAAAACATTTGCCACCCTCGGCTCAGATGTTTCATCGGCACCTATAGAACACGAAATCCAACTTCTTCCCTGCACTTGTTCTTTTTTGAAAAAACTCTCAACGAAGTTCTGTCTTTGTATATGCTTCAAAAATAGCTAATAAACAAGTAGGTATCTTAACATTATATTATTGTTTTTGTGGTTGTAATTGTTTTCAAGTATTTATCAAAAAGTAGGGACATGCCTCAATCGGCCACCTATTTCTCCGCCCCACAGCCATGGCTCCACAAGCAAGTGGGGTGTTGCTTCACATGATTTCGATGATTGGTCTCCCACGATGTATTATTGAGGAAGCAGGAGGCAAATCTGATGATTGCACTGTGATCACCAGGCAGTCTTATTTGTTGTGGTGTTTGAGTGGGAAGTGTGTTGCAGAAATCAATAATGACACGCCCTCGCTTACTACTTGAAAGTACTTGAAGCGAATGTACTGTTCGTACTCCACGCAAACCGTCCAGAACCTTTTCCAGCTCTCATTCCCTTTGAACCACGATCACAACGAAATCATGTCCAATCGCCACAGTACAGGATCTCACTTTCTCATATCGAGACACGTAACATAACTCTTTGCTGGTATAATCCCTGGATTCAAGGCTGCTTGAACCGTGTTACTGGGAACAATAACCTGCTTTCCAAGATGTGGTTGGCAGAGCTGTAAAGAAAACTCGCTTTTCTTCTTTCAATTACTACGGAGTACTTCTGAGTGACAGGATTCATCTATCAGTGCATCAAAGTAGATTCTAGTTACACTGATGCTTTCAGATCATGTCCCAATCCTTCAACTCTCAACTGTGCAGCTCACTGAGCCACCCTGTTTGTAACCAGCTCTTTCTTCCTTGATCTGGTGAGTCGACCTCCAGATCTAACCGAAAGAAGCCTCCGACTCAGGCAAGAAAGATCTTAGGTATCGTCAAACAGCCCAGAATGGACCTAAGCTCTCCTGTCAGTCTGATTAATGTCTCGGCTGGTAAATTTGACATCACGTGTGTTAGCTGGCCACTCGGTTTGTTTATCTTTAACTCCAAAATCCCCATTCGAAGTTTTCCAATGGCGTCTTCGAGTATCAACCACGTCCTCGAGAACCAAATGCGTCCCTTGTGTCAGAGATAGAGCGCTGCCACGTCGACGATGTCCTCCTCAGGAGCCATGCCTCCGTCAGAAGGCCATTCGAACAACAAGGGCTCAGATATCTCCTCTGCTGTGATGCGATATATGCAGTTTCGAGATGAGTCTTTCTACGGCGACTCGAGTTCTTCTTCAGCAACACTTACAACTCGAAGAAATCCAAACAACAACGCCACAAGCGAGGCTGTGACGATCACACCGAATTGCTGGTTGCACCTCCCACCTCTTGTCCGTCCTCCCCCTGAGAGATATTCAGAAGATAACCCGCCAAAATCTTGCTATCTCTGCACTCTCACAAACGAAATTCTCTACATGATCTCCAGATACCTCTCGGACCCTTTAAGCCCTCCCACATAGCCATGTTCGCGCGCACATGCAAGCTCCTCAACCTCAACGCCACCCCAATCCTCTACAAGTTCCTAGTCATCACGGATTACATTGACTATGACCACTTCCCCAGACTCACAAATGGTCATATCTGGTATGGCCCCCGCAACCTTCCCCTCATCGAAAGGCTTGATGTCTCCATGCCATGGCACTGCATGTCCGACGGCGGAGACTCTCAATCTGCAAGCCTCAACTACATTGGGGATATGCCCAACTTACGACAAATGACCATCGAGTTTCGTGAAGGTGACGACCTACCACACTGGCAAAACAGACGGACTATGTATCTACCATCACCCGTACTTGCCAACCTCCAAACTTGTAAGTACGAAGATCTTGATGAAGCAGTGTGTACCAGGACTGACACTGAAAGCAGGTATTCTTAACTTCACGGCTGGGGATTGGGATATTACAGGTATCGTCCCTTTATTGCAGCATCCCAATCTTCTTTGTCTTGAGATGCATGCTGCAGCCTCTGATCCATTGTCCAAAGACGTCGAATTCGATGACGAGGACGATTACGAAGGTCTTGAGTGCGAGTCTCCCAAGTCAACATCGCTCGTGTCACTCACACTTGTCGACTGCGATCTCGTTCTGGACGACTTCCACCAGATGCTCTGCTTCCCCAAGGCACTCGAATACCTATCAGTGTACGCGACCAAGCCCGACAACGAAGGGGGACTTTAAAGATACGTACGATGGGAACCCACCTTCACTGAGATTTACAACGACGTAGAAGCGTCGCTTCGAGGGCTCAGATTCGAACCTAACGATGACCTAATGGGTCCAGCTCCCGGTCTGCACAAACTGAGAAACCTCGGCTACATGCAAATTCACTACCACCTCCTCGCATGGATATCACCACTCATCGCCGGAATCGCCAACTTCAACGCCGCTACTGCCACCGATACATTCGAGGACCTGGCACTCGAAGAGCTCCTCTCACCAAAACTTGAGGTCCTGAAGATCACCAGCGTCCTCTTTTCACCCCAAGGCATGGAAATCGTCGACGAGATCCTTGAAAATGGAGAAGAGGTTGTCCCTCGCTTGAGACGTATCATCTTACATGAGTACTACGTAGATGAGGAGGAGGCGATAAAGTTGCGAGCTGTTGCTGAAGAGGCTAAGACTTTTGCTCGTGCACGCGAGGAGCTTGAGGCGGGCGGAATAAAGGGTCCAGCTTCGTCATTCAAGGATATGATTGTTAGTAGAGCAGAGAGATGCAAGGCGAAGGGGATTGAGCTGGTGGTGTTGTGTGAGAATGTGGTGGGAAAGGAGCTTCTACAGAAGGGTACTTGAAGAGCTGTCTGGGAGATTCCGGAGCAGATTGCTTGAGTGGTGGTGGGGAGGTTGCATTTCCGGGGCGGGAAGGGGCGTTACTTTCATTGCTGATGGCGTTTATGAGATCCTCGAAGCAAGGCGTTGCGCTGGGGTGATCGCTGTGCTTGTTAACTTCGAAGTCATAGACATTGTGAGTTGAGATTTCTATCTGCCCTTTTCCATAAAATCGTTGCTAATCAAAAATAGAATTAGAATACAAACTCTCCAATCAACAGGATCGATCATCGTATTTATTGGATACGGGTGATAGATATGTGTTCGTGACGTGTCCCAAAGCCACAGTCTGACAGTTTCTCGCGCTTTGCTATCTTCGAAAGGACGCTTCTTTTTCTCCGACGGTAGTAACCAAATATCGGCTGGCATCAGAGCACCTCTTTATGCTATTACTTTTAGTACTTACTGTCATAGTAGTACTGAAGCCATATTGTCTTGCCGTGAGATGGCGAGGAGCTGAGGAGATCAAAAGCTGACACGCACCGTAGCAGTCTCAACTATTAGACAGCATTGGCGTGTGCAGAAAGGAATGTCGACTCTGAACTCATACGTCGTTCTAGGGGGCAAAGAACTCGGCGTATAAATTACGACATAGTATGAACATAAAATACATCACCAGCCACGTGACAGCTTTCCAAAAATGAAGCTCAACACATGAAAGCAGTAACGCAGTAATGATGTCTTGCAGAACCGAGGAATTTCCCAATCACCCGCCAACTCGGCAAGTCCACGCTGGATTACTCCAACAGGCAAGCACAAGCTACACGTCAGAAACTTTATCGAGCATGTGCGTCGAGCAAATGGGGAGGATCGCCATACCTACTTTAGCCCCTCCCCACGACCTTCCGTTCCCCTCCAACCGTAACCGTCATGGCCAATTGGAAGCTTGACTCTTCTTCTTCTGCGGTGAGCTGATGAATCAGCTGTTCTTAGCTACTTATTTGTTTCATCTGCTTTCGCCGTGGTCGTACTCGTACATGCAGCTGAGCTCTGTTGTTGGGATAGGATGAAATTGCTTCCATTAGGAATGGGAGGAGAAATCCGCCGGTATCTTCGGCTTGTGCTGATGCGGGGAGAGGAGAGGAGAGGAGAGGAAAACGTTCCGCTGCTTGACGCCTTTTGTGGCCGTTATCACACCCGTTATCAAATATATTTATGGCAAGGATCGTCGCATCCCTTCCCCTCTCCTCGAGACCTCTTCCTCTTTCCGTAAACTCATCATCTAGGAAAGTGCAAATGCAAGATGACGGAAAAGGGAAAGTAAACATTCCATACAGATATCATCAGAGTGGACGTGGGGCCCGTCCACTGAGAGCGCTGCCCACACACCCTCACGACCGGGAGTTTTCATGAAGGCTTTTCAAGTGCCGGTCATGGTCAAGGTCAAGGTCAGGGCTGTCGCTTGCAGTTTTCCGAAGCGTCTCTCCAGCCTCCCCTCCGCACCTTTGCTGCTCTCTCTGCTGTCGGAGGAGAGGAGTACAGTAAGGCAAGAGTGGGAATTCTGCAGATGCAAATGCAGGCTGCGAATAGCGAATGCAACTCTGCTGTACTGCAGCAATCAGAGTGCTTATCTTTTTCATGGATGAGAATGGGATCGACGATGCATCCTTCCTCGCTTCATTGAGCTCATTGTGTGCTATTGGGAGGGGAGAGATAGAGGAACTGATCGCTAGAATTGTGTGATTTCGACGAACATTTTCCCTGCTACTGTGATGACGGGGAAAAGCCTTCAGATATCTCATCTCGTACGTCCATGACTGGACGAGAGATAAGTGATGTATGCCGTAACATAGGCTCCTGCTCTCAAGACAGCATATTCAGCCAGAAGGGAAAGCTGACTCACTTGTTTTTGAGGCTGGCTGGCACCCAGCTTGAACGATATAAGGTTTGATATCGGAAATGATGAGCAGAAGAAAATGACCCCACCAAGTCCCGTAGCCGCTTTCGCTTTTATTTTGCCTTTGTTAAGATTTTTATTTTGCGGATGACTCCGCTTTTCGAGCAGATCCTGGTTGTTTGGGGACAGCATTCTTCACGTCGAAGCCTTGTCAAGCTCTTCTGCATAGTGGTCTTCTCTCGTAAGTTTTTACATACTGACTCGTGCACGGCAGCGTCTGATATTGGAGCTGAAGGAGGTGAAAATCCATCAACCGTGCAGCGTGTTTGCAGAAACTGGTGCATCTTGTTTAGGAAAGTCTAGTCTCAAACAGCTTGGCCTGCAGCCACAGTGACGGTAAGAATTGAGTACAAGTAGCTCGAGTAGTTCCCACTTGGAGAGCCGGTCAAGAAACGGTCTGCTACGAAAATCGCCGGTGTGAATGATCCCACGAATCATCTGAAGTCATTATCTGTGACTAATTGATGAATCGGCTGCTAGGGCATATGGCTTCAGCTTGCCCTGGTTGCCTGTATTTTACTCTCAGCAGCAGCTTACTCGTATGATCTCGCTTGGTCAGGGTTCTTACTCGCCGGGGAGCAGGACAGGGCTGCGGTACTGGTAGCTAGTCTACCGTGCATGATTTTGCCCTCTTCAGCTGCACAGGATAGGACGTGCGCTGTACGGTGAACATGTGCATGCTCGATGGAAGGGAAGTGGCATGGGCAAGGGGCAAGGTCGCATCCAATCTCTGCAATCTCAGAGAGAAAAGCCTTGATCGGGGCGGGAGGCTTGGGTGGAGAAGCAGTAGGGCAGGCCGCAGGACAGGGCAGGATCTCTCAGTAGTAGTCGGCTTCGGCGTGGAGCAAAGATGGGGCGACACGGCCGTGTGAGCCAATCCGACATTTTCAGAGCCCCGGAGAAAATTGGAACTGGGAATTCATACCAGAGATCGGATTTGCCTCTCCCTCTTGCCTCTGCTTCTAACCTACTTTACTTTTTTCGTGGTCCCGCCGTGTTGCCCTGCCTTTGTCCTAGAAAGTAAAAGTACCGATGCAAAAAGTGGCTCTTCCCCAGTCGCGAACCTAGGTGCTGGTGCTGGTGCAGTCTATCATCCTTCGGTCCTGGTGTGGTTTGGTGCTGTTCCTGTGGTCGTCCAGCGTTAAGTAAGCCGCGGCTCCCGTAGTACTGTATCTGCGGAACAACTACGGCTAGTCGCCAAAACAAGCACTGCGCTGCACTGCGCTGCACTGCACCTTCACACTGAGAGTCCTTCAACCTCAACTTCCAAGCCTCTCTTCCAACCTTCCAATTCCAAACACCACACCACACCACACCACACCGCACCACCAACGCACCTCCCCTCCCCTCCCCTCCACGGCTCGACAGCAATTACGCGAATGAGGCCGTCACGACATCTCACGACCACCGTTACGAATCGAAATTTTGCCCTCAATCGGAGCCAACAATAGGGGAAAGGGTCAACTGTTCGAGACGCTGAGGTCCCCATCAGCAGCATCCTTCCGCTGACTCGGACGTCCCTCTGGGTCAGCATAGTCGCATGCCTCGTGGAGCGGCCACAAGCAAGCGACAGCCAGGTGCTGCGAATCAACGGGATACACGGCATGAGAACGGTCTTGTAGGGCCGGGGAAGAGAGTGCAGAAGCAGAAGAGCAATGGTCAACTTAATGGCCATGCAAAGTCTATTGAGAGCAACTCCTCGACACCGCCCTTGCCTGGAACCCCTCCTCCGTCGAATGGACATGCGCGGCGCCCAGTACCTGGCGACAACATGGCAGAAAACAAGATGCTAGCGGAGATCTCGAGGAGGCCGTCTGTTGATGGCTCTTCTGACTCGGCCTCTGATGTGTTCCAAAACGCATCCGGGACCCCCGCCTCTCTCGAGCACCACCGCCAGATAAACGTCAATGCTGCCAAAAATCCTGCCGTTCATCACGATACCTTGTCGTTCGCCCTCACTGTTTTGTGGTCCTGCCCGCTTTGGGATACCCTCGCCATTCTCATCGTTCTCCTCCAAATCCCACCCACATTCCTCTCAATCATCCACCTCCTTTTCGCTACCTTGACCTTCGTCCCTCCCTCGACCACGGCCACTTCTGGATTAAGCTTCACGGATATCCTCCAAGGAACATTGGGTACACCCTCTGTGGGCACGATCTTCCTGATAGATGTGATTGTCTTAATGGTGTGGTTATTTTTATGGAGTCCACTTCAGGATATTGCGTTGGACTTGGCCCAAACTGTCATTGCTCTAACGCTTGGGGGTGGAACTAGTGGGAAAGGAGCGGGTATGAAAAATGTGTTATGGTGTTTTAGTGTAATTGGGATATCGCACTACTTTCGTGGGAATACGATTCAACACTCCGGTCTACGAGCTATTATTGGCTCGAGCGGGTTTCTTGCATCGCCAGATCCTGACGATCCGCTGGAGCCGCGTTCGGGCAATAGTAGTAGCAAAAGGCATGGTTTGATTCGAAGCATTTTAGCGATACATATTCTTACGCAGGGGGTGGTACGGTATATACGAGATTGGTACGTGAGGAGGGAGAAAAGAGACAATTCAGCGTCAATAGGCGATCCAGAGGCTGGGAAAGTCCTGGACGCCTGTAGCGATTCCACAGCAACGCAGACACAGGAGAATGATTCTTCAGCTTCGGTGGCGGTTGGAATTCCAGCCGCTACATTCAAGAAGAAGAAGAAGCAAAGCGCACAAGTCCGCATTCGACAACCTTTATGGGCAGCTTTGGCAAGCACCAAAATCGTCATGGTGAAAGAGTACGAAACATCGCACACAGCATCTGAGTCCGCAGGCGCCAACACGACTGGGGCGAATGATCTAGGAAATGCGCCCTTCAACTCCGAAGCGGATCGGATATGGATAACGTCAATAGGGTCTGATGAGGTTTCTTTCAGCACCAGCTTCTTTCCAATTCACAAGACCCGGGAGTGTAGGGAGGACAACAAGGGGTTGAATTCTTCCGGAATAGACACCTCAAAACCGTTCTACGTCAAAATCAACCACGCCACATGGCAGCCGACTCGCATCAACTCCACGGCCGAGATCGAGCAAACTCCAGGACAGCAGACTCGTTGGTCAGGAGTGATTGTAGGACTCGCGCCCACTTCCCGCTACCAATGTGACTTTTACAGCACCCTTGATGACTCGCTCATATTTTCTACCAGCGTGCGGACTTTGCAGTCTTCCACTCCCGACCTCTCGGTCAGCCTCTCGCCTGGTCCCCACATCACCGGTCGTCCTGGCTCGCCTACGTCAACATTAAAAGCTTCTGTTATCACACAAGAACACAAGCTGGCCGAAGAAAAGAGAGCTCTCAAGTCAAACCGGGCCGTCCAAAGAAAGAACATCGCTCTACTACGCAGGGAAATCGACAAGCTTAGTGCCAGCGTACAATCTACTCCGAACGAGGACAAGCAGAGACAGAAGATTCAACAGAGCACTGTAAATCGGGCTCAGGCAGAGGAAAGGACCCAGGAACTCGAGAAAGAGATCGAAAGCTTCCAAGCAGTCCCGACTGACGACACCGCTCGCTATTCTTCTGCAAAGGCCGAGATCCAATCTCAGCGTGAAAAGCACAAGCTGGCCCGTTCTGAATTTCACGCTGCTAAGCAAGCCGCAGAGCGCGAGATCGAAGAGCGTAAGAACGATTTGAGCAGTCTTCAGCACAAAAGCGAGACGAAGCAGCTACGCCTCACATTCCTCAATGGCAGACATGAAAATCTGACAGATGCCAATGCAAAGGGTCTTGACGAAGCTCAGAGGAAGGAACGCGAGCGTGAATCGAAGAGGCTGAACCGACAGAAGATCCACGAGTTCTACACCAGCCGTGATCAAGACCTCAATCTCCAGATTCAAGATGGAACCGCCGCTCTCCACGCAGTTGGTGGCGCTATTGAGACTCTCTCGCAAGTCCAGCATCAGGCCATGTATCAGCCAAATCAGAGTCCCGATGCCAGCTCTCAGAATCTTCTCGCCACCGGTTTTCCTCCGGACTTCGTACCTGAAAGCGGTGGCATGAACGCTGGTGCCTATCCTTGGAACCCACCAGCCCCTGCTCTCTTCTCTTCAGCTATCCACCAAACCATCCCAGCCACAGCAGGACCCTCCTATTCTCCGCACGGGAACAGGACTCGAGGTCGTAGCTCCAGCATGCTTAGCAACGTATCCGGATTCACACAGTCAAGCAGCGAGGGTCCGGGCGGATCCAGTGCCTTCTATCATGGAATGGGCAAGCACACGATGTGGTCTGATGCGAGGGAGGAGCGGAAGGGAAGTAGCGCCAGCGGTAGTGGCAGTGGATCTGGCAGTCTGTCTGATCCGAAAAGCCCGACTGTGAGCAGTCTCAGAGCGACGAAATGGTAGCGTAACCTGCCTGTCTGCCTTGTTTGTTGATTTTGTGTTTCGCGTACCAAAAATGACGAAATGCTGTTTTGTTTATCCCTGGTCCCACTTCTGTCAATTTGACTTTGACTTTGACTTTGTGACGTGCTTAATGTTGATTTTCAATTCGTAAATTGAAACATTGGTACTGACGTGCATTTACCTCATTCTTCAGCTGCTTGAATCTGTGGGATATCTTTGTGACTTGAGTAAAGGTTTACAAGTCGAGATTGGAACCCAAATGCCGGGAGAGAAGCAATTCATCAACCAACTAGAAACCATCTCCTCCCTAGACTCCATCCAGACAGGTGAATAGATAGGCATTATATTGCATCTGTATTTGGCGCACTATCCAACCTGCAGGTACAGCCGTCCAGATGCAACCATACCATACCAACAGCCTCGGGTCTGACTCCGGCGCTTCCCATCATTATTATCCATATTACCTGCGCCCCCTTGCCTCACTCAAAGTAACTCGATCGATAAACGAGACTTACACAACCGAAACCGAAACCAACAACGCACAGCACAGCACAGCACATCATCCCTACTAACGCGCTTTTTTTTTGGATACCGCATCGGATACCGATGCAATGCACTAACTTACAGTACAGTGTCGTATCGTATCGATAAGAAGAAAAAATCCTGGGAAGTAGCGAGAGGAGAGGAGAGGAGAGAAGATCTACATCTGGGATTTAGATTAATTGGCGTGGATGGCTGCTTTGATACGGATGGGGCTTTTTGTTGCATGTCGAGGGCTTTCAGCCCCCAAAATGAGGATAGGATAGGAAATGGGAAGGCAGTCAGTGGGAATGTATGGGGACGGGAGATGAAGTCGGGACGGGGAGTGAGTTGCCGGTTTTAGCGAGGGACAACCAGAGTGCAATGTTTTTTGTTTTGCCCTGCTTTCTCATCTCTAGGTAGGGTCCGGATCAGTCATGGTAGTTTTAAGAAGTTACTGTCTCACTTGGTTTGAATGTTCTTGTGATTTTGGAGGTTCGGTTGAGAATAGTGCAGATATTAGCTCAAGGAGATAAAGTGCAACGGGGAGTCTGTTGCTTGACAGCCCGTCCTGCTTGATGAGCGGCCTCTATCTCTGAATGTTGTGTATCTGCCTCTCATATGGAGAGGATGATGCTGAGGCGATACTATGATTTCCGGTTTGGTTTGTCGAAGATGTAAACTTCGTTCGGCGGAGGATCTTGTGCAAGATGCACGATCGGTCGTTCACATACGTCTTTAACACACTTGCTGCTTTCTAGATATTCTTGTATATCATGATGCGAAAGGCCGAAACTTTGAATCTTGGGAATCCACCTACAAAGAGTCCGGGGTTGTTTCAGGCCAATATGATCAAGAAAGGAACACTTCATGAACTCAAGTCCAGATTGTGGCAGGATCTCGCTAAAGTCTGGACCCCCTGAAAGTGCTGGCCGAGTGGGACAGGGCGCGTCGCGAGACCGCGTCAAATCGCGTCTCCTGGGAAAACCCAACACCACTTTAAGTCCTCTGTTGAATGTCCTCAGCCAACTCTACGATTCTGCCACAACACCGTAGCCATGATTCGACAAGATCTCAACCGAATTGATTCTAAGAGGAGGACGGGTTTGGATCACAGGAAGAAGCAGTTCGCAACTCCAACATACCAAAACCTTGATTACCAGCACAGATTAAATTTCTATGTCACACCCCCGACCGCGGATATCACACTCGAGCAATTCGAACAATGGGCTATCGATCGTCTAAGAGGTATGACTTTAAGAAAAGCGAACCGGGATACAACTGACAAAATTAGTTCTGGCCGAGATTGAAGCATGTTCGTTCAGGAACAAAACGATCACCGAAACAGCTGCGCATATGAAGCCCCTCCTCGACAAGTACCTCCCACTTGGCTCCTCTACATCCGGATCTACGACTCTGCAAGCGGAAAGGCAGAAAGATCATTACAGTCATTTCATCCTTCGGCTTGCGTTTGCTTCGACTGAGGACCTCCGAAGGCGTTTCTCACGCGTCGAGTCGACGCTCTTTAGGATACGGTTTCAGGCTGATAATTTGAAGGAGAGGCAGTCATTCGTGGAGAGTTTGAATCTAGATTGGGAAACCGTGAGTGATGATGAGAGGAGAGAGTTCTCCGACGAGTTGAGGGCGGCGGGAGGCGGATACCCTCTCAGAATCGAGGAGGAGAATTATTTCAAGGTTGACTGGGAGCGCGTTCCGGAGTTGGTTGAGAATAGACGAGTGTTTCTGAAAGCTGGAAAGGCATACGTGCCTGGACGAGAACAGTTGTCTATGGTTGTGGCAGAGTTCACTACTCGGCTGGATAAAGCTCTCGAGGTAAGATCTCCCGGTGAACTTTATTGCCTGTTTACTGACCTGAGAAGATGACCTCTCGCGCCTTGCCTCGTCTTGATGAAGACGACAGACTGACGCCGATCCTGACCCATCTCTCTCAGAACTTCACTACACCAGATGCACACTACTCCAGCTCGGCCACTTCACTCCCAGGAGCCGACATCTCAGCCCGAAATGTCGACACGCTCTCCTCTTCCTTCCCACTCTGTATGCAGAACCTCCACAGATCACTTCGTCGAGACGCACATCTCAAGCACTTTGGTCGCTTGCAATATACACTTTTCCTGAAGGGCATCGGTCTTAACCTCGAAGAGTGTTTAGTCTTCTGGCGCTCCTCGTTCAGCAAGATCACAGACGATGTTTTCAACAAGGAGTATAGATACAATGTTCGACACACATACGGTGATGTCGGAGGTGACTCGAATAGAAGAGGCGGTGGCTATAGTCCATTCTCGTGTCAGAAAATCCTTACGGAACACCCACCTGGACCGGGCGAAGCACATGGTTGTCCTTATAGGCATTTCAGCGTGGATAATTTGACGTTATTGTTACAAGCAGTTGGGGTCAAGGACAATGAAGTTTTAAGAGGAGTCAAGGAGGATAAGGAGAAGATGAAGTATCATTTGGCTTGTAATCGGTAAGTACCAGTCCACTTTCATGATCAGTCTCGGAAAGTAATTCTAACAATGAATAGGGTCTTCGATTATGTTCACAAGCAGGAAATCAAGAAAGTCAAGGACGAGGGTACCTGGACTGCAAATCAACTTGAGACGCTGGTACATCCAAACGAGTACTTCAAGAGGAGTTACCTGTTGAAGAATATGGGCAAGAACCCAGCGGAAGAGGAGAAGCCAGATGTACAGATGGAGGGGTAGATTAAGCACGGATTGTGATGGTATTAGTATTTTGGTTGGGCTGGAACGGATGGCATGATACGGCGTTCAGGGTGGGAGTGATGGAATGAGTATTGGTCTTATGAGCATAGGTGAATGTCACGGAGTAATATAGTACTTTTGAATATACCAGTGCTAGTCCTAAATGCCAAAGAGAGATCAAGAGGCGTGCACCGTCAACCAAGTCAGCATCTCGCTTGTTGACTTGGAGTGCTGCAAGTCAACAAAGCCGCTTTCGGGTAACAGTACATAGCTTGAATTCTATTAAATATGAGGCAACTTTTCCCTTAACCATCTCAAAATTTACTTGACTCCTTTACCCTGATGAATAGTCGACCTCTCCTTCCGCACCCCAGGCTTTAACTCCCAAAATGCCCAGCGTACGGCACCCTCTCAGGCAATCACCTGAACACACAACTCATGTTTCCTGTATCCAAACACGCCCCAATCGTCGTGTTCGGATCCACCAGATCCCACTCATAACCCGCAACGACTTCTGCACCATCTTCAACCTTATCATCCCACCCACCGCTGTCGACAAGACAAGTACATACACACGCACACTTGAATTCCTCTTCCTGAGTTTCGACCAGAGTGCGTGGCCGTATTGGTGATCTAGTGGTGGGCACTTCAAATTCAAGGGGTATGTTTTTGGGACTGAGGCTACCGAGCAGACGACGTATAACAAATAGCCAGCTCCTCGGCCGACTCCACCTCAGCCGCCGGCAGTATTGAAATGGATAGACTGAGTAGTAAATGAAGAGCTCAACCGTAATGTACAAACACAAAAATGTTGAGATGAAAACGAATGGCCAATCATGATTCGCACAGATAGACTTGAAACTTGGGCGAAAGCTTTCTTGGAACCACAAGTTGTACTCATATGTGGGCATAGTTATTCGTTTTTAATCGTAGATTTCGTTACCTACTCCCGCCCATGTCCTCTACAGCATCTTCCCGATCCCAAGTTGCTCGCTCGATGTTTCTTACCGTTCTTTCTAGTTCTTGTATTCTATTCTCAACCCTCGCTTTCTCAGCCTATCCAAAGTCAGCATTCAACTTATTGGTCCCTACCACATGAGACTCTGGCCATGTTTATATGGAACTGGCAGAAAGTGTAACATAAACCTACTTCTTGTTCCGCCCAAGTTTGCTCAAACGCCTTAAGCATGAATGGTCTGACTATAGCTTTCCGCTTCTTTATATAATCATAAACTGCAATATCCTCAACACATCTAGCAGCCGGTCTTTGATGTAGCTCAGATAATATCATAACATCTAGAACGAAAGATGACTCCGAGGCTGATGGTAGATATGATAATTTATGGAAGACCGAAATATGATCTGGCCATGTCATAGGCTATGTTTATTAGCAAATGTTCGGTAAGAGCAGTGCATAGGGGACTTTACGAATTTGTAATCGGTTCTCATAGACTTCAAGATCATGCCATACCCATTCGGCGTCACTGAGTCCATCCACTCTTTCCCATGTTCCGGATCGATATGTACCGCATAGTTGTATGCCCAATTCACCCGCGCAGATTCCGCGTATCGTATATACATTACATTGTTAACATGTTCCTGGGATCCTACCAATTAGCCATTGTCTGCCAACCTGTGCCTCAGAGATCCCTTAGCACCCCAAGAAGAAGATGAACAAACCATTCTATCCATCTCTCCCCATACAACAGCTTGTCTTAATAGCCCTGCCCTCTTCCGCCCTACAAGGAAACCCTCTCGTCCCGCAACTAGAGCACGCCATTCTTCTCCTATGGCTTTCATCACTGTAGCTGCTTCCTGTGTTTGGTCACTGGACATGCCGAACATTATGCATTTCCCTATCCTAGCCTTGATATCGGACAGCCATCGTGCATTATTTGTAGTAGGTGCGGGGGCAGAAGGTGTGGAAGCAGGATTCGAGCATCGCGGGACTGATAATGAAAGTGCGCGAACATGTTGTATTTTGAGAGCTGGCAGGAGGAATTGTAGGGCCTGGGGCCGTTGCTGGAGCCTGACTTTCATTGTTGAATCTTAAATAAAGACTATTGATACATGCTAGGCTTTTTTAAAAGAGCAAGTGTTGTTTGGAGGGGAGCTGAAGCTCTTCGGTAACGCTCCTATCTCGGGCCGAAGCGGCCGATGGAACTGGAGAGGTAGGGATTAATCGTGGGGAAAGCTTGGGTTCGAAGATTTGGACGTCATGATTTCTCTTCTTTGTGAGCTTCCACCGAAAAGCAAAGCTCTCCTTATTTTTTCACCCATTACAATCGCCCAGCAAAATTGATTATTCAACGGCAGTCAATTGCGAGAATATTGACTGAAGCTTAGATCAATGGCCCCTCAAAATCCAGCTTTGAGGAGGGAGGTCATCACTATTTACAAAGGTGAGTAGAGTCACACTCTAGCGGGTATGAAACTCCATGAAGATCCAATGGTTCGCTTGTAATGTTCTTTACAATACTAAATTTCTCTAGAGCTTTTGAATCTTGGTCGGGACTATCCCTTGGGATTCGATTACTTCCGCCCGAGGCTACACAAGGCGTTCATCAGTAATGCATCTTTGACCAACGAGGAAGAGATTCGGCAGGGGATCAAGAGGGCAGAGTTTGTCAAGAAAGGTATGAATTCCAGTTTTCTCAAAGGATTGGACCTGTGATCTAAACCTGACTTCTCACAGAAATTGAAGCATTGTATGTTGACGGTTGAGATGCCGGTTATGACTCGACACTACTCACATCGAACTTTTATTTGACTGGGCTGACTTATTCTGTCAGGTATTATCTGAAAAGGTATCGTGCGCTACGTCAAAGATACAACAAGCCCTAACAAGGCCTCCGATGTTCGAGCGATCAGTCAACTCTGGACCCTCGTAAAGGGTAAGGATTAATCCAAGACCGAAGATGGCTCTCCAGTGAAGTTGCCAACAACTATACGGCGTCTTCCGTTCTCAAAAGTGCCTCATCTCAGGCAGGACAATCAACTTGGATAATCTCGCCGATAAAACTGCCTTAAACGCACGGTGGCTACTCCCCTAATTGGCCTTAAAATCAGCCGATCATGGGGATGGATATCAGTGCCATGGGAAAGCTGCTGTGGAGAAGAAGTGCAACTCTATGTACCTCTAGTTTGAGAAGGATATTCTCCATAGAAGTGTCTCAGCTGTTATGGGAGGTCTGCGAGCCAAGTCGTGGTCTGGTATGGATACACATGGTTGTAGAGGTGTTAGAGCCTTCATGGCCGCCTTTTCTCAGGTCGTCACAAGAATGCAACAACAGGAGAAAGACATGTTGTTGGCCACTCTAAGTCAGACCTAGATCAAGTCATAGCTGCTAAGATTTGGTTGCTATTGGAGTCTCCATATCGGGGAGGTGAGATGAGTATTGTTAGATGCAAAGCTAAGCGACTCAGAGGTTACAGCAACGCAGACCAGGGCGCCACTGATCCATGTCGAAACACATCTAACTTTAAGCTTGTCGTCGATGCAAATGGCGACTTTTTTGTGGATGGTCGATTTCTTTGGCTACTTGCAGAGGCATAAAACAAGTTAACGTACTTTTCCTTCAACAAGGTAGAAGTCCTAGATTGTCTAAGAACTCTTCACAATTCATAAAGATAGGCATCTCAGAACGTTTGGAACATTTCAATCCAGATCTCGTTAAGGCTTGGGTTCCCAGCCACAACTCCTCGATGCAGCTTAGTAGACTGGCACGTGATCATATATGGCTCGTGCGCTCCTCGGATTTGGAACCTTGAAGCTGTTGCTGTCAACCTCCCTTGAAGAGTCAAGAGAAAGCAGCATCACGACAAGCAATCTGCTCTGCAAGCAATCGGACCCGGGACTGTACTGGCAAACCCGCGATTCTCAAGGTACGGGACTGCTTCATGACCTAGCAAGACCACCCCTCAATCAACCAAATCCGCTATTGCGCTTCGACCTTTGCTTACTTGCTCAACATACAGTTAGCTACCACGATTGTCGATATTCACTACCTAAATCCTCACATCTCGAGTACCTATCTGCCGCCTTAGCATAACTTTCTATCGACTCTTGTCTCCGAGCACGTCCTGACAAACTCCCCGTGGCTCGTGGACGTCAACACCCCCAGAACACATTACTCCTGAAAGCGCCATAGATCTGGCTACGGTCTCATCCTTTTAGGTCTCAATCTTGGTAGATGCTCGGAAGTCCCCAGCAAACCTATGTGCCAACGAAGAAAGATCCGATCCCCGCTCTCGAAACCCCCTACATAAACCGTCCTAGGTTTCTACACTCTTCTACGGCTTGCGCTCGGTATTTGGAGCCAACGCCGCTGCTCCCTCTGTCCGCGGTGGATTTAGATGGCAGATGCTTATAGATTCCCACAGCAGAGTGCTGGGAGTTTCTATTTCCCACAACACGCGCAACAGCATCATCAAAGACAGCAGATCATTCGCAACAATACCCCACCCAATAACATTAGATCCGCCTTCAACGCCGATACTCCATCTCCTTCGAGGTCTCCAGACCCCCACTCACCGGCACCAAATCTATACGGGATGTTCAATCAAGGCCATCAGCAAGGTCAGCATGGCCGAGTCAACGGAGGGCCAGGGCGAGGGATGCCAATGATGTACAACCACCAACATCAGAATAATCAACAGCATTATCAACATCATAGCAATCTTCAGCAAGATCATGCCACACATACGACCAATGGTGCGATTCTGGGTGGCCATCACAGTAACTTCTCGGGTGTGATATCCTCAGCCACTCCAAGCTTTACACCAAATGCTTTGCAGAATGGACACTCGGCAACAACACGTGGAGGCCAGGCAGTACAGATCAACGAGCATTGGGCGAAGCAATTGGAATTACATAAGGAATCCGAAAAGGCACATGCACATATGCAAGACGGAGCTCCAAATCACTTTGCAAGACTCAAGGCCGGGGAAAACAAAGGTATAGCGCCAACAGCTGCACCAGATCCAGACGCGCAAGAAAGCGCTGAAACCAACCTCGGCCGCATGTCCAACCAAGCCACGAAACAACGACAAGAATGGTTCAATTTAGATCTTAGTGGTCAGGGAATCAAAGTGCTCGCTGAACCAGTCTTCAGATACGACTTCTTGAAACAGCTATACGTTGCATCAAACAAGCTTACGAGGTTACCTCCTTCGATTCGTCATTTACGGTCCCTCCAACATCTTGATGCCTCAAACAACCAGTTGACTGAACTACCTCCGGAGTTGGGCATGTGTGTGTTTTTGAAAAATCTACTGGTGTTCGATAACTCGATACAGACACTTCCAAACGAACTTGGGTCTTTGTTTCATTTGGAGATGTTGGGCATTGAAGGAAATCCGCTGGCAGCAGACCTGAAGCAAGAAGTAATGGAACGTGGTACACAATCACTAATAGAGCTTCTTCAAAACCAGACACCAAGTAAGGAGATCACCGTTAGAAAAACGGCAAAACGCTAACCATAACCAGTTCCCATGCCTCCTAACTCCCGTGAAATTGTTGAGCTGCAAGAAGGTGAAGCCAACCCCAACCAAGAGAGATTCAAAGTCTACTCTTTCAACATCCTATCCGATCAAGCATGCACTCGAAAGATGTATGGATACAGCGCAATACAGGCTCTGGACTGGGAATATCGAAAGGACCAAATCCTCGCAGACATTCGAAGCAACGACGCGGATTTTGTGTGCTTGCAAGAAGTGGATACGGAAACTTTTGGGGAATTTTTCAGCGTGCAACTAGCCTACAACGAATACAAGGGCATCCACTGGCCCCGAACTCGCGCGAAAATCATGTCAGAGAAGGATGCTAAAATGGTCGATGGTTGTGCAACCTTCTTCAAGTCGAACAAATACATCCTCCTCGACAAGCAGCTCATAGATTTCAAGAGTGTCGCGATCAATCGGCCGGATATGAAGAATCAACATGACATCTTCAACAGAGTTATGCCAAGAGACCATATTGGTGTTGTGACTTTCTTCGAGAACAGACAAACTGGATCACGCTTGATCTTGGTCAATACCCACTTGTTCTGGGATCCTGCCTATGCGGATGTCAAGTTGGTGCAGATGGCAATCTTAATCAGTGAGGTCAGCAGACTCGCTGAGAAGTATGCGACTTGGCCAGCCTGCATAGATAAAAAGGCATTTGTTTTAGCGGATGAGAATGCGGATCAAGACGCGAGTCCAGTGCCAATCCCACAACCATCGAAAGAATACGCAAATAAGAGTGCTATACCGCTGGTAATTTGCGCTGATCAAAATTCAACACCGGATTCCAGCGTGTTCGAGCTGCTGTCCAAGGGAGCTGTCAGACCGAACCATCCCGAGCTTGGAGGGCGTTCTTACGGAAACTTCACCAAGGAGGGCGGTGGTATCGAACACCCATTCTCCCTGAGATCAGCATATACCAACCTCGACAAGACTCCCGAGGCGGTACCGTTCACTAATTACGTGCCAACCTTCAAAGGTATCATCGATCATATTTGGTATGCGACCAACGCTCTGGAAAACATATCCCTTCTTGGACAAGTCGATCCTGAATACATGAAGACGGTTCCTGGTTTCCCCAACTACCATTACCCCAGTGATCATTTGTCGCTCATGGCGGAGTTCGCCGTCAAGGGCAGTAAGCCGAAACAGAAGCTACTCACGGAACCGGACTTTGGCCCCTCAAGTCGGAATAATGATCGTAGGCGGAACTAGGCCATAATCAATAGACAGAAAAGGAGTTTTTCATGGTTCATCAAGGGCTCTGCTTGGAAATGCACAAATGGAAGCTGGAAGGGAAATGGAGTGGTTGAAATCTGGTATCTGCATTGTGAATGATCTCTCTCTTTGCTCTCGTTGTATCATCGGCGGTGGGAAGGGCTGGTGTTTGGTTTGTCTCTCTGTCTCTCGGGTAGGCAGGCGAGGCGAGATGGAATGGATGGATGGCAACATGCATTGGGAAGGAAAGAAGGGGTTCACTAGGAAATCCTTCTGGGTTGAATGCGAAGCGTTCGTCTTCTTTTGTGTTTGTTCACTGCGTATCTCTGCCTGCTGCTACTGCCTTCCGCCTGTCTCTCCGGTTTGAGGTCTAGTAGAGTATGGAGAGAAGTCGAATGGATAGGCGGATTTGAAACTTGAGGTATTAGCAAGGGTGTATGTGTGGCCAAGTGTGGTGTGGTGTTTTGATAGGTGGCGTTTTCATTCTGTTTTTGTTGTTTTACTGCGCGGTTGTTTACCGCCTTGCATTTACGAGGAGATTCGTTCGATTGATAGAATGGATTCTTTCTCGAGATTTTGACTATTGCACCCCTTGACTGTGATATCTTTCCTTGATGTTTTATTCCAATTCAAACCGATAAAGCAATTGATCATCGCCGTTCATCTTCGAATCATAGTCACTCTCTCGGCTCGAATACTACACTAAATATCTTTGATATCTCACATAGCATGCACAGCTTCCTATTTTCTCTTTTCTTTTTGAATGAGTAGAGAAGGATTGCCTTCTCTTGTGTCTTTACTACATTCATTTATTTTGGTACTCGACACTTATTCCAATTCTGTTTTGACATGATACTACTTGCGATCGCCTCGGATTCCTTGCCCCACAAACATACCCCAAGCTGAATGACGACGGGGCTGATTTCCCCTCTGTCTCATTCGATCAACAATAGCTACCTACCTTCCTGCCTCCCGTCCACAAAGGCGAAAATAACACAAATACAGCTTATTCCCGCTCTCACTACTCAAAAAGGCGCCAAAGGGGAGCTTGTTCTAGAACACACACCTGATACCTTCCTGTACGTCCGCTTCCGGCAATTCACATACCGAAGCCACCAGGCTCCGAGTAGTTAGTCCGGTGGTGACTAGTGGATGGCAGTAGGGAGTAGCGTGGGGTTTGGGCAATTGCCGAGCCGACGTCGCTGAATGTTGGACGGTGATGTGGAATGTGGCGTTTTCCTGGCTGAGAAGGAGGACTGAAGGATGATGGAAGGAGGGATTTTGTGTGGAGTTGGTGGGGGAGCGGTTGTCTTGGATTTAGGAGTTAGACTTAGACTTAGTGTACGAATGTGGATGTGGGGTGGAGATTCTGGGAAGTAAAAGTGTGGATAGAAATCGTGGGGATGATGACGATGCTTGGTGGTTTTGAAGAGGGTCTGCGATGCCTGGAAGGAGAGAGGGTTGGGCATTGGTTGTATGGATGAAGAGAAAGTATTGGATTTATATATGTCCATGGCTGTTCATATAAGTTCGAAACCTTGATATATCGTAGCTAGGTGTTTCTTTTCACTTTGAATTAATATTTAAGATATGTCAGAAAGATACACCATCCATCTCCTTCCTCGACTGAACCATCGAAAGAAGTGATATAACCATTCTGTTGCACATCTACAATCCTCTCCCCTCATTACCCCTCACACTACAACTCACCATGTCCCCTTCCTCCCCACAAGTCTCCATATCTTCCCCTCCTTCTCCTCTTCCAGAATTTCTAGAAGATCAAACACCTTCTCGTTTGTTGCACATCGCATTCTTGCTCCCCTCAGTTTTCCCCGCCGCCTACAATTGTCACTACTCCCCATCTCACCTTCTCGCCATCTCATTCGGGGACAGAGTGGGACTTTGTTGCGTATCGTACATTCCTGCTCCCCTTTCCTAATGTCTCACCATCGACCCACCCATACTAAAAGCATGCAACAAGAAATGGTCAGTCACTAACCTCCTTTTGATCCCCAATGAAGTACCTACATGGATCCTCAGGGTATATGCACTTTCTGCCGAGGTCATAAGGAGATCCATTCCATCACATCCACTTAAGTATCTAGAACGAAGAAGATACCTTCAAGTCTGGTTCGCCTGGGGGGGGCGGGGGGGGGAACAGTTTCCATAGATTTGCTCTCTGGCTTCGTGAGAGAAAGTAATCCATCCAACTGACAAAAAACCACGGTAACTTCCCAAACCAAACCAAACCAAACCCATAAATTCCCAATTCCCAGAACCCACCAACGGGCACCCCTTCCCACCTCGGTACTCAATGCCGCACCCCATCCCTCTTAGCCCATATCAATTCCCACCACAACCTAGCAGCGTCTCAAACCAAAAGAGAAAAGAAGCAAAAAAAAGAAATCCTCCGGTTTTGTTGCACATCGTATGGTTACATGGCATTCTTCCAAACCCCATGCTAACATGTCCGGTTTTGGAGCAGTTCTGGATGCGCGGTGATGAGAGAGAGAGTAGTTTGGAGGTTAGAGGTTAGAGTTGATTTTTAGTGAGGGCGGACCCTGGGTGCAGGGTGGACGGTGGCTGGACTGGCTTTGTGGCTGGGTTTTGGATGGATGGGCCTGGGTCTGGGCCTTTGAGCTTTTATTCCCGGTAGTAGTGGATGAGGTATTATTATTGGGGAGAAGGTTGGTTGGTTTTTTTTTTTTTTAGTTAGAGGAGAGAGGGAGTTTGGGATGGATGATTAGTGATCGGGGCTAGAGCTAGAGCTGGAGCTAGAGCTGTGGGGAGGGGAAACATAGGTAAAATAAGCAAGGTGGTGAAGCATTCTAGTTATGACGAGTGGATAAGTGTGTGGATGGATAGTCGTAGGGTGCTGTGCTGATATCTGGTAGCTGAGGGGAAGATAAGCTTCATTTTTTGTGCCATTCTTGACTGATCGACTGACTGATTGAAGCAATTGAAGCAATTGAATATGCTAGAGAAGTGGAAGGAAAGAGAGATAGTCCGAAGTACGGTAATAAAGTTTGAGACACTTCATGAAGGTTGAAGCCGCCGCACCGTGGAGATCAGCTTAAGTCAATTCAGGTCATGTCTTTGAAAATGCCAAAACAAAATGAATACTTACTTCCAGGTTGGTTTCTTTTTTTCTTTCAAAGGAAAGATAGGAGAAAATATTGATTCGTCCGGCGCCGCCCATCTGGAAAGGGAAGACTTGAGTTGAGTTGAGAGTTGAGAGTTGTTCCAAAAAATTATCAAGGCAGGTAAGGTATTGGATGTCATCACCACCACTCATCTATTCCCACACTTGACTCAAATACAGAATACAAAATACAAATAAATGCAAATACATCCAAGTACCAAATCCAAAACTTCGCATGTGAAAGACCAAAAAAAAAAAAGCACCCAATGACATACCTTGATATTCTTAGAGCAGCGTCATGGACAGATAAATAAACAGTGGATGCAGCCACCCCCGCCTTCCCCCCCCTTTGCTGTAGGTAATTCTTTTATATGCCGGTACTTACTTACTTACTCATGGATATCAAGGGGCCATCATATATGGACTACATAGACTACAGCGCGGATTGATCTTTGCATTTGCATTTGAATTTTTGTGGGTGTGTGGGTCGGAAAGTGGATGGGAAAGTGAGAAATGCCATGACGGGTAGACTTCTGTTCTGATCTGTTTGGAATCTATTCTGTTGGTGTCGGGAAGAAGTGGGGTAGGGAATTGAGTGATGGATGTGATAGATGGATGTATGTATGTCATGTCATGCAATGGGTGTGAGTTGGTGGCTTTCTGGTAAGGTGAGGAAAGATTTAAGTTATCTGAAGAAGGTAGCAGTAGTACGTGAATACTTGGGGTGCGGTATCCAGTAAGAGGAAGGAAGTATTGATAAGCTCACACCACGCAGAGAAGAAGCAGTAGGTAGATGATTGATTTGTATGCAGGCCTTGAATTTGGTTTGTTCTGATCTGATCTTATTCATTTTGTATCTCGTACTGAACTTTCTGGAATCTAAATAAGATGATGTACTGTAGATTACAGCCAGCTGAATCTCTCTTCCACTCTCCTTCTGTCAAGCCTCTCCAGCCACTCCAAGTCATAAAGCGCACCAGGTATCTCATCAAATCATATCGCCAAACACTCTCCTTCAAGTAATTTTTTCCCCATCCCCCTTAAAAAAAATCAAAGAAAACTCCACCTTGGGCTGAAAATGCTGCAACGCAATGCTATGCTGTGCTGTGCTATGCTATGCAACGCTTGCTAAATAAAGAAACAATGTGAATAAAAAGCAAGAAGCCACAACGCTATCATGGCACTCGTTATTGGTACAGGAAACTGAGATGAGATGGAAATAGAAGTGTCGCCACCTGAACGTATGTCGACAAAAGTGGAATGTTCTTGCGGATATGTTGTATTGTATTGTGATGCGTTACTGTATGCTGCAATGCAAGCACAGCCTCCTCCAAGGCGAAAAGAAAAGCACACAAGCATCTCCATTCGATAAATAGAAACTCCTCACCAACCACATCTGCAAACTGCAATACAGCAGCAATACCGATACATGAAATGCATGCACCTGAAACCTCATCCAGTCTACTCTCCAAACTCTCGCCCTCTGAAGCGCTCAATCATATGACATCATTGAAGCCCAGACCTGTATGCATGCATGCATCGCGGGATTTGAACTCGACTTCCTCAATTCCCTCCAATGAAGTGAGCTGGAGTGGAGAGTGTGGCGCCTTGTGACTGGTTGCACGCAGGTGGGTGGCTTGCTTGCATGCCATGCGTGCATAAGGGTATCCGAGCATAGGCGAAAGATGCGAGTTTGTGCGAGTGACACCTGCAGCTACGCTCCGCCGTGCCGAGTGTGCTGGATTTTGGCTGGGCAGCTGTCGTGCCCACGGAGAAGTGTCGGTGATGGGTGGGGGAATGGCTGTCTTGTCTTTGGTGGGGTGGAAAAGCTGCCGAAGGGAGAATCATGCCATTCTGGATGCGTGCATGCTGATTGTTGGAGTCGAGATGGGATTCAAGAATGCTGATGATGAGAGTGGGTGAGAAGAGTCGCATACCAGAATGGTGTCGTATCGACTTCCGGGTATTGTGAGCCCTGGAGCTTGGAGGTTGACTCTGGCTTGACGCATCTCGGTCCTCCTTTCCTTTCTTTTTTGTCGTTTTGAATAGTCCAGTGATTGAGCCTGGATTCTGTCTCCGATCTTCCTTCACTTGTAGCCAACCATTCTGGCACAACGATCGCAGTAGTATAGATTGTGACCGAATCTGACCATTCCCGATGCCTGAGCATCGTCTGTACTGACTCTCCTTACATCACCTCCTGCCCTGGCGCTGATAACGGTCTCGACACACTTTGCACATCGCGAACAGCGCATGACTTCGACGCGTGGTTGCGAGGCGTCCATTGAGTAGCGGGCGGCTGCTGAGTCGGTATATGATGAAGAGTAGGATGAGGATCCTGATGAGGATGACGAGGACGAGGAAGAGGATTCGGACGAGGTAGATGTTCGGTTTGATGGTCGGTGGGGTGAGGATGTACGGGAGTTGGCTGCCTCGTTCTGGAGTTCGTAGTATCTGGAGCTCATGATGGCGGTGTTGAGAGGGAGTGGTGTGAGGAAATTTGGACCCTGAATTTTTTTTGTGATGATGCTTGATTTGGAAAGCAGAGAAGACCCTGAGATTATATCTTCAGGGTCGAATCTAGGGTCTGGTGTCGTAAGCCTCCGTGTCCTAAATAATCCCTCGATGCAGGTTATTTGCTGCGCGTTGTTTCAGCGGTAGATGCGACTGCAAGTTGGTCTGCAGATCCAAGGCTGGCTTACAGGAGAGTCGAAAAGTCGCGAGCAAGGGTTTTGATAAACACGCTCGATAAAGGTTCGGGAGCTGAAGTCCGATGTGCTTTCTGAAAATCGATCTTCAGGGCTGGAAGAGTCCAGAGAAGGAAGTCCAAGAGCAGATCTTTTTCCCAGTATCAGGATTCGGCTATGTAGGATGAGGTAGTGAGGGGCAGCGGCAGGATGCCAATGGTGGGACGTGACTGGATGACAGGCTTGACAGGAGACGCCCGGGATGATTTCAAGTCTTGGTTCTGGGGCATGGAACGGTCGAGACAGGTACAACAAGCCTTGAGGATGATATCGTTCCAGGTTTGTTTACTGGACAGTGGACAGATGAGGTAGAGACTTAGGTCAAACGGAAGATTGTATGTAGATGCCGGCGGGGTGTACAGAAGGAGTACAGATGATGATATTGTGTGATTGGAGGTTTCGTCCGAGGGCCGAAGATGGATGATGTCGTTCGAATGACTTCAGACGACACGTCGAGAAGTCTTGGATGACTTCGAAATGTGAGAGAGGTCAGGTGGGGTGAGTGTGTAGAAGGCAGGAGGAGGGAGGTCTCTTGTCTTATTGTTCAGAAGGAGAGGATAAGCGAACTAGAGACGAGGTGCTAGTTGCGATGACCAGGAACCTGTTGATTATTGTTCGAACTACTACAGTAAGAGGACAATCAAGTAAGAGTAATGCGAAGAGGGAAGGGCCGGATTATATGAACTACTGAAGTCGGCACCCGGTGAAGCCTAATTCAAAAAGAGACCGTACGAACGGACTCTAGTAGTCAGAGGTCGGGCATGGCATGGCATGGCATAGCTCTACAGTACACAGTAAGGATTACTCAGGCCATGCCGAGCATCCATCCGTCGACCCTAGAGTCACTAAATTTGATGCCCATGGCCCCGTAGCCTGCAGCCTGTCCCCCCGTCGTGGGCATCCCGTTCCCAGCCCAGCCGAGTCCCTGGGTTTCTCTTTTCGTTCCTTTGCTGGCTGCTGCCTGCTTCCGTGCTTCCCTTTTCCATTTCTGCAGCTCCACCACACCACGTAAATAATTATTACTGCACGATTCCTGCACCGCGCCCCGGTAGACTTACGAATACTGTAGAACAGCCACGCCGCCCTGAGCTGAGTAGAGCACATTCTCAGCAGACTGAAGCGGGCCGTCGTACTCGGATTGGAGCAGTCAAAGGTAAATAGTGAGAAATGGACAGATGAATCAGGCTTCAATTGAGCAGTCCTGCCCAACGGAGCCCCCTTCCTTAGGTAAAGGAAAGCCAAAGACAGTCTGATACTATTGGGTGGCTCTTGGCGCACCTTGGAGATATTTTCTTTCTTGTTACCCACATCAACCTCACTTTCTTTGTCCTTGGCAGGCATGCTCTGAGGGGGTTCCCAGTCAACAAGTGCCTGTTCTCCACGCTTGGGTATCAAGTTTCTCATCAAAGGCTGCAAAATACCCAGACGACTCCTCCGAGTCCTCGACACCAAGCCCTGAAGACAAGTTAAGAAGTCAAGACGCCAAGGCCCAGCACCCCCTAGCTACAGCCTGGACCGATTCTGCTGCAAAGTCTCGATCCTCGGCAACAGTCAACTCCTTGCGCGAAGTCCTGCCCTACAAACAATAGTAGTAACGGCCACTACTTACGGTGCCCCCTAAGGTAGTAGTGCGAATGCTGAGAACCCTATGCGCGCACATGCTCAGCGCTGCCGAATACCCAGCGAAGCCTATTCGAAGAAGCCCTCAAGCGCCGATTCAGAGGCCACTGACTGACCACTGCCGTTCCTGCGATGCACTACTGTAACTTAAATGACCTGACCACGAGGAAGAGGAGGAGGTTCCTTTTGGTTAATGTTTAACAGAAGGCAAATACTCTCGCAACCATGGCTTCAATGCCTACTGAATCCAGAGGTCCGGTTGGGCGGCATGGCAAGATCGGATGTGACGGGTGTGTCAAGTTTCAAGATCGCGGCGACAAATGAACAGCTTGGATCGAGGACAGATGAAAATAGTGTATGGGAAAGGGGGGCCAAGGGCAATCAAGAAAATCCCATGTGCTCCTCATCCCCGTCCCTCTGTTCCTCTCCTCGATCGTCAACCCCTCATCTGCGACATCCCACCAAACCGAAACGAAACAAACTACCCAAGTATCAACATCAGACAAGAAAAGCCCACGTTTCTTGGTCTCTTCGCTTCCCCGCACTTTGAAAATAAACATCTTGAAACGAAGGTACACTTCTGTATGGGTACGGCATGTTGCCTGCTTGCTTGCTCGCTCGTATGATTTCCGCAGCAACAAAATGGAAAATCGTATCATGGCGCTGCCTCAGCTGTCATGTCGTGTCGTGCTATGCTGTGCTGTATTGCGCACAGTCAGATAAGCAGACGAAGCCCGTGAGGGTTTAAAGTGCTGTGATAGATTAAAATGGCTAAAAAAGGCCTTATTTCGCGACTCCACAGTCGGGCATTAATATATCTGCAGAGGACAGAGGATTTCACAAAAGTATCGAGTAGTGTTGCGAATCCCGAGGCGCAAGCACAGAGAGCCTTTTGATCCGTGTGTACGTGTCATGGATCCGTAGTGAACTGCTTTTGACTCTCCGTGAGATCTTGACAACCGAACTCTCTGTATACTTTTTTCCAGACGATCAACAAGTTATTGTGGACTTGAATTGCATTCCTAGTCTACAAAAGTCCGACCTCAACCTCGCTGTTGCCGACTCATGGACCTCGCTAACTGGAATGCGAGTGGACGTCTCGCCGATTTGTGTGCATCCTTAAGGTATGTTTTTGACTTCCTCACAGAGTCACATCACATGTGTTATTTTAAGCCTTCTTAAATACCCCCCATCGAAGTCCCATGCACGCTTGACGGTGACAGTAGTAATGACACTGGGTTTGCGTTTCACTTCCGAACCCGAACACCGTAAACTGAAAGTGACAAGTATCCGGTGCCACGCGGTGCCCTGACATACCTAGGTAAATTATGTCCTGTCAAAGTCAAAAATGTAGCAGCCGGCATCACTCGTTCGGTCACCACCTCACTTACTCAAGTCCTAAAAAGCTAGTCGGTGGGAGCAGAGTCGGGAGGAAACGAGTTCGACGTGCTCGGCTGGGCCACGAACTACTCACAGGGGCAGTTATCAAAGTAAGAAATCGGAGTGTCGGAATCGAAATTGAAATCATATCCCTCACTCAGTCACTCAGCCAACCTGCCGCGTATGCCTTCAGCACGCGTACTCTACTTTCTCACTTTACTTTCATTCTTTCTCGATTTCAGGTCATCTGCTGCATACCAATGCCATACCAATACCAGTGAGGTATTTTCCCAACCCTTCCCTCCCTTCCATTCATATGCTCTCTCGTCCTCATTCCGTTCCGGTCCGTCCCCCATCCCTTCCTCCCATACCTACCAACCCACCTCGCATCCAACTTCTTTCTCCATCACATCCGGCTACCTACATCACATTGCATTACTCTGTAGTCAGTCATAGGTAAAATATGCAGCTGGGAGTCACAGGACGCCTCGTGCCCCCATCGCTTCTCGGCATGTGTAGGCCGAGCCGCATTCTGCAATCGATGCATGCAGACATACGAGTACGATGGCTTCTACAGTACTCATACCTAGCCTGGTGAAATTAGGTATCATGATTCTTCTCATCCGTTCCGTTCCATCCATGTATTCCGGCCGCGCAAGAAAGCAAGCAGCCACCCGCTTGCGGGCTTGAGGGGCTTGCATGAAAGAGTAGGTCGGGTGTGACGGGATGCAAGCCCACCTAAGGTAAATTACCTATATTCGCAACGGTGATATGTAGGTTAGTTCAAGCCACAATTACCTAGGTAGGGAGTCTTTTAGGCTATTAGTTAGTCAAATGCACACTTGGTAAGGTATTATTGCTGGAATGTTCTGTGGTGTAGGTAGATCTGTAGGAATTTTGGAGAGTCTAGATGTTTCTGGATTCGGGTGCTGGAGATGGCTTGATGGTACTTGGAATATTTTCAAGTTGATTGGAGGGAATTTAAGAGGAGTGGCGGAAGGAGGTTGAAAATGGAAAGTGGCGGGAACGAGGGAGGAAGCTCGCTTAGGTTGTTTGACGTGGTTCTAGAAGCTGAGGAAATATATTGACGAAGGAGTGCAGTCTGACGATGAGGCTGAGAATAGCACCGAGACGAAACTCACTGTGAAGTACTCCTCCCCGACAGAAAGGTTAAGAATATTCCTAGTCTTCAGAGAAGAAAAACCCTCTGGTGTGATGGTGCGTCTTCTCTAGATGTGAGAGGTACCGACAATCAGTTCTGGACTTCGAATCTGATTCTAGAAACTCCTTCCCACTAAGTGAAAATCCAGACCTTCTTTCCCTTCCCTTCCATCCCTCCACGACTTTGAGCCTCCACTTCGACAAAACATTCCCTTCTCAAACCCGCCCTCCTCTACTTGTACCTGCTAGTAGCAAGTAGAAAAGTAGGAAAGAAAAATAGAACCTCAAGCGGCTCAACACTTAGCCAGTCCTCTACCCAACCCAATCCACTCAATTCCATTCCACTTCCCTCCAACTATCCGATCCAGCCATTCGGTACACTACCTACGCTAGCATCTCTGATCGTCATGTTCTCGCTCCATCCCGCCGCTCACACTACACTAGAGACTAGATAACCATCCATCTCCATTCTAGAAGCCCCAAAAGAACGTCATTGCACCTCGATTTCTCCGCCTTCATGAGGCTCTCGACTTCTTGTTTTGTCATTCGCGCTTCTGGACGAGATTCTGGAAGGTCCAGCAAGTCTGGATGCGCTTCGTTGGTATGCTGGTTGAAGAGTTTAGATTTTGATGGTTGATGACTTGGATAGGTTTGATTTAGGGATGAAGAGATAGGATGGGATGGGCGGGTCGAGCCTTGCTGGTGAGTCTTGTTTGGTAAGTCTACTACTGCTGGCTGGGATTGCCCCTTTTGTCGTAAGTTATAGGCGGATAGACACTGTCGTGTTTTCGTATTTCTCGAGTTTCTACCTCTTTCTGAGTATTTCGGGGCTTTGGAATAGCTGCTCTCAATTTTGCTCCGATTTTCTAGCTGTTTGTACTAAATGGGAGAGTTTTGATATTTTCGAGTCTAGATGAGGTTGGACTTTCAGATGCCTCTGTATCCTGATGCCATGATACATACATCTTGATTCTCTGGCATCATCTTTGACGTTCAGAATTTCAATCAGGTTCTTCCTGAGCCGCATTATTGCCTTCCCCTTTGAGGGCTCCGAGGAAAGAAGTACTTCGGAGAGGAAGGTCTTGTACTCTTCCGACCATGGCTTGAACAGTGAAGACAGCGGTTGATGTATTTGCCGATATCTCAGCGGTAGCATTACCATATCAACGAGTCTAGCTTTCATGCAGAGTATTGACCCCTTTACTTGTGATTTATCTTTGTGAGTTAGGCCAGATCAGAAATGTTTGCTTGAATCCGTGATGTTTGTTACGGTTATTGTCATATGTTGATGGAAAAGTAACCCTCTGAACACATGATACATTTCCCAGTTTCAATAAAAAAGGGGTAACCAGATGAAACTTCGACAGATTAGTAGGCACCTGTGTAGTTGGAAGTTTCATAGCAACATCATAGTTCACCAACTCGCAAGGCCGAGCCGCAGATGATAGTCCCACAAGCGGGCTCAAATATAGCTTCAACAACAAAGCCACAACATGGGTACTTCTTAAACCACACGCGATTGTTCTTAGTATAACTCTCAAAGATGATTGGTTGATGAGTGATTGATGAGATTTTTGTTGCTATTATATTCAAGTTACTATGAACGTCTTCGCGCCATATCCGGTGTTACGTTCCTTGTTCTATTGACTTTGCAATTTAACACCACTCTCTCCCAAATAATGACTAAAAACTTGGTAGAGATTCCCATCTCGATACGACCTCTCAGAGACCGAACAACAAAACCGAAAGGACCCCAATCGAACAAATGTTTAGCACAAGCAGTTAAAGCAGCAGTCAAGCACTTCCACCTCCAATATGTATGTACCCCTACAGTACTTGCATCTGAACCAGCCACACCAAACCAGACACGAAAAACAACGGAACCAATTCCTCCATTCCTCCTATCTCAGCTGTAGTACAGAAGCCACAGCAAACCTGCATGCTGACAAGACAAGAATCTCACATCTAAGACAACGCAAGGGAGACTTTTCACCTCCACGTGGATATGCATGCATGTCCGCCGCAGCCGCAGCCGCATTCCCCGATCCTCGAATCACATCCTGCTTCTAGAACGATCATGGAAGGTCTTCCTGTCCTGAAAAAGAATGCAGGTCTTGCAATGCAATGCAGCAGGTGTGTAAGACATGCAAGGGACTGACTGACTGGCTGATTATGGTCCCCTGAAGAAGAAAACCTGATTCATCTAAGTGCGCTTCTGTAGAACGCTAGAATATGCAGAGAACATGCACGGAAGGACGGCGAAAGAGTGGTGCATGTTTCTATGCAGATGAGGGTATATAACAGATTGGTTGAATGGATGAAACGGGAAGGCCGGGCCGGATGGAGAGCATGTCGTGTCGTGTCACAGAGGGTTTTGGTGGGTGATGGGACGGCGTGCTGTCTGTATGTGCGTGACTGAGAGCTGACAGTCTATGAGGTGAGCGAATTTTTCTTTGTTCGGGATGTCGATTGGTTGGTATGCATGGTGCTTATGAGAAGAGATATCAGATTTGGGAAGGTTGACTTTGTCTGCCGTTGAAGGTTAAGCGAGTCTTGGTAGTCGTTTTTGGGAAGGCCAGGAACTGGGATAGTAGGGGCATTGTCGGATTGAGAATGCTCAAGGTTACGTGTAACCAGACTATGCATGTGTGGAGTCTCAGACCTTCCTTCCGGAGTGCATTGATTGAGAGGAAGTGCTGATCCGTGCTTGTCTCCGAGCTTGTACATGCGGCATGGAGATATGAACAGTACCGTAAGTAAAGGGCAAAACGGAAAGATGTAACGGAACTTCGTTTTCGAATGTTTAATTTCTCTCCTCTCACACTGCAATGCATCTACTTGCGCAAACCAACTTTCTACTCCATATGTATCACAAAATCACACCTTCACTCATATCCATCTTGCTCGCTCGCTACCTGGCTCCAGTGCGAAATCTACGCATCGTGGAAAAAGCGCCAGGAAAATCAACGAAATCAAAAAAGAAAGGACTAATATCTATACAATGACTCTTCTTTCGCTCTTCTCCTTCCCCCGCACGCTCTAGAGTGGGAGGAAGGGAATCGCTGCGGGCACAGCGTCTCGCAGAACGCACATCCCCAAGTCTGGAAGTGTTATCAAACAAGCAAGAAGCAAGCAGGCTATGAATCTCATCCAATCCCTTCATGCAATCCTTCCTCTCATGCTCCTAGCGTCTCTCGTTCCGCCCTCTTAATGTATTCTTCTCTGATGGCCACATCCATCACTCCATTTCTCTATCGCAATAGGTGAAAAGAATTTGGTAGCATCCATGGCAACCAGGGAATCAATCGACCAATCAAGCAACTCAACCCGCATTCAGTAAACACAGCAAGGAAACAATCAGACTAAGGAGAGTCGTAACGTCATGACAGGTTAGAAAGAAGTAAAAGGAAATGTTCAAGTCCGTGTCGGACAAATTTGTATGTATGCTTGTGCTTTGCCCAGCAACTCGCTCATCCAGAATCTGGCACAGCCTTCAAGGCGCGGAGAACAAAAAACACATCGCTAGGCCGCCCGCTTCGCCAATTTACACAAAGAAATGAATGAGTTTGCTTGCTCAAGAGCCGATTAAATCACATCACAGCACAACATCCACAGCCTCCCTTTTTCGAATCTTCGGGTAGGTCTTGCACTCTGACAGGCGGTTTCGGACTTGGTAATGGACCCACGCCCATAGGTATACCAGTATGGATTTTTGGCATCGTTGAATAGCTCCCGGTTCCGGCTGTACCTGGCCGTCCTGTGCTTAATGCAGGGCTCTTTGGACCTCCTCGTAATGGCCACTCTGGATCTAATGACTGCTCGGGTTTCTTCTCTGCTTCTACCTCTGCTGCTGGAGCCGCTGGAGCCGCTGGGGGCTCTGGTGTACGAGGACTTTCGTCGTTCAGAGGCCTAAAAGCTGTGTCATATGTATTTCCGAATTTGCCCTCTTTCTCCCACTGTTCCTGCTGTAGACGTCTGGCAACCGTTGGGAGAAGTTGTTGATCGGGTGGTAATCGGGGGTCTGGTTTGAACATCGTTGCCAGCCACGGAGGATCTCCCTCAGGCCGCTTGCTGATGCTGTTGCTTGGGCCAAGCTCGCCAGATCGAGTTGGCGGTCTCTGCCCTGCTGCATTAACTTGGTTCGAACCAGATCTCGTTTTTGGCCGCTGAGAAGCCGAGGCAGCACGATTTGCAGGTACGGAGCCTTTCCTCAAGGGGGTCTTCTTTGTTGGAGAGTTTTCGGAGAGTAGCCGTTTAGCAGGAGTTGGTGTTGCTACTGGATCTTCAACGCCCTTAATACTCTGGCTCCGTCCGCGGGATTTTGAATATGATATCGAGTCTTCCTCCACTAGGCCTGATCTGCGGATCGGGGTATCACGCTCCAGATGTTGAAGTGGTATAGGAAGAGGGCTGGTCTTCATAACCGGTATGCGTGAAACACCTTTCACTCCCCCACTAACGTCCTGGTAAATATCCCCTTGATCCTCAGCAGCTTCTCCTGGAAGTCGTAAATCCCACACATTATTTTCTGGGGCCTCTTCTTCCTCAGTAGGAAATGAGCCAACACGCTGCCGCTTTTGGGCCTGCTCGCTTCTCAATCCGTTTCCTTGCTGGTCCCTACTGTGCTCTCGCCGACTGGATTTACTGGGTGCGCGAGCTCGAGGAAGAATTATGCCTGCAGCTTGAAGTTCCTGGCTTTCGATGCGCGCAAGTTTGTCTCTATGTATCCAACGCGAGCGTTCCGGATCATCATCTTCGAATTGCTCCGTATTGGCCTGCTTCACATCACTGTAATCAATGCTATTAATCCCGCTTCTGTTCGGCCCGTAGAGATCGAGTAGACTATCCGGAGCACTTCCAGTCTCGCTGATACTGCTATCCTTGCGATTCAACGCATTTACTCGTGCGGGTGCTAAATATCCACTTTCTGCGGAACGAGCTGAGTTGTATTCGGGTCTTCGCTGTGTCAGATCTGTACGAGATGTTTGGTGGCCCAGGGCGTGACCATTCGTGTTAGACAGAGGTGGTTTGCTGTATTCCGATAGTTTTTGGGAATTCTGTAGAGAAGATGGGTCAGTATATGCTCCAACCACAAAAAGGAGAGTCGTTAAGGGTCTCCAACACTGACTTCTAATTGTGATGGCACAGCGTAGTTCCAGGATTGCTGGCCTCCATGGGAACTACTCGGAGGTGTGAGAGAACTGGGGGCTTGCGGCGCGGAGACCGCAGCCATCTTGACTTCAGGCTTCTCTAAGCCAAAGTTGAAGGAATCAATCTTGACGGTTGTTGTTGTGTCTTGTAGGATATGCGTCGTCCGCAAACGAGGATCAGTGTGGCTTTGACTAGGCGGAATGAGGATAGAAGAATGTCTCTGAAGATACAGAATTAGACTCGAACGAGAGACGGAAAGAAACCGCCAGCAGATGTGTTTTTATGAGGATCCAGACAAAGCACAGGACCGTCACCAAAGATCCAAACCGGACAACTGATAGGAGGAAGGGTTGGTGTCCTAGGGCGGAGGACGTGCGTTGGAGTTCCGGCTGTGGCGCGAAACAAGAACAATTGCCTGGAAAGACTGGAATCGGAGAAGTGATTGCGCCAAGGAGTGACTTCTGAGGGGATTCGCGACGTTTGCAGAGGGTAGGGCGCGGGGGATGAGAGCGGGAAGTGAGGTTTCTTTGTATTCCCCTACTACTGCGTTTTGCGAAAGGAGACGACCAAGGAGGGAAGCTCAAATGTTGTCTTGCCGCATTGGAAGCTTAGCGATCGGGGGCTAATTAAGATGGGGGGGCAGGGCCGAGGCTGACGCCGCAAGCTGGCTCTGGCGATTCGCAGCAACAACACAAAGAAAGGAGAACAAGAGACTGTCCACGGCAAAGCTCAACGATACGATAACACGTCTTATTATACGTATATAAGCTTGCCAGTGACATTGGATGCCCGAACCACAACAATGCGATCCAGGGCATCCTGTCCGTCCCCTCCCGACAATCACCCAGATCGCATACGCGAAATTTGATATATCCTCAACACATCGCTCTGGAGTTCCAGCCGGGACACCCCAAACACATACAGCCGGCCTTTGATACCCCGATGGATCAGTCCTCCGATCTTCGACCATCAAACTTTTAGTCTGCGAATCTGTCGCTGCGCTGGATGCCCAAGGGATGACTGAACATAATTTTCCTTAGCTACGAATAGCTGCCTGGCTAGCATAGAAAGCTGGGACGTTGACTCTCAATCACCTAGCCACCGAGTCCGATACTTTCAACCAGATTTGCTTGAAGCTCCTCAAGTCGAGTAGAGCACATATTCCAGGCGTTCCTCGCTATACCCCAGCTTTCCATCCCCACTATTCCTCAAAATGTCCGACACGCAACCAACAACACGCAGAACCCGATTTGTTTGCATCTCGGATACTCATAATGCCTGTCCTGGTGGAGCCTTTAACCTACCCAAGGGAGATGTTCTTATATGTGCTGGCGATATGACCAACCAAGGTTCCTTGTCGGAACTGAAAAAGACAGTTGACTGGCTGGAAGAAGCAGACTTTGAGGAGAAAATCATTGTTGCTGGTATGCATACCCATGCTTTACCAATTCTTCTGGAAGGTGGATCTCTTGTTCGCCGCCTTCCGACTTGATTGCAGTAAATAATTCCAGCATATTGCAAATCATTAACATACATACATAGGCAACCACGACATAACTCTAGATTCCAAATTCTATGCCCAGTATGGTTCACACTTTCACAATCAAAATCCACAGGACCCGAGACAATGTCAAAGGCTTCTGGAGCAGTCTCCATCAATTACATGGCTAAAGCACGCAGCCGCTGTGGTCAAGCTCACTACCGGTCCACATACGACATTCAAGATATTTGGTTCTCCATACTCTCCTGTAGACGGCATGTGGGCTTTTGGATACAACGCCGATGAAGCAAAGTACATTTGGGATCCGATACCTCTCGATACGGATATAATTCTTACGCATACTCCGCCAAAGTACCATTGCGATCAGAGGACACACGCGAAGGCAGTGGGATGTGACACCTTACGCGAAGCTTTATGGAAAGTTCGGCCAAGACTGGCAATATGTGGTCATGTCCATGAAGGGCGAGGTGCTGAGCGTGTTCACTGGGGGCCTATAGACGAAGACAAAGTCGAACGATGGGAAGACCCGGGCCGAAACAACAAGAAGATCTCACTAGTTGATCTGACAGCTAAAAGGCGAAATCCGCTCGAGAATGACGGTAAGTTAGAACGAAAAGAAACGTGCATTGTCAATGCAGCAATCGTAGCTTCAAGCTATCCTCACACTGGCGGAAGAAAGTTCAACAAACCAATTGTGGTCGACCTTGATTTGCCAGTGTGGGAGGAGGAGTGAACCTCTAAGGCTGAGGTTCTAACTTTACCTTCAAATCAGCATCACTTGCAATATGATTACCTCTCCGTTTCATTGTTATTCAAGCTTCTGAGGACATTCCTGCTTTGATTTATCGAGCCCTGCCAAGTGTATCGGCAACATTTTTAGACAATCAAACACAAGATAGAAGTCCAAGAGCTCGTCGCTGCGCCGAGTGGAGTGACCAAGAGTTGGCCCCGGCAACTGTGACGTCGACAGAAAGGGCCGATCATTTCACTTACTCCTTCCCCATACGGCGTTCTGGACTTTGTGCTTTGGGGGCCCAGAGGCAGTTATACTAAAATTACGTCTTTGCGGGTCTTCACCAAGAGAAGGCCAGACTACCATGGACTACCATTCGATATGCTCGAAGGTACGATGAACCTGTCTCCAACTTTTTCTGACTGCCTGGTGTTCTGTTGGCGTAATTCGTTTCATTTCGTTGACACATCCAGCACTGCTGGCTTTGCAAGACGTCCTGCTATCACAGCTGGAGGACATACGAGCAGACTTTTGAGTTAGAACCTTAAACGAAGATTATTTTTCATACCTGTTTAATCAAAATTCTTCAGCCTAGCAGTACTTAGGTACGCTTTCAGATCGTTGTAGTGCTGGTGTGCGGAGGCTGTTTGACATCCGGTTCAGCACTAATACCTCGCCTCCAGAAGTTCGTTGTGCTAGTGGCACCACATTTGAGATCGCAATGGAAATTTTGCTTCAAGATATCAGACTGAGCTCTCCGTACACCTCTCCCAGGTTGGACTTAAGATTGGCCGCGCGAGAGGTGGAGTTTTTTTTGCCCCTCCGCGTTGAGCTACAATAGCGGCCCATCCTTTCATACCTTACCTCAAGCATCATACACTTTCTACTGGGATGGCCCCCATCTCAATCTTCTACAAGCCTTCTGCGTGCCATGGTCCTGTTACCGCAGTGGAGGTTCCTCTCTTGGACTTGGAGCTATGTCTTAGTGTTTGGATAGCTACCCCTTTTCTACTTTCGCTGCAAGCTGCAATACCTTTAAACCAGGCGGGTTGAGACCGGCTCCGATCTGTGATACACCTGATACAGATTCCTGTTGACGTGGTTCTCGGTGTCCAGGCAAGCTCCTCAAGCCTAAACTAGGTCGCGTATGTTCAATATCGCACATAACGTCCCCAGATCTTTCGTTTTTGTCTTCTGTCTCCCCCTTTTCTTGCCAAATACTCTGTCGATCACGCTGCGGCAATCCTCGTAAGTAATGTTCGCCTCTCTACCTGCCTCCGAGACTAATAACCCATGCTGCTTAACCAGACCAGAGGAATTTCGTTTCTTTAAGATGGCAAAGTCAGCTCCATCTGTGCTTTTCAGCCTCATTGCAATCTTGTTCTTGTTCCAAATCACGTCCTGCTCACCAATTGCGAATAATGATGAGCCAGGCCGCGGGAAAGCTGAAATTGACGGAAACTTGACCTTCGTCGACAATGTCGACACACCCGGTGGTCCAGATAACGTTGATCTAACAGTCGACAAAGCTGCATCTGCTTCTATCCCAGCAACTAGCCCTGCTGCTAGTAAACGGCCCCTGCGCGAGTCCATAACGTATGTTACCCAGGAAGCTATTGAAGCCTACGAGAAACATGGCGACTGCTACCCTGCTTTCTTTGACATCACCGAGGACAACCTCCAACAAGCAAACTTATCGCTCTGGTTCAATGACTTCCTTGTCTCAAAGCAGAGAGCAAATCCTCAGGCATATGACCAATTTGGCGAAATATCCCTTTACGCTCGAGAGATCATGCAGACTTCTGGCTTCGAATGTAACCTTCAATCCAAGGGTTGCAATCGCGTGCCTTCTTGCAGAGATGTCACCGACCACCTTGAGAGGCGGAACTTGGGCCTCTCTACTGCTGAGCTTTTGGACCAAACGAGAAAGATATACTTCACGTTCACGCAATTGGATTCCATTGCCAAGTATATCTCGACAATGCACGTAAGTAGAAGCTGAGAAGTCTCACGGATAAATTATCTAATCCAAGATAGGAGCTTCTCGGTACTACTCAGTCTAACATCAATGGTTTCATCATGTCACTGATTACTGATTTCACCACACAATCAAGTACAGATAGCGAGATCGCTTGCGCACTGATCAAATTTGGTTACGAGATGGGTTTCCAGATCGCCCAGACGGCCCTATCATTCGGTCTTGGTTCCATCCCTAGCGGAGCTGGAGAGTATGTTCTTGCTGGTGACAAGATTGTGAAAGCAGGACAGAATAAAAAGCAACAGGAGTTTGCCGCTAACAGTCACTGGATTTGGACCGGCTTAGATCTCGTTCACAAAGTTGCGCAGATGGAAATGGCTTTCGAAGGGATGAAGTGGACTGATGATTGGTACGGTGCAAATGCGGAAATGGAGAAGAAGAACTATCATCTCGTAATGGCGCAAGCCTATGTTGGTGGTTTGTGTGCTGAAGTTGGTGGAGATATGCCAAATCAGAACTGGGAACGAGCGACCAAAATGGCGTCCTATGCGTCCAAAGGCTTCATGGACATGAGAGCCATCCTAGAGAGATTGATGAAAACTCTCTCCAAAGGTAATGGTTTGAAGAACGGTATATCGTACCTCTCCTTATACCTTGAGCATGACGAGATGTTCAAGGCCGTACAACGTCTGAAGCAAGGCCACTCTGTCTACGAGAGGTATTTTGACAACATTGTCCAGCATAAAAATTTCTTGCTAACTGCTTCTAGCACCATGACCCAGCGCTTCAAAGAATCGCTCATCACATCTGCCTTGGCGAACAGCAAATGCTACCAGAAGTGTGCCAACAGACCTGGTGATATAAAAGCACAGGATGCCTGCAAGTCCAAATGGGCCAATGTTGATAGTCGATACTGTCCAGAGGACGACGAGTTCACTGCTTGTCAGGTGCAATGCTTCACAACACAAACCGTTGGCAATCGTGAGAGAACGCTCATCGGCAAGATGGCTTTGCCACAATACGCGCTCTCGGTAAAGCAACTGCTCAAGGACTCTCTACACCACTACCACGAGACTGGAAACGCACCACCCGCCCTTGGACAGCTCGCAGGGAATGGATCCAGTGACATTTTGGCCTTAGAACGAACCCTTAACACCGAAGTCAGCGGTCTCGCACTACCTGTCTGCCACTCGGCCAATGTCAAGCTCACTGAATTCGACGACAAGATCCACTACGGACTGAAGTACACCCAGAACCAGCAATTCCCATGCTCTTGCGGCGATTGGAGATCAAACGAGACACAGCCCTTCCTGGCAAGGCTGGGACTGGCTGCAAACCAGTCCGATTTCCAAACTGGCGCTGCCAAAGAGCTATTCACTCAGATCTGTCCACACGTAAGTCAACACAAATTTCACACCCCCCTCACTTCCAGCAACAATAACACCAGACAAACAACTAACCACCTCCCCCCCTTCTCAGAACCTCAAGAAACACGCACCCCTAACCCGCTACCTCGCCTACTGCAACCTAGGGATCCAATTCCCCGACAAATCCACGGGCGGCGGGCCAGCCAAGTACCCCTCCTCGCACCCCGACCACTGGGTGCACAACATGCACCAGATCAAGACCGGGCGCGGAGCCCACCGCCACTGCGAGGTCATCGCCGAGCAGGTCAATGACATGGATGAGAAGGCGGGCAATATGGCGTTCTGTAGGAAGAAGACGAGGGAGATGGCGGAGGTTATTAAGGAGGGGAGGGCGCATGCGGAGAATTTGAGGGGGGGGTTTGTGGTGAGCTATAAGGAGGCTTGTAGGAGGTTTTTGAAGGATAATAAGGCGTAGATGGGGATGATCTTTTTGTCTATTGCTTGGTGGCTCTTGATGTGTCGGCTGGCAGTATCGCGGCTTCTGAGCCTCGGCACCAGCCTTCTTGATCTTCGATTCTGGGAACTCTCCATGGGGTATGGCGTTTATCAGGGCTTTTAAAGAACTTATAAATTCGAAAAGGACTGTGACAGTTGCGATGGGGTTTAGATTTGGAGTTGAAGTTAGTGGTTTTTAGACTTGTCTCTCATTCCATTTTAGACAGAAACGTTGCCGTTCACTGTATACATAGTATAACAGTTGAATATGATTAATCATAATATAATGAAAAAACATATCAAAAGTACACATCCGTACTCTAGACATCTATCTGTATTTTGAGCCTCATATCTTTATGCCGTACTGTAGTGGATAATGCACGTTGGACTTGGCCTTCGCCTTCAGTTACATACCTGCCTAGGTACAGAGTTACGGACGGGTAATACACAGATGAATTTGAGTTTAAGAAGTGATGCTTTCTGTCCTAGATTAGAATCAAGATCTCTAACTCCAAATAAAGTACCAGTACCAGTACCAATACCAATACTGCTAGCATCAATACCAATACACTACTAGCATCAATACCAATACCAACACGCTACCAGAACCAGCACCCATCCCCGCACCGCACCGTACCGCAACCCCGCATCAGCTAGTCCGCCTATCTACCTGCAAGATAGATACCCTCGATACCTTACATATGTATATGCAAATTTGGCTTTTCTGGCGTCTGTATCTGCATGTATCTATCTATCTATGTACGAATATGCATGCATCCCTCGTGCGAACCTACTACTGCAGATAAAACAAGGGTTCAAGGGTTCACTCACTCTGCAGTGAAGTGATTAAGTTACCTACCTACTTACTTTACCAGGGAGGCTCGGCAGGGAGGGTAAGGTATCTCAGATGCAAGCAAGCGCTGGCTTCTCAACCAATAATAGATACTTTGGGATTTTAGGTAGGATGCTAGCTGCTGGCTGGTGACTGGTTAAGCGGGAATGCGGGTTGGATCACATTTTTCTCTTTTTTTTCTACTGTAGTCTGTATCTATCTTTGGGGGGTTTTGGTATGGATATGGGGTAGGTAGGTATTTAGTGTTTAAATTGGGATTTTGAGTTTGGGTTTGAGAAGGAGTATTGTCAAGCTCTAGGTAGGATACTGGGAGCTTCAGTTTCTGGGTTTGGATTTGGATTTTGCATGAGAGGAAGGGGGGAGGAGGTCGTGAATCTGGCCTCCTCCTCCTCCCGCCAGGGCAGACTGCCAGCACAGAATGGATCTGTACCCCGCCTTTTCTGGACCCCCACTTCCAACCTTGGAAGCTCAACTCCCGTCCGTCGTCTCAGCAGTTACCCACCCTACCGTACCCACGCATATGACGATATTTAGAGCTACATGCATACAGAGTAAAGAGTAGTTACGTATCTGGATGAATGATGGATTGTGAAACTGAATGATCCACTTGCAGATAAATATGATGCGTGGCGTATGATATCTGTGTCGGAGGAGGAGCGTGGTGGGGTTAGCGGGGTAGGGTAGGTAAGGTATGGACATTTAGATGCTGCGACAGGTGAGGAGTGGGAGTGGAATTAGGAGGATGGTATCGGAAGGATGTAGCGCGAGGCTCCCTAGAGGTGCAGATTCCCGCGTATGGCGACAGATAAAGTTGGGCAGGGGGTGATGACGGGTTCGTTGGCTGGTTGGCGGTTGTGGGTGAAGAAGTGCTGTGCTGTGCTGTGTATGCTGTGATTGATTATGACGATGGTCTTCTGAATGTGATGACAGAAAGGGAGATACTACTAGGTCGGTATATGAGTGATATCGACTCATTCATAAGCATCAACTTTCTTACTTCTTACCAGTACATTCGATTTCCAAATACTCTTACAGTAAGACTCGTACACCTCTCACCAAGTAGCAGTGAGCCTCGCCGTAACCAAATAAGCCGTAGCAGTTATCCCGACTCGACTTCAGCGACATCCCCTCTCAATTGCAGTAGCGTCAAATAGCGTGACATGAAAAAGGCATTGGAGGAGCGAAGTTCGGCAGTACCCACGAAACGAAAACGTAGTGCCATGCAAGTGATCCTAAACAGAAGGGCTGATGTCCTGCACCAAGGGTTTTATGGAAGCGATCGGAGAGGCTAAACAGTGGGAAGAAGTAGAAGCTTACAGAAGAGTTTAGGAGGAGTGAGTTTCCCGCCGTAGCAGCGCAGATCCAACTTCACCAGCATAGGGGAGAAAGCGCTTGGATTGTGGGTTCTGGGATGTGTTGTTCATTGGTGAAGAAGTGTGGAGTTGATGACAAGTAAGGTTAATGATTGGAATGAAGGGTCCCCTAGTTCTGTAGTATCCATTCTTTAGATCCTGATCTCTGTATGGTGAAGCTCTATGCAAGATGCAAGTCGACGCAAGTCTGAGGATGGGATGAGCCTTGAGAGGTTGCCCGCTGCCCAGCCTGGCTCCAGAATGGCAGATGGTATGTCAGACGATTCGGGGATGCACAGCGGGTTCACCGCTGAAACAGAGCAACGCGTAGATCAGCCGTGCCGATTGGTTCAGGAACAGGACTGGATAGGATGGAACCAAGACAGGACAAGCGATAGCTGAAGGGGGGCAGAGCGGATAGGACGAGGAGGCCATGCATGCGGGCCTGAAAAGCCTCTTTTGGGGGAAGTCTGCTGCTCTGAATGGTGATTTGGATATGCTGGTGAGGGCCAGGTCCGCGGGCCTGCGTTAGGTTTGACATGGAGGGGAAGGGGAACAAGAGGGTGTGATGAGTAGAGCCCCCATCATATCACATCGATATCACACATCTTTCGTGGTTACTTAGCAGTACCCCTCTTTGTGAGAATGGATGAGGCTGCGAAGTTTAATCGAGGGGGCTGTTTCACGGGCGGCTAGACAGCCAAGAAGATGGGAGGGGTATTTTTAGGGATGATAGGTGAGCGATGATGACGGTGAGGGGATGGAATGTGAGTGACAGGCGAGGCTAGAGCTGAGAGGGAAGAATACGGTGGCTAGTAAGACCTTTGATGGCAGTGCAGAAATGCAAATACTACCGTAGGACAAGGACGACGTCGTCTCGGACGTGAAGTTTGAATGGCAACGGGCCGGCAGATCTGGATCTGGGTTCCGATTCAGGATGTTACGATGTCACTTTCTATTTGACAATTTGTTTGGTTCTGGTGCTTGGTTGGAAAGGGGATGTGAGGCCATTTCACAGACCTCTAGCCTATCGAGAGCCTGCAGGAGCTCGACCTTCCTACGTGGAGGTCTCATGCACCTCAGGACCTTTTTCTTGGCCTGTGTCTGTTCCTACTGGTCAATTATCACCAATAGAATTGATCGATTATCGATCTAAGTCTTTACTCGTGCCATGTTGTTGATTGTAGTGTGATGTGATCTGCTGGTGATGTTCCCTTGGCTGGTGATATTGTAAAAGTGGACTGTGGTCCAGTAGTTGCTGAACAGCACAGCAGTTTTGGGGTGCTTGTCTTGGTTTTATTACACCAGGTTTGGAGAGTGGATGGTCGGTATTCTAATTAATCCAGTAAATCGATCTTTGCTTGAGATTTCGATGTTCGGACTGCCATAAGTCGTCGGCCTGATCAGGACTGGTAATGAATATCTCTATCAGTAAGAGTCTACCTCAATCAGCTGTACAAAGCACCTCTTTCCAGCTGAGCTCCGGAGGCTCAGACTTTGTCTAGCTGATACTGAACTCTCCACAATTCCATGACTGGTATCATACACCATCGCTGAGACTGAAAGTCCGACGTCTGGTCTATTGGTAGTTCAAATCCGAACCTCGTCGAGCTGGACTCTCCACTTTTCAGTTTGCGATCCCGGGGTTTTGACCATGCCAGCTGTGCCCTCATATTGCCCTGCTCGGATCCTTTAATTCCATCAACAGCAATGAGTGAGACGGGCGTTGCTGGGAGAGATCCTACTCCGCTCGGCTGCAGGTCTGTAGGTACAGCTTCACTTCACGTCAGGGCAATCAATAGTCGGGCCATTGCTTTGGTCTGGTCTGGTCATATCAGACCAGGCTGCCACCAAAATAGAGACCTCCTACGTATCTTGACCGTGAAAGAGAACGTCAACGTCGTATTGTATCCATGGTCTTCACTGACCGTAGTCCCTGTCCTGGCACTGCCATTGCCCGACTCGTAAGGCTCGAGACGCAATCTCTTGCTGTAAAGTGCTCATCTTTGCCCGAGCCTTTGAGACGGGGAGAGGTCCAATTAATACTTTTGATACTCAGGCTGCCTCATCGTCGCCCGGCTTGAAGCTGCAGGTATTTGCATGTCAACGACAAGCATTGGCAGCGAATTGCACCGCCGCACCTTTACACCCCGCACAGGTCTGTCTGCCAGGCCAGGTCATACACCGCCTGTTCTGGTTGTCTGGTCACTATTCGCAGACCACCTGCTGGCCCTGGCCCCATCTTGACCACTGGAAGGATGTCAACATTGCTGCAGTGTTCACCTATCTTCTTCGGCGGCCCCTTTCCTTTGACCATTCCCTGGAAGTCACTACCTACCTACCACTCTGCGCATTGCTTTGTATTGCCCTGCTCGTTCATCTCTTACAGCATTCTTGAAGGCGAATTTGTCATTGCCACCGCAGATTCTTTTGTGCCTATTCCTATTCTACTTCCGCTCTGGATCTAGGTTCCCTTCTTGCTGACGAAGAACGCTGCTGCGGTCGTGCTGAGTCAACCTGACTCGCAAGCCCTTTCGCCTTCTCGCCGTTAGTCTGGTCGGTCTTAGGCGGCAACCGTACCTGCACCGTCCTCAGTCTCAACCAAGCGACGCCCGTGACCTCATCCATCTGGCTTCTGCCCCATCCCGTCTTTTTGACAGCTACGGGCATTTTTAAGGACCAACTCCGCCGCCGCCGACGCCGTCGATTGGAAGCGACCTGACCATCTCCTCAACCAGGAACCCTCGCCTCGCTATCATCGCTCGCTCGCTCCATCCCGCTCCCGCCATTGCCTACTCTGCTCTGCCAGTCCAGTCTGCTCTGGCTGCCGTCCTCTGATCAGGCCTTGTTTGCTCTGCACAGCCAGACCTCGATTCTACAACCAACCCGTTAACCATATATCGATTCCATTCCAACCGGCCCGAGGTCTTGTCCGCTTCCTATCATCCGATAACTACTTCCACTCTCTCCTTTTTAATACGAGACCACTTGTTTTGTTGGTCGCCTCATTACATACTCCATACACCGACCATTCCACCTACGACATTCTCCAGTTACCATGCAATAGACTCTTCTGCTCGCCCCTTCGAGCAACCACCACACCCTCAACACCCTCATACGAACTCCTCTCACCCTCACCATTCGTTGCCACTCGAACGCTGAGGTCAGCTCCTCTTTATAATCATGAATTCGACTCTTCCCCCGGATCCGTACAAGCTGCTCGGAGTGACGAAGGACGCCAAACTACCAGAGATCCGGAGCGCTCACCGGAAACTGGTCCTCAAATGCCATCCAGATAAGGTGCAGGACGCCGCTCTTAAGGCTATCAAACAAGATGAGTTCCAGAAGGTGCAACAAGCATACGAACTGCTCAGCGACAATGCGAGGAGGCTACAATACGATGAACAGGTCAAGCTGTTTGAGTTGCGGAAAGAGATGGGACGTGGCAACCCGACGCCCAGGAGCAATCCGTTCGAGTATGAAGTCAAGACTGCGGAGCCTCGAGCGAATTCCTACGGACGCCCCAAGGTTTATTCACATCCTACATCTGTACCGAGATCGAATGAGGAGGTGTACGAGGACAGACATATGCCCAGGAAATCTGCGAGCAATGAGTCCGCGTCGGATCGCAAACGTGCTGCGATGAAGGAAGAAGAACTGCGATACCGTGAAGCAGCCGCCCGGAAGATGGAAGATGAGAGACTGAGGCAAAAGGAGAGAGAACGAGAAACAGCGAAGAGAGCCCATAGGGAGAAGAAGAAGTCCAGTGACAAGGACAGGAGGAAAGGCACTGAGGAGAAGGTACGATCTCGACATGCCACCTATGTCGAGGACGATTCTTCAGACGAAGAAATCCGTCGACTTTCAACTAGAGCCGAGACTCTACGTAGTGCAGAACGAGAGAGGAAGCAGAGACAAAGGATTGAAGAAGAGATCAGAATTCGCGAGGAGAGTGCTCGTGCTGCCGAAGCCGCCGCTGCTCGCCATGCGCAAGAACATCAACGACCCAAGGAGGCTCCCATGAACGAGAAATGGAACGAACACAAGCAGTTTGCAGGTGCATATATGCTGGCTGCCCGCCGAAAGGTTGCACCAGTGGATACCGACCTTTCAGGACATCCAGGAATGCCGCGAAGAGCTGAGACGTTCTCCGCTTCTTCGACGCCTGCTTATGTACGATACACAACAACTCAACAGCCACAATATAGTGACGAAGACATGCCCAAGCGATCATCCGCGGGACGAAAAGAGTCAAGTAGAAGATCCTCGGAAACACCAGCTGCACGAACGGAGAAATCATCGAGAAGAAGATCACCACCAGCACCAACCAGCGATCCTTATATCGTTGAGCCGCCCTCGCCCACAACTGCTCCGAGAAAGCCACCTCTCCAGACTTACACCTCGGCGCCTCCAGTCTTCACACGAGAACAGCCCAGTCGATCAAAGACTCAAGATTATCCTCGGAAAGAAGCTGCAATGCCCCCTCTCCCAAGAGCTGCAACCTTCCAATCTGGGGATCGTTCCAGAGCCAGTGGTAGCAGCAAGCTCAGACAGCAGTACACCTCAGACTCAGAGCCCGACTCTCCTGTATATCAACAGTCTTCCCGACCTCGCAGTCCTCCACCAACTCGTCGAAGCGAACCAACTCGCTATATCGTCGAGAATGGTAAGACCGTCCCTGTTCAAACATCTCGTCCTCACCGCTCCGAGATGCGGGAAGAATACCCTCAAGACCGTAGCGAGTCTCCACGTGGTACACCTGCGAGACCTCCTCTTGCTCGGAATCCACCCAGCAGTGAGCGACCTCGAGCAAATCGCACTCAATCAACGACTTACTACCAATCCGAACCTGAACCGATTGTGCTCACTGCACGACCGAAGTTTGAAGGAAGTGGTCAGAGAGGAAGCTCGCGAGGCCCAGCTGGAGGAGCGTATTTTGACAACGTTCAATATGGAACCAAATATCAGCCTGAGCATGTTATCTATTCGAACCACGCCGCCGGACTCCAAGACTATGCACGCCGAGGTAGCGACGGACGAGACAGAGACTACTACTCTCGAGGAACACCTCTCTACACTTGAAATAAGCACTTCAAGTTGCGAACATGCCCTCCCCTCCAATTTTTCCACTTTTGAAGTGCACATATTACACCCCTCAATTTTAATTGAGATTTTCCGCCGGGGAAATTCCTCCTTCGACGAGATATTCAATTCTTGTACACGCTTACAACACGAAAACCATGATACAGTAACGACGCGCTTTTCCACTACACATCTCAATTGAGAAGGTGTTCCCCAATTTTCACTCACGAACGAACGAACAACCAAAGAACGAAAGAAAACCACAAATGCATATACGACACGATGAACACGACAGGCGCAGCGCAGCATAGCCTTGGGGCATAACCCCTTTTGATTGATTCTTTCCATTTTCGCCACACTCGTTACACATTTTGCCACGGCAGTGCGCGGAATATACCTCGTCATGCATGCTGGATTGCGTGGATCGGTCACAGTCGTTTATTTGAAGTGTTTTCCGCGTTTGGGTTTGATCGATCGATTTCGTTCGCTGTTGTATTTTACACCTACAAACACGCTCCTTTCTCGTCTTTTGCGAGCGAGTGAGAGAGAGCGAGGAGCCAGTCCTAGGATGAATGGATGGGATGGGATGGGATGGGATTGGATGGATATATGGAGTTTGTCTTTTTTTCAAATGGGAACATCTCGAGACATCAAATCTCGGATTCCTGATCAAGGGGGCGAGGGGGAGGAGAGGAGAGATGTGGATAGAGGATGAAGTTACAGGGTGGATTGATACGATGTGATGACGAGATGAACGATTGATCATGATGAGCAGTCTATTTAACTTGCTTCTTGCCTGTCTATAACCTTACTGCTGTGCTAGCACAAGCTAAGCCTGCGTGAGCGAGCCAAACTTGAGCATTTCAATGGAGTTTCTTTTCACTTCTTCAAATATTTTGGATGGAGGATTAGGATGCGAGCGAGCATGAGGGGACTTGGGAGAAGTGACTCTTTTGCTGACTGACTTGAGGTAAGAGCTTCTGAGAGTGAATCGTGCCTGGATTGTCTGGGACCTACCTCTCTGATGACCACCAAAGATTTGAAAGTATTCTCCTCAGAGCAACAGCACCAGCAGCAGCAGCAACAGTAGCCACTCCCCTTCAGTCACTCTGACCTCTTTCCTCAACTAGCAAACCACCTCCCTCTCCCTCACCTCCCTCTCCCTACCCCTCTTCTTCGCTTTCCTTCTTTCTTTCTTTCTTTCTTTCTTTCCTTCCTTCTGTCGGGAGATCGACACCTAGGCCCATCTCTCCTGCACACAGCTGATCTTCTAGACCTGCCAGACCCGTCGATCCAATAATCAATCAAAATTAGATCTACGAGTAGATTGCGTTATTCCATCATCCACTCATCCACTCACTCACCCACTCACTCACTTGCTCCACTCACTAGCTACCTCTATATTTCCTTCTATATTCCGTCTGCCGGCAACCTTCAGCTTCAGCTTCTTCTTCGGTCCGGCACTTCTCGCTTACAGTCAGTAACTTATCAAGATTGGATGGTATGGATGGTATGATCGACGGAAATGGGAGGGGAATGGGGAATGAATTGACTTCGCTTGAATCATGAATCACGAATCGTTAAGCGAAGGAGCTTGAAGTTTTAGTGGGTGGAGGAGTGGGAGTGGGAGTGGGAGGGAGCTTCACCGCTTGGAACAGGGATGGACGTTGTTTGTTACAGAGTGAGTGGTCTGGACTTTTACTTGGGGGGTTTTGAGTGTGATGGTTTGAGTGTGAGCGTTTGAGTGTGTGGTAGGCTCAGTAGGGACGAGGTGAGTGGGTGAGTGGGTGGGTGGTGTGGGGGCTTGGCTTTGCCGTTAGCTGTCAGGGTTTGAGTTTTTCTTGTATTGTATGGCATTGGGGTTTTGTATTTTGTGTTTGGATGGTTGGATGGTTGGAGTTTGATGTTTGGGTGTTTGGGTGTAGGACCTTGTGATTTGGACTGTGTTTATCTGATTTGGTTAGTTAGATTGGATAGATTGTCAAGATATTGATTATTCTACAAGTGTACTACTGCATTGCTTCCTTTGAGCAACAGAAGTAGAGCGAGAAGAGACTTGGCGGTGAAGTGTACTCTCCTATACTGGCTTGAACCTGTGGTGCTAATGTGTTGGCCAGAAGCACTTCTCGATTAATTGTAGTCTTACTCGACTGTTTCCTCGAGAGTGGGTCGAGACGGTGAGCTTCATCGGATGAATCCTACACTGACTCTTGCTAGAGCACGTGGATGATACAGCCAGCTGAGAATGAGGGACAAACTGGAGGGGTAAGTTAATGTCGGTTTGGCACCTGTCATCGAGCGCGTTGGGCGAGAAACAATAATATTAACGCTGGCATTCAGCGACTGACCGGTCTGTTGGGTCGGCACTTCGTGGTAGATCTTCTTCTGTACATCAAGGTACAGCGTCGCAAAAATAACGGTGGAGCGCTGTGGACTGACCTGACAGCTGACAAGATGATGAGATCTAACGGTGAGGCAGAGTGAGGCGGACGTACTCCATCATGACTGTCATTCTCTTAAGATGGCTCTTGACTTACAACCTCGCCCACGTGGCCAGCCTTTCACTCCTCTTGGTCAACCGGACATTCCTTCCTTCCCTTTCCTTTCATTCATCCCTAACCCTCTCCGCTTCTCTCGATCTCTCCCATGTGTCGCTACATCGAGGTGTAGGTGAGCAAGAAGTGGGCGATCATGGCTCGGCGTGGAATACAGTCCAGCAAAGTGGAGAAGTACAACGCATATCATCTAATCAAGGCAGCCAGTCATCCTTGATGAAAGAGAGAGCTCCTCCTTCTCGGGTTATTTCATGCGATTAAAGTCTCTAGTCTGGTGTGATCGACTGGGGAATCCTAGTGTCGATCATCTTTTGTCTGCGATAGCTAGCCTTCTTTACTTTGCTTTTTGTTTACTTGGGGTGGAGCTTGAGCTCGAGCTTACCGTCACGTCAAAGTGGAGAGCTTGAGATGTGTTTGGGCTTTTGGTAGGAATGATCGGTGTGTATCTGGGCGGCGCGATCTGTCCAAGTCAAGCAGTTAGCTTAGAAGTGGAATAAGAATGATGAAGTCATAGTCTCTTAGCTGTCAGCGTATATACGCTATGTCATTTTGCTACCTTTAAATCTGGATATCGTGATGTTTTCCCTTTTTATTTTTCTCATTTCTTAGTCGCTTGTGGCTGCTGTTCGTTCTCCGTTTACAAGCTCGAGAATGACATGGCAGTCTCGATGGATACTGGCGAAGTTATTTTACACTATTACTATGTAATATACATGAAAAATGTTACTCAATCACATATCTGCCATTCTTCTCCCCTTGCTAGAATGTGTGCGAACCAATAACGGTGTAGACAATCCTTCTTCTGATACGGAAGCGTGGTAAAGAAGAGTATCGAATTATACCAAAATAGAGCTGTGGAAATTCTGTCATCCTCAAGTTTGAAGATTCACATAGATTTCTAGATAAATTCAACTTATGAGGTGTGACCTGCACTCACTCCGCATGTGGTTGCGACCACACCTGCACGCTCCTTCGTCTTGATATCAGATACGAGGCGAGATAGCAACTTGCGCATCCGAAACCAAGTTCTTGCCCATATAGTTAACGAAATGACCAAATCTCTGTCGCCGCCTGGTAGGACTTAGCAGCACACCTGGTCTATACATGAGTTTCGGCCACCCCACCCCTCTTCTCCATCGAACACCAAAACGGCGGATCGCAACGAAATAACCTATTAAGTTAAGTTTGTAGATTGGAACCTCACACACATCCGAGTGCTGAGCTTCCAATTGAGTTCTGAATTCCTTTCCTCTTTTGGTGGCGCATCCTCAAAGCTTTGTTATTGTGTTGGTGAGATAGTTTTTATCGTGTTGATGTTTTTGTTGATTTTACTGTTAAGCGAGGCGGCACAGCGATACCCAACCTCCACAATCCGAGACTCTCCTTTCAACGCTCCTAAATGCAGAATTGAAATCACTGACAAATATCAAATTCTTCACACGGCTACTAAAAAAACGCATCTTGTCTAAATTAAATCTATTTCTACACCAAACTATGTTGCCTATCGTCATTTACTTCCGTTGTACAATTACAGCCTCTGAAGCAAACATCGTCACGACACCACCATCACTCCCCTCCCACGTCTCCCGACCAACCAACTTTCCCTTTCCATCAATAGACTGTCCTTCCCAAGTGGTACCAGTCTTAGCAATGGTATTCGCGCTCGTCAGACGCTTAACCTGAAGATTCCTGCCAAGGACTGGCGACAGATCCACGTATTTCGCTGGACGGGTCTCCGTCGTGCCATTGTAGTAATGTGTGTTGAGGATGACCATCTTTTGGAGTCGAGAACCGCTGTAAATGGCGTAGTGGGCGAGCTCATAGGTGTCGAGTGAGGCGACGCGGTGAATGCTGGGGTTCTTGATATCGGCGACTACATCGGCTGCGAAGAGCATGCTGTAATATCTAGATAGTCTCATTAGCATGTATCAAGAGATTTAAATGAGAGAGTATAGGCTTACTGAGATTGATATGCGCAGGGTACGAGTCGTTCAACGCGACAGGCTCCCAGAACGAATGGAAGAAGTCGCCCTTTCCGTTGTGGAAGAACAGTCTGTCTGCTCCAAGAGTTGCAAGGTAGAACGAATAGTCGATTGTCCAGAGTAGTGCACCCATGGTGTTAGATATGCCATCTTTGCCGTGGCAGGCCGCAGTGTTCGTCTCGCCCATGTGGTAGACTGCTCCGATGGCCTTTGCCGCAGCAATCTCACCGATGTAGGACGAGTAGTACTGTACGGTTTTCATATGATTGACGTAGTTCTCGAGGTTCAAAAGTGCTTCAAATGCCGCTATGAAGAATTTTAGACTTTCTCTTGACACAAGACATGCAGGACATTCAGATAACTTACGTGTGCATCGATTTCCAGGGTACGAATGCGAGGATATGATTTTGATCTGCTTAATCTTTGAAATTCCCCACTTCACAGCTTGCACCATTGTGAAGTCCGATGTAGTAGTTGGATTTGCGGCACTAGAACCGTACTGAAATCTCTTTCCAGAGGCCAGCTGTGGTAGCCACTCAAGTGTCTGCTTGACATATGCAGCCATGCTCCAGGTTGCTGGGGACCGGTAATTGACCTGTGGCCAAGTATAGTGGTCGGGTTCATTCCCAAGCTCGTAAGCAACAAGCTTGGACTGATCGAGGTATTTCAAGGCTCCGGCAAGTTCTGCCTTTAGAATCTCGACATTGTCTATGATGAGAGTACCAAGTTAGATGTGTCACATGAGAAATGTATAGCCTAGGATTATGTAGGCTTACCTTGTCCCAGATTTAGCCCAAAGATGTACTTCTGGTTCGATGGCCCATTGTCGTTCATTGCCTGGTACAGTTTTTTGCTGTACGTGACGTTGATGGCTTCGGTGCTTCCAGGCCTGAATGTATTGTTCATAGTCTCTGGGCAATTCTCGCAGTATTTGGCTATGCCCTGTGTATTTCCGCCAATACGAAGGATAGGAGGGGCACCGGATCTGTCTTGGACATTCTGAAGTAACTGTCTCGAGTACGTATTTGGAGCGCCTGGTGTCCCGAGGTAGTCGACTGCATAGCAGAACCTGGTAGGTTAGCGAAAGGACTGGAGTTCATATGACGGGTTGAGGACTTACTCAATTGACATGGATATCAGCTGGGTGTCCAAATGGAATGGCCTCTCTTGCACCGGCGGATACATCGAATGACACTGAAGCATTTGAAGTGCTTATTATCACTTGCTCAGCGCGCTCTGAGAGCTCAACAGGGGTAGCATAGACACATGCTTGAAAAGCTGCAAGTGCACAAGACGTAGCCAAAATGATACGAGACATTGTCAGAAAATGCTATGCAAGCAAAGTTTCAGATTCTCGCGAAGATGTCGAATGATGAGACCTTTCAAGGATCACTTCGAAGCTTACTCTTTTCATGTCGGGACTCGCCAGGAATACTTATATCTACATGCCACCAACCCACTTACGATTCATGAGAATGCCGGCAACAATTACCAGCATGTTTTCCAAAAAAGCTCATTTCCTCGCCGTCAGCTATAACCGGGTCGGTGGACTTTTTTCCATCCATACAGATATAATACTAACTCAGATCTCCAACTTTACAGAGATCTGATAGGTTCTTGGTGCCATGCACCCCAAGAGACCAAAAATCTCAATACCCCACAACCCCATAGTCCATCCCCCAACTTCTCCCGGATTGTGGAGGGTACCTCCACATTACGCTTGCCGACTCCACTTCCCTTCCGTACAGTTTCCACAGATAGGTACCACTGTCCGCTCCTCCAGTGTCACTACACTTATTTTTCCTCCTCCACTTCTTCCATGAGCAAGATTGGACAGCCCCCTTGCAAGCCGGAGTTTTGCCTAGACTGAACATGAGCTGTACCTCGATATCCAGCAGTCTGGGCCGAGCCATGGACCCAAGAAACGGGATCTAGTCGATCCCCCGCCCACGTCTCCCGGTCGTCTACGCAGTCAACGGACATGTCGCCGCATTTACTCCTTCGAGCATGCAGTCAAGCGATCTTGGACAGTCATCTCAACAAGAGTCACTTCTTGACAGTCCTTAGTGCGGAAAGCATGCCATAAATCCCACCTCTCTCCCGCGAACTCTTCACATCTCAGCTATCCACCCTTTGTCGTGGCATCATAGCACAACTGCACAGCCATCAGTCCAAGAGGGCCCGCCCCAACCTTTCCGGATGCATCGTAGCAACGGAAAGTCTTGGACGTGGTTCCTCCACTTCAAAAATATGACAAAGATTTTCCAAGATTTGGCATTATGCCACGGCTCTTTTCACGGTCTCAGCAGCTCCATTGACGCAAGCAGCTCCATTGACGCAAGCAGCTCCATTGACGCAAAACCAAACATCAGAACGAGAGGTTCGGTGTGATCAGTCGTAAGCTCAACTGTTGGCAAAGTCCAGAGGTAGAGTCAAGTGCATAGGATACCAAATCATAAATGCTAAAACAGACGAGGTCTTCGGATCGCTATTTCTTAGGGCAAGTTGAGGTGGATGAGGTCTCCTATCAACTCAGGGAGTTGACTGCTTGAAAGTGTAGCAAGTGAGAAAATCATAATCCCCAGCATATATTTTGACTGCCGTCACTAGTATCAGTGGAACTGTGCTATGTAGTTTTGGTTTTATAGGTATGTTTCGTTTGTTTGTTGACCCCTCCTAGCAAGGTGATCCGTGTCCAACTGTTTGAAGCACTTCGATTTCTGGCTCTGCTATAAAACTTTGCTTATGTACATCTTCATCTGTCATCTTCTTTTGAATACTTAGTTGTTCAGTTGACTTTTAGCGCAGGACCATCTATTCCTACATCCTCTCTGTTCTTGAGTTATATCAAGCTCGTCTCAACAAGTTCACCTTTGGCCCAAAATCATAACCCAGACCTCCCCCAGAATCAGACCTATTCACTTCTCTATCACCCAATTTAACACTTTCTACACTTGGACATTGCTCCGCTGGGCGAGCGCGCTCCATTCCCGTTTATATCAATCTTTAAAGATTAGATCAGATTGCGTCTGGAACGGATTTAGTAGTTGCGAGAAGTTGGTTCGAATCCAGCTGTCCAAAATCAATTCCCCTTTTTTTTCTAATTCACCTTGCCTTTTATCCTCTTTTCTGCCTTCTTCTTACCCTTTCTTACCCCTTCTTACCTCCCTACTTCAATTTACAAACCTCCCCTCCCGCCCCTCGCTAAACTGTCCTTCCCCAGCTGCTACTTCTCCATTTCATTAAACACCGAGTATATCAACCAAAATACGACTTTTTCTCCCCAAGACACAGCTCCACTGGGCGAGCGCGCTTCCTCCCTACTCTACCACTTCGTCGCGGGTCCCGCAGAGAGGTCGGAAAAGTCCACAGGTGGGTAGGAACCAGGGGCTGCGAGAAGTTGGTTCGATTCCAGCGGTCTAATATTTTTTTTTTTTTTTTTTTTTTTTTTTTTTTTTTTTTTTTTTGGAATTCACACTTGCTCAACCTTTAAGGTTGGAAGAGAAAATGTCGTATCTATTGCGTATAGATATGAGTTGACAGGTTTTTGATAAGGGATAAATTTTGAGGCCTTTTGACGTTTTTGTTGTTGTTGACAATTTGCCGAAGGCAGGGGAAGTTCGCTTATTTGGAGCTGGGACAAAGTGGCAGGCTCAGCCAAGCATTACTCTTTATCAAGCTTGAAGCGAGGTGAGGACATGAACGATTTATAGAAAAGAAAGCCGAAGTTTTTTCATACTTGATTTTACTTTTTATTTTGTTCATTTGCCCATGAAGATATACCCAAGCATCCCATCCATATCCTCATCACTTCTGCAGCGGCTGTCCCATCCCACCATACGTAATCATCTTGGTAACCTGATACTCCCCAATCCCATACTTGCTCCCCTCCCTCCCGAATCCACTCTCCTTGACACCACCAAACGGCGCGGCAGGGTCACTGATCAATCCCGTGTTGACACCCACCATACCCACCTCCAACGCCTCCGCCACTCTCGTCACGCGTTGGATATCCCTCGAGAAGAAATACCCTGCGAGTCCAACCTCAGCCGAGTTAGCGATTTTGACGACCTCCTCTTCAGTCTCAAATTTGAAAAGCCCTGCCACAGGTCCGAATGTCTCTTCGGTTGCAAGCGCCATATCGGTGGTCATGCCCGTGATGATAGTAGGCTGGAAGAAATTCGGTCCAAGTTCAGGCATCTTCTGGCCACCTTGGATGACCTTTCCACCCTTCTTCTCTGCATCTCGGACATGTGCATCAACTTTGCTGATGGCTCTGTCGTGGATGAGAGGACCGTGTGTAACACCCTCTGTGTACCCACCGCCAACCTTGAAATCCTTGACTTTCGCAGCAAACTTCTCGGCAAAGGAATCGTAGATCTTGGATTGAACGAAGATTCTGTTCGCGCAAACACAAGTTTGTCCTGATGAGCGGAATTTGGATGTAATTGCTCCGGCGACCGCAACATCGAGATCAGCGTCGTCGAAGACGATAAAAGGTGCATTTCCTCCAAGTTCAAAAGAGAGCTTCTTGAGTGTTGAGGAAGATTGCTTCATAAGCAGCTTTCCAACACCTGTAGATCCAGTGAAGGAGACTTTCTTAATCGTTGGAGAAGTAGTGAGGAGCTCACCAACCTCGGCTGTGTTCTGAAGCGCGCTGATAACATTGACTACTCCCTTTGGGATGCCTGCTCGGTGAGCAAGCTCCGCAAGAGCAAGAGCTGTGAAAGGTGTCTCGCCAGGAGACTTTGCCACAACCGTACAACCTGCAGCAAGAGCTGGCCCAATTTTCCGGGTGATCATAGCAGCGGGGAAATTCCATGGTGTGATCAATCCACAAACACCAACCGGCTCCTTAATCGTAACCACTCTGTTCCCCGCCACCGAAGCCGGAATAGTATCACCATAAACTCTCGGAGCCTCCTCACTGAACCACTCAAAGAAGCTCGCTGCATAAGCAGCCTCTCCCTTCGCATCTGCAAAAGGCTTGCCGTTCTCCCATGTTATAAGTTTCGCAATATCCTCCGAGTTCTCGACCTGTTCCCAATCAACACTCTGTCCTGATACATTTTCCAGAAAAGCTCAGGTGTAACGTACCATCAAATCATACCATTTCCGCAACAGCTTCGATCTCTCTCTACCAGTTTTCGTTTTAAAAGAAGGAAATGCCGCCGCTGCAGCATCGATAGCTTTCTGTGTATCTGCGGCATCGAATTCGGGCGCTGTGCCTATGAACTTGCCAGATGAGGGGTCTATTGTAGGGAACAATTAGCTTTCATCCCAACCACAAGCTCAATGACCACGTCCAGACGAAACGAAGAAGAAAGATGAGGGCTTCTCCCAACGTACCGAAAACCTCAAATGTCTTCCCCGACTTCGCCTTCACCCACTCTCCGTTCACATACGCCACATCCGTCTTCAACAGCGACGGATCACTGAGCTTCGGCACATTATGCGACATAGCTGATGATGCCTTCCTCCTACAAGCAATCGGTAGACTATTTTTCTGAAACTGTGACCGTACGAGGAATGTGCGTGCTGCAGGAGCTGTGTATGTTCTGCGGAAGGTATTCATTTCGAGGAGAGGGACGGGAGAGCTGGTGGTAGTAGTGGGTATTTATGGATGGGACGGTATTGGAAGGAGATGCCGAGGTTGCAACCTCGTTTTGGTTGGCTGCTAGGTCGTTGGGATTGGTTTGGGTATTCGTAATGACATCGATGATGGGGAGGGGACTTCAATTGGTTCGAGGCTTGGAATTGGAATGGGGAGGAAGGGGAGGAATTCCAAATTTTGGAGAAGGGTGGTAGCTGATGGTTGGAGAAGAAGTGGGGTGATGAAGCTCCCTGAGCTTGGGACGTCATTGGGGGACTCAGGCATCTTGTACACCACAGCTACCCCTGTAACAAAGAAAATCCTACCTGTCACAAATCTTTACAAGCCGAATACTTTACTAAAGTTTTCGATTGACAATGAGAACAGTACAAAAGTAGTAAGGCCTCACCGTGAAGCTCTTATCGGAGTTGATCTCGAGTGCCGGATGGAGCTTTGGAGTTAAATGCAATGCCTATCGATATCTGGCCATTCGCTCCGACAATTCGGTTCGGAGCGAATGGCAAACGTTGGAGAACAGGCTCTGATGTTGGAGAAGACTCGCCAGAGGAAATAGGCATAGTGGTGACGAGTAAGTAATAAAATCTTTAATCTGTATAGCAAACGTCACGCAGACATATTACTGCTTTTCTACCATTAATAAACGCCGATTGTCATCCTCCTTTCATCACTCATGGCATCATTTCCTGTTAAATCCTTGCATGTTCTGTAGCCCAATTCTCAGATCTCATCGCTTCTGATCAGGCAGGTAAGCTTTCTGTCCCTCTAGGGTCTCGCCAGGTCCTGTAGCATAAGCTGGAGGAGCCGCTCTTCCATAGCCAACCAAGTCGGGCGTGCTACTTCCACCACTCATGCTCAAATCGTCTGTGTAACGGCCCTGTGCAGCCTCTTTCTCTTTCCAGTTGGCAGCTGAGTTTTGTGGTGCTGGAACAACGCCGCCGTCACCTCCACCGACAACCAAATCTCCACCTCCCTTCATCTTCCCGACTACCATGCCTTTGGCTACAGATTTGACAATAGCCCTTCTCGATACGCCCGTAGCATCAATGTAAACCAAACCAACATTCTTGACACCTCCACCAATGCTCTTGGAGATCTCACCTGCTTCTGCACCGTACTTGTGGGTAACAACAGTTGTTGCGGCAGAAGAGGTGGAGGCCAATAGGGTCCGGCCAGCTTGGTCGATTCCGTCTGCAATAGTAGAGAAGGCCATCAAGCTCTTGTTCAAAAGACCAGGCTTGTAATCGCTGACTGGCTGGCCATCTGGACCAATACCTTTATTGTGACTTTTCTCCCCGCGCTTTGCAAGTGTTGCGCCAATATTCTGCGCATACTTGCTGACTTGTCCCACAGTCTTAGCACTCAAACCGGCTGCTCCTTCGGTAAAAGTGTGTACCTTGCGGACGCGTGTCTGGGTCGTAGCATCAAAAGTCATGGGTTTCGCATTAGGCTTGGTCTTTTGGGTGAAGTTATCGGCTTGGGTTTGCAGGGTCTTGGAAACGTAGGTGGATGTTGTGACAATCAGGCGAGAGGCCATAGCTGCCTTTGAAACCAAGGTGGAGTTCTTGTATGCAGGGTGCATGGCCATCTCGAGATATTCTTGGGATGCAGGTGCGACGCCAATATTCTGAGATCCGTCTTGAGGCAGGGAGATCATGACAGGATCTACGAACTGTTAGTCATGATTTGAGCATCCAGGAAAGTACATACCTTTAGATCCAGGCTTCATCTTACTATCCTCTACCACCTGGAAGCCCTCTCCCAGTTCACCCACAACGCTTCCATTCTCCTCGTCTATGAGAACAATTTGACCACCAGTATGAGAGCTAGAGCTACCTGGCACATATGCCTCTCCTGGCTTGAATGCCGATGGGTCGTATGGAGGAATTGGTAGCTCCTTACCACTCTTGGTTCTCGAGACCTTAGGTCGCGCGGCCTTGGGTGGCGAGGCTCGCTCCAGGAAAGCTGTACATTGCGCAAGAATCGTTTCAAAAGTATCGACATCTTCCTGGGTTCCTTTGCCTTTTCCGACACCTGGGAACTCTATTCTTGTGAAAGCGCCACTTTCAGGACCCAGGTCCCAACGTGGAATGAGATAGCTGCTCGGTGGCTGATGGTATATCTGTGTAGTTGCAGGTAAAGGAAGGTCGAGCTCGGGAGGGAGATGGAGATGTAGATAGAAGTCTTCCTCTGGCGCGGCAGACTGAGGATCTGCAGAAGAAAGTCCTGAGAATGGCGATGAAGTTGGTACCATCAATAAAGACAGTGTCTGGCCGCCAGCGGGCGTAAGGCACTCTTCGTTGCCATTCTCGAGATGGTATGCGTTGATGCCGTTGATAGCATAGAGAAGCTTCGGATCCTGTTAACAATTAGTATCTAAATACTATCTTTGGGGTATCGGGTACGTACATTATGTCCTGACGACATACTTGCGATCAAGTCTTGGTTGGCAAGAGTGTTGCCAATGGTAGACGCGGGGTTGAAGGAAGAGAAACAGAGGCGAAAAGAGGAAGAGGTAAATTAAGAGACCACCACAAAGAAGGAGTGGAATGTGAGAATGATGGAAAAGGGAATAAAAAGACTCGTCTGTAGAAGAGAAACCTACTTCAAACAAGTTCCTTGCTGGCGTGTGGGACTTTGTTACGACTGGAATGAGGGGTGGCACACGGGGTACTCCCACTTTCCCACCTCAGCGGTTATCCTGCTGCTGGAGCCCATCTTGAGCCAATGACGTGGGGTTGGCAGCTGCCAGCAGGCGTGTAGCTACGCCGTGGCTGTGCAGGAATCAGAGCATGCCAAGGGTGATAGGAATAGAAGGCGAATCGGACGGCGGGCGCTTCTGTGATGGGCCGTTGGAGGTGGAAGATTTGTTGGTGATCGTCTTCTTTAACCTTATTCAAGCGTATGTCGCCAAGCAGCACACGCGATGCATGCATATTCGAATGCTCACATGTACGCATTTGTTACCATGCTTACTTGTGTAGCGGGTTAAGCGGGATATCGTCCCATTTGGAACGAGACATGAATCTAATCTGAGCATGCTGCAGGTGGTATTTTTGAGGCTGTCGACAAGACATCCACATGTCAACGGAGTAGTAACAACCTGCCGATTTTAACGTTGCCTATGTGATTAGTGACAATCAAGGAACAGAACAACCAGTCGTTGTCTGACTTTACAGTGGCAAAGAACTGACGAGTTCTTTGGCCACCGGTACAGCTAGCCTGGTAAACAGGAGCTGAGGCCAATACCTGGCACCACAAGACTGTCTGCCTGCTAGGATTTGAGAGCAATTCGGTGTCACAAAATAAGGAAACAACTCGAGAGATAGACCTTTGAATCCGCAAATCTGCTCATTTCCAAGACCAGGTATCATATCGCCAACGCCATATGTATCTCCCATGCTACGCTCCCAAGTATCCAACGCCCAGCAAATGCAACAGTAGACTACGACTCAAGCATTCGTCAAATCTATAAGATCCGGGACCGCTGGCCCAACTCCCCTCAGCAGAACAATCTTGTTTCCACTGACCAGAGCCGACCCGACTTTCTCGTTGAATTCTAGCAATCGTCCCCCCTCCACATGAAATATCCTCAGCTTATCCTTCTCGTCTGTCCCCTGGTTATTGACATTCTGGACCTGCAGACTCTTCGCCGCCGCATCCAGGACCCGTCCCATAACCCAATCCTTGGAGTAATAGAATGCACCACTTGGAAACTTCGAAGTAATCGTAGCAGCCTCCGCTTCAACATAAAGATATATCCGTTTCTCGGGCGGCAGTTTGTCGTCGCCTTTCGCAGTTTTCTTGAGATTATTGACAGCTATCACTCGTGCAGCTGCAGATGTAGGTTTCGGCTTTGGAAGGACTCGAGTCGCTCCACTGGTCGCTTTAGCTTTCTGTGCGGAGCCCCAGGCTTTCAGTCTCCCGAGGGCATTCTTTGCTGTGTCGGCTTGGGAATCGAATCTGCCGACTCGTGCGCCAATTGGGATGAGGTTCTTGCAGTCGTGGTCTTCTTTTAATCGATGCTTGAGACAGTAGTCGCGATTACATGTGGAACAATGTACCGAGGTCGACAGACTTGTGCCGATTATTGTTTTGCAAGTTGGTGAGGCGCAAGGCTTCTCAACTTCTGCCATGGATTTGCCTGCCCCGAGTGATGGTGTGGATATGTTCGCTCGCCGCCTCTTCGCTGCCCATTCTCCTGCTTTGGGGCAATGATGTCCGCTTTCTGACCGGTGATCGAGACAGAATGTGCCACGGCATGATTCGCACCGGAAGGGTAGGAAATCGAGTTGGTTGCAGTAGGCGTATTGGCAATGTGCGCCAATGAGTGTTGGGTCCTTTTCGTCCATTGTTGTGAAGCTGGCTTCTTCTGATTCCGAACGTGATGAGGAGGCCATGATTATAGAGTACTGGAGTATAGAGTATATACAGTGATGTCGTTGTAGGTAGCGGCGAAGTCGTAATGAAGGCGAGGCTGAGAGTGTTGTTTAGTTAGCTGACAGATCGCTCGAGGCTTCTGGAAGCTCAGCCTTGGCTAGTGGCTCGGCTAACTCCGATACCCGGACTATACAGTTTAATGTCCAGCCTGATCTTGTTACTTTTAACAATTTGGTTCATAGATCTAATATAAAAAGGAGTTGTCTCGCATTAAAGGACTGAGGTATATTGTCTCTGGCTGGAGAGGCTTACTCCTTCCCAAGGATTATATAAACGACGACACCAAGGTTTAGACTTACAACTTCCGGGCTCGCTGTCCATGTTATGTGTGAAAGTCAAGCATGTTAATAATACATAAGCTGCATATGAGGCAGTTTGAAATTAATGCTGATTCTATCCAGATTATGATATATCAGAGCCGGTACTCCTCCACCCTCCCAGTCCCATAACAAATACGTCCCATTGTTATCCTATCCTGCGCCTAAAGCAACGACTCTCCCAGTGCACATCTGACTAAGGAACAGCCCGATCTCACTGTCATATGAGCTCCAATATCATCGACTCCTGGCTCCAGCGTAGGATTGACCTCGACCAAATCCATCGCGACAAGGTTACCAGTTTCATGAACACACTCAGCAATGAAGTCGCCCTCTCTCAATGTAAGACCGCCTCGAACCGGAGTGCCTGTGCTAGGAGCCCACATTGGATCTAATGCATCGACATCAAAAGACAAGTGGATAGGTGTGTCGGTGCCAATGTGTCCCAATGCCATCTCCATGACTCTTCCAATACCATGTCTACAGCCGATCAGCAAGTGCATTTCACATAATTTCAGACCAACTTACCTATCAATATCATGCATGCTGAAAGCCTTAACCCCATGTTCTCTCAGAATGAGCTTCTCGCCCCGGTCAACATCCCGGAGACCGATGTACACCAGCTTTTTCAAGCTGATCAAATTTTCCTTCTTCAACCAGCCAAAGATATCTTCTCGATCATCCTTTGCCAAACCAGTCAAGAACGCAACGGGCATTCCGTGTACATTTCCACTGTCGCTTGTCTCTGGTGTATTGATATCCGTGTGCGCATCGACCCAAATAACAGCCATCTCGCGATCCAACCGCTCCCGAATCGCCTTTGCAGTTCCCGCAATTGTTCCAATCGCAATACTGTGATCGCCACCAAGTGTCAAGACCATTCGGCCTTCTTTCGCGTGTGAGTAGACTTGTTCCGAGAGCTTGCGCGTTACTGCAGATACTGCAAGAGGGTTCTTCATGCCGCGGTAGTCTGGATCGGAAGCAGGGAGGAGTTCTTTGTAGGAATGGACGGTATCATCGTGAAATAGCTTGTAGCCCAGCTCCTCCTTCAGCTGCGTTAGAAGGCCGCTTTCGATTAGAGCAGAAGGCGCAGCATCAACTCCGGGTTTGCACTGGGTTTTGTTAGATGTGATTGCGCCGAGGGTACGAAGCTGCTTACCTGTCCGCCCGAGAACCCAACAGCGACCACACCCAGCTGGTCGCCTTTCGACAGGAAGTTTGGTTGAATCATTGAAGTGGTCGTCATTGTAGAAGAATTGTTGGCGGAGCCAAAGTGGTATAAAAGGTAAGTACTCTGCTTGGAATGGAAGACAATGAGAAATGGGTAAGTCAATAGCGGGGCAGTTTGGCGGGGTGAACTCGACTGGAATTTAGCTTGTGATGAATGGAAGGAGCGAAAAGAAAGTACTCTTTGCAGGACGGAGGGTGCGCCTTTTATGTTAAAAAGTGCGAAAAAGCACCGCCGCTGGGCTTCTGTGGGCTCTTAGGTAAGTCGAGATTTGTTTCTTCTCATCTTGACTCCTAAGTGACATATTACGCGAAGCACCATCCCTCTAAGTGCAGGTCGACGCAGCGACGTCCCCTAAGTACAGTTTTTGACGAGAAGGACATCCACGGCGACAAGGGGAACGGATAAGGGCCTCCACAATCAGGGCCGATTTGTAAAACATTCATGCCATCAAGCCGACTCATGCCGATGATGTATCTCGTGGCCAAAACCATCGCGACGACGCTGTTTCTGTTACAACCCGTATCCCAATCATGTCTGGCATGGACAGCCAAAGAGGGTGCGTGACTCAAGGATGACGGCAGGAATATCGAAAGAAATCATGTTTATTTCCAAGATCGAAGTGCAACGGCTGGTGGCATTCTTGAAAGACGATCCACAACTGAACGCTGGAATAGAATGACGGATGTTGATGTTGTTGCTGTCGTCGCGAATGTCACGAAGAGAAGTGGGATAATCAGCCCCTGTTCACAACGGTAGATACACGTGATAAGTAAAAACACGCGTTTCTTCTGCTCTACCTACCTATCGTTGGCTATCCTCTGAGGTGCGACTAGGAACAACTCATACAATCGCTTTTTCTTACCTCTTATCCCCTTATTTGCCGTTCAGAACACGCTTTTTTTTTCGGGCTCCAAAGTTGGTGCACGTGTACTGTAGTACGGGCAACCACCAGAATCTTAGCGCTTCGCTTCAGCGCTGTGCCCCGTAAAAGTTGTGTTTACGGCAGTGAAGGGGATACTCGTAGGTCTCAAGCGACTCCCTTCTGGCCGCTCTTCAGTCAATCAGTTTAGCTTCTATTCACTTCAATTACTCTCAATTGTGCCCATGACATCAGGTCTGACACCGGTGTACCTGATCTGATAACTAATGCGCGTGGTGTGGATGGCATAGCATCGTTGCGGTTGAAGGTCTGCTTCTCGACAGTCATCACAGGTGCCATAAAGCCCCTGTGCTTGACCTCGGGTTTTTGCAGGAGCTTCAAGTGATGCACCGCATCTTTTATTTGATTGAAAAAGTGAAAAGCTGTCTGATTGTGATCCAAAGCATGCAAACAAGAAAGAACCGCCGATTCTCATAGGCCTCCATCGCCATACTTGTGACGTGCCTGCTTGTACCATGTATCCCAGTCGAATGTTTCCACCCCATGAGTGACTTTCCACCATCCACTGAGAAGCCTCACAAAATTTTGCCGATCCCAAGGATCCGTCTCAATGACTTGATCAATTCTAAAATGCAGCTTTTGCTCAGCCAATGCAGAAAGCTCCACTGCCCCTTTCTCCTCCCGCAAGATCTTAGAAAGGCGCTTTTCATCTTCGCTTGGGGTTGAGAGACCCTTATGGTACAGTTCGCCCAAATTGTACAACAGGAGAGGCGATTGGAATGCCGAGCCTTTTGAAGTACAAATGGCCAATTCCCAGTCGATGATGCCAGTAATGTTGTAGTCATCATCGACTAAGAAATTCGCGTCTCTAGAATCCACATGACGGAGGTAAAAGGGACCTGAATCATTTGGTGGGAGAGAGTCAAGGAGACTCATATAGACAAGGTATTGATCAAGAGGTGCAGAAGATGCGATCTCCCCGGTTTTGATGAGCTGGATTTTTTGCTGAACCAGAGCTGTGTAGTAGTCATTTGAATTACTGAATGGGCCGAATGAGATCAAATTTCCGCTCAAGCCGTAGTCGAAAAAGGCTGGTCCGACTTCTGGTTGCCCAATAGACGAGAGCTGTAGACGTCCTATCCCATTGAGAGGATGCTGTTGCAAGTTGACATAGATCTCTGCTAAATTACGAGAGAACTTTTCTTTCTGCACCTCGCTTGCTTCATGCCAGGCCAATGGCTTCCCAGCTAGCTTTTCGAGCAGAATGTACCCAGCGCCAACAGAATTCATAGGATCGTCGTCATCCGCACAGTCGTACACCTCAGGGACTGGAACGGCAGTTCTAGCAAGGAAGCAATATGTTGCAAACTCACTGCGTCTGTCGAAGTTCCTCTCCTGCAATGGAGGTTCGCTGTGATTTGGGAGTCTGAACCTCGCCAACCAAGTGATGCCGTCTTCAAACACGATCGAGCCATGGTAGTTACACCCACCAAGGACGTCAAAGTTGAAGTATGATTGATCGGCTGACGGGAGATTGACGGTACATTTGATCCCATCACGTAAAGTCTCTGCACGCACGCAGAGGGCATCGTAATTGATAGTTTCTAACAATCTGGAGATAACATTTTCGCCCGCCGTTCGTCGGATCAAGTTCAGGTGTTTGAGCTTAGCTGGGTCACCAGATACGTATACCTCATGGATATCCTGTAATTATGTCAGACATTCTGCCCTTGTTCAAGAAGGTTTTCGCCCATTCAAACCTCGTTTGTAGGACAAGTATGCAGCGCTGATACCACATGTTCTGTGCAGAAATGTTGGCGGCAAAGTTCGCACTGTCCACGGAGCGCCGTCAAAGCCGGTAGATCACATGGCCGAAGTGCACATGGCCACTTCATATTGGTGTTGGATTTCAACCCTTCTACCTGTGGTGGGCGATATGAACCTTTGAGGGATCCGCTCCATGGTTGAGTTGCCAGTGAGTCAAGACCAAGTAGAATACAGTATCTTGTTCCTGCGGGATCTTTCTTGCTTGGAACCGATGTGGGGCGGATCGTGTTGGATTGATCTGACACCGCAATTCGAGCTCCGTATTACTTTGCGAATCCACTCTCCCGCGCTTTGTTTTGGTCAGATCTGAGTACGTACTCAAGATGTCAATCAATCTCATCAGCCTCCCTTCAGAGCTCCTGATCAAGATATGCCAGGAACTTCCACGCCCTGATCTCAAAAGCCTTCGCCTTACATCCTCCGTCTTGTCATCCATCGCAGCTCAATATCTTTACTCCACCCTGTATCTCACCACCAGTCTCAAGAGCCTGCAAAGCTTCCAACATATTTCCGACAGCGCTGTCCTTAGAAAATACGTCAGAGCACTCGATTATGACCCCCGGACAATCTGCAGTTGCGAGTATGAGCCACCTACCATCGACTCTTATGAAGACTGGTGGGAAGACCATGCAGGGGATTTCGAGCCGATTGACAAAATGAACCGGATGAAGTTGCTCGAGCACTATCCTGAGTCAAAGTTGAAGGAATATTACGCGAGATGGCTTGAATATCTTGAGGACGAAAAACGGTTCACTTCAACAACATACCCTCAAAGCATCCTGCCCTCCATGATCAGCAAATGTCCAAACCTCACATGCGTAATCCAGCCAGCAATGCTGCGCAGAAGCCGAGATTTACTTCCTGGTGTCGAATATTCGGATCTCAGCTCCTTCTTATCCGACTCCAGATTCGCTCAGGAGACATTATCAGGGAAGTCAATTGTTTCCAATTCTATCTCACAACCAGAGCCATGGAGTGCCCTGGAAGCTCTACACCATGCCGAAAAGTTAAGTTCCCTGTCTGCCTTCGACGGGGTAGATTTACATCTCCACAACTCTGAGTCTCAGGACAGTCTCCTTCCGTCGGAGCTTCCAGCTTTGAGGAAGCTAGGCCTGATCGTCGTCCACAAAGACCGGTGTCGAGCTTCAAACTTCATGACTCTGTTGTCCAGCTGTCCAGGTTTGCTGGAACTTAGACTTGTGTATCGAGGACATCTGTTCCTACAGCGTGATCGACGCAACCTTCAGCTTTCGTGCATTCTCCTCGCCACACAGCATTGGGCAGGATTGCGCAGTCTATCACTAGATCATCTCAGGATGACGGGTCTGGAACTGCGAGGTCTCCTTTCGAGACACGCAACTTCTTTGCGCTCTCTTGAGCTACATTCTATCAGACTCGAACCAGAAGTCAACGCCAAAGGCGAAGAACAGACCACATCCTGGCTGGACATAATCGAATACTTGCGGCACGACATTTCCCTTACCAGCATGCGATTTTCTGGCCTCCTTTCTAATGGAAGGAACGAAGCCTGGAGAGTCAGCGAAGTAGCTCTAGAGGAGTCTTTGAAATGGAGAATCCAGGCTTATATCTGTGGGAAGGGAGATAATCCGATCAAGCGAGATCCGAGCCGAGTTTTAAACCCGACACAAAGGGCCGTTGAATATGACACGCGTGGTAGAGAGATACCATTCATCTTTGAAGATGAGACATGGTCATTCTCACAAGTTGGGTTGCCAGTAGTACCTGGTCCATGGTAGGCAGATTTCAGGTCCCGAAAGGGAGGAGCTATGACCGAAACAGCAACAAATTACTAGGAAAACATGGCCAAGCCCTATCAACCCCCTAGAGCCTCGTCCAAGATCTGTCTGTCTAGTATATTTGAAAGACACTCCTGCTTCCATGTTTCGAGATCTCTACGCTACATTAAACGGCGAATCAAAAACGTGGTGACCGGGTCTGGTTCCTCAAATTGATTTGATACAAAAACGAGTCTTGCCAATCTCTAAAATAGCAAGACTTTTGTCACAAAGCTAGAAGATCCAATCGGAGGTACACATTACACAGCTTCTTTTCGTCCCCAGCCACCTCCACCAGGAGTGTTGATAATGATCCTGTCTCCCTTGTCAAAGCTCGCCGTGGCCTTACCTCCAAGATTAATCACCATACCATCCTCCTTCCTGACCCATAGATTCCTTCCCATGGAGCCATCACCTCCACCATGACTTCCTTTTGGCGCTCTCGACCTCCTCTCCGAGAGAATCGATACCTGAACCTTGGGCACCAGGAACTCGATATCTCTCACGATACCATCTCCACCAGGATGAAGTCCCTCACCACCGGAACCCTCACGTATGCTGAATTCCCTCAGGAGAACTGGATATCGCTTCTCGAACACCTCAGGGTCAGTAATGCGTGTGTTGGTCATGTGGGTGTGGACACCACTGGTTCCGTCCCATGTTGGGCCAGCACCAGCTCCACCACCGATGGTCTCGTAGTATCCGAATCCCTTTTCTACTATCTCCTCGCCATCGGCGTTGGTGGCTTTGCCTCCAATTCCGAAGGTCAAATTGTTCATACAGCCCTGGCTATCAGCACATGCGCTGAAGGCCGTTAAAATTACGTCTGTGATGCGTTGGGATGTGAGAACGTTTCCACCGACTACTGAAGCACCCGCTGCGGGCGTCAGGATCGATTGCTCGGGGATCCGAATGTCGATTGGCTTGAGACAACCTTGATTGAGAGGGATGTCGGAAGCGATAAGTGCCCGCAGGCAGTATATGATTGCGGAGTGGGTTATGGCAATCGGGGCATTCGTGTTTCCATAGACTTGTGAACCAGTGCCGCTGAAATCGAAAGTTGCCGAGCCGGTATTCTCATCTATGGTTATCTTGAGAGCGATTGGGGTCCCGTCATCCATAAAATCCACCGCCTGCAGTGCCGCTCCGGACGTGTTCATTTTCTTGAGAAGATTTCGAACTGCCTCCTCGGCGTTATCTTGGATAGCGAACATGTATTTGTGGACCTGTTTCAAAGTGTGTTCCTCGATCAAGGCTTGAATAAGATTGATGCCCTGTTTGTTTGCCGCTATTTGGGCTTTGAGATCTGACAGGTTGTCACTCAGTGCTCGTGTTCCAGAAATCCCTGAGTACTTCGCAGGCTCGTGCAGCAGCATCTCAACAACTCTCTCTTCATTGAAACGTCCATGGCTTACAATCTTGTCGCCAAAGATAGCAGCGCCTTCCTCATACAGCCATTTAGAGTCCGGTGGCATTGATCCTGGTCTACTTCCCCCAATATCGGCATGATGGCCCCGGGACGCAACGTAGAAAACGATTTCGCCATTGTCGAATATCGGCGTCACAACAGTAAGATCCGGTAAATGGGTACCACCACTTGCTGGGTGGTTTGAGAGTAACACGTCCCCCTCTTCAAGCTTGCCCATCCACATATGGTGGAGATGCCTGACACAAAACTGCATGCTACCCAGATGGACCGGGACATGAGGAGCGTTAGCCACAAGACCACCATCAGGCGAGAACAGGGCACACGAGAAGTCCAGCCTTTCTTTGATATTGGTCGATACAGAAGTCTTCTGGAGAGTTCGCCCCATCTGTTCGGCAATGGACATGAATCTGTAAAGTCAGTTGACAGCACTGTATAATAATAGTGACATTGGTAAGCTCTTACCTGTGGCCAAAGATGGATAATTTGATGGGGTTGACATTATCAGCAGTAGCGACTGCATCGGTGGCTTTCCTTTCTGGCTCAGCAAGATCGATCATGACCGTGCTATCCAGTACTGTTGCAAGACATCCGGGAGATACCAATATCGTCTGAGTCTTGTCAAGAATTAACGCAGGACCTGAAAGTCTTGTCCCTGGCTCTAGATGTCCAAGTAGATGGACACCAGTGCTGATATGTCCCGACTTGGCGTCAAAACATATGAGCGTCTGCGTCTCTGGCTCTGGAACAGCTAAAACCTTTTCTGAAACTCTCTTCAGCTGTTGGTATGGGCTCTCCCCAGCAATCTTAGCTGATGATCCGATTGCACGGACACGGAAATCGTCGATAAGGATTTTCTTCTCGGGAAATACGAACCCAAATTCCCGGGAATGCCTCTCTTCAAATGTCTTTTGGAAGTTCTGGATCTTCTGGTGTGGCTCCTGCATGATCATGAAAGAAGAGTTGGAACCTTCGTATCGCATATTGAGGTATAGTTCGAGGCGAATGAAATCGTCACCGAGCTTCTGGTTTCTCAGATGTTCTGTGGCCGTCTCAGATAACTCGTTGAGTGTTGCTGCAATCTCTGTAAATTTTGATGGTGCAAAGGCCATTGCAGCTGGTCTCTGCAATTCATGCACAACATCCGCCAAGGAGAGGCCATAGGCACTGAGAATTGATGAGTACTTGTGGATGACGACTTGAGAGATAGACAAGGCGGCAGCAACATCACAAGCATGCTGACCTCCAGCACCCCCGAAACAAGATAGTATATGGTCTGAAGTATCATGGCCACGGGCCTCAGTCAAAGCACGTATTGGGCGTGCCATAACTTCTGACGCAACACGCAGGAACCCTAGTGCAACCTCTTCAGGTGAAAACTCGGCTCGCCCTGCTGCGCGGTTGTCATTGTTGATTTCCTCGGTCAGCTCATTGAACAATTTCATAACAATCTCTGTTCCTAGTGGTTGATCCTCATTGGGTCCGAAGATCTTGGGGAAATACTCTGGCACGATTCTTCCGAGGAACAGATTTGCGTCTGTGATAGTCAAAGGACCACCCTTTCGATAACAAGCTGGTCCTGGATGAGCACCGGCTGATTCGGGGCCGACTGCAAACAGGCCATTACGCCAGAAGAGCATAGATCCACCACCCGCAGCAACACTGTGGAGTCATTATAATATTCACAGCGTAATCATAGCCAGTTCAGAACTTACGTTATGATATCCAGCTGCGGCGACTGGATGGTAATACCAGCTGTGACAGTCTCAAAAACATGCTCATAGATGCCAGCAAATCGCGAACAATCTGTCGATGTTCCACCCATATCGAAGCCGATAACTGGTTTCCGCTGCTCGGCATCCCAAGATGTCTGAGCGTAGCCAACAACGCCTCCTGCAGGTCCAGACAAAATACTTCTCAAGCCGCCGAATCCTCGGAAGTCCACCAGTCCTCCATCAGACTGCATAAATTCGCAACGAAGGTCTGACGAAGCGAGGCCACCTTTGAAGCTGTCGGATATGGACTGAATGTAGGATTTAATGATTGGCGTGAGGTAGGCATCTGCTGTCGCAGACATTCCTCGCGGAACAGCCTTGATCATGGGCTGCAGGGCGGCAGATTCGACGACGGAGAATCCCATTTCTCGAGCAAGAGCCCCAATTTGACGTTCATGTTCAGGGTACACATATGAATGTATTAGAACCACAGATAAAGACCTGTACCCTTCATCCCAGAGCTTCTTCAAAGATTCTTTCACAACACTCAGATCAGGTGATTTCAGCACCCGAATGATCTCGCCGGTGAGACCAACATGAAGAGTCTCGTCGTTAGATGTGTCGATTACCACTGGCGAGGGGTCTTCAGCATAGCCCTCTAAAGTAATTCGCTCATCTACTTCGATGACAGATTGGTAGAGGAGCTCTGGTCGGGCGACGGTCAGATCAAAGATCTTTGGCCGAGACTGGTTGCTAATCTTCAAGAGATCCCTATGCCGGAAAGAATATGGTTAGTTTAAGTTTTGGTACAATTGACGGGCTGGATAGTGTTTGTGAAGGACATAATGGTTTTAGGACTCTGTAAGAACCGGCTGCTCGATGATAGATGCAGGGCACTTCAAAACGTATGGACTTACTTGAAACCCTTGGTAATCAACAGAGCCGAGCGAGCCCCCTTTCTCTCAAGTAAAGCATTCGTTCCGACAGTAGTGCCCATGCGAATTCTCTCGATTAGATTGGTATCAAGAGGTTCACCGCGTGGGTGCGGCTTCCCCGTGACTAGTTCCAGAATCCGTCGAACACCCTCTGTAGGTGCATCGCTGTAGTTCGCAGGGTCAACAGAAAGAACTTTGAGAATAATGTCGTCTTTGCCTGGCACTGAGGCATGCACATCTGTAAATGTCCCACCTCTGTCTATCGAAATCTTGATGCCGGATCCAGCGGAACCGGAGGTTTCTGTCTGGTAGTCTCCCATTTTGTCGAAGTTATGAGATATTTCATATCATTTTGAGACACATGCGCCCTGTCTATTTAATGTATAATCTGTCAAGCGTTGTTGGTGTTGTAATTTGGTGGTGGTGGTGAAACCGAGAAGCGGAGGTGCTTGTCCGTCAAGCCGATCCACAAGCTGATCCACAAGACGGTGCTGGAAGTCCGCCTCCACCCCGCGCCTCCTCATCCAGTGTCCACAAGAATCGTCACTCGGCCCAACACAACTACTCTTTGCTCTTACCGAACTCAATAGATAAGATGTTGGGAGGGTCAAGTGTCAGGCGGTTCAAGTTTTCGAGCTGTGTCATATGAGGCTTTAAGCATCTGCTCTCGCGATTCCCAATCTTTTTTTTACTGTACCTTGGGCTCGGATCATGTCTACAACCACCACTATCACTCGGACAAACGAGGTTTTGTCTCTGTCAACACTCTCAACTGGGATTTCAGCACGTCTGGCTTCCAGGAATAACCAACACACAAAATCAACCTCTGGACTCGCACCTTCTCATGTCCAAGCGAACCTCATCATTCTCCCCTCCAAATACGCAGCCGACTTCCGGGATCTCTGCGCACGAAATCCAGTACCATGTCCTTTGATCGCTGAATCAAGTGTCCCAGGAGACTTCTCAATCCTTAAGTCTTACCTACCAAGCATACCGGACTCCAAGATCGCATCTTCGCTTGATCTCCGCACGGATTGTCCCCGATTCAATGTCTACCGAGACTCGCAGCTCGTAAAAGAAGGCGTACCAGATATCATTTCACAATGGACATCTGATCATGTAGCCTTTCTCATCGGATGCAGCTACAGTTTCGAGTCAGCACTGGCGCGAGCTGGTTTCCCATCCAGACATACCCTGTTGGACCGGAATGTTCCCATGTACCGGACGAACATTCCTCTGAACCCAGCTGGCGCTTTCACGGGCGGTACTTACGTAGTATCAATGCGACCATACAAGAAAAAAGATATCGAAGTCATCCGTGCGATTACCAGGCGCTACCTTCCCACTCACGGTGAATGTGTTGCGTGGGGCTGGGAAGCAGTTGAGAAACTCGGGATCAAGAATATTGATCTGCCGCAGTGGGGTCATGCGCCTTTGACCATGGATGGACGGCCGCTAAGCGATATGTATGGGGATGAGGACAATGTACCACTGTTTTGGGGGTGTGGTGTCACTCCTCAGGAGGCGGTTATGAGGGCTTCGTTAGAGGGAGTTGTGATGGCACATGCGCCGGGACACATGCTAGTATTGGACTGCTTGGAAGAAGAGGTCTTGAAGTGATCGAGGCTTCAGGTTCGTTGTGAATATAGATTTTTATGCCAATTTAGATTTTCCGCTCTCTCAAGTATGAGCTGCAAAAACCATTTGTATCTCAGACTTCCAGGTCCGAAATGCTCTACTCAGATTGCTCGTTTAGTGTATATCGCACTATGTTGAAATATTGTAAGGCGATTAATGATTGACTCTTACTTGATTATTTATGTGTTGCAATACACTTGCAATCGCATAATATCGTTCAGAGGGACGAAAGGCGATAGATTGAAACAAAGGATCTCAGCCCTGTTATGATGTCTACATATTCATCTGGGTGCGGAAAAGAAATAATGACTGCTACATGCACCGAATTAACAATTCTCAGATGCAGATGGACATTTTGATATAGAACTTTTCAGCTCTTGCCTCATCTCCGAACCACCCCGATTGACATCAAACCTCGTAACACAATAAGCCCACTGTCTCGACCTCCAGCTTACACCAACAACTTCAGTACAAATATTTGAAGTCCAAATTGTCTTCGCCAGTAGTCCCCTTCCTGTCATCTTCTCTCTCGCCTCGTACGATCTTATCTTTCTTCATGTTCTGTATCTTGTAGTAAACGAGCTGAATCGAGATCAGAGCCATACAGATCAGTGCCGATCCAAGCGAGCTCCAGTGTCCTAGCATATATGGCGACTTGCGATAGACTTGAGGTGCAACAACACCGGCAATGTTGCCAATAGCTTGTGAAAGACCAAGTGCTGTTGCACGTCGATAGTGTGGCGCCGTATTATTGACAATCCAAGTTTCATTCAGTCCTGGACCGCAGTATAGCGGTATGGCAATGAGGTAGCAAGCTGCATATTTGACAGCATTGTTCTCTAAAGCAACCAAAAGTGCATATCCGATGACAGCAAACACATCGAGGAATAGCAGAACGGAGCCTCGGAGTCCGTACTTGTCGCCGATAGTGGCAGCTACGAAGAAGGAGATTCCACCGAGTAGGTAAACGGGGACGCTCAGGTATTGCGCTTCCATTCGGCTGTATCCGAGACCGTTGCGAAGGATTGAGGGGAGGAACGTACTGAAGCCATACAGAATAATGTCCTGGAAGAACTGAATCAGAGCACTTAAATCGTTAGCAGTAGTCCTAGAAATCATGAGAAGAGGTACATACCCTGTGTAAACTCTCCACTCCTTGAGCGCCGACCTGACCTGCTTCCAGTCAAACTTCTCGCGGCCCATGTATTCAAGACGAAGTTGCTCTCGGATAAGCATCGCTTCACGCTCCTCTGGTGTCCACCACTTGGCATCAGCTGGCTTTTCAGGTAGTCCATACCACACGAATGGCACGATGAGCAGAGAAACGAGCCCCTCCACGATATACAGCCAGCTCCAAGCCCGAAGTCCACCAGCTTCACCGATCTTGGTGATTCCAGTTGCGATAAGTCCGCCGAACATGCCGGAGAAGGAGGTGGCTGCAAATAGATAGGCAAATCGGAGGCCCTGTTCCTTGCGGTTGTAAACCATGGTGATGTACAGACTGATGCAGGGAAAGAAACCCGCTTCACAAAGTCCCAGAACCAGTCGGCAAGCAACGAGGGAGCCATAGGACTTCACAAATGCTGTGCCAATAGTGACGATAGCCCAAGCAGCCGCCATGAAGGTGATTCCGCGGTGAGTCTTGATTTTCTTCAGGGCGAGGACCAGGGGGAAGATGAAGGTGACATATGTCGCAAAGAAAACGCTCACTGCTGTGCTATACTGAGCACCACTCAGGTTGAGCCTGAGGAGGAAAAAATGATCAGCTTTGCATCGAGAGAAGTACGGGAAATATGGTAGGCATGTGTCCGGAGTGGAAACCTGTACTTACTGCTCTGTCATTCCAGCAACGGCGGCATTGCCAATGTTGCTGCGATCCAAGTATGAGAGGAAATAGAGGGCACAGAAAAGGGGTGCTAGGCGTGTATCGAGCTTTCTCAAGATCCTAGTTTGTAGAACAGGGTCGATGTAGACTTCTACCAATTCCTCGCTTGTCTCATCATCTTTGCCAGAGACCTTCTCCTTAGGCTCGGTCTTGGTTGGCTCGATTGGAGCAATATATGTCTCGGCGGCATTTGAAGACATTGAGATTGATACAACTGGTAGATTTATGTGATAGAACAAACGTGCCTCGACGCGGACTGCCTATCAGCTGCTGTCTTCTCTGCCATCTTTATAGAAGGATGGTGCCATAGATCAGGACATGGTATCTCAGCTGAGCATTGATACCAGAAAGAGGCGTTCCTTGGACACGCCGGGAAACACGACCGGACATTCAAGCCCGTCTGTTGTAAATGCCGACAATCTGGGGTACAATCAGATATCATCATAGTTAACCTGACCAGATTGTGCTTAGCAAACCTTTTTCAGGGGAGCCAGTGATCAGGGAGTCATGCCCCTATCGTGGTGGCTTCGGTTAGCGTAGGAATGCGGAGGTGGAAGTCCGCCGCCGAGATACAGATTCAAGACGTCGGCACACCTAACAGGTGTTGTTGAGGAGAAGTCGGAGCATTCTTGTTTTGTATTGAGCGACATTGAATTGCAGCATCAAGTCCGTATTTACGGTTTAAAATGGTTCTGAAGCCCATCCTTGTCCAAATACCAGATATCCCCACTCTTGGACGCGGTTCCATCTCGTACAATTCTGACCACAAGAGGTTCTGCATTTACATGCATTCAACTTAGTATTGCCAAATTAGGGCAGCAGGTAGTGACTGAAAACAGTGAGTTGATTTTCTCCATATTTTATACATAAATTTCGAGGTTTGGGTCATCAAGATCAGTCTGTCGAGGACTTCTTAGCAATTGGCCCTCACCATCATGTGCAAGGTCTGACAAGGCAGACGATCCTGTTTTGCTTGACCAGAAGATCCTGCATAGAAACTGTTTTAGGGAAAAGAGAAGAAAAACTACCTCTGGTCCTCAATCTTGCCTGGGTTTAAAGAGCATATCTGACCTCGCTAGTCAACCAGAAGTCATTGTGGAGCCTGGGAGTTGATTCCCGTCGAGCGTGGCTGTCCATCCCTTTCCCCACTTCATCTCGAGATCTGAACATGCAGCGTGGAACTGGAAACCCGGCCCCAGATGCAAACAGTTGTAGCATATCGTAAGACATCCGGACACGGAGTTGCGAATCCACTTGCCTCTGCTTACCATTCGCAGGTGCGAGAGATGCCGTAGACGCAAAGTCAGTGATTTTTGCTGGTAGATATAGCAAGAATATTGCTCACGGCAACTCCAGATCAAATGCGACCGGCGTATTCCATGTTCGAAATGCACGAAAGCTGAAGTCGAATGCTCCTTTCCTGGCGGCGGAGAAAGACAACGGTATGTGGACCGTATGAATTCTGCTATGTTTGAACGGCCAGTCTCACGACGTTGCACAGGCCAGCATCGAAGAAACATGTCCAAGCTCTGCAGAATCAAATCGCATCTTTGGAAACTTTAGTCCAGAAGCTCGCTGCTGCAGATGAGTCCTCACGAAATGAGATTCTTGCCACGGCAGTCTCTTCCGAAAATCAGGACGACAGTATCCATCCGCAATCAAATCTTGTGTCTCCTTCACCATCAGCATCATCGACTGGTGAATTGTTCCTTGGCCGAGCTCGTGAGGGCAGGATGAGGAAACTCAGCTCCAGAAAGGCCACACAGTTCTTCGGAGGTACAAGTCTGTTCGAGATCCAGCTGTCGGGAACCTCGAACAAAGCTTTCTCGCGTAGCAATGCTGCTCCATCCATTTCTCCTGGTCAGGTTGTCCATCATTCTCCTCCTATCTTTGAATATGATAGTAGCATGTTCGAGCCTCATGGCCACATCTGTCGGCAATCGCTGCCAATATTCTTCCAAAATGTCTACCAGTACAACATGTGTATCTACCGCGAATACTTCTTGAGAGATTACGCCGCGGGCTCAGGACCTTATTACTCTGACATGCTGCTGTATTCTATCTGCGCAACTGCAGCTCTTGTCTCACCAGATACTTCCCTCAAAGCACTAACTCCTATGTTCGCAAAACAAGCTACCAAATTACTCTATGAATCATTAGAGCTCCCAGAACTCACTACACTCCAATCGCTTCTTATCTTAGGGCAACTGGAGATTGGTCAGGGAAAAGGATCAAAAGGCTGGCTCTTCTGTGGCATGGCCTGTCGTCTGACGCACGAAATGGGGTTACACCTCGATCCAAACAACTGGAATATTGCAGCTGACTCATCAATTGATCGAGAAGTATTACGTCGAGTATATTGGGCTGCATTCATCGTGGACAAGCAGCTAAGCCTCTACTTCGGCCGGCCCCCGGCTCTTTATCCCCATGGAGCTGATGTTCGCAACACAATCAGAATTCCATATCCACCTGAGTGGGAAAGCCTTCTTAATACGTACGTGTCTCAGGGAAATTCCGCAGATAATTTCGAGGACGGCTTGTCACTTGTTGCGTGCTTCACGCATCGAGTCGAGCTATCCAAAATCTTTCATACCATGATTGTCGATATCTTCGAGAACCGACATCGTCAAATAGACATCACAATCGCTGCAGCAACAGCACAGGTGCGCAAATATTTCATTTTTTTGCCCATATCCCTATGAAGCGGGTATCCAGAGGAGAATTCAACGTACTATGGAGATTCGAGAGCATTGCTAACCAGTGGAATAGAGGGTTCACACTTCTCTCACCAAGTGGCTTGCTATGCTGCCACAGAAATTGCATTGGAACCAATGGACAGTTGAGCAGGTCCCTCCTTATGTCCTACACCTTCACATGGTCTTCCACACTGGAATGATTATACTGCATAGACCTTCCCGTCAACATCTTGACGACGAAGCGGTGGTCAGAGGAGATGATGTCGAAGTTTGTTATGAGTCTTTGGGTGCAGTCTTACGTCTCATGCGAGTTTACAGCAAACACTACCGCTTTGAAACCTTACCGTTGGACTTTGTACACACGCTATCAGCTGCTGCAGGTGTGTTATTGATGAAGAGATACTTGGAGAAGTCGTCGTGGGCGGACAAGGACATATCGAAACCTCTTGGACAGATCTTAGAGGCCATGACTGTTGTTGAGATTGTTTGGCCTTGCATCACAGAGATCAAGGAAGGGATCTTGGAAACTATGAGCCCTACAGACGGCAGCGATCCACAACAAGAATTTGTGCCTGATTATAATCTGATGGGTATGTTGGAATACGGGCCAGGGTCCCTCCCAAACCCTTGGTTCACAGGTATCGAGAACAACCCAGGCGATCTGTGCTTTTTGGTCACTGATGATTTTTTGGGTGGTTTTGTTACTTGAACTTAGCGACGGAGAATGAAAATTCTGTCAGGTGAGTGCTTTCCATGGGTTGTTGCACAAAGTAACAGGTGAAGATCAAGCCATTGGACACTGTGATGGAATTAATTTGTGCCCCTGTTTGCTTGGCGCAGTAGCCGAGAGTAAACAAGCGGTTACACTACAGCATCTCGATTTATTTCCGAGCTCAGTTTAGTCAAAGCCTTATCTATACCTTCAATATTTCATCAAAATTGGTATTGAAAATTTGCCTCGTTCTCGGGTTGCAATTGCAATGAGTCATGAGTGCGATGCGTTAGTGATGCCAGGGTGGTTGAGCGATAAGTGGAGGGAAATCAAAAGATCAAAATATGACGAGGTAAATATATGTGAATTGTGAGAGCGCCGGGTTTACGAATGGATGATGGAGAACTCCTAGCCGCAAGATTATTTGGTGGGAGAGGCGAATTTATAAACGCTGTGTCATTTTGTCGTCTGATTGTCCAGAGAGTTCATATTCCATTGTCAAGGATTCTCTCAGCTAATTTAGTTATCATGGTATTTCAATCTTGAAATACATGTACAACCACTCCTCCTAATTACATAAGCTTAATTAGGCGTGTAGTAAGGAGCCTCCGCCCAGAAACTACATTGTTTCGCAGCGCCAGGATCCGGAAGCAGCATGCCCAACGCTGGTTGGAACAAGCCCTTCGAACTAATGCTCGACACGGTAAAAGCTTTGCCATACGGAACCATACTCTGAAAGCCTTGCGCGGTCGGTTTCCCTGTCATTGCAAATGACGTCAAATATCTTTGAAGTGTAGCTGCGACAGTGGCATTAACACGAACCCCTGCATTAAGCGAGGAAGTATCGCCGTTGAAAAATGTGTAAGCGTTATCTTGGCCATGAAGCCCTGGCGGAACCCAGAACACGTAGGCATATCCCGAAAGCTTGGAAGCGAGGTATTTGACATTGCAAGTCACGAGAAAGTTGGAAATTGAGAGAGCATTCCGCTGGATGGATGTCTTGTAGCCATATCTTCCGCTGAAGACGGGTGGGTAAAGCTCCGTTGTGATGGTATTCACAGAAGTTACATTTGCTGAATAGAAAAGCTGAGAGATTGCCGCCTTATAGTCGTCTTGAGTTTGGACGAATGGTGGCGTGAATAGGAGGCCTTCATCCGATGTATGGCTTACCAGCACGCTGACATTGTGGTATGACCCGTTTGCGACCAGGCGCAGAGGAAGGTCAGGCACATAGGAGTTAGGCGAAGGATCGACAACTGGACCGAAAGTGAAGGATCCATAGTTCGATAGACCTGTCATAATTATGTTGACTGCATATAATGCCTTGAATGGTAGGGCACGAAGCTCGCTAGCTGAGCTAATGGTCAAGTTTGTGACAGCCGAAGCGTTTTTCAGAGCGTTAGCGAAAATTTGTTGCGATTGAGATGGAACAAATATTTGGAAAGCCGGGCTTTGAGGTATTGCTCGTTGGAAAGGGACTGATCCCAGTCCACCATAGGACATGATATGATGCATGATCGATCCACCACCAGCAGATTCACCCATAACGGTTACACGTGATGGATCACCTCCGAAAAGGTGGATGTTTTGTTGGACCCAATCGAGCGCAAGTCTTTGGTCAAGTAGACCAACATTTGCAGTAACATCGTCGGATCCAGATAACCAGCCCTACGTATATCAGTAACTTAATCACTTACGTGAGTTGATATTGCAACTCACAAAAAGACCAAGGCGGTAATTCATAGCCACATACACAAGGCCTTCGCCGTTGTTCTCTAGACTGCGAGATATCAAGCTAGTAGGGTTCCCGTAAGACGTCTTGCTACCAAATGTATATCCACCTCCGTAGATCCAAACGAGGACAGGAGCTCCGGATGGGACTTTGCACGGTTGGTCAGGTTCGCATTGTACCTCGTGATAACCGCTTGTCCCATTAGTCTTCGTGATATTGAAGACTTTCTCCGGTACAATAACATCGAGGAACAGACAGTCCTCGGAGACTCCAGGACCGGGCGTCAGGAGAGAAGAAATATTGGTGTTGGTCGGCACTTGCATACTGGAAGGATGTGTATAGTTGCTGATATTTTGACCAGTCAAGAGGTCAGGGATGAATTCTGCGGCTTCAGAGCTCCATGCTGACAAACTTCAGTTTAATACCAACTCATGCGGATCTGAGCAGTGATAATATACCTGGTGCAGCCTGAGGGCATATAACACTATTTTGACCATCGTTTACGGTGGTGTTCCGACCGCTAGGAGCAAGTGGCGGCGAGAATCGAAGATGACCGACAGGAGGTTGGCCAAAGCGTATATTGGAGAAGTTGAAGTATCCTGAACCGGATGACTGATCCATGTGAATATCTCGAGGTAACTGGCGTGCTTCATAACTTACATTTAAAGTTGCTCGATGCACGGCATACCCGAGGTCGACAACAGGGAGAGCTGCTTGAGCTGCCGAAAGAGTGTAGAGTGCTGCGACGGAAAGTCCTAACAGCATGCTATGTTTGACCATCATGATTGCTTCAAAGGCCGAAGACAACTGAGAAGCTGAAAAAGGTTGAAAGCGAAAGGAGCACATAAGATAAAAATGTGGATGATAACTACATAGTTATCAATCACATACGTCAAGTACGATCACGCATATGTGGAGCACCCGATGTAGCCAAGACTAGCACGATGTTTAGATGCATAATACTCAGCACCGCCATCGCCAGACCAAAACTCCAGGTTCTGAAATGCAGACTCTATGAATTCAGCTTTCCCGTGGACCAAGTAAGATACGGAACCGCGGGGTCGCGGGAAGATCTCACTAGCTCGCGGGGCCTGCCATCTGAAGTTAGAGCTGTCCAGCTTCAAGCCATATTATTGGATTTAGGAGCACACGGGGCACACACCTGGCTAGCTGAACAGGAGAATGGCCTTGCTGAACTCATCCAGCTTGCAAGACGATCCTGAACACTGGTAGGTATATGTACTCTGACGTCAATATTCATCTGATACTTGCACATACTCCCCAAAAGTTCCTAGAGACTTCTCATCATGATGAGCCACGGGCTTGAACCTGTCATAAGCATCAGATAACGAGTGTTTGATCATGAGATACCCAGTGAAGCACGAAGTATAGCTGAACTGATCTCTCTAGAGCCGACTGAAAAAGTTTTACAATTCCCGCTCGGCTAACTTCCTACACCCCAGACAACTCACTACACATCAGCCAATTTCTCAACAGGCAAATGCATCGTAGCCATGACAGTCTCCGCATTTCTCGGTTCTAGAGACTTCTTGACTGGATTTGGAGCCTCGAACACCTCCGCCAGCTCTTCAAGAGTACGATCCTTCGTCTCAGGGAAGAATTTCCAGATGAATATTGCCTCGATGATATCCCAGAACACAAACACCAGGTAGAAGTAGTAGCCGATCTTCTCGAATGCGGGTCCAGAGGAATATGCCAGAACGATAGATATACCGCTAGACATGAAGTTCCCAAGCGCTGTTCCTTTGGCTCGATTGTACGTCGTGAGAGTCTCGGCAATGTACATAGACTGCTGAGCGGTCCATCCAATGGAGAAGACAACACCAAAGAGGAACACAAAGGCGATGGTTGTGTTTGCCGCATGATGATTAGATGGGTCATCAACGGCCATCTTCGAAGTCCCGGTAATGACAGCGAAGATTACTGAACAGCAAAGAATGCTGTAAATCAGGAGCGGGCGACGGCCAACACGATCTGTGAGACGAGCACCGAGAAGCGAACCTAAGAAGCCAAGCATAGAGTTTACGGCATTCAGAGCCAGGACTTTCTTCTGTTCGACAATTCCGGCAGTGTTCATCATGGTAACCAGATAATAGCTTGATAGAGAGTTACCAGAAGCCTATCATGTGTCAGTAAGTAATCTCAGTAATGTGCGGATAATGATTACCTGTCCCATAAAAGCCATACCAAGCACACAGATGAGTCGACGACGGTCACTGTGCGTATTCCACAATTGACGATAATCCCACCATCTCTTGTCAGCAGGCTCAGTCGAAAGCTGTGCCATCATTTCCTTTAACTGGAGCTGGACGATAGGGTGATCAACAGAGCCCTCGCCGTGGAGCTGGGCAAGAATTGCAGCTGCTTCGTCATGTCTGTCGTGCTGCATGAGCCATCGGGGCTGCGAGGTCGGTTAGCACAGTGCGAGCTTATGTGAAAATTAAGTACTTACAGATTCAGGTAGAAAGAATACGAAGATAGCGACGATGCCAGATGTTCCCAATTGCATCCACACCGGCAGCCTCCAACCACCGTTGCCTTTGATGTAAGAGCTGCCGTAGACAACCCACCCTGCAATGATAGCCCCAAGCGGCCACATGCAATTGTAGAAGCCAGTAAGAGTCCCACGCCACTATCACTGTCAGTCATGCCCCAGTATAACTTGTAGCCCTTGGAAGAACTAGAAAGGTGAGTCTAGTGCCACAGCTTACCTTTGGATGAGCCATCTCGCTGACGTAGGTCGGTGCAGCAATGCAGCAGTATGAGACACCAAAGCCAAGAAGAAACCGTCCACCCAGGAATTGAGGGATGGCTTTGCTCGTTGCTCTGCAATCTCGATTAGCGTTGAACTTGAGAAGGGTACATCAGTATTCTAGTGATCTTTGTATACTTACTGCACGCAGGTTCCGATAATAATCACAACGGCACCAATAAACATACCGACACGGCGACCAAGTCTGTCAGTTGCAAATGGCACTAGTGGGGCAGCTGCAAGACTGCCAGCGTTGTAGATCATGAAGACAATACCCGTGGATGATCCCGATGTTTTCCTGCTCTGATCAGTTTCATTGTCGCAGAGATCCAGACATTGGCTTCATTAACTTACATATCGAAAGTCTTCTGATACGAGGTCATTCCATTGAGACCGCCCATAAGCGAGCCATCATATCCGTTCAAACAACCACAGCAGTATGCCACGAATAGAACCCCATAGAGTCGCAACATCGACCATGTCCATGGCGAGTACTTGCTGCTATCGACTTCTTCGGCAATCTCGATTGCAACAGCAATAGGGTTGAGATTTATTTTGAGCCCGTAAGCTCTGACATTCTCCTTCTCGTCCACTGCAGGGACTGTAGTCTTGTAGTCAGCCATGACGTTTGCGTCGTGAAGAAAGAAGGAATGAAGATGATCTTTTCGAATGTCAGGTCCAGATCTTCCTGACACAGAGTCCCTTTATATAACCCCAACATGTTCTCCACAACCGCGCCTTATTCCCAGAACTTGACCCAGCGTCGTGTCCATCTGTACCAACATCCCCCACTTCTCAGCTGAAGCTATCGCCTCTCCGAACCCTTTTCCCCAGACCCCGCCTACTTCTATCTGATCCATATAATGGTCGAACTCCATTCACTTGATTGGTGCGCATCGAGCAAGTGGATATAACCTTGGCAATGACACTGTGAGCCGCTAGCTCCAGAATATTTCCCCCGGATTCCCCAGCTTGGCCTCCAACTCTGCGTGTGCACGAAGCAGGTTATTTACCTCAACAGGAATTTGACTGGTGGGATTTAGAAGTGGCATAGAGTTCCTTTGGGTCAGACCGTGCTGATCATTTCTTGGAGTTTGTCTCTCCCCGACTTCCCCGAATGTTCGTCCATCGAGCCAGCCTCCCAGCGCATGTTGATGTGCTACTGCAGGAAACTGGATCATGCTTACAATGGCATGTTTTCTGCATGGCATTCTACACGCGAATTTGGACTTGCAGGCACTACCTAGAAGCACCTGCCCATCGCGCCTCAGTTGTGATTCTTCCAGAATAGAGACGGTAAGCATCAGAAACATGACTTGAATCACACAAAAATAAACAGAAACGACTCGTAATTGTCCATTAACAGACAGGAAAAGTGACCCAGATTATTTGAGCAGTCACGGAATCTCTCATCACTGGGCGAAGAACCTGACAGGTCCATATTCAAAAGCTTGAAAAGGTCAAGCAGTGCGATTGCAGGAAGTAATACTTAGGATAGGCATGAGCACGTGGTTCCGAGAAAATATTGGCATTACCATCGTCAACGTCGGTTCCTTGATTCAAAACTCACGCCGACGACGTTGACTGGTGTGGTCGACTGCTTCGCATGATAGAAAATCCAATGCCGGTGAAATACGAAGATCCTGGTTCGATTCGGTGTTCTAATGAGGCAGTTCCCAAATCCTCAGACAAATCCGTTATCTACAACTCTCGAGAGTGACTTTCTGGTTGGATTGCTTGTTTGTCGTGATACTCTGCCACATATCCCTGAAGTTTCCATAGTAGAGATTGTACTTCAACCGTAGCATTCTTGTTTTTCAGCACCACAACCTCCCGCTCAAAGACGCTGTTCGGAACCAAACCTCGCACTTCATCCATCTTATCTTTCCCCAGAAGCGTCAGAAGGTTATAAACAGGAACCTTCCTTTTCTTCTTTCCAGGTTGCGACGCGACATCACCGAACTCCTGACTTCCAACCTCGAGGGTTGCAAAATCCGCCGGTCCTGTTGATACGTCACGGTCACCATTCACACTTCCCGTCCAGAAAATTGCAGCGACTTGAGGCTTTTTCAAGGCGTCATTCCAGTCAGTACAGCCCACCATGTATCCTCGCTTCATCCCAGATAGATGGACAAATGCTTCCGCAATGCGCCGACCCATTAATGTAGTGATAAATTTGTCCATGTCTGGCCTCCAACCAGCTTTGCCATAAGACTGCATCGCAGGCCTCACCTGTCGCCAACCACCAGGAATGAACTTGGCTTGTCCTGCTCTCCCTTTGTTGGCTCGTGAGGGTGCCGATGTGTCAACCATGTCACCAAGTAAGACTCTGCCATTGAGCGTGTAGGCCTGGTACCCCATCTTGGACGATCTCGATTTGTCGTCTGATTTGATACCGCTCTCAAGCCCTTTTGACGTTCTCAAATCTGGCATTTCGTCGGAAACATCTTTCTCTCTGCCATTGTCTAAATCACCTAGCTGTTGCAAGTCTTGGGCTTCTTCCGCCTCATTCAGAGCCTCTCTTTCTTTGATAGGGAGATGTTTATTTGCTAGATTTGCTGGCACATACCACGGCTCTCCACTTGTTGGATCCGACATTACTCGAAACCCTTGAAGAAAGAAGGAGGGTAACTTCGTACCGCTGATTGCACATCTGCGGACAGGTGTGGCGAGAGCTAGAGCATATGGGTTCTTTGATAGCTGCTGTTGGAATGGTGTCGGGTTCTTGCTCGGCAGAGTCTTAGGAGCACGGTGTTTCTCTCTTGCTTCAAGAAATGATGGATTCATGAGCGGCGAGAGGGGGAGGAGACGCCGTTTGACAGCTGGCTTAGATGATTCATGTGGGATACTGATTGACGTTTCTGCTTGAGCGGTATTGGAAATTGACGTCAAGTGGAAATTGATTTCAGACGATGAATCCAAAGCTTCAGACGTCCCTGTTCCCGGCGCACCATTTTGTACTGCAGCTGTCTTTCCGATGGGTTCCACTGACCCAGTGGCAAACCCGGCAATGTGTCCATCATTGCCTTCCAGAGTTTGGAAATGTGATGCTTGTTTGCTTGTGCTGGACAAATCTCGGGTTTGGAAAGCTCTGACGAGCGTCCAGCGTGTCGGAGGCTCAGGGGAGCATGATGTTCGTATACAGTGAGATCGAGTTGCTGTCGCAAGCAACTTTGCAGTGCTGCTACCGGAGGAGACCGTACATCTGTTCATGCCACATTCTCTGTTGCTCAATATTGCTGATGATGTTGGCACATCAAATGTGAATTGAGAAATAAATTGAGCTGAAGCTCGGCATCCCTGTCAGGCGATCGCGCTTCTTTTCCGCATCCATCGCGTCTCCCAGCTTCAGTCGCCAGGCATACTCATGAGCTGGCTGCACCTGACCAATTCAACCTCATCCACAATGTTCGCAACCAGATTACTGCGGGCGCCAGCTCGTAATGTATTCCAACAAAGTCTGCGAAGCTTTTCCTCCATACCTTCCCGAGCAGAGCCTCCCAAGTCATGGACTCCCATGCCGCTTATTACAGAGACAATTGTAAGTCAATTGCTTGCAGACTCGAGATGTTTGCTGACAGTACAGGGAGGTGGCTATCGGCAATCAGACATCTTCTCGAAATTACTGCAAGAACGGATCATATGCCTCAACGGTGAAGTGAATGATGTTCTCTCTGCAGCTGTCGTTGCCCAGCTTTTATATCTCGAGTCCGATGCGCCGGAAAAGGCTATTACTCTCTACATAAATTCACCAGGTGGATCCGTTACGGCTGGCCTTGCGATTTACGATACCATGACATACATTCGCTCGCCGGTTTCGACAGTCTGCGTCGGACAAGCTGCATCAATGGGAAGTTTACTACTCTGCGGTGGCGAGAAGGGAAAGCGGTTCTGTCTGCCACATAGCAGTGTTATGGTGCACCAGCCGAGCGGAGGATACTTTGGACAAGCAAGTGATATTGCTATCCATGCACAGGAGATATTGAGAGTGCGGAGGAAGCTGAACGAGATATTCATCAAGCATTTGACCAAGCCACATACTCTGGAGGAAGTGGAGCGACTGATGGAGAGGGACCGGTTCTTGAGTGCCGAAGAGGCTTTAGAAATGGGTATTGTGGATGAAATCCTGCAGAGGAGGGTTGAGGGCGAAGAGAAGAAGAAAGAGGGAGAGAACGACACATAGAATCAATCGATGCTTGAACAATCTGGTTCTAGTCATACAAGGCAATACCGTCGTTACTGCATACAGACACCAAGGCATGGCGTCCAAATGCTAACGAAATCCATGCATTCACAGTTTTGAGTCCCTTCCTTCGCCTCCAAGCCTAGCAAGAATCCAGTCTGCAACATCATTTGCGAAGACCTTCCTGTTGTCTGGCAAGTCTGCATGTAACTGATGGGACCAGCCCTCGTATGTCTTGAATTCCTTGTCTTCTAATCCAGTCTGTCTCTCAAACCACTTCTTACTCTCCTCATAGCTAGTGCCTTTATCTTCAGTACCATGTGCAAGCCAGACGCTCTTCACATTTGGGTTCAATTTGACTTTGGCCTGGTTTAGTGATGTGGTTCTGTCCAGCATGCCGGCCAATCCCTCCAACGTGCCATTTCCGTACAGGAGCTTGTCCTCAGAGAGAGACTTGACCACATCTGGGTCCCGAGTCAAGTTCACCGGAGGAAGGGCGGAGTATCGTTGTTTGTGGGGGAGCAGCCTGCCAGCCAGTTTTCCAGCGGCGACTGTAATCCACATCGGTTCGAAACCTTTGGGAAAGCCAATGAACGGGCTCTCCAACAGCCATCCCCTGATCTCCTTCGTAATTTCTGAATACTGGGGATCAGAAGCCAAGATTAAGGCCTCGCCACCACCCATGGAGTGACCCATAACGAACAAGGGAACAGAGCAAGGCATTTGCGATTTGATGAAGGACACAATGTCAGAAATGACTTGAGGTGTAGGCCCGGTCAGACCTTGCTCAGCTGGCTTCTTTACAGACCGGCCCCAGCCACGTTGATCGAATGCAGCTGTTTCGATTCCTTTGCTTGCGAGGGTAGGGAAAAGCTCATAGTACCGATCACAATGGTCATTGAACCCATGGATGAAGACAAGCTTGGCTTTTGGAGCTCCATCTGGCTATAAAGTAGTATTAGTTTTGATTAATTCTATAATTTCGAAACATAGAGTTTTGAGACATAGATCCGTAGGTTACATACCTTCCAAGTCTTGGTATAGAGGGAAACATTGCCAACCTGATGAATTCCTTCAACTTGGGTAGGCATCTTGACTGTTTCAAGCGGGGCAGCTTGGGAAACGTGTTAGGTTCTCAAGAAGTGCGTTTCGGTCAGATCGGCAGAAGAAGGGTATTTAGTCTATGTAAAGCTGAATTTGAGAACAAATAGTCGGAAGCTTGAAAGGTATAGCTGAATCTCTATGATAGCTTCGCAAAGAGCTTGAGAAGGTCCAACGACGAGGTCCCTGATCGTCAGCAGGGGTCTCGTGCCGAGGCGGCCGCGTGAGTTGACCTTATTTTTACAGGAGCTTTATCTTCGACAAATCCAACTTCCAGATGACAACTCTGCAGCGCCTTTCTCCAGGAACGAGTCGTATCTTGTCTGGGACAAGAGGTTTCTCGCCTCTCTATAGCAGCTATCGGTGCTATTCTAAAAAGATTGTGAAAGGGAAGAAGCTCTACCGTTTTTCTCTTGCTTCAGAGCACTAACTGTCCGCAGAAAATGATATCGTCCTGCTCAAGCATCGAAACAATCCGAGTGCGCCAATAGTCACTGGCAAGCTACGCTCCGGACGGAAAACTACTCTATCTGCTACTTCAAACTGGCGAGACGCGATTGAGAATGATCAAATCATTGGAAAGGAACTGCGGGAGGTAGTCACTTCCAGGAAGGGGGTGCATTATCGAATCCTTGAACCTACTCTCGCAGAATACACAGATTGCTCGCCTCGAATAGTTACGCCGGTAGGACCTCTGTTTCATCGGATCGTTGGATCTACAATTCTAAGCGCACGATAGTAGATCTACTCTCAAGATGCGAATCTAATCGTCTCTCTCCTCGACTTACATCCCAGTCCACCCCTGCCGAATGACACAAATGAAGACCGATTGGAGATTTTCGAAGCTGGAACGGGCCATGGAGCTTTGACTCTACATCTTGCGAGAGCAATCCATGCTGAAAACTCCCCAGCTCCAGTACCAGAATCGATCGAACCAGGTGAAGACAACGCCGTTCAGATTGATCGGAATTTGGCAGTTGACAAAGCATGGCGAGAAGCTCGAAGAGCAGTGATACACACTCTTGACATCAATGCTACCCACTCAAAGCATGCTGCACAGGTTGTAAAGAATTTCCGAAACGGACTCTACTTCCTAAATGTGGATTTCCACACTGGTACGATCGAAGATTATCTCTCTGGGAGATTAGCGGAATCTGAAGACCCTTTTTTGGACCATGCAATCCTAGATCTCCCAGCGACGCACAAGTACTTCGAAGTCGTGAGCAAAGCAATGAAGGCAAATGGGACTTTGATAGGCTTCTGCCCAAGTATTACACAGATCAACGCTTGTGTTTTGCTTACGAAGCAAAAGAACTTGCCTTTCTTTTTGGAGAAAGTCATTGAGATTGGTGGTGCCGTTGGTGGAAGAGAATGGGATGTCCGCTTAGTGACCCCAAGAGCTGCAAAGAACGAGTTGGGAGAGAAGCAAAACCCAGTTGTTGATGATGCAGAAGGCCTCAAGGTATCAGAGACACCTAACGATGGGGGAGAAATGGTTTGTAGACCAAAGGTTGGGGGCAGAGTCTCGGGAGGAGGATTCGTGGGTTTATGGCGTAGAATTACTCCCTTCTCACAATAGTCTGGACTTTAGATGTATAATATGGAACTATGCTGTATGAAATGCATCTAAGATTTCCCAATTTCTCAAGAATATTCATTTTCACAAGCTCATAGTGTCACGAGACTCCGACCAAATATGATGGTCTGGTGACAGGGATTATTAGCTTTCCAGGCTAGCGACCCCAGATTTCGTCTCAAAGGACCTGAAATTATGGACACGAACTCGAGCTTCCCCTTTCTTTGACCGGCCAGTCTCGAATGTAAGTACTTCGTTGTCAACAATGGAATAGTCGCGATGTGCGCTTGACATAATTACGGATGGAAAAGATCGCCCTTGCCCCCGGATTCCATTCAGCTCAGCTATTGAATGTGGCGGCAGCTAGCTCATCATCATCAGCTACTGCATCATGACGAGACGGATTGTAGGAACCTCTCTGGGACAATCTGTGAATTAACAATACTGACTTTCGAGCGCATAGGTTCGCACAGTAAGCCAGCTTGGGGCTCTAGCTGTCCTGACTATCGTAGTCATCTTCTTCTTGGACAACAAATTTCGAGTCCTACCCTCCGCGATCCACAATGCACTTCCTGCGCATCATCCTGGCCTGGTGATCACCGACATAACGGTGACCTCTTGCTCGCGCATAAATGTTTTCTCGTCCTGTAAACTCGACTCTGAAGTATGGCATCGAATAGAGAAGGACTTATACCTGGGGGAGGGCTGGGTTAGTAGCGCATTCGTACATATCAAGCGAAAGAAGGAGGAGGAACTTTTAGCAGAGGACAAAGTGATTGTGGATGTAAAAGTAGGGAGGTTGGATCCCAGTACCACGGTGAAAGGGGAGGGTGATGAGAGGTGGGAGTCAAGGCCTGCAGGATTATGGTTGAAACGGTCAGCACAACGTCATGCGAGCGATTCGCACCAAGCTATCACATCCGTGGATGTCTTGTTTGGAGCAGATGCGGTGGATCCGCGAGATGGATGGCAGATGGTCGGGACGCCCATGCTACTGGATACAAGTGGAGAGGGTCATGAGGCTAGGTTGAGTGTGAGGAGAGGCAAGGAGGCACCACACTCTAGGCCAGTGCCCAGGATAAATGAGAATGGAAAGTTCAAGATCATGCAGGTTGCGGATTTGCACTTGAGCACTGGTACGGGAGCTTGCAGAGATGAGATGCCAGTTGGTCATAATGGTGGGAAATGCGAAGCGGATCCCAGGACGTTGGAGTTCGTGGGGAGGCTTCTAGATGAAGAGAAGCCGGATTTAGTGGTGCTGAGCGGAGACCAAGTGAACGGAGAGACCGCTCCAGATGCTCAAAGCGTAAGTGATTCGTATATACATCACTTCTCCAAGGCTAACTTTACTAGGCGATATTCAAATACGCCGAGCTCTTTATCAAGCGCAAAATTCCTTATGCTACCATCTTTGGTAATCATGACGATGAAGGTTCACTTCCTCGCGCTGGTCAGATGGCCTTGATCGAGTCTCTGCCATACTCTCTTTCGGCCGCTGGCCCTGAAGACATCGACGGGGTTGGAAACTACTACGTGGAGGTTCTTGCACGAGGAAGTTCCAAACACTCCGCACTTACAATATACCTATTGGATACACATGCCTATTCGCCCGATGAGCATAACTTCAAAGGATATGATTGGCTCAAGAAGAACCAGATAGACTGGTTCAAAGCCACTGCTCAAGGGCTGAAGAAGGAGCATGCTGGCTATACTCATATCCACATGGATTTAGCATTCATCCATATCCCACTTCCCGAGTACCGAGATGACACCCTTCCTCGGAAGGGAGAATGGAGAGAAGGTGTCACAGCACCAGCATTCAACTCTGGTTTCAGAGATGCTTTAGTTGAAGAGGGCGTTGTAATGGTATCTTGTGGTCACGACCACGCAAACGAATACTGCGCATTGACGAGTAACGAAGCAAAGACCCCAGCTATGTGGATGTGCTATGCTGGAGGAGCTGGATTTGGCGGCTACGGAGGCTACGGCGGATATCATCGCCGAATCAGACTGTTCGACGTCGATCTAAATGAAGCTAGAATTCGGACTTGGAAGCGTGTTGAGTATGGTGATACTGGGAAGCGGATCGATGAGCAGATCATTGTTGAAGGGGGCCGAGCCAGAGCGCTTGATGCATAGAAAATTCTAAGGGACATATCGGACACTTGGGCTTAAAATGCCTGCATATCTAAGCGGGGGAATGGAAAGCAAACGGAATACTGGCAGGCGTTTGGAGTGAGCTTGGAATAGCATAGGTATGATGCGACGACCTTTCTTTGAGGTTCTCAGATGCTCATGTATTGATTGATTTCTATGTACAGTGATTGCCAATGACGGTACCGCTTTTCACTTGACATTTTAGATATAATGCTAAGCGAGGAAAGATCGAGATATATGATCTCGAACTTCTGGACCTCTTTCATTGATGGCCTGTAGATTGTTATCAATGTTCCGACACTGCTTATTGAAGTGAACGATCCTGTCACGGACATGGCTGGCGCGACCTTTCCATTGGCCCAGCACGCCCTGCTCTGCATGAGGGCGCATACATCAGTATCCAGCCTCGCGTTCGCCCAATTCAGTGTCGACACCTCAACCCTCAACCTCCAGAATCTGAATTTCCCTTCTGATGACAGCATCAACAACACTTCACACGTCTTCAAATCTTGGGATACTCGTCGTACAGAACAATACCTGGCAGCCGCCTTGGCTGTTCCCATCCGGCAAGCATGGAAGCACTCGCAGCATTAGGCGTTGCAGCTGCCGTCGTACAGTTTTTGGACTTCAGTAGCAAGCTTATCTCGAAGGGCCAGCAGCTCTATCATTCTAAGAATGGAGCTCTGATCGAGAATACAGAGATGGAAGAAGCTTCGAGGAGACTGCAGGGTTTGACGGAAACGCTGCAGACTTCGGAGGAAGATCCCGCACTTGTTGCCATTTGTGAATCTTGTGAGTAATGTTCATTCTTAGGTTTGAAAGGAATACTTGGGAAATCCCGTATCATATCGCTACGATTGTGAGCTTCGTAAAGTGGAGGTTAAGTGAGAAACATTTAGACTCCCACTAGGCACTGAGACATTGACAAACACTGTATTCAGGAAAGTGTTCACGTTCTAACTTTCTCTAGGTGTGAGGATTTCTAGAGATGTAACTACACGCCTTGCAAGTCTTCAGGTGCCTGCTGCACAACCTCGTAAGCGGTGGAAGAGTTTTCGGCAGGCGCTCAAAAGCGTATGGTCGAGGCAGGAAATCAAGGAGACAAAACAGAAGCTCGATAGCTTGAGGGGAGAGCTGATGACACACGTTACCCTTAACATAAGGTAAAGACAGTTCATTGATTTATGTTGAAGCCCATCACTAATCTTGTCACCTTCAGAGACAGCATAATGACTGTTTCTATCCAACAAGACACTCGGTTCAGTTCCTTGGATACTGCCACAAAACAAATAATGGAGGCTTTACTGGATCTACCAAGGACTGTCCGCCAGGACATGGACAATCAATTTCAGCATCTTCTACGAATCGAACACCTTGAGCACGGCAAAACTCGTGCGGCCTTCATGGATCATATAAGGACTCAGCTCGATGACCATGTTTGTCACTCAATCATTGAGAGCTTGCACTTCCCAACAAGAACTGTACGCCACGACAACATACCTGAAGCGCACAAACAAACTTTCGAATGGATATTCCGGGACCCTATTGACGATGGAAAGCCCTGGAGCAATTTTGCACAATGGCTGGAAACTGGAGATGGAATTTACTGGATCAATGGAAAGGTTGGATCTGGCAAGTCAACCCTGATGAAATTCATCGTGGATCATGAGAAGACTAGCGAATTGCTTGGTGCTTGGGCTCCAGGTAAAAGCGTAGAGACCCCGACATTTTTCTTTTGGAAAAATGGACACAAGGATCAACGGTCGCAAGGAGGCCTGCTACGATCACTTCTCTATGACATTCTGCGAAAATACCCAGCGCTCGTTCCTATCGTGTTCCCCGATGTGTGGACTAGAAATTCTGAACTGGCGTCACACAGCGTCTCATCCACACTCGACCCATGGAGTTTGACAAAATTGCAAAAGGCTTTTGCCCGTCTAGTAGTTTGCAAGACCATTCGCGTATGCTTCTTCATTGATGGTCTGGACGAATATGAAGGCGACCACGAAGAACTTGCAGCATTTTTTGCTCAGCTATCTTGCACTCCAAATGTCAAATTGTGCTTGTCGAGTCGCCCATGGCCAGCTTTTCAAGATACTTTCCGCAATCACCCTGGACTCAGACTACAGGACTTGACATGTGATGATATCAGACGATTTGTCAACGACAAGATCAATGGCAATTCTAGGATGGTGTTACTGAGGCAGAGAGAGCCAGAAAGAGCAGCATGGTTTGTCCAAAGCCTGGTATGGAAAGCCGAAGGAGTGTTTCTTTGGGTCACACCGGTCGTCAAATCATTGTTAAAAGGACTCAGCCACAAGAATGACCTGGAAACACTTGAGAAGAGATTGGGTTCTATGCCACCTGATCTCGAGAAGTTGTACAGTCACATGCTTTCTATGATAGACTCTCATGATATGAAGAAAGGATCAGAGCTATTTCAACTTTTCGAGGTATGTGGTGTCAACAAGGACCTAGAATTGATATATTTTGCGTCAAGCAGAGAAGTGGCAGAAGTGCTGAGCACAAAGCCTGTTGTCTCAAGGCAGACAGTTGACGAGGCGCAGCATGTTCAGTTTGACTCAATAGTTGAGGAAATGAGTATCTATCTGCAAGCTTGTTGCGGTGGGTTGATTGAGATATTCCTGGATGACCCGGATCGTTCTTGGAGAACAGGAGAACTCACCTATATTCACCGCAGTGTCGAAGAATATCTAGCCACTCCTGAAATATGGAGTGGGATTTTGAGTCATACATCAAAGTCCAGCTGGGATCCCCAGACACGTTTGCTAAAATCAAGTATTCTGTGCTTGAGAAACAGCATTTGGCCTGGACCTGAATCTATGGAGCAATCAGTAAACTATGTTGAGCGTCACTGGTGTCAACTCATGGACCACATAGATGATATCTTAGACGACGGTCCGGTATCTTATGAAGATGGCACACTCATACTTAACAATTTCGATAAAGCTGCTGCAGATTTCGCGCTTCTGGGGTGTTGGGCTCAACGTTACACCGAAAAGTTTCAAAGGAAGCTCAGCCACTGGTCAGAATGTATACAGCAGCCAGCACTACCTCGGCAAGGCTTCGTGCATTTAGCAGCGGAATGTCAACTCTGGTTTTGTGTCAAACACCTATTAGAAAATGATCCTTCGTTGGTGTCAAAGTTGGAAGTTCCATTACTTGCTCATATTCTTCTCTCAATAAATCCCATGTTCGTCAACAGGGAAGGACTTGACAAGACTGTGCAAGTCGTGTTGTCTTTTTCCGCAAATCCCAACGAGGTCTTCCATGGTTATTCAATCTGGCAATACTGGGTGACTTTTCTTCATACAGTATATAGAAAAGGCTCTCATCGTTCCCCTATGTTCGAGACGTGGAGGAAAGTCACGATTGAAATGATTAAGGCTGGGGCAGATCTCAACATAGGATGTGCGGGAGGTAGAACAGTTTGGCTGGACCTGTATCAAGAGTTGCAGAAGGGAGATGAGCTTTATACTTCACGCGTGTCGTATGAAAACATTTGGGTAGGAAAACTGGTAATTCACTCCGACGAAGCATGGAGACGTCTAGAGTGGGATTCCCATATGCATCGACTCGAGCGAAAACTGTTCGCGGGCAAAGAGAGCCTGTCATTCGAAGAGAGGCATTCTTTGAAAGCAGTGATCGAAGATACCTTCAGAGATGACGACCCAAAGGGCACAGACGAGGTCTTGGAGCTCATCGAGAGCTTGGAGGTATGCTTTTCGTGCCAAATCAATGAAAATTGAGCTTAACTGTGTCTAGGCTGAACAGGCTTCTGGGAAGTCTGAAGTTCCAATCAGAGAGCGGAAGCTGAAAGGTTAGAAGAAGAGTTGGATTAATCCTGCCTCTTGCTCCTGGGTTTGGAGGTAACTGTAATGCACGTGGATTAGCGTAGTATACGTAATCGGGCCCTACAAAAGGGTAGCCTGAGTGTTACAGGCTCTTCTCTCCTTAGCAATTAGCTTCTGTTCAATTCAGTATCACTAGCTGGCCTTTAGCTATTCTTTGTTGATCCCTTGTGCCTTGAAGTCACCTAAGCGTGCTAGTGATTATTACAATAACATGGGCTGATTAGAGATGTTCTAGTGTTGGAGAGTGTTCTAAGCTGCACCAACGCTGAATGACGTGAAAGTTTTGTGAGAATTCTCGCGTCTGAAGTCCGAGGTGCGACTGTTATTTAACGTTATAATTGCTGGTCACGCAGAACTATTCCAGTTATGTATGCATACTCTATCATGTTGAACTCTCTGTCAAAGATACCTTTATGCACTCAGACTTGGTAGATGAACTTAAGAATACGAGTCTTAACGCTTTCCTGACAATCTTGTTCCTAAGATAATATTCATCAAAATTGATAAAAGCAGCGGGATAGAACGTTGAAATCTAGATATTCCCTCCTTCAAAAGTATGCAGAAAATTATTTGTGCACTTGTTGTCATCTGCGGGCGAACAATCTTTTTCATCCCCTTCTCTTTGTTGGCTTCGGCTCGAAGCCCTATCGCTCCGTCCTGTGGATAAGCGCAAGCCCTTATGAAAGCGAGAGCCTCACAAAGTAAAATATTGTAGAACAGGAGGAAATGAACTGAGGTAATAACTACGTGATATAACTAGGCTTAAGGGCCCTAGTATCTTACAGGTGTAAACATAAGGTAGAAGATGTGTTCAATTCTTCTAAGACTTTCGTATCCTAAGAAGTTCTAAGACAAACTTTCTCATTGTGTCATCTGAGAACATTCAAAAGCAACTTAGTTCTATGGAGACATCATGGAAGAGATATGTCGTATAGGCAAAGTAAGTCACACGCAAGGTCTCCGAGCAACAGTGCTGTATTTAGATGTGATTTCATTCGTTTGTACATCCAGTCGGTAAAGCATTTGCGCGAGTCATGGGCTACGAAAAGAGATGCATACATCTAAAAGAAACCCTGATAAACATGCATCAACCGACACATTCGCTGGTCCCCTAATTGGGATGGGAGAAGGAAGCGAAAGTTAAAGTAAAGTAAAATTGGGTATCGACAGAGTGGGCATGCAGCGGGGAAGGAATACTTTCACCAAGGAGGCGTTCGATTACAACATAGACATTCCTAGGATTATTCAAGATCTCGCAGTCAAGGCAGATGATGCCTCGCTTGAACTTGTGCGACATCGACAGATACAAAACAATGGAATGGAAAGATGTACCTGATCACGTGATTTGGACATCTCCGCGCTCTCTGTTTCGACCTACCTACTCCCACTTGTTTGAATGAGCTGATATTGCCCGCTCATACTAAATATTCCTTTTCAAAACGAATCTCATTATAGAACCCCTATTTCGATGCTCCTTAGATCTTTCGGCAGAAGAATTAGCCTTTTCGCTTAAGATCGAAAGGACCTCCTCACCTCCTTGACTTTCAGCCATCATCATCCACCGCCCATGTTTCTATCAACAAAGTCTCTCGTTCCGACGTACCGCTCTGTATACCGCTATTTCTTCCGAGCCATGGCCACTCAAGAGAAGTCATCAGTTCCACATATCGAACGAACTGCCACGGAACCACGGGATAATGTATATGACTGATGACGGTCTCCAACGGAGTGAGCTTGAAATAACAAGAATACAGAAACTCCACCCCGTAATACTGTCTCAAGTATCTCAGATAAACTCGTCGATTCGACTTCTGCGCTTGACACCTGTTGAGAAAGAGCCCATAAAGGTACGTGGTCTGTAAACCCATCCATTTCCGGATGGCGGGGTTTGATCTCTAAGCCAAATGTTTTGTACTTCCTCGTCCGATACTTTTCACAGCTTATGATCAACGGACAGCCGTTAATGTACATTGCAGTTCCAACCAGGTCAATGGGTCGACCTACACATACCCTCCCTTCCCTCCCCAGGCGGCTTCACCCTAACCTCACCACCCTCGCTCTCGCCCAACTATCTCGAACTCGCCATACAATGTTCTCCTCCTAATGCTACTCCGCCTACACCCGCTCACTGGATCTGGCAGCCCCCTTCCCAAATTCTCAATGCACAACTTAAGATCCGTATCGGGGGCTCATTCACATGGCCTCCCCCTCTCCCGCTTCCAAGCTTGAAAAGAGTTGTTTTCATAGCTGGTGGCGTGGGAATCAATCCCTTGATCAGTATGCTTAGCGTTATTGCTGAGCAGAAAGAGAGAGCTGGTAATGAGGGAGGAAATTTGGATTTCACTGTACGGTTTTTGTATTCGGTCAGAAACTCTGTTGACAGTGAGGGACGGAATGAGGAGATTCTGTTCCTTTCTCGATTACGCGAGATTTTCAAGACATTGGGCGAAGAGGGAGAGCTGAGGTTGTTTGTTACGGGCGACGAAGGAGGCGTAGTGCATGGATCTGAGGGATTAGAGGTAAAAAGGAGGAGGATTGATGAGGGTGATTTGCAGGATGCATTAAGTGATGTAGGGAATAGAGAAGGCACGGTGGTTTATGTTTGTGGAGTACCAGAGATGACGGATCGGTTTGTGGAATTGGCTGGGAAAGCGGAGGGTATGGATGAGAGAAGAGTGTTGAGTGAAAAGTGGTGGTGATCATGACATATATGCTGGATATTACAGCAGATACTTTGAAAAGTAGACTGCCAATGATGTTTCGATCAATTCTTTTACCTAAACCTTGCAACGGTTACGCCGCGATTCCAAATTTTTCCTTTTGGCAAGAATCTTGCAAGTATCGTCTATGTATACGGCTTGCTCTCAGGCAAACATTACGCCTCTAACCCATTTTATTTGCACCCTCCAAAATCATTGCAAGCTCGCAAAGTGGCGCTCAGCAAAACTCAGTCTAGAATTCAAACCTCACTTCTCCTCCTCCTCAATGGCACCGGACTTCCCGTCCGACTCTTCGCCCTGCTCAGCCTCAATCTTTCCGATTCCCTCTCCTTTTCCAAATCCCACTCATTCCCTTCCGCGGCAGCAGGTCCTTTATCAACACCATAATCCGCAAATTCTCTCCTCGGTACGCCTATACCCGCTCCCATTCCATCCCACCTTCCACGCATCCCAGCACTCGTAAAACTATTACTCCTCCCATTTCCATTCCCCCGTCCAACACTAACACCCTGTGGCACCGGCGTGCTAAAACTCTCCCTCCTTGTAATAACCTGGCTTTTCATCCCACCAGCAGCAGCAGCAGCACCACCACCACCACCAATCTGCCCAAAACTATATTTCCTCCCCAGCCTAGAACCCGGCTTTCTCAGTTCCGGCAACGCTGATGGAGCAAATGTATTTGTAGCTGGCCTGCCCCTTCTTTCATACTCCGCGGCGAGAACCTCCTCGTCATCATACTCCTCATCAGCATCCCACTCAATCACGCCTCTCTTTCCCCCATTCCCATATCCATATTCTACCTCTTGCGGAGGAGGTGGCCCGCTGGCACCACCACCTAGCCGTTTCCCGCCCCGGGTATACCAACAGCTGAGCGGGAGTAGGACGAATGCGAAGAAAGCGCCTTCTTTGATAGATTTACCGCGTGAACGCCGTTTGTTGTTGCTTGCGTTTGGTGGGGATTGGAGTTGGGCTTTGGATTTGAATTTGTATTTTGAAGTGTAGTTGAGGGAGCTAGAGGATGTGGATGAGGTGGGCGAGTGGGCAGGTAATCTGTTGGCAGGATGAACATCGCCTGGCTTGAGGATTGAGCGCGGTGTGGCTGGAGTGAGTGTTACTGCTGGTTTTGTCAGACTGGAGAGTCTAGCTGAGGTAGGAGTCACTGTCGACTTTGGTGTAGCGACTACAGTTGTAGTTGTTGATGGCGTTATAGGAGCTGAAGTAGGAGGTGTGGGTAAAGCCGTTGGAAGTGAGAAGTTCTGAGCACTTTTTGTGCTTTTGAGTGTTGGATTTGGCTTCCAGATTCCGGATGGTGAGAGCTGGACGGGCCGTGGAGCGGGTTCGTTGGTGGATGTTGATGATGCTGGGGAGGTTGGTGCGGTGTTGACTGTTGGTGGTTGAAAAGGAGCTGCTACGACGGCTGCCATTTTTGGCTATATGTTGATTGTGTTCTCAGAAATGACTTGATACGATTGGGGCAGTGGATAGGATATTCCAGTTGAGGTGGCAATAAATTGCGGATATTCTCTTCCTCCCAAGCCTCTGTCCAATCTTCTTCTCCAATGCAACAAGACTCGTAGATATGTATTCGTTTAACGTCTCCTATCTTTCGTTGCTTCCGCTTTTGACTTCTTGGGTCAAAGTCGTCTGATCAAATGTTCAAACACCAAATATCAAAGGTCGGGAAATTCAAGCCTTCCCACGCCACGAACGACTGACAGGAGCGTCTTATACTTAAACACAATCACCACACCGCACACCGACCCCTCCTCGAACACCTCACCAGCATCTACCCCTCCACCGATGTCATTCGCCTCCCCCCCCATCCCTCCATGACCAACCCACCACAGCCACCCCCCTCCTCTCTCCAACAACAACAACAACAAGGAGCACCCCTCAATAAGCGAAGCGAACCATCCGAAAAAATAGAACAGAACAAGGGCTTCAGACCGTTTCTCCTCTCCACTTTTGGCGCAATCGATCACTACCTACCGCGGAATACCTACACAGCCTCTATCTATCAAAAGGGAAAAGAAGAGACGAATGACATCACTAGTCTCTAAGTTTGGTTTCACGCGCAGATCCGGGGTCCTGTCTCACCATGCCAGTCCCTGCATCAAGACGGGCTATACCCACAATACAGACTTCCAAAGTCTTCTTTCCTTGCGCCTCATCCCTTCTCTTTTAGTCTTATTTTTGATGCTTCTCCATGCAAACGCCTTGTACCTTTGTTGTGGAGAGTGGAGCTATGATGATACACCGCTTGAAATTTTTGTAGATCGCGCCAGCCGCCTTCTCGAATACTACTGTACTTAGGCTTCATGAAACTATCCATCCATCCATGATGGAAGAAAGGGTGATTTTCGGCTTCTGTTTGATATTGCATGGACGGGATAAGCTGTCTTGCGGGCGTTGAAGGAAACGACCGGCCCGACAAGAGCACCCGGCTTCAGATCTCTCAAGCCCATACTCACCGCGTTCTCAAGTGACGGGAAGGTCCCAGTTGAGGCTCTGCATGATGTCGCAAAGTTCAAAGAAGATCAGATGGCAGCATTGGAAACCGAACGCTTTGCCTCTGCACACGGCACTGGCGGGTAGGTAGGTAGGTAGGTGAGGGAAACCGGAGTATCAGATGGCCGGCGGGCGTGATGGACTTGGGGAATGTCCGTACTTTCAAACTCGAGAGTCATGGAAGGGGAGAGGAAGTAGACGATTTGGACCATCGATCGTCGTGTGCGTAGCGTAGGTGTTTTCATCTTCTCCCAAGTGTCGTTCGTCACTTCATAAGATCCACACAACACTAACAATAACGCCCCAACCATCGACAGACACAAGCTCAAGATCAGTCCCCTTCCTTCCCCATCTGAGCGCTGTGAGACCGAGCGATGGCGCAATCCGAAGTCCTCGATCATTAATTCGATCCCTCCCATTCTTGAGCTCCCGGGAATTATTGACGTGGCGTTCCCCATCTATAACAACACCATTAAGTTTCCGTCTCCATCTCCATCTACCAACCTCGCCAAATCTCAATCATCAGTAAATTGCGGTGAGAGAAACACTCAGTCCTCTTGAAGCAGAAGATCCGAAATACTCGGAGAAACGCAATACCGTTGAAAGTCGAAACGCAATCCCATAACCACTTAATAAGCCACTCTCGCTTCGCTTCCGTGCAATTATTCCAATTCATGCATTCAAAACATCCCGTCACTTCCGATCACTGGAAGCTGGGACGCGATACAGACACCCACATGCACACACACACATCGCAGCTGCTCCAAACCAAGCAAGCATAAACCCCTTTCCACTCTTCCACTCACCCCCTGAAAATTCTAAACTTCCCTTCGCCTCCTCCGAACTTCGCTTAACCACCATCGCACGCCCGTTCCAAGAAAAGGATACACCTTGTAGCTGCGACAATAACAACAACAACTATAGCGTGTGTTAACGGGCAAGGCGAGAGGCGAGATGACTAGGGACATTGGGTATAGCAGGACGGAGATATATATACTGTAGTGGGGACGTGAAAAGAATGAGTGAAAGAAAAAAAATTATTTTGGCGAGATAAGTTAAGCAGCTATAAAAGAGAGAATATGCGCGACTAGCGCAGCGCTTACTTCATTCTTTTTTTTGTGTTGGCAGTAGGTATGTTCGCGGTAGGGTGTTCGTTTGTGTGTTGGCAATAGTTGAAGGTTAAGATGAGTGGGAGATGGGATGGGTTGCCCTGTTCTCCCAGTATCAGTATGTTGGCAAACAGATGGAAGGGGAGGGAGGTTGGGAGATTGAGGAGAGGAGTGGAGATACTGTATGCACGTTGAGTTGGCCAGCGAGGAATAGGAAGAGGCGAGGAATGGCCGGTACAATGAGTGAAAGTAGGTAGATGTATTCCGCACAGACGCTGTCTGAAATAATACACATGTTGAGCAAGATTGGAGTGCGTAAGCTAGAAGAAAGAAAATTGCCACGGCCAACTTCACTTGAAGCTATTGAGGAACACCAACCTGCCACGATCAACTCCTTTAGAGAGGTAGAAAGTAAGCCTACACAGCTGAGACAAATAATAGATAAGTAAGGTTATATGATCCAGTCCAACATATATACTTCTGCACTTTCCATTCCTCTACCTGTCAAACATGCAAGCTGACATGATGCACAACATTAGCGCAGATGATCGATCAGATCGAAAAGCTGACGACAAAGAAACCGTCATATGCTACTTGAGCCACTCCGAACGCCGATTAGATTCTCTTTCCCAATCCTTTCCATTGATTTCCCTCCGATCCGTGTCCTTGGATGCCCGAATTTTACGCCGAAAGTGGTACGCTGAAACGTAATACTGTTTGTTGTTCCCGTGGCCGGGCATTTGTGTCTGCTGTGTGACATTAAACACATGGTTGTGAGCGTTCCAGAAGAGATTGATCGTTCTATGGTTGGGGAGCTGTCGATAGTGGACGGCCCGAAGTAGTATTCACCGAGTGAGTTAACTCGAGACATTTGAACTTGGCCCACCTTCAGCAATGGTTGGTAACCATTCCGTACTCAACAGTTTCATCGAAAGGGCATTTCACCACCACCTCCAACCATGTCTACACTTCCGCCACTATTCGCCCTCTGCAAATGCCGAAACTGGTCCGGCACACTTCGCGGTATCTGCATACCGAAATTGCTACCACTGTTTTGTCGTAAAGGTGGTCGTCTGACCGCCTCCATACCATTTGCCATCATAGGCTGTCGATGTTGACTGAGCAATCCCATAGTCCCCTCAAACTCCCTTTTGAAGTCAAGAGCTCTACCGCCGCCACCAACGCCTTCCCCGAAATTTCTTGTGTGATTGTGGACGCCTACGTTATTCGTCATCCTAGGGGCATTCATGTCTGGAAATCCTCCATAGTCTCCCAGGCCGGCATATTCCATAGGACTTTGCATGACGGAAGGACTTGTGAAGGAGGTACTGTTATCGCTGCTATCGTTGATAGGCGAACCAAGCTCTTCGACCCTCCTGTCATATTGTGGCATGCCTGAGATTGCGTTACCATTGAAATCGGTATCAGGCTCCATCTTGAATTCGCCTCCACTGGTGCCATTGCCATTGTATCCTGGGAAGTTGGATGCAACACCGATGCCAGCGTTGCCGAAGCCATCAAAGATATCGACATCGGCACAGATATTCGCTGGAGTATCGGGTACAGTCTGAAGCATTGGATTAACGAGCTTTGGCAGAACATCGTTGACCTTGGCGAGGAGAAGAGGAAGGAAACGGTGATCGCCATTGCGAAGAACGGAGAGGAGAGTCATGAAATCGTGAAGATAATCACGAGGTCCAAGTTGGAATGGATCTGGATTTGGTGGAAGAAGGGAAAGAACGTCGGTAAGAGAGCAAGCGACATCAAAAAGCTTCTCGATCTGTGCCTGTCAGTAGAGATACAAGGATATTTAGCCTTAGAACTTACAAGTCCGATGCCGTGAACTTCCATGCTCTGTTGGGAGAATTGAGATGTCATTCCGACAAGATCCCGAGCAATATCAACAGGATATTGGAAGGTCATGCTTGGGTCACCATTGCCGGAGCTCAAACATCCATTCTGGATGCTCAATTGCCAAACCATTGTTCGTAGCCATTGCTGACTAGTTCTCAAGTCGGCCGTCTGGTTCTCTGTAGAGTTGAGATACGTAGGGAGTGCATCGTTCAATTGCTTCTGAAGAGCAGACAGATAAGCTGGAGAGCAGTCCGTTCGGGTCTTGTTCCACAGAGCAACAAATCCTTCGTCGAAAGGTCGGAACAGATTGACGAGATGAATAAATCCATTCAAGTGATGAGCCTGAGCGTCAGTTGGATCATCGCTTTGTGTCGGAAGGGTGATAGTTGCTTGTAATGAAAGAGGGCGATGTCTTTGAAGTGCATAAGCTCTGTTCAAGGTTAGCATTTTGTTAATGTTCCAGACCAATGATCCTACCTTTCCGTGACGAAGAGTAGCCAATAAAGCCTTCGTCTTCTTGACGACTCGACAACATCGAATTGAACATAGGTATCTTCCTTCTGCATGTTCAAAATATGTGACAGAGTCGTCGCCTCTCTGAGATGGAACCAAGCCTTATTGTGCAAATCCAGACCAAAATAGCATCCGAACAGGAAGAAACTGGTGACTAGACTATTTAATGTCGGAGTCTCGAGATGATCATAAGATTTCCTAACTCTCAATGTTTCCTCCATCAACAGGTTGCCTGATACGAGGTTGGCGCCAGGGAGGCTGTCGAGTCCGAGTGGATCGCCTGGTATTCCCATTCCTGGTTGTATCATCATGAAGGCACATAGCGATGTCAAAAGACAGTATGTATCGACGTTCTGGTCCGCGTACATTGCTTGTTGTTCTAGTCGACCGCGGTGTAGTATGGGGAGGGTAGGATACATATTGGCGAAGAAAAATTCGATGCATTCCTTGATCATGTCGTTGGTGAGAAGACCTGGTGTAGGAGTGAGTGTCGGACTACATGGCGGACTGTTGATTCCATTCATTCGGTTTGCTACTTTCGAGGAGAGGGTGCTCTGTCGTTGTGTTTCTCGTAGTTCGCTGATGACCTTGGCTCGCGATCCTTTGGGTCCTTTCTTCTGCGGGATGGCGTGGTAGGTACACGATAGTTGGGCTGAGGAACAGTTGCGACACGGATTGATGCCATCACATTTGACCTTTCGACGATGGCAAGCGTCGCAAGCCCGCTTGACCGAGGTAGACATGGCGGGCGATGGATAGGCAGGGTCGAGAATCGTCGCGGGTGAACCCTTCGGCCTGAACGATGGACTTGACTCGACTCAACTCGACTCAACGCAACGGAACGTTGTCTAGCAGCAAGGCGAGATGATACCGACGACGGACCAGTGGCACTGGAACGATTAAAGGTTGATCTGCTTCGACGTCCAGTACAGTTCTGAGTATGGGGTAGTAGTGGAGTGGGCGAAGGCTGTTCTGCGTGGAGTCTGGAGTTATTCGGTCCGTATATGAAGAAATGGCGGAGACGGGACGCTCATTTCCAGAAGTGCGGGGGTTAAGAAATAGGAGCGAGCAGGGCTGTGTTATTGGGCCACTGCTACCAGGGACGGGCGCAGAGATGTTTCGGGGTAAGGTAAGCTGTGATGCGAGCAGCGTGGAAAAGAGAGGATATATTGTTGGTTAGTGGTGTTTAAGGAGAGTTGATGAAGGGCTGGAGGGAAGAGGTTGAAAACAAAATGTGGATCGACTGTTGGAGGGAACGGGACGCTGGGAGAGAAGGGAAGGGAGGGATGGATCGCTCGAGGGAAGAGGAAGGGAAGGGCAGAGACAAGAGACGGGAGTCGGGACTGACTATGAAGAATCGCCAAGACCTGCACCACTGAGAAGCACGCGTGCGGCGTGCCTGACCAGTGACCACCGACCAGGCCAGTGAGGCCAGCGGACGAGGTGATTCAAGGTTAGAGCATTTTGCACCTGCACTGGGCTGACCACTGACAGTGAGCGCTGAGCCACCGGTCATTACAGCCATCGATAGTAATTAATCATGACAATAGCAGCAAATCAAAACTGAGGACATGTCCGAATAGTACCGTTGGCACTTCAAATATAATTTACCTATCCTTCATATTCCATATTCCGTTACCATATTCCTGGATATCCCTGATCTGACAATGCATATATGTAATTTACTGTTTTGTACAAGAATCTTTCCTTTCCTTTCCTCCTAGGGCACCGAGGCAGTGGTCAGACGGTGACTACTGGCGGGAGCACCATCAAGTGTCGAACCATGGAACCAGTCGATCATAGAACAATCGACGAACACTAACGACTCAACGGCTTGTAAGACAGCCGATGCGCTGATTCAACCACCACCAAATTTCAGTGACAGTGTGTCCTCAGAGTGCCGACCCCCGAGGACAGGCCTGTAAACTGGAAGAACCCGCTGAAAAATATTTCTGTCTGCCCCAGAAAACAAGCACTGTAATTTACGAGTAACTGCCCCGGTATTAATATCCGGCAGTCAAATTTCGTACGTACGGTACGTGGTTTATTAATCCTGTAAAAGTGGACTGAACAATTTGGCATCATATGTGGCCAACAGCATCACGACTACCTCACACGATAGGTATCTCGTTATTGTCTGATCTGGGAAATCGAGTCAGCCTGTAAACGTAACGTAGCAGACCAACTGCACCGTACCTTGCTTGCCTGCTTCGCCTTGCCTCGTTGTGTCAGCAGCCCCATTGAATCGAGTAGGCTGAAAGCTTGCCTGCTGGGCGGGCTGCTGTACCTCTCTCGACTTCCCATTCCAGCTTGTTACTTCGCATTGATGATGTATTTCAGCCATGAGATCGTTCCTTGTCCATAAGTGAGAGGGTGCCCACCCCCTTAAAATCCTCAAGACACTGGTGAGAAGTTTCGCAACACGGTCGTGGAGGGCTGTTTGTTTCCATGCCAGGATATCCCGAAATCTGGATTCTCCTCATTCGGCATTTGTATTTGCCTTTGCCTCTCGACAAATCAATCACTTAATCACTCGATAATTGCCATCCTCATTCAAATTGTAAGCATAACAAAACGCGCCACCAATTCCTCTCCACTCCGCTCTTCTGCTTCTCCATTGCACAACAGCTCACGATGGTCGGCCTGCAGCGCAGCATAGCACAATCCAGTATGGAAACACCTGCGCTCGGCACTTGCAAGGAGAGACGGTGAGAATGGCTTGACCTCTGTCATCTTCGCATCACCTCACGATCCTGCTCTCGTTCCCACTACTCACTTCTGCAACGAACACGATTCGTGAGAGTTCCTACTGCTCCTCCTCCTCCAGCCAACCGGAGACGCCTTTCGATTTTTCACGCTAGATCCGACTCCGGCATAGTCGATCTGTAGGTCTGACGCCCCGCAAGGACCTGCCCTGTCCCCACAAGCGAATCCTTCTTGGAGTCTTCCACCAGCCTTCTGGCGCCAGTTCACTTCCAGGTTCCCGTCGGTTCCGCCCTCACCCACGAGGATCGATGACAGAATGACAGGAACTATGGATACTTCGGCATTTTAACTTTCTGCTTTTCTTTTGGAGATTCCGCCTTTTCGGATCGCAGCACATCTCATCTGATCTTTGCAAGGGCAGATCAAGATCAAGATTACGGGGTGCAAACAACCAGGACTCACCTCCACTCCACGTTCTGCATCCTCTCATCAATGTGAGCCGCAGCTGTACGTAACAGTCCGGTACTTGGTGCTACAGTACTGTCTTCCTCACCGACCAGCCAACTATGGTGTGATGGCTTGTGCGAGGTACATACGACAGCGTACCTGTCACCAGCGCTGACTCGACCCGTTCCTGTTCTCATACATCGTATGATTTGGCCATTTCTTGCCAGTCCAGGGGTTGCCACAGATATCCGGACACCGACACTGAGTTCAACGCGACTCCGGGTGGAACCGCCAATTCGCAGCGCTCCTGCTTATACATCAACAACGACAGTACTTCTCCTGGTTCAATACCGCTGTATACGTCAGCCATCAAAGTTTGAGCTAGGTCAAGCGATCTCACGAACTCAAGCAATTCCAAATCATCCATGGAAGGCAGCATGTCGTTCGTTTCCAAGTCACGATACAGTCATGTGATATATGTATGCAGACTCCATCCCAAAGTGGGCAAGTGTCCAGGATTTGGCGACAGGGGCAGAGAAGGACCGAAGTCACCAGCATGAAATGCGGAGATGGTACTGAAAGTGTGGAGGTGCACGGTGACGAGGCTTGATTTGGCTTTGCGCTTGTCTTCAATTTGATAAGTCTGGGGAAAGAGGATGCAGGATGGCCGCTATCTTTTGATGATGGCTTGGCTGGAAGTTCATGTGCATCTCAAGCGACCTTGCACATGGAGAACTTGGGGAAAGTGGAGTGGATTCTCTCGTCAGAAGATCACACCGCTTTCCCCCAAAAGTATTTCTCTATTTCGAGCACGATTGCGCAAAGTCTTGGGGAGTAACTGGGAGTGTCAACTGGCACTGGAAAACTCGATCCCACAGCTTTCAAATACCATTTCCTACCGTACGAGTATATTCCTCCTCTTCCTCCGGAGGAACCTCTCCCAGCTGGATTTTCCCCGCTGTCAAAAGTACCTGCAGTTTCCCCTGCCTGTACCGGCCTCACATCCACAATACAACCGAGACACCGACCCATCCAAAACATGCAGCCCTAAGCCCTCTCGGCCGCTCTTCCGACCTGCCCATGCCTCCTTCAATTTCCAGGGAAACAATATCCAGAAACCTTATCACTACTTCTGTATGAAGATGGAGTCCGACGATCACCAACAGAGGGGCAGACACAGACACCTCGTGGGGTACAAGTCAATGTACCCCGCGTCAGTACGTGTCCCCGTCTCAAGGTAAGCTTAAATCGCGCAAACATCAGATATTAATATCAAATCCAACTCGAACTTCAATATCATCTACTGCACAGACTCACAAACGGACCGATATACACACGCCATTCGTGCCTGATCGACAGCGGTTGCTCCCATGGCGTTCGGGACCCGCTTGATTCCCGCTGCCTAGACTATCTATCACTTGATAGATACTCAGACTTCCTGCATACTTGGACACGGAGAGCTCCTCAATGCAGTTGTTATGTGCTCATATCAGTGAGCTAGGAGCCGCGATTAGCGGGTCTTGATATGAAGAAATACTTGGTTGACGTGGTTAAACCAAGGTAAGTACATATGATGCATGAGGTAGGGTAGGTAGACGGGCCTTCTATTTCGCCGGAGGTAGGTAGCCAACAGCATCAGACTGGCGGACAGCTTCAGTATCCGAGATTCTTGTCTTGTTTCTATTCCAAGTCCAAGCCAGACTCTGCACAAACAGGTCGAGCGAAATGACGAGAAGTGTTGGTTTTTCTCTGCGTTGTCACCATCTGATCAAGGGGCGGCTCAGAAACCTACTCAGAACAGTCTTTGCGTCGTTGATCTTATGATAATGGAAGCGAATCGAGACAAATATTTATTGTTTACCAGCCTCCTCAAAGTGACACAACGGCACAGTGCATCGAAGCTGTGCCGTAGGCTGGATTCTCGGCCATACTTAGCACCAAGATCTAAATCTTCTCTGCAATCAGAAAATCTTCTTCCTGCAGTAAGCGGGAGTCAATGAATATCTCCGCCGAGGGCAAGAACTTCTCAAGCTTTGGCTAGAGAGCTCTTTCCTTCGTTGAATCGGTGCCATCGACGACAAGAACGGAAGACACCTGCTTTGCCCCTTTTCTCTCTCGAAACGTCGTCTCAGTCCGGCTTCCCATTTCCCTGTCATTTTTCCCAAGCTCTGAACGGATTGCTGCTTCTGTAAAGCCTTCTCGCTGCCAGTCCGGAATTTTTCTTGCCGTTCAAGGTTTTCGCACACTCGCACCTTTGAAGCTTGTTCCCATCCCTCCTAACAGAATCAGCCAATTTCGTGTTCCTTCCTCACAGGCTGAACTCCGATGTCAAGAATAATGCTTCCCAGGTTTCCTTACACAAGAGTGTCTTTCCAGCCTTTATCATCATCGAATATCTGCCATCTAACAGCGATGATCCAACTTCACACAAACGACCATTCCTCCTAGCCACCATTTCCTGCCTCCATTGCCTCTCTGCGGGCGGTCATCGGAGTGCCTCTGCAGCTATCTCCTCTACTTATGATTATTTCCCACCAAATTCATGTACTGTGTTGGATATCTGTCTGGCATGATCGAATACTGGCAAGAACTGCTACGTGCTTCGGACCAGCAACGCACCTGGCAAGCCATCGAACGACTTCATCTTCGTCGACGAGCTCAACGTCTAGTCCAAAATCAGCAACCACGTTGCCGCAAGCCATGCGCAGATTTGCCTTGCAAGAAGATAAAGAACGCTTCTAGCCTGTAGGTCTTCCTGTGGTGTGTGGTGTTTCTCTCAGTTCGTGAGTTTGTGTTTTGCGCGTCGAGCCTGGTTGAGACTGGAATCCAGTAGTCCCCTTCCTCCATCATGAGATGAAAGATTATACACGGTCGATTGTGCCACGATCATGGGTGTCCTGGATGCTGTGGACTACAGTTCGTACTTGGTTGTTGTTGGATTGAGACACTCTCGAGAACTCCTCCCCTTCAAGAAGCAGGCTAGCCAGCATACTAGTCGATTGCAGTGATGACGGGACCTATTCATGCTGATATAATGAAGCAAGCCCTCGCTTTGCTGCCAGGATCTATGAGCGCGCAAATTCGAGTTCTTGATCTGCGATTTTCATTTGAAGCGTAGAGGCTCGGATGGAAGAAACAAAAAGAACCAGTTGTCACCACCAACACCTCATCCCATCGCCAACAGTGCACCACTACAGCTAGCACCGATTCCCATACCCAGAATGCTATGCCAGATTACAGAAGCAAGAAAGCGGATCTTTCGAACTTCATCCAGCAAATCAACAACTCGGATTTGCACACCCGGATGTGATATCAAGCACTGCGAGTACGAAAAGTTGAACATTTTGATTGTTCTTTGACGACTGCCCCCGGGAGAAGTCGAACAGCCTACAGAAACTGCCCGCACGGTGTGTTTACATTCCGATATTCCGACTTACCTTAATTCACGTTCTCGATGATACGATTTCTGCGTCATGTTAACTTGTGCAGTTCCCCCGTGGTCAACATAGCCCCTCTGAGCCGCAATACTACACTGTATTGTACAGCAAAGCCAAGCTCTCCCTCTTGGCCAAGAAGCAATGTGCCGAATTGCCATATGCATGAGATGAGGCGAAGTAATCACATTATCCAACGATTTTAACAATCATATTTCGAGAGCCCAAAGATGGAAATGTCCATTCAAGCGTTTGCGATCTCACACCTCTCAATCAAGCTTCTGGAATCTCAGAACTAATTGATACGATGGTCCGATGCTCTAAAAATACCTTCAAATGTTATTCACATTTCGTACAACGCTTCCTCTCATTGGCTATCTGCCCCATAAAAGCTCCATTCGTGAGCCCCTGACACCCCAGTGCGGCACAACAAAGCTCGCTTCGTACACAGACGCATCTGATTCACCAATTACGCGAGAACGCCATTCTTCCCTCCCTGTTTGTCTCGAAGCAACACAGGATTCGCGAGTGGGCGGGGATGGTGCGCAGTGTAGATGCTTGAGGTTGGTGTATGGACTGGAAGCGCGGAGTTCAGATTCAACCGTTGCCCAGAATCAGAGGTTCGTAATTTCCCATAGTGGGATTAGTTGGGATTTTGATGCAGGCTGTACGAGGCTCTTCGGTAGGCGCCTTTGGTTAAAGATGACCTTGGCCCCGAGGAGAGCAGCGATCTAAGCCTTCTTTGAAATTTGGAGATGCAGAGATAAAAGTCATTCGTTTTTCAAACTTTCAAACTTCCATACACTGTCTCTTCATACAATACCAATCATCACATCTCGTATAAACACCAATCTTTGCAGTCCTCATCACGGCAAACATTTCTAAACAAACCCACACCCTCACACACCAAACCCTCACAATGCCAGCTCTCCCAACCGTCCAATCCCTCTCCCTCCACAGCAGAGACCTCCTCCACCATACCATCCAGAAACGTTCCGCCATCGGCGATTTCTTCTCTCTCCCCATGGTACTAGGCATGATCGTCCTGCTCTTCGTAGGCATCGGCATTGCTGCTTTTGTGAAGATCTGGAAGGACGATAACAGCGGGAGGACCATGCCTGGGAGGTATATTTTGAGATTAGGAACATAGGAGGGAAGAGGAGGTGGAGTTGTGTTCTGGGAGGGAAGTTCGCTTGTTGGAGTTGTCGTCACTTGTGGATGATACAACATGGCGTAGGGGGGATGGTGTTGAAGATGAACGCTGAGATTTCGGAAGTTCGATGAAGGGGTTTTCGTATCTGCTGAATTCCGCCTGAGGTGACATCTCTCGACAATTTTGTCGGGACGAGGAGTTCTTATCAAGTGTTCAAGTCCCATGCACTCCCTCCTCATCGGCAGGCAAAAACGATATATATCAATCGACCACCACACTTCCGCTTCAACTCCCTCAATATTTCAGCACTTGCTCAAACACATACACCACCAATTTTTCATCATACAAACGCTTTCAAGAAAGGACATTCCCAAAGGATGAAAATACGAGGATCCTGGATCCTTCCTTCTGCTCCCTTTTTCCTTGCTCACTATTACGGCAAAATGTCGCATACATATATATTTCTTTACATATGATTCGGCGTTGGGACTGGGAGATTGTTGGCGTTTGGGTTGCTGGAGTCTGGACTGGTGATCTGGGTTTTGAAATTTGGAGGGGGAATTGTATATGGATGGTGGATCTGCATATGCGTCTTGGATATCAGATGGAGATGGGTGCTCAATAGATGGATGGAAGGATGGAAAGAGGTATATTTCCTAGTGTGTATGGATTTGTTTGAATAGAATGGGGGTTTGAACTACGGGGATGGATCACAGGTTGGTTGCTTGCTTGCCAAATATATAACCTTAGGGAAAGACGTGGGAGGGACGGTAGCTAGATGGAACCAAGTATACAGTTATTAGAATCCAATGCTACGAGGCTCACCCCTAGTGTTTCAATCCGCACTCGATCGTGTTGAAGAAATTGAGTCTGGAAGATGCAGGTGGGAGAATGAAGAGCACTTCGCCAGTGGTATCCTCAACCCGGATGATACACATTTGTAAAACCCGACTCTACTACGCCTTTCACCTACGTCTTCGCCTACGATGTCGAGAGGAATTTTGAGACATTACATTGTCTAAGAGGTAATAATGGAAGGTAGACCCACCACCCCGATCTAGCTTTGGCTTGTGATATGGGAACGCCGTTCAGCTGTTGGGTTTCTTCATTATACCAAAAAAAACTTGAGATCTTTGCTACAGCCGAATGTCCCTCAGATCATAAGTGTACATACATCTTGACTTTATCCTGAGAGCCTTGATTGCTGTGGTGGCCAGAATACAAAGACAACGAAAAAGAAAGACAGGGGAATCAAAGAGAGAAATCAATGCGAGATCGGGAAGCTAAAAAGAAAAGAGGGGCAAAAAAAACGTACAACAGTGGGTATTCGCTGGTGGTCACCCACCCAACTACTAATCCACCGGTCTGGTGCTTGTGTATGGCAGAGCGGACGGGATGCCCATTTCTCACCAGCCTATGGTCGTACGTATCAGGCTCCTGATTGTCTCGTTATATATTAGAAATAAGTTGCGCAGAGCTAAATGCCGCTACCGGATTTGAGAGTTCCCAGTCCTCCTATCCCGATTCCAGTATCTTGACTCACTAATAACCTGGTGTATGCCATTAGATTTAGTCTATTCTACGCTAAAAGACTGTACGAAGGTAGGTAGGCTATCGGGTGCGTTTGGAAATAGCCGAATGAGGGGCGTACAGGATATGAAGACTAGTTTACGACGCTCGAATTAAGAAGTATATTATAGTCGAAAATTATGATTTATCTTTAAAAACTATCAAGAAATAACAATTTGATACCTAGGACTTTTTCGCTTCGGAATCTGTAAGCAAAGTACTATATAAAACATAGTACTTTGGAAGTCGCGGACCTCACCAGAATCGGCCACCTCCAACCGCACCCCATAGGTAGGCTGCTAGCGCACGCGTGTGTGGGGAGGTCGCCGAAATTTTCAATATCGCCATTTGCCTCAATCGATACTGGGAAAGGGAATTGTATTTCCTCAGACCTCCAGATTTTCTATGCATTTCCGGCCCAGACTACTGTAGGGTTGACGTTCTGTTGCTACAATTAGTTCACAGACGCAAATCGGCATCGACTTTCTGCCTGCGCATACAGACGGCACGGTTTTCAATACGAAGCTTGCCATGAATGAGCCTTATCACCAAGATAAATTCAGATGCCTAGCTACGAGAATTCTGAAGTATGGAACCCTTTTTGAACTACTGAAACTGCCTCCATGTCCTAGACTGCATCGTGATGAATCTCTTTCTCGACCGCCTCGACTGCCTTATCAGCAAGCTCCTTGTCCTCGAATACTGTCGCCATAACATTAGCATTGATTTGAGCTCCTAGGGTAAGAAGCACATACAGAAGGCCAGTTCTTCCAAGGTTCTGCCATGCGTTTCTGGGTAGAGAAGAAAGACGACAATAAACTCGATTCCGAGCCAACCGCAGTAAATAGCCATGAATTTCCAGCCAAGTGCTTCCATGCCAACCGGGTTCACGTTGATGGAAAAGAAGAGTCCAATCTTGTTGAAAAGTTGCTCAATTCCGATGCCCCGAGTTCTGACATGATATGGGAAAAGTTCGATGAGGTAGGCTAGATCTTGTAAGCTGGGCAGAGTGGCCGATCAGCTAATCAGTTAGCTATCAGCTAAGCAACTTGCTGAGCTAACTAGCTTACGTATAAATCACAGCTTAATAGCTTTAACTGAAGAGCTTAAAAGCTACTTAAAAGCTGATTCTAAAAATAGACGTATACTAAAAATCCCTCCTAAGATCAACTGTATTAAATGCCGCTATAAGCTCTACTATCCCCCTTCTTTACTAGTTTTTTAAGCACTCTTAATACTATAGCAATTGACCTAATAACCTCGAACTATGTAGTATAGTTTGTATAGAATAAGACGAGAAAACACGCTCATACTTAGAGCTTATAGCAGGTATATATAAAAAATCAAAGGCTATCTTAGTAAGCTATAGCCACTGGACCTACTTTGAACGCTAATACTTCAAAAGAGGCTAATCTATTAGAGGCTCTTTAAGATATAAGGCTAATTAGTCTTTCTAGCTTAAAGGTCGTAGAGTTCTTACTATAAAGGTTATGCTAGTAAGAGGAGGTGCTAGCCTCTCTAATTAACTGGTTTTATATAGCTTTAGAAGCTCTAGCTCTAGAGTTCTTTCCTCTACTCGTATAACAGCTTCTCCTTTATATTCCGTCTCCTAAAGCTTCTGTAAAGACGCCTTCCCTTTCCTTATATATTATACGTTATCTCTAGTCTATTATTAGTCGAAATACTACTATTTCCAGCGAAAGTAAAGAACTAAAGCTGCTATCTACGCAAGAGAGATATCGGTTTTACTATAGAACTCCTTTATCTTATTCTAAGTAAGTTATCGTGTACTGTAGGGAGGAGCTTCATGTAGTGTGAAAGTCTTGATTTATTAAGGTATTCTAGAGCTCCCCTATAAGAGGAAGCTCTAGGAGTTCTAGTTATATAAGCAGCCTCTGGTTGGCTGGAGCGCCTTAGGGAGTGCCTCAGGTGCGTCAGGTGCACGACACACCCCCTCGCTTAGCTTTACAATAGTAAGCGAAGCGACGTAAACAGTGCAGACAATACTACCTGAACCACAATAGGAGTTGATACCAACTGACGGCGTCAGGTCTCAAGCGCCTAGTAGCTCTGAATATATAAACCAGGTAGGTCCCCCGGAACGCTCTTTCCTTAAATAACAACTTCGACGCAACATCAGCAAACATGGCCAAAAGCTCCCGCGCCGCCCGCGCCTCGCGCGCCTCCAACCTCGCCGCTGCTCGCGCAGCAAAGAAGAAGACCGTAAGTTGTTGATTTGAAGATTCCGACGTAGTTGGCGTTACAAGGAATCGTCAGAACTACGCTGATACTTGTAAAATAGGCCCGTGGCCGCCGCAGCTCCCCCGCCGCCGCCACTCCACCACCACCACCATCACTATCACCACCACCAGCACCAGCACCAACTCCTGCCCGCCGCCCCGCTGTGGCAGGGGCCGTCCGTGCCGTGCCTTGCGGCCACTGCATTCGCGGTGGTTTGCGGGGTGCGCCGGGCGACCCCTGTCGCGACGAAGAGACAGCTTCGCGCTGTTTTTGTTGTTATAAAAACAACAAATCGGGTTGTGTCGCCGCCCCCGCCCGTGCCGCCGAACTCTTCGCCGGCTACTTGGTAGCCCGGGCCCTCCCAGAGGGCACACGCGTAAGTGTTTCCTTATGTTGTAGTGTTAGAACGACGAAGTGTTAAGGTGTTGATATTGAAGTGCTAAGCGAGGCTGACTCTGTGATATATGTAGGCTCTCACAGTCCGCCGGGCCGCTATTCGGAAGGCCTTGGAGGCCGAGGAGGACGAGGATGAGGATGAGGATGAGATCCGTGCCGCCGTCCGTAAGTCGTAATAGTAGTCTTGCAGATTTCAGACGTCATCTAACTGTTGATATCAGCCGCCACCCCCACCCCCGCCTCTGCTCTCCGCAGAGAGACCGCTGTTCCCCCCCCCCGCCCTGTTTTTGGCGCTGTGGGAATGGGCTCCGGCTCTGCGGGAGCTGCCGTCGTCGCCCCCGCGGCGCGTTTGGCCTTGCGTGCCTCTGCCTTGGCGGAGGTTGACGTTATGGCCGGCGCTGCCCGGCGGTTGATTGACCTTCTCCTCCCTCCTCAGTGAGCGGTATAGGCTTTGCAACCTTTAAGTGGCAGCTTGGGAACGTTACCCCTTTGTTGTTGTAGTTCGGGCTGGCGTGTTGGTGCGGCTTTGCAACCCAGAAGTCGCAGCTTGGGATCGGGTCCCTCACTCTTCGCGTTGTTTTGGCGCGGCTTTGCAACCCCGAAGTAGCAGCTTGGGATCGGGTCCCACAATTCTACCTCTTCTCTCCTCTCTAATGGCGTTTGAGAACTGCAAATGTGAAGTAAAGGAAACGTGACAAAAGAAAGTGTCTGTATAGATTGTATAGCTCAAGCGAGCTTCTCGATATCGGCTCGAGAGTCTTGAAGGTTCAAAAGAGCGACGAACACTTCAAACTTCTGCCTTGGTAGGTTTTTGGTTAAGCCGTCGGCTGGCATGTCGTTTGTCGGGAGATACGTCACCTGAAAACTCCCCTTTTTGTGCTCCTGTCGTAGCCACATATTCTGTATATCGACGTGCCGAAGCTTCGTCGAGATTCGCTGGTTCTCTTCAACTATCAGCCGAATCGTCTGTTTATTATCGCAGAATATATTCCACGGAGCTCCCACATCAAGCCTCAGCTCTTTAAAGAACCTTTGAAGCGCCATCACCTCCTTGGCAGTCCGTTCTACACCAAGAAGCTCTGCCTCGGTCGTCGAAGTAGTGATAGTGTCTTGTCGGGAGGCTTTCCAAACAATAGCTCCTCCAAACAGCATAATCAGGAATCCTTGGGAGGAACAACGCGATTCAGCGTCGTCTGCAAAAGACGCGTCTGAGGCAACAAGAAGGTGTGTCTCTCTGTCCTTCTGACTATAGACAATAGCCAGGAATCTTGAGCCGAACAGATATCGTATAGTCCAATTGACCGCCTCCAAGTGTAGCGCGCTTGGGTTAGTAAGGAAGTGTGACAGTTAAGAGGCTGCAAAGGCGACGTCTGGCCGGAGCATAATAGCTGTGTATAGCACTGATCCAACCTTCTCTTGATATTCCTTGATTTGCTTGAAAGTTGCTGTACCAAGGTTCTTGACTAGCTCGTAGTACGGGAGAGGCGTGCTAGGGCACTTCCCGTCTACTATATCAAACTTCTAAGCTATCTTCTCGATATAGATATCGTGCAGGAGAGACACTGTCTTCTTTTCCCTATTCCGTACTACTCGTACTCCCAAGAACCATTCCACGTCTCCTAGGACTATCAGCTCGTACGCCTCGTGTAGTCCGTCTATGATTGTCTGGCCCTCTTCGGCGTGTCTGATATGATACAAGACCTGAATATCGTCGACGTAGAACGCTACAAAGACAGTCCTATGCTGGTTTGTAAAGATACATAGCTCCTCCGCGAGTGGAGACAGGTCTAGCTTGCTGAGTGTCTTTGCAAAGTCGCCGTACCAGAGTGCAGGTGAGTCTCTTAAGCCGTAGAGCGCTCGGTCAATTTCCACTACCATTCCTGGTCTTTTCCAGCCTTCCGGAGGGAAACACGAGACTGAGGCGCTCCTCTGGTCTCTCTTTGCGTTAACAAAGGCGTTAATTACGTCAAACTGCTTCACTTCCAAGTCGAATTGAGCCGCTAGTGCTATCACGACTCGGAACGACCTCGCTGCGAGTGTAGCCGCGTAGGTTGAGAATATCGTGGAGTCGTCTTACATATCACCTCACACTACAATCCGAGACTTGCAACGCTTAAGCTGTCCTATAGAATCTACCTTGTAGGTAAATACCCACTTCAAGGGAATCGGTAAGGTAGCTGCGTCTTCCCTGGGAATCAGTCTCCAACAGTCTCGAGCTTCCAAGTTTGATATCTCCCTTTCCGCGTCAGCCTTAAACTGCTCGCCGTATAGGTGACTCTCCAGCTCCCTCCAGTTCTTAGGTGGCTTCGGGAGCTTCCCTTGATATTAGTTTTGTGAGTTAGAAGCTCTTGCCTCTACTCGGACATCTGACACGGCGCTTGAAACTACTGCGTGAAGTGTGACAGTGTCGTAGCCACCAGCTCGCGTCGGAGTCTTACCACAGAAGGTCGTGGCAAACTCTTGAAGGCGCGAGTAGCTGTCTTGTCTTGGAGCCACTACTGTAGAGTAATGGCCGCGTGCGGTAAGCCTTTCACGTTCTCTCCAGGCTTCCTGAGTTGCCTGGATTCGATCACGCTCTATTACTCGCCGCTGTTAGCGGCTATTTCTAGCTGCCCGTAGAAACTCAGTCCCTGTCGCTTTGGGAGGAGCTTCTAGAAGCTTGGTGACCTGTTGCTTAAGGTCTTGTGGCCGTCAGCTAGGTAATACGACTTAAGGGTATATTCGTTAGCGCGCCTCCTCAATACCTAGACCGGTATCATTACCACTTATAGCGTCCCTCCGGTGCTGGGGCAAGAGATAATTAGTCTCCGCAGCTTTAGTATCTCTCGGGGCGCCTCGACTTAACCTCTCGTAAGGAGTCAGATCTCTACTACTATCGGCGAAGTTATCGTTATAAAGGACTATGTCGTTACTCTCCACCCCCGAGGTCTGACTCTCGTAGGGGGGTAATTCAGAGGTCTGAGGGAGCTCTAGCGAGTCGACCTCCATCGGCTCTTGTACCTCTGGTACTACCCCCGAGCTTCGTGGAAGCTCTGTCGGAGTAATATCTATTAGTTCTAGTACCTCCTCAGCGACTAGTATAGTAGTCTTAACACTAACGTCAGCCTTAAATGCAGCTTCGTTCAGTTCAGCCGTATGTTCCGCTGCAACTGCGTCGGTAATATTACTGATGCCGTACTCCACGTCTAGAGCGACGACGTTCTCTTCCAGGTCCTTGACAAGCTCCCTTAGAGTAGAGGTAGGTTAGCCGACTTTCCTCTCTTTCTCAGGGGAATAGAACGTCGTCTCATTAAACCGGACGTTGCGCGTGATCACCACACGGCGTAGCTGGGGCACCCAGATC